TGGGCTAACCGGAACTGGGCTTGACATCGATCTTTGTAACGCTTTCAGTCGGAGTTTCAGAGACACTGACTAGGTTTGCTCCTTCAAGTTTCGATCTGAGAATCAGTCTGTCTTGTACGATGATGGTATCGATACTGGACTATTGGCTCAGCATGGGAGCTCAGCAGTACGCTCAGTTCGAGATTAGCCGTCCGGGGTTCTGGACGAATCACATAAGAAATCAATGCTTTTCGAGCTTTTTCAAATATCGTACTTATGTACATACTTTTCTAGGTCCGAATAGTGGAAAGTATTATCTCAATCATTGTATCAGAGAACTTGAGAAGCAGACTGCGGTTAGACCTACGACGATATGCGATTCTTGTAGTCGGAAAACATTTCTAGGGTCCTTGTAAGAGCTAAAGAAAGCAAGAAGGCCAAGTCGTCGGGATGTTTCGATATTGTACTCTGGGTATGGATAAGCTTGAACCTGGATATGTGAGTCTGAGCACAACTTCGAGTCCTTGAAGCTTTTGACGATGATACCTCCATCCTGAGCTTCGTGTCATCACTACTACTGAAAAGAGCTATCTTGTCTACTCAAAATGACGAGGCTGATGAGAAGACTAATCAAGGAAATACTTACTTCATCGAGTTTGTGTTCGTGGGCTGGGGAATACCTAATCTATGGAGTTTGCGTTCGTGGGCTGGGGAAGCCTCTGGCCATTCCGGATCTCCAGGTTCGTGCGTTGAGCGAATGTCGTAGGGTGGAAAGCATGAAGTCATGGCGGAACAGTGGCCATCCTGTTGAGTCATCCACACTCCATGCTGATAACTAATCATGGCTTGCACACCGAATGTTCTGAAATGCTAAGTTGTGCTACATGCACGGTCTTTGGTTATGTGCTGTATTTTGAAAAATGGTATCTCCGGGAACTTATGCAGGCGAGAACGCGCGCGACCCAAAGAATGTTTCAATCGCTAATGAAGGCTTGAGTTCCATCTGGTTACAAGTCCGCAATGCCTGGGGAAGACCACCAAGATTCAGAGTCTAGAGAACGGTTAAGCGATCTGGACTGTAAGGCTGTCTAACCACAGTTTGCTGGGTACCAGCTTTCGAAGTTCGGGTTGACCTTCCATTTCATCAGGGCCTTCTTATTTCCGATGATGGCCGAAGCAACCCCAGTCTGTTCAAAAGTACTCATGCACGGCCTGAGAGCCGTGCATAAGCCGTGCATTAGTGCCGGCCTTAGTGACCTCAAGCCACATGAGGGTGATCGAAGAACAATCGAAAGGCACAGGAAGAGGGGTGTGAAACTTTGTGCATTCAATTGACGGGGAGACTCAAACAATCACAAAAGGAGAAACAGCCATGTAAGTGGGGGTTACCTTGAAGATGGGAAACACCTTGAAATGCGATATCCGCGGCTGCTAGACGGATCCAGGTCTTCAACAAGTGCGTAAAGCGCCCGGGAGATCCCGAGAGAAAGCAGACCAAGGCACCCAATCTAGGATCAGCCTTATGACCCCCGTGTGCTCCTTGCAGCTGTCACGTACAGGGCGCGTGTTTTCCGGATGCTTTGCAAACAATTGCAGCTCTACAGGTTATGATTATCGAAGACTCTCTCAACCTAAACTTTATCGGGTAGCAGATCAGAGAAGTGCGGCTCGTAGCGTTATCACACGCACACGCAAGGATTGGTTGGATGATCTACAAACTTGGGACGGCGTATGTCGTATTGATAGCGGTTCCGTCAGCGAACTTCGGAATGACTGTTCAGTATACACACATGGACTGCGACAGTTGCGAATGCTCATGTGGAGGCTGGAAGCTGCGAATCTCACAAGTAATATTCCAGCCGTGTTCAAACAACAGCTCAGCCACTGTCAGGGCCGCATCCTTGGCAAAGAACTCGATCAGTGAATGTTGAGGTGAGGAATGAGGTAAGAACATGCACAGTTCAACTTCTACCCACGATTTATGTGAAACTGGTAAGTCTCAACCCACTAGCTCTCTTCTGGAATCAGGTCACCACGGCTTCATAGGTCTGCTGAGCTGAGTAATGGAATCGGGGCGCGCGGTAGGCAACCTCCTGAAAGAGGAACTTCTATCCTCAATTGCTCCACAAAAGCTTCAATATCATTTTTAAGGCGGAATCCTTGAAACAGCTGCTGTATCAACTTTAGAGAGAGTGCTTTGAAAGCCTTTGCTTACTATTAAGGAACGGACATCTTCTCGACTCGTGCCGTGCCCCCGTAATCGGTACTGGTCAATCAGTCTAATTCTGGAATAGTATAGTCGACCAGGATTTCGGGACGTGTTCAAGCTACTCGCCTCTGGTCCACCCAGGGCGCGCCGAGTCGCTTTTGAAAGCTTCTCTTCAGGCCTTGTCAGTGTCTGCAGCAGGGTTCATTATTGACATGGCTCTTAATCTCACGGGCAGATCAGTGCGCAGCGGAGAAGGTAAGCCGCGCGTCCATGACAAAGATCACTTAAGACTCTGGTCGTCCGAGTCAGTCCAAAAGAGGATACAAGTGAAAAAGAGGGCGGCGATCAGATGCAGATGCAGGGAACAAGTCTGTACTCGGAAGTACGACGTATATCGTACTGCTTAGGTCTCTTGCTTGTGAAGCTGCTTTGGATAGTTCCCAAGGGCTATTGCTTAGGGTTCTCTGAATTGATAGTTGGCTTGGAAAGTTCGCCGACAATGATTCCCTAGCAGACGCTTGTGCTGCACTTGACTTAGAATGCACCTAAGGCAATGATGACGGTATCAATTATATGCCTCCCTCTCAATAAGGAAAGCGTGTTCAGGGCCCTGGTCTAGTGGATGGGAAGAAGCGAGAGGCGCAAGCTTGTTCAGGGTCATCGCCGACTCAAAAACGCATTGAACGTGTTGGAATGTTCCAGTGGGAGATAGTTTTGCCAGTCAGCCACTAGCATTCAGATGCTTCGACTCGGAGACGGAGAGATCTGATGGGTGTGGGCTATGATTGGAGATCTGAAGAAGAATGATTATCCGTCTGCGGCTCACATCGGCGTGTTTGTTCCTCGTGGCAGCTAAGGTGGTCAGAGTCAAAACATGAAAATCCGAGTGGAGATGGTTGCCGCATAAATTGCTTATGTCCAACAAGCTGCTGACGGTGATAAACTTGGCATCAACTCCAGCAACAACCTGGCTCCGATTGGGTCTGGAAGCCCGTATTCGTTTAGCTCTCACCTCCGGATCCGCACTAGAAATTGTTGCCTCTCTCAAATTGGGAAACGATACTGAAATTTGATTGGTCTACCTCCGACGACAAACCTGGGCACGGCTGCTTTTCGAGGAAACCGTGGAAGCCATGTTTTAGTAGCGTACTACTCCGTCAGGAATTCCTCGGTCGGATTCCCGTGCCACTCCGACCAACTGGAGGAGCACAGAAACTGCTCAGTGCACCAACCTCTTTTCTCCGAAGAGTAATTGGATCTTTGAGTGATCTCTCCTCTTGAGCAGCGCCATCAGCATCTGCACACAATTCGCTCAAGGTTAGATGAGTGCAAAGAGCGGTCAGCCTTGTGCAATGTCATAGCCTGTGATCTTGCAGAGGAGATAAACAAGAACAATTAGTCAGCCGATGAAAACAGTATCATGTGGAGAACCTAGGATGGCAAGACGTGGAGTGACAGGATGGGAACTAAATCCGGAGAAGAATAAACACTCCGTCGATCTGGTCAGCAAGCCCTGTCAATTCCAATGCTCTCATTGCATAAGCAGGGAGTCGCGGCAGAGGGTGTGTGTCCGTGCTAATCCAACGCAGCGACGAAGAACGGAGACTGGGGCCGGACTATGCCAAGCCCGGGTTTTCAGAATACAGCTAGTATGTAATTTTGCCCATTAGTTCTACGAAAGATAGCCTTACCTTGGAAGGCTGCAACTTGCTGCCGCTATAACTCCATCATGTATGAGCTGCTCTCGCCGCTTTTCTTCCAGCTTGTCTTGGTGTTACATTCGTATTGATTTTTGATGCACCACCTGCCCCTTTCCCATCACATTTTGGTAAACGCACTCACCTTTTGCTCTTGCTCGGCCATGTGGGGCCCTTCAAATTGAAAAATACGTTGCTGAATGTACTATCTATACAGAGCATGTTGGCGACATCGGACCCCTGGCCATGCCCCAAACTTTACACTAACCTCTGCTGCCACAAATGATGCAAGCCATCAGCCCTATCTGTGACCATGCTTGAGGAATGAGGGACTTTTGTGTACGGACAATACCTTGCGCTTGCTTGTACCTTAGGAATATCGATTTTAGTGACCCTGGGGCATGCTGTTGGCATCGCGATCTAGTCCTCCCAAGAATAAGTCAAGCAACATACTGTCTACCCCTGCAACTTCCAAATTCGGCATGAATTATAATTGGTTCTCTACCATGCTGACTCGCTTTGGTCGGCGCTGTCTGAGTCGTCCCACTTCCTTTGAAGCTACCCGCCAGAATGCCCTTGCTGCGGATACCAGCTGATCTGTGAATGTGAACATGGAAGACCTTTCTATTCTCGATTTCAAACACCAATGCTCGAGAAGCTGCGTCATCCTATCTGCAGCACGGGTCCAAACCCACATATTTCCCCCGATCTATACGCATTTCGTTTCGAACCCGGGTTTCTGGTGCTAACGCACTCCTGGCTAAGCCTCCTTGTTGAGCCTTACCCGCTGACAATTTCAGCGTGCCGACCAGTTCGAAGGGTTCTTTGACTTAGTCAAATTCGTTCTCTTAACCCCTGTCGGTGAAGTGCTATTAGCGTCCATGATAATTAGCATTCATGACATTATGCGCGACACTAATATTCTTCCCCGTCCAGATCTATGTGCAACATCTACTTGACTGTTGACCTTGTAAATCAATAGCTCGTCTCCCATCTTGCCTACTCAGGAATATTTGACGTTCGACCTTGTTGATCCATAACCACAACCAGAATACAGAGCAGCAACCAGGTTTCGAAACTACGAAATTCTTCATTGCGTCCTTCGTCAACGAACGATGCCTCCCGAAAATGATTCCAAGCCAAAGTCCAAACATCGCAAGTCAACATGCGCTGGTTGCCGTCGACGCAAGGTATGTCTCACTGCCGATGTCTCGTGGTTCTATCGTTGACCTAAGACGGCCTTAACTGGACTGACTGACGATCGTAGTCCAAGTGTGATGGGAAAACACCTAAATGCACGACGTAAGACAAGCCGCTTCAGGTATTTTACGATTTGCTGACAATGGGTTCTAGCTGCATAGCATATAAGGATGACTGTCATTATGACAAGCCTCCATCAATCGCATACGTGCGATCGCTTGAAGAAGAAATACAGGAGCTGAAACTCCAATTACGTCAAGCAAAAACGGCGGTTTGGCTGAACAGGGTGAGTGGTAACCTTCATCCATCAGATCTCGAAAAATTGACAAAACATAGACCGGCACAAATGACGAGAGGAAATTGCTATCAACATCTCCTCCGAGTGAGATCGCTGGGTCTCAAGGTTCTACTTACAACTTGGCGCATCGCAGCCGATCATTTAAATTGGAATCAGACATCAGTGTGGACGATAATGGCAGTGTATCGTTCCATAATTCGACATCTACGATGTACGAACCTCCTTCTGCTCAAAGCCACCTCACTTCCTCGCGGTTGGGAAATTCATACTCTTCTCACAACTCAACAATTGATGACCAACAAGCACGGAGGCAACTTGTTCTGAATGCGAGCCATCAAAGGCAGATCGAACCATTCGCAATAGCAAATGGTGCCGCAAGAGTTAATATCCCAAAGGAAACCTCTCTCGAGTTGCTGAAATATCACTGGTGCTGGCAACATCCTCTTTTCCTCGTTGTTTACAGACCAGCCTTCACAAAAGGAATGACTGCCATAGATCTCAGTCACCCAGGAGCAGATGATCCACCATATTTCTCAGAGTCTTTACTAAAGGTTTGAAATGGCCCATATCCCACCACTAGATAATCGTACTGACCCAAGTCTAGGTCATTCATGCGCATGGCGCCCGATTCTTGAACCATGATGTCTACCAACAACATTATCAGAATGGTTTAGCTCGGAATAGTACTCTCACAACAACTCTGACACCTAGGGAGTTAAGAGAAAAAATGACTGAGGAGGCTAGATTCAGCCTCGGAATGGATATACTCAGAGACAGCTCGATACCTTCGATTCAAGCACTTCTTCAGCAATCTGCCCGTGAAGCCATAGATGGGCACTCGTCCCAGTCTTGGACTTTTGCTGGCATTGCATTCAGAATGGCTTTGGACATAGGCTTACACCTCCCCAGCGATAAGTTACAAGTCTATGTGCCAGGTTTGACAATTGAAGATATCGAAGTCCGAAAACGCCTATTCTGGAGTTGTTACACATGGGACAAAATTCTGTCTCTATATCTGGGCCGAATGCCTGGTTTCACGCCAGCGGTAGATAACGTCCCGTTGACGTTCCTGGACGATTTCAGTGACAACGACCTTTGGGTGCCATACTACGGTGAGACACCTGATGCTGAAGTCCATCAGTACCCGAAATATCCACCTTGTTCGGGGTATGTGGTTTCATGCTTCAGACAACTTTGCAGACTTTGCATAATTTTGAACGATCTACTGCTCAATATATACTCTAGTGATGCAACAGAGAGCCGCGATCTGGAAGAAGAGGACCCTTCAGATGAATTCAGAGCTATGAATCAGGCACCGTTCGTCCGGATTTCACGAGATTTGAGAAACTGGTTGATTACCTTACCACCACACCTGCGGATCAACCCGGATCAAATGCCTCAACTCGCTCCGCCTGCTCATATTGTATCTCTCAATCTCCTGTATCATTCAACGATCATTCTTTTGCACCGACCAATTCTTCTTGGAGCGCAAGATTTGAATGCACCAGGACCAGCACGATCGTACCTGATTTGTTTACAGGCCACAGCCTCTATTCACGACCTTATTCTGCTTCAAGCGAATACGTTTGGACTTGCGAACCTTTCTTATCTCAATGCATACGCTGTCTATATCGCTGCTACGATTGCGGTATTGAGATTCGAGAGAGAAGTGCACCCTGGAGAAGATCCTGCCGTTTTTGCGCAGAGAAATGGTCTGACATACCTGCTGGACGTCTTACAAAAGGCCTCCAATTCAATGCCATCCCTTGAACGGAGCAATGCCATAATTCGAAAACGGATGAAGACTGTTCTTGACAATCAAAGAGCTCGGCGGAAGCAGGCATACTCAAATGGATCGACTCCACCTAGGTATAACTTACCAACACCGACAACGCAGCAACTAAGCCTCGCACAGCCTACAGCTTTTCAAACACTTTCTAGTGCGGCATTGGCACATTCGCATTATTCACACTCAGACACGACTGATTCTTTGAGCACCCCAGCATCTTGGCAAGCCGGAATACGCAGCAGTTTGCATTCAGAGTCGGAGCAGCATCCTGAAGATTTTTTACCTGCATTCCCTGGACAGCAGTTCCCAATAGGCTCGGAGCACAACTTTGCCAGCATGGAGGTGGATCCACAATCCAGGGCGGCTCTTTTGGGTTACAATTTGGACCCTCATCCAAGACTAAGCACAAACGATATTGATTGGACTTTCATGGATGGCTATGAAGGGGCTCAAATCCATATGTAAAATCAACACGAGGACTATGCATGATGTGAGTGTGCAGGGCGTTTACGGGCAGAGTCGTCTGGAAGTTCTTGCAATAAGTTCACTTAGGTTTGGCCGAAAGAATCGATGGTGTGAAATGGTGTACTATGAAATCCTGGCATGATTGGCCTACTATTCGCATGGTTGCAACGGCCTGTTCGCAGCATAAAATGCTTTGCGGCTTTTTTGACCATATGAGAATGATACAAATGTTAACAGATGATATGATGCATTCCAGGGCGGCGTGCTGCTGTACACTGGGCAGCTCAGCAAAGATAGACAGCATTAAACACCGAAAGTCCCAGCTTGAGGTGGTATACCAGCCAAGATACTCATTTGTCGGCTGTATTCACCATGTGCTTCCACACCAATAGTCAACACTCATTTCACCAATTATTGCCTGAATTCAGGACGGGCCCATGCAGCCTTGCAGGACAATCTGACCAGGCGTCAAACAGTTAGCGACCATGTAAAATTGTAAAATTAGGCCAGGATCTAAGTCTGCATGAGCCTGGTCATCACTCTAACTCGAAACGCAGCCACAAATGACCCATCAGACGGAAGCGGCGCGAACAGGGCATAGTGCCTCTACCATGTGGGTACCCCGTAGAACTGGGACACTAGTCGAAGATCATGATCACTTGATTGAAAGCTAAACTTTGGAGAGCAGTGGGCTCAAAGAAGGACATTGGGTGACGACTAGGCGTGTCCAATGGCACTGCATCATAACATGTTCACCACTGCAGGGCTCCCATGACGGCGTAAGCGTGACTCGCCTCCGGGTGGGCTGACCAGCTACGGTCGCGTCGCAGTCTGGAACCAACAGACAACATCAGTCCTTCGGTCCTTACTAACTGGATCCAGTGTTATCTAGCAGCGGCCCCCAAGAACTCCAGACGAATAAACTGCTGACATGAGGGCTTGGGGCCGATCGTGTATGAAACTGTTTCATGGCTATCAATCTTGGAATGTTGAGACTTTACTTGTGAACACACAGGAAGCTCGTATCTCTGTCTGTTACCCTTCTGCATTGAAAAGGGGCCGTGAATCATGCTCAAGGCTTTGAGTGAGGATCCAAAGATGTTAGATGTTCAAGAGACCCACTTCACGTCGTCTACACAAGTGACCATCAAGTACTCGACTCGAAACAAGGATGTCGAGGTCACATGCGCTCCAATGCTAGAACATCCCCGTAAGGCGAATGGGTTTTGTCCACAAGAAGCCCAAGGTTTGAACAAACCCACATCCAGATACGATTCTTACCTGAATCTCGCCTAAATGCTTAACCCTAAAACGTTCTCCTTCTCTCAGTCTGCCCTACGAGGATCGCGCTGCTCGCGTGAGTTAACAATGCAATTGACTCGCTGACATACGGCGCCTCTCAGTCATCCTCGGATTAGCGATCCGGTTACCGCACGCATGGATCGACAAAGTGTCGGTTGAGTCCGGACCCTGATCGATTAAATGATTAGTATTCATCACAAATGCGCACAGTCTCCATTCAAATGTAGTTACCCAAGTTGAACAAGATAATTCTATTGATAGAGACATCGAGTCTGGGGAAACCACTTGCATCAACTATCTCGGACGGTTACCGGCAACTGATAATTATGCGGCGTGGACGCAACGGTTGCCCTGTTGAGCAACCGATAGCCGTTTAGCGAGGCTGGCACACACAGTATTATGCATATCTGCACTTCTCGGGCTATGCGCGAGAATGTAAAACCCTTATACGGGTTCTGCAGAACCACACCGGTGAATTGCAACCTCGTATACGAAGAAACTCGTATATCTCGAGGATCACGTTCAGTGTCATTCGATCTGTGTGGTTCCCCAATACACAAGGGTGTGGCCTACGAATCATCTTGTGATCCTGACCAATCACGACCCCTACGGCTGTAACGGCGTTTTCTCGTATACAATTTGGAATACTTTGAAGATGCAGAAGAATGTCTAAGCCACCGTGAACTGGAAAATACCCCATTGTTTTTCGCTTGAACGTTCGATCTTTTTCAAAAGAGGGAAACTCTTGCGCCACGTATTCTCTTCCGGGTGAGATACGGGGCAGTCGAAACCGGCATAGATTACGCTTCATATACGAGATCTGGGGGCCACTTCCGCTGATGCCCCGGCTCTGATACATATTATCCACTAGAGATGCCCTTAACGTGAATGCTCTGGTATCAGTATTTTATTCTTGGTCTCGGAATAAAGCCATTTGCCACTGCAAGGCTGCATCCATGAGAGTCTAATCTGCTGACTCATTTGAGCAGTTAATGTTGTCTATTCTCTCAATCGATATTTGTGATTGTATGCCTCAATTTGGACATACACCCAGGACACTGTGTCTTCGCCTTCGAATCCTACACACGTTGGATCACCAAACCTAACAGCATAGCAGTGGCAAAAAGTATATACTCGCGTGCAAAAACAACCACGAAGCCTGCCTAGACACGTACGCTTCCCTGGGTGGAATAGATTCGGACTTCAAACTTTGTGCGGTGGTGCTGTGATTTCACACCAACACGCTGCTCGCGCCGATCTATCTGAGGGTAGAACCTTCATCCCATGGCGTCCCACAAGTAATGCATAAGCAGTTTTCAGGTGATTACTGGATATTTGTCAATTTTGAGAGCAAAATCGAGGATTGACGATCATTTCTGAAAGGCCAGGATTTCCTGCTCGATGGCTTCGCCAAACGACTGTGTGTTGCCCTTCCCACCCATATCGGCGGTGAGGACCGTTTTCTCCGATCGGGAGAGTACATTCTCGATGGCCTTCAGCATTGCCGCTGCGGCCTCTATGTAACCAAAATGCTCCAGCATCATCTGACCAGCCCAGATCATACCGACTGGATTGGCGATGCCTTTGCCTGCAATGTCAGGAGCACTTCCGTGGACTGGTTCGAAGAGACTAGGGAAGTCTCCGGATGGATTGATGTTTCCCGATGGAGCGATACCAATGGTTCCTGTGCATGCTGGTCCCAGGTCTGAAAGGATATCACCAAACAGATTGCTCCCAACGATGACATCGAAGATTTGCGGTCTTGATACGAAGTGCGCGGTTAAGATATCGATGTGATACTTGTCGACTTTAACATCGGTATAGGTCTTGGCCATATTCTCAACCCTCGTATCCCAATAAGGCATTGTGATACTGATGCCGTTGCTCTTAGTTGCGCTGGTTAGGTGCTTCTTTGGTCGACTCTGGGCCAGTTCAAAGGCGTATTTTAGTACCCGATCTACCCCTGTTCTAGTCATGACAGTCTCTTGAATTACTGTTTCCCGTTCTGTACCCTCGAATATCTTGCCTCCTATACTGCTATACTCGCCCTCAGTATTCTCCCTGACAATCCAGAAATCGATGTCGCCTGGTTTCCGTCCCACCAGAGGACACTGAACTCCAGGCATTAATCGAGCTGGCCGTAGATTGATGAATTGGTCGAATTCCCGCCTGAACTTGAGTAAACTTCCCCACAGGCTAACATGGTCCGGAACTTGATCCGGCATGCCAACTGCGCCGAAGTAGATCGCATCAAACTTGGACAATGTGGCATTCCAGTCAGGTGGTAGCATATCACCATGTTTTTGATAGTAGTCACAACTGGCGAAATCAAACTCTTCGAATTCCAGTGACAGATTGTACACTTTGGCCGCAGCTTTAAGGGCTCGAACTCCGTAAGGCATTACCTCCACTCCAATTCCATCACCTGGAACCACGGCGATCTTGAGACTCTTGCGTTCTGACATGATGGATGCGTCTGATTGAATGTGATTGAGTGATGTTGATCCTGATTGGGTTGTAGGTGAACTATTCAGATCGTGATTCTTACTCTGGGGAGTAAATGAATCAAAGACCTTGGGTTTTATGAGATCGACGAAGTGGTCGTGAAGTCAACCATCGGGTAGAAGTGTGACCGAGGGCAATCTTTTGCCCGATGCCTCTTGGTGTTTGTCTGACGACTCATGCTCCACTTCTCCCGTATCCTCCCGAGGTCGACAAATGCCCTTCGACTTGGGACAATGCATCAACGCAGGCCAGAACGGAGTTGGAGAATTCAAGGCATTATCAAGGATGCGACTTTCGCAACTTTGTAATGACTAAGATATCGCCTATCACCCAATGTGGCCGATTGACTTTCTTTTCGCTCGTCTCAACTTCAACGTCTTTCGATATTGCACGATTCCGTTTCATTCTCAGTAAATGAGGACCCAGCAAAACTTTCTCTAGATGTTGGTATGATTCATTACAATACCCTCTCAACACAGTGATGAGTGATTTCAAACATGAAAACTTTTCGACGTTTGCACATGTGTAACATGGCCGGTCCAAGCGCAGTTGCTGCCAGAAGTCCACGTCACCGAAGAACCACCTAGGACATCGCTCTAGCACAATCCCATTCTCACAATTTGATATAAATCCGTGCTGAATCTGCTCCATGCAGCATGAGTCGACATTTGCGGTGAGACAACCATGGCATTAATTTGCTCTTGCCTGATCAAAGCAAGAGCGATGGTTATTATCCAAGAAAGAAATTGAACTGGCCTTCGTCGCAAACTTGCCACTGCCACCGCACAAATCTAGTAAGTGCGATGATCCAAGTATTGAGTCATGAATGGTCACACCTTCCTACTACACTTGGTACTTGCAGTGGCCTATAATGGGTGATCCCACTTGACCGTCGCAATCCTCATTACCGAATTTTATGTGGGCGAGCCATTTTTTATAAACCAAAAACTATGGAAATTCATGTCTTTATCCATATGCTTTCCATGAAGTCGCCTTTGTCTTTTACATCATGCAACATGATCAGACGTTCACTATAATATCAGCTACCAGCCGTGGAACTTTGCAAACAGAGTCGCCTCGGTGTGCTTGACGTCTGATAAATTACCCTGTCTACAGCCCGAACAAAACTATACAAGCGTATCAGCACCAGTAAAACCGTGCTTCAATCGACGCAAAGCATGTTTTCACATCTCACAAACCCCAGGAGCGATGAGCCCGTCGAACCAGTCCACTTTCTCGACCTCCCTCTTGATGTTCGCCACCACATTTACGACTTTTTCACTGGAGAGGCTTTACAATTAGCTAGAAAAGAGCTTGGAGAGCGCTGTTTAAACGACGCTTGGTTGGTCAACGTATTCGAAGGGGATTTTGGCAGGTTGAGAACAGCCCAATCGTCTTTGCTGGTGGTCAATAAGCAAGTGGGGAGAGAATTTCTCAAATTTCGTTGGAAAGGCTCTGAGCTTTGGATAAACGAACTTAGATCGTGTCGGGGACACGGTCAGCCGTCTGTTCATCCTAGAGAATTGGATGATGGACATCGCCGACGCAAGTACTTACCACACATGAATTGGCTTCCCTTGCTTGGCCGGGCTGGGCGTGAGTGCGAGCAACTTGGTCGCTAGTGGCCACTGCCAGATCTATACGCTGCTCTTCCTGGAAAGGTATCCACCGATCTCGAAGAGGAAATCCTTGAAAATGTGCGAGCAGACACCTTGGAATCGATTCGAATCCTCAGATATCACCTTCCAGCCAAATGCAATCCGAGATTTGGAGATGTCCAGGAAAACTTCGCTCAAATGCGAGAGATATCAAGTGTTCTTCGCTGATGGCCTGCTCTTCTCGACTCTCTGCAAGATATCACTCTTTATAAAGACGACAACTTCTTGACTGTACCCCACAAGATATTCCCTTTCAAAGCCGTGGAAGGTTGGGAGGATGCACTGTGGAATCTTGCCACTCGCAAGCCTCTTCAGCGGGATGCAGTGAGACAGTGCTTTCATTCCCATTCATACCGCCAGAGGTTATTGAAGGACTGGCAAGTTGTTCGGGAGGTCGAAGTTCAAACTGATGGGATGGGAAAATACAGTGGTATCAGCTACTGGATCTCCCGGGCGACACTCCGGTTTCGTAGGAATTGGCAGATCGTTCCTCTGGCGACCGTGGCTGGGCAGAATCATTTGCTAATCATTGATAATACGGAAGTAAATCGACAATCTGCAAATATCTGCCTGAGGCAACCAAGACCAAGGACTCCTCTAGGTTTCCCATTCGCAGGCAGATTTTTGAATTACCTTTGTCGGATGCCAGGACCGTGGCCTTCAGCATGGTGCATGGACGGAGATCCATCCTTCGGCACAAGCCTAGCTCAGTTTCCCTGATTTCAGAATGCGGCGACAATACCAGATCTGATAGTCAACATTCCAAAGATGCTGGTAATTTCTTAAAGATGGACGACATTTTCAACGTGCTTAGTTTCACGATGGTTGATCTTGGTTATGTTCGATTGAGACGACTCATTTGAATTGTCTATTAAGCAAAGCTGGAATCTAGACATGCAAGTCTTCGCCAGTCTTGAAAGACGGCCTTTAGGAACGGGGACGGTTGGATGTATCAAGTGGCTTGAACATTCAGAGCTGGGGCCGGGGTTCCAGCCTACGGCTGCCTCAGGTGTGTATGATTGATTATGGCTCCACTCCATGATTCTACATGACTAGGATGTCCACTCGATCGACTGTGCGGATACATCATGCTCGGAGGAATAAGGAAGAGGTAACTTGCCATGGGGCAAACAAGGGTATTGATGCTGGTTGATCCTGAGTAGTTAGCTGTGCAGCCGGTGCAATCATGGCTACCTTCACCCATTCAAGTTGAAATACAAGATTGAGATTATTTATATCTGGTATCCGATGGATTAAACCTTTATTTCTGATTGTAGTTGTTCTTTGTTAAGTGCAACCGGGTCTTAGCTGAAAAGGTAGATGGCAGTGGACCCAAAGGCGGCGAAGACATCTCGAGATTTGACTCCAGGAGAACTCAGCCTTGCCCTGCTGACTGAGCTCACACTATTATTCCAGCCTCACTATCAAACGTTTTCCCCAGTCTCAACATCTAGTTTCAACGCGTAGACCAACGATTGCATGGGCAATTTCATCCGGTAGATGTCCAGGTAATGTGCCCCTCGCTTGGAGCATCGTGATAACGGACACTCCGAACAAGGTTGCCCGAGCCGAGCGGCCACCGCAATGTTTGACGGACACGGGGATTTCCAAAATGAAGGCCTCTCGCGTGGGCCCTGGTCGCAATGAAACGTGGTAGTGTCTGACAGCTCTTGTGGTATCGTGGTATGCGTAACCGGGCAAGGCGGACTCCATGGCCCGGCGACACTGACACTGGCACTGCATATCTGGGCTGAGCGAACTTGGTGAGCCAGACGTACGGCTATTTCGGGTTCGGCCGAACGCACTGCAGATCGTGTACCATCTCATCCGTTGTAAGCCTCGTGCCACCATGTATCGCGGATACCTGGGCACACGGGGCCACGGTGATGGCATCTTCCGTTGTGCGAGCCATCACGATGTTGGTGGGCGAGGGGTCTGGTGCAACAAGATTATATAAGGCACGTTATCAAGTATCGGGGGGATACGCGAGCGTGACCGAGCCCAGATTGGACGCTGTGTGGGAAGGCGAGAAGTTCCAGTGTGCATGGTGGGAGTTCTCTCGTGTTCAGTACAAACGATACTCAGGTATACGCGTTGCAGATCCTGGTTCGAAATGATCCGTAAAGTTTCGTTCAGTGCTAACAGGTATTCGAACTCGAAGTGATTGAGTGGTATCAAGTTTATGATTCGCCGCTGCGTTGTGCCGGAGCTGGAGGTCCACTGAGAGGGAAACATGCTTCGGCAATACGTGGAAACATCAATAATTTTGGAAGGATTATATGTTTCTGGTGCTACCTACTCGTCGACATCGGTGGGTGTAGTGATATCCTTCCAGTCATCAAGCAGCTTGATCGTTGCTTCACACTTGCCCCTGATCACGACGTAGGCATCACTCCCTAGGGCCAGTCTCATCGGGACCTCTTTTCCAGTGGCGCCAGTGAGCACATCGATCATGACCTTGACGCCTTTCTTGGGATCTCCCTTCTGCTTGTTGTCTGCATTGACCAGGAGTTCCTCTCCCCTCCTGACAGCGGTGCCTTCATAGTCCTCAATGACATTGCTAGTGTCCCTAGAGATCTTATTTCCAGGGTTCAAAAAGCTGGACCGGAAGTAACCCGGCTCGACGCAGCAGACCTTGATGTTAAATTCGGCCAGTTCGTTGCTGAGCGTTTCCGAGATACCGCTGACTGCCCATTTCGAGGCACAGTATAACCCGACGCCCGGGGAGCCATTCCATCCGCCAATGCTGGAGAGATTGGCAATCACACCCGATCTCTGAGCGCGGAAATAGGGCAGAAACGCTCTTGTGACGTTTAGAAGACCAAAAACATTGGTCGCGAATTGGACCTGTGCGTCCTCATGTCTAGAGTCGCATTAGTTACCAGATTCTGAACTGAGGAGACATTTGCCGCTCACGTTGTCTCTTCTATGCCTCCAATAAGTGCATAGCCGGCATTGTTGATGAGATAGTCGATGCGTCCATACAGGTTGAACGCCTCCTCAGCCACCTTCTTGATATCATCTGGAGAGGTGGTGACATCGAGTGTCAAAATGTCCGCACCCGCTTGTTTGAGGTCTTGGAGTCTGGAAATGGTGCGAGCAGTGGCGATGACCTTGTCACCTCGATCAAGAGCTTGCCGTGCAAACTCTTTGCCGAAGCCGCTCGAGGTGCCAGTGATGAACCAAACTTTTGGAGTTGCCATTGTGGGTGATCTGCAAGTCGTATGGATTTGTTGACTGCCGACAAGTACCAGCTATTGCTCTGCTTTCCTAGGTTCGCTACTCAACAGGTCAAGAACTATGATGCCGGAGCCTGGCTTTGATCTCTGCAAACCATCCCGGTGCACCTTTATATCCTACTCGACCACATCTGCCAAGCAGATGTTCCCATAACGCGACTGGAGTTTATGTGGACTTAAGCGCGTCGAGCCAGATCTAGTAATAAAAGGGAGCATCCAGCGATTGTAAATGCTTTCAATTGGACGTTGATCATTGTAGTGGTGGCCTTGCATTGAGTTGCTGGGGTTGACTTGACTCGATCGGACGCCGCGGCCGCATTATGAGAATTAGCAGCCAGCCGACTTTAAGAAGCTCTACCCGTACCTCCGTTATGTGGATTCGTATGCCAAGGACAGAGGCGGATTTTCGAGGTTCAGAGACGAATCAGAAATGCTTTCTTATATCCGGTGTGCCAGCTCCTGGATGGACCGAATACCAGGGACCGACCTTATTCAGAGCTGACATAAACGAAAACGTGATGAAGCCGAAACTGGTGATTGTGGAAGCTCAAGTCAAGAGCCTGACCATGGTATTGTCTTCTGCTCTCGCCTAGTTGGATTGTTGGTGGCTTGGAACGTAGAGGGAGGCATACTTCTCTACCCAACACCAACGAATTTAAATGACTAAGGGCGAGTCTCTCATGGGGTTTCATCACCGAAGGATATATCCCACTGCTTTCAATTGGGGGTGTCAAGTGGGCTATTCAATGCAGACACGACATGGGTTGAATGACTTTTGCCGGGTGGAAGCTATCTCTTGCTTGCTCTATGGTTTCCAGTAACCTTTTTGATCAAGAAAAATCCGCAGGGGACCGCCCACAGCTATGCTCAACTAATCTTCGTCATCGAGATCCTCTGTCTCAGCTACGGCAGCACTCGTTTTGCTCTCTGATCCGGCGATTACTTTTGTCTTAACTGCAGGCTCGTCCTCTTCTTGTTCAGCCTCATCGGCATCATCCTCAACGTCGTCTTCATCGTCCTCAATATCATCTTCTTCCTCTCCGTTGCTGACTGCAGGTTTGGATTTCTTGGAGGCAGGCTCGACGGCATCGGTGTCAGCTTTGCGTTTCTTTGGTGCTGGGGCTAATAGTCGTTCTGTTAGCTACTATTTTCATGACTTGGAGAGCGCGTAAAAAAGCCTACCCTCTTCCTCGTCCTCTTCTCCGTTGCCTTCAGCTTCTTCCTCCTCTTCCTCTTCTTCTCCCTCCTCATCGGAGCCTAATTCAGAATCTTCATATCTATTCAGAGGCAAACCGTTAGCGTCACGTCCAAGTACACATCTCTCATGCCCAAGACATTCTCAGGGAAGTACCAGGATTGCGATGTCACGTCTCGGGTAATAGCAGGTTGCTCTGCGTCCGAGACAGCTACTAGAAGGCTCGAAGGGCAACTCTGGCAATACATTGCTGTTCGGAAGGCGCATGACTGCCACTTTATGGGAGAAATCCGCACGAGAGAATACTTACTCCTCTTCTTCCTCGTCATCATCGGATGGGAGGGCTTGAAGCTCTTCTTCTTCCTCCTCGTCATCGGATTCCTGACGTCGCTTTCTAGGAGGTGCCATGTTGTAGAGAAGATGTATAGAATACGACGAAGCAGGGAGCAAAGCTAGGAGAATACAGAACTTGGAAGGGGAAGAGCAAGGAACAAAGTCAAGGGTAAAGAACAAACGAGAAGAGGTGAGTGAGGTTGAGAGTGCGTCCGGCTGAGGACTTGGGGGGAGCTGGGGGACAGGAGACTTGGGGCAAACGTCAGGGCCTCAAAGCTCAGGAGAGGCAAAGAAGCTAGGGCAAGGTCTACGAGTGAAATGCAAGAGAGGTCGTGAGGGCAGCACGACAGATGAGAGGTCAGAGACTAAAAACAATGATGCATCAAGTGGGTAGCCGGCTTAACCCTGGGTACCTAGGTAGGTGCGGATAAGTAGGTTGAGCTTGGGGAGCTGGCGTCAGTCATCAGCAGTCAAAAGGTGTCAAGGAGGGAGAGAGAGGGCAGAGGGCGCAAGAAGGAGATCCGAATTGAAGAGGCTGGGTAGAGAGAAAGAGAGAGACAGACACAAAGTGGGAGGAGGGGAAGGGAAGGGGATCGGAAGGGCAGGCAGGCAAGCAAGGGAAAGGGAAATAGCAAAGGGGCCGAGCTGAAGCTCCAGGGCTGTTTGCACTCCTCAAGCCTAGTGCAAATTACGGGGCACTATGAGTGCCGGAAGTGCTGAATACCCCTCCACCGAGCACTGTGGGAAAAGCTCAGGCCCATGTGTTCCAGGCGCGGGTTTAACTACCTAGAGCCTGGGAGCTTCACACAGCTTAACTAGGCAGTTGGAGGAGTGGGCGCCTCGGGCCAAGCAATGGACAGCCGTGGAAGTTCGGAACTTGGTACTCGGTCGTAGCGATGACGAAGCCCATGGCGATTGCCAAGACTACACAGCACGTGACTAGAGCTTACCGTTCTCGGTTCCTCTCATCCGGACCAAATTCTGGTGTTCTGGTTTCCAACTGATTCCTCTTGTCAACACCACGACAGCCGACCAAGTCTAAAGTTTTCGAATAGAGGGCTCGCTGTTGTACTTCCCAGGCAACACTCAGCCGCCTTACTGCTTAGCCATTGGTCAGTATCTTGCATGGGTGCTCCATCAAAAAAAAGGAGTAGTTTGCAATTCATAAGCCTAATACCCTCACACCATTAGGCACACAAAGCCCTATACAAATAGCAATGTCCGAAAAACATCAAACAGTTGGCCCGACGCAATCTCTTGTTGAAGAGATTCGCGTTCGGCCGGCTGGTCTATCCTGATTCTTTTCTAGCCTGCCGTCCGTTCTGTACCAGTGCTTGTTGACACAATGCATTCTGTCCAATCCACTTGAGGTATGAATCACAGGCATGATTTATTTTGCCCTGGTCTTCAGCACCATATAATAACACCATGGGTTTCTCACTTATCGGCTTCTCCTGATGGGTGATGCAAAGCACCCATCGACACGGGCTTTGTGTACCTCTCATCTGCATTTGTGGCACCGCTCAAAGCAATTTGCTCATGCAGTATTCAGAAATTAGCCATCCATGACGTTCGAACTGCCCACGAACACCACTAATACGGCAGCGAAAGCCGTTGTTGACATAAAGATGTCAGTTCGACGCTGAGCAACGACGCTCATTATTACAGAAAAAACAAGGCTCATCAGGCAAATTGCCGTCAATCGAGCTGCAATGCTTTGGACGCACACAAGCACTAAGATCGACAAGGCAGGTAGCACTGCTGATAACAGCATGCAGATGGTGTTGCCAACTCGCACTAGCATCTCTGGTGTATAGTCCCAAGTGTCGCCGAACTCCTCTGGCATGGATCGATGAATACGCCGTCCCAACATTCGATGGTATAATGGTACCACTTTGTCTCCCAAAAAATTTGCTAGAGGGTCATTGCCACTAGGACTTTTACTCAAAACCATCACATCCGATTCCATGGCTGTGTCTCTGAATATGCCAGCCTCAAGTCCTCGCAAGAAGTCGTCACCGCCGGCTTTATGGTCATACCAGCACTTGCGTAGCTCCAAATCATCATTTTTGGGGCTTTGCAGAGCATTGAGTTGGGTTGTACGCAGTGCAGCCTCTTCTGTCCAACCATTAGTAACATCCCAAGATGCAAGGTTACAGGAAACTCAACGTACGATATTGTCTCATCAATGTGCTCAATCTTTCGAAAACGTCCTCCATATCCATCTGGGACATGTCTTTAGCACAATTGAGCCAACCTCTATCGAAGTGGCCTGTCTTGTCACTCTTTCTAGCCTCATCAATAACCAGCTCAAGGTGCATCAGCTCTGCTTGCATATGCAACATGTTCTCGATGTTCAATGTGGAGAATCTTCTGAACACCTCCTGATTGCGATGGCTAACCATCATTCTGGCCAGGGCACCATATCCTCCGACCATTGTCTCGGTCTTGATGATCAAATGTTTCGGGATCTGGTTTACACAAGAAGGGGCATTCCCGCTTACAGGGTGTACAAACGCAGCAACCTCCCTCTTATATTGTGAATCATGCGGGTCCCCTCTGTCTAACTCTCAGGACCCACTTCGATATCATTGGAGGTTACTATTTTCTACAGATGCATCGCTACCCAAAGGTCATTGCAAGGCGCTCCCCATGTCCTCGGAGCGGCCAAGGAGCGAAGTAACAAACCATTCAATGAGTTTTTCGAAAATTGTCCGATCGGCTCGGTCCAATGCATGATTTCTATAGAGTTTCTCCCACTTCCGCCCGCCTGCATACTCAACATCCGCACTGTTCAACAATCTAGACGCGTTGTTGACATCTGTCAGCACGGAGAGTTCTGATTCCGAGAACGAATATCCGCGGATTAGCGCAGGAAGACCCTCAATCCAACAGATTCTGTTGGGTGAGCAGCTATGAGGCTCACAAACCCAGGACGCCCATTACAGTTGTTCGGCTCACCCCGATGTCTTGTTCTGGAAGATTACACCCTCGATTGCCACGACGTAGTTGCAACGATACTGTTCAGTGCTCCATGAGTTACTGAATACCACCAATTCTCTTCGGGCCGTGTCGGCCTCAAGGTGTAAATCCATGATCTGACGATCGAGGCAAAGATAGGGGCTGAGTGTTATCAGATTTCCTGCTTGACTGTTTTAGCAACAACGTTTCACCCTCAGTATGCGTCTCTCCGGCACTATGTGGATGCTAGAGTGTGACTGAACTACTCTGGAAAGCGACTTTATGGGCACCTCTCTCAATGATCCCGCAAGCCTTGCCAATGGTAAAGTTGATCGACGGGCGGAATGGGATCTTGTTTTATACCTGCCGGAAATGCAGTCGTCTGCGCAGACCATGGATGAAGCTCACGCCATGCTTGGTTCGGAGTCTTACGTTGTGTCATCAACCGGCTGGTCTGTTCAGCAGAGCCCGGTTCGTGCGACCAAATATCCACCCGTACGCTGGAAGCACTGCATCGGGAAGCCAGCTATTAACTGAATGCGTCTCTCAACAGAAAGAGAAGTCGTCGCCATGTGAGATCGAGATCTCGACAGTACAGTGAAAACATCCTCTAAACACGCTGCATTTCTATGTTCTGGGCTGGCTTTTTTCGTGGATCCTCTGTTGTTCATTGACGGGCTTCACCAACAATCCTCCATTTTATCCTGGCCAACTAAACTGATAGATTCGCTCATCGTCCTACCGAAGTTCAGTGAGCATTGCGGCATGAATAATGTCAGACATGGCGGGAAAGGTTGTTTCGTTACAGGAGGAGCCGCCAGAGAGTCGCTTGATTTCTTCAAGGACTTTTCAGAGCTGTACCCAGTTGCTAGACACTCTTTTGATCGTGCCTAGATGGTTGAGGGGGAGGTTGAGTTTTGTACTTGGAGCTGAGCGTTTTGTTCTGCATACATACACCGGAATACCTGCTGCGTTGGCCTCTGGACCCGCTCCGACAAGGCTACCATCGGTTCGCTTGAACATCAACCTCAATTCTCAAGAGTCTCAGAAGCTAGGATTGCGACATCCTCAAACCACTCTTCGGATCGGCCTTCTTGATTCTGGTGCAGGTTGCAATATGATATCCCATCATGCCTGCCCCGCATTGGGCGGATTAATGCGACCGTGTCAAGCATCCGTGCAAGGCATTGCTGGCGATACAGAGCTCTGTGGCTCAGTAATGCTTGATTGGCGGTTTCTTCCTGATGACCAAGAATTGATCGGCTCGTCGAAACTCTACCGCGACGAATTTTTCATCCTACCGCAGTCAGACAAACCTCTTTTCGACTGCATCCTTGGTTGGCCCTGGATTGCTAGGAATTTGGGCGATGTTCAAAAGCTCTTGATCGCGAATGCCGAGGTCATGTTGGGATAATCGGGCCTTGAGACACCGTGGAGCTCGTGAATGCTTCTCCGGCATTTCCGAGCTAATCTCATCAATACCTGAGCGATGACTAACTTGCCGCGGGAGGTTCGAGTGGAAGAGTTGGCATAGAGATACATCTAAAAGGAAGGAACGGATATACATTTACCGACGGACGTCTGTGGGACACCTCATGCCGTGTAGCATTGATGTGGCAGAGACGTTGCTAGTTCAGAATGAACACAACAACAAAGGTTGACCGAAAACCAGAGGTTCTATGGTTACACACATGGCATGGTGGCCGAACACCACAAAATATTTGTGTAGGAGCAAAGCGGTCAATCTGGAATCAAATCATCAAGGTAGAAACACTCGGCGATTTGCGTCATTCTCCTCAGCGTTAGTACTACAACTTGTTCAACGACATCCTTGATTTGCCATCTCTGACACACATCCCACCTCCAAAGCTGATTTGGAATAAATTGGGAACCTTCCCGCCCCGAGCGCCCTATCCGACCGCTCAATCGATCGTGGTCACAGCCTCAAAATATTACAATGGCAAGTGAATACCTCAGCTTGTCAGAGAATATATGAACCTGGTGGTTGGCACCAATGTACCCTCGCCAGCGCATCGGATTTCGATTCGGGCTTGGGCATCAAATATTCAAGGTGATACAAAAAGCCTCATCATCACATCGCTCCTCCTTGTTGGCTAGAAAATCAAATGGCGACAGGGCATGATTCATTCCAATCAAAAGTGTTGAACCAAGGAGGTCAACTCGGGGATTCTTATCGCTCGTGGCAAAGCCGCCGTCCTGAGCTATTTCGACAACCAAACTCAGTCTCGTCGATGGTGAGTTAATGACCTCGGATGACGTCTTCTGCCTTTCGCTGATTGAAACCACGTCTGTGGCTACGTTTTTCGATCTGTTGCTTCTGGTCGTGATCAGCAACACTGATGGACTTGTGTCTAGGCACCAAACACCGCAGCTCGGATCTCAGTTGTTGCCGATGGGCACGACAACATCGTCAAACTACTGAACACCGTATGTGACGGAACGCTACAGAAGTCCTTGATATCAAAATCCCAAGCCTATGCGACAAGAGGAGCTATCCAAGCCAGAGCACCAATTTCCATGATTGACCATGATGGAAGAAAACATACCTCAAGCGCGACAATTGCACTTCGCTGGTTCTACGAAGGTGGACTGCAAACATTTACCGAGACGTTCTACATCGTGGACAAAATTCCCCGACTTGAAGGGGGCGAGTTGGACGCCATGCTTCGCAAAGACGTTGAACGCACCTCGGAGCATTATCCCATCCAGGCACATCCATACGTGCGCAGCCCGCACCGTCCCTCGGACCAGAAAGCCCCAGATCAGAGCGAGGCGCAACTGCGATATATCAAGGAGAAGCAAGCCGAGGCAAAAAGGGTGCAGGATAACAGAGAAAAGAAGCCAGGACCAAAACGTTGAGACAATCAAGGTAACGACAGGAGGCCATGAATATTTTCGGGGCGCATCTATGCGTTTGAGATTGTGAGCAGGTGGTTTTTGTGTTCCGATGTTATATGGTTCAAGATGCGCCATACTGCATACTCTCCTATTTTCTTGCCCGTATCTTTGTCTTGAGTGGATCAATTCTGCCTCCATATCCTCCTCATTAGTCAGATCTACCAGGTAGACACAATACCAATTGCGCACAGCCAGACATGCTAAGTGTGCATGGCACGCGTGCAACGTCCAAGAGAATATCTCGCCGCGTGCGATCATAGACCATGGCAATTCAGTCTCCCCCATCATCCAAGGTCCAAGAACGACGATATGAGCCGAATAGCCAAAACAAGCGAGGAAGGAAACCGACCCCAGATTCCGGATAAAAGGGCTTTTTTGCTGACAAGTATGATTTTTTATCACCGGGGCATTTAAGTTAAGAAATTTAAACATGTCACTTAACCATGTGTTTCTTATGTTGGTTGCTGGGCCGGGAAACCTGGTGAATGCTGCCCGAAATGGCCTTCCAAGACCCTGATTGCGGTAACTTCGGGGGGGCGTTTCAGGGGTTTGGACATGATGATGTCAAGTTCTTGCCGGGGGGCCCCGGGCCGCATGCTTGGGAGGGCGATGTAACTACTTGATTTTGCTTCAAATATTTCTCATGACATGGAGTTCTTGATCAGGTGCTCCTAACAAATACCGGATCATAGTCTATGGAAAGCCACTAGTCATGTCATGATGTGTGAAGAAGGCTGGAAAGCGGTAGGGAGAGAGTAGTTTCTCAGAGTTATGTTTTGTTGGCTTGAAGTATTACATTGTGGTATTCTCGCTAAAATATCATTTCAATCGCTCCTTCTTATCCGCAAACAACACTTGCTTCAACGATTCAATCCTGCATCTCAAGCCTGTCCACCATTAACACGGATGGTCTGACCCGACACCCACTTAGCACCATCTCCAGCGAGGAAGACAATCGCGTCGGCCACTTCTTCGGGTGTACCAATGCGGTTATTGGGATTCAGACTCGCAATCATCTTCAAGACCTGCTCGCTCTTTCCCTCGAAGAACAATTCCGTGCCTGTAGGTCCTGGGGCAACGGCGTTGACTCGGATGCCTTTCTTCGCTTGCAAGTCCTTTGACATGACTCGGACCATCTGATCAATAGCACCCTTGGTCGCACAGTAGAGCGTATATGGCGCAGAGACGGTAGATGCGAAATTCTGGGTCGTCGAGATCAAGATAATGGAACCGCCGCGAGGGATATGTGGCAAGGCCTTCTGCACGAGGAAATACGGCCCTTTGACGTTCAGTGCAAACGTGCGGTCGAAATCTGCCTCGCTGGTCGACTCCACGTCTTTCATAGGGAGGATCCCGGCATTGGGGATGAGGATGTCGATCTTGCCGTACTTCTCGACCGTTGCTTTTACCAATTGTTCGACGCCGCTGAGGGTTCCCGCATCTGCTTGCACGGCGTATGCCTTATCGGTTCCAAGTGTCTTGACCAGCTTCTCTGCGGCGGCAGAGTCGCGTCCGTAGTTGATAACCACTTTTGCGCCTAGGTTGACGAGGGCTGTGGCGGTAGCTGCACCGATGCCTTTCGACCCACCGGTCACGACGGCTACCTTGTCTTGTAGAGGTGATGAAGACATTGCTGTGACCGGTCTAAAATTGTGAGGGAGATCTGGAATGTCTTGTGCAGAACTCTTGTGCCTTTGATTGTGTAGTATGCTTCTTAGTAGTTGTTTGAGTTTCATAAACCTTGCAGGGAGGCTGTTGTCGTTTTACAAACTACTGAGTATTCTCGAGTCAAGCAGCCTGATATAAATACGCCATGAACTTGGGTCGTGCATAGTATATCATCCCAGAGCTCATAGTGTCGAGCCACATGTTAATACCGATAAACCCCGCCTACAACCTGACGGTCAAAAGAATCGACTCTAGAAGGCCTAAAGCCATGTCCGCATGGCAGATCGCATGAGATCATGCTGCTATTTGTCGGTTCGACATCAAACTACTGCAAGGATGGACAAAAGGACGGAGTTGCCGGTACCACGCGCGGCTTCGACAAACAGAGGCGTCTGCTAGGGGGTTCGGACCTTTGCCCTGGAGATAGATCTTCACGCCAAGGACTTTGACAGAAGAGGAAGTTTTGGAAGTCCGAACGCTGGATTTAAAAGTGTCGCATCTGTGGGCTTCGATGTTAACGGGTGAGCATCGGGATCTTGGAGGAGAATGACGTCACATTCCTAGGGCTCACCTTTGAAGCCATCAATATCGAACGAGGAATGTCACGATCTGCAGAGGCAGGTGGCCATCAAACTGGATTCACGACATAAATAGAGGTAAGGAATTCCCAGTGGCACAGTCTCTCGCATATCATAGCCCCCTTATAACGGCAGTATGAGGGTACACTGACCATCTAAAGACAAGCGGGCTTGCTGCTCTCTAGTTTCGGACGAAGATGCAGCCTGGTAGAAGAAATAGTTGTTCTGCCAAGTACTTAGCATAATGACATAGCACCTTGGATCCTCATGCCTGAGGGATGAAAATTAGGGAGATCAGAAGTGCCTGGTGTGCTAGGAATTCATCCCCAGATGTCTTCAATACGTTCTTGTGTCAGCAAAGTACCTGAGGCTTTTTTGAATAGTAATCACGGACTGCCAAGTCAACTAGCTCAATGGTTTGATTTCTTTCCAATTGTTCACTATGGCGAACTACACCTGATGGTATTGGCAACTAAGACTGAAAGCAATCCCGCATACTAATCAAACATGGCGTTTGCACTGGAGCAAGCCTCAGTCTCGTTGAGTATTGAGATGTTAGGTCATAATCAAGCTCGTGGCATTGACGAGCTTTGGGCGGGCATATCTGACATCAAGGAGAGACGGAAGCTGCAGAACAGACTCAATAGAAGAGCTTATAGTACGTTTTACGACTAGTCTGCTGAGTATAGCAGAGGAGATAACTAAACAATCCCAGGAAAGCGCCAGTCCGAGTTGAAGAGTCAAGGAAAGCATGAAGCGGAATCTTCATCCACGGATAGTACTATGGGCCATCGGACCAAGAGGCGCAAGATCCCAGGTTCGCACGTGTTTTCGCTAGACGGCGAGCAATCAAACCACAAGTCGGGACACATCATGCTCAGTGAACTTATCAGGTCTTCGAAACTGTCGTTCCACAGCCCAGACTCGAATGGGGATAGGGCATCATATGCCTCCCAGGAAACCATGTTTCAGGATCTCAACATTGACGGACAGTACGAGGCGTTCCAATCCACAATTCAGCAGTCGCTGCTCAGCCCTGAGCAATTCGACAATCTCATCAACCCCGCCGTGAACGATGATGAATCCAACAGCGCACTTCTGGAGGCTCGTTTGAATAGCACTATCAACGCCGGCCCATCTACTTACCTGGGATCTGATCACCTTATAACTCTGATCTATTATAACGTTTTCCGAGGACTGAGCAAGAATATCCAGGCACTGAAACTGGATCTGAACTTGATGCGTCGGAAAGATTACCAGTCGCCCTTCATAACAGGCGACTATGATTTGTCGACATTGGCACCCGATTTTCACCCTACCTTGATACAGCGGACTTTCCCCCATCATCCTTGTTTTGACATATTCCCGGATGCTGTTGTTCGGGACAATGCAATCAAGAATTGGGCGACGGATCTGCCATATGGCTACCTGTGCACAACCCTGGCTGGGAGAAGAAATTGGCATGAGATAGAACTTCCAGCAAGACACAGCTGTGTCTTGTGGGGTGATGCTGACAATGCAGATAATTGGGAGGTCACTGAAGCCTTTGCAAGTCGTTGGCCTTATCTTGTTCAGGGAGCATACCGACTGGAAGCTGCAACGAACAAGTGGCGGGCACTCCGAGGGGAGCGACCGATTTCGTTTGCATGAAGGGTTATACTGTTGGGCATGCGTGAAACACGGCATGAGGTAGGGCATCAATATTGGCCTCATAGACAAGAGAGAAGGAACGTTAAGCCGGAATAACGTTCTTGCCAGCCGGAGAAGTGACTGTTGTTATCTAAGGTGAGCTGCCATGTAGGCACTGTTGTAGGAGGAGTTCCGATGGCTTCTAGCAAGCGCGAGGTCCAATCGTCAGCACTGGTATGCTATGCAAGCAACACCGCAAATAGACTTCTAGGTTGGGTTACGGCGACAAATCAATGCCAACTCCCCAAGTCGAGTTCTTGATCAGGCTCGGGAGAAGCCCTCTAGTCTTCCTGATCACACAACCGCTGCCATGGTCCGAGGGCGGGATATCGAGATTTCGGAGACGTGTTGAAGCCAAGAACCCTGGTTGTGGCTTCAGTCAAACGATCCTTCAAACGCAGAGAACGGTAGCTAGTCAGATAGAGCATACCGATCGCATTGACGAGCAACTGATAGCTACCTACAGATCAACTGTGCAACGTGACTAATTTGCTGATGACAATTGTAAATTTGCTGTGCAATGTTTTTCCAGAAAGAGGGTGAACAAGCGGATAATCTTCGGAAGTACACGTGACTCGAATTCTCCAAATACTCAATCTGCCACCTGGCAGGCTGGCAGTGACCAAAATCCAAGCAGTGCAGGCATTGAGTATCAACACGACTCGGCATTCAACTAGTCCTTGATTCTGACTTCATCTTCTCACAGTATGCTGAGCAACTGTTGGAAGTTATAACCATACCAATAAATGTGATTCAGCATCACAAATACCGACAAAATGCTGCCATTCCTCGCACCCTACCTCGCCAATCCACGGCAATCACTCTCACAAGTCCTCAATTTCGCCCTGGTTCTTTCTACTGCATTCATGCTATGGAAGTCACTCTCGGTCATCGCAGATTCCCCCTCGCCGATTGTGGTGGTTCTTAGTGGTTCTATGGAGCCTGCGTTTCAGCGAGGCGATCTACTGTTTCTCTGGAACCGAGACAAAACTGCGGAAGTGGGTGAAATCGTGGTCTACAATGTCAAGGGGAAGAACATACCTATCGTGCATAGGGTTGTGAGAAGCTATTCTCCTGCCGTTCCATTCGAGGCAGACAAGAGGTAAGAGTTCTTGCGATAAGCAGGGTGTTTGATGAGACATATCGAGGCAAACACTGACATGAGGGCACGCTTCTAGCGGAAAACTATCCAGAGCTTCTCCGAAACTGTTGACAAAAGGTGACAACAACATAGCCGACGACACGGAACTCTACGCGCGAGGCCAGAGTTATTTGGATCGACATGAGGACATCATTGGCAGCGTGAGAGGCTACGTACCGGCTGTTGGATATGTGACAATTATGCTCAGTGAGCATCCGTGGCTAAAAACGGTCATGCTGGGTCTGATGGGTCTGATGGTCATTTTGCAGAGGGAATGAGCAGTTGAGCTTCAACTTGAGGAACTCATGCCACGTCAATGATCCAACACTCACGCATCAATCAAGTGGAGAGGGAAGGCAAATCCCTTGATCTTGAAGCGTGCAATGAAACATGTTCTGCATTCAAGGTGTCCATCTATAAATCTTTCGTATATTTACCCTCCGGGCACGTTGCGTCATTAGTGAGCGAACATAAAGCGAGCGGATCACCTGACGAGCTCAGGATGAAAATCGGTATTAGCGGAAGGAGCACATCCCAGGAGTGAAGGAGGATCATGATGACTGCATCATTTCTTTCATTTTGTGCTCCGCGAGAACACCCAACCTCTTCCTCCAGGATGAAAACGTGTTCGGGCATCGTGTACTTCTCGTTATACGAACATTTACAGCAGGAGATTTCCGATCCTTTGCAGAACTCTAAGTCCCATGCCCAGGGATGATTTCAGCCCCCGTGGTACGGATTGGTTTTAGGCCCAATAGCACCTCCGCGCGTGCAGGAACCGCAACTAAAAGGAGGTCCCATTGCCGGGGTACTCGATAAGTCTTGAGCCTCCTTCAGCCCTGGCACCGGTTACATGGGTAGGTTCACCGTTGGTTGGACAGACACCAGAAGGATGTAATCCACAATTGGCCCCAAAATGGTTGTTGGCAGGCCCGCGCTTTGAAGCCTGAGTCCGTATCGCCCACGAAAGCAACAAAAAGCCCTTTTTGATTCGAATACCCCTGTTACTTCATGGCCAGCAGGTGTGCATCACTGGACCGCTAGCCAAGAGCAAACCCCTGTGTACACGATGGTTTCCTATAATCAGCGATGCCTACGATGGATAGGCTTCTATTGGCGCCATAAGGTTAATGCCCAGGTCGCTTGGGTGGTTCAGCTGAACTTCTTAACGGACCACTGACCAGGTTGACGGAGTCTGCCCTCGAACGGCAAGTGTTCCAGTTGTGTCTTCGAACCTCACCAATCCCCAAGACATCGCGGTTTGTCTTTCTTCATCCTAACTGGAACCCCCACGATCTCTTTTTGAGAGAGAGCATGATTTGATCAAGCCTATCCTCTGTTGTTCTGGTTAAAACAATCAAAGGTTCGCTCTTCGCTAAGGGGAATGAACTACTACCCATAATAACAAGTGCCTAAGCTTGGTCATCCGCCTCCCCTACCTCGTCCTCCCTCACATTAAGTTGGGACCTGGCCTTGTGGACACGCTAAATCCGCTGTCATCATCCAATTTGGGTCCGCAAGCCTAGACCTTAGTTAGACCCGCTGTGCCCGGGCTTATCTTGCTTCAACCACGCCTTCTTCAAACCTCAACTTCTTTCTTGAAGTTTCGAATCAACATATGGTGATATCTTGAGTGTTCAATCGCTAACGTCGTCGCTTTCAACCTCACTCATTTCAACACGATCTGCGAGATTACGCGATCAAATCGATAAGTCGAACCGGTGCTGTGCATTGCCGCAATCGACCAAATCCGCAGAGCCAAGTTTAGGTTAAGCCCCATTAAAAGTCCGGTTATGCTTACCTGAATTCTGCCATTCCACGGTTTTCATGTCAACAGGCGGGACCCGATCAACGGAAACCATCTTGAATCTCTAACCACTTCAACCAAGCCTTCTCAGCATGTCGATTTGTACACCTATCATTAATCCAGATATTGTGACCACTAGGTGACAAGGATCCAATTAAAACTGTACTTGTTGTGTCGGTGATGGTGCAGCCGCAGCGTCCGACCATGGACGACAAGGAAATTCCCTCAATGCGACCGTTATCGGCTGCCACATTCGACGACAATGTAGGACTACTTAGTCATGATGAATCCTCTGGGCTAAGGATGACGACGGCAATTTCACCACCTGCATACTACCGTGGCGTTCATTCTCGGGGAAATTCATCAATCGACATTGGTCAAAATCCTTTTGATGATGTGATAGAGCCACCTACTCCCCAAAAGGAGCATAAAGGATTCCCTGGCCCCTCGTCAGCCACCTCAATGCTGAGGAAACTCACAACCAAAGTCAATCCAATGGCAAGAGCACAATTTCGAACAGTGAAAAGGAACCAAGGGCGACAGTACGCAACGTTAGACGAAGGGGAGGAGGATGTCGGAACCCCTGGTGTGGATCTCTCGTCTCTTGAAGGCCTCGGCTGGGAGCTTACAGACATGTCGGGACACGAAGACCCCAAGGCGAATCTACAGGATCAACAGACGGAGTATGCGCCCTCAAAACCACAGAGTGGAAAACCTGGATTTCGAGACTTTGTCGACAAGAGGAGATCCGTCGGTGAAGGAATGAGAGATATCGGTGTCCAGCTCCGACGAGATCCAACGAAACTGATTCGGAGGAGTTCCGCACAGCGAAATGGTCACAGCTCGGGAATTGACCGAACCAAAACCGTACGCGAGTTTGGCAAGAACCTCGCTCAAGAAAAGAATATGATCGTCGAAGTAGAAGAGCCTGTCGACCTCAGTTCTCTGGAAGGCGGCCAGCCAGATAATCGGGCCAGCACATTTTTCGATAGCATGACTCCGAGAAGTAGTGTGGTGCCACAAGAGACGAAGAGTTACTTCTTCCCCGAAGATCCAGATATTCCGAATTGGAAACCATGGTCGATGAGTGCTGGATATATTCTGGCCTTGACGGCGCTTGCACTTGGTCTCGCAGGCTTTCAGGAGTATTTGTGTCAAAAGTCGATTAAAGAGGCGAGAAATGGCGGTGGGATCCTGGCATTCAACAGGGTCGCTGATATATCGACCTGGGACTTTTTCGCCTGGAAATGTGAGTTTTGAGTTGTTTGTTGCATAAGTGAGGGATTTACTGACACAAGAACAGATCTTCCAACGATGATCGCAATTGTTTTCGCTGTCCTATTCTCCATTATGGACTTTGACATCCGTCGCCTCGAACCATTTTATCAGCTCTCCCAACCTGGTGGTGCAAAAGCATCATCCAGTTTGAATCTGGATCACCTGACCATGTTCCAGTACTTTGTTCCCTTCAAAGCTTTCCGGTTGAAGCAATGGGCGGTGTTATTCTCTACCACAGGCAACATTATCGCATCAATGGTTGCTCCGGCTCTGCAAAATCCATCGATCCAGTTCGACAGTAACCCCAAATGTGATCCGAACGGCTGTCCAACACCAGAAGATAACCGGTACTGGGTACGAGTTTCAAGCGTCTATTCTCGCCTACTCTCAGCCAGTTATGTCGTGATTGCCTTAATCCTCGTGATTCTGTTCATTCAATTACGACGGAAGTCTGGCTTGCTGAGTGACCCCAAAGGCATCGCCGGAATCGCATCCATGGCTACCAAATCACATATTTTGCAGGATTTCGCAGCAATGGACGAGGCCAATCTTGGTCAAATTCACAAGCGGCTACAGCATCGACGATATGTGTTGTACAAATCATCTGTTTGGCAGGGTGAATGGTCGTCGGCCAACGAAGCGTTCCAGGACAGTGAACGAAAACTGACGAGTCCCCACCCAATGATGCTGCGGACAAGCGCGGCAATCCCTTTTTTACTCTTCATGGGCTTTTGCCTGGCAGCAGTACCTCTAATAACATTAACACCAGCACGAATAGTTCCAAACAGTGCACCCTGGCTTCCTATCGTGGTTGCCACGGCGCTGAAACTATTCTTCAGTACTTTCGAGGCCGACGTGCGACTTATGGAACCGTTTTTCATCCTGTCCGAGGGCAATGCGCCCCCGCAGAACAGTCTAACATTGGATTATCAATCTTCAGTGTATGGGATCATGCCATTCAAGGCATTGTTCAACAAACACTACTTGGTGGCACTAGTGGGATTTTCATCCGTCTTGTTAGATATCCTGACCGTCACGGTCAGTTCCTTCTCCGTGGACTCACAGGATTTCATGCATTTGAAAGTAAACAAAGATCTCTCCCAGGGCGATGAGACTTATATATCTTTCTGGGTATCGCTCATTCTCTCGATGACGATACTGGCATTCGTCATCTTCGTCACGACATTGGTATACATCAGGCGACGACATCCATTCCTTCCTCGCGAACCTTCGACCATCGCCGCCGTCCTGGCATTCATCTACGCGAGTAACATGTTGACCGATTTCATCGACACAGAAACGCTGAACAACAAGCAAATGGAGACCAGGCTGAAGACGCTGGGCAAAACATATGGCTTGGGGTGGTTTCGAGGCCGTGATGGGAAAGTCCATTGTGCGATTGACGAGGAGCCGATGAAGAGCAGATACGTCCACGGCAAGTCGTATGCAATGGCACAGGCCGGGCCGTTACAACCTGCCGAAACGTTTTATGCTGTCTAGATGCCATCATGTTGGGTTTTCAAGCCTGGGGTTTTCTTGAGCGCAGGCGATAATTAATGCCGGAAATGGATTTTCACGAAAGGGGATCTTGCAATGCAAACTAGCAGTACAGAATATAGCCGTTAGAAGGCTGAGATTTTTATGAGGGCAATGCAAATGTCAAACCAGCCTTCCAGCCGACCGTTCTCCGAGTGACCGCGCCCGCTGCATTTCGGCCGCCGACGTCAGAAGCACATGCCAAGGAGAACCGAGTTTCGCCTTCAAGGTTTTTACCCAAGCGCGTCGAGCGTGCCACTGGCTGATAGACGGCCTAGAACTGCTCTGCCTGCTACCAAATCAAGGAAATCAGACCCCATTGTTCCCGGGAAGAGTACCTTCTGAATAAGGCATTATAGGCGACGATTAACGAGCTGATACGATTGGATGAAATCTATGGACATGCTGGTGACCGATCATTGGGGGCGATGAAGATGATAAGCAAGAGGGTCGATTATGATGGATACAGGTCCCTGAAACTCGAGTGGGCGGAATTAACCACCAGATGTTCCGAGGCCGTTGAAATTGAGACATGAACTTGAAATGCAGGAGCACATGTCTAGTTAAAAGTGGCAGTGGCAGCCACCATCGGGCGATTGTCGAATGTGGCACATCGCTCCCCCAGCTCCTTCCCAAGACGATTGCCCATGACGTAAACATCCCCACCTACCGACAATATCATTTCATATCCCTGACTTCGTCCACAACGTCCATTTTCTCCAGTTGCGTAATTGATCCTTGGCTACCAGGTGTATCATCTACTAACATCTAACCATCATTCAGGAACAGCTTCCTGGTCTCGAAAAGCCATCCAGGCCAACCTCCTTGATATAGGCCAATTTCTCTCTGGATGCTTCTTGCTGTATAAACAATGCCTACGCCCGGCTATGTCTTCCGTGATGGAGGTACCACCCCGCCTGCAGAAGAAAACCCAAATTCAGAGTTTCGGAAAAGAATCACCCAGGCCACCAAACCCGTGACTGCTACATCGAAAGCGCCCCTGGGTCAGAACACCTCGACTTCTCATCAGCTGGCAACTGGCGACCATGATATCCTGGGCGCTGCCCAAAGGGCCGGTAAGGACGATCGAATAACAAATCTTGGATGGCAAGCCAATGCTGTCGGTGTAGATACCTTGGTGGGCGGCCTGCCGAATGATGAATTGTGGACGTTGATCAGGAGGTTCAATAAGGCAAGTGATCTCTGCTCATAGGATAGTGAAACTGTTCATTGGCCACACGCTGACATCGCTGGCAGCAAATGTATCATGTGAAGCAGATACCGGTGGCTCCTCCTGGCGGATTGGATCTCAATATCGCCGACGAGGATGACTTTTCCCCGGATAAACTTCGCTCTAACATGGAACGACTTTACATGACCGTAGTCGTTGGACTAATCGGTGCTGCGAAGCATATTGCGAGGCTGAGATCCTGGCGTGAGCCTGGCCGTTCAGCTGGATTTGCAGCAACCTACTTCCTTGCTTGGATATTCAACATGATCATGCCAACATTGTTTATCACCATTATTGTACTCATCACCGTGCCCAAGTCTCGTGGCATTCTCTTCCCATCTGCCCCTCTTGCTCTGGTCAGTCACAAGACTGGAGGAATTCAGAAACCCAAAGCTGGAGTACTTGGTAGCCACGACAGTGTCACAGGAGCCCCAGAAAAGTACAAGGGTGAAGCTGTGGAACAGGAGGCTAGCAATCTCGTTTCTGGTATTGCTTCAGTTGCCATTTCCAGTGCCGCGGGTCGTCATGACCAAGCAGCACCTGACGAGGAAGGTGGCAGTAAGACCTTGGACAAAGGAGTCCCCGATCCGACAAAGCTTGCTACGAGCGCTGCTGATGCATCATCTTCCGCCCAAGGTGGAGAAGGGAGCCATGACAAGACCAAGCAACCCATGGAGGAAGCCCTATGGAAACAAATGCGCCCAACCATGCACATCATTGGGGACATCGCTGATGGCTGGGAACGATTCGCCAATGCCCTTTCGCCAACACCACCATTCTCTGATCACAAAAGACTACAACTCGGTGCCATATTTGCCCCACTGCTGTTGATCTCCCTCATTACCAAGCCACAATGGGTCATGAAGGGTTCGACACTCCTTGGTGGTATTGCGTTCTTTACCGACCCTCTGATGCAGAGAGGAATTGCATTGTTGAATGAGAAGATCCCCGACTGGCCCAAATATCTCGAAATCCGCAACACACTATTGAAGGGTGTCCCAACTAATGCGCAACTTACTGTTACATTACTAAGAATCGGAGAAGCTAACCGGGCACCACTCCCACCACCTCCGCAATCTCATCAGCCACCACTCGATGAGCCAGCCGAATTGGACAAAGATTCTGTCACCGGTAATGGATTAGATGCGACACATTCGGAAATTGACGAAGTAATAACGGCTGACGAGCCGACAGTTGGTGAAGTAGCACAGCAGGAAGAAGGTACACCTAAGAAGAAGAGTGGTGTCGGGGCTAAAATCATATCTGCATTGAAGCACACCACTGCAGGTGGTGTAGAAACCAAGTTGGCAGCTGATTCGGCCAAGGCAACATTAGGTTCACACCACGCAAAGGAGAAGTTGGGCATCCTACCCTCGAAACAAGAGCAGAGAGAAAAGCCAGTGGAAGGACCTGTCGAATTCAAAGCACGATACAACGGACGTAAAGGTGCCGTCTATGTGGACAGTTCCGTCTCTCCACCCAGCGGCAACAGACCTGCCTCGCCATGCGTCTACTTCACGCGTCATCTGGACAACAATGAGATCGTTGAGAGCATGCCATCGGACCCTGAATGGGCCGTCGCCATCGCAGATATTGTGGAAGCCAAGAAAATCGGCGGTCTGGGCTGGAAGGGCAAGATTGTCGTGGGTTGGTCTACCAGTCGAGAGGTCAAAGATGGGTTGGAGTTGGTCACTAGGGATGGAAGGGTGTTGCGTGCGATGGCTATCAAGGAGCGTGATGAGCTCTTCAATCGTATTATCGCCATGGGTCAACAGGTCTGGGAGAGCTATTGATCTTACAGCTCGTGGCTATGGCTTTGTGTCAAGGAAGATGACTTGAATGGCGATACACGACTTGACGAGTCCGTGCTAGGCATGATGAAGTATTAAGTAACAAATTTAACCCGGTTTCCTCGTCGTTCTTTGGTTGGCATGGCATACTTGGTAAAAAAAAGGTACAGCACCGGATAGCATTGCACACATACATTATTTATCAGATCCGGAAACGAGGCACGATTACTTATCGGAACAATTTTGAAGCAAGAATTTCGTTTGGAGAATACATGTTAGTATTAGTATTAGTATTAAACCCTCAACAAAGGGACATGGCATCAAAGTACTCGAGCTAATATCAAGCAAAGCACAAGCGCAAATATACAAGGTGCACCCACAAGACTCAATGGTGGTGGTGCGCAAGACGGCGCTGCTCGAGACCCGCTCGTCGTCGCTCATCTTCGACCGCCGATCAGATCTTCGTCTCCACAAAGTCCGGGGAGAACGGAGTGCGGCAAAAGGGGCAATCCAGCTTGAAACCGTCTTCATCTCCGTTGACCCACTGGTCAAGACACTCGGCGTGGAAGCCATTCTGGCAATCCCGGCAGAAGACGGGCTTCGGCAGCGCGTTGTCTTCGCTGTCCAACGCGTCCCAAAAGTCGATGTTGGCCTGCTTGATGCAGCTGAAGGTGCATTCCTTTGTGTAGTTATATCGCAGGACTGGCGTTGGAGGTGAGATTGGAGTGCTGTCGGTCCCCAGGTCCGGTCGCCAGAAAACTCTGGCGACATCCTCCATGATTCCTCGCAGTTTCGTTGTTGCGACTCCTTGCAATGGCCAGAGTCCCGCGGCCATGTACTTGAAAATACCTCCAAGGCGAGTCTGGCTCGAAGGATTGTTAATGGATACAACCGGCACCAATTCTTGATCTGGTACGGGTTGCTCCTCCACCAAGTCATCTGAGGGGCCCACGTACAGGTCCTCCGTGCAAATTGGACAGTCCACACCTGTTGCTGGAATGTCGGACAACCTGCTGATAACTTTTCCGTTGAGGTCCGGCAGGAATATCAAAGTCTCTTCGTATAAGCGGCTTTTCTGCCTGGTCGCGTTGAAAGTGTTCTCGAAATCGAGCTTGAGCCAGGGATGCCGGGAGCAGAATTTGGCCAGTTTTCGACCGAGTTGTTGATCCCACCGCTTCAGTCGCACTTCGAGTTCAACCGCTTGATTGTTGCGGCCTTCCACTCGTATATGTGCGACATGGTTGGCCGCCATCATCCTATTGATGATCAATCGGATTGCCAGGGTGTGCACCTGGAGGCACATATTCAAAAACTTTTCTTTTGAATTTGCACAATATCGGCCTCTCAACTGGAGTTGTGCATTTGTGTATTGTGTTCGCAGTCGGAACAGATAACCATACGAAGATGATGGATCTCTGTTCGAACTTACGAGATATTTATCCATGCTGACTTCATTCTTGGCTGGGACCCACATAGTATGGTCGCCGAACGCTTTGCCGAGTCTGTCGTGGGATCTTGAGAGCCCTATCGTCAGGGCTCGTAAGCATTGGGCTCGATACGCCGCATCTTCTGGAGCTGTGCTGGCCGTCAAAGGCGACCGTGCTTGACCGATGCTGAACTCCCAGCTGTCTCCAGACTCAATGAGGGTTCCGTCGAGAGCCGGTGGATCTGGAATAACCTTGATATCGAAGGACTCGACATTTGAAACGGCCTGGACACTCATCTTGGCTGGCTATCGATGGGTTTTGATTGTAATCAGTTTTCAAATTATTCGAAGTGTTTTGCTGTAGCTTTGAGATATTCGAAAGGCTTTGCTGTACAACCAAGGTAAGTGTTTATCAGTCAGTAGTATTGATGATAATTCTTCTGCTGGATATTTCAGGTCTCGAGGGTGTATATATATGCATATAGAGATGTGGCACGTAATGGGCGCTGCCTATGAACAACGCGACTGTTGTTATCTCGTGCATCAAAGGAAGTGACAAAGAAGTCGTGAAGATTCATTGCTGGGGGTTGGACAAACGGTCATTGTCGTGAATTAATGGACAGAATCCTTGGGCCTTTCACCACTAAACGATGCCAGGAGCTGGCCCTTCGCTGTCGGAGGCAGGGACTTCGACATCACGGATCTTCTAGAAAGCTCTGAAAATTCACGACTAATAGCTTAAAGTGAAAGATTAGCTGTGGGTTACTTCAAGTTTGTCGTCAGTGGTCGAGGTGTCGTGTGTAAGATACATGTGGTGGGAGGCACAGACTGGGGATTATAGAAAATGATGGATAAAGAAAACTGTTATTGTGATATTACATACCTGGATTGAATTTGCAGCCCTAGATCCTTCTGCTGCTCGTCGAAGGCTGGCAGACATAGGAGTCTACTCGTGAAGATTGTCACGCATTAATGACACAGGATCTGGGATAGCAGACTTGTTCTCAGCACCTGTTGATAGTTTAGAAAACCTGGCCAGGTTCCAAGGAGAAATAAAATGATTTTTGGCACTTTGCAACAGGGGAAATGAACATACTTCTCCATGTCGTAGGATTGGACCAGCCAACGCCTCTTCGTTGGGAAGAGAATCAAAGTTATAGTTAACGATCACTCGTTCTTGAGTTGCACCTTCGATTCTGCGTGTTTGATTGTGCTTTGCTCGTTTCGCTTTCGGTGTCGTTCAGCCTGGAGTGCCGGTAGAAGAGTACCCTGTACAAATGCGCGATCCAGATTTGTTTGGCAAAAGGGACAGGAGCGAGATCTTGCTCGTCGCCCGCGCAGCCACTCCCAGAGGCATGTAACGTGAAAACCCTTTCTGCATGTTGGGCAGAACACTGGTCGAGGAGGAATGGCAACAGTCGTGTTGCTCAGAACCCACCAGTCGCCTGCAGTCTCTTTGCAAGTGTCTTCACAGGTCGGAACATATCTGGGGAAACCAGGGGTTGTGGAAGGGGCTTTTGTCGTAGTGGTGGGGGTCGAAACCCAGAGATTGATAGCCACTGTTTGTATAAAGTTTACAACTGAGTCTCGCAGTCCAGTGCTTGCTGGAGCTGAGTGTTCTGCAGGCATTTCTACCTTTTCGAGCTTGTAGAAATCGTCTGGGACACTCTCGTACAGATCCATCGAGCAGATTGGACAATCTATACCAGTTCCACTTTCTGTTCCACATGTCGCTGGAGTGGCATGATGGTGGTCTTCCTTCTTCGTGCCCGTGAGCGAATGAACCAAAGAGATTGCTCGTTGGAGTCGGTTCGGCTCGATCATGGGAATAGTAGAAGGCATTCGATCATCAACGATGTGCTGAACGGGATCGACCAACTTGAGCCAGTCTTTGTCTGACATTGCGAGAAAGGAGGTAATTCTCTCCATAACAAGTTCTGAATTTGATCGAGGAGGCAAGGGCTTTGTGAATGCTACCTCCAAATTGAGCCTTTGCCATTCATGAGATCGGCAAAAGGTTTTATACTTACGCTGCAACAACAGTGTCCACGCTTGTCGTTCAATTTCGGCATCTGTGGACTCATTTTCTCGTCCTGCGACCCACAGCAGCATGCTCGATATATCATGCATAATCTTGCCCCAGGTGAGGTTGGCTGCAAGGAGATTGATTTTGATGCAAGTGTTCAAGAATCGGTCTTTTTCGGAAAGCCCAGGATTTTGGCACAACTCCTCGATTCCGAGACATGCTTCTTCGTACTTCATACGTCTATCTGCAAAGTAGCCAAGTAGAGTCTGTTGGCCCCGGATCCAGTCGACGATAGACGAGTCCAGGGCTGTAAGGTCCGAATCTCGTATAGTTCTGATCTCACTTGTGGAGCTTTGACTTAGTTTGTCCGATGAGATAGACAAACCTTGGGCCAAGGCTTCGAGACATCTAATCCTAGAAGCAGCATCAGTTGGGCGTGTTTTAGCTTTGAATAGTGAGTAATGGGAGCCCACCTTGAATTTCCATTCCCTTCCAGACTCCTCCAAATGCCCAACGATAAGCGGTGGTGGAAGCCTCATTTTGAGATTTGGTAGTGGTTGAAAGTTTCTGGGCGGATGAATTACAGGGTAGAAGAAGATTTGGAAGGACTTATCCAGCCTTATATGCTGATACCCCTTGAAATGGCTTGGCGAGAGATCTTCCAAGACAAAGAACAAGAAAAGCCTAAGTGATTCAGACAAAGCAAGGACGAAGGGAATATTTGTCTTTGGCAACAAAGGCAGCGTTCTTTATTACCCTACGGTTTTGGATTAATGGAACGTGGCTTCGTCCAGCTCGATGTTGGTAATTCTCGAAGTTTGATGTGTTCTGCACGCACCTTGCTCAGTCTTTTTTGACAGAGACCTGGTAACTGCGGTTTGAATGATACTACATCACGTACTACATCAAGTGGTATTTGCTGGACGCCAAGTGGCGGGCTGCAGCTCATAGTAAACAACACTAGATTCAGGCAGCAATGTAATGCAAAAGATTATTCATCCATTCCACACGAGCCTGTAGACCGCTGGAGAAGTTTGACAGCTCAATCTGGCGCCGCGCCTGGTATTTTTGTCAGGTTTGAAGCACGAATAAAACCTGATACTGGTTCTGGCTGCTCATCTGTGAAATACCCAAGTCATGTAAGATGTTAGAATCGCGGAGTTCCTCGCCCAAATGGCTAAACTGTGTCTTGCGATAGGATTTTTGGTTCGTGCTCAGTCTCGAGTATCTATAATTTCCTAGAATGAGATAGCACATATATGAAAATTAAAGTAGATGTCAGTAATAAATATTGTTCAATTATTTAAAACTAGTCGCCTGGATAGTCTGTGGACGAATATGGAAGAACAAGGCCACAACTGTACAATAATCGGCATCATGGCTCCTGCGAATGGCATCTTTCCATCATACCTTGGTTTTAGGTATCTCTTGATAACTGATTGTGGGTTCAGTGAAGATTTTGGACATGAGAGTTGGCTGAACCTGCAGACCGATCTCAAAATGGAAGTGAACAGGTGCTCTTCATGTGGCTCATGGGTCGGTGAACGTCACCTGGTCCTTAGTCCTTAATATTTGGACCTTGAGACTCGATGACCATGTTAAGCTCAATAAGAATTCTCGACTGTTCCTTCGGACGCAAGTCTTCTGCAGCATACAGATTTCGGCATAAGAATCAACACTCGACTGACTGCCCGTCCCTCCTACCTTTCCCGCCTGTCACGTCTCTCCCGCTGCGCGTTCTCCCTACGCCCACGTGAGTACTCCCACGAAAGTCGATCTTCAGCAATTCGGCGACGTTCTTCATGACGTCTTCGTCACTCAAGCAAAAGCTTGGGTCGGAGAATTTTACCTAGACTGACCCGTTCGAAAGGTGTACGACAAAATGGACAACGAGCATCTGTGCTTCCGCCGATATTACGCCAAGTCCATATGCACTCCATGTGAAACCCAGTTCTACACACGTGGCAAAAGTATGGCTTTGGAGAATTGAGTGGGCAGTCGTCGATTATATGTTGTCTCTTATCCTGATCGTTCTTGCGAGGATCTTCGAAACAATTCTCAGAAACACAATCATGAACATAATCCATAGCATGCATCGGATGTAGTTCTCGTTTAGCATCGTGATGGTTGATGAAGAGGCTCTCTGCACAAAGTAAGTATCCATAAACTCTGGTGTCTGATGTGGAAATGATTAGTGTGACCACCCAACGTAACCCAAGGGTCCTGGAGGACAGAATGGAGGCAGAGGTGCTTGCGTTTTGGAAAATTCTTCCGGCGGCGGTACATATACTTCGTGAGTGCAGATTGGACACTCAATACTCGTACCAAGAACCTCGTCAAGAGTGTCGCTCATAGCTGGAGCTAGGCAGCATTTTAAATCATGACGCTGTCACAAGTTTTCTACTCGATGGAGCTAGGCGTAGACAGCAAAGAACCATCGAAGATAGACTAAAGGAGATCGCTGAAATAGCTGCTGTCGAGCGGCCGACCTAGGTACCTGAGCCATCTGGTTCTGTTGTTACGCAGTCTGGAGATAGATCTGACGAGGGAATAGAGCCTATGAGAAGGGTCTTTATGAGAAGTTCGATAGAGCTCATTGCTGAGAAACAGCAGGCCCAAGTTCAGCTTTGCCCAGGGGTGGTACTGGCGCCAGCTCGCACACATATCTTTGAGATCATGGTCGTAAACTTCTAATTCAATCTGAGTGTCAATGGCGCTGTTTTTTCGATCAGCCAGTCTCAAGCGGTGCTCATTGCAGAGAAATTGATATCTGGTCGCAATCAGGCAGTAGATGCTCTTTTTGACTCGCAAGCAGGCTGTTAAGAACGTTCCTTTTGCTGAATCGTCGAAATTTCTTTCTTCCTTATATTTCCTTCGATATTCCTTCGCGAACTGGATGGTACGATCCATCTCATCTCGACGTTCCACATCTTCTTCACTTGGAATCGTCGGCAAACTGTCCCAATCCGAATCTCGCAGGCTTCGAATATCATCACGTGCAACAGAGATTAGTTTGACCTCAAATGACTGCAGACCTTTCGCAAGGTCATTGAGACTTTTTTGCATCGTAGTTCCCCATGCTCCGGTTGAATTATCGCTGTCAGGATTCCAGCATCATTTTGATCTTCAAAGAGCCACATAATTTGTCCCTTATGCTGTTTATCTTCAACTTCCACGGTCTCTCGGCTCGAAATACACCGATTTCTAAAATTCCACAATCCCTCTTTAGCAATGATACGCCATGGTCGAACCAAAAGGGGGTCTGACAGCGTAAGAACTTCTCTAGTCACGTCAGCAGGGACACCTTGTGCAGGCTTCGCAGAAGAGCGATCAATACCGTACATGAGTAGCTTGGAGACCTGAGTCTGGCTTTTCCTTGGTAAGCGAGAGGATATTCCATAGGTTTTGTTCAGCGTAGGAGGGTTTGGTGATGGAAGGAAGTGCGGTCGACGTGCATGCTCCGACGATTATATTGATTCTGAAAAGCTTATACTATTTATACTGCGCACTGCCCACGACAATGTGGCTCCCTGTTCTTTCGCGACAACAGGACAAAAAAGTCAATGGTTGACAAAAGAATGTCGAGGCAGTGGCGCTTTGCGACTATAGCGATTCAAAGAATCGAGTCTTTGTTCCACGAACAACGTGAGATCGTACTGTCGAGGCGGCGCAGCCAATCATTAAGTCGAACCTCGGACGCCACCTAAGTCGATAGGTGTCTGCAAAGCAATATGAAGTTCGACCACAGATAATGACTTCTGCCGCTCTCTCTATTCGCACAGTTATAGGCGTGAGCAATAGTGCCAAAGGAGTCAGCCTAAACACTGAGACAGCTCGATAACGGGCCATCCTTTCAGTTATGATTTGTGCAACGGTGAGAGTAAATGATTGATGGCTATGGTTGACTTTTAAAACAGATTCCGATACATTTCATGCTATTCCAATTAGAGCTTTTGCAGTTAATAGACTGCAACAACACTGCTTAGTGCCGGCAACATTCTCATCCAATTCACTTGTCGCCTGGCTCGCGACTTCCAACTCCATCGCGATAATCCTTGAGAACGGAGGATGGTGTACCATCGTAACCTGTCTTGATCATCCATTCCTTCACACTTTTGACTCTATTAGGCAGGATCTCATCAAGAAGCTTATAGTCCCGCTTGGTCAATTCGGCTTTCCAAGTATTCCAGAAGCCAGAGAAGTTCTCTCTGAACGTGAACAGGGTGGGATCCTCGCGATTAGCCGAATGACCCACTTTTGCGTCAGGGTAAGGGAAGAATGGAAGAGTGAAATATGTGTCCAAGGTGACATCCATATAAACAGCTTTGCGTCCAGTAACTTCTGTGAAGGCTGCGGCGAGGTCTTTCCACGCGATGTCCTCAGTCGCGACGTGCAACTCTAGACCATTGCTTCTCACAGGATTGTCAAAAAGCCATCTCGCGTACGCGCCATAGTCCTCAAGGTGAATAAGAGGACACTTTGCATCTCCGAGAGGAACTGCAAATACTAGAGTGCTTGGGTCTTCTGGATTCGGAAATGGTTGAAGCACCTCCGACAAGCCTTCAAGATAGAGACATGATGTTAAGACTGACCATGCCATTGGTGTCGTCGGTTGTGCTGAGATGTAATCAACGACCTTGCCCTTGCCATCCAAGTGGCCTGTGCGATACTTTGGGTCAAAACCTCCAAGTCTTGAGGCATATTCAAGACCAGCGTAGAGGAAGTGCTTGACTCCGGCCCATCGAGCAAGCTCGTAGAGACGGATACCCCAGTATATCTCTGACATCTCCCCAATGGCAAAACCGTTAGTGTTGGCAAAGACATATTCGACGTCTTCAAGTGCTTTCTGAAGAGTGGGCTCATGGTAAGAACTTCCTTCGATAATTGTCACACCTGGCAGGGTGGCGAGATCTTTGGCTTCCGCAGAGGAAGCAATTCGAGTGAGAACTCGAACGGTGTATTTCTGGTCAGACACCAGTGCTGCGCTCACTTGTTAAATAGAGATCTTGGATGCGAGCAATGAAATGTGCAAACCTTTGACTACCGGCACTCCTTGTGCCCCTGTCCCGCCAATGACCAAGACTAAGTTTGGAATCTTTGTCATTTTTCGAGTTGAGTATTCGATTATAAATAGAGCGTTTGAGATGGTGTTCTTGTTCTTCGTAAGGGGTCTTCTTGTCACTGGGGTCGACGGTGGGTCTTATATCAAAACTTCCACCGCAATCATACTGTTCTGCTTCTAGGCCCTTAACATCATTGCTTGATAATCTCTTGAACTTCAAACCAGATGATGTTTGGCCAGAACCCAGGAGAGCCGGTTGGCAGAATTGCTTTCGATGATTCCTGGTATTGATGGGCACTTGTGCATGGCTTCGTAATCATAACAATAAATCGCGTCGTACTACTTGCGAATCAGGATTAATAGCTCGATATTGTACATCCAGAAATATGACACTGGCTTTGACCACGGCCGGTAGCGAGTCTAGTAGCTTTGGTTCTTTCTCAAGAGTGAGGAAATGCCGTCACGCTGCTTCTAGGGCTGAATGCTAGTCTTTTGATGATACTTCCATTTCTAGAATTCCTAAAATGAGACAGTGCCTGTTCCGGCAGGGACGAGAAAGTCTCCACTCGTGCTCTGTGGCATGGGGCAGTCCAATCTTGTCGTCGTACTGCCCTGTCCCAGTATCCTCGGTGTTATTGGTAAGGTAGGTAATAACTGATTAATGAGAAACAACGGGGTCGTTGTTTAAATCGTACTACCTCGTACGGAGGTGACGTAGCCTTGAAACTGATAGTTTCTGGCCAATTGCGTTGGTCAAGCCGCCCTACTAACTCCGCACTCGCACGTATGGATCTAACTGTGTCCGTGCTCTTCAAGGATCTCGAGAGGTTGAGTCATCAACTTGGATAGACTAACCCGCACTAGCCCGCCAGTCTGCCATCTAGTCCGCACAATTCTGGCGAGGAGACGCTACTCCGTTGACGCCACCAATATAGGCGAGCCAATGGACATTGATAACCAGTGCCCTGTTTTCATACGGGGACGAACACAGCAGCAGCGGGAGAAGACATGGGGGTACCTCGCATGAGGCGCAACGCAGAACGATCATCTAGCTAACGGTCGTATACTTGTTCACACATACAACCTCATATCGAAGATTAATCAGCGTACGCAATCCCCATTGCACCCTGTCACCAAAGATCCTGTCCAAGGCTCGGGCATAAATACACAATGCTTGACTGCAGATTGATTTAATTCTGTAATAGTCAAGCAATAAATCAAAGCTTACCAGAAACAAGTCTTGTCAGCTTCTCCAGAATTCGCTGTATCTTTCTGCCCATTCTCTGCCCATCCTTGAGGAAATTCGGTGGCGTCCCATTCTTCATCAAGATATTCGAAAATCCAGCCAAAGACAGCTAGCAAGATGCTTACCAAACCTGTAGTCGAAATGCTCGCTCGCAACAGGTCAGTTACTGATGGGAATTCGATACCCTTTTTCGTTTTGAGTAGCTACTAACATATCATTCTAAGCAAACTGGCACAAACATACCAGGCGCCCCCGGGGTTGATGTCAATGGTTTCGGGGATGCGAGCGACTGGGGCCGGTGTCGTCGTGTTATCTTGTGCAGACCCTCGCATATTCCCGGAAAAAATTCTGGGATTAGACGCAACGCTAAGTATGAATCTACCCCCAAGCGATGGTCCTTTGTGTCTCATTTTGACAGCGAGCACGTTTGACCCACCACCAGACACAGGCTAATTGAATTCATTTTATAGAAGCTACAAGCGTCCGCAACGCCGGTGGAAGAGTGTTTGATGCAATTAGAACACTCGCTGTCCTTCAGACTATCGGCAATCCCGGTTCTATTGTCGTCATGCATCACACTGGTATGCTACTTTCCTACCCAATAGTTGAAACAGCTTTGAGTCACGCGTTATTCGAGGTCGAGCTAACACAAATACCGTCATAGATTGTGGGATGACCCATTTCCACAACAAAGATGTAAGAAACGGAATCGTGGAACACAATCCGCAGGCGAAGCAGTTGGTGGATTCCTTGGAGTTTGGGGAGATCACTGAAGGGTTAGCAAAGCTCTGAGACCTAACTAAAGTGGAGGCTGCAGACTGACATCTATGAATAGAATCGAAAAGAGTCTTAGAGAAGATATTGCAGCACTGAAAGCATCTCCATTGATCAAGAAGGGCACCAATATCATCGGCTTGGCGTATGACATTGAGACAGGGCTCTTGAGCGAAGTCCGCGAGAATGAAAGTGGGCTCTGAGGGATAGTCACATCCTTTCAATGTCAAGGTCGCGGTGACTGATTGCCCCTGAATATGATGAAATCCTTTAGTAAACTTATCCTTATGGCGTTGGCGGTGTACAGCAGTTAACATTGTGTGTTTCTAACAGGTGGCGATCTGTTACGTGAGACAGTGGAGATCTTCCTTCCCAACCTTCTCGTCTACGTCGAAGCTGCACCCCAGTCTATTTGAGTTCGTGCCTGCCAGAGTTTTAAACCTGGAAACTTGAGTCAGTTGGTCCAGACAGCAAATAAAGCGTAGTGTGAAACGGTCTGGCGATCGAAGAGTACGTCGGATAGAAGTGGTATAGACAATACGAGACCACTTGTAATTTCGCCTGAACCCTTGATTCTGTGTAACCGAAAGGCTGAACACTCTATGTACTGTTACGTTGGTATCTGCCTATTTCACACTAAATTTATCATGTGCCTTGTTGTCTCACGATATAGTTACGGATCATAATTTCTGCATGGTGCGGACAAGCGTGCCCTGTCCTGGTCAAACGCTGTGTTTTAGAGCCCGATATCATAACGTGGAGGAGAACGATTGCCGGATTCTTTGTCATCAGTGGGGAATACGAGATTGATAATCGTAATGCTTGCCTACTTCCTTAAATTGTATGATTGTTCTACGGATCGGTGTATTCAGCTCGTGGCCATTTGCCAGTGATTTCAAAATTGGCCATCCATGCGGCAAATACTCGGAGATGATATTAATCATTCGTCGAAGGCGCAATACGGCCTTAGATATTGGTATTATGATCATTATTACTTTGGTGTTGTCATGTACTACTAACATTTCTTGGAGGTACAAGGTATATTCCAGCCATGGACTCACCTCGCTACCTCTTCGTTAACAATACCCCATTATCACAAGGCTCTGCCACTAATGAAACCAAAGACAGAAAGCTCATCAATCGTCATACACAACTGCACGGACTTGCTTCCAGGAATTTTGGCAAGCCCAACCAGGGTGGCAAGAAGCTTTCTTCGGTGGATCCAAATTTGCGTACAGGGCCTTCACGCCGGCGGAAATCTCAAGATGTGAAGCGGGAATTCCAAGCAGCAGACCTTCATAACCCTGGACTTCAAACAGAGGGTGGGTCAGGGGTTATTTCTCCCAAACTTTCTGACAAACAGCGCCCTCAAGCACAGCAAGAAGCACATACGCTTTTGGAACGAATTTTGTTCACCGTCAAGGTGATGTCCAACGAGCAGAAATCTCAGAACCTGGATCCAAGCCCATTTCAAGGTCTTTTACTTTCTCTTGACGCCCATATTTGCCAGTATCTGCGGAAATATCCATTCTCGACATTCGAAAAGACTTTGATGCCAGGAGGGACTTCCGAGTCTCATAGCGAGCGCTTATTCCTAGGAACAGTTGTCTCAGTGCTAGAAGGATCCTTAGACGACGACTTACTGGCGTATGCGCTTTTAGCAAATATGTCCACCATTCTTTCCGAACACTGTGAGAAAAACAAGAGTATCAGTCAATTCAACAGCAATTACTACGGTTACCAAGCCACGGCAGCGCTCAGGAGACGACTTTCAAGCGAAGCTCCACCCGATACGACACTAGTTCTCAGTCTTTGGCACATGATCAGCGCAGAAATGAATCAGGGAAATTTCGAAGCAGCGACTATCCATCTCAAAGGAGCAGTAGCAATTTGTGACCTCTTATGTATCAACGACCCGAATTATGTGGCTCCCTTTCAAATATGCGATTGTCTTCTCGCTACAGGCATTTTTGAGCAGCACCCCGAGGTGTCATACTTTACTGTAAGGCCAGATTCCGCTTACTGTACTGACAATTATTTCCACAGCCTCAGCCTCATCCACAGTACTCCAAGCAGATCTGTTCCGTCGAAATTCACATCTGGAAAACACACAAACCTCCTGTGCCCTGATTTGCGGAAGGTTGTGGAAGACTTGGTCAATTACAATGCCTCTGCAGCTGAGCGCAACCACTCAAAGGAAGATTGGAAGAATTCCATTAAAGATGGACACTGGTCGCACCTGAGCTGGCGGTTCCTTACATCCCGAGAATCCAAGCACGTGTCTTTCGCGCTGGCTCGCGCGCTGGGCATGTGGATCTACCTCATGCTCTACACTCTCTCCGACATCAAGATCGCACAACCGGTATCGTTCAGCCTCCAAAAGCTTCTTTCCACTACGAGTATGGAAGAATGGTCGGACCACGAGGACGTGTTGATATGGATCTTGACCGTTGGTGCGATGGTCCCAATGGGAACACGAGCGGAGCAAATGTGGTACGCGCGGAAACTGGTGACTCTACTAGATGATTCGGACTCCGTGAAAGAGCATGACTTTACAAAGAAAAGAGATATCGTTGAGTTTTCGAAAAATTATCTCTGGATTGATGACCTTCAGAGGTCAATGTTGGAGCCACTTGTGGCAATGATCAAGTCTATCCGGCTGGAGAAAAATCTTCTCAAACCTTATCGAGAAGCAAGGTTCTTCTCTTCGTATACGGGTGAAGCTTCTGGCAAGGGGAAGTGGCATAGATTATCAAATGGTTCTTAGCGTGTATGAAGTGTGAATTGAATATGACACGAGCACTCATGTTGGTGTCTCACAACCTGAGAGCTCAACGGGCGACTGTATTATTGGCCATTCCCACCAGCAGTCCATTTCAGAGATAGACAAGTTAAGTAGATAGAAGTGTATGAAAGACAGCTCTGCTTTGTTCGATATGCCATCCGAGTAGTTGAAATCGAACTGCGGCAAGTTCATCAAATTCATAATCAATCATAAATAGCGGCATGACGAAACGACTGGCATCTGCGTAGGTATCAATGACTAGGGGCTAAGCCTCTGCTTCAAGCCTCGCTAGCGCGTTCACATAATTCACTATCACATCAGTTAAGTAAGTATAGTCCTCGACCATTAAGAACGCGCGAAATCCAGGCTATCATACCTGCAACGAGCCATCGTTTGGCAAAGATTCCAATGACGTCTTTGAGGTTAAAGAACCTTCGTTTCGAGAAGACCTCTTTACTTTCTTTCCAGGCTTGAAACTCCACAATCGCGGCAAGGTAAAGGCAGTGCACGTTGATCGGTGACAGGATATCTATGTCCACTTCTTCCTTTCCAAGAAATATGTGGGTGGCGAATTGTGCGATGCGGATGGAGTTGGCTTTCATGCTGTCTGTGACACGCAGTTTGTTCAGAGGATTGTCATCAGGGCTGTTCAGTGCCGCATGATGAAGTGCGAACATGGTGCTACTAGCGCATTAGTATGGAATCAACCTTTAGCTGCTGCCCGGGAATAAAAACAAACTTACCTTGTGCAAATTGCGAGTGCCGAGCAGTATTGACCATATTTGGTGTCTTCTTCCACCAATATCGGAGAGAATGCCTTCAGGGTGCGCTCGAGTTGTGCTTCTTCGGCTTGGTAGAACCCGAGATCAGAAATGGGCTCTACAATATGGCGCATGACTTTGCCTGCTAGGAATGAAGCTTGACATTCGCGAGCAAACTGCCCAACGTTTTGGCCGATGGAAAAATCAGACGGGCTGCCGATGGATATGAAAACTGTGTCGGGGATGTCCTGTATTTGTTGTAGATCAAATTGTCAGTGGAAAAGGACCCTAGCATTTGAAATGGGAAGCCGATATTCCTCACATTCTCAAACCATCTTGCATCTTCGATGGGAAGTAAGTCCACCACTCGGGGTTCCTCAGTCGCGAATACTGCATCTGTACTGCAAAGGTTGGTGAACCTAGGTGAGAAAGTCAGTGGCTGGCGTGGAGATGCGTGCATATATGTCCACAGATGCAGATCAGTAATCACGTTTCGCACGTCAACTCAAGCGTACCTATCGAGATTATAGATCGCCCACCACGCCCTCCTCTCTTCTTCCACTATCGCCTCACCTAGCTCGTTGCGAATGGGCCGATGCCAATTTTGGCTAAGGCCTAGAGCCCGCGCCATTCGTGCGCAAGCCCCAACAGACACTGAAGCAGCCGGAAATATGTCGTGGCCGATCTCATAGAAGATCACAAACAATCGACACTGAATGTGATCGAGTGTCAAATAATATCCTGTTGACTCGAGGAGGCTAATGATGTTCTTGACGATAACATAATGTGGTGATTGCATGGTCTGAGTGCCGGGGGCAGGGCGCTGCAAAATCAGACTGAGGCACAGGCATAATGCGACAAAATCTGCAGGCGCCTCTTCAATTCCACCACTTAATCTATCCAGAAAGCGACCTTTGGCAAGAAATGTGATTTTCACATAAATGGTGTCGAAGAACAAGGCGGCAAGGTCTTGAATTGCTTGGAGATTAGTCCCAATGATTTTGAAGGCATGCAGACGAACTGCTCTGTCAATTGCTTCTTTAGACAACGAGTGTCCGGCATGAGCATCGATGCCATGATTTAGGTCTCCACCCAGTAGTCCCATAACTGAATCAACTGCGAGCGTCTGATGAGCATTGCCCTGGTTTAAAGGAATCTGTACTGCATGATGCACACCCTGGCGCAAGTTCTGTGCTGGTCGACCATCGTAGACACAGGTCCGTCCAAATCTATCACACATCACATTAATACGAGAAGTCACGGGATGAATTTTAAGACGCACCGGATACATGTTGAACAACGTGGTGTGGCCCGGTCGCATCTTCGTTTACCACGACTGCATGAGGAGCATGCGTTTGTGGCGGCGAGAGCGATGTTCTGGCCCAGTCCGTTCGCAGACATTCTTACTGCAGGGAGTTGATCTCGAATAGAATACAAGAGCCTCTCCTCCACCAACCCTAGTATGGAAAAGCTTGTAGGGAACGTTAGTTGTGGCAGACCAATCAAGCCTGGTCACATTGAAGTGATGCTTGACGTTGAAATTTGAGAGAGCGGCGGGCGTCGGAGGGTGCCTCTTCTCGTGAGAAAACCTTGGCAGCACCAATCAAGTATTCTCGAGCATCGGGGTAGCGTTGGCCGCTCAAGCACGACAGATCCCGACGGGTTATGTAACAAATCTCGTACAAGTGGATGATTAGTATTTTTGATATGGCACTAGTCCGCGTTCCCAGAAGCGATACCAATCAAGAGGATTTTTTGGTCCTGATGCTAGGATTACATCAATGAAAGAGGCTCCCTGGAGTTGCAACAAATCTTTCCTCCTCTCCCTCTTTTCATATATCACACTTTTGATTTATCATGACTTGACTCGATTTCGACATGCTTAGTAGTCGCGAGCACTTTGGCGTTTGGATCAACATCGTTGAGATTTTCCACAGCCATCTCATCGCCAAATAACGCCGCAATCTCCTCAAGTGACTTGCCGCCCTGTACGACCCAGTTAGTGACAACATCCCAACGTTCGAAAATGCATAATCAATCCAATCAATCTTACCGTCTCTGGAAGGGGAAAAAAACAAATCACGGCAGCTGACAAGTTGCTGGCGATGAATAGCGAGAAGTATCTGTGGGGCATAGTCACACCCACAAGGTTGTCGTAACTCCCCAATCGGAACCTTAAAAGCAGGTGGCTGAGACCGATGGGATCTGTAAGTCAAAGACATGTACAACTTTGTTCAAAAGAGGAGCGAGCATCAAAAATAAAGTCCTAGAACACCCAAGTCTTATCGAAATTGAAGATGTCATCTTCATCATTTTCAAGGAAGACATTGAAATCAAAAAATGGAAAATCTGGTTCAGTGGTTGCATCAGGGTTGAGCGTTTGGCCAGAAGAGCCGGGCATCGTTGAGCCAGATCCGTAGGACCGGTGATTGTCTTGCGAATCCACTGAGGACAGAGCATTTGCGCACACATTCGCTTGCCTTTCTTGACTGCTTGGGTGTGGCACGATTCTTATAGCATCAAGAAGTCGACTCGTGTCTGTTGCTTGTAGTCTCCGTAGAATTCTGTTCGCGTAAACTCTTGGAGGGGCATTTTCATCTACCCCTAATTCTCTCATACACGAAGCTGCGTCCCTCACGGACTGGAGATGCCGATCAAGGTTCAAATCGGGGCCTGCAAGAACCTCAGCAGCCATGATTAGAAATACACAACTGAAAGTTATCTTTGTGAAATTTATGGCCGGAACATAACGTGCTGTTTCAATCGCAACAGGATCAAGGTCAATGAAGAATCTAGTCCAGCTAACGGCAGCATCGACAGATCTAGAGAAGAGCTCCGTCAGCTGTGGCGATAATGCAACAAGGCGTGAAGTCGAGGGGTCAGCCTCCGTGCTCTCAGTCATAGCCTTATATAAAGTCCTTGTTGCATAGGTACTGATATGAAAGCGAGCGTATCGGAAGAGTGATTCGACGGTAGTATTGTTGAAGCGGTCGGCGTTCATTCCTGGTGCAGTAGCATTGTCTTCCAGCGACCACTTCTGACGCCAGTCGAGCAAGATCTTGTCAAACTCGGTAAGCATTTCCTTGGTAGAAGCAATATCGAGTTCAGCTTGTGGAGAACTCCACCATTCACGTAGATTTGGGTATTTGATCCCAGATTTGGCCCATAGAAGATACAGCTCGACTTGTGCAAGAATCTTGCGGATAAAGGCATCATCTTGGATGGCACTGAGAAGATTTGGAGCCGATTTGATTATGCTATCCTCTGAAATAGTTGGAGGAGTTCGTGTGATCAAAGAATACTGCTGGGAGGATGTGAAAAGCCACAACCAAAAGAGATACCGACGTAAAGCAGGGCAGAAGTTGCCCGAAGGTGTGACAAGGTCAACTCCTTTAGTGAGATCTTCGTATGATCGATGAATTGAAGCGTAGATTGCAAGGGACTCGACCAGAGGCTTCAAGAATCGGAAGCTCAACTCAGGATAATGTGGCGTACTACCTTCAGGTTCCTCTGAGTCGATAGGCGAAGCATAAAGATAAAGCACGCCTAAAGCTTGTAGGAGTGTCCACATATCATCGTCGGTTCGTCGCATTGAATAATGATTGGCTCTCACGATCTTCAGCACATGTGGCGTCAAAGAAGCCCGCATCGGGCCATAACCAGGCACAAACCAGGCGGTTGTGAAGGCGATGGAATATGCCAATTCAGGTCTCCCTTGAATGAGGCTGGGCAAGTCATCAAGATCACTTGGAGCCATGAAAAGAACATTTTGTACTATTTTGGCTCTGAAGCTACAGCCATCAGTGAGAATTGTGCACATGAACATGGGTGTGCTTGGACTCACTATTGCAGCAAAGACAGCAAATCATTGACGCGCATCTCATAAGGCGGCGGAGCGAAATTGGGTTCGCTTGAGGTTTGATTCGACAACCCAAGCTGGGATGGAACTTCTGAGGTTGAGCTAGCGAGGAGTTGAGCGTCTATGGTCCCCAGCGGTGACGTCATGTATACAGATGGTAGATTGCTGATTTTGACGTGTCCCGATGACTTTGCTGTACCACCCATATTTATTCGTGGTTGAAGATTGTTCGGAGCTCCAGTGACTAGCTGTTGTGCAAGGCTCGGTGTCTCGGTGGTGTGAGGAACCACCTCTGGCATATTCTCAGGGTTGCCCAGTTGACTCAATCCACCATAACTCGACGTTTCATTGTCATTTGGTTGACTTTCTTGCGATAGAGCTGGACTTCCACGGTGGGAGTCCGGCACAACGCAATCGCGTTTCGCCTTTGCGCATCGCATGCATGGAGGGGCTTCAGCTCCAACGCATCGCATCTACGACAATCAGGTGGCAGTCCCAGATGCCGAACTTGCTTGATGGCAGGTGTTGACTTACTTTTTGTTTGCGACAAGCCTCGCACGCAACAGCAGCTGCCCCAAGGAGGCGACGTCTCTTTTGCCGATGCATGTCCATATTCATTGCGCATCAAACGCGTGTGGGTCGTGGGATGTTGTTGAAACGTGTTCTTCAGATATCATTGGCCCTGAATTCAACGGAAGGCGTCGCTGACTCAGGATCATATCAAGTTGCGAAAAACAGCTGTATCTAGGTAGTTAAATACCTAAAGGGCTTAAAGGCATGTGATGTAGAGCCCTAAAGTGTCCTGTGAGGGGAAGATGAACGGTGTCAGCTAGTGGACAACCTAAAAGTCAGAAGAAGACCCCGCTAGAGAGCTTTGCCTAAGGGAGACCATACCTTTTCCAGCTAGCAAAGACCACTTAGACGACAAGCTACAGAAGCTATTTATCCGGCCGGACTTCCACACAGTCATGTGACCCTCACTCCTCGGAAAGCGACCTTAATTTTGGCCCTGTGGCCCGCCGTACTGACCAATGTGCTTCATGGCATGTTCTCTCGTTATCGCCCTCAACTGATGCATTCGTGGCCATTACTTGCCGCCCCTCAATCTTCGGTAGCGAAGAACAACAGTGCTTAACGCTCAAAGCTTGCGTCATTCAAAATCGTGTTCAATGATTTGAACCTCGATCTGCTTACGGCTTCTTGTCGTGCCAACTAGTCGACTGGTACGCTTGCAGACGTTTAATTTCTCGCGTTGTCTTATACGACAGCAACATAGGCATATGGAGGCAAGTCTTCGGTGCCGTGAATTTGTGCCTACAATCGAAAGCGATCCAAGCTTAATGGTCCATTTACAAGCCGGACAAGGGTTCTCTCACGATTTCTGGGGTTAAGTAGAACAGTGGACTCAAAGTTTGGAACACCTTATGATGCTCTGAGCTCAAGTGGAGAGGCCGCGAACCGCACAACACGCTTTCACTAACGGAATTAGCTATGTGGTGGAAAGGAAGCGAGTATCCTTTGCCGTCGACTGTGTGCTCGAGGGACCGACTTCGGACCACCTCACCGCGGAAATTGAGACAAGCAGTCAAGATGTTTCAGCCTTGCTTCCACTTTCAGATCACCCTCTCAAGTAGACGACTCGGGCTATACTGAGTTCTACCCTCCCGCCACTGGATGCTTGAATGCCAAATCCAGATGTCTAGCTGTAATCAGCGAGGGGTTAATAGGCTTTCGTTCTCTCATATTCGACCAAGCTGCATAGCGATCCTCTAGTTTTCAACTTTTGCATTTTTCTTTGATTCATTTCTCCAGTACTGGCTTTTTGCACATCGAAATGTATGCAATGCAGCATCCTGCTCCGAAATTAGATAGTGCCACGGGAGTGGAGAGAGGTCCTGGCCCAAACCTACCTCCATCATCAACGATCAACCAGGCTACCAAGGTGGAAGGGTTTCCTTTTCCGGACCTCGCCACATCCCCTTCGATCTACTCTCGGTCTCCATCACGGTTATCGTTCTTCTCCAATGCCGAGTCTGAGTTCCCAATGACTTCGGCAGAAGCCTTTCGAAACGACATAATGCTCAAGTACTTGCATCAGCGCCAGCTTGAAAAAAACTGGAATCACAAAAGCTACGAGAACCACGGGGTGGTCTTGAGAAGGGGCAAAGATGACTTCATCTGCAGACCCGAACAACTTCTCTCTCTGACGGGCGGGTTCTACGACCAAGTAAGAACACTCAATGTCAAGGTGGCGATAACCGTAAAGACAAGTGTCATTGACACGTTTCTAAGTACGTCAACACTCCCGTACTTACCACTGGCCGACGGACGCCGCATTCAAGTTCTACCATATATATTCAGCTTAGCCCGGTGCAAGAAGCATCAGATGGCAGCATTTATTCGACAATCAGGTTTACTTGTTGTCTGGCACAATGACCCGGAAATGATCATCAGTAGTGCTGAGTCAATTGAACAACAGCTGGTCCAGCTTCTATGGAAGAATCAGATTGCTATCTCAGAGGCAGAATATTCGTGTTCAGAGTCTTCCATTGTTATTGGAGAAGGTCAAGGTCCTATTGCTGACGGGTCCAGCCCAGAGCATTTACCGGCCAAGAGGAAGATCATGCTTTATCAGCCACTCTTAACAGGTCTCACAGCGGCATTATCTATTTTCTGCATCGGAGTAGGTTGGCGACAGGTTGCGATTGAAATCAAAGTCGATTCTTCCACGAGACGATTAGCCTTGTTGGCAGTGGTCCCGGCTCAGATCTGGCTGGGTTGGTTCTTTTTCCATACTCTCGTGAATGGGATTGCTCAGATGATTGGTCCAGTGAATCAAGTTGGTGCAAATTCAAAATCCTACAGTGGGGTGAAAACTGCGAGGTTAGCCACAGAAAACCTTCCTCATGTGACCATTCAATGTCCAGTCTACAAGGAGGGGCTGTGGGGTGTCATTGACCCAACAATGGTATCACTTCGTACCGCAATATCAACCTATGAAATGCAGGGAGGTTCAGCAAATATATTTGGTAAGACTTCTCACTTAATTCACAACCCATGCTGACGATTTCCCAGTTAATGATGACGGCATACAACTCCTGTCGCCCGAGAAAGCTGAAGAACGGAGGAAATATTATGATGAGCATTCTATTGCTTGGGTAGGCCGTCCGAAGCATGACCCTGATGGCGAACAGCCATTTATCCGGCCTGGGAAATTCAAGAAAGGTACGTGCCAATCAATCTGCAGCAGTGTGATCTTCATGATTCACCAAAGTAGCGTCGAACATGAACTATGCGATGGGAGTTTCAGCAAGAGTTGAAACCAAGTTAGCAGCTATCACGCGTGGCGAGAACTGGTCAGACTCAGACGAGGAGGAAGCTTACCGAGATGCACTTGTAGAAGTGATAGCGGATGACAGTGGTCGAACTTGGGCGGAAGGCGACATACGAATCGGAGACTACATTTTGATCATCGATTCTGACACTCGAGTTCCTTCGGATTGTCTCCTCGACGCAGTCAGTGAGATGGAAGAAAGTCCACAAGTGGCCATCATTCAATGTGAGCACAACCCGCGCGCCGACTTATTAAATAATTACCCGCGAGAAGATCTGACCGCGATGTACAGTTTCGTCTGGTGTTATGAACGTCACAACCTCCTTCTTTGAAAAAGGGATCACCTTCTTCACGAATCTGGTTTACACGGCCATACAATTTGCTGTTGCAAACGGAGATGTCGCACCCTTTGTTGGACATAATGCTATCCTACGGTAAGTCTCGATGCAGATGACCACTTGAGATTTCCCCAAACTAAACAAGATACTATAGGTGGAGTGCCGTGCAAGATGTCTCGTGCGAGCAAGACGGCAGAGAGAAATACTGGTCCGAGGACACCGTATCGGAGGACTTCGACATGGCCCTCCGGCTCCAAAGCAAAGGCTACTCGCTGCGCTTCTCGACAGTCCACGGCGACCAATTCCAAGAAGGCGTGTCTCTGACCGTCTACGACGAGCTCGCACGCTGGGAGAAATACGCGTACGGTTGCTCGGAGCTCATCTTCCAACCCTTCCGATACTGGCCCACGCGCGGACCCATCACCCCTTTATTCCGACACTTCATCGCGTCCAACATGTCGCTGATGTCGAAAATCACCGTCCTCTCCTACATCGGCACGTACTACGCGATCGGGTCGGCCTGGCTCCTGACCGTGCTCAACTACTTCCTCGTCGGCTGGTACAACGGCTACCTCGACCACTACTACACGGACAGTTTCCGCATCTATTTCAGCATCGTCGTCGTGTTCCAGGCCCTCGGCACCATCTCGTTGAGCGTCCTGCGCTACCGCACCACCGACTGCAGCCTGGTCGGCTCGTTCCTCGAGAACCTCAAATGGCTACCGCTCCTCACGATCTTCCTCGGCGGCATCTCCATCCACGTCAGCCAGGCCATTGCGTCGCACATGTTCAGCGTGGATATGTCGTGGGGCGCGACGGCGAAGGAGGAGACGAAGACGACCTTCTTCAATGAAATCCCGACGATTTTCCGCAAGTTCAAATTCACCTTTGCGTTTTGCGTACTAATGGTTATCTGTATGGTTGTGGTGGCCGGGGTCGGGCCGCTGGGTGGTTTGGTGCCTTATTCTTATCAGATCACGAATTTCACGGCCATCTGGCCGTTGAGTACCGTGGTCGTCTTTCATTTTCTCATGCCGCTGGTGCTTAATCCCGGGTTGATGCAATTTACCTTTTAGCTACATATTTTCCATGTATGTTACTCTGATTTCGGAGGATTTATCATAAGTTGAGATTGTGTTTGTGTGCATTCTCGCTCTTTATTGTCTAGAACAATTAATTCCTTGCGTCGGATAATTTGACCTGTATGAGCGATCTGGAAATGGGTAACTCTGATCACAATTTGGCCGACGGTCGACGAATTCAGTTCATGTGAGAAGAATATGACAAATTTAGTACTTGGGTATCGCCAAATGCGCACAATATTAAGCAGGAATATCACCCGAGCATTCCACCATAGGGACCATAAGAAAAGCTCTATGATCGACTCCTCAATGTCCCTCAACTTGCCAATCCGCCAATCCGTCCCGCCGCCGTGACTTATGCAAAGTCTTTTGTAACCCTATCACACCAATCCCACAACTTAGCAGCCTCGCCATTCGGACCCTTTGCGATTTCCGCCTCGAGGTCTGCTCTCGTCCCGTATTTCCGGCCCCAGGGAACCAAGTAAACGCCCTGCTCGGAAGTCAGGGCCGGGTTGTCGCGGCTCAGTCCAGAGTAGATCTCCGTGTATGCGCCGTATATGGCAGGGTAGAGCACTGTTTTGTTCATGATCCATTGAACGAAGCCTGGGAGGTGGCGTTGTAGGTCGGACTGTAGATTGCCTGGGTTGTAGGACTGTGTAGGATGGAGTGTTAGCGGAAATGTATTTTGGGACGATATTGGAAAGGGAAAAATTGTGACGAGGTGAGACGGATTCATCTACTTACGTTATGCATCACACCCTGGGCATTGTATCTCCGACCGAACTCGTTCGCGAGATAGTAGTTGGCAGCTTTGCTGACGCCGTAGATGTTCTCGTTTCTCAGAGTGTCATCGAGAGTCTCGCTGCCATCCTTGGCGATTTTCCACTTATGGCCGTTGGGGGGAGATTGCAACACGACAGCTAGACTTCCAGCCCAGCTGACTCTCACCGTTCCCTTAGGTTCACTGTCGGCGGTGCGCTGGAGCACGGGAAGCAGGAGCTTGGTGAAGAGGAAAGGACCGAGGATATTCGTCTGGTATGTCAGATTCAAACCCTGGGCGCCGACTTGTTCCTTGGGTGGGATCATGACACCGGCGTTATTGTTCAGCCAGTGAAGCTTGTCCTCCTTCGATAAGAATTCATTCACACTTGACTTGATGGTGCCGAGGTCACTGAGATTGAGGTGCAGATAGTGCAAACTTCCTGTGGATTTGGGGTGTAGCGCTTTAATTGCATCAATGGCTGCTTGGGCCTTGGACTCGGAGCGTGCTGCCACATAAACTTTGGCGTTGTGTGAGTAGAGAATCGATGATACTTCATAGCCTACTCCTGTGTTGGCACCTGTAACGATGAAGACTTTTCCAGTTTGGTCCGGAAGGTTCTTCTCAGTTAGTGGTGGAGCAGGAAGGCCCGTCGACTCCTTCCAAAAGGTTCTGATCCAGTTAAACATGTTGAGATCTATGAGTGAAACTTAGGTGGAGTACTAGGGATGTGTTGAGTCGGCTCAAGTAATACCTGCTTTTGTCGTTGGTGAGAAGAGAAAAGGAGAATGGATATGATATGATATGCTAGGTCAGGTAATAGAGAAAGGTCAGATGATGGTAGGCTTTCACGAGATTCTTTTGGGTCAGCAGCAGCGTCCTCGTATGTCATATATATATGGTGCACCATAGCAGATTTTGCAGGGTGATCCGGAGACATACCGGGAAAAAATGGGTACCTGGGAAGGGAGATGCATGTATCGTGGTGGTGGCGCGAGAGGGAGGCTTCCACCGTGTCCTCCATCTTGGAATCCTTTCGTGCAACTTACCAGGCAGCAGCATTTCTCAAGAGAATAGCCTCAGTGTTTTCCCTTGCAAGAAGGTGGAGGTATGCATATTCCTCTTGCGCCATTATGGCCATGAAAGTATCGTGCACAAGGTGGTCGCGGATTACTGAATCTTAGTGACCTCATGCAGGCCGGAAATTAGGGGCGCAAAGTCCAGGGTAAGCCGTACACTAAGCTTATTTCAACTTTGCGGCTCCCTATTCCAGCTTGGTTTCCCCAGTAAATTGAGCTTGATTCTCACCTTTGGCATTCGTATCTTACCCGCTCGACAGCGCTAACCGATTTCGCTTGAAAATAAAGCCGGCCTGCAGAAAGGACGAACATGGGCTTTATTGAAGAGCCAATCCCGTCAAAGTTGTCAGCCGAATTGCTTGCACAATATGGGGTTGATGGATGACCTGATCACTTTTGGCTCGAAAACGTGATACGAAGTTAAGGACGAAGGGTGAGTTTGAGCTTGCACAGTGGATACTGAAACAGGCTGAGAGGAATACATATGCAAGGCTCGGGATTAACGGTGGATGAGACCCACGGCAGTGTCTTCACAGAACCTGCACACCTGACAGAAGACAGAGTACGCGTAAATACTTAGTAAATGTCGCACAGCACAAGCTAAGCGTCGAATTCATGCCTTCAAAGTTGCTATCTAAGCTTGGCAGTTGTGGACCAATTCGGCCGAGATCGTCCAGTCACCGAAAATGCTCGGCGATCAGAGTGGAATGAAACATACAGTTCTTCTAGATTCGCTCGGAATACTGCTTAATTGTCTCAACATTGACAATAGGTCCGAGAGTTCTCCAAACTGGAGGGTTGCAATCATCATTGGCTCTTCCACTCTACTGAGCTGAGTATGGATGAATATGGCCGAGTTCATCCACGAGCCGTCTGTTTCGGTTATCATTAGACATTGACCTTTCCATTTTTGCATGTCCAAGCATCGTTCACAGGACAGTCAATCCAAGACTAGAGTTTCACCGATGTTCACCAACCCAATGTCCTCTCCCCATTTCAACCCGGCAGTATGGGCTGCTTCTTTCCAGTTTTGTGGGGGGCTTCGAACATCTTCATAATATTGTGAAAGACCACCACGAACTGTACCATAATGCATACCGATGGATTTCTTGCTTCTGACATCTTTATGAATATGGATGGAGTCCCAAGGGTTTGCATGGACTGCAGACATGAAAGCTCTGGGTTCACATAGGCCAATCGGCAGTAATGCAAGGTCAAAAGGACCAAGAAAATCTCCAATCTGTTTGAATGCCGGACATGCTGGATGCGACTCTTCTTCCTCGTGGGTCAGGTTTGGTTCTGTAATTGAACGATATGCAGTGTCGCCAGAAAAGTACAACTTTTTGTGGTCGCCTTGTAGTTCTTCGATGGCGAATGAGCACCACAGGTCGTAATTGCGATCGAATGGACTTCTACCAGAGAAATGCTGTGACGGAGTAGAGGTGATCTTTACAGCTCCAACATTCTCGACGTTCACCTCGAATTGATCCCACCAGTCCACTTCGGTGATGCAGGACCGATCAATTCCGTGTCCGACCAGCCAACGTGAACTATGAAGACCAACCAAGATATGAACTTTGTGTTTGCGATTGGCATAAATTGCCTTGAGTGTTCCAGCATCTGCATGGTCGTAGTGGTTGTGAGAGATCAGAATGAGGTCGATTTCGATGTTATCCAGTAATTCATGTATTGAGCATGGAGGTGGATTATATCGTTTGGGCCCGAAAAAAGTGACCGGGGATGTTCGTTCAGAAAATAGAGGATCACATAATATATTCACACCACGAGACGCCCCAGGTGGGGTTGAGGTTTGTAATAGGAAACTGGCATGTCCGATCCACGTCACTTTGAAGCCAGGCTCGGGATAAGCAAAATCAATCTTTTGTACCTGCACAAGCTCCGATCGATCTGGAACCGGTTTGAAGGGTGGCTTGTCCTTCGAAAATCGAGTCTTGAACACGTTCATCAACCCCTGGCCATGTTCTGGGAATGACGGCCATGGATTCTTGAAGCCAGTTGGTGGGTTTCCAACATGATGTGACTTGGGCTCGTCAGGGAGTAAAGATGAAAGTGGATTGATTTGCACCATGGTGTTAGAAAACTGCAGGGGATGGTCCACAAAGCCTATTCAACTTCATGTGGTTAGGTTCAGCATCACTGTTATATCTTGAAGGTTTGAATGGAAGTCCATCTCGGTTTCTGCCTGGAATGTTGGCCTAACGAGAAAAGGAGCGGTCATCAATATGCACGCACCGTTGGTACGGCCGGTAAGTTCTGGACACAAGGATTCTACGGCAGCGTATTATGACAGCCAAATGCAAGTCTTTCAGCAAACTTGCCAAGACTTTAGGAGATATCCTGACTCAGCATCAACTTCGCTTTCGGCATCAAAGTCTTCTGGACCTCCAGTGCTTTTCACTACTATCCTTCGAATCAATGAGTAGCAGAGTATCCTTCGTTCGTGAGCTAAGGCCATGATCGAACCTCAGGCTTGAGGAACATCTGTACGTTGACAAGGAACGACCGGCAGTGACGAACCTGTATCGAGGATGCCAACTAGCCAGCTACTCTTTTGAGTACTTCCCCAGTACTCGGAATATAATTGACGGTCCTGAGATCGGGCTTTGGAACACCGATCAAATTCTGGGATCTGTGCGCTACATATACATCTTCTGACGCCGTTCTAAGATCCAGCTACGCAGATCGAAATTTTCAGTGCTTCCACACACTGTACCTGGGTAGGTCATTATTGAATATAACCCTAGAATCACCCGTGACTTTCGCTGATAGCATCAAAACCGTCAACATTACACCTGACAAGATGATTCCCCCTCTCATCTCACTAGAAGAGCACTTCTTCTCGGCAGCCATGCTTGCCTCCCCCACCGCGGCCAAATACAGTGAACAATTCAAACATATTACTGGTCTCCGGGATAAGCTGGCGGATGTTGGGCCTCTACGCCTTTCAGACATGGATGAGAACAACATCTCATTTCAAATCGTGTCGCATGCCCCAGGGTCATTATCTGCTGGCGAATGCCGGTCCGCCAATGACCAACTATCGTATCTGATCCAACAAAACCCCGATCGCTTCGCCGGCTTCGCGGTCCTACCCGTCGATGATCCAGCCGCGTGCGCAACGGAACTCAAACGGTGTATCACCGACCTCGGCTTTGTCGGCGCCCTGATCGACAATCACAGCTCTACGGGTGCCTACTACGATGGAGCAGAATATCTGCCTCTATTCCAGACTGCGTCTGACCTCTCTGTGCCCATATACCTACACCCAACATGGCCCACCACAGCTATGCTCTCAACCCTCTACACCGGCAATTTCCCCACATCGGCCACCCAATCCATCTCCGCGTCTGCTTTCGGCTGGCACTCTGACGTGGCAACACACATCCTACGGCTCTTCGCCAGTGGCCTCTTCGACAAATTGCCCAACCTGAAACTGATCGTTGGGCACATGGGTGAAATGCTACCGTTCATGCTCGCGCGCATCAACCAGCTCTCCGTGCGGTGGGCGCCATCGCCCCGGACGTTCCAACAGGTCTACGACGAGAATCTGTGGATCACGACGAGCGGGAACTGGAGCGTCGATCCCATGGCGTGTATTCTGCGCAACACCAAGATCGAGAGGATTTTGTTCTCGGTGGATTATCCGTTTGCAAGGAATCAGGATGGCGCCAAGTTTATGCGCGAATTTGAGGAGAGTGGGTTGGTGGACTCGAAGGGCCTGGAGATGATTGCGTTCAGGAATGCGGAGGCGCTGTTGGGCGTCAAGCATACGAAGGACAAGTTTTGATTGTACACTATTTCTGATGCGTCAACAATAAATATATTCAACAAGTTGTGGGCCAGTCAACATGACAGCTGTATCGCATTTCTATACCTATATCCCATATCCGCCACAGACATTATCACGGCTCAGCGACAGCGGGCACATCAGCCGGCGCTTGCTGTTCTTCCGGAAGGGCATCTTGATAGCTCTCCACAAGCGTAGTGAATTCCGTCGCACGGTCAACAACCGTCTTTGACGGACTCCGAACCTTCTCCCGCCTCGCACAGCAACCAAAGCACGGGGGCGCCAACATGGCCACGACCTGCACAACAAAAAGCCACACGGCCGTGCCATCGGTGTCAGACATGATATGGTTCCTCGCGATGATCAGCTCCGTCCACAGGATGATAGGCCATATGGAAAGCAGCACACCGACGCCACCGGCAAAAACCATCTGATAGCGATACCACCACACGAGCGCCTTATCCTTCGTGGCAGCCGCGGTGCGAAACGCAATCGTGACGGCAAAGACGACCGAGCCCAGCAACGACAAGGTATCGACGAGCTGGATGAGCAGGAACCAGCGATGCCAATGTGGACTGAGGGTCCTCCAGCCCACGAACCAGAACTCATACACGCCATAACCCTGCACCTGTGCCGTCGACCAACTGACCCAGGCGACGGCGTTGTTCAGCACCATGACGCCGGCGGTGCCGAAGCCCACGATGACCGCCGACACCATGTTGCCCGAACTCACGCCGCCGAGGTACGTCAGCGTGTAGCAGAAGTTGAACTGCGACATCAGCAGCGAGAGGGCGTGGAGTTGGTTGCTCCGCGCCGCGTGGTACCATTGGATTTGTGTGTACCAGTTGTATGCCAGGAACCCGATGTTGCTCGGGCAGTTGGCGCCTAGTCCAGCCGCGAACTGTGCTGGCGAGAGCATCATGCTGATGTATAGGAGGAGTCGGTTCAGCGGGCTGAAGCCGGGGACGACGCGGACAAGATCGGACATGGTTGGGTTGTATTGTTTTTCGCAAGGCTATGGATATGGTCTTGGTCGTGGGATCAAGCCGTTCGCAGCGTCGTCGTTCCCGCAGCACGGATAAATAGTGGGATGATTCGGTAGGTAGGCAGATAGATACCCAGGACATCTCTAAATAACCAGGCAGGTCCTATGAGGGTGTGCACAGGATGATATACCTACGAGTACAATTCGTGTTATACTAGTGAAAGGGACCAAGGCAAAAGCTTGACCCAGACCAGTGCGCCTTGTGTATGTCTCGTTTCAACCATGTTCGTATTCCAGACGCCCAGGGGAGTTTGGTGGGTGCTTGACTGACGAATGGTGGAGGCTGAGTTTGGGTCGGGCTGGGTTGGGTTGAAAGTAAAAGCACAGCCGCAAGTCTACCGACGAGGGAAGCACGTATACGAGATTCAATCTACATACGAGTGGTATGAGGTGCTGGCACACCACATGGGGATCCTCACCCTCAGGCTCTCGATAGAATAGCACGATGCTTGGTTATATCAGCTAGTATCTTTCTACAGTACAGAGCCTGAGTCAGAATGCACATGCAGAGACCCGGAGAAACAGAAATTCCAGAACGATGCGGATTAAATATATTCCTGCTCATATTCGAATCTGATGGTATTCACAAACACGCTTTCACTTTCGATTGTAGATAAGTACATACCAGAAGCGTTCAACAGTAGCCACACATTCCAGCTGATAGTCATTCATACCACCGGATACATCATATTTCACATATCTCCACACTCCAACGATACTCCGAAATGGAACAATCTGGACCCTCTCTCAAATAATGCAACCCAGACCAACGCCTTCGCTTCAATTCAACAAGAGCAAATCTTAAGTCAAATGTTGATCTTTAACACAACAGGAAAAAGATCAATATCATCGCTTGTTCACACTCCTCCTCGCACGGTCCCCACCAGCAAATTCGGCGGGATCGACCGTTCTGAAGCCACTCCGCCTGGGCGGATCTCGTTTCGGCGGGCGTTCAGGTGAATGCTCCTCGATGACCTCGACGATATCGTCTTCCTCCTCGTCGACAATCACGCTCTCAGGCTCAAAATGGTGCTCCTCAACGACTCTTTCCTCTCGCTCTCGCACCACCCGCTCGCGCCGTGGACTGCTCACTTCAGTCATGGCGCGTGAGCGGCTCCGTGAGCGAGTGTGTGAGCGTCGGTGGTGGTGTTCCTCCACGACGACTTCTTCCCGCTGGTTCCATCCGGACAGTCGGATTGCAGAGAGGATGATGTACAGAATCACGATGAAGCCTGCGATGGAGCCCAGTGTGATGCCAACGACGGCGCCGGGGGCGGGCCCGGAGTTCAGACCAGCGTAGGTGGTGGGAATAGCGAGGACGACGCCTCCTTGGCGTTTGTGAAGGGAAGAGGGTGTGTCGAGGAAGATGGGTGAGTTGTTGGGTGTGGGTTCTCTTGGTGCGAGTGCTTCTCGTATGGCGCGGCGTGTGAGATGACCGGCGCCTTTTATGACAGTTGCGAAGACTGATGCAAGGGGTGGTGGGCTGTCGTCGTCGCTGATCGCTCGAGAGGAGAAGGACTGGAGAGAGCGGGAGAATAGGTTGAGGATGTGGTTGCTGACGAGCCCATTGGAGGCGACAGTGGGCGCCATTCTAGGAGTGAGAGTCGCTGATGATAGTGTTTCTCTTTCCTTGGTCGTCTATGCTTTTGTCCGTGGGTATAAGTGAGGAGGAGAGAAGAGAAGAGGTCCGTGTGGATAAAGGCCTCAGCTCAACTGCGGGCCGGGATTTGGCGGAGAAGAAAAGCTGGAAGAAGTGAAAGTTGATAACGGCGATACTTGATGAGAACGAACGACAGACCGCAAGGCGACAACCACCAAGTGATTGAGGAAAGGTATAGACTGAACCCAAGGCTCAAGAAGGAAGAATGAGTATGAGAGGAGGAGGGGTGGTCGAGATGGAATGCAGCTGATGAGCATTCGAATCCCAGCCACGTCAGATTTCCCGAGCTCCACCGAACCAGGGTAGAACCAGAAGCTGCTGGCCGACCCGAAAGCGACGCCTAAAACTGGGTTGGGTGCCGCTTAAAGTGGACTTCCCAGGCCCTAAATGACGGGTAATTTGTCCCTAACGGCGATGAAATCACGGTGGTTGGAGTATCACCATCTGGGCCCCTGTGGGGTTCACTTGCCGGGAAATTCAGGCTAGAGCCTTGTTAGCGGTACCTAGGTAGGCGAGGTTCTGCCCACAAATTGCTCATGTTCTTTTTAGTACTCGTGCGCCCAATTCACTGGCACAGTACAGAAAAGATACTTGTGATTTCAAGGACGCTCATTTCAAGGTGCAATTTGCAAGTTGGAACTCGGTAGTATAATCTAGACAACCCCAGACACCATGCATAACGACAAGTGACAATCAAACATCCAAATTAATAATCTTCATCTTTTTAAAAATCATCTGGACTTCCCAAATCCCACTTTCGCGTCGTCAACTTCCTCTGCTTCTTGACCGTCGTCGTCACCTCTTCTTCTCGCGTTACGCTGGAACTCCTCAAGGACAGTTTTCGTGGTGAAACATCACACACATTCAGACTCTCTTGACTGGCCTTCGCTTTGATCGTGGCCTCACTGTCTCGAGCTCGAAGGGACGCCAGGAACGGGTTCGTCGCGATATTAACATTCGATCCCTCCTGCAACACTAATCCTTTCACCGGTGATTTATTGGTTGTTCGTGACTTTTTCGTCGGACTTCGAGTTTGCATTTCTTGCTCCAATGCTCGCAATCTCGCCCGAAGTGTCTCATTCTCTCTCTCCAGACCCTCAACCACGGCATTTGTCGGTTGGTCTTCATGGATCGTCAGTTGAGTTGTCTTGTGGAGAATGTCCAGTTTCTCATCCAAGAATTCTTCATTTCGGAGCTTTTCTTGCTCCCATGCAAGTCGCCATCGTTCCTTTTCTTCATCCATTTGTTCTTCCATCTCGGTCCAACATTCGTCTCGAACTTCTTGTTCCATGACTTCAAGCTTCTCTTCAGCAGCTTGCAACTTTAGTTCGGCTTCGGTTCGTTTGATCTCTTCTTCGGCTAGTCGAATTACAAGGGCATCACATTCTTCAGCCAGCCGTGCCACTTCATTCGTCGCTTGCTCCAGTTCTTGCTGGTTGAAGTAGCTGTCTTGTGGCGTTTGGCGTCCATTGTGTAAGCCGGTTGCTGGTCTGCTTTGAGTGCCAGTACCCAAGATTGCACTTGTAACACTCGGAATCCGAGGCACTGTAACTTCACGCGCCAATGCCGAATATCGTAGAATTTGGCTGGTCGCGTTAAAATCACCTTGAGGATCCGCTGTCACAATCATCACCGCTTTCTGCGCCTGTCTGGCCGTGCCGCTGTGATTTGATGACGGAAATGAGTTGGAAAACAACAACTCGGTCAACTTACACTGCCGGAAAGGCACAATGGGTTTGCTGCCTTCTTGTTGACAATCACTCTGCACTTGTAGACACTGACCGAGATACATTAGACTCTCGTTGATCTTACCAGCTTCAGCAAGTGTGGAGCCTGTTGTTTTGGCATTTCTCGCCCGCTCGGACCCTGCCAAATCAACAATTGACATCGTTCCACCAGTCCATGTGGGCATTCCATAACCATAACCACGTGTTCCCACCTTCTTCTTGACCTCAATGCAGAAAAATCCGTGACTTCGAGAACTGACACTGTTGCTGCCAGTCCCTGCCACTCGTCGTTCCATGAGGCCTGTTTCAAGTACCATCATGGCTTCGTCATAGCTACCACAAACGATTTTTCGTAGTCCGGCCACCACTTTCCGATCGTGCGACATCTCGGTATTCTTGAACAGTAGTGGTCGCCTAAGCAGTCCTTTCTGAAGCGCTGCTCCTTGTCTTGTCGACATTGCCGGGGCATTGGCCGACGATGGATTCGACAACAAATCAAATATTCGGTCGTTATACACTTCGTACATTGAGACGAGGACCACATATTCTGTTCTTGGGTCGATGTCCACGGTCAATGATGATACATCGGGCTGTTGCGGTAAAGTACTTGGCCGTGGAAGTTGAGGTCTCCGAGAATGATAAAGAGCCGATTCCTTCACAGACGGGGTTTTAGCAGGGGATCTCCTCAAACTTCTCAAACGCGATAACAGGGGAACTTTAGGTGGGGGGTGCCATATTTCTTTCTGAGCATTGAGTTCAACCTCGGGAGCCATAGCCAATGTCCTTAACGTAGGTGGGGTACCTTTGAAATGTTCATCCACAAGATGAAGATCAGAGGGTCTTAGAGAAACTACACTGGCTGAGGGAGATGACGGGAAACAGCCGGGAAGCTCGACGGAAGAATTGCCTACCATCATGGGGGTTTGGGCTCTGGACATGGGAGTCTGGGCTCGTGATAATCTGGCTCTGTCACCATCTCCATATATCGCTTCCAAAAATGTAATTGCCGACGATATTTGGGCTTCAGCCGGATCGGATGCTTGCAGGGATGCAAGTAGTCCACTATCAGTTGGAAGATCTGGATGGTCGGGTCTTCGAATATTTTGTCCAATCGACCTGAATAAGATATCCAGGGTCATTTGAGTGATACCTCGTTGTGATTTGGATCCCAAGATAGTGTGACTCTAAAGATGTTGTCAGCCCCGAGGGATATGATAAGCTTAGGTCACCAATACCTTCCCACTTCCTGTGACGCCAAGTGTTGCCACCAACCCATCTCTTCCAGTCTGTAGAACAGTCTTGATGGTATCTGCAGTCCCTGTCTCATTGAATATGTCCAGCTGGGTGGCATTCTCTTGGAAAATCTTGGTAAACCCGAATCGTTCAATCGCTCGTTTTCTAGAGTCATTGGGTGGCTGGAGAGTAATGTGGGTTGAATGTGACTGAGTGGTAGTCTCAGATTCCAAGGCATGAGAGGATGAAGGCTCAACGATCAACCATGATTCGACCTTGTCCTTGGGTGTTGATGATTGAATCGGCGGTCTCAGACGCAGGTAGACCTGGAACAGAGATGTTTGAGGTGCCATTTTGGTAGGGTTATCCATCGCAGAAGTCGGTCGGTGGAATAAATCACAATATGCACAAGTCAGTTGTGGATTGAGGTCAAGTAAATGGTCTTCTGAATGACTGTAGTCAACGGCAACTTGCGTCTACTGCCTGCGGTGACCATGGCCTCGCCTCAGGCTGGTAGAGAATATCTTGGCAGATCAACAATTTCCGTTGCTACGGCAGCCACGACCATGACGCGCACCTCGCCTAACCTACTCGACATGGGATCAACCACGTGACGCAATCATCTCTGACTAAAGCTGCCATCATTCATCTCTTCTCTTTCTCTGTGCAAACATATTCTTTAGAACAAACTTATTGTTTTGTCGGGTATCAAGTAAGGTGATGCAAAGAAACAGGGTCAAATGTAGCCAGCCATGCTTCCACCTGAATGCGATACAGAATGGCCAGCTCAAGGGCGTATTCTGTTCCCAACACGCCCGCTAAAATTTACACACAAATGCACCCTGACTCTACCAAAAGTCATCATCCAGCTCATCAGTTGCACCAGGATTCATTGTCCGCACCGGGTCTTCCATATCGACCCATCCCATAAAAGGTTTACTAACGCCATACCCAGCATATCTTTGAATCGAGATTGGAAGTTCTTTGATCTTCTCAACATCATTGGCCAGATATTGGTTCTCTTCTTGTCTTAAGTAACCTCGCGTTGAGAAAGCCGCTTTATGTTGGTCAGCGTACGGTACATTGAGCGGAGGCCCAGCCAGGCACTTACCATATACCAATCGTTCCTCATCAGGTGTAGTGTTTGCTCCAGCACCGTGAAAGCAACCACCAAGCATCATAAATGCATCACCAGGATCGAGTTCTGCGCATTCGATCGATGCATCATCACTTGATGGAGGTGGTTGAGAATAATCCCACAGGTGGCTCCCAGGTATTATCCGCGTTGCTCCATTTTCTTTTCTCGTCTTGGTTCCTGCTACGAAGAGGCATACCATTGTGTCTCTTCCATTATGGTGTTCTCTTGCAGCAGGATGATATGTGTGATAGATATCATCATCCCGATGCAGCGATTGAGCCTTTGTTCCAGGTCGAACAGAGAAGGTCACTGTGGTACTTAGTTGAGGTAATGATGTTGAGGTGCGAGCTTTGTCTCCATGCTAGTAAATTGTTGTCAATATTGGGAGTCGAATGTGAGGGCCACATATGCAACTTACCCAATAATTCCGCATGGTGGTCGTCAAGAAATTTTCACCAACCTTCTGCCATATCGAATTCCCAGCAATATTGAGTGCATATGTCTTCGACTTGCTCAATAACCCGGTCACCATTCTCGTGGAAGAGGGGACAAATTCTTCACGTTGCGCTACCAGAGTCAGTGGATGGAGTTTTGAGAATTTTTGGGAGTTGATTTACCATCGGCCTTCTCAACTCTGTTCAGGTATGGCCGGATTTCAGCTTCAAGAGATTCCAGGATCCCCTTGTCAACCAAGTTCTTGATTATGCAACCTCCAGATATTCTGAGACTTTGGCATATGTCGGACACCAAATCATCCTTGTTGCAATACTGTAATGAGTCTATCTTCCTGATGGTCGGGGATGATTTTTGACTTGAGATCGGATCTTCGATTTGTTCTGAGGGAGATGAGCATGGCGTGAGATATCCATACCGCATGGTCGAATTCGATAGACTGCAATCAGATGCCGACATTTTGGCTTTGATTCGTTTCGCTATGGTGGTTCTGTAATTTGGGAATGAGAGAAGGAAAACTGCGGATGTTTCTCTAGGCAATGGATATGGTATTTTTGTTAAAGTTCAGAATAATTGGAGAGGATAGAAAAATCGGACTATACTTATGAACAGTAGTCACAAGTTCCCGTAACAAAGAACCTTCTAACTCACAACTCGCAGCACATAGAGTTATAGAAGTGTCATTGATTTCAGTGACTGAATCGTGTCAAACATCTTACAGTCCGACTTGGATTCCTTATTTACACTTCGAGCTGTCATCAGGTGGCTTGACATGTCACAAGGAGATACCAGGACGAATACAGAACGACTGGCGTCTGCCTTTGAGCCACGTACATGCATAGAAACATTGGCACAGGCTTTGATCTGTTTCCGTCATTCATAAAATCAACGAATGGAGTCGACCTGCCCAACAACGAGATGAGGCTTGGTAAACACATCTGAAACTCATTGGCTCTCAGACGGAGTCCCCGGAACCTCAGCATTCGCTACACTGACGCAAATAGTCTGGGTGGACTGTTTATTGGCTTCTCCTGATTTAGACGGCTCACCCGCATACGGATGTATCTCAGCCAGAGAGCAGTCCACCAGGGCGCTTCAATCATTGGCTTGTACGATAATGCGGAATACGAGCTTGACTGTGGCTCGGGCTCCCAAGAACCTGGGACTGACCGCCTACGAACCACGTGGTAAGCTAATCTGCTTACTACCGAACTTTCAGTTTTCTACAATGAAGATGTGTAGGAAAGCATTTTGAGAGTGAGAATTGCAGATCACTTCCAATACCAGTCTCTCGAACAATCGATTCGGTAGGAACAAGATCGACAATGTTCTAAAGATACAGAAGGCCCAGCAATTCGACCCCAGTTATTTTCACCAGATTCGCTTCGTGGCATTCCATTTCTGGACAACTGTGGCTACCTGGTGCAAAACGCTATCTCAGCCTCGCGCCGCTAACAGCCCGGAACAAGCATAGCGGCTCGCCTATTCCAGAACCCAGATACAAATCTCAACCAGTGATCTACCGCCTGTTTCATCCCCACGCCCAAAAGCAGAAATCAGCAGGATGACAGGAAAGGCTTCGCGTCTTCTCGGCTGGCTGAAATTGAACATTTTCGGCTGGCCTTTCCTCCTCTCGTCCCCACGCTTTCGCTTGGGCCATGCATCCAGAACCATCGTGGCGCGTTCTATGCTTTTTCTGAAGCTGGCTTCGGTCAGCCCGTCCAGGTGTCGCCAATAAACATTTCGAAGTCATGCACTTTTACGGGCTCGTTACACTTTTCCACGCGACAACGCATGGGCTGTTACCAATAACAACATGGCATAGTTTCGAATTTCCATCTTTCAAGCACTGACCCACATGCGCCGCAGGGAAATGTTTGCTGCCCAGTTGGTCCATTTCCAATCCAATTGACGTCGAGAAGCCAACACTTCTGTCTGCTACAAAGTATGGAATGAGGAAAGTGGTGTACTTTGATGCGTCTTTCTGATCATATGAACAACAATGTTCAACCGTCATGGTGATCTCAGACTTTTCCCCGTCCTACATTCAAGATTCTACTTCCTGTATCACAGTCTCCTATACTGATCGTGTTTCAATCTTGTGGGCGTGGAAAACGACGTGTTGCTGTTGTTCCTACTCGTGTCGACTTCGTCACCACTTTCACCAAACGCTGTTCACCGCGAAAAATTGTGGACCACAAATTCTTGCTATACTGGACTTTATGAACGCTGGAGATCGTTCTTGTGCCATCTTACATATTTGACCGGAAGCAGGTCCTCCAGGGAAGTGTTTCAACGAGTATAAATCGCAAGCATGTCGATTTTTCAGTGCTCTCACAGTTTGTTCTCGTCACAAAAATTCATCATTTTCACAATATGTACGGCAATGTTCACAGACGGCTATATTTGCAGTGTTGTGGCTCCAGTCATCCCATATATCATTGAGGACCTAGCACTGGTGCCTGCTGACCAGGTCCAAATGGCCACTTCAATCATCGTCGCCTGCTTCGGTGTATCTGACATAGTGGGTGGTCCGCTTTGTGCATGGTACATTGACACGACCTCCAACCGCAGAGTGCCGTTCTTGGCGGGACTTGCTTTCATGGCCACCGGGACTCTTCTCTTCGGTCTTGGAAATGCATTCTGGATTCTCGCTGTGGGTCGCATCGTGCAGGGATTCGCATCCAGTATCCTCTACACCGCTGGTCTAGCGGTCTTGGTGGACACAGTACCCAAAGATGAGGTCGGCCAATGGATGGGCACTGCAATGTCTTGCAATAACATTGCAATCATCTTGTCCCCCGTTCTCGGTGGATGCATGTATGAACTATTGGGTCGGTCGTGCGTGTTCATTAGTATGCTCGGGCTGATCCTGATCGACGCCACTTTACGAGTCCTCATGGTCGACAGGCCCAATAAGTCGAGTCAGACCAAATCAAGAAAACATGACCTTGATGAGTATCAAATGCAAGAGAGAGGAAGCGTGGAGATCGACACCTCAAACGAAGCAACCCACAGGCTCCTCTCCGAAGAATACACCACTACCCACACAGCCCTGGTCATCCAAAAGAAAACCGAAATAACAATCACTACCACCGACCTGCCATCCCCAACACCTTCAATAACCATCAGTACACGCCGACTCCGCCGACCGGCACCACCAAGCCGCATGACAGGGATAATCCGCCTGGTCCGCTCCCCACGGCTCCTCACAGCCCTGTACGGCACGTTCCTCAACGAAGCCCTCGTCGCGTCCCTCTGCGCCATCCTCCCGCTCTACGCCTCCCGCACGTTCCACTGGAACTCACTCATCTCGGGCCTCTTGTTCCTCACCATCGCCATCCCCGGCTTTTGCGGCCCACTCGCTGGGTACCTCGCCGATAAAATCGGTGCTCGGCCGGTCGCCATCGCCGGTTTTCTCCTTACGGCGCCGACTCTCGCGGCGTTACGGTTCGTTGAGGATGTTGGTGGTAAGGACCAGCTGGGCCAGAAGGTGCTGCTGTGTGTGTTGTTGGTGCTCAGTGGGTTCACGATTATCTTTTTCCTGAGTCCGCTGGGTGCAGATCTGAGTCAGGTTGCGGATGATGTGCAGGAGCAGTTGCAGCGAGAGTACGAGAGTCAATGTTCGTTCATGTCGAGGAGATCAATTTCACCTTCTCCACGAAGGTCCGAGTTCAGTGACAGGGAAGGATATAAAGAGCGTGATAATGCGGAAGAATCATATTCCGCACCAACGCTGTATGCGTCGACGTTTAGCATGATGAACTGCGCACTTGCTGGCGCAACGGTGTTCGGGCCACTCGTCACGGGAGGTCTGAATCAGGCTTATGGTTGGAAGACCGCTACGGCGTTCATGGGCGTCATGTGCCTCAGTGGTGCCGTGCCGTGCTGGTTCTTCACTGGGCAGCAGCGGCAGCGGAAATCGGGGCGGGAGATGTCGGAGACTGATTATAGTATGGTGAATGTCGCTGATAATGAAATGGGTCGGGAAGTTGAGAACTTCTCCCGATGCTCATTGGACAGCAATGGCTCGCGATGAGATCGCAGCTTGCTTTGCTTTGTATGATGATGTTTACGCTGATTATGACCCATCTCGGGAGTCTGATTAAAGCATTTCAATAGCGGTTTGTTACATGTAGCCTAAACATAAATAGTCCTACCGTCACAAGTTAATGAATGACCAGTGACACATATTGAAGTACACCGTGTTATCCTATAAGTGGTCCAATACCGCTGTTCCAAGGCAAAGTATCTTGAATGACACATTGAGCGTTCAAGTTCTCAACAGTGTAAGAAACATGATAGCGTGAAAACTGCATAATATGATATCGTCATCTGCAGTTCAGCTAGATAACTACGTGTGATCACCATCTGAACTAGCCTGCTGGTCCGATCCCTCACTATTTTCCTCGTCGTCTTCCTGCTGTTTCGATTTAGCCTTCTTGCCTGATTCATGGCGCCTCTTCTTGCCCTTAGCCCCAGATTTATCCTTCTTGGTGTCCGCGGTGGATTGCTTCTTCTTTGCTGGTGACTCTTTCTTCGCTACGGGCCGCTTCTTTCCCTTTCCTTTCGATTTCGGTTCGGCTTCACTTTCACTTGGTTCTTCGCTCTCCTCGCTTGAAGCAGCTGACTCAGATGATGTCGGCTCTTCGCTGACGACTGCAGTGTGCGACTTCTTGGCCATTCTCTTCGGGTTGACCCTGTGCTTTTCTCGTTCAGCCATCACGTCTTCGTCGTGTCCATAGAGCGTAGACAAGTACTCGTCGAAAGCTTTCGTGGCCTTCGCAATGGTTCTAAACTGGGTGAGGTCGAGGCGAGGAGCGATATGTTGGCCGCCCTTCTTGTCCGCTTTTTCTTTCGCCTGGTACTCGGCGAGCGCAATCGCAGTTTGGAATGCATTGCGAATCTGTCTACCATTCCAACGCAGCTCTGCATCAAAGCGCCTTCCGGCAAAGTCAAGGAGCTCCTCTTTGTCGTACTTCATGATCGGTAGGTGGTGCTCTTTCCGGTATTTGTTGTACTCTTCCACCCGTCTTATATTTGATTCCCAGACCTGTATGGTCTGGGGCCGGTTAAGTTGAGGATAAAATAGTGTTAGATGGATCCTTGAGCGGAATGCATCATCGATGGTCCCTACTCGATTGGTCGTCAGGAATAAAATGCCGGAGTAATACTCCAAAACACGTAGGAAAACTGTTCAAATCTCCATTAGTTGATTGTCTGGGTTCATAGGGTTTAGTGCTACATGCCTGAAACCAAGCCATTGTGCTTCACATCGTGCTTGAGACGCTTGGCCAAAAAGACATCTGCCTCGTCCAGTAGCAGCACACATCCCCATTTATGTGCGAGTGTAAAGATGTTATCAAGAAATCGCTCTACATCGGCAGGGGTGTACCCAATGTCACCTGAGTAGACTTAAGTACAAGATTTGTTTATACTTCGTAATTGTATCATACGTACCACACGTTATTGGCAGTAGTGGCCTTCTCGTATAAGCAGCCACACACTCTTGGTCCGACAGTCAGCTGTTGGAGCTCAGGTAGAATGGTCGCGTAGCTTACCAGCTGTGCTTGTTTTTCCAACTCCAGGTACGCCATGGAGCAGTATGATGCAACCTTTGCCTGTTTCAATTGTCTTAGACCTGTCCTCAATGATTTCGAAACAAAGAGCACTAATTTTGTGCCTTCAATGAATTTCTGAAGACTCACCTTTACCACGCACAAGATCAGCTTCGAACCTTTCCCCTTGTCCTCGATGGGCACCCTTGTCTTTGTCCGCAAATTTTTCGACCATTGCTCGCACCAGCCTTTTATGATCGCCAGGCAAGACAAGGTCGTCCAACCTCCATCTAATGCATTATAGTGGATTTCTTGCAGAAGATCCAATCTAAGGGCCACTAATAGGATTTTAGTCTCTAGATTTTGCTGGGTCAGATATGACTTACCCCATCTTCTGTTTCGCAATGAATATCCCACGACAACGCCAGGGAGGAGATGATGTAAGTCGTTCTGACTGAGAACATCCAGATAACTGTCCGGATTGGCTCGGATTGATTTTGTGTTATTATCCAGTTCCTCGAGCACTTTCGAGAGATGATCCAGATACTCGTTGAGCAACACGCCTTGCTGCGTCAGATACTCACATTTTCCTCCTGGGCAGCATCCGAGACTACAAGAATGGCCAGAGACCTCATAGCCTGGAGTGCGACCCATCTCATCGGCTAAATCAGCACGTGAAAGTCTGTTCCTGGATGGAAGCCTTTCATGGTCTTGCTCGGTAGAGGAAGTCTTCATATCGATGATAACAGGACTCGAGATCTGTAAACTTCAGTCAGACTCCGGGACGGATGGAATGCTCAAGCGGACCTACCTCCTCGCTGTTGTCACCCGCCGTAGACCCCTCGTAGCGTAGATGGCTGAGTCTTGTAAGGTTCACATACCTCTTTCCTCGGTCATGCAGATCCAGATACGGGTCTTTCATTTGCGGTCGATAGTGGATAGGATAGACTTCCAAATCAGTAATCTCCATGGTTCCATCATAGGGCTTCAGGACGATATGGTCCAGGACGGGTTGCCACTCTGTTCCTGTGTACTCGATATAATAACATTGTAGAGACAGATCACTAAAACAATCTCGTGGGCGCGTTGAAACAGTCCCCTTGCCGAATCTGGTGGCCAGCCGCATATGTGGCACACTCTGCGAACGCCCTCCACCAACTGTGCTCACAACACGAAAAGCCTGGGGAGCCCAAAGTCTTTCGGTGAACACACTGGGAAGATCATCGCTCAAGCCACGGAGCTTATGGCCTCCCTTCCGGCTTCGACAATACACATCAGTGCCAGAATCGAACAGCATCCAAAGATGTTCAAAGGATATGTGGGTCTGGGTCGCCCCTTTGAGACTTTCGATCATCGCAAGTTGTTCCGCAAAGTATGAGCTAATAAACTGATGGAGCTGACTGAAGTGAGCGAGGGCCTTGTTGAGATCTTCCGGCGGCGTGTCATCATCTTCGCCCTTCAGACTGGGAGTCACGTCCATAGAACCTGCAGCAGGGGGTTCGTTGTTGGGCAAAAGCACAGAATCAACACTTTGGGACTTGCTGAGAGTCTCAGCATCCTCCAAGTCACCGCCGGCTTGAGAAGAATTGCTGATCTGCTGTCAGTTCTTACTTTCTGGACAAGCAACGACCAAGATATATATAACATACCTGACTTCCCTTTCAAGTTCCGCAAGGCGTTCCGTGATGTTGTGACTTTGGCGGATTAGCAGACGAAAAGGCTGGCTGAAAAGTATATGTCCATCCTTGGTCAAGCTAGTCTTAGTCGTCTTACTGAGGAATTCTGCGACTGGTTTGGACTCAATCCGCACTTCCACAATGACGACCTTGCCTGGCAGTGGGCCGAAAGGAGCTGGGGAGTTAGGATCACGAGACTCTTCCACCCAGTCATCAGCCCGTTTGTACAGAACTCCGATAAGGTGTTTCGAGGGACTCTTCCACTCTTTGAATTCTGACGGGACAGAGTCACAAAAGAATTTTACTATCGTCTCGATCTCTTGCGTTTCCTTAGCTTTCTCATGAGTAAAGGGATCATATGTCGATTCCGGCTCAGACTCCGGGGTAGAAGGCCTTGGAGAGGCTGGATCCGAGGGTTTGGCACCCTCAAGCTTCTCAAATCTTTGCGTAATTTCGTCCAAGATGCCGGTGAGATTCTTGAGTAGCATCTGTGGATCTCCTTGGGACGAACCACCGAGTTTGGTAGCCCATGAATCGAGCAGTTGGGTAACACTATCTTTCCGGTTCTGAGGTGCCTCAGCCCTATTATGATTGTCGGCAGCGTCATGGCTAAGGCCCGATGATGTGTCCAATGGGATAATAGTAGCACCATTCAGCATAGTCTCCGTCCCTGAGTTCGAACCATTTGTATGACTTAAACTAAAGCGCCTTGACGAAAGGGACTCAGCTGGTGTCGGATGAGCTTCGGACTCAATCCCATTAGCACTGTTAGCGTTCGAGGAAAAGGTGGGAACAACTGAGGCAGACATGATTCCTGCCTGGGGTTCAGGTTGTGCGATCGCACCGCTAACTCAATTTGGTCAGCCCCTCACCGGGAATGGCCTTGACAGGTCGTTCACTGCCTCCGCAGAGCCTCAACACTGGGATACTCGAACTTGCTTTTGTGACAGAGTTGAAGATGTCTGACTCCCACCGAAGGGTTTAAGGAATTTCCTTGTGGTTATGTGCTAAGATTGTAGTTGAACAATCGTTGGCCTCAGTCACTAAGTATCCACAGTGAGGAGCTCGTTGAAGCTAGATCGCCTCACCGAAACTCATCACAGCTTCCTTGGAAACGAAACAGGTAGACAGCTCCTTGCCACTCAGGTTCCGTCAAGTAAGAAGTGATATCATGAGAAGATGCTGTGTGGGAGTAGTTATCTTAAATGTCTCCCGGGTAAGGCTGAACATTGCGAAAGGACACTGTTCTTTCCCCACTTCTTATCAGGCTGGTCGCTGGCATCATCAATTTTGGACGACCCTTTCACTCCAAGCGAGATGCGACCATTGCTAGCTCCGCAACCTTCCCCTCACAACACGGCCCAGCTTGCGTTTGCATCTCGACCTGCCGCAGCACTTTGCTGTCGCCGAGAGAAGTTGCGAGCATGATTTGCTCCTCCATTGGGCTTTGAATAGGCCAGAACGTCCGGTTCATATGCAGTCTCATATCTGGACCCCATGGCACTTGCCCATTTCGTGTTCATCAGGCCACCCACCACCCTCTTCGATGAACAGGGTGGTGGCTCGAACCTATGAGACGAACATGACGGCCTTTTCTTTAGGTTAGTTGGTAGGATGTGTCACCCACCCTCCTCATCGAATTGCACATGTTTTTCAGTTCTCAGCCTGATGCTTCTCACTGAATCATCGTTTTTTCCATCACCAGTCTTCCTATAACAGGGATTGTCATTGAGGACAAATCCATCTCAGTTGGCAAGATCGCCCTACCATATCGTTAGGCACTCAAAATGCCACCAGGTAGTGTACAAAGTAGTAGACCAACAAGGGATAAGTTGCTTTCGAATCCAGCGGTCGAGTTTATGGAGAATCGTGCAAGTCCTGAACTGACCATGGTCCCTGACAAGTCAGGGCAGAGCGCCAGCATCCAATATGACCCACTAAGAGACAAATGGGTACCCGAGGAAGACCTCGTTAGGTGAGAGACAAGAAGGTCAACCATGTAAAGTCCGTGTTGACGGATTGCAGTAGGGAGAAGTTCTACCAGGCCTCCGAAGATCAGAGACACAAACTAGAGGTGGCTCTGCACAAATTCAGTCAAAGTATCAAGACGTATCAGGCGGCGAATCAAAAGAAAGCTCCTATTATTCCCATCAAGCCGCTAGGTGAATATCAGTTCGACGACGTATTGAAGGTTATTCAAAAGATCGAGGAGCGGCATAAGTTCAAAGAGTATCCCAAAGGATTACAAACCCTGGGCAACGTTTTCGAACGAACGATGAAGGATCGAGGAACACTCAAGGCATTGCTCGATTTTGTTCCCCGAGATTCGTATTGTGCACCAATATGCGGGAGCTTTTCATTCATTTTGGCGGTGGGTTGTTCGTGTTCAATCAGCATGGATTCAACTCATTTAAATTGCCACAGGCTTTGGATAGAGCCGGGGATTTCCGAGAAAAAGCTGTCGAGGTATTATCAAATATTCCCACGCAACTCGAAGGTATGAAGTCCTTGGTGAGTCGTTCATGGAAATCCGAAAGACTGCAGATATGCGCGGATGCCGTGTTCGTTTGTCTGTTTCGGCTGCTGGAATCTCTTGTCACGCAATTGAGCGAAAAAATCTCAAGTATCAACGCAGTCCTCTATTCGCTATAACTCAGATTTCTAATCGTGTCACTAGAAAAATTCACTCGCTCTTTATTTCAGAGCTATGCTTCGATTCAGACAACTGCAATGAAAGAATTCACGGCCTCCATTGATAGGTTCCAACAACAGGTATCTCATGACAGCCACCTGAGAATTGGAGATGGCTACTCGAGGATAGGAGAGATGGGTCAAAGTTTGCAGCAAATGCGCGAAGAGAATAATAAGAGCACTGAATTCGCCCAACGCATGGATGCTAGAAATCAAGAAGCATTTGACCGAATAACAACGGAACTTCGCGAACAGCGCGAAGACAAAGCCACGATCTGCAATTATCTTTATGGCCTCCTTACTAGTGCTCCGTGGTTCAAGGAGCGGTTGTTGCAATGTAAGCAATATTCTTTTCCACAGCATTGGCTCCTAAGTACTAAGAAGATTAGTCGATGCTGGCATAATTCCACCTCCTCGGGAAACACGTGCCCTGGCGCCTGGCGGACAATCCACATTAACATCTCAGCGAAATAAAACGACAAGGGCCTTCATCAGATCTTGGATCAAAGAGGTGAAGCTCCATCCTTCGACAGCGGCGAAAGATCGCAAATCTCTCCTCAACAGCTTCGATGATCTGGGTATCGATGACAAGGACATTCTCTGGTGGATACTGGGCACTACAGAGCTGAAAGATTGGCTCAACACCGAAGGCTCGCAGAATCTCTTCATTCAAGCTGAGACACCACCCGACAAATTAGTAAACCCTCTCTGCTTTGCCGCTGCTTTCCTGGTCGACCAAATACAATCCATGGTGGACTCCAATGTTCATATTTTAACCTATTTGACTGCTGTCCGGAGAGATAAATCATCAAGCATAACGTCAGCGACGCTGCCACTGCGGATCATCAACCATCTCAACACCCAGCTTCTCTCATCCATCTGCGAGAGGCGAATCCCGATGGATCTCTCGACGGTGATTCAGAAAAAGAAAGTTCGCGGTCAAACACAGCACCAAATGTCTGCCGCGTTGGAGCTTATAAGAGCCGTTCTTATCGAAATGCCAGCAAATTCAATGGTTTTCATCGTACTCGACTCTGGATCCGCTCATGATGGGCTAGACGATGATGGCGATGAAGTTCCATTCTTTAAAGCTCTCCTCAAGCTAGGGGACGAAACAGATGTTGTGGTCAAAGTTCTCTTGACAGACACGTTGGCAGGGCTGGCGTCGGCGTTGAAGAAGTCTTCTTTCGAGGTGTTATATGTGCCAGACCATGTGGATGGCGATCAGCAGGACTTGGCATTCCAAACCTTGACAGAGGATGTCAAGGACCCCTCGATGGCTACGTTCTTGAGCTCTCCTCGTGCTGATCGAGGTAATGATGAGAACGATTCCGACTCCGACACCGAGATTTCCGAATTGATCGAGTACGCGCTTTCCTCTACATCAGAGGCAGAGTAAGAGGAGGCGAAAAGGCTGCCAATTTGTAACGTTTTTGCCTTTGGAACTTCGTCTTCACTATGAGAGCGAATGCGGGTCGCGTGGTCTATGGCTCATTTGTGTGACTTACTTCTAAGAACGGCAGCATAATTGAGATGGGCCCAGCTTCGTCGAGCAAGTAGCTGGTGATGATGGGTTGTCCACACGTTTCGCATTTTGGACGACTGAGAATGCCAAAAGTCTCATTTGACAGCCTGTTGGTGCGTTGGAACACTTTGCTCTGCTCTTTTTCAAATCTTATATGCCTCAATGTAGCGTGCCTTCATTTTGGGCCAGTATGTATCTACCACCTAGGAATTTTGGCTGTCACAAGCTCAAGAACTCGAGCCTCTACAGCTCAAACTCATGAACGCGGGCGAGCGGTTCTATAGTTCTCTTGGCGCTTGGGCAATTCATCCACATCGTCGCTTCTCTATCAAATGCTATAATCCTCTCAGTTTTGGCAACAATATGCGAAACTCTTTCTGCCGGAGTCTACTTGCGATCGTCGAACTGCCTAGCTATCATTAGGCGATCAGTGATGTGGAAATCATATGATTCTAGTACCTGTCCTGGTCTCGGTATAAGGCGCCAAAAAGTCAGTAGGGATAAACGCCTGATACCGCGTCCTCAATGGCACTTGTAGCAATCCAAAACTCTCGACAATACATGCACTTCTTTGTCCTGCCCTTTTTGTCTTTGTACGTTTTCCGACATGGAGAAGCCGGATCGCAGGCAGGGCGGTTCTCATACAATCTACTCCGCTCAAAATCAACCAGCATGATCTTTTCTGTGTCTTGATCCAGGAGTATGTTATATAGCTCAGCATCGCCATGCACGACCTGGGAATCGTGTATCTGTTGTAGATGCGAGAGGACCTGCGGTGTGTATTTGGCAGACAACGAGGGCCCTGCCCCGTCGCCCTGTCGAAAGGCATCTAGAAATGGTGTACCGCCATATGAGAGGAGGAGAATATGCACCACGGGTCTATCTCCACCGAAGACTAATGGGCGATTCAAGGTGAAATGGCCACAATATACAGGCTGCGCTGTTCCTTGCAGATGTTCAAGTCGTGTGTATGCTGCTTCTTCCCGCTGCACATATTCGAGGTCCTGATCTTGGAACCCTTTGGCAACAAGGCAATGTCCGGACTTTGGCAGCAATATCTTCAAGACAACACCACGGGCTCCGGCCAAACTTAGAAGGCTGATGCTAGATGCAGAAGGTTCGGCAAACTCCAGTTGGTGTGCCACCAGTGCCGGAAGTTCTTCGGCTGGCAGGGGATGAGCACCATGTTTCGCTTTGTTGGGGCATGTTATATCTGCTCTGCGTTCGAGGACTCCCTTCAATTCCAAAAGACAGGAGTGACTGCAATACGGATGCGAGACGACATCGACAGCAGTACTTCTTGCTCTTGTTGTCATCGCGTGTTTTCCCGTGGCGTGTGCCATGGATTTTGTCGCTAATCTGCAAGCACCCTGTCAGACCCTGGAATGATCAGAAATGCCTTAGTATGCTAGCCGGCTGCTGGTCTTGTAACACACCAACGAGCTTTTTTGTTGTAACTAGTCAATTTCGTGGAAGTCAGAAGAAAAATATCCAGTGGAGAATGATATTCCGTCAACTTCGCCCCCAACATCCTACCGATGAACAAGCGAGATTAGGCCATTCCCCTCTGGAGTAAGTTTTACTCGGATGGATCACTTTTGTGGGGAGTATATACTGAAAGGAATATCCAAGCATCAGATGAGTCATATGAGTACGTAGACATGCTATTCATCATTTTTTCGTAGCTGACAGGATAACCCTGCACTCGGATGGATTTCATGAATAGCTTCAATCTCTTCGTTATGATTCAACAATAAATGTATCACGTGAAGCAACGAGTCCTGATAGATAGTGACTTCCATAATTCTAAGCACATTCGAACAATCTATCTCCAGAGCCTGATGGGCATTCATCAGGCGTTGTTAATGCCCGCACAGGTTGGTATCTTAACCCCGTCGCCTCGATGGGCCCATGCCATGTTTCATTTGTAAAGCCAGCGCTCGCTTCTCTTCCGGCAGTTTGCGAGATCAGGAATCAGAAGTGTTGTCCATCTCCGATTCTGGCCAGTCGTTACCATGGTCAGAGGCTAGCGCCTTGAGATTACTATTTCAAGCGTGTGTGCAGGTTCTAGAACACGAGAATTGTGGGTCCTAAAGCTTCTAGAGACAGCATTGAGTGGGCTCCCATCGAGGACTGGGAGACACAACGCCTTTGAATAGTATCGTTTCTGCCCTGACTTGGCGCGATGGCAACCTTCTGTTAGAGAAGTAAGTAAGACCCAGCGTCAAACTCACAAACCCGCACAATTCCTTGGTTTGATGTGAGTAGGCGACAATGAGTTCTTTGTGGAGGACGAAGGTGCTAGCAGTAATCAGTATGTACTTCAGTACGCTCGATAGCAAAGATAGCTAATGCCTTGTTCACTGAGCCGCAATCGATGATCTGGATATTCATAGTCTGATCACCATGGATGAACGCACATTTCATCACGGATAATCTAGCTCTTCCACATGTCAGGTTGTATCAGAAGGGAGCCATGTGCCTTGCATTCTCAAATATTCGAATTCACTGATCAAACGTGTTCTTGTTTGGAGTGAGTAAATTCATCAATGGGAGACATAAACAAGAAGAACAAGAAATTTATGTTGACTTGATTGAAGCTCCAGATCAACTGCGTTAGTGGGTTGTCCAGCTAAGCCGTTATTTAGCTGAATACGGCTGATTATTAAATGCCATTGCAAGCTTGATGTTTGAACCACGACGCGCTCGCCTCTCATCCAAACAGTCACTGATAATCATCAGCTTTCGTGGTCCTTGCTTCCACGAAACCTATCCAAAAGGTTTGCGTGTTGCCGTCTCGACCCCATATCTCTGCCACTGGCAGCTCATAACAATCATGTGCTTCGTGGCCGCCACTATTCCACATTGCACAACTTCGGTACCGATTCGAGCGAGTGGTTCCAAGCTCATGTCTCAACTATCTCCATCCTTCTTCACGAGCTTCATCTCCATGTACACCTCAGCCGGGTTGAGAGTCCAAGAAACATGCTCTTCGTCGGTATCAGCATCGTCCCTACCTCGTTTCGCTCGGCGGATTGGCGCAGCTCGACGAACGGGTGTTTTGCGCCGTGCTGTAGAGTGTCACATGTCAGTCAGCATATTTCCTACAAAACATGGCTCGAAAGCAAGATGGACGGCTACTGGGTTGTGCAACTCACGCTTTGGAGCTTTGGGTTGAGAAGGAAATAGTTGAGACCCAAGCTTTTCACTTAGCCTCATGATAGCATCAAAATCTCCCTTGCTGTGTTCGTTATCCCAATCGAAGACGAATAACTGAGTCTGCAGCTCAGTGAGAGTGGTAATGATATTGCCTTTGATATGATCAGGCGAGAGTTGCAGTTCGGTGTTTCCTAGTACCGGCAAAGTTTTGGTCTTTCGCAGAATAGCATCGAGTGCTTCGATGTCCTCACCCAGTAGCTGCCAGTAGTTCTTGAAGACTACTGGTTCATCTTGGACGGAAGCAGTGGTTTGCGACGATTCTGAGGGCTGCGGCGCTTCGAGCTTCACGTTGCTCAGTGTGTTTTTTATATCATTGTAGAGCTGCTGAACGTAGACAAACGCGTCGCGCTCCATCGCGACTTCAATTGCTTTTGAAACGTTGGATACGCTTCAGGGAGTGACCAAGTGGATAAGCAAAATTGCGAAAGATGGGCCTCAAATACCATCAGCAGACTTCAACCAAGAGAGAAGATCGATTGGTGTGAGAACAGGTTCATAAAACGTCAAATTATTGTCACTTCTTCACTCGTAGAAAAGGGATATGATTGACATGAGAACACGGCTAGTGAAGGAAGAAGATGTATGTCCAGAAGAGGTCCGCCTAAATCAAACCCTTGAGAGAAACAGCGGAAAATCACTCAGAAGCAGAAGACTCAGTGAAAGAAGAGATAATGAATAGCGAGAGGATGAATGTCCACGGAGAATTTCGTCAATGACCGGAGGGTCATCTGGAAAGGAAGATTTAATGAGCAGATGCTGACATAGTTAAAGGTAGGAGTTTCACCTGGAGAGAACAGACTACGCAAGGAGGAGGAGGTATCGTGCTTTGGCAAATTGTCTGTCTGATTGTCATGCAGTGTCGACTGGGAATTTCATTGAGCAGATAAGGCCTGAAGACGAAGATAATTTGAAGCACGTCCTCATCCATGAGCTGATGAAGCTGACGGTTTAGCTCTCTGCTTCTGCTATTGAACCCCAGTCTCCAGCTTGATATTTGTCTGCTTCATCCTTCTCAGGTTCAAGATCTCAAAACCGAGGCATAATACCACCATTAGCCAAACCTCTCAACTGTGGGACCAAAAAGTAACTGGGGAGGACCTGGCCACTTGGCATAAAAACGCGCCTTCCTGACTAGACCACGACCGTTGCTAATGCCTTCTAGACTGTTGTGTTTGTGTCGCAGGCTTCGGCATTTTGTCGCTTTCGCTTGACTGCACAACTTCCACGACTGTTCTGGGAGGCTGATTGCGTAGTGGACTTCTTTGCTGCTGAAGAGCATCAATTATTGACTGTTAGTATAGCTTTTGTAAAGGTCTGAGTTGAGATATGTAGATTTCAAAACGCGCGACTTACGCGTGGGAGCAGGGCTTGTGGAGTGGTCAAGTTCTCGAAGTTTAGTCACTTGACTGACGACATAAGAAGATAATCTAGTCTTCAGGTTTTGCAAATGAGGGGAAATATCAAGCGAGTATTGCTTGTAGGTGCTGGGTTTCATGTCGTCCTTGAAGTCTTTGTTGTAACCATGGATATAAAACAGAGAAGACTTAAGCTCTTGGTCAATCTCGATTTCTTCTAGCATCTCGAATTTTGTATGAACTTTGATCTGGTTGAGCAGCCGCACAAACTTCTCGATGTTCTCATTGAGTGACTTGCGATAGTCTCGAGGTCTCAGTATACGGTACATGAAGCCGCTCACTTTTGGTGTCAACTCATCTATCTCTAGTTCAAGATTTTTGATGTCGTTGTCGATGTCATTGGCAATTTGCTTCATGAAAGTGAGGTGATACAGCTTCATGATGGCTACAGATCATCTGAGGACATAGGAATCAAAACGGCAGAAGATTTTGGAGAGAGAAGACTCTAAGCGCGAAATATTGAGGACTGCTATAGAGTATCGAGACCCTTCATGAACATGTGAGTCAACATGAACAGGCAGAGGTAAGCAGAGGGTCCATCATGACAGAGGAGTTCAAGAGAGAAACTCAACACATTGTAAAGCAAGTGATGATCGGCAACGAGTTTTTGTATGTGGAATTTGAGAGTTAAACTTCACCGGATTCACTTGATACAAGTGAATGCGAAGTGGGCGCAGAACTGATAAGCAGCTGAGTATTGCTGCATCTGCCCATACGTCCCCAGGTCGACTACACCAAGGCTTAAGACTACCACGAGTTCGCCTTGTTGTGCCTCGATAACCAAGCGACCGCAATAATGGCCTTGGGACCTTCATTTCTCTACCTCGCCCTGCAATTCCTCCTCAGCATCACTTTATTCTTCAACATCATCTGCCACTTCAACACCGCTGTCCTTTTCCTTGATACTTGTCTCTCTAGCTTCACTTGCCTCCGCGTCCTCAGTATCTCCCATGCTCTAATCAGCCAGTCTCTCGCGTGTTGCTGTCGATGATATAAGCTATTAGTTATGTTGCAAGGGAATGTGTGGATGGAAGCCCTGTTGGATGCTTTGGAGAGCTGAACTTACTCTCTGGAGAGACTCCGCTGGAGGCATCACCACTGGGAGATGGAAAGCTCGCATCTGACATTTCTTGATTGACAAGGAGAGGGGAGAGTTTCGACATGGCTATGCGGATGTTGGAGTCAGATGTGGCCCACTTCGCGATGTTTCCGTCGCGATTGGCATTGATCTCCAAAAGCAGATCGATGAGCTGATTCATGATTGCAGTGATCAAAGCTTGCGAGGAATCTTTGAAAGCAGTCTGGTGTGCCGGTAGATGAACTCTAAGGGCGTCTACCAAGCTGTTGAGCGACTCGATACCAGCTTCAAATACTGATGTGTAGTCTTGTCGGCAGAGGAGAGCCTGTAATTCATCGTCCACGCGGTTGTGCGCGGGATCATTTTTGGGTTTGACGAGAGCCTGCAATTTGTTGTGCAAATGGATGTGCGCGAGGTCGTTTTTAAAATTCAAGATGAGATGTTGAAGGTCAAATATATCTCCGAGGCTCAGCATAAAATCATCTGCGGGACCCATAGTGAGCGTTGAAGCTTAACACGATGGAGAAAATTCAGTTGGACAATAAGGCAGCGAGGAATGAGATCGAGGTTGGCCCTTGAAGAAGAGAAAATGGGATCTGGAGAATACACAAGAATAGTTCAAGTAAAAGGGTGATGGCTGGAAGAAGGGAGTAGTGTTCACACATGGAAGGGAAAGTGAAGAATAGAGGGTAAAGTGACAAGATGATGATATCCTCTCTCGAAAATGTATTCTTAGATCACCGAACCGCAGATCTCACTTAACGCAGTACCTACGACGGTGAGAGAACAAGGCAGCTCAGAAGAGTTTACAGTCTTGGAAATTATACTGGTGCTGCTTGGTCATGAGATGAGCGCGACAAGTGAGGTTTCCGGGAACCAAAAACAGCCCCAATATCAATGACAGCACTTCCTCTAGAGCAGCAGTGAGCTAACACGATCAGTCACCATGCCCGCCGGTACGGGATCCCGACATCGCGATTGCAGCGCACCATCATCTAACAATTCACCATCCCTTCCCTTCCATGTGGGAATAGAAGTGTTGCCCACCACCAAGCGGAGTGCATAATCATTCAGCACCTACCCCTGACCGAAGTGCGGAGAGCTAGCCTTGCGCTCGGTTGATAGTCGGTCCGTGAACGGGGTTCTCTTGGCGGCGTCGTGCGCGAGCATTTTCCGCAGGGAATAGTCAGTTGCCCTGTGCGATCGTCTCATCATTTCTCCGGCGATATCTGGACGTGAGTTACATGGTTTGAGCAGTCAATCTAGGTGACGAAAGGTGGGTGTACGAATGTGCCGCATCAGAGGGCAGGGTAAGCCTCACAAACAAGAAGACGAAACTGCTCGAGAAATGCATATAGATGGAAATGCAAGGTGAACGAACGTTCAAACAAATGTGTTATCCAACAGTTGGCATTGGCACCACACTATGTGGACTAGCTTCCAAGATACAGCGACCTGAAAACCACAAGATTCAATGCCCCATGGACAGCTTTTCTTGGTGCACTCCCTCCCTGCCAATGATACCTTTCATCTCGTGCCCTGGAATCTGTGCAAAAGACTTTTGTTGCTGTGAAAATGAAAGTTGACACCTCCGTTTCAGTTCTCTCAAGCCAAGGAGAACATCGATCATTGAAAAACTGCGTACGTCGCCTATACAAACACGTCTTGGATATTAATTTGGCGTGTATATGACAGAAGAAATCATCAGGAGCTTAGTGACCACTCCGCTGTTTCATCATGGCTCTTCGTTCCTTCTCCTTGGCTGTGGTAACGTTAGCTGTGTTTCATCGTTCATAGATTTCGATCGAACTTACCTTCATCATATACCAAGAATTCATGTAGAGCTTTTCCAGCCGGTACCATTGGTAGAACAGGTACCTTCTTGTCAACGACAACTTCCAATAGTGCAGGCTCGTTTCCAGTACCGCTAATGAGCCACTCAAGGCACTCCTCAACCTCGGATGGTTTTACACATTTCCGAGCTTGAACACCCATGGCCTCTGAGACAGCAACGAAATTGGGGTTCTTCTGATGAGTGTGTGCGAATCGATCTTCGTAGAACAGACTTTGCCATTGAGTGACCATACCCTGTTCTTCGTTGTTGAGGATGATAACCTTGACACCAATATTGAACTGGTTTGCTGTGCTCAATTCCGTCAATGTCATGTTGAACGAGGCATCACCATCAATATCAACAACGAGTGCATCAGGCTGAGCTACCTTTGCACCAATGGCTGCGGGTAGGCCAAATCCCATGGTACCTAGACCACCCGAGGTGACCATTGTTCGTGGATGTCGCCATCTGAAATGTTGAGCAGCCCACATTTGATGTTGACCAACACCAGTCGCAATGATGGTCTTCTCCTTCATATGAGCGGTCATATCTGACAATTTCTCGATGATTTCCTGTGGCTTGATCAAACCCTCTGGAGTGCCTCTCTCAAAATTGTTCAGTGGGAACCTTTTCTTCCAGTCCGCAATCTGGGCGAACCATTCTGATCTGTCGCCAACCTTCTTCACTTTGGGTAGGAGGGCTGCAAGATTGGCTGCAACGTCTCCCTCAACAGCCTCAGTTGCCTGCACGACTTTGTTGATGTTCTTGGGCATAATTTCGAAATGAACAATGCCACCTCGCTTCTGCGCAGCAGCTGCCTTGGCTTGAGGAGCAAAACCGGCAATGTTGAGAGTGACACGATCATCGAATCGTGCACCAAGAGCAATGATAAGATCTGCTTCCTGCATAGCCATGTTTGCATATGCTGCACCATGCATACCCAGCATATGTAGGGACTTAGGATCCAGTTCGTCGAACCCGCCCAAGCCTTGCAGAGTGGTTGTTACTGGGATATTGGCCTTTTCAGAAAGTTCTTTTAGGAGTTTCGGTCCCTCGGGTGTAGCAAGGACGCCTTGTCCAGCATAAACGACAGGCTTTTTGGCAATGTTGATGAGATCAGCCACACGGTTGATAGTGCCCTCCAATTGTCGGCGAGAAATATCCCGGGCAGCCAAAGTGGCGGCGGATGGATGTGCAGGTAAAGTTGATTGCATTGGAATGGGGCGCCTTAGGATGCCAGCTGTGACATCTTTTGGCAAGTCGACAAGAACTGGACCGGGTCTTCCAGAGGTGGCGATTTCGAAGGCTTCCTTTATCCTCTTTGGCAGTTCTGCGACATTCTTGACCATGACATTCCACTTTGTGCAAGCTCTTGAAATGCCAATGACATCGGCCTCTTGGAAAGCATCGGTACCAATAGCAGTAGTTGGTACCTGACCACAGAATACAACCATGGGAGTACCATCCGACATGGCATCCTGCATGGGAGTGATTACATTGGTGGCACCTGGCCCCGATGTTACAAGGACGACGCCAGGCTTTCCGGATGCTCTCGCATAGCCTTCTGCCATATGACCTGCGCCTTGTTCATGTTTTGGAAGGATGAAGTTGAAGTGTTTCGAGTTGTAAATGGCATCGAAGACTGGGAGAATGGCACCGCCAGGGTAGCCAAAGATGTTCTTGACACCTTGTCGTAGCATCATCTCATGGAAGATTTCTCCTCCTGAGAGACCAACAAATGAGTCATCGAGCTCGGGTAATTGTCTATTGACCAAAGGCGAAGGCTCATTCCGGCGGAAGTCATTGTTGAAAGCTGGGCTGGGGATGGGTCGAGCTGTTCTGGTGGAGGGTCAGTCTCGAAGCTCAGAATGTGTGGGATGCTTATAACATACTGTGTCTGAGCCGCGGCAGTGGTGGCCGGTCGTCTCGTCTGCTCTGTGGTTGATTTTTGGGATTTTCGGTAAGGTGAAAGAGCTGCGGCGGGAGTGGTGGTGGAGAAACAATTGGTCGAGCATGAAGGTCTTCGTTTGGAGATGGAACGAATGGTGGTTGAGCCAGGCCTCATGGGCATCATCCTGGTCGCCATTTTGGATGTTGTATGTGACAGAAAGAAGTTCTGCCTCGAATTGCGAGTGTGTTTTGGAGTGAGTAATAAATGGCAAAGGATTGGAAAAGGTGTGAGTCAGTGGCCTTGTGCTGGTTGATTTACTAGGGAACTGGATTTTGCGGAGAAGGGCTAGAGAAACTCGAAGGGAATTTCGGGATCTGGTGCAGCCACGCCACTTTCTTTTCCGACGTCGGTCTTGGCATCTCCGGATCGGAATAATTTTGTTCCATTCGTTTTCTTCCTCTGCCCCGAATTGGTATTCTTTTCACCCAATACTATCATAGGTATATATGAAGAGCATAGCTGTATAGCCCAGAGTTGAGTGATTGTGTAGAGCTAGTTGCACTCGTGAACAACCTCCAGAAGTCTGCACTTCGCTACATCTCATGAACTTCGCGGTCGAATACCTCCCACACCATATCGGGTTAGCTCGAATAGACGATGGGCGAAACCGGCAGCAAGATCAAGAGTCCAGACTCAAATGGGGAGCCTAAAGCACCTCCGAGACCAACCTCCACCTATCAGACGCAAGTCGTTGCTAAGACCCCTCCCTCCACCAAGCAATATATGATGCATGATCCTGTGTGCGAATCATGACTTTGAAAGCAGGGTATCAGCCAATTCAGAATATATATATCTCAATCCAGCTCAAACCGCTGTCCTTCACCCACAACTCTCGCATCAGCAATATTGGTCCGAGGAACGGTTGATTGCACCGCTTGCCCCGTAGACGCCACGGCGACATTCTCAACAGCACCCTTATAGATCCGGTTGACGACCTTCATTAACTCCCCTTGCTGGTCTTCGTCACGGTCCTGATCCTGAAACTTTTGTGCTATATGCCATTCCTCCGCGGTTAGCGACAACGCTTTCGATCGTTTAGTCAGCACCTTTTGCATCAGACGTGCCAGACCAGTGTCCATATTCAACTTATCAACAAACATGTCAAACAAATCGGTGCTTCCACCCCAAAGTGCCAAATCTGGCGCCGTGGATCCGTTGTAGTCGCGTAACTTGACATCTGCGCCTGCATCGATGAGCATGCGTAAGATCCCTGGCCTCCTTCTCCAGACTGCAGCATGTAGAGCAGCTCCGCCGAAGCGGCCTGCACGCTCATCGAGATTTGCGCCCATGGCGATTAGGCTTCGCACCGTCTCAATCAGTCCGTAGCTTGTGGCGTAGTAGAGTGCACGAGCGCTTGTGAGTTCAGACTTGGGAGGTATGTAGCCGTGCTTCGAATCGAACAAAACTACCTGCAGCCAGAATAGGAAATTCTCGTTTGGCTGTGGTGTCATGAGACGAAGTATCAGGGGCTGAAGCTCTTTCTCAGCACCAGATAGCTGCACGTGGAAAGGCCAATTCTGAGCCGCATATCGAAGTAGGGGATAATTTTCGAGAGTCCATTTCAGCTCTCCCAGTATCAGTGGCCCAGATTCGAAATCTTCCAAAAGGAGATAAGATATGCACACTTCGGCAATATATTTGTGGGATGTCGCAGCAGGAATTGAAAACTCGGATGTCGGACTGAGCCGATCAGTGAGGTATTCGCGGACTGAGTGATGTGCTATTCGAGCAGTCTCGGATACCGTGTTAAATGAGACCAAACTACCGCATATTTCGAGGACGTCTTTTGGGTCGTTCAAAGTTGCGTCCGGATCAAGCCAATCGAAGTTGGAGTCGAGAACAACAGCTTGCGACAGTTCTGGTAATGTCAGAGGATTAACAGCATATGCAAGCCAGAGTAGTGTTCGTCGCGCAAAGTCAACGTCCGCCAAGTCGATATTCTGTAAGATTCGGCTGTATGAGCCTTCGAGACTCGAGGGTAGAGACTTTAGTGCCTTCTTAACAGCTGCGTCAGTTCGGAGAGACGATATCGCATCCAGTTGACACTGCACCCATCGAAACCTAGTCACTGTAAGGACGCTATGAAATGTTTCCCCGTCTTGATAACACTTACATCGCATGCGAATCCTTCCGCAGAGTCTGTTCAACATAAACCTTCATTTTAGGACTCATCCTCGTTAGCCGAGCATCAGAATCAATTCTCATCTTAATGTAGGCTCCAATGTCATTCTCGATGGCATCCTCCGGCACGGGAATTTCTTGGAAAGGCTCCAGTCGTCGCTGTAAGTCCACTTCAGGCCGACTGCTGATGAACACCCGCAGTGGGTACTTGCCTGATGAGATGCAATCCGTGAGGAAGTCGCACACAATACCATAATCCGGGGATTCGTCTAGCCCGTCGATAACAATAATACTAGGCGACTGGTCTTCCAAAAAGAGTTTCAGAAATCGCTCGAGTTCTTTCGATTCAGGCTGCTTCGGTGTGCCCGCTCGGCCTACCGCACGCTGGTATGCGTCTGATATATCGTTTGGTATTTCGCCTGGCCCAGCACAAAATTGCTTAACAATCGTTCCAAAAAATGTCTGTGGTGTAAGACTCTCGATCGTACTTGCATCATAGTAAAAATATGCCAGCCTAACTGCTTGCATGTCAGATTGAATACTCAAATGATTTATAATATAACTTGTCGCGACTGTTTTGCCAGATCCGGCTTGGCCATGCATCCAAAGCAACGAAGAACGTTTCTGCATCCAGGATTGGAACTCCGGTTCGTGGAGTAGCCATGTGCAAGTGTCCAAGCAGTGCAGCTGACATCCTCGTCGGTATTGGGCATCGTATTGATGGTCTGATAGCCAGTCTAAGATTTCCCGTCGTTCTTGGAGTGCCTGGTTAGTTCTGAAATCCGCGCTCAAATCGGACACTGAGTCCGCAATGTTATCGAGTAAGGTAGTGTGGTCGATCAACATATCTCTGCTCCGGTCAGTAAACACCAAAATCGGTCTTTTCGTGTAGTACCCACACCGAAATGCTATTCAAACCCAGTGAAAACGAGTTCTTGTGCCTCTCGAGGGCGGAGACCAATTCTTCAGTCTCTCCCTTCCGCAGTGGCCAAAGAAGGCGATTGAGTGTCCTTCTTCCCTTAGATAGTCCAGCATCCGGCGAGTCCTTCTGCAACTTCGTCGACAACTTCTGCAGTAGCGATCGTAACTCTTGCAGGAGGCCGTCGAATTGATAGCCAGATGGATCACCATGCTTGACTGCACCCTGAACACCTACCAAAACACCGCTGACGCTGGTGACTTCAGCAACCAGTCGTCTTGCCTCATCTGGGGCGCTGGAAACTCCGCATCCATAACGATAACACTGTCCGATCACAAGCCCTGCAAGCTGGATCACTCCTGCCACACCGGTCGCGATCGAAAGCGGGTCGGTCATCTACCTGGGGCACAGTAACACGAATGTAAACGCATCTGTCACGTCTTCTCGAGTCAAAGCTGGCTGTCAGTCACAGGAGAGCTAAATCAGGTATAAGAAGTCATGTTCACTTCAATTAACATATGGAAAGTTAACCTTGTGAATGTGTTGAAGAAAGTGTTGCCGGAATGGCTGTGCTTGTGCTCGCTTGTGGCTCAGCCCCCTTGAGCGCCGCTTTAGCACCACTCTCCATAAATGACAAGGCGGCGTCAGATCATGTTAGATAAGCTGAGTTCGGCCCCTGGGACGCGCAGCCTGGTGCTAGTCTACACACTTCAACACCACCATAAGATAAATTGGGGGACAATCAGATCAGTGCAAGTGCGAGTCTTCCACACAGAGTAGAGAAATTAATGGGAGCTCATCTTGTATTACCAAGTCTGAACATCTTGAAAGGTTCGAACCAAGAAGGCCCCGGTCATGCGATTCATCTCGTGTATTCAACATGAACCATGCCGGTATCTACAGAATGAAGCATTAAATAGTAGTGAGGCGCCATTGAAACGCAAACAAGTGATACCTATCTAATGGTCTCGCACTCCGAGTCGTGGTTTCCACCGCTCTAATCTCCTGAGTACGGCGCATCAGTACTCCTACTAGACAGCTCCGGCGGAGCAGGGAACCATGGCGCCAACATACAGTGGAAACTAAAACTTTGGGGCATCTATTTTGTGAATATACTTCGTGTCGACCCTGCCAAGGCCGTATCGTATCGGCCGTCAGGCATTGCCGCCCATCTTTTGGAAGTCGCCGAGGTAGTCACACGGTCTAATCGGCCAATTATCGCTCTGGCGGAACCGCATCGTCCATTATTCGAGGCTGAGGATCGAAAAACGTCTTACTTCTGCAAGAGGCACGCACGGTCCACATTCCTGGTGGCATCGACGTCGAGCCAATGACAGTCCTAGTGGAACCGCATCGTGACGCAAGGAAAACCACAAACATGGCACGTGATATGCCTATCACGTCGGGCTTCCCCAACTTGGACCGGAAGTAGGGAGTACCATCCCCGCAATGGGTGGGCGAGCTAGAGGTGGCGACGGTGATAACTCAGGTCAAGGCTTTTCCTTCGACAACGTTCCAAAACTACCTAAAGGTATCTCTGCTCTAAACCCTCCTCCAAGCGCAAGATCATACGGTCGTCACTGGCCTAGGTTGAGACATGTATGGTGACGGCAAGGACGCATAACCATATGCCGAGGCTGAGAAAGCAATATCAGAGCTGCGACCGCTGCCGCCAAGGTCGACGGGCCTGTGACGCGGTGACAAATGGCGCGAATCCGCTGCAGAGTGGTGCCGCACAAGCGGTGGCCTGCTCAAACTGCCAGAAATCGAAAAGAAATTGTACATTCGACTGGCTCCAGCAACTCCCACGTGGATCACTACCAGAAAGGCTGAAACAAAAGTTCTCCAAAGACTACGATTTTGTTCACTACGAACAAGATCTGCAACCTCTAAGGATGCCGCGTTTACGTCCACAGCCTACGAGCCGGTCAGGAGACATGCCCATGGCCGCTCCAACTCAATCTGCTTCCTGCCATGGGGACTGCCACCATGCACAGGGTGTGGGCTCCACTGATTTAGCGACTGATCATGGTTCACTTCCCCGGACAGGCGATGTTTTTGGCACAGTCGCTGACAAATTTGACTGCGCGCCTCAATCCTTTAATTGGTTGGTGACTAGTCCGACCGAAATTCCGACTGCTGGCGTTGGTGGAACAGAAGGCTTCCTGCTGATGAAAAGACTAGAGGAGACAGAGACTGTGATGACCTCTGACAACTGGGATCCGCCATCATCATCGTGGCCTGCTCCTCCACCAATTTTCGATTACACGTTGTCCACAGAAATTGCTAACGGGATAGGAAGATCAGAAGAGTACGCGACAACGACCGATGCAGATCCAGACCATGCCGCAGAGATCCGAGACGCGCTTCATGACTCGTTTCCCACAGATCAATTGATGTTCCAGCCTGTCCATTACTTCCCAACAGACCTTTCCACCCTATCGAGGGAAGCAGAAGTCAATAGCCAAGACTTCCAACTAGTACAGAGCTACACCAAAAGTCTCATTTGCAAAACGCTCCTCCAAATATACCTCGAAAGTTTTGAGAATATCCCTTCACTTTACTTTCAAGCATGGAACTGGCGATATATGCAAGACCACACCCCGCTCTGTGGGAGCTTCAGTTTCTTACAATTAGCCAAGAATCTCGACAAGATGCTCGACCCGCTTCGCAGGTCACCTCTCAGTCCACAAGAAAGTGACAAAGCGTCAAATGCTTTCAGATACGCTGTCATGGCGTTTGCCAGCCAATGGCTTGAGCCAGACCAGGCCAAGTCGGCAGGACTCACGGATCAGTGGGCCATTCACACTGGTGGGAGAAACTTGGGAGAAGTTCAATCCCAGTTGCAGCAGGAATTGCAGTACAAGGCTGAGGATGCGCTTCGTAGCTGTCTGGGACTCACATCTTTTCAAGTGATCCTCGCCCAACTGTTATTCTCATGGTTTCGCAAACCTGGGCTCGCCGACAGTACAACTAACCATAAGTCCACTCCACCTCGGTTGCCTGGGGCTCACAATCCTCTTGATCATACTGTACTTGCAGTCCAACAGCTTCTCTCCTGGAGAAGAAACATCATTGCAACGGCGAAAGAAGCGGCCGATTCTCCTCCACAGACCACTTTCGTGTTACCGAAATCCATTCCTCGGCAAGGTTTCCTGGCTTTCAGTGTCATGTTTCGTTTTGGAGTCATGTGCGACACCACAACGGCAGTCATGAGAGACCGGCTTCCAGTCATTCCCGACCAGGAGTCCGTCTTTGAGATCGAGGAAGTGAAATCGTCAATGCATCCCGCCTCGGAGGCGGTGTTCAGTGCAAATCGAACAGTGAGCATGTGGGATTCTCTGGGCCCGGACTCGGTCTGTAGGTTCGGAATGACGGCTCCACGCTGGCCATGGACGGACGACGTGGCAGCACGAGTGCTACAAGAGGTCCTCGCACTGAAGAACCTTCTTTGGCGGAGATTACCTACGATACAGACCAGTACAGCCAGTGGCTCGGCTCCCTATGACCTCGAAAAACACATTGGGGAAACGTGCCAGATCTACCAATATGTTACGAAGCAGTATGCCGAATTTCTCGAGGATTGTAGGGTTCATCTTGCCCAACTTTCCTTGAAGCTCAAGTCATGGTATCTCATGATATGTAGTCATTGGCATTTGGCATGCCTGATTCTGGCTCGTCATATCGAACTTATTGATGAAACCGGCCAATCTGAACTCGTTCAGCGCTCGCTGCGCCAATCGTCGGCCTTGGTTTGGGGCATTCGAAAAGATAACACTTATGCCATATCGAGGGTGGCGAGCGTGGCAATCCTGCCCGACTTTTGCAGCATGAGCTGTGCACGTGAGGACAAGTTCTTTTTCTTTGCTAGCCAAGGTGCACTGACTACTGAGCCATGGTCGGAGGTACTCTACCAAAGTATCACAAGGTCCTGTGAAATTCTGCTTTTTTGGATTGCCTGCATCAAGGATCCCAATCTCGACCCTGATCAGCTCGTCTGGCTTAGAACAAACGCAGACATTCTAGATTTGATCGAAAATGCATCTGCTTGCATCGAAGCCCTGAAATACTTGGGCGGTCGTTCCAATCACATTATGTGCACCGCCGGTTCTATGGACTCGCGCCTCCAAGAATTGAAAATGGACGCATTAATTCAAACGCAGCCTGCCGACCTCGGATGGCGAAGCTGGGGTCAGGGTGCTACCTATGATTATTCATTTACGTACGATCAACTTAACTATAGTGACCCTCTTATTTGATCTCGACGTTACTAAGACCTTGAGTTGTAAGGCAAGACTGCAATAATTACAGGAGGGTGCAGTCGCCGACAGAACCTTTCCTCCTAACTGTTCAAGAATTATGAGTCCAACCAATCTCTGAGGGAAAGGTGGCGTCACCAGGTACTATCTAATTCATCAGCGGCTTTGCGTGATCGAAGAGCTCAGATCTAGACGGCAGCTGTGGCTTTGTACTTGGTCATAGGGGATAAGAAGGTATTGAACCATTCACCTTCTGGCTTACTGCTCTCCAAAATGACGAATTCAGCTTTCTCGTCGACAAAAGGCTGTGCGTGCCTGTAGTGCAGATCGAGCACCGAACACTCGACTGATTGACCGACCTTGACAACGCCTGGCGCTCCATTACTTTTTCCGTCCTGAACCACAGTGCCATCTTCAGAGATCAATTCATCGTAGGCCCGGAGAATGGTAGAGTAGGGAGTTAACCAATCGGGACCCCATCTGGCGCAGGTTTCATCCGAATAGTTCTGGGTATTGACATAGTTCGGCATCAGACAGTTCAGAGCGATGCCGTCGCTCTCGTATAAGAAGTGGGCGGTGCTGCGGGTCAGTGACAGCACGGCCGCCTTGGTCATGGCGTATTCGACGGCGCACGGGAAGGGGTATATGGCGGTGCAAGACGACATCAGGACTGCTTTGGGCTTGTAGTCGCCGTTCTTGTCCGCGTGGGCTTTCTTGCATCGCCGCACGTAATGGATGAACCACAACAAGCTGTAGTAGACACCGATCTGATTGATCTGGGTGGTGAGCATCTCCGGCTTGGTCGGCTCGCTGTCAAGATCACCGACGGTGGTGACGGCCAGCGGTTCCACGCGTACAACTCCAGCGTTTGCGGCAAGAAAGTCCAGTCGTCCGCCACTCCACTCGAAAGCCCTCTCAAACAGTTGGGCTTGCGACTCCCACGATCCCACGTCGGTGTGCACAAAGATGTGCCGGTCCGGATTCAGCGTTGATGAGATCTTACGATATTGCTCCGGCCTTACATCCGCCACCACGACTCTCCAATCTGGCTTGGAGAGCAGATGCTGTGTCAGCGCCAGGCCCATGCCACTGCAAGCACCTGTGAGGCTGGTCGTCAATCTGTTGAGCCATCATGCAATGGGGAGCTTCTTACCTGTCACGATGGCGGTTTTCAAATGTGGTGCCATGGTGTGTGTCTCTTGTGTGGACTGTTTTGGATTGTTTTCTTCAGATGGCATTGGGGACTCCATGCCACACTTGTAGATAACTGCTCTCCCTTTCACTTATTTTGTAATCAAGCATAAAGCCGATATGGGTGCGAGTATGAAATGATTGCAATACAGAGGACTATCCAACATACCCAGCGCGTCTGCTGGTGGTCGTAGAAGTGTGACTGCTTTCTCCGTACAATACGAACAAACCGCTGCTCTTTTTTACACTGCTCACATCTCCAATACAACTAGAGAGCTCGGCTATCCTTTCTCGGCAGAGAGCGGCTCCGTCTGGGTGGATATGAAGCCCACACTGCGGAGGCGAAGCAATGGCGGGGATAAGGGGCCACGGGGTAAGGCACACGGGACCATCACCAGCGATTAATAAATATTCGTTGATCGGTCTAATTAGCAGGTTCATAGAAGACCCTTGGCAGGTGTGGAGCATGTAGGGATCCATGAGTCCGCCTGCGGTTCCACTCAAGCCCGGATTGGCCAAGGCGTACTGAGCCCAGACTCTAACATGTTCATTACCTTGTCCCGGTCTAAGGTCTGAGAGTTTCAATCATCAGCATGCCTCCACCGCTCGGTACTTGCCTCGGTGTTATGCCGCGCAGCGTGATCTGGGCGATGATGCTCTCGGTGACTTGATAAATCAATTCTGGAAAAAAACCTCGCAAGCAGAGAAGCAATGCGATGGCCCAAAGCACAGGAATGTACTGAGGCTAATTGCTTGCCAACCAAAACTTCCAGCCTTCCAATCACAATATCATTGGTTAAGTGTGTAACTCGATCCTGATAACATAGGCTCGAGTTCGACACATCGAAGTGCCATTCCAACCCTCATAGATACACTCGTCCCCAGCAGACACGTCTGGCATTGCTCGATCTGAAAGATGACGGACCTGAGCTCCAATCAAGGCGCTTCTGCATGGCTGGCGAGAGCCGGTGTTCCGGCTTTGAACTGTCCGCCGGGAACAAAGATGCATTTGTTGGACTTGGGACGACTGGAGGCTGATGAAGGATGGTGAGTGAAGCTCAATGCTCATGTCTCCTGCTCTTGATGAGAAGTGGGCAGTATGACTGATTCAAGATCCATGTTGCTTGTTGTAGGTTCTTCCGAGGAGGCAATACCAGCACCTTGAGCCAGAAGAATCCCGAAAACAAGAGACGCACCATGATCTGTGTCGCGGCCTTGATCGAGTATCCTGGACTGGGGCTTATATTGTTCGAGACTGGGTGCGCTGAAGATGTCGATTCTGTAAGTTGAGTCTTGACCATAAACCCCGTCAGCCCATCTCCAATATTTGTCCATCTTGCAAGTTTTAAGCTTTTTAACGCGACTTTGCTCTGCTCTGTTGTAGGAATGGGGCGCACCTCTGACCGACGTTTTCCCACGCGTCGAGTACCGGGAATCACACAAACTACCAGCGGCGATTCGAGCTACGGGCAACGATATACGAGATGTCCGAGCCATCATCATGGGACATCTTCACTTAGACCATGCGGGAGGTCTGGAACATTTCGTAGGGACTGATGTACCCATATATGTGCACGAGGAGGAGTTCAAACACGCCTGCTGGGCAGTTGGCACGGGGGCTGACCGAGGCGTTTACCAACATCATTACATCAGCCTTGATAAACTGAATTGGAACACTTTCACCGATACCCATCTCGATTTATTCCAGGGCATCACCCTCCACCACAGCCCAGGCCACACGCCCGGGTTGGTGATCATGCAGGTCAACTTGGAGCAATCCGGCACCTTCATCTGGACCACAGACCAGTTCCACGCAGCAGAAAATTACACGGAAAGCCATCCTCAGGGCTGGCTGGCTCGAGATCATACGGCGTGGATTCAGAGTTCAGCCATGATCAAGCGGCTACAACGCCTGTTCAACGCGCAATTAATCTTTGGGCATGATCTGGAGGTTGCGGCGAAGCATTTCGGGCAGGTTTACCAGTGAGCAATAAAACCCGTATTCATCTAAATATACAAGATTACCCTGGGTAGACTTACTAGGGAGCCCTTACACCGTTCTTCCTGTCTAGGCTCAAATGCGTTCCCACGAGTGGACGCGCCTCAAAACCTCCGTGTCCTAGCCTTAGCATATGTTTACCTAATTCGAAAGACGGCTGGCAGTTAAGCTGTGTCTCTTGTACTTTCCGTACTTCACCAGCAAGCTAAACAGAAGCTACGTAGACTTGAACTAAGTATTTTAGTAGACTCCTAGGACTCCGTCCCCGGGATCCCATGACCTACATGGAAAAGCCAGTGGAACTGCACTTTATGACGTCTCCATGGTGGGCGTGGAGCACCCTTCGCTTGCCATTTGGCGGGTCTTCTAGACCCTTGTTCTAGGCATGGACCAATTCTTCCGAATACTTTGCTGCGCGGGGTTGGAAAGAGTCCACCTCCTCTCCCTCTATCGCTTTTTCCTTCAAATCGCAACCTAGGACTTGCGTCGAATCCCTCATCCCACGATGGCGGAAAGCAACAAAGCCAACTTGTATGTTCAGTCTGAGCCGTCAAAGTCACCGTCAGCCTCTCAATCTGCTGGTGCGAGGACAAGAACGGCATGCAAACATTGTCATTCGCGTCGGGTCAAATGTGATGTGATGCAGCAAAAGCCATGCTGGCAGTGCCGGACACGAAACGTGCCTTGTGAATTGATTACTTCAAAGCGCGGAAAGTAAGTGTTATTGATCAAGCTGGCTATATATACATAGACCTCACACAGCTGCAGGTACGTCCGAGGATCCAACCCCAAAGATAAAACCGAATCGGCGGCGAGCCATACAAACAACGTGACAAGGAAAAGGTCAGCACAGTGCGCCGAGCGCTCAATCGTGTTTCCCAAATCTGCGATGGATCCCGCGCAGCCGCAAGCCGCTGTGTCAGGCACTGTTCCAGAGCCGATACTGTTCAACCCCCCAGCGGATGAAGGACAAGTCCAGGACAACAACACCGTGACCACGACCACGACCAATCCAGATGAGAAAGAAATTCTTGGACAAGTGGATGGTCCAGAAATGCTTTTTGCTCACATGACAGAGCCTGAACTACTTGCCCAAAATGCCAACTCTGTTCCGGACCAAGCCCGTACGTTGTTCTTTGGCGAAGCGTTACCCATGGGCTTCATCATCAACACAATCTGCAGTCTTGATGGGAGACGGCCCATTGTCCGACTCCACCACCCTGTCCCTTCTAAAAGCGGGGGATTCATGATCTCCCACCTCAATCATGATGATTTTGAAAGGCTGAGAGCTATGGGTGCGCTGGATCTGCCTGAGAAGGAGATCCGCGACGAATTTATACGAAACTTTTTCAAATATATTTATCCTGGTTTTCCAGTCCTAGACCGAAACGATTTTGCCGAACGGTATCAAAACGGTCAATCATCACTGTTGCTTCTTCAAACAATGATGTTTCTTGCGACAACTGTGTGCGACGAATCCCTCATTACAAGAGCAGGGTTTCCTGATCGACTTCATGCCCGGCAGACGTTCTTCAAACGAGCCAAAGCATTGTATGATGCCGACTACGAGCAGGACCAAGTCGTTCTGACATCTGTCCTCTTCTTGCTCTCCTTCTGGTGGGCATGCCCGGAAGATCAGAAGGATTCCTGGTTCTGGCTCGGCGCCGCCATTAGCCTTGCCCAGAGCCTCGGATTGCACCGCACGTAGGCTTCTTCTAGTCCGAAACATTTGTCATAGCAGACCAATGGTTAACCGCCACCACAGAACCGTGCAATCAGATCTCAGCTCGAAGCGAAGATCCTTATGGAGGAGGATATGGTGGTCAATCTATGTCAGTGAGAATCTTAACATCCATCGTCCCTCCCGCGCATACCATTCATCGTACCTCACGATAGTGGCTGCAAACTGACCCATCTCAGACACGAGATAGACATATAGCGTCTTCATTAGGCCGACCTTCACGAATTCGCGACGAGGATTGTGACATCAAGATGCTGACTGAGGAGGACTTCCGAGATCAATATGCATCGAGCGTACAGGCAGAGTTAATCGGGACACAGGAACCATATCACGTCTCATACTTTATCGAACTCGTCCGCCTGGCCTTTCTACGTGAGTTGGTCCTCCTTTCACTCACCACATATGAAAAGGCTAATTGTGGATGAGTTGGTCGGGTCCTATCTATCGGATATACACCTGGGCGTACGTGGGATGATAAAGCATACAAGCTTCTTTCCGCTGATTTTCAACAATGGGAGTGTGCATTGCCACTGGATATGCGTCCAAAGCCGTTCAAGGAGTCCACAGAGCCAAGTTTCTGGGCCTGCATGTTACACTTGAGCTATCAGTACGTGTTTATGTATATCTTGGGGCCTCCGGCTAAACTTCAAGCAGTAATGCTCTTATTCTGTTCTGCAGACCACGCACCATCGAAAGTGTAACTCAGCAAGACTTTGAGCGAGAAATAACAGTCCGAAGCAGCACCGATACCGTTACTCGCCTTGCCGAAGATCTGCTGAGTTCTGGCACGCTCCGATATACTCAACTCCATATGTAAGTCACCACCAAGCACCTGGGTGCAGAGTCGAAGGAACTGACACGAAGATGGTTTTCAGAATCCCAACCTTGTTTGGTGCACTTTCAATCCATTCCCTGGTAATCCGTTGTAGACAGCCGGTAAGCAGTCAGCTGGCAGAGAATCGAGCTAGGCTGTGCATGCTGGCGTTGAGCGAACTCTCAAAGCTGTGGCCCGCAGCTGGTTGGATCCTGCGCGTCTTCGACAAGGTGCTTCGCCGTTTGACTGGTCGCAATCGGTGTGTTGAGTGCAGCGCGCCAGGCGGCAAGCCATGTGGGGGCCAGCCGCAGCAGCCTGCTGGGTCGATTGATCGGCTATCAGATCAAGCAACACTACGGTCCGGCGAGGGCACATGTAGTATGGCCGGCAGTGGTTTGGACGGTCTACTGGGCCCAACGCTGCATGGTTCGCGTGCTTCGATGAGTGGTACAGTCTCGCAGATAGTGGATTCTAACGAAGGGATCATGCTTGAGGATCGCTGGGCGCAGGAACTGGATTTCGATGCCTTTGAAAACATATTCCAAGACTCCTTAACTGATGCATTCGCACCCTATGGTACTGGGCTGGACTGGCATCTAAACAACGAGCACCTGACTGACTAGAACCTAAATCAACACAATCTTCAATAATGGCTACTTGTTTCTTTTGTGACTAATTATTCACTGCTACTCCTTTATGACTTGCTCAAATCAACTATTCTAGATCTCTCGAAACCGAATGCCAGTCTAGAGGCCGCAGGTGTGTTGGATAAACAAAAACTTCTCCGCTCAAAAGCTCTGCTGAAGCTACCTATTTTAAAACACAGATAGCTCGGGATCAGTGGTTCGATCACTTGATTGATTCTCGAAGCAACATTCTCCAGCCTTCGCTACGAAAGGAGGGCCTTAACTTTTCCTGCCATTCGAGAATCCTGACTTGTCTCTTTCCATGCATCGATCCTGACCAGAAGGGCATGGAATTAGATGATTGGTGTCTCACTCAATTGCAGAACTTATCCTTGCCACACCGAGATCATTCTTGGGGTATGTGCGCACCATCATTGCTGGTCCATTCCCATTCCTAGTCCCACACTGCATGCAAGCCGAAAGTTTTCATTTCCTGTCACCATTGCCATATCGCCGACTTGTCAGAGATCTAGGTTCTGGTTTTACCCCAACAACCTCCCGCTCCAGACTGTCAGCCCGAGGGACCCACAACCGCCACCTAATCTGCAAACTCCAATCAGTCGCGGAGCGGAAGCGAAGAGCCAATGGCCACATGCTTCTGAGGCCCACCGTGCCCACCCTCCCAAGGGTGTCCCTGAAATGGTGACATCTGAGTGGACTCGATCAGCTGGTACGGAGTTTGGTCAACGAACCCATTGAGGCTGATCGGGAACATCAGTAGGTTGCCAACATGACACGCTGCTCGAGGGGGACGAATTGAAGTTGTGTTTCGTTGAGTCAAGTCTCGGAATGAGTCTTCCACGAGGGACTATGCCTCGGCACAACAGTTTATATAGCTACGAAATGGCACTCTTCTTAGTGGATTTCTCAGTTCGTGGAAAAGTCGCTGCTTCACCATCTCACTTCATCACTTCCATTGAGTCATCCAAGAAGCGATTCTGAGAAATAAGTCACAATGGTCTTGCCCTCGCAGCTCGATATCCTAGTGATTGGAGCCGGCTTTGGAGGACTTTGTGCTCTGAAGCACCTAAGAGGCGAAGGCTACACAATCAAAGTCATTGATACTGCTAGCGATGTAGGTGGGACATGGTACTGGAACCGCTACCCCGGCGCTATGAGTGACTCAAGGTCCATCATATATCGATTTTCTTGGGACAAAGACGATCTCCAGAACTACCCCTGGTCCGACCACTACGTTAAGCAAAAGGAGATCCTCAAATACTTCCAGCACGTCGCAACTAAGCACGACCTGTATAAAGATATTCAGTTCCAGACTGAACTCACTTCGGCTGTTTATGACGGAGAATCCGGACGATGGAATGTTAGTCTGAGTACCGGAGAGACCATCGATGCTCGATACGTCGTGACAGCATTGGGAGTCCTCTCTGCCCCGAACTATCCCAAGATACCAGGCTTGGAGACTTTCAAAGGCCGGACAGTCCACACTTCTCGTTGGCCTGCCGACTTAGATCTCTCTCAAATGCGAGTGGGTGTCATTGGCAACGGTTCAACCGGTGTCCAGGTCATCACTGCTCTTGCAGGCCAGACCAAATCATTGACTTCCTTTCAGCGCCATCCCCAATATAGTGTTCCGAGTGGAGACGGGCCAGTCTCCTCCGGATATCGGCAGTGGGCAAATGACAACTACACCACAATCTTTACGAGAGCCAAGCAATCCTATGTAGGGATGGAGCTGTGTGAGTCGAACCGGCCGTACGACTCAGTCCCTCCCGAAGAGGCAGAGAGCATATTCGAGCACTTGTGGCAACGAGGCAATGGCTTCCATTTCTACTTCGGCGGATTTAAAGATATTGGCTTCAATAAGGTGGCCAACGAGCACGCGTGCAATTTTATCCGGAGTAAGATCGACTCGATCGTGCAAGATCCCGAAAAGGCGCGCAAGCTCAAACCAAACGAGCTGCATGCACGTCGGCCTATCTGCGACAATGGCTACTACTATGCATTTAACAAGCCCGGCGTAGATATTGTGCACATTGGAGAGACGCCCATTGTCACAATACGAGAGAATGGTATCGAAACCACCGCCGGCTTCCACGAGCTCGACGTCATTGTCTTCGCGACAGGATTTGATGCTGTTGATGGAAACTACAACCGCATTCGTATCCGTGGCCGTGGAGGGAAGAGCTTGAAAGAATACTGGGATGCCCGCGAACGTGGCCCATCCGCTTACCTAGGAGCATCAGTTCCTGAGTTTCCCAACATGTTGATGATCGGCGGGCCACTGGGCCCGTTTGCCAATTTTCCTCCAGTCGTCGAAACCTATACTGAGTTGATCTCTGGTCTACTGGCGGAAGCGGAGAGGGCTCGCCGTGTACCTGGCGCCAGACCTGGGAGCGAAGGCACCATCATCGAAGCCACGAAGCAAGCCGAGGATGAATGGACTACCGCTGCCGAGAACGTCATCGAAAGCAGTCTGTTCAAGGAGGCCAACTCGTGGCTCTTTGGGAGCAATGTTGAGGGCAAGAAACGAGCCATTCGTTTTCACTTCGGAGGCATGGGCCAGTTCTACAACACTGTCCATCGAGTCATTGAGGAAGGGTTTCCAGGTTTTCAGCCTTTTTTGCAGAACAAATCAACAACAGAGCGCGGCGCCGATGTCAAGGCAACCAAGACGCACGTCGAGGATGCCGAGGCCAACGGAATCTCCAACACCAAGGTAGACATCGTAGCCTAGGCATCGACGTGATCACAGGCTTAGCCCTTCACCTCCGGCCTCATTAGCGCAGTGGAACATGGTCCGAGAACGACCACAATTTCCCACAATTCTGTGTCATGTTGATGGCGATGACCGAGTTTCAACGAATAAAGTGCAGAGCGTACGTTGGACATGAAGGGTGATGCATTTCCGTACAATCGTTCTAGATGGGCATGATTCCGAGCAGGTTCCGAATCTCTATTCGTGCGGTCATCTTGGAGGGGAGCAGAACCACCTAGCAGAGGTCTATATATGCGATAGATGAAATAATGTTGTCTCCTTGGTATCTCATGTCTTATGCCCTGCAGTATTACTTTCTGGAATCATCTCCATATGGTTTTCAAATATTTCCCTTGATTATAAATCTGATTCGCAGTGTCTAGCGCAGTCTCTTAGTCTCTCTTGCTAATCTACTTGGCCGCACACTCGTATAATTCTTCTTGCTTTTATCAAGCTTGAGACTGGCCTCTCAAACTCAAAATTGATTGAGGCGATTACTCGGGCTGACCACCCAATTCTTCCAGGTCTGGGTCGTTCTCGGGGAAGAGAGTAGGCAGGTGCAGGTTCGATGACAAGGGCGGTTGGGTTTCATGTCGGCTAGTAGATAGCACCGGACGACGTGTGAAGGGACTTGAGATATCATAAACCCGCGGCGATATGATATGGCTTCCCAAACAAGCGGGGTATGTCCAGTGGGTCTCTGGAAAGGGGGAGAGAAGGCCAATTGAAAAGCACCCTGAACCGATTGCACTGCCGCGCAGACTAGAACCCCAATACTCTTCATCTGTACAGGTCCATCGATCGACCTAAATACTTCTGACCCCCTTATATCCAAGCACTCCGCGGTCCGGGGCTCCGGTCCCCAGGATTTGGCTCGATACATTGAGCTCGGGGTGGTGCATGATTAATGATATAAATGAACATCAGTATATAGAGACGCTCATCAGACTCCAGCTGTCGGTGTCAAGGTTCATAATTTGCAAAGTCAGTACGTCTATCGTTGGATTCTCACTTTTGTTCAAACACTCAGTGGTGCGGGAGCTCATCAATCAAGCGATCAGGTTGACAGTTAGTGGCCCACGATGGCAGAGATTCAGCCCTACCATGGTGTTCCGCACCATGGACTCACCGATCTTCAAAAGCTAGAACTTGCCCACGCTCAGCATGATGAGTGCGCGCTGGAGGATATTGAAAATTCCAATGCCCTCACTACGGATCAGTCCGAGTTCTCCTGGAAATACTTGCTCCGCGTACTCGGAACTGCCACGGGGATTGGGATGGGCGTCAATGCAGCCTACTTTGGTTTCAGTTGTCCGGCGGCGGTGCTGGTTGACATCAACCAGGATATTGGTAAGATGTTCCATATGATGACGGTGGTGAAGTGGTACGAGCAAATTAACATCTATACTGACGTTTATGGCTCTCAGGTCCCAGTGAGAATGCGAGTTTGTTTCCCGTCATCTGGACCGCCTGTGCTGGCATCTCGATCATCCTATTTGGCCGTTTTTCGGACAAGTTTGGTCGACGATGGGGCATGATTGGCGCCTCCCTGATTGGTCTTATTGGGGGGATCATTGCTTGCCGTGCTATGGACATGAACACATTGGTGGTTGCCAACGTATGTTTAAGGACGGAAACAATCCTCCCCAAACTCAACTCGAAGCCAGTAGCTGATCAACCTCACAGGTTTTCCTGGGACTCTCTGGCGGCGTGCATACCTGCTACGGCCTGACCATGGGCGAGGTTGTTCCCAACCGATACAAGATTGCTTCTATGTCTGTAGTCACCCTGCCTTGTATCGTTTCGGTGGGGTTCGGTGCCTATCTCGCCCTGAAACTGATCAATGACGGTCCTGGATGGAGGTGGATCTACTACATCTACTTGATTCTGATGGGCGTGGCCACCATTTTCCAGTACCTCTTCTACAATCCGCCTACTTTCCAACAGTTGCATGGCGGCAAGCGGACTGTTTGGCAAGAGGTGAAACGTATCGACTTTGTGGGCACTTTCCTCCTCACCACTGGTATGATGATGTTTTTACTCGGCATCTCCTGGGGCGGTCAACCAGCCCCCTGGTCGTCAGCGAAAATTCTCAGCCTCATCATCATCGGCATCCTGCTCCTCGTGGCCTTCGTCTTCTGGGAGATATATGCGCGGATTCCTAACCCTGTGGTACCCATGTACTTCTTCAAGGATGTTCGAGGTTTCGGCTGCTTGGCCGTCATAGCTTCCGTTTCTGGGGCCGCTTATGTGGGTCCGACCATCATTTGGCCCTCACAGGTAGCCAATATTTACGGTGTCGGCGCGACCGATTGGAAAGAGAATGCCTGGCTCTCTTGCACAGTGGCTTTCGGTATCATTGGCGGCATCTGGCTTTGGGGACCCTTGATCGGTATCATAAAGCGCGTCAAATACCAATTAGTCGTCATGTCTTGCTTGGTGTGCGCATTTTCCGGCGCTCTCGCGTCCGCGAACCGAGACAACAAAGTGCAAAGTGCTCTTTTCTCCTTCTTCGCCACATTTCCCGATGGCATCATGGAACTGACCCCTCTCGGACTGGTTCAAATGAGTGCCAATGATGCCGACCTCGGAACTGTCTTTGGTATGTCCTCTTTCCTTCTCTTCTTCCTACCCGCTTCATCTCCTAATCCCATGACGAAACAATAATTCGTTGGCTGACACCGAGGTGGTACCATGATAGGGATTCTTTTATTGTTGAGAACCGCGTGGGGTTCCATTTTCACAGCAGTCTATCTCGCTATCCTTCAAAACAAGCTTCCTCACTATATCGCCGCCTTTGTTCCCGCAGCTGCGACTGCCGCAGGGTTGCCAGAATCGTCTTTGAGTGACCTGGTTGCGGCGGCCGCATTGGGAACTGAAAGTGCCATCGCTAGCGTCCCCGGCATGACTCCCACGATCCAGACCAAGGTCATGGACGCGCTGGTCGACGCTCGGGTCAAGTCATATTCGTGGGTCTACTACGCGATGATAGCAGTCAATTTTGCCGGTGTCCTGGCCGCTTTATATTTGAGGGACTACGACCACCTGTTCACCACCCATGTCCCTCGACAAATCTATGCCAGAGGTGAGGGCATCACGCATGTAAAGGAAGCGGGTGAAATTGATAGTGAGGCTGCTTGGGAGGTTGATGACGCTACTCGTGAGGCACACCCGGTTTCCGAGAAGGCTTGATAGGCCGTCCCCACCACAGCTTATGCAGGCCAATGGTAATAAGTAACCACGCATTCAACCGAGTCTACCTTCAAATACATAGAAGCTTATATATACGCAATCGTACTGCTGTCAGGGCTATTTAAAAGTTAGGACGCCATGTTTGAAGATAAGCTAGATCCCGTCCTCATCTTCATTTGGTATTGTGGAAGATTGTATATATAGACCTCGAACATAATCAATGCGTATGGCAAAGACATCATTGTAAGATACTCAAAACTATGCTCTCTCGTCTCTTGCGCGTTCGTATTTCTCGCCATTCCCAGGTACTTGACGACTAGCCCGCTCCTAAAGATGGGAAAGATCATCCAGACGGTTGCCGGCTGCGTGCATGACTGAGATCCCGAGGTCATCTGATCGAACACCTGCTAGGAAGAAGCCGCAAGCTTGATCTGATTGTTTCTCAGAAAGCACCTCGCCTTCTTCAAATTTGGGACGGGACACTGCGAAAATACTTATGAGTGACATTTCGCAACCCAGGATTGCACCACCCAAGATTTAACCATCCACCACTCAACGTGAACGCAAAACTTTCTCCAACCTCCAGAACTCAACAACGGACTTGGTCAACACTCGATTGAAACTTCCAACATGGAGCGTAACTCACTTAAGCACAAGATTATTGGGGTGACTGGTGGTGCTTCGGGCATTGGCCTGGCGATTGTGCGGAAACTCCTGGCGGTGGAAGCAAAGGTTGCCGTTGCCGATCTGTCTCCCGCACCAGAAGAATTGTCCAACAATTCCAACGTCATCTACACGAAGGTGAACGTGACTTCACGAGAAGAAGTCCACAACTGGATCGAGGAGATTGTTGAGAAATTCGGGCGTCTAGACGGCATGTGCGCCAACGCCGGCATCTGTCCGGTGGAAAATGGCGTTGCCAGCGACGACGTCTACCGCAAGATTATCGAAGTCTGCGTCACTGGAGTATGGAACACGGGGACCGAAGCATACCGTCAATTCCAGAGACAAAAAGGTGGCGGTGTCCTCGTCAACACGGCCAGTGCTGCGGGCTTGAAGGGCTACCGAAATATGGCAGTGTACTCAACCGCCAAACATGCCGTTGTGGGTTTCACGAGATGTTGGTCGTTGGATTGGGCCTCCGAGGGCATTCGCGTGAATGCAATTGCTCCAGGTGAGAGAGTAAATACTGCTCTTTGAATGGCCGTTCCATCACTGGCCGATATCTCAAATAGTGTTCTCTACTAACACCGGAAATCCCCAGGATTTACCGAATCTCCCATGACTGACGCCGTCATCAAAGACTTTCCACACGTCGCCGAACATATGATCGCCGCCATTCCCCTAGGAAGAATGGGCAAGGCAGAAGAGCTTGCAGATAGTGCCTTGTTCCTGTTGGGTGATACGGCTTCCAACATCACTGGTTCTATTCTCGTCTGTGATGGCGGTATGCTCAACTCGTGAACTTGGGTCTAGGTCGCTGCTTCTGGCACCACAGGTTCTGAAGCAGTGTAAACGCAGGCATCAGTTCGGTCCAGGGAAGCGGGGTGCGCGGTTTCTTGTCTGTTGCATCGCATGCATTGTAGATGCGCGTGGCTGGCTTCCTGGGATATTAAACTACCGTCCAAAAAACACCAATACATTTTGGGGCAATCCTTGTGCTACCTATACGTCCGTCGATCATTCAGAGCCGAAAGTACACCCTCAGGCACAAAGGAAAACCTCTCCTAAGATGACTGTAGTGTCGTCCCAGAAACCCACCGTGATTCGTTCGCTTGCTCGCTTCCGTAAGATGATAACAAAGTACTGTTTATTCCATCGTGATGACGATAACCCTATTTATCAGGCACAAAACCACAAACAATCTAGTATAATCTATGCAAGTAGTGGTGAAACCGCGTTTCGGAGGGTAGGTGTCGCCAGATAGACTAGAGGTCCAACACTGATGAAGCTAAGGTTGCCCGTGTGGAAAGTCTATAAGAGATCCTGCGAAAAATGGTGATAGAAAGGAACATAAAGAACGACAGCGATGATGATTTCTGAACGAGAGGATATCTATATGGCGTAGCTGAATAGTCCAATCTCTTCCAAGACCGCAATTAAGTCCGGGACACGGTCAAATTCAAGATATGCTCATGTTGCAACTGCTACAACTGTGTGGACGCTCACGAGCAAGGCCACCATGATACCTGCTGACCTATGGATCTAACGAATCGTGCGAGGATCCACACCTAGCAGATAGCGAGGGTGCCGAGGTGGGTGCCTGCAAACACAACGCATCCTGTCCTTTCTTCTTCCTTCTTCCTCGCTATTTCTCCGCCTCGTTCATCTCCTTGATCGCCGTAACCAACTCATGAGAGTCCACGAAAACCTCATAAAACACCGCTTGAAGATCTTTGCCATCTCCGGGATCCGCAAACGTGATAGCAGAAGCAAAATCGAAATAAATCTTCCGGCCATTTCGCAGCTTATACCACAGTGACCCCTTGACTAAGACCTCCTGCTTTCCCTTCTCGGCTCCGCCCGCCAGAACAAAAAACTTTTTCAAGGTGTGTTCAAGGTCCACGATGGGTCCGTTGGTGGGATGGATCATGGTGTCGCGAAAAGCGCGGATTGCTTCACGGCCGGTGGTCGTTGTGCCGTAGACTAGTTGACCTTGCGGTGCGAAGAGATTGAGATAATCATGATTGGAATGGGGATCGTCCCACGAGCGGAAGAATGCAGGAAGTTGTTTGTCGAGTGGAGATGGAATAGAAGATTGGTTGGCGAAGGTGTAGTTGTCTCTGGAGTTCATCGTGTTGTGTTGTTCGTCAATCTTAAACAATATAGAGGCAGTCTTTTGTGTTATAGTGTATCTGTAACCTGACTCCCAGTTCTATATTTGCGATACGCCCTATATATGTACCGGCAAGCCTGCGGCCCAGCTTCCAAATATGAGATAGATATGTGAGTACGGTATCCTATCCGCAGCCAGCATGGAATATTATAAATCGCCCCACAAGTACTGTGTCGCGGGATCAAGGGGTAGTGATGGAGTGAGAATGCAATGGAAGCCCAAGGCCTGGTAGGGAAGCTAGATGTCGTCGATAGAGTTTAGCTTTGTGATACTCCCCGTTGACCGGCCAATATAATAGGACTTTGTGGGCCCAGAATACTATTCCTCGGACCTCGCTTTCTTGACGCATCATTTTGAGTGCGGCCTACTCAAGAAACCTTTGAAACCTCGCTCAAACTCAAGTTTACTAGCGTTCTGACCACCCAGCTCAACCATCTCCCTCAAAATTGTCAAATAACGGGTGTCAAACACTCCCTGGCCGAAAGTTCCGGATCCATCACTGCTAGTATATAACACCGATAGAAAATGTCGTACCGCGAGGAAGCCTAAGTTCATGTAGTATACTAAGAATAAATCTGGCGAAAAGCAACTCTGTGACGAACTTATTAACTCACCGTTTACTGCTTGTGAGAACCTGCGTGGGTAGTAGTCAACTGCACTTCAATATGATGAAGGTACTTCGTTATTCAAATATAAGGTACTGGCGCTGAGCCCCGGAGATGCTGGCCTAGAAGCATCAACTCTCATTGGCCTTACAGGATGAGCAGAACGATCACAGTATGAATTTCAAATTACTCCAAACTCCTAAAGCAGGCTTCTGTAAATCCAAAATAAGTTCGCTAGCTTGTTGCCAGTGCTCCGCCGAATTTCTTCACAGCATTGCTCCCTTTGATAGCTGATCCATCATAAAGACCCCTCTTCACCCTCCTGATCCTCGAGTTGACCATCGTCCGAAAAATCAGTGTCGGTCCATTCGTCATCTGAACCTTCATTTGGCGGTACTTGCGGGTCCAGGTACTCCTTAAAATGATCTCGGATCACATCAGCGAAATCTTCGTAATCGCCGTACCCGCTTGCCACGAGGGCTGCTCGCTCGCGATTTGCTCTTGAAGCTGCAATTTTCGAGTCTTTACTCGGTAGATACTTGTAAATACCCAGCCTCCACTCTTGCTCGACGTGTGAAAGTCTCGGAAGGATAGAATCAAGGAGCTCCCACCATGATGTCCATGCGTCGTGGATAACTTCAATGGCAGCCTGGCGCATGTTCGCATAGGCAATCATGATCAGGTCTAGCTGTGCCTTCAGCTCTGCATCTTCCTTCCGACACCTTTCCCTTTCGTTCTCAGATTTTACAGCAGGCCTGGACTGATAGAATGAATAGTGGCCGCAACATGTATGAATCATTCCAAGACGAGTGAAGACCTCGAGTCTACAAAGCTCTGTGTAGCACTTCTCCTTCTGCTTTCCGTCTAGTCGCAAGAAATCGGTCGCTTCTTGCAAGGCGGACAACCTTTCGGTCCAAGACCCAGCTTCAGATTGGTTCAGGCTTTCAAGTCGACTCCAATACCGATACCAAGGTAAGCACCCACGTCTTGAACAGAAACACTGACAGTCGTCAGCCCACAAAGGATCTGCAACGTCCAAGTACAAGCCTATATCGTCGTCTAGCGGTAAAAGAAGATGTTGTCTGTATGCCAATGATGGTATAAGATAGAACATGATGTTTGGCCAGCACGTGCGATCGGCGAACGTTCCACTTGCGCCCCTCGAAAGGAACCATTCGACAGCCAAGTTGCGTTGATTGAAAGCATAAGCATAGCTGGCGATCTGGAGAAGAGGTGTGCGACCGTCCTCGTGCGCAGCGTCGATTGTGTGATGTCCTGCCCTGAACAAGGACTCCAGGAGGATTGTGTTATCGTGCGTGTGCGATCCTCCACAATTCAACCAGCCGTGGTAGACTGATGGCAAACCGGACAAGCTCAAAGCATCTAGATATCATTCGTTAGTCACAGTTGTATCCAATATAGAATCTAAATTGTTGACGTTGTCTCTCAGTCTTATGGTCTTCATGCTCACGCCGACGTGCCTCGAACTCGACAACGAAAACGTCTACAATATCCGCTTTCTGCTTGACATCGTGCTGGAGAAAGTTGAACAGCCAGTTCATTGGCCGTTCCTCGATTGAACTTTCGAAGAAATCTGTGTAAGGTAACACCGACACTATCAAGGCAGTGTGCCCAGTCAGGATCGCCAGCTCCAAAGCTTTCCGCGGCCTGAATCCCGCCTTCAGCAGAATCTCCAAGCCACTCGTCCAGCCTATCGGCAGACACGTGGGATCGTAAGCCAGGTCCCCATCGTTGAACGGTGCTGACTTGTCGTTTTCAAGATATTTGACCAAGCAGTCTTCCGAACGACGAATAATGCATGGGCCTATCTCAGTCAAACCAAACGCTGAGTGACAGTCAATATGTGGCAAAATGAACGGGGATGTGACGACTCACTTTCGGTCAGCTCTGGGACTCTCATCAATAATCGATGTATCTGGAGTCTACGTTGAGGAAGGGGATGAGAGAAGTTCATTCTGTTCACGTTAATATATTTGTGTGATACACCACTTATCTGTTCGTCAAGGTCATATTCTGCAATTAAATGATAGAGCCGAGGGACCATTTCAAGCCCGTTTCTATACCCATGATTTGTTGCAATGAGAAGACTACCGGCAGCAGTGGCTGGGAGGTCAGTTTCAATTTCGGATGTAGCAGAGAAGACCTTGACAACCTCACCTGTGCCATTTATCAATCCAAACCAACTCAATGGCCGCGCACCGGTCATAGAGATGGCGGACACATCGACACCCGAACGCAAAGCCAGCACAAGGAGCCTGTGAAAAAGTGGTTGTAAGTCTGATAGAATTTGGGACAATATTGCCAGCAAGAACATCACTTCCTATCAATCGCCATGAGTTATGTGAGTGATTAATCACCCGTAAATCATTTCAACTCACATGAAGAATTGTATTCCCGTTTTCATCTTTTTCCAATCCTGATGCGGTCTTGTTCTGAAGTACGGTTTCGAGCGACGTCAGCAGATATGTCATTCCGGTGCTGGCCTTGTTTACATCCCCCTGCCAGTATATTACTTCGCTCCCATGTGGGTGGTGGTGGTGCCAGATATCTGGAGAGTAAAAGTAGCCTGACCTCTTCCTCTTCCTAGATTGCATAATCTGCCCATATCGGAATGGAAAGTCATCAAACAGCTTAAAAATCGGCGATTCACTCCGTCTGACGGTACAATATGCATTTAGAAGTGGCGCAATGGAAAAACAGCCCGCTCCAGACCTGAGATTCACTCCCAGCTCCACTGTTCTCCGCACAAATGGGAGCAGCTGTGCGGAGACTGCGTATGTCCAGGATTGCTTTCCCAGAGGATGGTAAGGACACGAATGTCGGTGCTGGGACGTATAATCCAAGCTGATACGAAACGGGCCCCTGTCGTACCATGACAAAAGCTCTTGCGGCTTGCAAGTGCAGAACAGCCCCCCTTTTCGTCTCAGGGAAACGGATTCTACTGCATCTCGTAACATGCTTGGACGCATTATTAGCTGTTGACCTATCTGTGACTGAAGTTCCTGCCGGTCTGCGGTCGTCAAGTGCGAGGCAGTCTCGTGTTCTGGCTGAGGCAGCTTTTCACTCTCGCCAGCCATGATACGGAGGACAGAATCTCTCAACACCGGGATTTGTTCCCGATTTACAGGTGTCAAGAGCAGCATCTCTTCCTGGATTACAGATCTCATCATGGTCCTCATGATTTCGTTCTGAGAGTCGGAAAAATTAGTCTGGGCAATCAGTTGCCGTTTGATGAAAGTTGTGTCATCCCGTATTGATGTCAACTTGAGCTCAGTACTATCATGCTTGGTTTGGATATCGTCCGATATTGCTGTCAAGTTTCCGGCAGTGGCCTGTGCCGTGTCTATGATAGTATCTCTCAGACTGCCAAGCAGGTTATGAACAGAATCAAGTTTCCAGTGGGTAGATTGCTGGTTGTCTTGAATAAGTATGGATATCTGGTCCAGGAAATTCCTGTGTTATTGGCGTTAATCATGTGCAAGAAGTCGAAGCCGAGGCAGGGATATGTACCGATTATATGCCTCCAAATGTAAGCCTAAGATCAAAAGCTCACGAAGGATCTCCATACTCGCACGGCTAATGTGTTGAAGGTGGCCTTCAAGCTTTGATTCTTCGGACGAGAGAACGAAAAGTGCAGCCCATATCCTCTTTAACCGCCCAGCTTGAGGTCGAGTGCGAGGCAGGAGGATGTTCAGCTGGTCTTCTAGGCTTTTCATCGCTAGTTCGACCTCGGAAATCACAGTGCTGACTCTCGCCAACTGAACAGCAGTAAGGTGAGCGACGACATTGGAGCCTGGTTGGAGTACATCGTTCTGAATGTCTTCGATTCGTCTTATAGAAACCTCTGTTTCCAGCAGGAGCGTCTCTATGCGTTTAGGGATAGCCTGCATGTTTCGTAACACTGTTATACCGTGTATCAGTGCTTTGCAGCCAAGTTCCCCGAGCTGAACGCCTGCTGCTGTTGCTCCCAGGACTGCAAGAGCTTCTGCCATCTTGGGCAGATCGGCATGCAGCCGTCAACTCGGATCAACTTGGCTTCAACAATGGATCGTTTGGAACTTGACGTTGGCATGAAGAGAGATATTGTCGCACGACAAACGATCGCACAAGGCTGTAGCTACACGAAGTCAAAGTCTCGGTTTAGAGACAACATAGACGCATAGGAATTGGGATGGACGACTAGTTGGAGTAACCAACATGAAGGCTCATGAAAATTGGAAGGCATTGGGGTCAGGCTGAAAAGTGTTGCAGCGGCGCAGTAACATTGAATCAAAGAATCAGCCACAGAGAATGGCTGGAAGGCAGACTTTTAGGCAGAACGAGCAGCACCGGGCGCAGGTCTCCCTCCAGGTAGACGTGAGGTGTCGTGAATTGATTGGTGGATGTAAAGTTTCACATGCCTGCAGCTGCAGGCGGACAAGCCACTTTGCAAGGAAGACCACAGCTCAGCGGCGCTAATGAGTTGAACCTTTCATGGGAAGGCTGTACTGCTCCCCATTTTTGCTGCATGGTCGCCTCGTGATTTCAATCAGAGTCTTGTCAACAAAGACTGATAGTGTTCGTCCTGAAACCACCTATGAGTATTACTGGCCTAGAACATGTCAACACCACTGAGGATAGTGATTCTGATTAGATCATGCGAGTGGGACCCCACCATCCTCATCATCGGACATACGTGCATCCCCTCCATCAGCCTCTGCATCAACCTCTCCATTCCCAAGCACCGCTTCCGCCTCATTCTCCGGCTCGGGCGAACTGCTATTCCGCACCTTCCTAGATGTTGCTTCCACATCGGCCTCTTCCTTGACCTTGCTGGGTGCAACCTCGCCAGCCGAATCACCAGCCTTATTTCCACTCCAGCCTTTACTCAGATTCACGAGTGGGGTATCATCATTGAAAATACGCAGCAGCATTGCTCTTCGTTCTTCTTTCGGTAACATGAGATTCAGACTCTGCACGGACTTCCACAGCGGAAATACCATTCTTTCGGGTAATCCATCTTCGTCTTCGCTAGGGTCCACGATCAGCACGCAGCAGCCCATCTTCAATTTGAGGACTTGCTCGCCCACTTCACCGAGATTCTTGTACTCCTCGCCAGCGAAGCGAGGGAACATCTCGATCAATAATTTTCGTAGTGTTTCTTTCTTGTGCAGTGTGACCACTCGCTCTGGACCGACCCAAGTCTCGAGTAGGCGGAGTCCATCAGTCTGAATACGCCAGGGACATACTTCAGGCGAGGGTGCATCCTGCTTAACGAACATTTTGAGACCAGCATGGACGAATTTTAGACCTTTGCCTTCATTCTCTTGGAGGATCTCCTTTGCCAGTGCATTTGTATAGTACATGTTCTTGCTTGCCGTTCCCTCTGGGTTTCGGACCATGAATCGATCTCGAGGAAAGCGGCTGGAAAGGTTGTAAAACTCGGTGATCTGATCCAATTCGGGTATCGTGGGCGACAAATATTTGAATGGTTCCTCGAATGGCTGATCTCGATTTCTTCTCTTCGGTGGTTGTGCTGGCCGTGGTGGTTCAGTTGCCGACTGATGTCCGTTCACACTCTGCGACTGACCATCCTCAGTCTTGATTTTTGGTGTCAATGGTTCATGATGAGTGTGTGGCTTTACATCACTTTCCTGCCCCTCTTCGCTCTTAACTCGTTTTAAAGGGGCACTTGTCGTCTCATCTTCATCTCGTTTTCGCTTGTTCGCACTGACCTCTGTGCTTTCTTCATTTCCAACATTATCAGGAGCTGCCTCCAATTTGACCCTCGTACCGTTGGGTTCTGATGTTTCATCGTTTTTTAGACGCTGAGCCGCGGCTGGTTTCTCCTCGGACTTAGCCTTGATCTCGCTTTTCTTCTCGAGAATGGCAATGAAAAATGCACCAGTATCTTGCAGATGTGGATAAATCCGTATAGCTCGATCTAGTGGAAGATCCAACTTCGAGGGGAACATGCTCTCGGATAGTCGGAGCAACGCATCATCATCCCCAAAGTCTTCTTTGTGCTTGGTTACGTCTTCCCAGTTCTTCCAGACCCTGCCGGCTTTATCCGTTATGGTCCACGTTTTGAAGCCTGGGTAACGTTTGAGGCCAGGGAGATAGTCTTTAGTCTCGAGCATCTCAACCAAGTCCAGCCCACCACAGCGGCTGATGGCCTCGGCCAGGACAGCTTCATCCTCAACAGGATTCATGCTACATGTTGAATAGACAACACGCCCACCGACTTTCAACATCTGTAGAGCTCTAATCAAGATGCGAACTTGCGTGCTGTGAAGTCCGAGGCCATTGCTAGGAGTCCAGTTCTTCCAGATCTCCATGTTTTTCCGGACGGTACCATCTCCAGAACAAGGCACATCGGCCAAGATGCGATCAAATTTGAGATACTTGTTTTGTACAAGCTTACCATCAGAAGAGAGCACCGGAGCAACTCTTATGGATGGGAAGACAGTGGCGTCATGGTTTGTGACAATAATGTTTGGAGAACTCAGTCGCTTGATTTGGTGGACCAACATATGGGCTCGTCGGTAGTCAACATCGTTCGCAATGAGAAGACCAGTAGATCGGCCGTCATCGACGAAGGCCTCTCCCTCAGGTCGATCAAGACCTTGTGCAGTATTTGCAGCCACTTCTCTGGATCGCTCTTCCTCCCCAGCATGTATCATCTCAATCAGCTGTGCTGACTTGCTCCCTGGCGCAGCGCAGAGATCAAGGACTGTATGATGCGGCTTCAGATCCATGAGCAGTGGTGGAATCATACTGACAACCTCTTGTCGTGTGATGTTTCCAACATCAGTCTCTGCGACTAGGAATTTCTGGAAAGAGGCGAATGGCTTGAATCTTCGAATGACGTTCTTCGGGGTGGTCATGAACCAAGCCAGCTGGTCTGGGTACCATTCGACAGGTCTTGGGGCATCGACATACTGGTCTTCGTATGTGATAGAGGTGATCTCGGGGATGTAGTGGTTTCTCAGCCGCTCTTGGACTGCCAATGCATGTGCTCGTGAGCCAGTGAATCTGAAGCTGTTGGGCAAGTCTCTTCTCATAGCTGCCCAGAAGGCTTCCTTCTCTTCCTCCTTCACTATTCCTAGTTGGTTGTAGTATGTCTCGAACTTCTCGTTCTCACGAGGAATGTCGCCTTTGTTGACTCGATTGTCCGGTCGAGGACGATGGCCCGCTCCGCCACCACCACCTCCACGGCCTCGACCGCCCTGAGAATGCTTTTAGTAATTTTCAAGGAAAGTGCTTATAATATACTCACTCTTTTGCCACCCCGTTTGCCCATGTCTGTACTGCAGTGAGGTAGAGATATCGGGTTCACTTGCACCTTTCGTCGGTGCTTCTCGAAGAGATGAGGCTCCAACCTTGCGGCGTGGGGAAATTTTTTGGCAAATGCGGTGCACGGTTTGACTCCAAAATCCACCGTATTTCATGCCAAGTAATGCGGGGTGTCTAGCGCCTGGGCAACATGCTAACTCGCATCATTTCAATTCTGCCACATTCTCTACTTTGGTAACCTAGGTCCTTCTGGACTAGAGGCATGTCGAGGCATTCCATACCTCTCTACGTGCTGCCGCTTTGCATTTTGAGAATGAACCGTCATTCTCAGTTTCAGTGGGCTTCATGGTTGAGCGAGCGTCGTTGTCTTCCACAACCCTAACCCTTCATTGTTATCAACACTACTTCTGAGACCGTGAAGTTGGCCTCTGTCCTCCCCATGAATCATCTCCTGAAACAGAACATGACCATATTTATGTACTCAAATATCTCGTTGATCTCATCCTTTCTCCGGAAAGTCTACGGTGCTCAACTGCTTAGTTCTCTTGATTGTCACAGAGGCCGCAGGATCATTATTGATAGAGGATGTGAACAGAGATGGCATCGATTGCGAGTGCGATAGTGATTGTTAATGGTGATATTGACAATGATGCTACTATCCCCGTCTTGGGGTCCTTTTGGGAGTATCAACAGTGGACGCTGTCGTTATCCTGACTCGTTGACTGTTAACAGCCCATGTCGTTATCTTGTGTTCAAGGAGGACAGCGAACAAAATCCATCAGATGTCTAGAAAGACTGAAAATAGAAAGGACCAAAGAAAGACCGTTTGTGGATATCACAATTGCTTTTATTCAAGCTGTCCACCGCACTGCTAACGAAGTCTGCTCAAAACCCCCTTGAACTCAACCAACGCTGTGCTGTTTCAATTTTGGATAATGGCAGCGACAGTATCCATGCCTTCATCCAACAAGCCAGCCACCCGCAACTGTTCAAGAGAGAGCTCTCCAAATTCAGGCTGTCGAAAGGTGAGTAACTGATGAATGAAAGCATTATGCGCATTCCGAGGCGTTACTGTCAAAGCCCAATCCCTAGGCGCACCAGCAGGAACTCGAAGACAATAACCATGCACCCAGACAAGATTCCATGCCGGATACAAGCCAACACCCGTGGGCGTGATCCCCATGAAGAAATGGTGTCGTGAAAAGGCAAAATGATCGAGTGCAATCTGTGTGATGAACTGGCCTTCGTCGATCCGTTTGACAAGATTGACGATGGCTGGGTTCTGTAAATTCAGGCGTGTCCATCCCAGATGGTCGAATAGGCCCTGGACGGCACGTCCGATCTCAGGGTCACGGCCAGAGTGGTAGTACGCAATGACAAGGACACGGACGACGCCTGTGTCATCCAGTGTCCATTCACCGGTTTTGAGTGTGGTCTTCAGTCGGTCAATGGTTCTGATCACATCTCGGGCTCGCACCGGCTGCCAGACGTATCCACGACGATATCCCCATGGGGCGGCACTGCCGGGACTGGGAAGTCTCTCCACTGGAGGTCGGATGAGTGGTACATCGTAGTCTGAAGGTTGACCATTGAAGCGACTGGCCTCTGAACCTGGTGGATTCCAGGCACGGAGGTGGCCACGGTGGTTGTTGGGGGGTCGAGCCTCGCGGCGGCGGATGGGACTGCCGTTGGCGGTGACGGTGACGCTGGCTCTTCTGCCTCCACGGCGAGGTCTTGTGGCTCGTATGAGATTGGGGACTGGTCTTTGTGGCTGCTGTAATTGGGTCTGCTCGTTCTCCTGAATGAAGTGAATCAGGTCAGTGGTCGGATCGTCCTTGCTATAGCCACAACTGGCTTTTCAAACTTAATGAAAAGGACTTACCGGGTTTTCAGACGTGTTTGAAGCCATATCTGCGATTGATACACGATGTTGGAGAAGGCTGAAGACTTCGATGTTCAACTGAGAGCTCGTTGGATCGATGAAGCTGAAGAAGATATGGGATTAATGCTGTTATTAAGACAAAGCAACAGATCTTGACAGTCATCGTGACAGAACAAGAAGCCAAGATATAGACAGCGGCCAACGGCGACTCTATACTGTCACTGATGCTCAGAGTCGCTGTGAAGACAACATTGTCACGGCTTGTCGTTGGGTGCACTCGCGAAAAGTAGATCATGTCGCAGAGATTCCAGACCTGTGATACAGAAACAAAGGAGCGTAAAGACAGATGGCGACGCAACCTCACGAAGAACTCACTGAGCTACGTAGGGCGAAAGAGGGTTCAGAAATATGCAAGACATCACCTGCACCGTCTGGGAAGGACAGTCTTTGATAACAAAGGTCTATTTGCATTGTCCTGCGAGACAACTCTAGGAGGAACAGGCAGTGAGGAGAGACAAGGCTGGAACTCCGTATTTATACACCGATAACATGTTTCTATATAGCAGGATGAGAAACAGGCATTGACTACGGAAAACAGGGCCAGTCCTGTACTCAAGATACGTTGAATGATAAATCAACAGGTCTTAGACAGTATCTCTGATCATTCCACCTGACAAGGAATACAACTCAGATGAACAACCACGATTTTAAGTGCATAGGCTATAGGCCCTAAACACCAGAGACTACCTACATTTAATACATTTCAGACTAGCCAAAGCGAACGAACCTGGTCGCGAGGCTAGCTGAGGTATCTTATGAGAAGGCAGCACAGACGAGGCTACGATCGCAGCCTCGGCCAGCACCGAAAAACGCCACGAGCTCCAATTATGGAAGCGGCGAAGAGAACATGATTCCACCGCTGTATTATGTGATTATCGGTCATGTGTGTCCATTCAGCAAAGCAAGTGTAACGCAGGAACAGCGTGGTTCATCGCTGCTGTAGGCCAGGTCATCACGGCTCAAAGAGCAAAACGAGGGAAATGAACAAGCCAGCCATTGGAGACAGGAGGCCGACTCCGGAGATGGAACGGGTAGATGCGTGACTGTCTTGTTGGACGATGGCCTGGGCTTGAGTATCACCGAGATATTTCATAAAGCCCGCTGGCGCTGGCGACCGACCAGAAGCAGTCCTCCAGAGCAACCTTTAAACGGGACAAAGTCACGTAGGTGATAATGCAATAAGAGTGAATTTCTAAAGCACGCATTCTTCAATTCAATGGGTATCCAGCCTACCGAAGCTCACACGGCAAGTATGGTTTTACAATTCCCCAGTCCCTGCCTACCTATGGACCATCATAATCGACCAGGAGGCCATGACCACGCCCAGCCAACAGCCAGCCATGCAAGAAAACCCGCCTGATTTTTCACAAATCCGAAACTCCAGCGCTGTGATGAAAAAAGACACAATCTCCATTTTCTGCCTGTGATCAGAACACCCAGCGGTAACTGGCATAGCGGCCGGCCGTTTCGGACTTGCGAATGATCTTGACAACATTTCCTCTCTTCAAACCGAGATATCGAGCCACGGGATCACCGAACTGGATGCGCGGTAGTTGTGTCTCTTTCAGTCTGTATCTGTCGAGGAGGACTTTCTTCTCTTCGGCGCTGAGTAGGACGTGTTTGGGGACCAGCTCATGCCGCGTAATGTTGATGAGGAGATCTTGTTCTTGGAAATGTTCGGCTGTGATGCCCAAGTCTCCGAGGGGTTCAAAGGCACGCAGAGCAGCGGCTGTGACGGGACCGATGGTAATAAAAATACCGGTGGTGAACTTGTTCTCGCCCAGGTGATGAGCGAATGATCTCAGATGTTTGATGCCGATTGTTGTCTCGGGACTGAATTCCACCCAGACGGTGCCTGCGGTGGTTTGTGGGTCGGGTTTCGTTTTTGTTGGTCGGGGTGTATCGCGTTTGATCATCTCTTCGGTAGGGTATGCTTGCAGTCTCATCATCCGCCGTCTGGGGAAAAGCGTGGATTGTTAGACTTTCTGTCTGTTTGCCTGCGCCGGAGGGGGAACCACTACTCACTCTGCGTGGCCAGTCTGAGGATCACACATCTTCTTTTGAAAGTGTTCACGCGAGATGGTCACCTCAGCTTCTGCGATTGCATAGCCCTGAAAGAGTTAGTCTCAAGACCTTGTTGTCCTCACTCAGCCTTAAAAGACTCACTCGATCGACCAACATCTCCAAGACCGTTCGCCATGTTCTCCAGAGTCGCGTCACTTCTCGGTCTGCTTCAGCGGACAGTTTTGGCCGATCTTGATAGTCCATGGTGACAGTATATACCTACTGAAGGGTGTTGTCGTTGACTAGATTTTGGGCCGAAGCTGAAGATGAAGATGAAGATGAAAGAATCGAGGAATGTCTCCTCCGCAGCCAAAAAGATTTGCTTGGCGGGCGGAATTCAAATTTCTCCACAACTCGAACCATCTTAGAACACCTTTTCCACCTGCCAGTGCACCTCGAACTTCACCGACTTCCTTCACCAAGTCTCGATCCCTTTCACGACCGAGGCCTCATCATTACTTCACGCCATTCTTACTCGGACCCTGTATTGACAGAGGGTCCCTTGTCACCGCTCACGACTTGTCACCCACATTCACGCACCATGCGATCCTAGCATGGAACATCTTATTTAAATATCCATAACCTTACGTCCGTCGCTCCTCCGCTCCGTCTTTCGGTATCTGTTTTCCGGCTCACATTTGTTCAAATACAATAACAACCATGGCCGACACCGCCACTGCTCCTGCGGCCGACGTCGCCCAAAAAGGACGCCCTGAAAAGCCCGACGAGGCCAAATTCAAGGCCGATCTCGCCAAAGCCGAGAAAGAACACGAAGCTGCACAAGCCAAGTTCAATGCCAGCCGAACCAAGCTTGACGGTGCTCGCTCTGGAAAATCCACTCCTGCAAATGATCGTTTCAAGGCATTGGTGGACGAACAAAAATCCATCCGCACCAAGCAACAAGAGAACAAGAATGCAAAGAAAGATCAGCAAGACAAATTCACCAAGAATGACAATGAAATCAAGAAACTCATTGGCGAACAAAAGGAAACTCGTGCCCGTCTCAACTTCCGAAATGTTGATGAGCTAGAAGCCAGAGTTGCCAGCATCGAACGTCAGATCGAGTCTGGTTCCTTGAAAGTGGTTGATGAGAAGAAATCTTTGGCTGAGATCCGAGAAATCAGAAAGCAAAAGCCAAAGTTTGCTGAAGTCGAACAGTTGCAGAAAGACATTGATGCAAAGAAGGCTGAAAATGCCGAGCTCAAGAAGACTTTCGACAATCCCGAGTCTCGTGCTTTGGCTCAAAAGTACGAAGACAACCAAAAAGAACTGGACGACATCAAGGCAACTCGCGAAGACACCAACAAGAACTACGACACCTTGAAGGCCGAACGGGAGAAGCTCTACAATGAACAGCAAGCCACTTATGCCAACATCCGAAAAGTCAAGGATGACTACTATGGTGCCAGGAAAGCTTACAAGGAGTACGAGGATCAAGTCTATCAGCAACGCCGTGAACGTCAAAGGGCCGAACGTGACGCTTACGAGAAGGAGAAGCGTCGTCGCATTGCTGAACAGAAATTGGAGGAAGCTGGTGAACCTGCTTTCCTTGAGCAAATCCGTACTGCGGAAGGTCTCATCCGCTACTTCGATCCCTCTTACAGCACCGGTGAGGGTGACAAAGGCCCTGGCGAGTTCGCTGCCAGTGCTCAGCGCACCATTGACGACTCCGGCTTCAAGGGCATGAAGGTCGTCAAGAAGGAGGAAGAAGACTTCTTCATCGGCGGTGGAAGCAAGAAGAAGGGTGGAAAGGGAAAGAAAGGCGGTGCTGCTTCTGCTGACACTGGCAAATTCAACTTGAACATTGGCATCATTGAAGAGCTGGCCAGAGTTGGAGTTGATCCCCCAAGCACCCAAGCTGACTCTCCCGCTGTTGTTGAGAAATTGAAACAGAAGGTTGAGGCCTGGAAGAAGGATCAGGACACCCAAACTCAAAAGGTATGAAGATCATGAACTCTTTTGTCAACACGAATACTAACTGTGAATCAGAACATTGAGAAGGCCAAGAAGGAGATTGAGAAACTGGAGAAGGAAGCTGATGAAGCCCAAGCCGCTGGGCCCAGCACTTCCGGTCGCCGACCTCACCAGGCCAAGAAAGCTGCCCTGAAGGAAACCGGCGTCAACGGTGGCCCCACCGCCGATGCTGAAGAAGCGGCCGAGAAGAACGGCCTTGCCGACGCCACCAAAGAATTGAAAGAAGCCAGCCTCGAAGATAAAGAGAACGAGACCTCCTAGAGACCACGATGAATACACCAATCTACGACGTCCTAAAGCTGTGGGTGAGCATTGTTTCCTTGGGAGGACCAAGTCTGTTGTTTCTTTGGGCATGTGTTTGGGTGGCCCAGCGCATTGATGTCGATGTCGAGATTAGGGAGATTGATGATGCTGCCGGTGATGCTGATGGAGAAGGTGAAGGCGAAGGTGAGGAAGCGAACTAGCGAGATATCCCTCATCTTTATGAGTTGCTGAAAGGAAGAAAGGAATACCCTGGGCTTTGTGCTCCCTGGTACCAACGTCAAAATTGAACATTAGCCCGATAAAATACCAGTATTAGTCTCTCAAGTCATTCTCATCACTTGAGGGAGACCAGAAAAATATACCAATCGTTATGACAATCTGCTCCCACTGAAAGTCAATCGGATATGATTTATAATGACCCTCGCGACCCCATCAACGTCATCTCATGAGGTTTCTCCAAACCCGGAATTAAAATCATCACTAACATCATATAAGCAGGTATCTACCGTTCAATTCTTATATCTACATCTTGCAACGCCACTATTCGCGGTACTCAGTCTAGATTTGTGACTCATAGAGAGCAACGCAAAGCTTGCTGTACACTCATCCACAGCATTCGGTACTCTCCGCAGAGTACCATTACCACGACCTGATATATATATTCATTTACCCCGCATCAACTCAACACCAGCTTGGTTGGGCATCACAACCTGTGTGACAACTAGTACATATATCAATCCGAGATGGCAAAATCACTCTTCAGACCCGGAGCACTCGCACTCATCAGCGGCTCCGCTTCTGGCGTAGGCTATGCCTTCGCAGCACACTGCCGCCGACAAGGGATGAACCTTGCGCTCCTCGACATCAACAAGGACACGCTCACCCAAGCCAAGTCCACCTTAGAATCCATCTCATCCGCCGAGAACACCAAAGTACAAACCTACGCCCTTGACGTCTCGGACCACAACGCATGGCTCGCGGTCCGGGACTCCCTCACCGAAACATTCCCTTCCAACGAAGGAACCATCGACGTCCTTCTCCTCAACGCCGGCACCTCGGTTAAATCCACCACAGCGCAACCCTGGGAAGACATCAACTACTTCACGAAAACACTCAACACGAATCTCTTCGGCGTGATCAACGGGCTGAGCACACTTCTCCCGCTGGTCCAGAAATCCAGGGGCCCGTCCGCCATCATCCTGACCGGCAGCAAGCAAGGCATCACGAATCCACCAGGCAACCCGGCGTACAACGCGAGCAAATCCGCCGTCAAGACGCTGGCCGAGCAGCTTGCGTATAGTCTGCGCACGAGCGGGAACGCGAGCTTCGCGCCCCACGTCTCCGTGCACCTGCTCGTGCCGGGCTGGACGTTCACCGGATTGAGTGGGAATGCTGGGCCTGTGAGCGATGATGTGGCACGGGAGAAGAAGCCCAAGGGCGCGTGGTTGGCGAGTCAAGTGGTTGAGTTTGGCGTGCAGAAGATTGAGGAGGGGAAGTTCTATGTGCTTGTGCCGGATGAGGATGTTGATGAGCAGCTCGATCAGGCGAGGGTTACTTGGGCTGCTGGGGATGTTAGTGAAGGAAGAGCCGCGTTGAGTCGTTGGGAGGATGGGTGGAAGGATCGTGCGGCCGAGTGGATTGGGGGTGAGGCCGAGAGGAGGAGGAAGTTGTAGTTCGAGAGAGTGCGGGGGTGATGGGAGTGGGAGTGGAAGTGCAATCGGAGAGATGTGGATGGAAGGTGTGTCTGAAAATATGGCAAAGATCATTCATTATGCATTATATTGTAAGTACCTCAGTCTAGTAAACACTAGTAGTATGGAATGCTTCGATGTCATGTTTGGAGGTTATTTCAGAACGGTACGAAGCCGAATCTCAGGCGGATCCCACACGACGTCCTTGACACTGATTCTCTGTCGCGCAGGGACTTTTAATCCCAGATGGCCAGGACAGCCGATCCATTCATTATTCTTGATGAGTAGTAGATCCCCCTTCCTACCCTCCCACAACAAATCACCACTACTCTCCCGCTCTTCAGCACCACCAGTCTCCAACCCAATGGCCCTCCTTGCCCCCTGGCTAACACACTCGAGCAAAACCTTCGCATCATCCGACGTGCCCGCCTGATAAATTCCGACCCCTAACGACGCCAGAGCAAGCGGGTCACCGGTCCCCCAAGGCGTGAAAGCATTGCCTACATTATTCACTCCCAAACAACCATTGAGCCCGTAGTCGCGTATCATGCTCGGTATCTGCAAGGTCCCTCTGGGCCGATAAGCGCCTTTCGACTCCTCGCCGTCATCATCTGGCCGACCCATCATGAAGAGATCGCTCGTCGGAAGACCCAGAAAATGTATTGGGAGTCCAGAATCGTGAATCTGCGTCGCTAGCTCTTTCATCTCCTTGTTTGTGAACATCGTCAGGCGCGAACAGTGCCCTAGGACAATCGTCTTGCCGGGCTTTGTTTTTGACGTCCACTCCGCTTCATTCAATAGCCGGATCACATCCCAGACCATCGGCTCGGAGTCCCCGAGGTTATAATCGAGGTGGAAATCAAGATGTAGATCATGCTGTAACGCCATCTCGATAGCCCACTTGATATTCTGCAGACCTGCCTCTCGATCTGACTCGACATAGGGTGTTGATCCTACCGCCTCCACGGCGCCAGCATAATTCAGTAGTGTATCTTCCAAGATCCGACGATTTTCCTCCCCATGGTCGGAACTGAAAACCGGATCTTGTGCAAACGCACAGATCTGCAGCTCGAATTTCCCTCCAAAAGATTCCTTAAGCTGTACCGCGGCCTCGAGGCACGTCGTCCCGGTCACATGGTCCAGTTCGACGAACGCCCGGCAAGATGTCACGCCTTGCGTTAGAGATGTCGCGATGAGCTGAGAGCCTCGGAGGTAGAGGTCGGCAGGTGTGTACCGGGCTTTCGCCTGGCCAGTGAACGAAAGAGCTTCGCTGAAGCTGCCGGTTTTCGGTGTTAGGTCGGTGTAGTCCGGATAGGAGGTCTGGTGAGCATGGGTTGGATGGTGTTGGATGTTGGTGGTCAGGAGATATGGCTTGTCGAGGTGGATGTGTGGGTGGCTTAGTGCTGGGAGGAGGAGGGATGCTGGTTCCCCTCCAGTATTGGTCTCCTCTGAAGGTTCTGGACTTGATGGTCCCGACCGAAGTTCGCCATCTGTGGATGGTAATATCGAATCTATGGTGTTGGCATTGTACTCAACCGTCCATCGAGATTTGGGATCTCGGTCCAGGAGGATGATATTGTTGAGCTTCATAGTCGCGATCTTGAAATACGATAATGTTTGTCTTGTCGTGAAATGTTCTCGGTTCTGGATTAAGTCCCTCGTCGTTCTGGCGGACAAGTATTCCTTTATTCGAGTCTTAAGATTGTCGAATAAGTATACTCGGCCTCAATCGAGATCGGTCGATCAATTCCCACTTGGACAACACGAAGCTTTGGAATCCTGGCCTGAGTTGGAAGTAGACACAGCTCGAAGGTGACCGTTGGGCCTTTCCTGGTCTGACATCACGATATCGCAACGGCCATCTCCAGAGGTGCGATCCAATGTCCTTGTGTTGAAAGGCCTTATCTATCGTTCGAGTATGTATATCCCACCTGATCCAATGATCAGTTATGTCTATCGGTATTGCATCCGTACTCTATTCATGGTCAGCAGGAGATGAGAAGACAGAGGTCTAGGAGTGAGGATACTCGATACCTAGGTATCCAGAAGGAATCCTTGGTCGATTATAGCTGGAAGCCGTATACTCCGCCGTAAATACTTGGTGACGCATAAAAAGCGCTATAATCCACCGTCCCCTTTGGTTGCGACTACCCACCTAGGTACCTAAGGTAGGCAGCTGTACAGGCACAGATTAGGGCCACCCTCGCTGTAGGAAGAATATTGATGCTTGGTCCCATGCCCAAGACGTCGAGAACGTTGTCGCTCCAGGCTTGCCCACGACTCCCCACAGCTCGTCCACAGGCTGTGGCTTAACCGTCAAGCTAATGATACTTAACTGAACTCTTCACGCTAGGCACGGCTAAGAATGGGGAAGCTCGATTTTTCAACGCTGAGCATTAAGTAAGTAGAATTCAAATCTCCTTCTTAATGTACCTGTAACTGAACGATCAACAGCCATGTCATCCAGTGAGCGATACCGAGCATTAGGGCTATCGAACATCTAGGTCAGTACCTCATTATCATGACTGCACCCAATCTGGTGAACATGGCGAGCGCTTCTCCAATGGTATGTTCTAGAGAAGCCGCTAAACGTCGGAGACGCTGACTGAGTAATGCTAGCCATCGAGATCAGTGCGAAGTGGACAGACATTGAGCTGTTCGCATTGTGATCTCAAATTCAGCCGTCCAAGTCACTTAACCAGACATATGCTGTCGCACCTGCCTGATGAACAGCGCGACCACGTTTCTTGCTCCAAGTGTGGCAAGAAGTTCGCGAGGAATGATGTTCTCTTGCGACATCTACGAATCTCCCATCAAATCATATATCACAGGCCTCGCAGTGCCCAGAAATCATGCTATCGGTGCGCCGAGAAAAAACTGAGATGCAATCGACACAATCCCTGTCAAGGGTGTATCAAATCAAAGATGGCTTGCAACTATCCCGCTGTTAATGGACCTCAAGGGACCGAGCTCTCCTCTCCAAGCTCACAGGAACGTCTATCAACGGAGCCGCTAGGGGTCGCCCTTGACCAGCGGGAACACGTCGATTTCGTGAATAGCGACTGGCGACAGAACATTGACAATACCAGCACGATAGAGGTACAGCAGAGTACTGGTCAAGCTGATACTCGTTTCAACGACAATGCGACCACCGTCCTCACCAATGATCCCATACCATCTTATGACACAGCAGAAGGTATTTCTATGTACCCTTCATCGTCTGACATAACCATGGCAATCGATGGAATTTATCATGGTCCCATATCTTTCGCAAATGAGGGCCATAATCTTGGTGAAGATGTCACGGCTGGCACCTCCCAATTTTCGTTCAGCCCCATGCCATTTGGAGGCTCGACCCAAGATTGGCTCGATCTTGATCCTTTTGGGATCATGGATGACTTCCATACGGATCTGCCATCGAATACTACGAATAACATTACCTTCCCACATCATGCTACCTGGTCAATACCAGCTTCAAATCAATTTCTACCTTTGATCTCTAGGGATCAACAGCCCAACCCGATGACTTCAAGTGCTACAATCCCTATAGCAATACCCACGAGACCAGCTTCACCAAATGTGCAATCCCGGGCCCAGCCATGGCCATTTGAGCAAGCACATGATACCATGCAATCAACACTACGGCTGCCACCATTGCGTGACATGCTTCGAGGCGGCTCCAGGACGCATAGATTGGGGAAGACCACGATGGAGGCCGTAGCACAGCTTCTCTCAGGTCCCCTATTACCTAATGTGGACGATTTATCGGACGATCCGAATGCTACAGCGGCTTTCCATCTGCTACGCCGTGCCGTCGACGCCTTCTTCGGCCATTTTTGTGCAGTACTACCTATAGTTCATGTACCGACCTGGGATATTCTTAGTACTTCTACAGCGCTCATTGCTGCAATGGCATGTATAGGGTCAATATTTGTTGACAGCTCTGATGCTTGGGACAATTCCTTGCTGCTGAGTGAGATATGTTCATACGTAATCGTTTGGCAGGTATGTTTCTTTGGGCCTGCACCATTACCTTTACCCGATGACTTAACACAATCGATATATTTCGATATGCAATTTCACTAACCTGAGAGATGAATAGGGAGAATCTGATGCTTCAAGCTATCAAGATGCCTCTTATCTTAGTGCATGTTGCCTTCATCAAATATACTCTCTTGGGTCTGGAAACCGATCGCTGTATCAGAGTGCGGATCGAAAGCGTGGCTTATTGATAGGAAGTCTGCGGGGAATAGGACTCCTCAGGTCCCGACTTTGCATTGAAAATGACGAGCCCGACCAGAGTCATACCGACGAGACACGAGCGGAACACCTCGAAGCAAAGTGGCGGCGTTGGCGCGATGTTCAACAAGGACGCCGGCTAGCATGGGCATCATTCGAGTACGACTGCAGTCTCTGTACCCTGACCAATCGTCGAGGAGCTGTTGATATGAGTGAACTGCCTGCGCACCTTCCGTGCACAGATGCTTTATGGCAAGCATCCTCCGCGGCAGCTTGGAAAGCCTTATACTCTCAATCGTCCCCAGCTGCTAAAGGCCCACTACATGCAACCCTACTTCGAGAATTGATGTCCACAGGGACCTTCCCATGGGATCTCCCCTCCTGGTCAAAACGCCTATGCTGCCAGATCATAGGGCGACTACTTTGGGATATCAAACAAATGGAATTGGTGTGGATTTACGATACCTTAGGTTTGTCATCGCTTCGAGCTGCACAGAAGCAGACCTCAGCATCACTTCTCAATGCTCTAAGTCATTTCGCCAGGTCCATGACTCGTGCTTCGACTACACCTGAATTGATTGATAACAAGTGAGTTAATTCCAAGCGTTGGTAATCCACTATGTAAGCTGAAATCGAACAGTATTGCAAGGCTGATATACCATTATTCGCATCTCTACACTGCTGGTGACATTCTTGACCTTGTCATTTTCATCGTTCGCAGCTCTGCCACCACATCGACATCCAACGCAGCGAACAAGCAATCACCGAAAAAGAATACCGAGTGCAATCTGGCCAAAAGCCAACTAAGTTCCAAACTCGCCTACGATCCATGCAAGACACGAAAACTCGTTTGGCATGCAGCCCAGATAACAGCAGTAGCTGACGAGTATATTGTATCTGCGCCCTGCGAGATTCTTCGCGTGTCTATGGGCTATCTCTTCATCATGGCATTTGCACGTTTCGGTACACACACGCATGAACTGGTCGAGGTGGGCGGAGATGACCCGGTCAAACTTGACAACCTCAGGCCAACACAAAGTCAGCAAGAGACCATGTCAAGATGGATCGAATACGGAGGATCGGCAAGCCTAGCCACCATTGAGAACCTTTGCTCCGATGGCTGTATAGGTGCTTTGAATGAGCAAGCACAGACTCTATTATCGAAGCTGCGCAATTGGGGCTTGGTAGACAAGTTTTCTAAGATCCTTGATGCTTTCCAATCTTGCGAGGATTGAATTTGAGACGAGAAGCTAAGGTTTATTGCTATATGGACCTAGTGTGATGAGAATGGAGGTTCGCAGCCATGAGGGTCACAACATCCGTACATCAGCATGCGAGGTTCAGACTCCCTTCTGCGGTCAAATATCCATCAAAGCTGTCGCTAAAAAAGTATGGATGCAGGATACGGCGCTCCAATCTCCATCTAATTGAGAACAGCTAGCTTATGTTACCATGACCGGTATGGATCCGGACTGCATGTATGCATGTACGATCGTTCTCGTGCCGATTGGTGCCCGGATCCTTGAAAGACTCGGCTGTACGCGATATAGTCATCTCAACACACTCGGCCGGTACCACAGCCACGTGCGAAGCTAAAGTTCACTGTGAGTAGCAGGAAAGTCGATTAAGCCCTGTCATAGAAACAAAATGCCGGAGTGCGCTAGTGCGAAAGCTTGCTGTGCTCTTCGGATAGTCAATTCAAGGCAGAATTGAGGGCTTGACCTTTGAAGGAACAAAGCTTAAGAATCTATCATGGAAGTCCACAAGCCATTTGCAAACACCCCTCGCAGTTCTACAATTGAGATAGAGTTGACCAATTTCGGCTTTTCAGATATCACTGATAGCGACGTCAAAATCGAGATCCAACCTTTCAACACAGACTAGCATTTTAGTCGCGGTTTAATCGCTTTTGCGAGAGTACTTTTTAAATTCCATACATATGCAACAAGACGCACTTCCACGAAATATTTTCATCATGACCGGACGCGTGCCCTATCAACGATCATACACACCGTCCACCATCGACCTGTTTCGGGCACATAATATAAGCAAGAGAATCCACCAACGGAACATCAGACATACCTCTAGGTTGACACCCGTGATAAAATTCGCCTCGTCGCTCGCCAGATAGCAACATGCATTAGCGATGTCGGCTGGTTGTGAAGGTCGGCCAATAGGGATAGTTGACACGAAAGCCGCCCGGTTCTCTTCTGTGTCTGGTTTTCCGAGGAAGAGATGCGTCCTAAGATTGAGAGATGCGTAAGTGAATGTCTTAAATGCAGACGAGGTATCAATGACTTTGGCATGAAAAGAGGCTCCGGCCAATGTGAGATGCACTTACATTCCAGTAATCCCTACCACGGGACAAACGGAATTGAAGCGGATGTTGTTCGGTCCATACTCGACAGCCATCGTCTTCGTAGCAGTGTTCACAGCCGCCTTGGACGCATTGTACCACGTCAGACCAGGACGCGGCCGTAGCGCCGCCGTGCTCGATATCTGGATGAAGCAGCCCGGCCGTTTCTCCCTCAAGAAGTACGGCACGATAACACTGCTTGATAGGTAGATCGACTTTACGTTGACGTTCATCACGAGATCGAAGTCCTTGTCTTCCACATCGACGGTTGGTTTGTTCACGTACGTCGCACCGGCGTTGTTGACGATAATGTCAAGCCGTCCGTGTTTGTCCAATGCTTGCTGGAGCACGCGTTCCCAGTCCTCTCTCAGGGTCACATTGGCAACCGCGACGTCACAGGATAGCTCTTCTGCAGCAGCCTTTGCGGCGTCCGCTGATAGATCGCAGATGATCACTTTCGCGCCCTCCTCGGCGAACTTTCTAGCTATGCCTTTGCCAAACCCTGATGCTGCACCGGTGACGATGGCCACTTTGTCCGATAATCTACCCATAGTGCCTGCAAGTTCCTGTGGTGGACAAGTTTTCTCGAGGGATTGAGGCGTTTGGTAAACCAGATAGTGATTGGCTTTGATCTAGATCATCAAGGTTGTTTGTCGGACGACTAGCACTTTGAGAATATCATCTTGGTTAAAATGTTTCAATTACCGTTCCGCACAGGCTACTTCTGGCACATCACCCCTACTCCACCAGAGATGTGGCACACCCCGATGGTTAGAACGGTAACCACAAGCCGCGCCTTCATTTTGACTTTCACACTTCTTACCGCAAGTAAGCGTCGAACATTCTTTGATGGGACCTATCTTCATTTTTCATGTTGTCGAGGACCTCACATGCCGACTGGCGAACTCGGGGATATCACCGCGACACCCTAGCTAGTTGAGAATGTGTCAACTTCCAGATCTCCGATCCCGGCAACCTGCTTGACAGGTTTTAGTTCTCTTTGATCAAAAGATCTGCTTTGTCTAGATACGTAGTACTCCAATCCAAGTCCGTATTCAACAAAGATCGTTAGCAAGAGCACTTATGGCATCGATCAAAACATTCCGAATACTAGTATTACCAGGAGATCATGTCGGTCCAGAGATTGTAGCGGAAGCCATCAAAGTTCTTCAAACGATAGAGAGCTGCCAACCAGAGTTTCGTTTCGAGACAACGTTCGATCTTGCTGGAGGATGCAGCATTGATAAGCATGGTGTTCCAATTACCCCCGAGGTGCTTGACAAGGCCAAAGCAAGCGATGCGGTGCTTTTTGGCAGTGTCGGCGGTCCAGAATGGGGGCATGCGGAACCGAATCCAGAGTCTGCACTGCTGTCCCTTCGCCACCATCTCAAAGCATTCGCAAATATCCGACCATGCGAGTTTTTCGTGTCCTCATTGATTGACTTATCGCCGATCAAACGAGATATCGTCGCTGGCACGAAATTTGTTGTAGTTCGGGAGAATTGTGGTGGAGCCTATTTTGGGGAGAAGACGGAGCGGAAAGAGTATGCGTCTGATCTCTGGGGCTATGAAGCGCCTGAAGTTAAAAGGCTGTGTCGCGTCAGCGCCGCTGTGGCACGAATACTTGGACGCCAAGATGAAGGGAGTGGCGGACCGGCCGTTGTTTGGAGTTCGGATAAAGCCAACGTCCTTGCAAACAGCAGACTCTGGAGGAGGGTGACTTCCGAAGTATTTGCCTCAGAATTCAAGGATATCGAATTGAAACATCAACTGGCTGATAGCATGGCAATGCTCATGGTTCGAGACCCCAAACACTTCAACGGTGTCATTCACACAGATAACACGTTCGGGGATATTCTGTCTGATATCTCAGGAGGAATTCTCGGAACACTTGGTGTCCTGCCTAGTGCCAGCGTTTGCGGTGTGCCAGGAGAAGATGTATGCAATGGCATCTATGAGCCTGTCCATGGCAGTGCTCCTGACATTGCTGGCAAAGGGATTGTCAATCCGGTTGGCCAGATACTCAGTCTCGCAATGCTTCTGCGGTATTCGTTAGGTCTTCTCGAGGAAGCCACGGCCATTGAAAAGGCAGTTGCGAAGGTAATGGATTCGAAGGCAGTGGGCGGTCTTGAGATCAGGACATCAGACCTTGGAGGGAAGGCGTCAACGAGTGATGTTGGGAAAGCAGTTTGTGAAGTTCTGCGCTCAATCCTAAAGTGTTAGGAATTTCAGTTTTTACCAAAGCTCTGAACCAAATGTTATAGATGATCATGGAATTTCTTTTGGCTTCAATTAATGATAAAAGACTCTCTGATAGTGCTTAGTATGCAGCTTCCTAGAATGTCTCAAAAAGAATTTATAGTGGTCAAATGAGGGTGAAATCTAATAATAATTGGCTTTGGAGATTATATCGATAAGATAACACAACCCAATTCTCTTTTGCTTCTCATACACATATGCAAAAGTCATTGAAAAGCGATTTTTAGACCACGATAATGGGCATTGAACTCAGACGTATACAGCTCTTATCTGGCTACATTAACTTCTACCCTGATTTATGAATAGTCCGGACAGGCTGTTCCACGGTACTAAATCTTATTGAGTGAACATGTAAGCCTCCTCCATCGCTGCGCTGTTACCAGTGGGTATAGAGCGGACACATACTTTCGTTTCTCGTACCAACGAGGTGAATCTAGGCGACTTTTTCCACGCTCGTGACAGCCTTCTCGTTCGACTGATTGAGGCCAGAAGTCTCAGTGTGAGCAACATCAGTGGCTCTAAGGAACTCATCAAGCTCCCTTCGTTGTTCGTCGGAGACATCATGGACGTGGACAGCAACATCGTCGCCAAATTTTGCTGAGATTTCTTCCAAAGACAAACGAGCAGTCTCAGGCCAGAAGAAGTATATCATTGGCAGGAATACGATGCACCAGCAGATGATGACAAGATAGTACTTCCATCCAATGGCCACCATGCCAATCGGTGCTGTTTGGAGGAGAATAATCGTGGATGCGAATTGTCCGAATAATGAAAATCCCATTCCAATCGGTCGGATTTCTGTGGGGAAGATTTCAGAAACGTAAAGATACATGGTGGTGTCACAACCAGTGCTTGAACAAAGTGTCAGCAGAACGCCATTGAGTCACATTATCATGGTCCAGAACTCACCCTTGGAAAGCCAGGTATAGAAAAACAAAGAAGACACCGGCGGCATTACCGGCCTCGTTGGTTGTGCCGGAGTATTGGGCAATGCAGCCCGCCAGACCGCTGGTGGTAATAAGGCACCCGAAAGTGCCCACCATGAACATCCAGCGACGTGAGTTGACGCGATCATGAAGCCAGGCTCCGAGCGGGTTGTAGATAACGCCTATCACGTATGGTTAGTCCACTTTATACTGTGAAGGAAGGAAATTCACAAGATGGCCATACCTGCAGTTGTCAACCAAAGTGCGGAGAGAAGAAGAGGCATTGAGCCGGTCTGTCCAAGATTCGTATAGAGAAGGACGGAGTAATTGTTCTACGCATTTTGTTAACAAGAGAGCTTCCCACATGGTCTCTGATCTCTTACAATAACCAAGGGTCCTGAAAATTCGGCGCCCCATTGGGTAAGGAAGCCGATTATCATACGCTTTCGATAGCTCTTGATTTTCAAGACAGCTTTCCATGGGGTTGTGTTGAGCTTTCGGAGTTTGGCCGCGTCTAAAGCTAGTTGTTCTTTTGTCTGATATAATTCCTCTTTGGCGACTAGATTATCTGGGTCGTGTGGAGATTTCCTGAGCCGTAGGAGAGTTTCCCAGGCCTCCTCTGTCTTTCCCTTCTGGAGGAGCCACCTGGGTGACCGCGGGATGAAGAAAGATGTTACGAAGAGAATGAGAGGGGAGAGGCATTGCATGCAAAGGGGAAAACGCCATGCAAACGATGGATTGCTTGCAGTGGCAAAATAGGTGGCATATCCCAGCCAGCCCGATAACATGTACCCGAACACCAAGAATATAGCATGATGACCCACAAGCCAGCCACGCTTCTCAGGTGGTGCGAGCTCAGCCATGTACATTGGACATATCGTAACCAGATTTCCTATGGCTAGGCCGGATATGAACCTGCCTGCCTGGAACATCCTGAGAATTGTTGTCAGAATGGGCCTAAATCAAGCAAGGCCTGAGCTACTCACCCGATGTTCGCAGCGCCACCTTGAAGAGCACCACCCAAGACTGCCAACAAAGCACCGAGCTGGATGTTGCGCTTTCGACCAAGTGCAGTCGCAGCCCACATGATCCAAAGGGATCCCACAGCACCGCCGGCACTGTACAAACCATTTGCAGTAGCGATAGTATTAGTGGTGGTGGTTGCATATCCCGGACCCTCTGTGGACAGATTGAAAAAATCATACCAGCCAGGCTGTCCGATAGTGCTTCCAATGACCGCAGAGCAGTAGCCATAAGTCTAAAACCCCGAATCAGTAGGTAGCCAAGTGAGAACAGGGGGCGAGGTCTTACCAAGGAGCCAAAGGCAACCGCCACCGTGACAAGGCGATTGTAAAGGTTGGAGTGGGAGCGTTTTCCATCCATGATGCGCAAAAGTCCGTCGGAGGCTGTCACAACAACGTGGCAAGAAAGAGGAAGTCACAGGGATGCGGACTTCATGCATCATATACGTTGTACCGTTCCAGCAAGTTGGTGAATTGTGGGGGATTGGCACTCCGTTACAACATCATGAGATGTTGGGGATTTTGCGGAGGCCCCGCACCTTGATGATGGAAGTCGGCACAGTCCTTGACTCTAATCTCCTAAAATCGGGCAATCTCTCGGAGCGTGCCACTTGGAGTGACCCACCGCCTGACACACTGGGGCAATTATCTGAGGGTTTTCCCGGACATAGGTGCCACAGAGGTCTGGTGGTTCACGAACGAAAGACCCAAGTCCGTTTGGGACAGGGTTCTGATCTGGCTCGTGATTGCTGAAGCAGTTCTGAGACGACATGATGGCTGGGGCATTGCCATTCAGATCGGAGAGTCCTCCGGTATATCAAACCCTTGAAAACGAGAATGCCACCTGCTTTGACCCCAATCGTTGTGGTTCCAAGCCGATAGAAAAGAAACTTACAAAATGATCCAGAAGGAGACTTCCATGCAACTGGACCTCGCGTCTAATGATAACGATATTTACTGCAGCAACAACTTTGTTGACGGAAAGTGGGTGGCTTCACAATCACAAAAGCGCTTCGATGTGGTTGATCCTGGGAGCGGCAAAATCTGGGCATCTCCCCCGGACTCGATAGTCGCAGATGTCGAAGTTGCGATACAATCTGCTCACAAGGCTTTCCAAAGTTATAGCCGCGTCGTACCAAGGAAAAGAGCCGAGTGGATTCTGGCATGGCATCAACTTATTCTTGCTCATAAAGAAGACCTTGCTCGGATATTGGTACACGAGACAGGAAAGCCCCTCCAGGAAGCCTACGACGAGATCAATTATGCAACAACGTTTACTTGGTGGTTTATGGGAGAGGCTGAGCGTATTCAAGGGTCGAGCATCAAAAGTGCGACGCCCGGGAGACGAGCCTTCGTCATCAAGCAGCCTATAGGCCCTGTTGCTGCCCTGGTACCCTGGAATTTCCCTGTGGCCCTATATTTGAGGAAGGCGAGTGCTGCACTGGCGGCAGGCTGCACAATGGTCGTCAAACCATCTCCAGAAACCCCAATAACCGCGCTGTGTTTAGCAAGTCTAGCTCTAAAAGCGGGTTTTCCACCAGGGGTCCTGAACGTTGTGACCACCAGCCTAGAGAACACTCCGTCTGTGTCAGAGGCAATGTGTACTCACCCTCTAATCAAAAAAGTCAGTTTTACCGGTAGTACACGTGTGGGAAAACTCATCGCAGGTCTGTGCTCAAAATCATTGAAGAAGTCGACCCTCGAACTTGGTGGCAACTGCCCCTTTATCGTTTTTGATGATGCAGACCTTGTCGATGCTGTAGCTCAATTGTCTGCATTAAAGTGGCGGCATGCCGGGCAAGCCTGTATCACAGCTAATCGAGTTTTTGTGCAAAGAGGTGTCTACGAACAATTCATCACCAGACTGGTAGAAAAGGCTAGTGGTCTTGTCATTGGGCATGGGCTGGAAAAGAAATCCTCAATGGGGCCTGTTACTACCTTACGATCATTGACCAAGGCAGAAGAGCTTGTAACTGATGCCATGGCTAAAGGTGCAAAGATTGTCCTTGGGAGTGGGAGATCTGCTGAACGTGACGGCTTTTTCATGGAACCAACGGTATTAACCGGAGTGGAAGACAATATGATAATGAGTGGAGAGGAAATCTTTGCCCCAGTGCTTGGTATCTCCAACTTTGATTCTGAGGACGAAGTGGTAAAGAGAGCCAACGACACGAGTCTGGGCCTTGCAAGTTACGTTTTCACCCAGGATGCTGATAGACTATGGAGGATGCTCGAGAATCTGGAAGCGGGTATGATAGGAATGGTATGTGTCTGTATGCAATGGGTTTAACCGATGCTGACATGCCTTCAGAACACGGGCGGTAGTTCCGCAGCCGAGGCACCCTTTGGTGGCATTAAAGAAAGTGGCTGGGGTAAAGAAAGTGGCAAAGACGTTGCGCTGGATGAGTTCATGGTCACCAAGACGGGGACGTTGACGGTGAAAGGACATTATTGAATTTACACTAGGGGGGTGGTAGAGTTGCTCGACGATGTCTAGTGGGATGCCATTGGCCATGGCGCGTCTGGAATGAGCAAGGTGGACTATAATGCAAAGATGTGTTGTCCTCACGAGGCTTCGTATCTCATCAGCATGTTCCACTGGAATTGATGTAGCCATTTCTTATCAAACCAAGCCTCTGCTCATATCAGAATATTGCGACACAATTAGGCGGACTGCTGACACCACCCGGCAGTTTTAATGGAGCACTAGCGAGAAAGAATTCCCATCTCTGCTCTTCCTCGCAAATTCGACTTAACTCCTCAAGGTCAAACAATTCACCAATTGGCATACCCCATCCTGCCAATAGATATTCGTGCAAAAAGCGTCCATCTACTTCGCCTCCGTCCTCCCGTTTATAAGACTTCTGCGGCGGGTATACTTCAAAGCTGATGGCATCACCTGCGACTGCTGAGAAACCTTCATCCCATATCCATCGCAGCATTTCTTCAGTACCTTCAACTCCTGCATGCTGGGGACTTTTGTTCAGTGCATATGCCAATTTATCTTCTGGTGTCATGATGGTGTCCCACTCTCGAGTCACTCCAATGCGTACAAAGAGGATATCTCCCCTTCGGAATTTGACCTTCTGCTCTGCTGCGATCTCGATAAGAACTGCCAATGGAATGGAATGGTCCGAGAAAGTAGAGTACTGGATATTCTTCTTGGTTGCGTAGCGCACGTAGTCAAGTAGCACGCCCCTACCACAAATACCTTCTCTAGCCCATTCTTGAATTCCTATGCGAGTATTGGAACGATCAGTAATCTCTGAAGCCGTCACACCTCCATAAAAATGGTGCTCAGTTGTGCCGGCTTGTGGAGCAGAGAAGTGCCGTAGACCATCCCACTGAGATGACTGTTGTGGGTTGAATATAACGACATCGTCAAATGCACGCCCATTGAGAAGGGGCACTATATGATGCTGGGTGGGCTGTCGTCCGAAATTGGCGATCTCGAGCTTAGTTAAATCCCATCCCAATGTCGTGCGTCGGCCGGTCTTGATGCAAGTCCTCGAAGCGTAGGCGACTACTTCTGGCGTCAAGATGATGAGACGACCGAGACCCTCCTCGCGTGACCCTGCCGGAGTATTCCAAACTTGGCGTGGGTTTGGAAGTGCATCATATGGCAAGGAATGAAGGGTTAGGAGATCTGGTGACATTGCAACGACCCAACGTCTCTACTCAGCAAGAAGAACACAACGAATGCTCAAAATGAAATTCCAATCAGTGCATTGTCGGTTTACAGGTAATTGGCAGCCACAACGAAGGCGTTGTTCCTCGAAACGACAGGCTTGTTCAATTCCAAACACTCCAACAAAAGTGAAGAAGTACCTCCAGAGAAAAACGACCTAAGCATTCATTGATTGGGGATAGGCAGAAATTATTCGCCAACTCCATGATGAAAAGCATACTTCAGAATTTACTTGCCTGGAGACAAGGTCACATGGGAGGGACTAATTGTTTGTGGTACGGTCCGGGAAGGGGAACCATCATGCTCTCGAGGCGAAAGCTGTGACCCGAGGTCCAAACATCCACGACCGATTGCAGCCTCCTCTAGGGGCTCTTGGGCGATCATGTCCGTCCCACCGCTCGGAGATCAGGAGAATCATGATGCTTATCACGTGCTGGCACTTGGTCGGAGGCACTCCCTTCTTCCACGTCTACACGTTTCCACCAAGATTCCTCGTTATTCTGATCGACGCGTCAAAGCACAGCGCCAATTTCACAAATTGGACTCTTGAGTATAGACTGCAAGGTTTTATCACTGCCGGTTGATACTAATTTTGCGCAGTCCTGCATCTGCTTAATTGATGCAAAAGGACTTTTTCTCTGAGCTATCCTTCCTAAATGCTCTTAGCCTGGGAAGCCTTTGATCCTGAGCTCGTGTTAACGGGACCAGTTAATCATCTATAAGCCCTCTAATTCGTTGTCATCAACCTTGAGCCTCGCCGTCCCGAGAACACAAGCCCGTATCTCAGCTTCTACAGGCGCACATTTCCTGATAGGTATGCTTGGACTTTTCAGCTCCGTTGGTCTGGACTTAGGCTCGGTCTTGGCACCCAGCCGCTCGAGACTGCGGGCAAGCGATCCCCAACCTCAATCACCCATCAACGAGATAGGCGCACTACCAACCTTCTGCATGAGTGCTTGACTTCAATCTAGGCACTCAAAATGGCCCGTGACAAGGCATCTCTTGTTCATAGCCAAGGCTCTACCAAGCGAGCTTGAAGTGCTTGTTCCAGCCCAGCTGGACAACTAGCTCCCCGGTCGATCTAGAGAGGCGAAAACGCAAAGACAGATGCCGCCTTGGAAATTCTTCTATAACTTTTCAACGCCTGCGAAATGGCTCTGGACTTCTCTCGTGCGGTGTTCCCACTAATTGCCCTGCGTTGCCTCCGTTTCACGCCGCCCCTACTCAAGATATGCTTGTCTACTCAACTTTTCTGTTCTTGCTAACTTGGATTTTCCACCTTTGCCGAGCTATTTCGGCTTCAAGCGTTCGGAATCATGCACCACGAGCTGCTTCAGACGCCTGTGGCCGGGCCTCTCAAGCGGCGGTTCAGTATGCGAATGATCACCCGAATGGTTGTAGTCACCAGCAAGCGGTCCTTGGACATATATCACTGACTTGAACAAGATACCACACAGATCGATCCAGAAGTCGCCTATCTATGTCTGACATCGGTTCCTACCTATACTGAGCCTGCCCTCGCCCTTATTCGCAGTCTTTTGGGATGGATTGAGCTCCAGAGCCATCTAGATATTCTTAGGAGTGTGCCACAAGGCTACCTTTACGAGACGGTAGATCTTCGCAAGGAACTGAACAACATATATAACCGAGTGAAGAATGGGCAATACTACAGTGAATATGATCTCCAGATTGACATTGAAGCTCTATTCCTACGGGCCAGAGAGGGCCATTTTAAGTTCAAAGGGGAGCTACGAGGAATTTTCACGTTCACAAGGCCATTAGGGCTTGTGAGTGTCTCACAGGATGGAAGGGCGATTCCTGAGATTTACGTGAGAGGTGAGATGCCCCTCCACGCGCTGGCAGTTATCCAATAACAGATCGACAGAGGATATCTATGAGACTTCCAAGAGTGGTATCCAGACACTCAATAATAGGATATCAGCAGTCAAAAAGATCAACAACATGGAGGTGAATTTTTTCCTAAGCGCCGAGTCATATACAACCCCAGCTCAAGATCCTGATGAGTGCTGGAATAGCCTTTTCGACAACTTATTCCTTATGTCACTGGGAGGCGGTGGTAGGTTCCGTCAGCCTGTTTTCTACCCTGGACGTCAGACAACAATAGAATTCGTCAACGGGTCGATTTTTTCCTATCCGAACAAAGCAGATGTCAATGTTGATCTCACAGACATCGCTACTGGAGATGATATGTATCAGAAATTCTGCTTGCATCCTGAAGAACCTCCTGAAGAATCTGATGAATCCGACGAGCCAGACAATTCAGAAGAACCCACATCAACGATTGCCACAGTCATCGAACCGACAGAGACAGGAACATCGACTGAGCAATCTGAAACAACAGTACCAAATCCTATACTGAATCTAAGATACTATCCCTCCCCAATGGTTGCCGACTCGTTTGGAGTTGTTTTGGGATACTTCTTAGATAGTCCCTACGAAGACACGGCTGTTCTGTCCATCCTTGGCTTTCTCCCAACATTCCCGGAACTTGAGCCTGACGATTTCTTCCCTTCATTCCAATCAGCAATTGAAAGGTTCTTAGCACTAGCTGACCAAGAATCGAGGACAAACCTGATTATAGACCTCCAGCATAACGGTGGAGGTTCTGTCGACCTTTGCATCGATGCCTACGCACAGCTCTTTCCCGACGACCCACCTAATGCAAAACACAACATGCGTGCCAGTGCGGGAATGGAAATCATTATGCAAGTTGCCGCCGCCTGGGTCATCGGGGCGTCTGCTCTGGACAATTCCTCGTTAGATGATGTAGAAATCTCTTTCGATGCTCGCACCAAACCGTTGGCTTGGCAGAATGTGATTACCCCTAACGTCGACAAATTCAAGAACTTCGAAGATTATTATGGCCCAAACAAGATCTCCGGTGCCGAATACACTGGCTTTTTCCAAGACGACTATACCAACGCAGAAGCGTCCGAAGCGGGCATGGGAACCGTTGTCATCACTGGGACAAACGACAGACTTGGGTTCCAGCAGTACTTCCAATCAAAAAGCCTAGTCATGCTCCATGACGGTTCTTGTGGAAGTTCATGTACCATCTTCAGTGAGTATATGAAAAATCAAGGACGGGTGAAATCCATTGCGCTCGGAGGAAGGCCTCAGACAGGACCCATGCAGGGCATTGGAGCGACAAAAGGAAGCCAGGTGTTCGGGGGCAACTACCTCAATATCATCACGGAGTTATTCAACGATGCTGGAAATATGAATATTACCAATCACGCACAGATCGCCAAGGGTACTGCTTTTGAGTCTTGGGATCCCGCCGTTGCCGTCACTCGCAGTAACAAAGGGCTCAGCATCAATGGCAGGAACCACTATCGCATCGACGACACGACGCAAACGCCATTACAGTTTGTCTACGAAGCCAGTGACTGTCGCATATGGTATACTGCCGAGATGATTGCCGATATTACGCTCCTGTGGGAGCGAATTGCCGATATCGCCTTCCGCAGCGGCACAGACGGCGTCTTTGACTCCGAGTATTGCATCGCGGGCAGCACCGGGCACCCTACAAGTCTGAGCGGTGGTTTGAAGAAAGGCGAGATCGGTGACCAGAAACCACCCGCGAATGCCAAACCGTCCGTGAAGGGTTGGCTGATCAATGGTACCACGATCTCCGAGCAAGGCCCTGCACGGTATGCGAATCCGGGAAATGGACAGAATGTCATTGCTGGCGCGCCGCTTGACAAGGCTGCGCTGAGTAGTTTTGTAGATGAGTGTGATGCCGACGAAGGCGATGCTTGGTTCTTCAAGTTGATGTGCGAAGCTGTCAAAAACGGGGAGAAATGGCTTCGATGAACAGTATAATGAGACATTCCACACGAGAAATACGGAGAATCAACAAAATATGATGCATCTATGCACGCGTTGCTGCCGTCTTTGTCAAAGCTAGGAAGAATCGTGCTGAAAATTCGCAAAATACACTCCCGCTATGCGTATTCATATATGTAGCAGCCCGTATCGCCCAAAGAAAATGCTACAACCTCTCTCGCTATTTCATCATAAACAATAGACTTCGTCAACACGTCTCGTTCCATTTCGTTCCCATCATCACTTCCAGCCCGCGATAATTCCACTGGCACCTCCAAGATTCCCAGCCTTGGCCTCATTCACAGCGAACGTCTTGACGATGGGCTCGATACTATGCCACACGCCGTTGGCCAGCATGATGAACTTCCACGTCCCTTCAGGGTCTGGCGCTAGACCCACGCGTGCTTTACCGCCGTCGAGGTCACGGGGCAGAGTCTTCGCTCTTGAGATCCCAGGCTTCGGCTCATCGGCCGTGGAGGAGCCAGGGTCTCTATCGCTTCTTTTGTTGATATGTCGGTCGAAATGCTCTTGCGTCGCCTTGACCGCGTTGCTCTGCAGGAGCTGCGGCTGGTCGAAATGCGCGGCCGCGAGACCCTTGGTCGAGAGCTGTTCCTTCACGACTTCGGTTTCCGACGGGTGTGTGAATGCGTAGGCGCCGATGGCCAGGCCGATCACCGCTACCACATACACGAGTTTTAGGGCGATGAGGAGAAATAATGGGCCGAGGGGGACGCGGGTCACTATGACGGCTTGAGTGCGCTGTTGTTCCAATACGGTCTGGAGCGGCGTGAATGCACCGATACTTAACGCCATGGCGTTTCGGGAGAACTCGAGTGCCCATGTGTTGGCGAGTTGGTCCATAGTGTCGGAGAGTGCTGCTGTTCGTGCAATGGTGGACATTGTCGATTTCAATACGTCCTTGTATCCCTCAGTCAGACCAATCAGGGAGAATGGCCCAGTAAACAGAGCCGCCATTTCCGGTGAGACAAGTTCGGTGTTGAAGGATTGGATGCTGCCGTTCGTCCAGGCATAGGTCACATTGGCGACTGTGGTGGTACAGTTGAGGAACCATTGAACTCCTGATCCGCTATAGTCAAGCTCTGGGTCAGTGACGAGTTCATCACTGATGGAGAGTAGTCCAGGATAGTTTCGGGCCCATGTTCCGAAGTAAGCTGGATTAGACGGGATTATCTCCGGCCAGGTAATGGGTCCAAACCCAGTGCCACCAAGGCTGGCGTTCTGCACCAGGCCTGGAGTAGTGCTCAATTCAGCATCTGAACCAAAGGCAATGCCGGTGAGGGTGGCTTCGCTAAGAGAAAGAGATGGGTCATCAATGGGTGCGGTCTCGTTGCTCAGAGTGTATGGCCATGGACTGGTCATGTTGATGCGAAATCCGCTGGTGCAGTCGTAAGTAAATGTCTCGTTGTTGTAGCCCTGCTCACAAAGGCGAGTCATTGGTCTGCATTGTGTGCTCACAGCTGGCGCCGAAGCGATGAAATCGAGCGACCTGCCCATTTTCGAGTCAGTGTAGAAGATCCAGTGTGTGGACCCAACGGAATAATTGCTGAGCTTTGTTGATGTTGGAAGTCCCAATTGCAACAATGTGGAGTCGGTGGGATCTTGAACGGCCACAAGATTTTCAAGGCTTTTTCCTGCCAGCAGAATGCTACATGGCCAATAAGTGTTGATACCCCAGTTGAAAGAGGTGTTGGTGCGCGGACCATTGGTGCATGTAGCATTTTCTCCCTGAGTGTAGAGTTGTCGACCGAAGTTTTGCTTGGTAGTGGTGTTGCTCAGTATGTCTATGGTAATTGGGTGGGTGGCAATACCGAACCAGGTGTCGACAGCCGGTATCAATATACTAGGATGGGTTAGCATGCGCCAGTCTCTCTACAAGGAGTGGAAGACACTAACTTCAGAAAAGTGATGAACAACAAAACCCAGAAGACAGCAGGGACTGGATGAATGAGCCTTTCTTTCTTGAGCCATCTATGAAACAGGGTATCCTTGATCGAGTCCACGCCACTCCCACCAAGCAGTCCGATCAACAAGGTAAGCTGCTCAGGATTTGGAAGGACAGCATCGTCGCCTCTTTTGGATTGTTGAACGAGATATCTTGCAGCGAAGAAAGCCACCAAGGCCATAATGGAGCTTGTGAGATACGGAATGATCCGACTCGTCCACGATGCAATTGTCGTCAATGTTGAGGGATTGTACTGCACAATATATGCGGCCTTTCCTCCATTATGTCTGAGATCCGAAAGTGCGCTTAGAGCACCATTGCTAGCATTGGTGATAGTACCGGAAGGAAGAAGCTCGACATATCCAGACCAAAGGTCCAGCTTATGTTTGTAAATGAGGTAGATGAGGAGGACGAGGACCACTATGATCGGGATACATGGTAGAGCAACTCCAGTGACAATTGCCCAAATTGCGTTCTTGACATCTCGATTCGGACGCTGTGAGATTACTGGTTCTTCAATCGACGAAGCTCCAAGCAGCGGTTCGACAGAAGCCTTGACGCCTGTTTTTGCGTCGCCTTCCTTGATGTCAGCCATTTCTCACAGTCTAAGAGACGCAGAGAAAGCATTGTGCTTCTTGAGCAACTGACTGCTATTTCATATCGTGCGGCATCACAAGATGGCGGCTCACCAAGGCGGGATATGTCTCAAGGTTTCAGCAAGCCACCCGTTCAGAAAAGAGCATCATTACCAAACGTAGTCAAGCTTGCCTGGACGTATGGACTTCTAGATGGGTATTTGGAAATCGTCTCCACCACATTCTGTCCCTGACCGAACAAGGCCAGGATCTGATTGATCTGGAACACGCAGAGACAGATACATTAGTCTAGCGTGCAGTCTAATGACTCAACGGAACGAGAAGGGCCGCTGGCAGAAAGCGGCACAGTGACCAGCATACGGCTCACCATTGGATATGCCCGTGGTGCTGCCAAATCTTCAAGAGCTGCCGATGGATCTTTTTTGTTAGAGAAAAGGCGTCCCCCGCACCAAAACTCGAAGGAGCCTTGATGTTTCAACCGCCACCACCACTTGTTCTGGGCGGCTGCGGAGTTTGGAGAACAACATGCTTGGCGGCTCAAGTAATGTATGTATTATGTAATAACTGCTCGTAGCTCACGTGTGTGCTCTCACGACCTTGCCGCTTTTACAGTAATCTCCTTGTAATTCACCCTCCTGTCCCCTCTACTCAGCTTTCTTCCTACCCTCTGCCGCAGTACTCAAGCTGAGACACAAAATTCGAAAACACCTAGTAAAATCATTTCTAGGTCCCAATGACTGGTTTCTATTTAGCTTCTGGCTCCTGGCTGCCCTCCCAGTCGAACTCCCCCGTCGACTTTTCCTCCAGCTGAATACAAGATGGCATTCAGCCACAACCTTGGCATAAGCACTCGAGTCTGACCGTCCACTGTAAGTGGCAGCTTAAAATAATGCACGATAACCTGCTTCGAGGTATTCATGTAGTCGACGCTATACTTTGCGCGAAAGATGTCGTGTCAATTTCAGTCGGCCCTGATGTTGGCATGGGAAGAGCATTGCGGTGGTTACTTTGAACTTGTTGCTAGAAATTTAGTGAAAAGGTTGACACAGAAATTTCGAGCCGCAATTGCCGTTATGAGATATGATCGCGCTCTCACACTCTCTGGCGATGGAGGTCGCCAAGAACCCGTTCGTCTCCCTGGAGCGTTTATGAATGGGGGGGGGGGGGGGGGGGGAGCTCCAGCAATCTCCTTTAAGCCTCTAACATTGGCCAAAAGGTTCTAGAGTGACGGGGTCTTCCTATAGCTGGCGTGGTCGTCACAGTGGCGATGTTCAATAGATATGTTCCAACATGCGGTTGCCAACAGTCCCCATGCTTTACTTGCCACGGGAGTTTTTAGGTGCAGACGATACAACAGCTTGTTCTGCTATTCTATCGCCCGAAACCAGTAAACATGATGCGCACCATCGCAATCACATGAAAGGCAACGGCACACCAAAGGTTTGGTAGCAGAAGTATTTCATGGTCACTCGCCTGCCTTCTCTTCTCTGCGCTTCTCCATGAGCCTCCACGAAGGATGCAAGGAAGTTCCCCGTACTGTTGGGGTGTTTAATCCGTCTCAATTGGCATGCGGCCCAGTCTGACTGGTCTTTTACGAAGCTTTCCAGTGCGTACACGAAAAGCGGTCGAAGGTAACCAGGGTTTAGTGCGCCGGCCTCATCAGCCGCAAGCCATTCTCCCTCTCCTTCGATGACTTGCCGAATCTTGAGCCGTGCATGCTGAATTTCGGGGGTGGGAAATGGAGGATCGCCCAGAATCCGGCCGATGACGATGGTCTCGACTTGGAATGCAGCAATACACAGCCCTGCCAACATGATAAGTGGTTTGGCAATCGTTTCAGAAAAGCTCTCCCGGATCTTGATCGGTTCAAGTTGAAGTGGGGGTGGTCGATGCTCCCACAGAGTGGCAAGCTTTGTTGTCAAATCAGCTAGGATCTTGCTCACCTCTTCCTGATCTGCAGCCGTTGACCTTGATCGACGGTAGTGCGTCACATCTGTGATCTGATTTGAAATCTTTTGGAGCTTTATGTAGAAGGTAAAGACCGGCTCAGCTATGGTATCGTAAAAGCCGCGCTCGGGATAGGCGTCACGATCAAGCATTGAGAGCGAAGGCAACTGCTCTCCTACACGGCTATACAGAAGCCGGAGAACTGTATTTGAGAGCAAACCAACGCTACCTGGATGCTTTGTCACCGTGTTCAGCAGTTGCAGCCATGCACAGATTCGTGAAAAAATGGCCGACTGTGGCCCATGCTCAAGCGATGATTGTAATCTTTCCGTGAAAAGCCCATCAAACATACCGAGAGAAGGCCCATCTTCATTAGGTGCAGTCACTGCGCAAAGGCACTGGAGGAATGCGCAGATCAACAGAATTTCAAAGTCGACGGTAGTGTCGCCGATCACCGATTCGAAGTTGTCAAGGGCGATTTGCTGTAATGTCGTGGCATAGGTTCTCGGTAGATGATCAACTTGAGACCTGTAGAGTGCCTGAAGTGCCCTCAGAAAGTCGGCAACTAGCGGCTGCTCAAGCCCCAAGTAGGCGATGTACTGTTTCATCCTTCGCCAGTTCAGCTGATCAAAAGGAGACAGCAAGGTGCAGTCCACGACATCCAGAAAGTAGGCGAATGTAGATTTAGCGGGAACTTCGGAGACTCCCATCCAGTCAAGTACTGTGCTCATGTATATAAGCTCTGATGTCGAATGAAATTGGTCGGTGGGGCTTACATCCACTACACCGATCTGGCTCGCCGGGTAAAAGATCGAACTTCTGTTGTTTTGGGACCACTGAATAGCGTCCCTGGAGAGATCTGTTGGTTGTGCTGCGACAGGAGCGACATCTGGATATGCTGTCATACTCACGTCCGGTGTGACGACCTCGAGGTTGGTCTGCTTCGCCAACGGATCGAGAGCACTTTCGACTTGTAGTTCGATGTTCTCGCTCGAGTCTGAGATTTTGGCTTGACAGCTGCTAACCGGCGGACTCAGGTCTTCATGTAGCGTCTGCGGAGAATGGGAGGCGCTTGGAAGCCGGTAGGTACATGTTCTCTTCAATCGGGTACATTTCTGACACACCGGGCGTTGCTCATCACATTTGACCTTCCGGGATCTGCAGGTATCACATCCGGTACGGACACGAATCTTCATAGAAGGTGCAAAGGCAGGAGAAGCGGCTTCGCGAGACTGCGGGTTTGGTGTTGTATTCTCGTTTACGGTGGACACCTCGCTCTCCATCGGTACTTCTCAACCTCGACCCAGATCTTTTCTTACCAGAGACTGCTATCTGGAGCATCAGCATAGACAAAGCTGATGGGGCAGATACACACCACAAGCATGGCAGTTAATACTCTCACAGGTTGTAAGGTGTACTACCGTCTGAGAGGCGGGGCAACGTGCAGCAACCCCGCATTTTTGAGGCATCTTTTTGTTAAAACCCACTTACCACAGATAATGCGAATGACTGTACAACCATGAACCTAACTGTATTCTATTTTGAGTACCAATGACTTCAAGGTCTTAATATTATGATTCATGTGGGGCAAGCGATTGCACTGCCACTGGCGCAAAGCACTGAGCGATATACTGCCGACCTCCTAGACATTCCTGAATTCTAAAATCTTCAGTTCATTGCAAATCCTCAGCCACTCAACAGACGCCAGGATTCGGGGGCCTCATAAGATCAGTACGAGATGTTAACGTCAGACTATACGTACTGTACGAGTAAACCCCGAGGGTCATGTACCAAAGATTGCGAGAAATATGCCATACAGGTGCCTCTGACGACACTAATCGGAAAGTGCTCAGGAATTATCGAATGAAGCGTTGGACCGCTAAAAAGAAGTCTAAAAAGACTGAAGAGCACGGTAGACTTCGCTGAAAATTCGCTCTCAAGTCTGAAGACTAGACGTGGAGAGACTGGTATAAGATTGTCTTCAGTGATAAATGTTCGATTTGGGCTGCAATCTTTGGTGATGAGGCTTCAAATGCCTATACTTGACACATCATTTCCAACGGCCTTCATTCGCTTATCTGACGTGAGCGTTTCATAAATCACGCCACTCAAGAGTTCATACAATCTCAGACTGCACAGTGGTACTTTTACAAGTTCCGTTCACCATATCGCTCAGCAAAGGCATACTGTAAGGTGCAGCATAGCAAAAGATCTTGAACTCTCACGCTGCGTACATCAACCTATGATAATGGGTCTTGACATCACCAGTCGCGGCAAGTAGAAGACGTTGATCTTAGCCTACGTGCGTTTTCTCGCACCAAAACCCCGTGGGTTTGGGACGTCGTGTGATTGGTAAGGTCTCCAGGTCCTAAAGGTAGAAAACGCCTTTTATCCCTATGCACGTGAATGATGACCACCAAAAGCTTTCTGGGCAGATCCCTTCGCTAAAACTGGAGCCCAGAAGGACGGACTGCGATTCGTTGGTTGGCTCATCTGCTAGGCAAAGCATCACACAGTGCACGCCTGAACGCTCGCTTATGGTGGAGCGCTATTCCACTGACGATCTCAGCATTCAGCCAATCTTACAACCCCGTTCCTCACGGTCCAGATTTTGATAGCCGAATGGCGAAGGTGATGATAATTTGCTTTCTTCATAGAATTTACCTCCAAACTGTTGTGCTTCGATGTTCTATAAGAAAAGCATCGAAATGTTATACCTACAACTTATGCGTTCCTCAGCGATTTCAAATCCAGAAGACTGATCATCGAACCCGCCACGAATAATCTGCAAAACAAATTTCGGTGCCCGTTGATGATGGAGAAAAATTTCGCCACGATCGTGCCAGAGCGCACAGCAGACTATCAGGAGAGCACGACCACAGAACATCTCGTGACTGAGGCCGAGGCTGCTATGGCATGGGAGCATTCATTGACGCTGAGTCGTGCCTTGAAGCTCTATCGGAAGGCCATCATGTATGGGGCTTTCGTGTCCCTTGCGCTGGTCATGGAGGGGTTCGATACCAAGATCATGGGATCACTCTATGCCGTTCCAGCATTTCGGACCGCTTACGGCACACGAGCGTCTAGCGGCTCCTACCAGATTTCCGCTCCCTGGCAAAGCGGCATGATGGGCATTACCGGCGTCTCATGCATCATTGGCATGTTTATAGGCGGATATGTGACTGAGAAAATTGGGTTCCGCAAGACCATGATCGGCACGTTGTTGTCTATGCCGCTAATCATCTTCATATTCTTCTTCGCGCCCAGCCTTGAAGTGATTGCAGTGGGCAACTTTCTCTTCGGTAAGGTAAATTGTCGATATGGTCGATATGATCTAACTACTATGCAGGTCTTCCTCTAGGTATATTCCAAACGATAACTACAGTGTATGTCACCGAAATCATGCCTAACGCCTTGCGCCCGTATCTAACGAGCTGCTATTCGCTTGCCTATGTAAGGTCCCCATAGATTCGCAAATAAGTTTTGGCCTAACGATCGAGCAAGGCGCTGGGTCAGCTTCTCAACGCAGCAATCTTCCGCGCCACACTCAATCTGCCAAGTCCGTGGCCATATCGGGTGCCTTTTGCTCTCCAGTAAGATCTCTCGCTATACTACATTCCGTTGAGGCGTCTGACATTCTACTTAGATGGTTCTGGCCAATCATCATTATTCCTGCTCTGTATTTTGCACCCGAGTCTCCTTGGTGGCTTGTGCGTCAGAATCGCTTGGATGACGCTCGAGCATCGCTGAGGAAACTGACTTCGGAAAACCTGGACATCGAGATTCAGCAACTTATCTCCTTGATGGTATTCACCACCAATCACGAACGCAGCATTGAAGCCGGCACTAGCTACGTGACGTGCTTTAAGAAAGTGAATCTGTATAGAACTCTCATTGTCATAGGTGTCTATATCATGCAGGTATTGACTGGCGCGCCTCTGCGAGCATGGATGACCTACTTCTTTCAGCAGGGTGGACTACCAACGGACCAGTCCTTTAACATGACCATCGTCGCCTTGGCCCTTTCTTTAATGGGGGTCCTGGGATCGGTAAGTGCATTTTCACCCCTCCCTTCGATAAGGTGCTAAGGTTTTTATTTATAGTGGGTGGTCATGACCTACACCGGCCGACGACGCATGTATCTCGTGGGCAACATGATTTCTATCGCCCTTTTCGTTGCTATTGGCGGTTTAGGTATTGGACTACGAAAGTCGAAGCTGTCAGGTCTGGCTTGGGGAATCGGATCTCTCCTTGCCGTAGATGGTTTCATTGCGAGTCTCTTAATCCTACCCGTCACATTCGTGCTGGTTTCCGAGATTCCCTCCGCCCTGCTTCGCAGCAAGTCTGTCGTCATCGCACGAAACTCCTATACTGCTGTCAACATCATTGCAGGTGTCCTGACACCGTATATGCTGAATCCCACTGCTTGGGGCTGGGGTGCTGTGACCGGCTTCTTCTGGGCCGGAGCGTGTGTCATAGGATTGACCTTCACCTTTTTCATGGTGCCGGAGTCCAAGGGCCGCACTACTGCAGAGATGGATATCCTCTTTGAGCAGAAAATTTCCGTCCGCAAGTTCAAGAGCACCGAAATCTCTCTTATCCGTGGCGTCCAAGAGGGATTACCTGTTCATCGTCAGTCGCTATGATAGTTCCACCTTTGCGGCCAAATAGCAGAGACGAAGCCGATTGTCCCAGACGACAGCTGTAAGACAGCTGTTTGCGCCACCACAAGCTGGAGTGGACTGTTGACTTTATCTAAGAGGCAACAAGCAAATTTGAGATCAATAGGATCTAGTTGGTAGGCTACAAAATCTTCCGGAGTTTTCAAGTCTTTCTCCTCAGTTTCCACGAGCCTTCCCTTTCTAAACGATGCGTTTAGCCCTGGCGCGATCGACTGGGCTCCTACGAGGTCATAGCCCCTGTCTAAACAATTTTCGCTCTTAGAAGGAATCCCGTACGTCGAGCTCGTAAAAAGGCTCCGAAGGTGCGATCTTCTTGCACCACATCTCGCGTCGGGTTTATACCTATAGCTTGAAACAATCTCTGTGCCACAACTGCAACCTCTATTCTTGCATGTCAGCTACGCTTAGAATTTGATACTCTGTTATATTCGGACGCGCCAGGATGTCTTATTCGTGTTATTTGCTCGATTCTACAGCATGATAGATGTCATTGATGGCCTTCAAGAGCTTCTGGTGAATTTCACCTCTTGCCACGACCAATCCTCGGTTGCGATACAAATCTCTTCCCGCGCCAAACTCAATACTCCTGCCATCCAAATCGGTCACTTTGCCGCCCATTTCTGTAAAGATAAGCTGCGATCCCGCATGGTCCCAGATATGCAATTTCGACTCCGAACTTTTAGGTATCCAGAATTGTACATTGCCCGTACCAAGGATCAACGCCGCATAGCGTATATGGGAGGACCATATTTCTGTGTTAGGAAATTTTGTGTTGAACTCGCGTGCAAGTCGAGAGATATGATCGTGGCGGGTAACTTCGCATGCGGTACAGCCCACGATGTGCAGGTTTTTGTCCGAAAGGCAATCGTCAAGAGGAAAAGATAAAGGCGTAGGATCACCAAGACCCTCCGGAGCCATTGACCGAATGGTGACGCCACGGCCCCGGACAGCTGATAGCATGATACCGAAGCCCTCATGGTCGATATCGGTCTCGGAAATTCGAGTCATGTTAGAGCTTATGTTGGGACAGCCAAGCACCCCAAGGACTTCTTGTCCGTCGTTGATGAGTGACAACGACACGGCATACTGTTGCCCTCGAAGAAATGCAGCAGTGCCATCAATCGGATCCAAGACCCAGATTCGACCTTTGTCACCACCCGGGCCACGTCCTCCGAGGTCGATCCACGTTAGCATTTCCTCAGTGGACGTCGGTTGGTGTCCCATTTTTGCAGTAACAGTTTGCACCAGATCGTAAACTCTGCCACACAAGTCAGGGGCCCCCCTCAATACAGCTGAAGTCTCTTCGCCCACGAAACGATCATTGGGAAAAGTATGATGCAACAGTCCTATCAGAATTGCCTGCGCGGCGAAGTCGCCCATGGTGACCTGGGAGTCATCCTCTTTTATAATTTCACCAACGGAGGACTGTACTTGCTTCGTGAGGATGGATGCTTGTAGAACACCGTGCTGCGCCATTTGCAGCTCGTATGAATACGGATACTGCATAACGAGCAAGGTTGTGGTAATAAAGAAATCCAGAAGCAAATGCTAGTCTTAGCCACGAGTACAGAGGCCAGGGGCACTAATGCTGAGAAGTGACGGATAAGGAAGTGCAGCACGCGACCTTTGTAGCAATGCGGAAGTCATTAGGAGTGAGGAAGCTACACCCCTTGTTTCTTTCGCAATATGGAGTTCTGCTTCTTGACAGCAGATGACCAAAAATATGAAGGTCATTGGCTCCGGAATAATCAGTCACATGCGACATAGACAATTCCATCCAAAGACAATTGACAATCAAAGTCCTCCTACGTTTTACGAACAAGACCGCCCACAGATAGTGTATTTCAGTCCCTCATTTCGTGAGCGTGGCATCGGTAAGAGTGGAGCGCTTCAATGACTAAGGCTACTAATCATGGAGATCGGCTAAAAAGTCGAAGACCCGCATTTGCCGAGCTGCTGGATGATCAAGAGGACACCCGACGATTGGTACAAAGCAAGTTATGTATTCCATCTTGTTTATTGGCGCCGTGTACACTGCAGACTGAAGTTCATTCTGAAAGCCTTCTGAAGAAAGAAGGGGATTTCGCCTGAGTTAAGCCGGCTCAACCAGCATTGAAACGATATTCTGCGAGAATTTATTACCAGTCTGAGGACCGTTTCTCATTAATAATCGTCCTCAAGGTGTGGAGTAGGGCACCATTTGAAAGTCTCGCTTCCCAAAAAGACAATGGTGAACCCACTAAGAACATCACCCCATACCACCAGAATCGCTGGGCATCGGGGCCACAGTTCTGGTGCGCCGGAGAACACTCTGTCGGCTTTTCGCAAAGCGCGCGAGATCGGTGGAAAAGGTGTCACCTGCGAGACTGACCTCGGTATCACGAAAGACAGACAGATGGTCCTGATCCACGATGAGACTGTTGATCGCACGACCGACGGTCACGGTCTCGTGCGCAATATGGACTATTTGGAAATTGTCAATCTCGATGCCGGTTCCTGGCACAGCGAGGCTTTCGCGAAAGAACGCATCCCCCTGCTGAGAGACGCTCTGCTACTCGCGCGAGAACTGGACATCGTCTATCAGCTCGAGCTCAAGATCTACAATCGTAACGACGAGATATTTTCCCTGCTACGGAGCCTGATTGACGAGCTCAACTGCGCTGATTTGATGCAGTTCTCATCCTTTGACTTTGCCCAACTCCGTGAGATCAAGAAGGTGATACCCGAAGTGCCGACCGTGGCTTTGTCGCATTCACGCTTGATTGACCCGGTTGCGGTGGCGCGAGAAGCGAATGTGGATGCCATGAATCTCGAGATCCAGCACTTTCCCAGTGGAGAAGCTCGACAACTTCACGACGGTGGAATCGCCGTGTTCCTCCACGTGCCAGCTCCCCCTCGTCTAGCAAATCTCAAAGCTCACGGCGTGGATGTTGAAGCTCAAGTGGCGGAATGGGTTCGTGAAGGACTGCTAGATCAGCTCATAAGCGATGACGTGGAGCAGGTGGTCAGAATCATCGGTGAGGGGCGGAGGTGAGGAGAAAGGAGTCGACTTGCGCAGGGACAAGTCTCTTCCTGTGCCTCCTTCACCGCTTTCAGTAATGGCTACACCATGAGTGCCATAACCCAGAGCACATCTTGTTCGATAATATGTTTTCAATCCTACTTTGCATGCACCCGTGTTGAGCATCCTTTTTCCCGCGGGCCATTTTCTGAGGAGTGATACTCCTCGTAGATGCCGAAATTGAAGATAAGCCATCGACATTGCCGAATGTAGCTTGATACTAAGTCACGAAAGTGTCTTTAAAGTTTTGACAAGCCTGTCTTGTAAGACAAGTTCATGTAGGATCCGTCTAATTGCTACCACAACGTTGCGGTCACGTGGATTGAGCCAGGGTAAACAGTGTCGCGGCGTCACAAATGTGGCTTCATAGGGCAGCAGCAGAAAACACAGGCCACAGCCAAAGGTCGCATATTACGGAAAGCTCATACAACGATTCTCCCAATACCAATCCCATTCCCATTGCCACTCGAACCTTTCAACTCATCCGCTCAACATCCAATCCACAAAGGGTGAGTCCGGGTGATCTCTCACCTGCCTCGCAGGAGATCAGGGTGACCACAGGGCGGCATCACCCTCGTCCCCAACAGGCTTGAGTCGAGAGGAGATGTCCTACACCCCGACTTTCACAAAAAATGCAGGCGTATGTATTATCAGCGATTCGAACCCCTGACCCGGTGCACTTACAAAAACCAAAGACAACGTCTTCATGCAAAAAGAAAATCGTGGAGAATAAGCGATTTGAACGCTTGACTTCTCGCATGCAAAGCGAGCGCTCTACCCCTGAGCTAAGACCCCGTTTAAATCGCCGAAGAGACGTACCGGTCCTGGACGATTGTTGCGCAATTTTAGTGCTCTAAAAATCATATCCCAATTTTCTACCCCACCTACGAAAAAGTCATGGGCCAACCCCGCACCTTTTTCCAAGGAGACCTCGGCTAACTACAGTCATCTCGTTCTGCAATTAAGTGGCGGGAACCTCCTGAGCCAACTACGCCCATAGCCCGTGGTAGACTGAAGAGGCGACGAGATAGTACTACCGAAGTTGAAAAGATCAACAGAAGACTTTGATCGCACACAGTCACATAAGCGGCAGTCTGTGAGGAGCTTTTGGTGACCCACAAGGGTTACGAAATGGAGCGGAAGAATCTTAATTCCGGGTCCTTAGAGTGGCATCAACAATAAGATTGACGACGATGAGGTGGTTAATGAATCCGTGGAGGAGTAATGGAGAAATTTTCCTATACAAATTTAGCCTGTGGGAGTTCTCCTCAGTATTCGCTCGCATTTCCATTCGCTCTAGCTTTTCGTTTTCCCAAGGTGTTCCCTAAAATCTATGAACAGGCAGTATACGAGTATCATTGCTACTCCACGGACGAAACATCTATCGAAGGACGTCACGCCGAGTAAGAGTTCAATACCCATATGATTCAGTCGACAACTTAAACGCGAAAAGTTTCCAAAAGCAAGAGATAACACCTTCCATCTTTGTCTCCATGTTTCCACCAAACCCTGCATATGGCCATCAACTATCACATTCCCGCCTTTTTAACATGTCTGCCAACCCTGCCAACGTCTTCGAAAATGTCGGATCATTAGCGCTTCCATTCTGGCTATGCGACGGCTGCACCCTCTGCCCTCTTCCTGCGACTCCACCTCCGAGAGTAGCAAGGCCGTTCACATTCGCACTACTACCCATACTCCCAGGCGCGGTCCCCGTTCCAGTATTACTGCTCTTCACCGTCAGGAAAGGCGGATATCCATCTAAGTCCCTCATCATGCCGCCGCTGTCACTGTGACTCTGCACACCCATGGAATTCGGATTGACGGTCAGGTTCATCCCAAAACCACTATAGGCCATGCCGTTAGGCATACCTAGATTACCAAAGTCAAGTCTATCGTCTGCGTTGAGGAGGCTGACGAAGTCGGTTGATGAGAGATCTTGGATTTCATGGAGAGCGGCACGGTGGGGATTTTGATGTCTTTGGTTTTGAGCTGGTCGAGTTTGGAAGGAGGGAGGTGTTTGCATGCTGGCTGGGGAGGGCGAGAAGCCGTTCCGGGGCGTATCGGCTCCCATCCAAGTGTTTGCGTTTGAGGAGCGGTACTGCGTGAAGTTCGATGAAGAGGATGTGTTGGTTGTGGGCAAAGTGAATACCGTCTGTTGGGGTTGAGAAACTTTATTTGGGTATGTGTTGGAAGAAGTTGCGGAGCGATCTTGGGGAGGCGTGGGATGGTCGAAGGTAGAGAGATCTTGAGAGAGGGTTGGCCAGTCATTCATGTAGGAGGAGGGTTTGTGCTGGCCGATCATTCTCCCGTCGTCGGCCGAGAACAGTGGATTTGTATCTTGATGTTGACCGGAGCTATGTTGTCCGTTCATTTCATTTATGTCATTTGATCGGGATTGGCTTAGAGTAGACTGGTAGAAGCCCTCTTGATGCTGCTTGGGCTGAGGAATACTCTTCTCGAGCACTTGGGGTTGAGAATCTCGATGGAAAGACAGGTGCCGTTTGAATGAGCCTCGTTCCTGAATATCGTGATCAGAGCTGCGTCTTCGAGCTGGAACGGTACGTCGCTCAGGTACAGCATCTCGAAGCTCGATAATGACCGCTTCGAGGACGTTAGACATTTTCTCTGCTGGCACATATGTATGAGACATATCCTGTAATGCTGCTGCTAGGCACTCAAGATATTGCATATTGTTGTTTCTTGTCGATCTATCTTTCATGAAGGCAAGAGCAGCAACGAGTGCCGTAGCTGCGGTCCCAGCATGTTGAAGACCTGTGACGCATATTTGTTTGGTATCAAATCTTTGGCGATGCTGCCAGAATATCCTCGCAATTCGAACTGCATGCTGTGTACATATTGTGCGTGAGAGGGCCGAAAAATGATTCGCAGGATTTGCTACCTTGCCTGTGTCGGAGTCGTCCTCACTGTTGTCACCTGAGCTAGATTGTGCGGTGTTTGGATCATCGTAACGAGCGAATGGGCGGTGCAGAAGTATCATAGTGGCACTGTATTGCTGATGCAACAAGAAAAAGGAGAATGGTGAGGTGGCAATGTTATCGGCATTCCACTGGAGAGTCTTTGGGAGATGAGAGTACCAAGATTCTAGTTCGCGATGTAGCGCCGACATGCCGAAGTAGACATGATGGTCGATGTTGGTACTAAGTTTCGAAGCTTGGTCCATGATTTCTGTGATCTTGCCAGCAAGCTCCATAAGGTCCAGTAACGCTTCGTATATTTGTGTCTCTCGACTCTTCGCTGGCCCAGCAGGAAGACTAGTTCCAAGTCGCTCAAAAGCTACACTAAGCTTGTAGACTTCTAGATCCGTATGTTTCATCATGGTAGGGCGGCCGAGGAACAGTGCCCAGTATTTGTCGTAGACAATACACGCCCAAAGAGTCATACGCCCAATCTCGATCTCTCTTGGACTGGCGCCTGCATTCGTTGTGTCGAGGTGAAGTCCGATCTCGAAACAGAGCCTGTTGGCCATGCCCGCATACAGCCAACCAAGATTATCCCTTCCGACGCCTGTTTCCAAGTCTCCGAGTAATAGTAGAGCAACAATGCTAGGAATACCACCAGCCTGCTCTATCTCATACTCAAGCATGTACTTGGCTTCTCTGTGCAGGGTGTTCTCCTTATCTGGCAATGATATTCGGATCATGTCTGGCCTCGTTTTGTCTGCAAATCGATAGCCCATGGCAAGGACGCAAACATGTAGGAAACCGGAGTAGAACTGTCCAGCACCGTTTTCCCTCTCCTCTTCGAAGACAGCTTGGTGGATGACATGAAGGACAGAGTTGTAGTGATCCCAGAACAGGTTCATTAAGTAATCATGGGTATCGAACGAGATGGAGCGGATCGCCTTCTCTGCCCGCCGCTGCTGCTCAAGCGCTCGGCGTTTGGCATCCTCGCTTTGAGCCTTGAGCTCGGAATGGATGTGGCAGTTCGCGACTGGACCGAAATACCGAAGGCGACCACTTAACTGATCGAAGCTCAGATGCCCAGTCGTTGACAATAATTTACTAACCATACTGGTGCTCCCAAGCGAGCTTGAGCTTTGAGGAGATGCAGCGTCGATATCTGAGTCTGGATGAGGAAGATCAGGGCCGTGTGTGATAGAAGATACAGGCTGGAGAGAGCGCGCGACATCGAGGGTAGCTGGTCGCGTTGGTTGAGCGTTGCCTCCAATACCGTCGTTGCTATATTGCTGGCCATCTTCATGAGGCGGGCACGACTGCTCTTCACGCTGATCTTTCTCACGGAGAAGACTTTCCAAGTGCGTGATCCTGTCTGTCAGAGAGCTGATGTAGGTTTTCGAATTTGGTTTCCGCCGTTCGTCGTCGTACGTGATAACGCATTGCCTGCCAAGGCCGTCGCACTGGGTACATTGTGTCTGCCCTGCCAAAACAACACACCTAGTCCTCCGATCACGGCATGATGCACAAGCAACAGATGCGCGATGCCTTGGCCTTTGAGGCTTACCCGACGAGGCTGACGAGTTGGCAGGAGGCAGCATATTCGCCTGCAGTTGTGGGCCTTGTGTCGCCATGTTAGCCATCTCCGCTAGCGCCTGAGATCCTCGTCCGCTTGCTTGTTTCCTGATGATAGTCCCTCGTTCGATCAGAATCAAGGTTGGTCATCTGGTATACAAAGGAAGGAGAAGCTGTCGTCCGATAACGTTTTCCGAAAGGAAAAATAGAGGGAAGAGTTCATCCACTGGGAGCATTTTGCCTGACTTAACCTGTTGAGCTTGGTTAGGCGGGGTTGGGGCTGGGGGACAGGTCCGTTACGGGGTACTCCCAACACTAAACTCGAATCGACTCTAGGCTGAGGTGAGTTCCATCAGGATCCCCGGGACTTCGAGGTAGAGTTCCTGGGGAGGAGGGCACGAGATGGGGATACGAGCCGCATGACTCGCCAAATACGGGGCTTCGTGCTGGTTACGAGTAGTTGACTCTGCCTACCCTGGGAAACCCTTTTCCTTTGGACCTCGGCCACTCTCATGTCCAAGTTTTTCGTACGGGTCCTTCCAGAGTATGGAGTACCTGGTTTCATTATTCATGAGGAGGAGTTCAAAGTGCTCTAATGCGTCATGCCATTTGAAGGCCGCAACGTGGAGAGCCTCGGGCTATGTGTTGCACTACAGTCAACTTGCGGCAACACAATTTCTTTGCATAACACTGCAAGGAGGATCTTGCATCTCGCCAGCTAGGGCCACAGAAGCCAAAATCTCTCCGGCTGATTCAGAATGACTGCAAACGGAACTCCTGCGTTCGAGTTCTCCGCAAAGAACTTACCTCTGAAGCTCTTCATCAACAATGAGTATGTTGATTCAAAGTCTGGGAAATTCCTGACAGTGCACAATCCCAAGGACAAGTCTCTAGTCAGCAGCAATGTCCCCTTGGCCAACGAACAGGATGTCGACGCAGCTGTCGCAGCCGCTGAAGCAGCCCTTCCAGGGTGGAAGAAAATCAGCGCATCGCAACGTCGAGATATAATGCTCAAGTTCGCAGATCTCCTCATCAAGTATACCGAGGCCCTCGCGGAGCTGACGCGAATCACGCTAGGTGCGCCTTTTGGTGCGTTTGGTGCGTTCGAAGTCGGACTTGCAGCAGAAGCGTTCAAGTACAACGCTGGCTGGGTTGACAAGTTTCTTGGAGATGCTGTGCCTCAAGAGAATGGCTTCATGCAAATTACTCGTAATGAGCCTCTCGGTGTTACAGCCGGAATTGTCCCCTGGAACGGTCCTTTAGGTACAGTCGGTCTGAAGGCAGCTCCTGCTTTGGCCACCGGCAATTGCTTCATCCTCAAGCCTTCGGAAAAGACTCCATTCGCTGCTGCCGGCCTTGGTCCCCTGATCAAAGAAGCTGGCTTCCCACCGGGCGTTTTCCAAGTTCTGACTGGAGACGGTTCTACCGGAGCAATTATTGCAAGTCATATGCGCATCCGCAAGGTCAGTTTCACCGGCAGTATCCCCACAGGAAAGAAGATCCAGGAGATGGCTTCCAAATCTAATCTCAAGCGTGTCACCCTCGAATTAGGGGGCAAGTCACCTGCAGTGGTGTTTGACGATTGCAACCTCGAAAATGCCGTGACTTGGTGTGTGAACGCGCTGGCTGCGAATACAGGCCAGGTATGCTTCGCAGCAACCCGCGTCTACGTCCAAGAAGGCATTTTCGACAAGTTTTCCAAGATGTACAAAGAAAAGCTTGAGGAGAAAGCAAAGACAATCGGAGACCCAGATAAGGAAAGCACGCAAATGGGTCCACTCGTAGACGCGGCGCAATTTGAGCGTGTCAACGGGTTCATCGAGCGTGGAGTGTCTGGAAAGCAGGGTACGCTTCTCACTGGTGGCAACAAGCTCGAAAATTTGGGCTACTATGTCGAGCCCACAGTCTTTACTGGCGTCAGTCCGGATGCAGAAATCTACTCGAATGAGATCTTTGGACCTGTATCCATTCTCAACTCTTTCAAGACTGAAGAGGAGGTGATCAAAGCAGCCAATGCCACAGAGTATGGCCTAATGGCTGGTGTCTTCACGCAAGACATCAACAAGGCGCTGCGGGTGGCAAGCGACTTCGATTCAGGCATGGTGGGCATCAATTGCGTCAGCCTGACATTCTTGACAGCGCCATTTGGTGGCAGCAAAGAGAGCGGTATGGGCAGAGAATGTGGTAGGGCAGCGCTACAAGCTTTCACGGAGCCGAAGACGATCATGATAAACATGACTTATTAGAGGCGGATAGAGTCGGGCTAGGTCGAAAAACTCCTGGGGGAAAGGGATGTTGCAGGGGGTTTGAGTTCGTCGCGGTTCTCCTCACGCTGAAGACTGTTGTAGGAGACGAGAGTCTAGTGAAAGTGCAAAAGTTCAAGCTCCAACCTGTAGAAGACTTTCGTATTCTAAATCGACGCAAAACCTTTTTGAACCGTGATGCACAGTCTCTTTCCTAGCCATTCTACAGTAGCTACTCGAAGACAACAACCTTTCTCCTCTGGCTCTGTCCCGCTTTCATCTCTTTCACCATGTCATCCAATTCCTCCAGCTTCCTAAACTCCACTTCTGGCACTATGTTATGCTTCGCGAGAAACTCCACGGCTTTCCCCATTCGCTGCGGCGTACCTGTACTCTCCGCCATAATGCGATAGCTCGCCACTGCCAAATCATACGTACTTACTTGCAACGGCTCCTTCGCGATTCCAACCACCATCAATATACCGTTCACCCTCAGGATACTTGGAGCAGAAGCATACGCAGCATTAGAAGCACTGAAGACAGCAGTAGCATGACACCCTCCATTGGTGATCTTCTTGATTTCTTCAACGTAACTGGGTTTCGTTTTAGAGTTGAAGACGTAGTCAGCCCCTTGGGACTTGCAGATAGCAAGGGTGTCGTCGTTGATGTCGATGGCGATGACGTTTAGGGACATGGCTTTCGCATACTGTGTGGCGAGCTGCCCAAGTCCGCCGGCGCCAATGACGGCGAGCCATTGCTTTGGCTGGAGGGAGCAGGAGTTGACTGCGTGAAAAGCTAAATAGAGAGTGTGGGCAGTGTGAAGCCAACAAGGAAGAAGGACATACCTGTGATCCCAGCACAGAAGACGGGAGAGGCTTTCTTGATGTCAAGATTGCAAGGAAGAATCACGCTGTTCTGCCAATCGACAGTGGCATATTCTTGGAAGAAACCGTTGGTGGAAAAGCCGTGAAGCAAAGCTGTAGCCTTTTGGCATTTGGAATTGTGTGCCAGACAGCCTTCGCATTCGTAGCAGCCTCCGTCGAAGTAGAGAAATCCAACAGCGTCGCCGATTTGGAAGCCCCTATTTTCTGCGCCTTGGCCAATAGTATGAATGTAGCCGGCACCTTCGTGGCCGATAGTGAAAGGCTCCTCTAGTGGTGCCTGGGTGGCCAGAATATCTGAGTGACACAGGGAGGCGCTTGCTATTTTGATGAGGAATTGGCCTGGTCCTGGCTCGGGGATTGGGATGTCGTTGACAAAAAACTTCTGCTGTTTAGGATCCCATTGTCCTGCTTTCATGGTACTGTTCTGGCTGGTTGAGCCCATGTTTGATGGTTATGGGTTTTTGCAGGGAACTATCAGGAATTAATCTCGGAGGAGGTGAAACAATATCAGGATGTCAGGATGTCCTAATTTACTGCCGGATGCGGCAATACAAGGCGCACGTCCAGTTCAAGAGACTCGTTCTTGCGTTAGTTTCCACGACAGAACCAAGCCACCGGACGACCGCATGAGGTCGCTCTTGAGCATGGGCTGTGTTTGTGAGCGCGAGTCAGCTGGAGGAAGAGATACGGAAAACCCGGCCCGCATGAGAGCGATTCGGTCAAAGTTAATTTTTTGGCCCCCTGTCGTGGCTGTTAGTTGTCGCGAGTAGACGCTGATAGATTATCCATATCTTCCTTGATAGAATTTTACCCATCTAGAATCACGATTATAGACGAGGTCGGCCTCTTTTTTCTAGTTCTAAGGCGTCCCTCTTGGCCCACTCCCTCATGACCTTCCTTTGAATCTTCCCCGAAGCCAGTTTGGGCACCTCATCTATGAACTTGACACCTCCAACCAATTGCTTATGCTTTGCAACCTTCCCTTTCATCCATTCTTGTATTTGATTTTCCGTGACTTCGCCTTTCTTCTCTTCCTTCAGGTTAATGTAGGCGCGTGGCCACTCTTCTTCTCCAAGCAGGATGCCAGTAACCGCTGCATCTGCAATGTCCTCATTCTCGAGTAGGACCGCCTCAAGCTCAGCGGGTGCTACTTGAAGGGCATTGACCTTAATCAACTCCTTCTTCCTGTCGACGATCCAGAACCAGCTGTCTTTCACCACTGCAATGTCTCCCGTTTTCAGCCATCCTTCACTGTCCAGACTTTCTCTTGTTGCTTGCTCATTCCTCCAGTATCCGAGACAAACATTGGGTGCTTTAACGAACATTTCGCCTGGTCGACCTTCCAAAACCTCGTTTCCATCATCGTCGAGGAGCTTAAATTCGTTGTTCGGGAGGATGAGGCCAACACTTCCAGACTCGTCGTATCTGCCTCCAGGGACTAGAATCGAGCCACAGGTGACCTCTGTCATGCCCCAGCCTTGAATGATGTTGCAGCTGAGCTTCTTTGCTACCGCCCTTTGAAGTTCTTTGCTGAGAGGTGCTGCGCCGCAGAGAATGTGCTTGACACTGCTTAGGTCATACTTTGCGGTCTCTTGTCGCTTGTCTAGCATGATAAGGATGGGCGGCGCAACTTGAAGGTTTGTGATTTTATGTGTCTGTATTACCCTTAAGAAATCTTCGTAGACAAATTTCTTCATCACATATGTTGGAAACAAGAGAGTTGGCGCCATCAAGTTGACATACAATTGTCCTAGCATTGTTAGCACTGGCTGTTTCTCCCTTGCGTCTCTACTTACCGTAGGCGTGATACAGTGGTAGAAACCCAATCCAACGCTCTTGCGACTTATGTGATCGCTCGAGATCGCGCATAAAAATTGTTTGGACAACATTTGCAAGCAGGTTATGATGAGAGACGCAAACACCCTTTGGCAGTCCTGTCGTGCCCGAGGAGTAGTTAATAGTAGCAATATCGGTCATAGACGTCTCAGCCATCGGATCCCACTGCCACAATTCTCCTTCCGACTGACTTCCTGCCATGTCTTCCCTCCAATCTCTGATGCCTAGCTTTGTCCGACAGGGCTTGTCTGAAAATAGGAAAATCTTACTTTTGTCAAGGCCAGCACGGCGAGCTGCTTCTACCGCCGTCTCCACATGGTCGGGATGTACCAGGATACAAGAGGTTCCTGTATTCTTGATCTGGTATTCGACTTCATTGACAGTATAGACAGGATTGGCTGCACTGAAGATTCGCCCTGCTCCGACGATGCCTAAGTACGCAACAGGAACGAATATGTGATTTGGGGTGAAGATCATCACCACTTGTTGCTTCCCAATGCCGAGTCTATCAAGTCCGAAGCCTAAACGCTTGACCCATGATAGTAACTGGCGAGGTGTAAGAAAATGAGCCGGATCTGCCGCGTCGATCCATATTGGTTGGTCTGAGGGCTGTCTATCCTGAGGAAAGAGAAACGAGAGGACATTATATTTGGGAATCTCAAGGTCTTGAAAAAGTGACTTATAAACCATCTTTGCGCCTTGTTCGATTGATTTCCCTAGTGTATCGGAATACTATCAAGTGTTGGAGGAGTTGAAGTATTGAATTTAACTCTTAACCTCGGCTGAGTCACGTCCCCAAGGGACCGAGGGCTAGGGAAGCGGCTGAAGATCTCCATCCCGCGCCCCCAAAGCAGCCACAATTAGGCTCTTGAGGTTGTCTGAACTTTGCTTGACTGGCTCGCTGGTGACGCCGAGAACCCGGCGTGCGCCTTAATCTTTTGTTGCTTCCTTTGTTATCTTCGGTCCCGGGAGTGTGTAGACTACTAGTGCATTGTGGTTGGATTATCAATTTTCTAAGCAACAATGTCAAATCTCAAAGAGTTCGAGAGCTTCTTCTCGCTTCAAGGGAAAGTTGCACTGGTCACAGGATAAGTCATCTGTACTAGAATTCTCAGCCACTTAATCTGACCCGATCTCACAGGCTCACGAGGCCTCGGGTTGCACGCCGCAACAGCTTTCTTGAGAGCGGGCGCAAGGAAAGTATTTATATGCGCTCGAAAACTGGAGGGCCCTCAGGGTATCAGCCTGGCAATTGATAAATTGAATCAGCTTGGTTGTAAAGGCACAGTGATAGGCATCCCCGCGAATGTTGCCGACGAGAAAGGCATTCAGCAACTCGTACAGGAAGTGAAGAAAACCGAGTCAAAGCTAGACATCCTCGTGGCCAATGCAGGTGCAACTTGGGGTGGGCCCTTTGATCCCACACCAGACTGGGCCAGTGCAAAGGTGCTCGACTTGAATGTTCGTGGTGTTTTCAATCTCATCAGATTGTCAGTCTGTCACGCCCCCTTTGTTTTCTCAACTCACCTTCATGCAGATTCGCACCAATGTTGGAAGCGGCAGGCACGCCTTCAGATCCTGCACGTGTGATCATTGTCAGTTCTACCGCTGGTAGCAATGTCCACCATGTGGGAGATCACGGCACCATTATGTATTCAGCCTCCAAGGCGGCTGCAGACCATATGGCTCGAAATCTGGCCGTGGAGCTGGGTCCGCGAAATATCACCACCAATACCGTCAAGCCTGGATTTTTCCCATCCAAGCTCGCAAGTGGTCTTATTGACATATTGGGTGGTGAAGAGGAACTTTCGAGGACTAACCCCCGAGGAAGGCTGGGTTTGCCCGAAGACATTGCAGGAGTGATGCTCTTCCTCGCCTCTCCTGCAGGAAGCTACGTCAACGGCGAGGATATATCGTTGGATGGAGGTGCTAGATTATCTTCAGGTCGGCTCACCAAGCTGTGATGACTTCCAATCCTTCTCACCGCAGCCTCGTTCTGTCGGTTGTGTCGTGACTTAAAACACGTGATCCACGCCTTGCCGTTGACACATTTGCTGCGCGAGTCATTCGCGAATAGTAAGTAGCCGAGTCTGGAAAACGTTCTCCTGCCCCAACGTTCACCCCACACTTCCCCATTTCCGAGAGATTGAATCAATGGAATGGGCACTGGCCGATCCCACAGACTAGGAAACCGCATTGACCACAATCCGAAATACGTGCCGACGTCCATCCCAGGCCCGGCTTCGTTGGGAGTAGCCTACTATGGCACTAGAGCATTATGGTATCTAAAGTGTGGTGGCATCTTGATCACAGTGGTATTCACATTCACAGGACCAATTCTCATCTTCCATCATGGAGCAGTTCGGTGAAGAAATCGTCGCTCGCCCTGGAAGGTCAGTCGTTGGAGCAGCAAGTCTGCTAGTCGGAGCAACATCGTTGTTTTTCTGCGCATATACCATTGGACTATGGATCTACAACCTGTACTTCCACCCCTTGTCCAAGTTCCCAGGGCCGAGACTCAACGCCGTGAGCCCACTACCTGGTATCTATTCACTCCTCCGAGGTCGCCTCCCGCTTGATAACAAACTCTTACACGACAAATATGGGTCGGTTGTACGAGTCTCTCCCAACGAGCTTGCATTCAACTCAGCACAAGCATGGGAGGACATCTACGGACACCGGCAAGGGAGACCGAATATGCACAAGGACCCAATTCATGTGGGCTCGGTCGACCCCTTGCCTGGAGCTTCCACCCTCACAATGGCTGACGATGAGAATCACGCCCGTCAGCGGCGAGCACTCGCCCACTCTTTCAGCACTAGAGCGCTCCTAGAGCAAGAAGACATCATCCAAGGCTATGTTTCTTCATTGATTAAGAATCTCGACCGCATGGCCGATGATTCCGAGGATTTCAACATGGTCAATTGGCTCAACTTCACTACTTTTGACATCATAGGCGACCTTGCATTTGGCGAGCCCTTCGGGTGCCTCGAACTGGGAGCATTCCATTCCTGGGTTGCGCTAATCTACGAAACAGTGAAAGTCGGCGCCCTCGAGCAAGCAACCCGCCGCTTCGCCCCTGCGGGTTCCTGGCTGCAGTCACAACTTGTCAACATGATCCCCCGGCATGTCCGCCAGCGCCGTCGTAATCATCTCACTTACTCCAAAGACAAAGTTCTCCGCCGCCTCGCAAACGACCAAACAGAGCACAAGGATTTCATCTACTACATCCTCAAGCAGCGCGAGAAGCATGACCTGAAAGAAAATGAAATTGTGCTTAATGGTGCACTCTTCATTGTTGCCGGCTCGGAAACCACCGCAAACCTGCTTTCCGGGCTCATTGCACGCCTAATCTGGAACCCAGATAAACATGCCAAACTGTGCTCCGAGATCCGTGCTGCCTTCACCTCTGAAGACCAGATTACTTACGACTCCACGTCCAAACTCGTCTATTTGAGCGCGTGCCTCGAAGAAGGCTTGCGTATCCACCCACCCGTTCCGACAGGGCTACTGCGCACTGTTCCCGCGGGAGGGGACAGTGTTGACGGCCATTGGGTTCCCGGTGGTACATCCGTAGCAGTTGGCAGCTGGGCGGCGTCGCATAATCCGGCACACTTCAAGGAGTGCGACTCTTTCATACCTGAGCGCTTTATCGATCCTGCATACAACACTGACAATAAGAAAGGTTACCAGCCTTTCTCCCTTGGGCCGCGTGGCTGTATAGGCAGAAATCTGAGCTACATGGAGATGAGACTGATCTTGACTAGGTTGCTATGGAACTTTGATGTTGTGAGTGTTGATGGCGCATGGCAGTGGGACCCGGAGGGTGAGATGCGGAACATGCGGGCGTTCATGACATGGGAGAAGCCTGACTTAAATTGTAAGGTTGTAAGAGTGAAGAGAGGCTAGCTGCCGGCATTTAGATAGACAGCATAGAGAGTATGCCTCTAAATTTGAGGCCCATTGGAGATGTTGAAATTCGAAATGAAATGATGACACTAAGCTACCACTCCTTCTCGCTGCTTTCTACTAATTAACTAGAGTGTCTTCCCGAATTCCAAGACTATGGGATGATTTTCGCCCTCCTAAACCTGTCAAACACCGCATACCACGCCCCCATCGTGTCCATTTCCTCCACCTTTCCCCCCTTTCCCCAAGCATCATGCATCTTAGTCAAATCCAGCTGTCGATCAAAATCCAACATTGTCATAATGAAATACGGAAATCCGCCATAGCTTCTCTCATTTCCCACCCTCCCGGGCTGGAGACCATGCTTCTTCTCCAGCTCCAACCACCTCTTGCGATTCTCGGAGACATAGCCTGTAGGATCCGGGCCGGAGCCATTGGTGGGCGCCACTCCCTTGAGTCCAAAGTAGTCGCATATGATGGGCCACTTTCTAGACCAAGTTGAAGGGCTCGAGTTGTCGGCTACATTAAAACTCTGCCCACTACTCACCTCTGGGTGCAAACTCGCATGGATCGCAAACTTCGCAATGAGATCCTGGCTGGAATCATTCGTCTTGTTCTCCCAGCTATTCATCGTCCCCGGAAAGACAACTTTCGCTCCCTCGCCATTGATGTGGAGGTATAGGGAGAGGTAAAGGGCGAGGGCCTGAGGTAAGCAATAGATGTTGTTGTGGGGAACAAAGCCAATGATTACGTCGGGAATAACATCACAATAGGTCCATGGTTGGGATGACGAGAGTGACTTAAGGAGGTCGAGTTGGTTGTAGTAGAACATTTCACTAGCATGCGGCTCCGGAATGCGAGGGTGAGATTCTTTTAGAGGGAGGTTACTGGCATGGGGGAAGCCGTCACGGAGGAGGTGGACTCCGTACGCCTAGCTAGAAGTTAGGAACTGGTAGTGGAGCAAAGACGACGACGGGTGGTAGTACCTTTGTGCCCGTAGGGAGGACAACGAATTTCAGGGACTTCGAGAGGTTGTCTATGGTGGACACGGCACGCTGGAGCAGATCGACATTGATTTGGATCTCTTTTGCTGGGTCGGCATCCATGATGTATGCGAAAAAGTAAACATGGGATACTGTGTCAATTGCGGCGACTCGCGCCTTCACAGTCGCCGCGAGCTCGGATTGGGAACCCTTCAGCAGATCGAGACCAGAGACGATGTTCAACTTGTCCGATTTTGGCCATTGCGCAACTTCTTGCGTGAAAGGTCTGTTGGTGAGCGCGGTGACTCTGGAGAAGGCTGAAGAGTTAGGATAGCCGTTTAGGATGGTGTTGACAATGGCCCACCCTGTGATGCCCGAGGCACCAAAGATGAGGGCATGGTGGCCGGTGGGCTCGCTTGTTGAGCCCATCTTCTGGGATCTCGCGGAGTTCGAAAGAACAAAAAATCAGCAGCGTGAACAGATAAATGCTTCAACCACGTCCAAGCTGTAGACGACAACGTGCAGCTCTGATTTCAACAGATATAGGACAACGCTCGAGCTGGTGACTGACTAAACATGCAGAAACAACAAAAAGGGGTGCTTGTGTGTTTAGTTTGAGTCTAGACTACGGAACATTACCTTTCGGTCAAACATTTTCCATGTTGCACCAGACAGTGCGAAATTTCTAGACCAGCCTCCTTGAGTGCTGTGATTCCTCTGGGAGGATTTGCGGAGGACGGTTACGACGGTGGAAACCGATTTCCCTCGATCCAGGAGAAGCCAACATGCGGGGAAAAGAAAGCCAGCCCCAAGATTGGCTATCGTGAACCTTGCTAGGGAATCCCGGGCATTGCGCTTGGGCTCCCGATGCTGAAAAATAGACTCCGGAACACAACTTACAAGCGGTCGACTTATACTCACGACGTGAACTCTTCTCTGTGCTTTTGACAAGAATTTTGATTGGAGCCCGACAATCATGGTGACAGCCATGGCCACAAACGGAGTTACATTAGGAAGTTCAGGAGCGAGCAAGCGACAGAAGCTTGACCACCAAGTAAATGGCAGTGGACCGAGTGCTGATAGCAATGTGAAACGAAGTGCGCAAGGCCAAGGTCCTATCAGGATTGGAGGTGCTTCGGGAGGCTTCACTGATCGCCAGCGATCCATTCTTTCGTTTGCGCGTGATGGGGATGTCGATGTGATTGTGGGCGACTGGATGAGCGAGATGACAATGGAGTGGCACGGAGTGGCAAAGAAAGAAGACATTGCGAAGGGCGTCGACAAGCGCACTGGCATGTTCGATCCGAGCTTCATGGGAACGCTAAAGCCGGCTCTACCTCATCTTCAAGAGCGATCAGTTAAAGTCGCAGTGAATGCAGGTGCCAGCGACGCGGAGATGCTGGCCAGTTTAGTCCAGTCCGCCGTTGATGAGCAAGGGCTGACATTGAAGGTGGCATGGATTCAGGGAGATGAAGTTTTTGATGTTGTACAACGCCTACTCAAGAAGGGAGAGAAGTTCGAGAACATCTGCTTTGGCGGGAACTTGGCAGATTGGCCTTTCGAGCCTCTGACCGCACAATGTTACCTAGGGGGTGCCGGTATCTCAGAAGCATTCAAGCACGGTGCGGACATTGTAATCTGTGGGCGTGTATCGGACGCTGCTCCTATTATTGGTGCTGCAATGTGGTGGCATAATTGGGACCAGAATACCCAATACGACGAAATTGCCGGAGCCCTGGTTGCTGGTCATCTGATTGAGTGCTCAACTTACGTTTGCGGAGGGTACTACAGCGGCTTCAAAGACTTGTTCGATGGCTGTGAGAACATTGGGTTTCCCATCGCTTCAATCAATGCGGATGGCACCTTTGTCCTCGAGAAAGAGCCCAACACTGGGGGTGAAATGTCTGTGGGTACCGCTACGTCGCAACTGCTCTACGAGATCCAGGGGCCTCAGTACTATGGGTCTGACGTTGTGGCCGTCCTGGAAGATATTGAAATGATCCAACAGGCCAAGGACCAGGTTCTTGTTCGGGGTGTCAAGGGAAACCCACCTCCGACCACGACTAAAGTAGGAATTACGGCTCGGGGAGGTTACCAGGCGGAGTTCCATTACTATCTTTGCGGTCTGGATTTGAAGCAAAAAGCAGAATGGACTGAACGGCAGATTCGTGAGTCGATCGGGAAGGATGCAGACAGGTATTCCTTACTCAAGTTCAGCTTGAACGGATGGAGCCAGGAGGACCCCGAAAATCAAGATCTCGCAACTGTCGATTTTAGAATATTGGTACAAACCAAGGACAAGTCGGTGATTGGCTCAGGTAACATGATCGGCTTCCAACGGTCATGTATGGAGAACTTCTTAGGCAGCTGTCCAGGTGCGTCGATCGAGAATGATCTTCGACAATCAGCGCCTAAGGAGTTCTTCGAGTATTGGGCGGCTTTGTTGCCACAATCAGAAGTCAAGCACAGCGTCGAGCTGCCTTGGCTTCGACAGTCAATTCCAGTACCACCAGCAGTCACCTGTAGAGATTATGGCAAGACTTACGCCTCTCGGCAATGGAGTTATGAGACCCCGGCACCGGTGGCCCTGGACTCATTTGGGCCAACGACAAGAGGGCCTCTTGGATGGGTGGTACTGGGTCGGTCGGGAGACAAAGCTTCAGATTGCAATGTGGGATTCTTCGTGCGGCACGAAGACGAATGGGACTGGCTGAGGTCGCTGATGACAATCCCGAAAATGAAACAGCTACTTGGTCCTGAGTACAACGGCAAGGATGTCGACCGCTTCGAGATCTCGAAGATTCGAGCGGTCCATTTCATGCTGCATGATCATCTCGACAGGAGCTGGGGCGCTAGCAGCACCTACGACGGCCTTGGGAAGAATCTTTGTGAGTATATCCGTGCTAAGTGGGTGGATATCCCAAATGTGTTTCTGCGAAGAGGACGGTTATGAGTCGGTTAATGATAGAATTCGTGTGCATTGCAGATCACGTCTGTCGGTAGTGGAATAGAATGGAAACTGAAAAAACGCGTGACATGCGACGCGTTTGAAGCTTAGCATGTTTTTTGGTCATCAGTGTCTCCCATCTGGAAGTCTGACGTGACCTCGTAACCTCCTCGCTAGTACTTCTTGTGCTCTTACTTTCAGATTTTATCCCCTTCGTTGCCAACAATTCTCGGGACTTACCGCAACATTCCATCCTTGGTAGTCTCGAGACGGGACTGACTTCCATTCGGCAGTTATGCGGAAATTTTGCCGATGCCAGGCTTTGCGCTTCTCAAAGCCTGGCAAAGGTTTTCCGGTCTCCGCACAGAAAGCGGGGTGCATTACAGCTTGGATTCTGCGAAAGGATTCCCCGATCTCTACCATGGGTTGCGGTCGAGACTCACCATGTTTCCGCAGTATACCGGGCTCTCGTAGCGCCGTGGCAAAAGGCCGAGACGGATGCGGCAAGAGTAAGTAATGTGGTGATCACTTTGGCCTTGAAGATGCGGTCATGTGCACCTAGTGGCTGTTGGCATTCTCAAAATGCAAGCCTTATCAACAGTTGTGTTCTATCTAACTTGAATACTCAATGCACCTACAGCCTTTCTTCCGGACCAGTATCATCTCTGGATCGCTGCCGCCCTCGGTGTGTATAGAAACCTCTTAGACCTTGGGCAAGATGGGTGACGCCGGTGCGCTGCGTGAGCAGCAGCATGGAGGGATGGCAACTACACTTGGACCTAGTCCTAGCGCAACTTTTGACTATGCAGAAGAGTCGCCAGAAGGTCCATACCGTGTCCTCCCGCAGTATCATTCGAAACCTACTAAGCTGAGAGTGGCATGTATTGGAGCTGGTGCCTCTGGATTGTGCCTGGCTTACAAAATGGAACGAATGCTTGTTCCAGGGTCCTGGGAACTGACACTATTCGAGAAGAACCCTCAATTCGGTGGCACTTGGTACGAAAACACCTATCCAGGCGTCGCTTGTGATATTCCCTCACATCTTTATACATTCACATTCGACCCGAATCCTGAGTGGTCGCACTACTTCGCTTATGGCGACGAGATCCAGCGATACTTCGAAAATTTTGCCGATAGATTCGGATCACGAAAATACATGAAGCTCAATATGAAAGTGGTGGAATGCCGCTGGATCGAAGAACGAAGTATCTGGGAGATCACCGTTGAAGACCAAGTGACCAAAGAAACTTGGAAGGACTGGGGTCACTGTGTCGTTAACGGCACCGGGATTCTGAACAACTGGAAATGGCCCGAGATTGAGGGACTCCACGACTTCAATGGTCCCTTAATGCACTCAGCAAGCTGGAACCACGATGTCGACTTCAAGGGTAAAACGGCTGCTGTCATCGGGACCGGCTCAACCAGCGTCCAGATCGTCCCACAACTACAACAGATATGTGATAAGGTCCAAGTATATATGCGAAGTCCTACTTGGATCTCTCCACCCTTCGGTGCTGGCGCTCTTGCGTCAGATTTACAAAAAGGCCAAGAGACAGACCCAGGCCACAGACAATACAAGTTCACAGAAGAAGATAAAAAGAAATTTAGAGAAAGTCCCGAGTATCACCTCGACTTCCGGAAACGTATTGAGGCCGAAATTAATGGCCTTTTCGGCATGTACCGACAAGGAAGCGACCTGTCCAATCTATTCCGCAAAGTAATCACCGAAGAAATGCACCGGCGTATGGGTCCTGGACACGAGGAACTCAAATCCTTCATTATCCCCAAGTGGGCACCAGGCTGTCGACGCATTTCTCCTGGCGACGGCTATCTCGAAGCGCTAGTACAGCCCAATGTCGAGACGATATTCGGCGGTATCCAGAAAGTCACTGCGCACGGCATCGTGACGGAGGACGGGCTCGAGCACAAGTGTGATATTCTTGTCTGCGCCACAGGCTTCCAAGTCGCCTTTAAGCCTGCCTTCAAAGTCATCAACGCCCAGGGAAAATCCGTTCAGGACGACTGGGGTGACGGCGTAAACCTATATTTCGGTGTCTCAACCCCTCGCTTCCCGAATTACTACACTATTGTTGGCCCGGGTGCCACATGGTCGAATGGGACACTCCTCCCATCCATTGAGACGACGATCGAGTATAGTGTAAAATGCATGCGGAAGATGCAGCACGAGACAATTGAAAGTATGGCAGTGAAACAGGAGGCGCTGGACGATATTTACGCTCACTTTGATGAATTCCATAAGAATACTGTGTGGAGAGAGGAGTGTAGGAGTTGGTTTAAGGATGGAAAGGTGAAGAACCGGATTTATCTATGGCCTGGGCCGGTGAGTTTTTCGCTTCCCTTGAGAGCTGATGAGTTTTAGGTGCTGATGAAAATGCAGACGATTCATTTCTTGAAAACTATGAAGGAACCCCGTTTCGAGGACTACGACATTAAATACCGATATAAGAATAGGTTTGCGTTCTTGGGCAATGGTGATATGAAGGCTCACGTCACGGGTGATACGATGGGACTGGCTAGATATGTGCGTTCGCACGACCATGAGTGGCACGTGGACTGAGAATTGGACTGAGAATTCGTCCAAGCCAGTGCACTTGAGAGTTGGTGATATTGATATGGATGTTGGCAATGCAAGAAATGGTAAATTCAAAGTGCGACATGGTTAAGTTTTGAGTAGTGGGCCTACAGTACTAGAAAGTTGTCTAGAAAACTACGCATCGATGAGAGAGCATACAAGGGCAGACAATATCCACTCCATTTCAATCTCCCTTGCTTCACACTCTTCGGTACATCCTCCACGCATTTGCAGCGCTTACCCAGCCAAGCACCACTTGACACCCTCAGCCATGTTCCCAAAGAACTCATTAATGTGCGCTGCGAGATGCTGACTTGGAAAGGTCCAACTGTAATGTGGATACCCTTCATATGCATCGTACCTTACTTGCACACCCTCTGCCTCCAGCTTCTCCTTCATTAATCTCGCATCGTCTCGTAGCGTGTCTGTACCGCTCTCGGTAATGTATGTCCGTGGCAATGCCTTCAGTTTTGGGTGCAGCAACGGCGAGAAGTAGGGGTCTGTGGCGGAGGTAGCATAGGCAGCTGTTCTCATTAGTACGTCCTCGTGCTTACTAGGCTGCATTCACTTACCAAAGAAAGCCATCATGGCGTCCTTAGTGTTAACAGTATGCTCAGCATGTTCCTCATAACTCGTATATCTTTCCCTCAGCTCCTCCGGAATAGCGTCTGGATGCACCGTCACGGGCGCCATACTTACTACCCCGTTGACCTTGGCTCCTAGACCATCGTCAATCAGTCTCAGTGCAGTTGAGAACGCCATTCCCCCACCAGCAGAGGATCCCACAATGAGAATGCCCGCCTCGGGATCAGCGCCAAGTTCAGAGGCATGAGAAAGAGCATATTTCGCTGCCTCGGCACAGTCCTCATGTGCCGCTGGCCATTTATGCGCCGGCGCGAGACGATACCCAACGCTTATGACGACAAGGTTATTGGATTTGGCAATATTGCGAGCGATGGCGTCTTCCTGATCGATGGAACCGAGGACCCAGCCGCCACCGTGAATGTAGAGTGCTAGTTTCTCCTTGCCAGTTGCACTGAGAGGGCGGTAGATGCGGAGCTTGTAGTTTGGTGAGGGAGAAACATCCGTTGTTGTGACACTGGTATCGGAACTGGGGAAGGTGAGTGTTGAGGTGAGTACGACAACGAGGGAGTCCCAGCTAGAGATGAGGTTCGAGGTTGGGCCGTGAAGCCGAGGAACTTGAGCAATTTCTTTGCAGAACTGTGGACGAGGATGTAGGTTAGGACATTGAGGAAAACGACCAGTGACAGTTGATTTAAGAGCCATAGACTACTCATAAAGAGCAACCAATTCAATGACCAAGAGGAGGCGGTCTGCTGTTCAAGTGATACACCTGCAATAGTATAATGCCCAACATCACCGCAAGAGTGACCAGAGGGCCGCTGTTGTTGTAACGTTTTATACTCTTTGCTTTATAACCCTAACCCTATGATGACCCAAACCGAGCCTCACACCTTTTCCGGCTTTTGTGCTGGGATGTGCGCAATGCGATGAAGAAACAAAGCAAGACCTACCTCTTTCCACGGCTCTGCGTATATCTTCTCTTCCGTTTCTGTGAACATTTGGAAAGCTCAGAAACTTTTGTTTCTCAGTTTTGACGATTAATCAATGCATGGAAGGATTATTTCTGTTGTGATGCGGATAGAATTGTGTCAGATTCGCAATGATCTAGAGATGCTTCTGCACCAGCTATAACACAGTGCTTATGACCTACTTCTTCACACCTCAGCCCAAGAACTGGCCAATTAGCAAGTAGTATCGGATGAGCATTTTGGGACCGTTCCAATTGGATGAGGAGGGGCGAGGAAACAAATAGCATAAGCAGAATTCAGAACTCTGTCAAAGTGGCCCGGCTCCTCGGTTATCTATTGCCAGCGCACCGGGTCATCCTTCGGCTCGACCGCAAACCTATCTAGCATCTACACTTTGGATAGGCGATTGAGCTGCTGATATATTATTGCCTGAACTCTGTCTGATCCCATTAACGATCAACTCGATATGACGAGTCATGCTGCTGCCCTTGCGGGAGAGGTCCCCTTCAAGAACTTCCCTCCTTGGGTTGTTTCAAAGCTCCGCCCACAGGCAATAGACCTTATCCGTAAAGTCCACAATTGGGTTGAGACAGAATGCATTCCAGCGGAACCGATTGTCAAGGCGCAGTTAGCGAAGGGTAAATCTCGATGGGTGACGCCTCCTCTCATTCATGAACTCCGAAAGAAAGCAAAAGCCGCAGGTTTATTCAACCTCTTCTTGCCTGGCCACTTCAAAGAATCGCCTGGATTGACCAATCTGGAGTACTCATGTTGTGCTGAGATCATGGGTAGAGTGTACTGGGCCGCTCAAACGATGAATTGTCATGCCCCTGAGACAGGCAACATGGAGCTACTCGCCAAATTTGCCAACGAAGAGCAGAAACAGAAATGGCTTAAACCTCTGATGGAAGGTGAAGCAAGCTCGGCTTATTCCATGACGGAACCGGATCGAGCAAGTAGTGATGCTACAAACATTGCCTGCCGGATCACTTACGACAATTCTAAGAACGAGTATGTGATAAATGGTAAGAAGTTGTATGGGAACGTCCTCTGGAATCAGGAAGTCAAGTTTCACATTTTGATGGGTCTGAGTGATCCCGGGAATTCGAATCCCTGGAGACGGCACACCATGATTATCGTCCCAAGAGATACGCCAGGACATAGGCAGGTACGGAACTTGAGTATCATGGGCTACGATCATGCACCAGAAGGACACGGCGAGTATATCTACGAGAACGCCCGTGTGCCAGCAGAAAATGTTATCTGGGGCGATGGTAGAGCTTTTGATATTGCTCAGGGAAGACTTGGCCCTGGAAGAATCCACCACTGCATGAGACTCATCGGCCAGGCCGAAAGAGCATACGAGTTGGCCTTGTTAAGAAGTATCGATGAGAGAAAGAAGCCTCGCGGAAAGCTCATCGGGGAATTTGACAGCAACATCGAGAGAATTGCAGAGATGCGAATGCAGATCGATGCTATGAGACTGATCATCATGAATGCCGCAGACACGATGGATCTTCGAGGAAACAAGGCTGGCCGATATGTCATTGCACAATCTAAAATCCTAGTTCCGGAGACACTGGCAAAGGTTATTGACGAGTGCATGCAGATGTACGGCGGACAGGGTCTCACCCAACATACCGTGCTCCCGGAACTTTGGACTTATGCTCGATTTGTCAGGATAGCGGACGGGCCTGACGCCGCACATCGACATCAAGTGGGACGAGATCAACTTAAGGCGGCACGGAAGGAGAAACTTGTCAGCAAATATCAAGCCTACAGGGACCGGAATCGGGAGTTGAGGAAGCTGTGGAAGATTGAAGGACTGGAGCAGGAGTTTGAATGGGAATACGTGCCCCTTGGTGGCAGCAAATTGTGAAGAGTTTTGGGAATACGTCCCTGCACTGTCTTCAACAGTGGGATACTGTAGGCGGCACACTGCTCGTACTGCAATCACATCCGTGACCTCCCCCAGCTTTGAAAAATAATGCCCCTCTTCCCCGTGGGCAAAGGCTAGGCGGTCGGGCTCTGGTTGGTCACCATCATGTGCCGAGGGACCCCTTTTCTCCCTTCCAGGGAAAAGAGTTTCCGAGGGTGGTTGCTGACTCGTCCCTCTAACCTCGTCTGGGGCGGATGACTCGAGCATTAAATGCCTAGGTTGACTGCCACGCCATTTCCTTGTCTTTGTGTACAGTGATCGAGACCGTGCAGAGGTCGGAAATGACATCTTGTGTTGCTCGGCCCGGCAATACAAAGGAGTCTCTCGAGTTCGTCGCTGCTCCTAATATTATATCAGCCTTCAAAAGATTTACTTTTGAAGTCGAGCTTTCCCATTATCCACCGTGCTGATTTTTCTAGTCTACCAAACTCAATACACAATGGCAGACTTTGTCCTTCCTCAATTACACCGGCGAGCGCACTGGGGTGGCGCGGATGATGTGAGAAGGCGCCGAGGCGCTCCGATTCATTCAGAGCGCCATGTCAAGATAATTTGTATTGGTGCTGGCGCATCTGGCCTACTGTTTGCATACAAGCTACAAAGGAGCTTCCGAAACTTTGACCTTACGGTATATGAGAAGAACGAAGAAGTTGCTGGGACGTGGTGGGAGAATAAGTAGTGAGCATGTACCGACCCTTGGCGATGAGGCAAATGCTAACCCATGACAATGACAGCCCTGGGTAAGCTACCATTGATTTCATTTAGATCGACTCATTATTTCAGTACTGGAGAACGTGTTACTAACAATACCAAATTAGATGCGCGTGCGATGTACCAGCTCACAACTATACCTGGTCTTTCGAGCCCAAGCTAGACTGGTCTGCCGTCTATGCTGGAAGTGGCGAGATCTTCAATTACTTCCACCACTTCGCGAAGAAGTACAGTCTTCGAAAGTACTGCAAAACACATCACCAAGTCATCGGTGCAACTTGGAACAATACTAGAGGAGGGTACGATGTAGTAGTCCAACATACGGCCACTAGAGAAACGTTCTCTGACTATTGCGATATTCTCATCAATGCAGGGGGGATCTTAAACGCTTGGAGATGGCCTGCGATTCCTGGTCTAGACAAGTACAAGGGGACACTGGTTCACACTGCTAACTGGGATGGCAATGTCGACCTGACTGGAAAGCATGTTGGTTTGATTGGTAATGGCTCCTCTGGCATTCAAGTTCTACCTACAATCCAGCCACATGTTCAAAAAGTCACCACCTTCATCCGCGAGCCTACATATGTCTCACCTGTGCAAGGACTCGAGCAGCATGTATTCACTCCTCAGGAGCTCCATGACTTCGCCAACAGGCCCGGCTCACTCCTTCAGTACCGAAAGCAAGTAGAGACCGGTTTGAACGGTCAATTCAGCCTCTTTTTGAAAGGGAGTAGCACTCAAGATGACACAAGAGCCTATATGATCGGCCAAATGAAGCAGAAACTTAACAACAAGCTCCTTGAGGATAAGTTGATCCCTAGTTGGTCCTTGGGCTGCAGGCGACTCACTCCTGGTGTTGGATACTTGGAGTCACTGACGAAGGAGAACGTCGAAGTCGTGTATGGCGGTATAAAGGAGATCACAGAGAAGGGCTGTTTGTGTGAGAATGATCAGGAGTATCCAGTTGACGTCTTAATCTGCGCAACTGGATTTGATACCACGTTCAAACCAAGATTCCCCCTCATTGGACCAAGTGGCAGCAACTTACAAGACGAATGGGTGAATGAGCCAAAGTCTTACTTCGGTCTTGCTGCAGCCGACTTTCCCAATTATCTGATCTTCCTTGGCCCGAACTGTCCCATCGGCAACGGACCAGTCCTTTCCGCGATCGAAGTCCAAGCAGACTGGATGCTCGCGGTCATAGACCGATACCAAACGTCGAATATCCACAGTATCGCTCCCAAGCGAGAGGCAGTCGACGACTTTGTCGCCTGGAAGGACGAGTTCATGAAGAGCACGGTTTGGGCCGACCCGTGCAGAAGCTGGTACAAGGCAAACCAAGCAGATGCACCTGTGACAGCACTGTGGCCTGGATCGACGCTACACTACATCGAGGCTCTAACAGAAGTCAGGTGGGATGATCTCGAGGTCAAGTACAACAGCAACAGATTTACCTGGCTTGGCAATGGGTTCTCGCAGTGTGAGTCCGATCCGACAGCAGACTGGGCGTATTATATAAGAGAATATGATGATCAGGAATATCAGTCGAGAGGTAGGAGGAGGGAGATTTTGACCCGGTCGGGGACAATTACGGAGAGAGCTGGCGCTGTCAACTTCACAGGGAACACCGAGTTGCATGCCAACTTATAGAGAAAAGTCGGGCAAGAAATATCAAACAGCGGGACCGCGTTGGTAAGATCATTGAGGTTGGGCTCGGTCTGTAAATGGTGGCCTAGTCAAAATCATTGTCGGTTTTTGTTATACCAGCTTTCGTTCCGTTTTGTTCCCTCGCAACGCAGTTTCTTCTGTTATTGAATTGTATACCCTCCGTCCACTACCATCGCCGCTCCATACATGAAACTGCTCAATGGACTCGCCATGTATACGATGCTATCCCCAATTTCTTCCATCAACGCAAGCCTCTTGACCGGAGTCCTCTCGATCTCACCCTGCATCCCGACTCCTGCATTTTCCAGTAATGGAGTGGCTACGTACCTGGTTCTGTCAGTAACGCTATGGCTCTATAGATCATGAGATGGATCCAACGTACCCAGGACACATAGCATTTATCCTGATACCTTCTCTACAATATGTAATGGCATCTGCTTTAGTCATGCCCACAACGCCATGTTTCGTCGCGGTATAGCTGACATTTCCAACGGCGGCGTTAGTTGCTATCTTGCCGTACATGGACGCAACATTAATGATGATTCCTCGATTTAGTCGCGGATTGCTGTGAGGCATCTGTCAGCCACCTGTTTGCTTGCCTGCTTGTCCATCTTGCTTCACGTACTTTGCCTCAAGCGGTTCCTGGTGCAGCATTGCTCTAATCTCCGCTCTTGAACACAGCCAAACTCCAGTCAAGTTGACGTCCACTGTTTTCTGCCATCCAGCGAGGTCTGACTCAGCAGACTTCCATGCCGCTCCAGCTATCCCAGCATTATTGACGGCATAGTCAATACGGTGGAGCTTCTTTACAGTGGTGGAAATTGAGTCTTCAACAGACTTCTCTGAAGCAGTATTGAGCTCTAGTGCTAACACTTCGAGCCCGGGGTAGGTGTTCTTGAGTTCTGTGGCCGTATCCTCCAGGGCCTTGATGTTCAAGTCACCCAGAGCTAGCTTTCGCACACCATGCTTTGCAAAACACTGAGCGGTCGCCTTGCCAATACCTGCATCGCTCAGTTAATCTGGTGAGTTGATGCTGATCAAGCTTGGTGCTTTGGCTCTGTCGCTTACCTGACGCAGCACCGGTGATGAATCCAACTCCCTTCAACAACGAAGGCATCACTCCGTTGATCACGAGTTACGACCAGCTAGAACTTGGATCAAGGCTGCTCAGTATTGATAATTTGGGTCTTGGTGCACAAACGGAAGAAATCAATTCAACACCTCTAAAGAAAACACGTGACTCGCTTCTAATGGGCCGTTTTTCACGAGTCCAATCTAGATACCTCGAGCATAGGATGGAAGATGCCGATTCAAGGAACTCCGGGCAGACTTTCGAATACGAGGCAGGCTAAAATGGACAAGGTCGTTGCGACCCAAAACCCCGGCCTTGCTGGCTACCGTTTTCCGGACTCCACATTTCCCCCGCACATCTCACGAAAAGGTGGAAAGGGGGGCCTCGTGGACAGGCCGGCGTCTAGTTAGCACCAGAGTTCTGGGTAACTAGGTTCATCCTGCAAGGCAGATTATGAAGATTACTAGTATAGAGCAGTAGTACTTATCAACCAGCTGTCTCGCATTCAAGCCAGGACGAGGTCGCTTTTTATACCCATCCCACCTCTTCTCTATGTTCCTTCTTACTCTTGGACTTTTCAAAGCCTAGCCGACGGTTTCACACACGGGCCAACAGAGATTACAGAATGGCGTCCCTCGACAAAGCTAAAGAAACTGCCACTGACACCCACGTCGAACGCTCGTCTAACAGCGACGTGATCCGACCCACCACCGAGCACCACGTCGCCATCCACAATGAGACCTTCGACATTGCCGAAACAGCACTCGGGACCAACCTCCCCAAGCATTATTACCGCTCCATTGGCTTCATCGGCACTGTTGTCGGCCTCTGCCTTGGCAATATCTCGAATTATGCCGGATGGGTCCTTCCAGCGAACTCTCTGCTAATCATCAACAATGATATTGGTCCCTCCGGTAACATCACCTGGGTTGCCCTTGCCTACACCCTTGGGTTATCGATCGGTTTCCTCGTCGTTGGTCGCTTCAGTGACATCTTTGGGAGACGGTGGTTCTTCGTTGGCGGCAACGGGCTAGGTTTGATTGGAGCCATCATCGGCGCGACCGCAAAGAGCGTCAACAGCTTGATTGGCGCCAACGTCCTCAACGGTCTTGCTGGTGCCGTGCAAATCACCTTTACCGTGGCCATATCCGAGCTCGTCCCAAACAAGCACCGACCCCTATGGGTTGCTGGCATCTTCTTCTCCTCCTTCCAATTTGCCTGCTTCGGTCCTGTTATCGCGCAAGCCTTCGTCACAGGAACGGCAGCATCCTGGCGATGGAGTTATTACATCAACATCATCGTTGCTGGTCTAGCAGTTGTTACTCTGTTCTTGTTTTACCATCCACCTACCTTCGACCATCTGCACGTGAACAGATCTAAGACTCAGCAAGTCAAGCGCCAGGATGTCGTGGGCTTCGTACTGTTCACAGGAGGATTGATCCTCTTTATCATGGGATTAAACTGGGGTGGTGCGATGTACCCGTGGAAATCCGGACATGTTATCGGCACCATTGTCGTCGGCTTCCTCGCGCTCGTTATCTTTGTCCTTTATGATGCGTACATACATGGTGGGGATCCTCTTCTGCCAATCCATCTATTCAAGTCAAGGGGATATCTTGCGATGGTGGTTACCGCCACAGTCGGGAGTTGCGTTTATTACTCAATGAATGTCCTCTGGCCACAACAGATTGCTTTCCTCTTCGGCGGGTCCAATGTCCACAAAGGTTGGCTTGCCTGCGTCGTCGGATCCGGTGCCCTGGTGGGTCAAGTCGTTGGTGGTGTGCTCTGCCAGTACATCATGAAGAGTCGATACATCCTCATCAGCAGTGCGGTGTCGCTACTCGCTTTCTCCGCTGCCATGGTCTCAATCAATCCTGGTCAAGAGTCGAAGGGCGTGGCATTGATGTTTATGGCCACTGTATCGGTTGGTGTGCTGGAGTCCTGCAGTCTTGCTCTGGCACCTCTGGCACTACCGACAGAAGATATCGGTGCTGCCCTTGGCGCACTGGGATCGATTCGGTCGGGTGGTGCATCTGTTGCGCTGGCGATTTACGTGACCATCTTAAACAACAAACTGGTTGCCTTTGTGCCACCAAGAGTCTCTGAGGCAGCGACTGCAGCGGGACTACCGGCAAGCAGTATTGCTGCATTGCTGACAGCGCTGACGACAGGTATGGGCCTAGAAGAGGTGCCGGGCATTAATACTCAGATTCTTGCGGCAGCGGCAGCAGCGCAGAGTGGTGCGGCGGCTGACGCTTTTAGGTATGCTCTTCCCCCTTCCCTCCTCACCTTTCATGTCGTGCGGTTGTCGTTGAGTTTTGTTAAAATGAAGTTGACGCTAATGTATTATTGCAGATATGTATGGTACGCTGTCATCGCCTTCGCCGTTCTAGCCGTCGCATGCTCGTGCCTCACAATCAATTACGGGCATCTGCTCACTGATGATGTGAGCCGAAAGATGCATGGCAAGACGGTGGGGGTTGTGGAGGGCCACGAGAAGAGGGTGGGTGAGAAAGAGGTCGTGTGAGAACTATGTTTATGAGGCTACCTTGGTAGGCATGAAGTTGGTTGGTAATTCTGTAGCGATCTGTATTGAAAGCAAAATAAAGCACACAGGAGTGTGAACATCTCTCTCTTTCTACCCTTGCGTAGCCGGTCTGAAAGGCTTCTATGCAAGCCAGTGTCTGAAATATAGGGACTAGAATATCTCTATATTGGCATTTAGGGAAGCTACCGTGGGATTAATAGTCCTAGAGAGTATGGTCTAGCTGTTGATGAGGTGCATGTAAGTTAGATTTACTAGGTAGACGTTAGAAAGTTAGGGGTAAGTAATGAGTTGCTGAACTAGCCATCCTAGGGTGTAATCGCTGATATAATATAAACAGAAATGTTAAGGAGCATACGCGGCCAACAATGGCACACTTCTTGAATGGAGACCGATTCTGAGGGCTCGTAGGGACATTGCCATTGATCCAAGTGACGATGTTGGTCCCAGGGTCAGGCTGGGTCTCTAGCTTGTCCAACTCTGCTTCAGTTATGAATCAGTCAAAACATCCTCAGCTCTATGTCTAGTCAAAGGAGCGCTTGAAATGATGAGCAAACAACTCATGGCGGTTGTAATGGCCGGCGTAGTCAAGGGCGTGATTTCCCTTGATGAGGCTATCCGTGTTGACTTCGGCATATAATAACCCCAGCTGACCGTGCTCAAATGATCCAGCAGGTATGGCAGACCCCGGACCAACAATGGTCGCTCTTCGCTTCTGCTGTGCCTTTCTTAGGAAATCACGGGTCGCATCGTTGACACTGTGCTTCTCCACCACGTCGTCACCGACGATAGCCACAGAGTTGATGGCATAGCACATCAATGAGTTCGCCAGACTGCAAGAGGCAGCTAGACGGCGCCTTGAAGTTCACTCCCTGGACAGAAAAGCCGCGACCAGATGCCACGTGCACGACTGGATAATGGAGGCTCAGCGGGTACTGCGCCTGTGGATTGCCATTCCCTCCACAGATGAGGCCGCTCAGTGCCACAGCACCGAAATCTGTTGTCAACGATGCCTTGCTGCTTTATTGAGAAACGCTGGTGTTGCTTGCACTGCTGCCAGCTTAGTCATTGCTTTGAGATCTGGTACATCAGACACCATATTTCTAATTGTTCATTAGTGTCTGTATAGATCGCTAGGGATAGGAGTTATTGCGCAGTTATCTGAAGGTTTAACACGGTAGTCGATAAAAGATATACGGTCGAGCTTAAAGCATGTCAAGTAATCGCTCAAAATGACATCCAAGGTTTCTAACTCCACCGTATTTTTAATCCACACGTGATGTCACTTCCGCTCTTGTTTTTTGGAAACTGCGCCGCCGGAATTTGAGTTAGAGGAATAATTATTGCCTTGGAGTAAAGTCTATTTTCGAATTCTAGCCTGGGAGATTCGAGTTTTCTCACGTCAACTACCCATAATACCCTTCCCTATCCCGATCCCTACCTCGCTTCTGGACTGGCTCTTGCATCGACTGCTGTGTTGACCAACATTGTCGACAATTCGTAAGAGTTGCAGAAATGAACGGCGCCAAATCCGGGCCTTCAGTGGCCGATCTGGCTGCAATGACCACAGAAGAGCGAATGGCTGGCATGGAACACTCAGAAGTTCGATATTTCACGAGGTAAAGGATACAACATGGCGCATTGAGAAGACCCGTGTCTGACTTTGCAACAGCTATGACCACCATGGTATCCACGAGGAAATGCTGGTGAGTTACCGCACGAGACAACGCCAAATCATGCTAATAGCGGTCACAGAAAGACGAAGTGCGGACTAGATCATACCGAGACTCCATCTATCAAAACAAACACCTGTTCAAAGATAAGGTCGTCCTTGATGTCGGCTGCGGTACTGGAATCCTCAGCATGTGAGTCCTCAAGTCTACTGAACGGCTGCAAAAAAAAAACATTCTCTGACCATATCAGGTTCGCCGCAAAGGCCGGTGCAAGACACGTCATCGGAGTCGACATGTCCAGCATCATCAACAAGGCCAAAGAGATCGTCGAGGTCAATGGTCTGACGAGCAGAGTCACACTACTCCAAGGCAAGATGGAAGAGGTGGAATTACCAGCACAACATCTCAATGGCGGCAAGGTCGATATCATCATCTCTGAGTGGATGGGATATTTCCTCCTCTACGAGAGCATGCTTGACACTGTACTGTATGCCCGTGACAAGTATCTGGTTCCTGGAGGGAAAATCTTTCCTGACAAGGCTACGATCTACATGGCCGCAATTGAGGATGGAGAGTATAAGGAGGACAAGATTGGATGTGAGTTGAATGGAGAACAATGCTCAAGTATCTCGACTAACATGCTGCAGTCTGGGATAACGTATATGGTTTCGATTATTCACCCATGAAGGAGAGTGCTCTCACAGAACCATTGGTTGATACCGTGGAATTGAAGGCACTTGTCACAGACCCATGCCCAGTCTTCACCATCGACCTCAACACTGTCCAGGTGGCCGATCTGGCATTCTCAGAACCGTTCCAATTACGCGTACAGAGAAATGACTTCATCCATGCACTCATTGCCTGGTTCGATATTGATTTCACCGCATGTCACAAACCCATCCGATTCTCAACGGGTCCACACACAAAATACACTCACTGGAAACAAACCGTCTTCTATCTGCGAGAAGTCCTGACAGTCGAGGAAGGTGAACATGTTCGAGGCTTCCTCTCCAACAAGCCCAATGACAAGAACCGTCGCGATCTTGACATCAAAGTCAACTATGAATTAGCAACTGAAGACCATACCCGCACAGCTGCCGGGTCTTGCGAATACAGAATGTGTTAATTTGACATGACGACGTCGACAACTAGCACAGCATGCATTCATCTTGTTGGGGTTCTCATCCGGTATCATGCATAGGAAAGTGGTGGGCGCCTGTGACGAGTACATGGCATGATCCTTGTTTAGTCTGGAACATTTCAGTCTCCCGTCTCTCTACTTCCAGGCGTTTTTGGACATTGGCAGCATCATTGACGGAAGACTAAGTGAGGTTTCTCACACGTCTCCGTGGAGAATCTTTGCAACGATGGAAATGATCGTAATGAAAACAATCCGGGAAACGAAAACTCAAGCTCCTCGTTATTTTATGATAGATACCCCCAACGAGTTGAAGCAGATTTTTGATAAAATGGACAAATTTTCATGATGGACATTAAGGAGCTAGAGGAATTAGAGAAATCAAAGATTCAGGAACATGGCCATGCGGCCTAGCAGTCTAATAATGTTTACTTCTTGTATTACCGACCAACCGAGGAGATCAAGAAAGTAAGTCAGAACCAACACCATTAATTTCTAAGATTAGTTATCGCCTCCAGAGGGATGGTAGGGGTCTTTGGGCTACTAACTAGTATCCAAACGGTGCGTATCGCACCCAAGACTTCTTCTATCCGCCGAATCCCCATCAGGGTACCGAGTTGCCTCGGCATAAGTCCACCGATACTAGGTTGGATGAGGTGATTCCCCGCAGAAAGGGAAATGTTGTTGGAGGTGTTACGAGTGAGCTGACTCTTTCTTTTCTCTACCCATACCTCCGTAAGATACCCCATAAACATACGCATCTCAACAGTTACAGAGGTGTCTTATACAAAAGAAATTGATCTACTATCAAAATGTCCGGCCCAGGAGTTGGTTTCGAGTTCCCTCGCTCAGACGTCTCATGGCTGAAGAGAGATGTCCTCCTGTTCGCCGTCAGTATCGGCGCGACAGCGAAGGATGAGTTGCATTTCATCTACGTAAGAGAATATCCTGGAGCATATGCTAGGTGAACCATAGTCATCTCCTAACAATGTTTCTACAGGAACTAGATCCCAAGTTCGCCGTCTTTCCCACCTACTCCATCCTCCTCCGTAAGTCCAAGTCTATGCGAGATAGCAGCCCAGCTCCTATCCCCAATCGTAGCTCAATCTCACTCATGCCCACTCCATATAGCATTCAAAAAGACCACACAAGAAGTGATCGACTTCTACGCCTCGCAGCGCAGCAACCCGATCCCGGGCGTGCCCAAATTCGACCCGACACGAGTCCTGGACGGGCAGCGATCGATCGAATTCCTCAAGCCACTGCCCACCTCGTCCGAGGGCCGGCAGTTCGAGCTGCGCGAGAAAGTCCTCGGCGTCTACGACAAGGGCAAGCCCGGCACGGTCGTCGAGCGCGAGACGCTCGTTGTCGATAAACAGTCTGGCGAGGTGTATACCCGCATGGTCGGCTCGGGCTTCTTCGTCGGCCAGGGCGGCTGGGGTGGCCCCAAGGGCCCTGCGACAGTCAATTACCCGCCGCCCAAGGGCAGAGAGGCCAGCCCCGATAAGGTGCATGAGATCCAATTGACGCCTGAGAGTGCCCATTTGTACAGGTAAGCCCATCCCATATATCAACCATCACCATGCACGACGAGTGCAGTGAGGGAATTCAGATACTCCCACCCCATCAAAGACCGAGCTAGATGATCACTAACCGGGAAATAAACAGACTAAACGGCGACTACAATCCACTGCACGCAACGCCCGAACCGGGCCAGAAGATGGGCTTCGGCGGCGCGATCATGCACGGCTTGTTCAGCTGGAACGCGTCGGCGTTCGCGCTGCTCAAGGAGCTGGGCGGCAGCGACCCGGCCAACATCAAGGACTTCCAGGCGCGGTTCGCCGCCCCCGTCAAGCCCGGCGTCAAGCTCGTCGTCAAGATCTGGCGGACCGGAGAGGTCAAGGATGGCTTTGAGGAGATTCGCTTCGTCACTGAGGTCAATGGGAAGGTCGTCCTCAGTAATGGCCGAGCGTCGATACGTGTCGTTGACGGCAAGAGTAAATTGTAGGTTGTGTACTTGGCTCAGGCAGGCATTAGATTGGCGGTCGAGGCTCCTGTAGCCTGGGGCGTCATATCTTGCTTATGCGTGGATAAAGTCATCAGATTTCAATCCATAGCCCTATATAAGTGTAACGTGCATGAAACAATATAAAAACTTGACGGACTAGCCTGGGTAACAAAAGTAGCCTTCGTATCTATCTTGCGTGGGAGAGTCCCGATATTCGCTCTCCTGCAGGGCATATAACATCGTGGCTACTCCCAGAACTGATCAATTATGGATGGCCCATGTTGGAGTAGGCAAAGTAGACAACTTAGCACAACTATCAAGACTGGATCGGAAGAAAGTGAGAGCCTCGGACGCTCGGTTCAGGTTGAGCTGTACTGCGAAAATTTCTATTCGTCGTTCACTAGAGGCTTTGCCTCGTACTCGGAGAGTACATTCAACAATCTGCGATGCTTTTCAAGCAACACTTCCCCCACTGAGCAACATGGTCAATTTCAATTGAATATAATAACCCCTGAACCCTTCATCATACTCCCAACTAAGCAGTCTTCTCCTGCTGTTCGGATCCCTTGACAACCTCGACCTGAGTACTATTCCCGGCTCCCACAGCCTTCTCCTCCATGATTCGTTCTCGAGCGATAAGCTCACTGCTTTCGGCATCTCTCTGTCCATAGCGACCAATCTTGTACCACGGCAATGTGAACAAGGCATCCATGCTCTCGAGGCTACGGCCGCTGGTCTCCGGGATGAAGAACCAAGCCCAACAGCCGCCGAGGATGGTAATGACCGTGAAGAACCAGAATGTGCCGTTGGGAGACATGCCGCCTGATGAAGTAGGCAGCAGCATACTTGGGACAGCGCGAGAGTTGCCGTATTGGTTGACTGGAGAGATAGTGTTGGTTAGTAAATGTGATTTCATATGCTATCTAGCTGAGCGAAGCATGACAAAACATACCGAAATGGAAGCACATAACCAAAGATGAGCTGATGGCGCGAATGCGCAGTGGGTAGATCTCTGAGTTGAGGAGGTACTCTGTAACAATTAGTGTTCGTATAATCATAGTAGGCGGTTGGTACTAACGAATTGAGTTCCAGCCCATAGCCCAGCTGGTGATGAGTTAGCATGCTGCTTATACGAGGAGAGAAGGTAGACATACCCAAAGCCCGAAAAATATATCATAACAATAGCGCCCGTGGACGCGGCCTTTTGTGATTTTGTGAATACAGTGTCTTCATCGATGTTGGGCACCGCGGTCAAGAAAGCTGCGACATAGCACATAGACAGAGCCTGGAGAGCGATACCGATCGACAAAGCTCGTTTTCTACCGATGACATCGACGAGGAAGAGCGCGCACATGATAGCAGCCACGAATTTCACGACACCGAAAATAGCGGTTGCGAAAAGCCTAAAGTTTTTGGTTAGCAGATGTAAAGCGAGGAATTTTGTGTGTTTTGTCGGCAGGAACAACACTTGTCAAGATGGGGGAATAAACTGACTTTTCGTTCTGTCCCTTGGTTCCAAGCAGAGCAAACATATCGGGAGCATAGATGGTGATACTTTGAGCTCCTGACCATTGACTGAGCAATTGCGTCCCAAGACCCAGGTAGATACGGTAAAAATTGTTGGGCATGAAGAACATCTCCCGAACATAACCCCATGCGCCTTGGCCCATAGTCGCTTCTTGCTCTTCAGCAAGTTGGTGCTTGATGCCGTTGATCTCGGCGACCACGTAATCATCATCGGCAGGAAGACCTCGAACACGGGCAAGATTCGCAACGGCATGTTCGACGTTGCCCTTCTTGATGAGGAAGCGAGGAGACTCGTAGTTGAAGAAGGACAAGACGAAGATGATTCCAGCAAACATCAGATGCAGAGATGTAGGAACGACCCAGGAATTGTAGGTGTTCTTGTTGATGTGCAGACTGCTGCCCCATGATGCAAAATATGCTAGCTGTAATTCGGGTAAGCGAGATGATCAAAAACGCCCATTCAAGATACATACCATAATCCCGATGTAGACGGATCCTGCAAAGACGCAAGTGCAAAGACCTCGGACAGCCTTGGGAGCGATTTCGGAAATGTAGACTGGAGCGATCACAGTCGTTTGTCCTAATTGAGGTAAGTATTGCATACCTTTTCCTGGGGATGGGTTACGCACCAATTCCAAGACCAGCAATGAATCGGCCGGCATAGACTTGACCCAGGCGGCCATTATTTGTCAAGAAAATCACAATACCAAGAATCCACAGCGCACACAGTTGTCGAGTTGCCCACAGACGACCAATGCGATCCGCAAGGACGAACGCAAGAAGGGCACCACCAACGCTGCCAATCTGAACCATAGCTGAAACGTTTCCCTTGACATTTGCAAGTTCTTCTTTGTCCAACTCGTTGAAATGCAAAAGCTTTTGGAAGTGAACCGTATTGAATGTACCTAAATCAACCTCAGCCCTTGCCTGATTGATAGTCATGCACGTGAATAATTACCGCTGATCAAACCCTCGTCAACTCCTCGAGCAGCTCCCATGATTCCGAAGGAGAAGACGGCAAACCATAATCGCCAGTTCAGGACTTCTTTGGGCTCATCCTCAAGGCTTCGACCCAGTCGAAAAATATTGAGCGGCTTTCCACCACCACCACCCATGATGGATCAGTAATAAGAGGAGAGGTGAGAGTGGATATTCTGTCGGTCTCAAATTCCCAAGCCTGTCTCAATCTTAAAGAGCCGGAGTTTGCAAGTAAAATCCCTTGATTGATGGGCGATTTCCAAAGACTGGGGGATCAGGCTACGCTTAAGTATTCAAACGTGGAGATGGGGAATACCGGAGTGTGCTCGGGTCCAACTGTCCCCAGAAGCATAGTCGATATCATCGAAACGAGCTCTGTAGTAAAGCTGATCGGAGCATTCACGCCAGGATCATCACGCTGAGGCAAGAGGAGCGACTGTCTGGAGCCAATCCATGCTGGTCGACATCACTCGCCAAGGACGACTTTCAATTGTACTACTACACAAGGTTAATGAAGCAATGCTGGGCGGCCAGGATTAAATCGCAAGCGGCGTGCAAGGCGGAGATGGTGTTACCAACAAGACTACACAACGGCCTTCAGTTGCCGTTAGTCGGGATGTTTGGCCTACCAGAAGGGTTCGGGAAGGACGAAGAAAAGAGGACAACCAGCTCGAATGTAACAGTAGGCTGAGGTCGCCTGACGACATTGCAACCAAGAGAGGAGAATTCATGCAGATCCGGCTCACTGCCAAGCGACGCCACGCATTTGCTTGAAGTGCTTGAGGGATGCTGGGCCGACTTGGAAAGCTTGCCCCGTGTTTCTGGGGGCTATGATATGGAGTACACCTCCGCTCGTGCAGCATGTCAAAAACCGAGTGGCACTCCAGATCCCAAGGTCTGCGCCCCCTTCCCGTATATTCCCTGTGGTATTTCCTGAATTCTCCGTAGCCGTAGAGGATACATCGTGACGATTTCATTGTGGACAAAGAGCTGTAAGAATTCAAGACCTAGGGGGCACAAATAAATCGATATGGCACTGATACGGTCGTGGTTGCCACCCGTTGCTTTACTACATTTCATGCATGGCTTTAAGTTGTGAGCTTTAAGTGGTGATAAATAGGCGCACTTCAAGTTTCCAGCAAAAGGACTCAGTACTTTCCAAGTGTTGCCAGGACGAAGTTTTCGCCTACTACCAAAACGACCTACTCGTGGTCTCCTCTACGCATTGCGACTAAGTTCCCCTTCAGGACTTAGTCTGGTCGCTATGTCTTGTCTCCCGCTCTGGTCATTGCACTTTCATGTGCCACTCTTCGGTCCTTGCGGTCCTGACAAGGCTATGTTTGCATAGCCTAAGGACTCATTTAAAGTAGGCCTCCCGGCGTGATGAAACGCCCTGCATGGTGAAACATGCACCCGGTACCACGCCCTCTATGTTACATACAACTCAATCAATTATCTATTCATCCATGTACAGTACAATATGACGAAGACTAATGGAGTATACGACGGCAATACAGATCAAGGCAAGTTGCAGGGAATTTTCCCGCCGACTATGGCGAAGGAGAATCATCAGACCGGTGCTGATACGATGGAATCCTGTTTGACCTGTGTGTTTAGCTCTGCATACAACACGAGCTTTGCCAGGGCCACCATTTGACTCCGCCTTCACAACACGAAAAATTGAGTTAGCTTCTGGACCGAGTCAAGGAAGGAGCATTCAGACTTAGACTTATATTTACGCTGATGGCCCTCACAAGTTTCTGACCAATTATGTTCAGATGAAGCGGCACAAGAGATCAGTTTTCCACGGTTATTGCGATCAGAACTCAATGCTTTTCAAGATGGCAACTAAGGTAAGCAGCCGGTCTTGCATAGCCTCTACAAGCTCTCGCAATGCTTCAGAAGCGTAGACTGAGAGACCATCACCAACTGACACGAGCTACGATCCTGGCTCAGCCGTCCGTACCATCAGCCTCAATCCGTACCAGTGAGTTCTGGCACTTCAGTCTCTTCATGGACGATACGAGCTTAGTGAACGAGTTTAATGCTTTGCCTGTTGCTTATCTACCACCCTCAAACTAAGTACAACAGCTCATGCTCTCCTCCTCAGCTCTTCTACCCACAGTAGAATCTGTACTTACCTCGAGCCTCCGATCTGATCAGACTATTCTCGTCCCGCTCTTACTTTCACACAACCATAATGGCCTACTCAAGCAACCGAGCTAGCATCCAGCGCAAGCCCGTACCTGACCAACCCTCCCAATTCCCAGCAAAGCCAGCAAAGCCAACAATGCCAGAACCCGTACACTACAGCGCTACCAACAACATGTCCATGTTGGAAACGCTTCAAGCACGCAGCCATATGCAAAATTCAACCAACAGAATCAACACCGATGACCCAGCCTTCACCGCTCCGACCCCCGAATCTCAACCCCCAACCGCCACCCACAACGTCACCAACATCCTCACCTCCATCTCCGCCACCGCAGGCGACCACCAACGCGTAACCTTCCGCTCCGACTCCCCCTACTCTATCCCCAGCGCACCGCCCCAAGCTCTCCTCCGCCGCAGCGTTCCCCCGGACATGTTCACGCGCGACATGTCGCACTTCAACTACCTCTACGAAACAATGAAAAGCAAAGACAACACCGAAACGATACTGGGGATGCTGACGTGCTGGATCTCGCTCTGTGTACTTGGCTCGGCGATTGATGTGTATAATAAGCAGATGAGGGATTATGTAGCGGGCATGAATGGAAGGTATAATGTGTATGGGGTTACGTGGGCATTTGAGTTCATACCGTTCGGGGGGGCATTTGTTAGTTATGAGACTTGAAACTGAGAAAGGTGTTTTGAAGGTTTGATTGAAGCGGTCCTTGATTTCGGAGGACAAGGATGAGGTTAGCTGAATTAATTACATTTACTGTTAGATTTAATGACTGTGTGCTCATGAAGACGTAGGAAGTGCGCGCATGAGTCATGAGTAACGGATCATGAGGACGAACACCACGGAATAAAAGGGACCCAGCTCGACTCGACGGCTGAGGTTAATAGTCATCTGTATCGTAAATGTAATCACTCTTCAAAGTTGTTCGCGCAGAGAATGATGCAGGTAGTAGTGCGTGACGCACGACGACTGCATCAGGGCGATGGAGGTGAAGAGGAAATCAGGTTGATGGACAGGTACTTGTCGTCTCCTCCATGAAAGACCTGTCAACACGTCGAAAAACACCCTCTGAACCTCACGAAACTCCCAACATGCAGCCCCAGTACGCGGAAAAGAAGTGGCACCCCTTTTATGTACGCCCACAATGGAGAACGGAGTAATCCCTCGTTCTCCAACCCGACCGATGTTTACTGTATCAGAGTTTGAAGTAGACGCGAGGAAGAGGGGAAATCAGGAAGAGACACATAACCAACACGATATCACTATAGTTAACTACAGTATAGAATATATCTTTACGTACATTTATGTCTCTAATGAACGACGCGTCGAAGCCCCAAAAATTATCCTCCGTGCCTCACGAAATGCCCAACAAACAGCCTTAATACGCGAAAAGAGAGCGGGGCCTCTTTTATGTACGCCCCTAGATCGAAGATGGACTTTGGCACTCCGTTTTCCTACCCAACCACAGTTTACGGTATCGGAGATTAAAGAGTACACAGCGAAGAGGTAGAGTTAAAGAGAAGGAGATAGTCTACCTTATAGAATATTATATCCGACAGAAGAATCTATATCTTAAGAAATTACTACATCGAGTTACACTATTACTGACTCAGTATTCCGTCGCGGTGTGGAATACTTGCACTCAATACAAGTGCCACTTGAGAGATTCAAGGTAGCATTGGACTTGGCAGCCCTTCTAAGCAAACTTGATCCCACCGTGTCGACTGTTGTTGGGGTGATCGGTAGTGTAACGGCGGTGCGTCGGTTTTTACAATGCGTTGGGTTTGGGAGACCAAATGTCGGCTTTAATTGACCACTACGAGATCAGATTGCCATAAGCTTTGCGTCTGCAGACATACAATTCGCGAAACAGATTGGAGAAATGCTGGAACATATTTCACATATTGATGATTGTGATACACTCGGCCGAAAAACAGACAAAAGGGACATCCACAAGGTGATTAACCTCACATCTCCTGATCATACTGTCTCTTAACAAATCACAGGCACTCGTGTCGGGTTATCAGAAAATTCTAGAATTCTAGGCGGCGCATGAGATTCTTACGAGGAAAGGAGTCAAACTAGTGATGGTGAGGGTATTGGAGAACGGGCGTTTGCCAAACATTGTTCAAGATTTCCTACGACATGCTGAGATGCTACGAAAAATCATAGAAAAAGCAACTTGGGAGATTGTCGATGATATCAAGTTGATGCTCTATGACAGCGATAGTAAGGTTTTAATACCACCTGTTTGGACACGTGTGCCGCAACGTAACCTCTTCTCCGACCGAATTCACAGTCTCCTGCGTCATAACACTCTTGCGGACCAATGTTTGCAAATATCCATAGGCACCGGTGACGAGCTCGCAGACCCACTGGTTGATCCTGCTAGATATAATTCGTTGATACTCATTATCCACCGGAGTAATCAACGGCCGGATGCTTGGGTCGTTAAGGTTCGGATGGTCTCTGCCAATGTGAATGATGATCCTGTCCCCTCATCATTTGAGACACCTTGTATTCGACCATCAATAGCGTGTGCCACTTCACCATGAAGGGCGTCTCTCATCTAGCCTAGAATGGCGTGCTCTGAGATAGTATGTTTAGCATCAGCTTGAGCCGAAGCTTGCCGAACAGCGGTCACCTCGCGTTGTATTTGAGCGATGTTGGCAGCCATCGCCTCGGATATGGTTTGGTCGATACGACGCTAGATGAAAGGAGCAATATAGCCAATCAAGGAGAAGATCTGTGAGCCCATGCCTACCGAAACCCACGATGTCCAACGAAAGCTCAAACGGATCGCCAATAAGCGTATGTGCGTGTGGTCCCGAATGGCCAGTGGCATGAGTTCTAGTTAACCTGGGCTTATTTAGAGTAGACAAAATTCTTCTAAATGGCGGAGAAGATCTATTTTCTCCTTGTGCTCCCACAAAAAAATCGGTCAGGAGCTTTGTGGTGTAGTCAAAAAAAGCTGTGAATCTAATCTTGGAACTAGAATTTTCGTTGGACCATTTCACTTAGGACAATCCAGTCTCGCTAATGTTGGTACGGACACACGTGTTAGTGCCGGCAGTTGCCACGATTTCAAGGTCCGTCAAGCCAGCAATGATGTGGCAAAATAAAAGATCCACTATTGCCCGTTAGCCTACGAAGCAACCTGGAATCGAATGCACCCTTTGGCAAGAATTGACTGTAGTCTCTCCAACCGTGAAATCAGTGGCTGATATGGACTACCTCCACTTCAGGCCGTTGCCTTCAAAGTCAAAACCTATTCCCAAACCCTTCTACGAGATATGCCAAGCAGTACGACACAGGTCTCGTAGGATAACAGTTCTTCAACCCAAGTTTCAACACGTGTAATTGGTCTTATAGGACGCTGAGTGTTGGACCCTGTTCTAGTCGTATAACTTTCACAAATACTCTCGTGCCTATGCTCCCACTATCCAGCCTCGGTTCCTCACCTCATTCTGAGAACATGGACTTCTCTTTTGGCGACTGTTGCTTGTTCTGCGACCGTCAGCAAGTGGCTTTGCATTCTACTCCTCAATATGTCGTACCAAACAAGTTATTTATGTTACTCCAGTAGATCTGACAACATCCGTGTCATTATTAGAGGACGTGGGCACTTTCTTAATGTTCTGTTCCAGTTGGTCCATTGCGAATCTGAGACAAGTAAAGATTTGCCCTCATACTCGACGCAACATCTCGACTCATCGTTATAGCGTTCCTCAGGTATGTGCTGCTGACTTGGAAATACGAAACTAGAACTCGTTATAGCTATGATAGTAACCCTAATTGATCTATCTATGTTGAAATGATGCGTTAAAGTAATCGACAATCGATATTTTTGATAGATTTTGTTCTAAAATACTAACATCGATCTTAGAAGTTCGGTACTCGGAATGACTGTTTCCACCATTACGAACTCCTTCAGTATTTCCAAGTTCTAGGTGTAAATCAGAGGGCATCTCATGTTGGGAAATTGAACCCTCATGGCCAATGGTTCGTTGACGCTACTTCCATGACATACGTTCTACCACACATGCAACAACGAAGGCAATACCCGCGGTGACATAGACAATCGTGTTGTCGTCGGCCAGGAGACATTCCCTAAAGGCATTCGTTATGGAGTTGACAGAGCATCGCTCACAGAATCGCGTCTGCCATACCCCCGTATATCAGGATCCTACTGAGCATGGCATGTCCATAGGTGATTGCACTTCGTTTGTGGAGTTTTTTCACGTTGACATGATGCCAGATGCCACCGATCATCTGCATCACTGGCAGTGCAACAATGCAGAACCCAAGAATCCGGTGCGTTGCATCGAAGTCAGTGTACTCGATGCCAATGATACTGAGCACGATGGCAAGAGCAAGTCCAACGAGAGAGGCTGCTAATGCTACAAGGTGTATAATCCAATTGTTCGTAAAAACGAGCATCCACCGATCCCGCAGACTAATCGTACCGAGAGGGAGACGACGATAAAGGCGACCCAAGGACAAGGGCGTAAAGCACGACAAAGGCCTTATATGATCTACCCTGAAGTGTTACTGCAATACTAAAGGTTTTAGTAAGAGTGAGGCTGGTGCTGGATGTCTGTACTGCTTTGCGCATATCTGTGAAGAAAATTCCTTGATGAATGTCAGTTTCTAGTGTCAGACTTATGGCACAAAACCTTAGCGTATGATGAATGCTGTCCGATACCATGCGCGCTGCTATATGTTCTTCTCTTTCATTTTCAGAGCCAGAAGGAATAGCTCAATGTGCGAGGTCCACTGGGGCAGATCCATGATTATTTTGAGTCGCTCGTATCGATATTTGAGAATGGTGACGAAGCTGATACTGCCCATTGAATGTCAGCTAGCATACAGTTACCTTGGACGTGTAAAGTCAAGATCTTGATGGATACGAGGACGGGCTCAGGCTCATCCTGACTTGTGGAAGATCTCGTGGTGACATGAACTTTAAAAAAGGGAGTTGGCACATTAACTTGTGTTGAATGTGATTCCATACCAGCATTCCATACCAGCATAAGAGGCCGAAGGTTGAATAAGAATTATAGACGAGCCATTTATTTCGTCACCGGTCCTAATGGCAGCCCATTGCTATGCTGTCAAATGCTTCGATGTGCAGGTGTATGACGGTATCGTTTCCAACCGTGCTAGTTGCGAGTGCAACACAAAGTTGATCAGATGGTTGATAGAATGGGGCTTGACTGGCGAGACTGTAGCTATCATTGGGATACTGGTTGTCACATGTCATTAGCCTAGGGCCTTGGCACAATGTAGATTATCCCCTCTGCAGGTTGTTTACAACAACAAACTAGCCACATCAATCAATGAATCACACTGCATTACTCTACAAGTACCGGTGAGCCTTGTGCAAGTGATTGTTGAGCTGAACTACCTACAAGATCTGGTCAATAAGGCCTCCGCCATCTCGAAACACAGCGTATGTTGTGAACATGACTGAAACAAGTGACCGAAGCCATTCATTCTGGAAATTCTGTCACATTAACTACTAATTGCCCGATCAAGCCAAGATTTTGCCTACTAGGATTATATTGGTTTTCCACTAGTAGGCTGTTTGCAAGCCACCGCCCTCTCGACTTGCCGTGGTGGCTGAGCACTGATTGCGTACCAACTCGCGCTAGTGGAGAGTCCTCCATCAAATTGCTTGACGAAAGCTTGCCAATGCCAGCGTCCTATCATTATCATTATTATTATTATTATGCTTCCGGTAATTGGCTGGACAAAGTCACCAAGGATTTGCTTCGCGTTTGTGAGTATCACACCATTTGAGCAGGGGTAACCGTAACGAGCGTTAGTTCCTTTGTTACCTTCCTGTTAGGGTGGAAGAAGTACGTCATGTTCTACGTTTCTCGATCTACAGGTTGAGGCGGGAGGGATGGATGTTTGGGAACTAGGTCGTAGCCTGAACGACTTCTTACACTCGTCAACCTTTGAGATGTTCAATGCCGTATGGTGAACAGAAAGGAGCTTATACATACTGCCCCGGATGAAGGAAGAAATCTGAAATCGAACCAGCGGTATAGCGGAGTAAGACACTTATTCCGTTTGAGTACCAAATAACTCCGGCACTCTTTACTGATGAATCAAAGCTCTGGACAACAATAATCGATATATGGCCTTCCACTGCCGTAATTTAAAGACATTGTCAAAGGCAGCCCGTTCAGAGTATGCCAGATTGTCGCTGGCTCCACTTATCCCCGTCGACTTCGTTCCCTTCTCCAATCAGTCTGTGTTGCCCCGTACAGGTCATCTACACTGAGGAAGTCTGCGCCTTCCCTCATCAAAATATGCCATATGTGATTCCGAAGTCCAAGTGGCCACTGTGGAATACCCCAATAGCGCACCTTCAAACCCCGCCGATGTGCTCCTTGAATCTGACTCCGGATGAGCTGAAGCTGATCCTGGCTTAACCGGGAACCCCAAATACGGCCGATGGACCTTGTAAAGCTTACAGAAGCGTAATAACTGTTGGATTTGTTGTAAAGGAGATTGCCCTGGTCGGTTACAGGCCAAATCCTCCCCCTAACATGTCTCCTGTCCCCTTTCTTCTCCTCACACGTTGCTGCTCCTGGGTTCGACCCAGGCTCAGGGCTAGGACCGTCAGGTTTAGGAAGCCCTTTTTTGCAAGCTCTCGAAGGATCTTGAGCGCGGTTGGGATTCGGCCACAGCACCGAATCATCCGCCAGCTCGACCAAGGGTGCATCGAAGAAAACATCTCTGTAAGTTTCGTTTGCTGTCAACCACTCAAACGGCGCGTCCCCAGTCCCGACCACCGTTATTGGTCTTTCCACTATATCGACACCGTTGAAATAGGTAAGGTAACCTTTATCTCGAAGTGGTGATAGTTGTGATTGCAGTTCCCACCAGATATCTGGGCCATGGGACTTAAAGTCGATGAGAAGTACAAGGGTCTGCGTCGGATTTGTATCGAAAACGCCGTTGAGAGGGAATTTCTCATTCGGATCTGAAGGATATTCTCCATCAGAATAAAAAGGAGACACCGGATTCTGCATCTCTAGTAGCCTTAAAAGGGGATCGATATACAAATTTCGTAAGGTACGCGTCGAGGTCAACGTCAATCTTCTGTGCCCGACGTATAGCTCACCACCAACAAGCCATACATCGACCTCGACACTGCTACAACCAGAATCGATTGCTGATTGCAGTGGAACTTTTCTCCAGTAGTCATTGTGAGAATGGCAGTGAATTGGTCGTTTATCTGCCGTAGCATCGGTGGGCCAGTGCCTATACTCTTCCGCGATTTTGCCTTGAGCACTATAATTTATGGTCCGTTCAAACCTGTCGGGAGCACGTACAGCCAGGAAGTCCAGAACATGGTCCAAGGCGCAAAAAAATCCACTGCGACATCGATTAGTTTAGCCTTTTATCATGTCAAACGGAGTCCAGACATAAAGGTAAAAGTCCCAATCACAAGGCAAAGTATGTGACGGAATGCTCTCGACATTCTCAAGGGAGGGACTGGGTATCCCCAACCATGGGGGCCACTGACATGGACCAGCATAGGCGCGTTGGAATTATAGAAATGCTTCTGGAAATAAATGTGACACTGTTTCCTCCAGACGGAGACTGGCAGGGTATCGAAGAACACAATGTAGTCTGCAATTATTCACCATATGTCTACAGCCACTTGCTAACATTTGGTAGCAGAGGAGCACGCTCGATTTAAGCCATCCGAAACCAAAGGGTCGCTGGTAGGATTACGCGTTCAATGGCTGACAGATTCCTCGCCAATGAAAAGCGACTCCCCGCTATCATTCATTGGGTCCGATATATCATCATTTACGAGCTAGGAAAAGTAAAATCACCCTAGTGTGTCAATGAAGGTCATGTATGCTGCAGTATGGGGCTTCCCACTATGGATTATATTTTCAGTTCCTCAGGAAAGAGGGCATTTCAAGGAACTCTGTGAAAATGTTTGTGTTGGGACACACGGGGGTGGCCACTCCAAAGAGCGCTGGACGGAAAATCCCGTAGAATATCGACTTAAGGTTGCCTCGGACACTAACTAGCAGTACTCCAAAGGAATCAAGCAAGCCAAGCAAGCCAGACAAGGATTTGCCAATTCCAATGTCAAGGGCATTAGTGTCAAGACGCGTAGGCAGCTTTACCTTTTGTCAAGCATTCCGTGGAGTACCAAGCACGTCAGGATTCGCTCCTCCGCTTTCCTCTAATCTTTCGGATATCTGGATGAGGTCATTAGCCTAGATAGAAGCTTTGACCTGCAACCTATTTTACCCCCAAGAATCTAAATACGACCTGCCACCCACCCCATTTCAACCAACCTGAAGTATTGCCAAAGTTGTTACTGCCCACTCGTTCACAAATCAGCTGCCTTGCTGTTTTGTTCTTCGTCGTCCTCAGGAGAGATGGCGATTATTGTCTCGCTCTTATTTTCTTACATCTTTGACTGGGTGGTGGTTGCGTAAGTGTCTTTGTGATCTCGTCCCTGCTCTCCATTGACTTTCTCTCAATAGTGTCGTCGCTGCTGCTGGCGGCGTCTTAAACTACATCAATGGATTTCACAGACCTTTTTCCCTGACAGACGTCACCATTGCCTACCCAAATAAACCCGACATCGTATCAATACCAGTTGTCGTCATTGTCGCCCTTGTTGCACCCGCGGGTATCATTGCAGCCTTAAATCTTAGCTCGGTGCCTATGTTCCACGATCGCGCGGAACGGCATCGATTTCAGAGAGCTTTTTGGGAAATACATGTTGGCTGCCTCGGCCTGTGTGCGGGGCTCGCGGTCACACTTTTTGTGACGTCTGGGTTGAAAGACCTGGTCGGCAAACCTAGGCCGAACCTACTGGCGCGGTGTGAGCCAGATTTAGCTCGCATCTCTCAGTTCATTGTTGGCGGCTTCGGCGACTCCTTGAACTCCGAGGCGGAATCCCTTGTCACGGGAGCCATCTGCCAGCAAACGAACCATCGACTTCTAGACGATAGCTTCGCTGCATTTCCATCTGGCCATTCCTCTTTCTCTTGTGCCGGCTTGGTTTATCTCAGCTTATGGCTCTGCGCCCGCTTTTCCCTTGGACTTCCCTATCTCGACCTCTCATTAAATGCTCCCTCGTATCGAAGCGGGAAACACCAAGCGGCTGCTTCAGCACGGGATAAACAGGCAGCCCCCCCTCTCTGGCAGATGGCATTAGCTTTCGCGCCGATAGTGGCAGCATTGTTCATCTGTGCGAGCAGATATGCCGATTTCCACCACGCCGGGTTCGACATCATCAGTGGTGCCATTATCGGAACTGTGTTTGCGTGGACAAGTTTTCGAGTTTACCACCTACCCACTAAACGAGGATACGGTTTGCTGGCAGGGGGCCCAAGGAATAAGCGCCACGCCTTCATCAGTGGTCTGGATAATAATGAAGTGCCGGATGAAGAACGGGGTGTTGTGACTGATTATGAGCTCAATACCCACAACACTGGTGCTCCAGAGAGAGTGCCCACCAGTGGTTCAGGCCAACCTATCATGCCATTGCGCGATAATTCAACAGCCCGACCCCGTTATTGACATTAATTCACGAAGGTCAATCATGATCGAGAAGTTGAATGACTTGCTTGTGGGTCATTTTCGCAGCACATGGGTGACGAATATGTTGAAGAACGATGATGATGAGGCCGCCAGGCATTCGTGTTGCATCTTCGCTCCTATCAGAGCACTGTATGAAGGCTAGATGAGGTTAATGATGGGTTGGGAACACGCGCCCACATACAGACCAATGATGTAACAATTCCAGACTTCAACCGCGACTTTCTGGTGCGAACTCCTACTTTCTTTCCCTCGATCTGAATCTCTCCAACTCACTCATTTCCTTGGTCCCATGAGCAACAAAGAGGTTACTTGAACTAATATCGTGGAGCAACGCACAAATACCGACATAGTTGAAATTCATCAACTGCTTCCCTCTCTGTGACCGTGCTTGTTGAGTGCTGCCCTGGCGCCATTGATACCTTTTATGTCAGACCCTACTTGTTCCGTCGCTTTCGCCCTCATTTTCCGCTAGGTTGTCATTCACATTGGGTAATACAATGTCATCGTGCTCGGCTAGAGCGCGTCGACTGAGCCACAAGCCCACCAATGCGAGATCGTATCCGGCCTTGAGGACGCCGCCTATGACAAAGACTGCTCCAAAGTTGCCCGCTTGTGCCATGCTGCCGGTGACAGTAGGTCCGGCACTTTGCGAAAGCGTTTTGATGGTATTAACCACTCCCATGACCTTCGTCCTCTCCTCTGGCCGGACAACCTGCGAAAGGAAGACTGCACGTGGACCTTGGTCCATGGTAGATAACGCAGCGCGGAGGATGAGGAGGACGCAAGCAAGTTCAATCGTGGGGGCAAGAGGGAGGAAACCTAGTAGAATGGCGGATGGTAGGTGTGTTAGAGCCATTGTTGGGAGAAGCCCCAGACGCTTCGAGATTGGTGAGGCTAAAAGTGATGAAGCTGCGCTGAAGATGAACGGAATGGCAAGGAGCGATGAGAGGAGACTCATTGGTGCTTGGAAGCGTGAATGGAGGTAGAAGCTCAAAAGTGTACTACAATAGTCAGCTGTTGTCTTGAAGGCAGACCGAGCTTAGGGAGAAGCTTACAAGGCAACCATACCGCTCGCAAAGGAATCAATGGCAAAGAGAAGACAGAGCTTCCAGAGAATGGATCGTGTAGGTGCAGTAAGTTCCGGTACAAAAATTCGCACGGCACGCATTAGAGCAGTAGGGCCAGGACCTTTAGCGACTGAGGTCTCTTCAGATTGCAGCATTGGTTGAGCTTCTTCTTGTTCAGCGTCTTGCTGTCGTTCAACGGTTGGCCTCGACACTTCAGAAGCGTTGCTGAGTTTTAGTGCCACAAGAAGCTTGATAATCCCGATGATCGTATACACAATAAAGATGACTCTGTAGGATTCTTGCTCGGTCCATCCTACCGGTTTCTGAAATATAGCCGTAATCCAACCCGTAGAGAATGTGCCAAATGATACTCCTAAAGTCCCCGCGACAATATGCCACGCGAAGATGTCGGACATATCATAGTTCGCAGAGAGGCATGCCAACATACCCTCCTCGACGGCACGAAAAGGTCCGATCTCATTTCCAGAAGGACTAATTACCCCTAAGACGGCGGCTGCGAGAAGTATCCAGTAATTGCTAGCAATAGCAAAGACCAAGCCACTGGTGATCATTAAACTACACCCAAGAATAGTCGTGCGACGTCGTCCAAAATGATCGGCCCAGTTTGTGAGGACCAGGCTCAGGAAGACGTCCCCAACGAGCGTCAGAGTCATGAATAGTCCAACTCGGACATCAGAATGCCCGAGGCCAGACAGGAAAACGGCGAGGATTACGCCAGTTGACCCAAAGGCGGCAGTTCTTAGGAAGCGCGAGAGGTACAATAGATGGACATCTCTTGGGGCAGCACGAAGGGTCGATATACCGAGCAGAGAGATGAGCCGAGAATTATTCATGACGGGCACATTCAGAGGAATAGCAATGTATAAGAACTATGCAGCGTTTAATGATGGTGGCCTTAGCACAGTAGAATTGCTAGTTTCTCTCTGTTTTCTCTGTTTTTCTTTTGCTAAGGCTTGCGCGTCCGTTATTCCAGAAACGGTAAGCTTCGCATTTCGAAGCCAAAGCTGCTGCTATTAGCTTGACCCCAGTACTGGTTAGAATGCCCACTGAGCTGCCGTCGAGCTGGAGTGTAGCGACGGTCTTGGCGTTTTCCGTTACTCCTTCCAACTCTCGACCCGACGCATGTAACTGTTCGGTCGTAATTCTCGTCATATGAAGCCAGTACTGTCCTAAACAATCACAAGTGTTGTCTCCTCGCACGTACTGTTACAAGAGCTCTGCCATCAGGCGGCCAGATACTTCCCGTCGTTTTGCATGAACATGGTGAAGAGCATCTCGCGTACCGCTCCAACTTGCACGACCGATCGCCGCAGAGCAAGTAGACGTAATTATTGTTTCCGCCCAAGAACCAGGGTACAGCAATTACCCCAAAATATATCTCAATATAACCCTATGGCCGATCTTCTTCGTTAGTGTCACTATCACTAAGTACAATCTCCGCTCCATTAGATCCCTCGATGACCCACAGGCTTCCTACGTAGGCAAGTGCAGCAAGTCCTGAAAGGGACCAGAATGCTAGGCCGATAACACCCATTGCTAATCCACGGCCGAAAATGACCAGGACGACCATTGGAAAAATAGATCGACTCAAAATTCCGACCACCGTGGCTGCCGCATGAATTGTTGCACGCCCAGATGGGTGAGGGGTGCAGTCGTTGATCAGAAGAGTTGTGGCTGGAGTCACCCCAGTCTTGCCAAAAATAAAGCAGAAAATGACCCTGTCGATTGAAAGCCAAACCAGGGGCACTCGTCGCTCGCCGTTCTGCGATACTGTAGAAGCCACCAAGGAGGGATAAGGCGCAACCAAATACGCCAATGGGAAGATGATGAGCGCGCTCCGCCAGATCTTGATGGTACCAAATCGGTCCTGAAGAGTCGGATACACAACTAGCTGGAGAGATATGACCAGGGTACCAAGTAGAGACATTGCGAGCCCAACTTGGCAAGAATCCATGCCTAGCCCTCCACCGAACCTGGAAAGGATGCCCATGAATGAAGGACAATGCTTTCGGTGTACTCAAGAACACTGCCCAAAGAATAGGGAACGTCCCGACATGTCCCGAGATGATAAGTTGAGACAACAGCGTACAGACTACATTGAATGTCCAGATTCGACCAAAAGCCAGCTTTCGCTTGCTTATCGAACGTGCCAGCCCCGCGGGGATCGACTCTGGGGCTGAGGGAGCCGACGAACTCAACTCGTCAGTACCAATTGATCCGTAATCAGAATGTCTGATCGCAGGGGAGAAGAGGGATCGTGTGCCGTCTTGGTTGTATTGCAGGACACCGGACTGCCGAGACTGGTGTGTGCTGTCCAGTATCTCTCCTAGGAAAGTAGATACCGCCAATACAACCATCAGGTAGATTAAGGCAACCATCAGGTTCGGCAAAAGAAATGGATAGCTTTCTGGCGGACTCGCTGCACCATTAGAGCTCAAAAAGCTTCCAACAAGGGGACCTATAAAGTTTCCGGCGTTTGAAACAGTGGGAGCAGAAGAAGAGCTCTTACACGGTACGTGTTTCACCAAAGGCCTTAATCGAAGGACATAAAAGACAATTGTGGCGCAACTAACCGTTGTTCGGAGTTCAATTCAGCCACCACGTACCACGTAACAGCCACGTGTCTGGGTTAAGTCTCGTGGACAGTTCTCTTGATATTTTCGAATTTTGAGCAACTCACACACTAACGAAGTTGGGCGCGAAACGCGAAGTTCTTCAAGACTGCGACTTATGTCATCATCCATGGTGAGGGATGTAGCATGATTGCAATGTCAAAATTAGAAGGAAGATAGCTCATTCGGAATCTAGAGATCAATCGAATATAAAGCATGTCCTTCCCATGTGCGGGCCGGCATGCTTGTTGGATAAGCAGGGAGCACGCGTCTGCACCAAGCTCTCGGAAAGAAGCCTGTGCCTGAATCATCGGGTGTGGCCACTCCAAACGAGCACATCGGGTTGCTTTAGTATTGTTGGGACCCCAGGGAGGCTGCGACAAGACTCCACGACTTTTCGCGCCGGTTAGGGAGGGTGTCTCTTTTGACTTGCGCACGGGAGTATCAACCATTCAGCGCATCATGGTGAAAGCAATAACCCCTTGGCGTGTGTACCACTCCATTTCCGGCCAAGACCACATCAAAAGTTGGCTTGCAGTTGTGACGGGGCTGCATTCTTGGTGTCAAACCATATTCCGAGAGTCGCATGGTATCCGACGGGTTTGCCCTTTGCAATGACCCATGTGGCTTCGTCGATGTGGGCGTGGCTGGCGCGCATCTCGTTTTCCTCCATAAGTTGGTGAATGAATTCGTGTTCGTTATGTGGTAGTACAATGCCGTCGGTAGCGAAAAGGTACAGCCACTGGATATCGGACGCCGCTGACTCTGCTGTGAATGATCTTCAAAAAGAAGTGAAGAATGCTGGTCGCGACTGGCCGGAGATTCGTGGATATGAGTGCGACACATCATCTGAAGACCTGGTTTCTAATACCTGGCATCAAATTGTCGAGGACTTCGGACAAGTGGACGTGCTTGTCATCAACGCAGGTTTGGCTGCTGGCTCTGCTGCGGAGACTGATGACTTCGAACGGCGTGGGCGTCAACGCCTACGGCTTGGACAGCGTGCCTCTGCGCGGCGGCTACCTGTCCACGTTTTACAGGCAACAGCACGCACAACATTGATGCGCAGTGCGCCACCGCGTGCGTAACTTAAGGCACGCGAATTTCTTCGGGACTGTCCGTACGGGCACGTCTTGTGGGGATTGTTATTGCGATACCGCCAACACAAGCATTGAGGCCCCTAGTACGAGTGCCCGTGTGGCTTGCTATGGTCAGAGTATCGGGATGTGTGGCCAATATCAGATGACGATTGCGGTATATGCGAGAGCGTTTTGATGCAGAGACATGGTGATGAGGTGATGCTGAAGCACCAACAGAACAAGAGAGATGGTGATGCTGAAGGACCAACAGAACAAGAGAGATCTTCAACAGCAGAAGCCTCATAGGTGTGTCCATCACTTATGAGTGACACGGCCATACAGAATTGCTTCAGGGGTTTGGCATTGTGTTGTCATCGAAGGCTAATCCTGGAAATTTTCTGTCGACTTTGGTGATGAACAATAATGGCGTTTTTGAATACAGGGTGAAACCATGCCTGGGTTGTCGGAAAAGGAGTTTTTCATCCTCAGCAACGTGTTCGCTTTGCAACATCTTCTATCGAATATGTTAGTGCTCACAAGCAAATATCCTCACCTACAAGATATCGTGTTCGGTATTGGAGAGACTTAAGTTGTAATCATTATAAGTTGAAGCTCAGAACCAGTGTTCAAGCGTGATGATGTTTCCATACAAAAAAATTTAGGCAAGAGAAGACTAGTTATATCCCACTGACAGTGGTACGAACTAGCGTTACTGCCAGAGGCAGCGACATTGTTGAGGCAATCATTCTAGTGACACTTCTCACGTGACTGGGGATTCAACTGTATGCAGAATAGTGAAACGTCTTTGGTCGATGTCGTAGTGAAAGATTTAAGATGCGGTGGAAAATTGAGTCCTTTTCCGGTACTCTGCGGACGAGTAGGTCAATCAAGAACTTGCCGTGATTCTGCATTGTACCGCGGTACGAAAACATTAATACGCCCTCACAGTATCGATTCAGAGGGCTCTTTGGAATGCATAGCTTGAACACCAAGGGTCGTAGATTCGTAGACGCGTAGTATGCAGCCACTTCGTACATGAAAAAGCTGAACTGGCGGCAAGGCGTTTATGATTCCGTGATATTGGCGGGGAGTGAAGTCCGAGAGCTCCAGGGGTCATAGACTTAAACTTTGCACACAATATTCCTTGTGGTCAGGGGTTTGCCCCATCTAAAGGTTTCGAAGGCGAAGGACAACAAACAGTCACTGTTGTCCGGAATGCGCCTGGAGAACTGGCGACTCTCAAGATAGATTGTGCCTGTTACCAACACAAGATGAAAGTGACGATGAAGCTTCGTTTTCGCTGGGGCCATATAAACACCCCTTTCCCAAGAGCAGTTGTCAATGTCGCTTTTCAGGAGGCTTGCTGTCAATGGATCTGAAGATTGACACATCACTGAGATCTGCATATGCAACCGAAACCTCTGATAGAACAGTAGGCACGAGCCAAGTGTCCAGTTTCTTTGGGACTCGTATTGTAGCAGTCCGTTGAGTCCCAAGATCCTTGCATTCGAGCGGCAGGTCAAGAAGAAGTTCCAAGAAAATAATGTGCGCCACCGTATGTAGAAACAAGGTACACACGGCACGTCTCAGTATCACCGGTCTGGTTGACAAAATCAAATTCCACTGTAGGTGATGATTCAAAGAATGCTATACAAATTGCAAGATGCGATGTATGGACTCAAAAAAAGAGAAGATCCAGTAGTCAGTAGAGGAATTGTTGCTCGATGCTTTCAGTCCATAGACTGATGGTAGGCATTGACTCTTTCGGGGCGTTAACTTTCTGACAGATGGTGTACCTCGTAATTACCAAGCGGGCTAGGTGAAATATGCTCAGCTACCGAAAATGGACAAAAAGGGTAGCGACGCCCCGTGCGCCTGTCGAAATGAATGACAAAACACGTCTGTCTCTCCTTCAGGATATAAGGTTAGAGCATGGTGTCGCGTAGGCATCGACAGGTGGAATGAGGAGATCATCCTCGAACATCGCACCATGTTTCTGTCTGTTGAAGCCCTGGCCTCGATTTGTTTAGGTCTTTGATAGCATCAGTACTTCGTAAGAGTGGTGCCCACTGTGCTGGAAGGGAGAAAGCGTGGGAGGATCGGCAGAATATAGTCCGTGGCCGAGGGCGCAGCCGCTGAGTGACTGTGTCCAGGTGCCCGAGGCCCTCAAATTATCCCCTCTGAGTGCTGAGTGGTTTGCCCCTCGCGTCGCAAAGGCAAGGACAGGGGTTGGGCTTTTTCGGGCCCCTCGGGCTCGAGAGGTGCCCTTTTAGCCCTTGAGTTTGGCTGCCAATGCAAGCCCATCAAGCCACAATCTCGGATGGACCACTTAGTTCATATTTTTCTTATCAGTCCACATCCCATGTTGGGAATTGGCTGGGCCTGTTGAAGAGGATATGAGAACTAACGCAGGAACCCGAAATCTTCCCTTGGTTGGTCCAGAGAACCGCAAAAGAAGCGTCGTCCCCTTTTACGCCTCGTACGTTCGTAGAAACTGAATGGAATAATTACGAAGTGGTGACTAGTTGCTGCCATTTGATGACTCGTGTAGACACTACGTAGCGCAGAATTTGAAGGGGTTCGGACCAGATGTCAGACTTTTACCACACGCCTCAGCCCCCCAAATGACACATGTCGTTTCTATGGTCCACGTCATGACGGAGATCCTCAAAAGGGGGCGTCGTTTGTCCACAGTTGGATGTTTGATGGCCACACTGATCTGGTGGCAACGGGCAAGGTCTGTTATCAATATCCTATCCCATACAATTTGCGTGTTCCACAGTAGGAAAAGAGAGAGAGATAGAGAGATAGGAGTGCTCGTATGTCTGTAAATGACCATCATCAATTGCGCGCCTGGTCCAAGGGGCCCCTTGAGTCTTGACCAGCCAGTCAGTTCTTGTTTCTCGCCATCCCATGTTCCACGGGCATTAATGTCAGGCTTGTCGCCGATGCTTGGTATCTTGGTGTGTCTCAGGCCGCTTTAAAGGGTTAAGTCTTAGATCCGAGGCAAGATAAGGTGAATTATGTTCCGAACACAACCCACATGTGGACTCTCACGGATATGGATTTGCGGCACAACTTCGTTTTAGCCTCCAGCTCAGACGACAACTCCTTCGGGCGATAAAAGACCCAAAAAACTCTTTTTCACATGGCTCGATGGCTAACTGGTACCAATGCATTCCCGTACCTAATCTCCACTGATGGCTTTGAATCTGTCGTTTCTGAGTCTTGACACCTGGCTCTCACGCAGAAGTCGTGCTTGTTGTGGAGGCGCCTCTGGCTGTCGAAAAGTACGAGGTATGGATCACCCAGCTATCAAAGCCAGCTTGCCCTCTTGTCCCTCCTTTCCCACCCCCTGGCAGACCAATCGAAGCGAGTCTGAACCCTTGTTTCCGCTTCTGTGGGCTTCAACGGAATGCTACTCCTTGCCGGGCGAGGCTGGACGGGGATGTCGTTAGTTGGAATGCCGGCGCACATAATAGACGCCTCTGGAATTAATTGAACTTGTCTTGTGGAAATGGGCACACCTCGTTCTGCGTTTCTCCCCTCTCTTCTCCGATGTTGATGTTTATGATATCAATCTAAAATATTTTTTGTCACTCGTGGCCGTGGCGGCAACAACGACAATACCCTCTCGTTCTCTGCGCTGTGCTTGCATCTCGAGTTTCTCTTGATCCCCGCCGACGAGAGCACGGATTTCTGGAGGGACAAGGAACTGGGTTCCTTGCGGACACGACGGGCCTCCGAAGCATACGACACAAGACACAACACATCACCATGCCTTTCCCTTCATTAGAGCGATTCTCAGCCCCGGCCCGAATTCAAAGACTGGGCGTCTTTGCAGTAGCGACCCTTCTTCTTTTCATTTTCTTCGAATCGTCGATCTTTCCTGATGTCCGAGTACCTAATGTATACCGAAGTGTAAGGAACCCCTTGAGTGAGCATCAGTCAAAAGGGACCATGAGTAACGTGTGGGAAAACAGGTCAAACACAAGACGTCCGAGTATTACCTACAATGGGGACCCTTCGAACCGATGCAAATCCCAGGATTCCTGAACACCGGCCTCCCAGGCAAACGATCGTGCGATGCCCTGCGATATAACTCCAGCGTCGGCGTGCAGAAGAGTTTCTACCTCACCGACGATATCCGGCAGATTGCCATGACTCTCGATTCTCATCCTATCGTCGATTACCCGGACGATGTCATGAACGATCCGAATATGAAGGTGACGGACATTGTGGAGCAGTCGTGGGCTCGGCTCTCTGGTTCCAGTGTCTGGCTTCCGGAGCAGGGAGTGTATTTGTCGGTGACTCGAATCATCTTCTGCCCAACGAGGACGAGATCTGTGCCCAAGATGAGTTTCCTGCGCGGACAGGTGTTCAATCAAGATTGGGAGCCTTTGAATAACCACAACCTCACATGGGATGGCAAGGTGTTCAATTTCCCGTTGGTGTTTGACATACCGGCGCAGTGGGAGCAAGATGGGAATCTGTACGGACCTGAAGATCCTCGAATCATCCTGGAAGACGGTGTCGAGGGCGCGGAACCTGTGGTCATCTTCAACATGATTGGCAAACGTTCCGACTGGAAACGAGCCATGTACATCCTTCGTCCGTTCTCCAACCACACCACCATTCTCACCATCAAGGACACCGAACGTCAGTGGACGGAGAAGAACTGGGCACCATTCTTCGTCCCCTACCATCAACCCGCCAAACACGCCAGCAAGGGTGAGAAGGCACTGCTCAGCAACAAAGATGTGGCAACTCCCCGAGTCGACAACGAGTACATCCACTTTATCTACAGTTTCAAACCACTGCAGATTCTGAAATGCCATCTCCGCTGTGGCGACTGCGAGTTCGTCTACGAACAGGTTGTACCGGAGAACTTCCACAGCAAACACCGAGAAGACGGCGGCAGCTTGCGGGGCGGTACCAACTTTGTGCCGGTGCCAATTCCAAAGCAGATGCGTGTCGACCCCAGAGTGCAAGTTTATGCGGCATTCCCCCGGACGAATATTGAACAGCATTGCTCGGGATCATTCTACCGGCCTGAATTTGTGGTCATGGTCATGATTGGAGATCAGTTTCACTTGGCATTCGCCAGTGAGAGTCTGGATTTCGGAAATGCAATTATCGAACTCGCACCTGAAGACGATCGGTGTGACAAGGGCCGGATCTTAATCCCTAACAGTATTGCTCAGTGGGACACGTCGAACGGGCAGGATGTCATGAGTGTGACGTTCAGCGTCAATGACGAAACGGTGCAGGTTGCACGCGTGGAAGGGATTCTCGAGTTTGTGCACCGAATGCCTCAATTCCAAAATCTGCTCAGTCTGGACGGTCCCTTGAAGGGCGCAGACACGGATTTGATGAACATGCTTTCCTCGTGGGTCGGAGATGATCTTCGCGGGTGTTTGGTTGAGGCTGCTCTCAACTACACGGAAGCTGCGCAGGAACTCACGCACCCGCACGACGATGACCTCGATCTGGATCCGTCCAAGGAGCTGCTGCGTAAGATTCACCAGGAGCAGGATGAACTGGAAGAACTTGAAGCGTACGAGCTTTCAGAGGAAGGAAATCTTTTCAAGACACCCGAGACGACGGACGACGCGGAAGGCATCCCTGACCTTGATGGTGCCGATGGGGACGAGTTGGACGCGTTTGAGGACATGGATGGCGAGCCGATCACCAAGGGTGATGCGAAGAAGGATAAGGACGGCAAGAAGGACGGCAAGAAGAATAACGACGAGGACGAGAAGAAAAAGGACGGTCTCCTAGCCAAAGAGAAGGAAGAGAATGGGGAAGCTCAAGGTGACGTTGAAGGCGATGTTGAGCTTGAGCTTGAGGGTGAGGGTGAGGGCGAAGGCGAAGATGCAGCTGATGACAAGGCACGACCGAAACGAGATTCACATTTAAATCGACACTCACATCAACGTCGCAGCATGATGCACTCTTGATTATTGCAGAATGGCTATTTTGCGTGTGCTGGATAGGCACACTCATTCATCATCCTAGCTTCGAAAAGCCCCGACGAGCCCCAGCAGAATGCCCCTGATGGCGCGTACCCAAGCACCCAAGGCATGAATCTTCCCCAGATATCGAATCCTCGTGGGACATGAATACGAGAGCCCAGACGATTCTATGCGGAGAAAGGCATGGCACGCCTTGTCCACCGGTCGCCTAACCAGCACCAGACATTCCAGAAGAAGTTGGGGATCATCCATTTCACACAATTTGTGGGGATGATCTTCTCAAGCTCCCACAAACGACGAAATGTGGAGATGCTGCAGGCACTCGCCAATTTGCATCACGAGGGGATTTCTCGGGTTCTCACCTGCCACAAATGAGATGCGGGTAACGGTCCCGAGAATTGATTTGATTTCTTTCGGGGTTGGGTTTGATGGTACAGTAACGACTTATTTGATGATGCAAAGCACGGATTGTAATTCTTGAGATGGGGGAGAAGGAAGGCGTTTGGAATGGAGGGTTTCACTTACGACAACAGGACAGACGGTTGGACATTGTTCAGCCCAGGAATGGAGGCTTGGGAAATTTTGCTATTTCAACTTACCGAAAAGTTGAGGTCTCGCTTGCACATGATGGGTAATTCATATCTGCATGCTGCAAGGGCCATGGAGAAGAGAACTTCATAAATTGGGTCATTCCAATAGAAATCTGTTTACAAGATATGCAATGAATTGTGATGTGCTTTTGCTCAGGGTGACCTCGGCTCTCACCCTTCTGCCCAAACCGAAGCATTATCTGTTCTCTCGAGCTTTCGTGCGTAATGATGCACCATTTTCGGATACTTGATGCATCTCGAGGAAGCCTGAAGATCCGTACCGGACTTCTGATGGGCATTAGTGTCCCAAATGCCTTGTGGCAGCGTAGCCCTCCGGACCGAGTGTAGCCAAGGATCGTTGAAGGAGGCTTCTTCTGATTTAGGAATGTTCTCCAGGCCCGGTAGAAGAACGATCATGGAGTGATTGGAGGCGATACTCAAGTACCTGCCAGCTTTGAATCCCGACTTCACTTCCCGATTGACGAAGATCGTTAGTCGATCGGGTATATAGCTTGGCATTGACTTGGCATATCCGAAGGTGGTTTAGTGTGGGCGAGTCCTCCGCTGGTCATCAATAGCCGAGTCCAATTGCCCCCCCGGGATGGTGTTTGCAGGATTCTAGAGGTAGATGAGTCTAACATGTTGATGGAGGGCTTATCTGTTGCGGAGCCCTCTTCCGTTTTTCAGTGTCTGAGCAGTAGTCTGAACAGATACCGGGGTCACATTGCAGAAACATATGGGTTCGCTGGTGGGCAGACAACGGGCTCTGTCCTCTGTCGCCTGAGATTCAAGTGTCACTAGGTACTGGAGTACGGAGTACAGAGATGTTAGGCTGGACACCGAGTCTTAGCCAAGCATGCTTGATGCCATGCTTTCTGGAATTAAACAAACTCATAAACCGAGTCCTGTTGCCGAACAAGACGTGGAAGCTTGTTCATCAACATGCAGACGCCACCACTTGACCAGAAGTTCAGGCGGGAGGTGGGAGTGTGACAGTTATACCTCGTATCATTAACTAGGCCCTGGAGCCTGGAGCCTGGAGCCTGGAGGTGGTTCCCCGGGCCCCAAGTCCCAGCATGCCTTCGCCCTCCCCGCTCTCCACAAACCTTGCAACTGAGGCTAGACCTTAACTACCCCTAGTCCCCACGGGCAGGGTGCATCTTCCGGGGTGAAAGCTTTTCGCTTGCGGCCGTCACTGCTAGTTACCAGTAAGAATTACTGCAATTCTTATCCAACAGCCTTTGACCATGTGCTCCTTCCGCATAATCAAAAAGTCACTGTAACCTTTACTCGAGGTAGTCGCGACCCGCAACCGAGGCCATCCAAGCTTCTTCCTGTTCCTACTACAAATAACATTCAACCCCCCTCTCCGTCCTCGAACCCTGGTCATCTTCCTACAGTCACTTCGACCTCTTCAAGTCATCATTAACCCGCCCTGACATCCAATATGACCAAAGATCACAACGTCGAGGAGCGAGGCGTCGATGCCGCTGCTCGCCACTCTTTGAACGAAGAAGCGGCCATGGAAAAGGGTGCTGCCATGCACAGTGAAGATTTCCATGGTGCTGCTGAACGTGGTCACGTCGCCACCGACAAGTATGTGCTTTCGCCTTTCCTTCATCTTGGTTTTACCCTTGCTTTCTCTCCCTTAACTTCACTCATCTACCAACCAGAACGTTACTGACACCATTCCCTCAGATATGGCCACTCCCTCATCACATTCGACCCCAAAGCTGAGGCTCGTTTGCGACTCAAGATCGATCTATACATTGTGCCTACTGTGGCCCTTTTGTATTTGTTCTGTTTCATCGACCGCGCAAATATCGGTAAATCCATCTTTCGAGAATGGCGGGTGATTTTTGTCGACTAACAAATCTCTACTAGGAAACGCAAGACTGGCAGGTTTCGAAAAAGACCTAAAACTAAAGGGCTATGATTACAACACCGTCTTATCCGTCTTCTACATCTCCTACATCATCTTCGAAATCCCAGCCAATATGCTTTGCAAATGGATGGGTCCTGGTTGGTTCATTCCATTGACCTCTCTGGGCTTTGGAGTATGCTCGATAGGAACGGCCTTTGTCCACGATATCCATGGCGCTTGTGGTGTACGATTTCTTCTCGGCATCTTCGAGGCAGGCATGCTCCCAGGTATTGCTTATTACATGTCACGATGGTATCGACGAAGCGAGTTGGCTTTCCGACTTTCTCTTTACATCGTCATGGCACCACTTGCTGGAGCATTCGGTGGACTACTCGCATCTGCTATCCTCAAACTGCCAGGATTCGGAAGCATCCATCAATGGCGTATGATCTTTGCCATCGAAGGCATCATCACTTGCGGTATTGCCCTCATCTCTTTCTTTACTGTCACAGATCGACCGGAGACCGCAAGATGGCTCTCACAGGAGGAGAAGGATTTGGCCATTGCTCGCGTCAAGTCCGAGCGTGTCGGTACCACTGAGGTCCTTGATAGACTCGACAAACCCAAGATTATGCGAGGTATCTTCAGCCCCGTCACGTTGGCTACATCCTTTATCTTCCTCCTCGACAATATTACCGTCCAAGGCCTCGCTTTCTTCGCCCCAACTATCGTCCGCACCATCTATCCCAAGGCAACGGTTATCTCTCAGCAACTCCACACCGTCCCACCTTATATTGTTGGTGCCTTTTTCGTCTTACTTCTACCTGGCCTATCTTGGAGATTCGACCGAAGAAACATCTTCTTCATCGTTTCTGCTCCCATGATGATGATCGGATATATCATGTTCCTGGCCAGCACGAAAACCAGCGTACGTTATGGTGCTACTTTTGTTATCGCTGCAGGTGCTTTCCCCTTCGGAGCACTTTGCAATGCCCAAGTTTCAGCAAATGTCGTGTCCGACACTGCTCGATCATCAGCTATCGGGACCGTCGTCATGTTCGGCAACATTGGTGGTCTTATCTCGACCTGGTCGTTCCTACCATTCGACGCCCCCAATTTCCATATTGGTAATGGCTTGAATTTGGCCACTTCCTCAACCATTCTGATCTGTTCTATCCTACTCCTCTTCTGGATGTGGGGAGACAACAAAAAGAGAGAGCAAAAGGATGTTGATTCAGAGTTGGACGGTCTGTCTATTAAGCAGGTACAAGATCTCGATTGGAGACATCCTGGTTTCCGATGGAGACCATAGTTTTTCCGTACGGCCCAATTATTGGTTATGGGGTCAGATGAAAAGGCTTCACCACCATTGTCCATATGAAATAGCGAACAAATACGCTATAGTCATAGTTTAGCGCTGGTGAGATGAATCATTAGAAGAGATACACACGTGATGGTGTCTCCAAGAATGAAAAAGAATTCTTCTACACTCTAAAATGGGAATATCTACAACCATGACTTCTATAATTCCATCATCAATCCCACGTACTGCAACATCGAACCAACATCTAACTAGCCCATAGCACCGTGCGCCCTCTAGAAGCACACACCGAGGTATATGGGTAGCATCAACCCAAGCACTAGTTGGCCCGACATCTTGACAGTGCCCCAACTTACCTAGGACCTACTGCCCAAGACTCGATGAACTGCTTCCTACTCGTAGTTCGAAAGCATTTACAATTGGTCGGTAACTACCTAAGTTACCAGCTTCCACACGTGCCTTACTCCGTGTATATCCCATTACAATTGCCATGTAGCAGCTAACAGAACCCGTTCTCCAGTGCCTGAAAGATCCCGCATCCGACCCGACAACCTCGCATGGATGCCGATCCCGACGCGTCTGGCCCTCTCAGCTCTGAGATTGCCAACCTACTTGATTAGAAACGGTGGAACCCGTGACGGGGATGCGTCCCCGTGTTGGTTAGGACTCTTCGGGCTGTATTTGCGGGGTGCCGCTTTGATTACTTTCCTCCTGTTGCCTCGTACTCTTGTTACTCGAGGCCGGTCATATGTGATCATGCTGACTCGTACGGATGTGCGACCTGATATTCATGAACCGGAGAGAGTTGGACTGGACTGGACTCGACTTCTGTCTGGAAGAGAAATTTATGCACATAGATTCGTGCTGATGCCAACATTTGGACACCCGTGTGAAATACCACCAAAAACATAATTTGTTGTTGCTCCTTCATGGAGGTAAGTGCAGTTCTCTCGCACAATCGCTCCACACGCCCCCAACCCATCGCAGTGACGACGTCACAAAGTCCTCCCACAGCCCAGCGACCGTGACGCCGCAAGCTCTCGCCGTGAAAACGCCCAGCACGACCGCCACCAAGACAGCAAGCCAGAAATACACAGCGGAAAGGTACAATCCAAACCTCCACAGCGGCCTGACGGTAATATGGCTCCAAGCACGAGGATCGAGCGTCATGAACCACAGGGGCGGCCTTGACTCCTGGAACTCCCAGTACTGGTCGCCGCAGTCCCAATAGGCGCTGGACCAGCCGAGCGACCTCAAGAGGCGACGACGCAGGGTCTTTTCGTCACGCATGGTCTCGGCGCGCAGCACGACCAGGCCGGGACATTCATGGCCCTCGTTGACCAAACAGCGCAGCGGGATCGTCTCGCCCTGGTCCTTCAGGATCTTCAGGTACACCAGCCGGCGCGACAGTGGGTTGTTGACGCACTCAACGTGTTGGCGCCGCCGTCGCAGGATCCGCGTCACTTCGGCGTTGAGCACGAACAGCGTGTCCGTCCGGAAGTCGACTTTGCTGTCGTGCGGGATCGGGAGGTACAGTTTTGCCCGGCTCTGGATCCACGCGATCCGTTGTGCGATGGTCGTGGTGTTGGCTAGGAGTGTTTTGAAGTGTGGGTGGCTGAGGGTCAGGGAGAGGTGGTCAGGGTACGAGAGGTGGGTGGTGATGAGATGGTGGATCTCCGGGGGAAGCGTTAGCATGTTGATGTTGGGTTTGGAGTTGATATTGGTATCTAACTGCTTCGTGATAGTGGTGCCGATGCTATTGTGGATGTCGGTGCTTGTGGTTATGGCTGATGCTTGAATGGCCGTTGTTCCCTGTTGGCCTTCCCTGAGTGTCTTGACATTGCGATGGTGGATCCTTGCCGATGGTTTGGTCCTCATAGCAGCGATGAGTAGACCCATAAAGCCTTGTCCACTGCCTTAGACTTCAGAAATGAAGTGATGTGATACCAGTCGACTGGAGGATTCCGTCCGAGACAACCAATCGATCATTGGTAATGTTCACTTCTTCGCAAAAGCAGATGCACGACTATATATGCAAACACTCAGACGCATAACAGCCCACGTCTTATCATCGCTTCTCACTGTCTTGTACCTGCAATCCCAATTCTAAGCGATATACCGTGTCCTGTTTGCTCTAAGCCAGATATTGTTCTGCCTGGCAAGGCTGAAGTGGTCCGCTAACGACTGGTGCCAGACCCAGCAAATTCTATGACTCGAAGCAAATGATTGATCAGGCAGCTTTGATAGCATCCCTGGCTCCCCTATGCCTTTTGTGATTAATGAGTCCCCGAGGTGGTTGAGGAAGCTTTGGCCGATTTCCCAGATATTGCTTGGTGTTGTGATTTAGGCGAGTCTAGGCATACCTGGAACCTAAGTCACGAGGGGTATGTTTTTGGACCCCAAAAAAGTACCATAGATGCCTTCATCATCATTAGGTCCTGTGTATATTCAGGTTTTTGAAATGATAATTCAAGACCCTGTGTATATGTCAAATGCAGCCGGACTCATGGAGTGCGGTCTTTTTAGTGGTTTGCACCTGCTCATCTAGCTTCTATTTATCGTTCAATGCAATATCGAACTTTTATAAATGGGATCCAGCAGCGACAGCTACTCACTCTTCTCAACCTCCAGTTGCTGCGTGTACGCAAGGGTTATAGCTTCTTCCTCTGCATCTAGGATTCGCTTTGGTGGAGTATTGGGTTAGCCTTTCATTCGATATACCAAAACGGCAGTGAATCAGTCAAAGAGCGGACAGAGAGCACGCAACACTTACCTCCAACGTACTCGTCGCAGTCAACCAACTAGCAACGAGCATACTTCTCAACACCCAGCTCTGGTTAAACACTTGGCTCCTTAGTCTTTCGGACCTCCAAGCGTGAAATCCCCGATGCGGAAAATTGGCATCAAGATGCAATTGCAATAGTAGTGGATAGCGGTCCAATGCTGTCAAGCTCTTTCGAACAGAGTCACGGTAGAATCCAATGGTGCCTAGAGCGAATCCCGAACAGGCGGAGATGATGAATGGGACCGTGGCTGTGTCCCATATCAGTGCCCCAACGGTCGCCCCAAATAGTCCGGTGAAGACGGAGGCGATGGTGCCGGAGATGATGACTCGGAGCATACTGTGACAGTAGTTAGAGTAAGACTGGTGAGAGCCACAATGGAGGTAGTGGACTTACAAGAGTCCTGGGCCACTGATGGAGAAACCCTGCTGGTTAGTAATGGTTCATCGTGTTCCTTGCTTAAGGTGATTTATAGACAAAGAAAAGCACTACTGTCCATCTCGGTGATTGTCACGTACCTGACATTGCCATATCCGCCGCCGATTCGTAGGATGCCTTTGAAAGAATCACCCAGAGGAGAGCTGCTGTTGATGAGTTCATTCCCTGGCTGGGGGTTTCTGAAAGCCATGTTCAATATTTATCTGGAAGGTGTTCAAAGCCAATGAGGTCAATCAGTCAACAGCTGAACACCAAATTGTCCATCTTGCCCAACATGCTGCCTCAATAATGACTTGCATAAAGAGGAGAGGACAGCTGTGCTTTGGGAGGTCGAGTTCAAGTTGGGCGATGCTTGATATCGACCATTCCCCATTGCGTTAGCGCCTCAACTAGCGTGATTCACGTCGTTTTTTAATTCTCCGTCGCGTCGAGTTGAACTTGTTGCACAGACGCCTCCTCGATCTTCATCACGGATATCATATCATTTGTTGGAAGCTTGCATACGTTGCTTATTGTTGTTTTTGTTTGATTTCCCGGCATAATGAAGTCCTTTGGATTATCGTTCAGCATTTTCCTGGTCATCGTCACTTTGTCATCCTTGGTTGAAAAGTGCTTGGCATCCCTGGGTGACCACCTTCCTGAGTTCAGGGATTGTGTCAAGGTTGGTCATTGTCGGATCTAATTGATGTCTTTCCTGACTCTCATTTCTAGGTTTGCATAGAAGAAAATTGCGACACAGGAAAGGGACAGCTGCGTGAGTGATCCTCATCATCCTGTGCTTGCTCCCGGAACCACTAACCGTCAAACAGCCCTTCATCTCCGATTGCTCCTGTGGACATGCCCATCAGAATGTGACTATACATGTCAGCACATCATCACGACCAGGCGTCTGGAAAGGGATCCTCCAATGATCGAACCCGTTGTCCAGTACCATGGAAAATGGCCGTTTCATCGATTCATTGGGATTCAAGAGCCCTTCTCGGTTCTTTTCTCCTTGTTCAACTTCATTGCTCACCGACAAGGCATGCAAAGGATTCGTGAGTCCATTCCTGGTCGATATCCACTGCGACCATATTATCTTGCTCTTGGATATTTCGGTCTTGCTAGTTGGGTCTTCAGCATGATTTTCCACACACGAGACTTCAATCTCACAGAAAAGCTCGATTACTTTGCTGCTGGAGCAAGTGTCCTATATGGATTATATTATACACCGATCCGAGTGTTTCGTTTGGACAAACCCACTCCAACCAAGCAGAGCATCTTAAGACTCTGGACAATTGTCTGTATCTTGTTGTATGTGGCTCACGTCACCTACCTCACAGCATGGAGTTGGGATTATACCTACAACATGGCAGCCAATGTTGCAGCTGGTATAGTCCAGAATGTCCTATGGACTTGGTTTAGTATCTCGAGATGGCGAAAACTGCAGAAGTCCTGGGCTGCATGGCCTGGTCTCATCGTTGCATGGATCATCATGGCCATGAGTCTGGAGTTGTTTGACTTTGCTCCCATTGCAGGCATGGTTGACGCTCACAGTCTTTGGCATCTTGGAACCGTGGTGCCGACCGTGTGGTGGTACAGGTGAGATTGTCGCCATGATATCAGCTTGACATGACTAGGACTAATATGTCATGCAGTTTTTTGATCAAAGATGCACAGGAAGACATAGCCAGTCAACGTCTCAAAGCTTAACGAAAACCTCCGAGATAAGCACTGCATCAGACATTGCACAAGTCAAGGTCCTGGGACAAAGACAAAAGCAAGTTGACCTGTGGCGTCTGGTCGTTGCACACTTGGTTGGACAACAGGCTGAAGTCGCATGTTAGTGGGCAGTGGAAAAGGTTTCCCAAGGCCGGGGAAATCCTCTCGGCGCTCCCCAGACGCCTAAAATGCATGATCGGATGGCTTGCAGGCGTTGACAGGCGTGAGCTAGGCTAAGATTAGGCATGGTGGGAGACACAATTAGGGTTGAGTCCTCTAGGCTCTCGGCGCGAGCCCCCACGCTTATTCCGGTCCCTCAGGCTCTCCTTTCAGTTAGTCAGGCACGCGGGGAACTTTTCAACCACTGTCGCATTGTCCAACCTGCGAACTCATCCATTCATCCCACCAGTTCAATTCAATCCCAGTCCTCAGTTTCAGCACCGCCTTCATAAACTGACAGCCTGAGCGTGGAGGGATATCTTTTCTTGCGGTGATTCGTTGCCACGGTCACTCTTATTCACTTCTACAATCTTACTTTCGTCCTCTACCACACCTCTCATCTTTCTGTCGCACTCAATCCCTCCTTGACAATCGGTGCACCAGCGTTGTGACTCTCTGTCCTTCGGCTACCACCTCAAATCATCATGGCCACCTTTCTCAACCCCGTGGACTCGATCTTCAACAAGCCTAAGCCAGTGATCCATCTTGACCAAGCTCTCCTCAACAAGCTTGCCGATGGAGCTGCAGCCTATCCCATCCCCGAGGGAAGAAAGTATGAGTACGGAACTGCAGGAGTGAGTTCACCAGAGAAAACGTCCGCTTGAAAGTACCTTCACTGATCATCTATCTTCTCTTCTACAGTTTCGCATGAAAGCGTATGTCACACTTTCAGCCGCACCCAGCTGACATTGCCCCCCTTGCTACCCGAGCGCTTTTTTCCGATTCCGACCATCCTAAAGATTTGGACTAACAAGAGATGGATTATAGTGATGCCGGACTTGACCATGTCATGTTCACCGTCGGACTGATCGCCATTTTGCGTTCCAAGAAGCGCAATGCGACCATTGGAATCATGATCACCGCCAGTCACAACCCAGCTGAAGACAATGGTGTCAAGTTGGTTGATCCTATGGTATGTCGCCATTTACACAGAGAATGAGTGAAACAGAGGCTAACGAATAACTGCAGGGTGACATGCTTGAGGTATAACCAACCCAGCTCAGCCTTCCTTTGACCAAATCCACGTGACTAACATCTGAATACCATAGCAATCTTGGGAAGGCTTTGCTACCAGACTTGCCAACACTCCAAGCGACAAGATTCCAAAGGCCTATGAAGCTCTTGTCAACGAGACTTTGGTTGATGAGATCCGTCAACTTCAAGATCGTCCAGCCAAAGTTGTCTTCGCCCGAGATACCCGTGCCTCCGGTCCCTACCTTGTCACCGCACTAAAAGCCGCGTTGGATGCCGTGGGTGTTGCTTATGAGGACAAAGGAATCCTGACCACTCCCCAACTACATTACATTGTCCGATGCATCAACACCGAGGGAACTGTCTATGCATTTGGTGAGCCCACCGAAAAGGGTTACTACACCAAAATGGCAAACGCTTTCAAGACTTTGATGTATGGACGTACCATTCACGGTGCTATTACGGTTGATGCTGCCAATGGTGTTGGTGGTCCTAAATTGAGACAGTTGATCAGTTATCTTCCAACCGCTGCAGAAGGGGGCATCGACATCAAGGTCGTCAATGATGATGTGCTCAAGCCTGAGGCTCTCAACTTTGAGGTGAGGACTAATCTCTGTGTTCACGATCACCTCTTTACTGACCTGGATTGCGCAGTGTGGTGCCGACTATGTCAAGACCAAGCAACGAAGCCCTCCCAATCTGAACGCCAAGCCTGGTGACCGCTGCTGCTCTTTGGATGGTGATGCGGATCGCGTTGTCTACTATTACAACGATGAACAGAACGTTTTCCATCTGTTGGACGGTGATCGTATCGCGACCCTTGGTGCGGCTTTCTTGGCCGACATGACTCGGGTAGCTGGGATAGATTCCAAGCTCAAGATCGGCATTGTCCAGACTGCGTACGCCAACGGTGCATCGACTGAGTATGTGGAGAAGGTTCTCAAACTCCCAGTGACAGTCACTGCCACTGGTGTCAAACATCTTCATCATGCTGCGGCACGCTATGATATTGGTGTTTACTTTGAAGCCAACGGACACGGAACTGTTCTTTTCTCTGATAACGCCATCAAGATCATCCGCGAATCTGAACCCAAGTCTCCCGGGCAGAAACATGCTCTCGATTCTCTTCGGGCTTGCATCGACTTGATCAACCAAGCTGTTGGTGATGCCATCTCCGACATGTTGTTCGCTGAAATTGTCCTTGCCCACAAATCTTGGACTCCCGACAATTGGCGCAATACCTACATTGATCTTCCCAACCGTCTCGTTCGTGTCGAAGTTGCCGATCGTTCAATCTTCAAAACCACTGATGCTGAGCGAAGACTCACATCTCCCAAAGGCGCACAAGAGGAAATCGACAAATTGTGCAGCATGTATCAAAAGGGTCGTGCGTTCGCTCGTGCATCTGGTACGGAGGATGCGGTTCGGGTCTATGCCGAAGCACATTCGAAGATAGAATCTGAGAAACTTGCAGGGCAAGTCACCGAAGTCATTCGCAAGTATGGAAGTGGTACCTAGAAGGCGTTTCCTACATGGGCGACTGGCATGGAGAATTTCTTGCCTCGAAACTACTTTGGCATGTGACATGACTTGACGAACGGAAAACGACAAGGGAATGGAGGTGACCATCATCCTAAAGAACGAAATGGTATTCGCATAGCGCAATGGCGTTGAACTGGGTAGGATAGCATAGCACTTGAGCCATCACTGGAAAGGTGCATATCAGGAAAGGAATGGAAAGGAATACAAAAGTGATTTTGCTCTCATCTCAATCGAGGTGATTGCCATGAACAATGAAGATGTCATTGACAATCATAACTTCTCACAGCATTGATAAAGCTTAATAAGACCTCGTTCTTGACTTGAGAAGAGTCGTCCCTCACCTTTACCACATCTCCCCGTGCAATCCTACACATACATCATGCATCATGCCAGTCTTCGATTTGGGGAATTTCTCCAAATATTCCATCACTTTCTGCCTTGTAAGTTTACAGGGTCGTATCTCGGCTAGTTTAAGGTTCCAAGGTTCCTGAATGGTGGGCAGTCTCGTCGTATTTCGCCTCTATCACCAGGGAGCTATTTCTATCTCATCCAATCGATGCCAGGCCGAGGTCACCAAGGAAAACGCTCATGCAGATGTTGGCTTTTTAATGCCACCCATTGAGCCTAAGAACCAAGGTACGCGCAATTCCAACGAAGCTTACCCTTGCATCTCTTGCCACCGGTTACCTCGGGCCAGAGCATTTTAACTACGTCGTAAGTGCTAACCAACAACAAACGGGCTGTGATCGACACCCGCTGCATCATCATCAATCGGGCCTTATAAGTTTCTGTCCAAAGGACCTGCTTGAACAGGCAAGGCTCGTTGTTTGCCTACCCCCAAGCCACTCCACAACACCTCTACAACTCCAATGTCATCGTTGACCAGGCCCACAAAACATGATCAAGCTCCTCCAAGCCTTTCCAAGCATCTCAAGCAATCGCCTAATTGTGAGGGTACGAGGACGCACGATGCAACCTTCCTATCTTGATGCTTGTTGAGGACGTCATGCTTTGCATTTTGTTTCTCGATGGTCGTGTGAGCTTGTGACGAGCTCATACATATAGCCCTGGACGAAAAAAAATGTCGCCAGCATGTTGTTCAGGTTTTGGTTCTGCTCGCTTGAAATTTCAGAGAGCTAGGGATCTGGTCTAGATATCCTGCAAAATGCATTTCAAATCTGTTCTTGCGACGACGTGTCTCGTCACCAGTGTGCTTGCGCTTGAGAACCCTCACAAGCGTGCTCCCAAGAAAGTTCACACTGGTCGTCCTGCCCCAGCTCGTCGGTCTTTGGACAAGAGGCAGCAGTCGAGCTACCTGAACGATGACACCAAGAGTATGTCGATCAGGTTATGGAGAGACATAGGGATATTTGAGACTAACACATTATTCAGAGTTCGCTGTAAATGGCACAGGCGTTCCCATGGTGGACTTCGACATTGGCGAGTCCTACGCCGGAACTCTCCCCATCGATGGGAACAGCACCAACGAGAACCAGCTGTTCTTCTGGTTTTTCCCCTCCGACAACCCAGATGCCGGCGATGAGATCACCATCTGGCTCAACGGTGGGCCGGGATGTAGTTCTCTCGATGGCCTGCTCCAGGAACACGGGCCGTTCCTCTGGCAGAGCGGCACCTACGCGCCACAGCCCAACCCATTCTCCTTCGTCAATCTCACCAACATGGTGTACGTTGACCAGCCGATCGGCACGGGTTTCTCACCTGCCGCTGAAGGTGCACCGGCCAACATCACAGATGAAGTCGATGTCGGCAGAGACTTCTCTGGCTTCTGGAAAAACTTCATGACTACCTTCAACATGACCGGACGCAAGGTCTACCTTACAGGAGAGTCATACGCCGGACAATATATCCCATACATTGCAAGCTACATGCTCGACCAGAATAACGCCGACTATTACAATGTCAAGGGCATTCAGATCAACGACCCTAGCATTGCAGAGGACTCGGTTCTAATTCAAGGTTTGTGAATACCTTTTCGCTTAAACAGCAAGAGAGGTTGATTAGGACCACTAGCACCCGCCGTCACGCATCTGAACAATTACGCCAACATCTTCGCCCTCAACGAGTCTTTCATGAGCGACATCAACGAGCGGGCCCAGAAATGTGGCTATCTCGACTTCATGGAGAAAGCATTGACCTTCCCTCCTGCGGGCAAATTCATCGCTCCAAACGATAGCGCTCCAGGTAAGTACAATTCTTACAGCACCACTATCAACAAATGGACTCTGCTAACAATGTCCCACGCAGGCTGTGACGTTTGGGACGACATCATCACCGCCGAGCTACTGATCAACCCGTGCTTCAACTTCTACCACCTGACAGACTTCTGCCCCTTCCTATGGGATGAGCTAGGTTTCCCATCTCTCGCAACCGTAAGTATCCATTCACTTTCCCCCTGCCAAATCCATCCCATCCCTTTACTCACCTCATCATCCAAACAGGGGCCCAACAACTACTTCAACCGCAGCGACGTGCAAAAAGCGATCAACGCACCACCGACCAACTACGCGATCTGCGGCGACGACACACTGTTCCCGGACGGCGACCTGTCGGAACCCTCGTCCTACACGGCGCTCCCCTCCGTCATCGAACGCACCAACAACGTCATCGTCGGCAGCGGCCTGCTCGACTACCTGCTGCTGACCAACGGAACGCTCATGGCCCTCAACAACATGACCTGGAACGGCAAGCAGGGCTTCTCGTCCGCGCCCTCCGACAAGTTCTTCGTCCCCTACAATCCCTGGATCTACCAGGTCATCAACGAGACCGAGAACCAGCCCATCCCTGCCACGCCCGTCGGTCTGCAGGCCGGTGCGGGATATATGGGCGTCACGCATACAGAACGCGGCTTGACCTGGGTGACTGTTGATCTGGCCGGTCATGAGATTCCCCAGTATGCTCCTGGCGCGAGTTATCGACAACTGGAGTTCCTTCTGGGTAGGATTGGAAGTCTCACTGAGATGGGCGACTTCACGACGCTGAATGATAGTTATGTCGGGAATGCTAGGAGACTGTAAATGGGTTGGTGGACCATGAGAGCTGATGACAGCCCTCTTACAAACTGGGAGAAAAGCCCAGATTCTAATCAGTAATGAGAATGATGATAATTCAAGCCCGACCATCCAGATTCCTTTTCCTCGCCATTACCTTGGATCATAAATGATGGTGTTCCATCCGTTCTAGACTGTCCTTGGCCGCTCCGTAGTCAAAGCGCCCACGATGATCCCGGCAGTTTATCGTCAATTGCATTATATCTTGTACAATGATGTTAGCATCTAGCTACTTACCAGGCAAATTAAACGGCCGTCTCAAATACCCGGTAACAAACCCCTCAGGGTCATAGGCTTCCCTGAGCCTTCTCAACCCATCCAACCGGCCGTTGTGCCGTAGTATCTCGAAAACATCCTGCCCGGCCGCCGCATAATTGATATACTTGAAGTCATGCAACTGACCACTCTCACGTGCTAGCCTCTCGAACGCTAGCAAGAGCGACTGAACTAATGTCTCATACAACCCATCGAGCCTCAACATAGCCCAACGTGCTTCCACGGAAATTACTGTTTGGAGACGGCTAGATTAATACCAATGTCACGAAAAGAACGGCGATCCGGTGGGAATGGACCTACAAATCAGCGACTCCATCTCGTCCTCGAGCCCAAGCATATTCCCCTTCCCAGTCTCTCTGGAGCGCTGGAGATGCGGCAACGTAAGCGGCTGCACGAGCATTCCAGCTCGGTAGAATTGATCGCGCACATGCGCGTATGTGTCACGGGCGGCAAATTCCGCAAATATACGTGCGAGTCCAGCGAGAAGCGTCGCGTCATTAGTGATCGTCAATGTCGCCTTATGCTGTCGATATCCGTGTGGATTGTTCACGTCGAGGATCCGTGCGAGTTGGGCGTTTGTGATGCGCTGCCGGGAGTAGTGGACCTTGGGGATTGAGTGGAAGTGAGATAATGCTGGGCTGGCTGTAATGTTCGTGCTGCTTAGCATTGCGACGAGGATGTTCTCTTGAGTTGTGGGATCGTAGGAGACGGAGAGGTCTGCGGATGCGGTCTTGTCGCTGGCGGCATTTTTGTTGAAGTGTTCTAAGGCTGATAGGACGGTGTTTAGGTACTGCCAGTTGTAGGCAATGAATGCCATCTCGAGCGGTACGGCTGGATAGGTTTTTAGTTTGAAGCTCGTTGCTATCCCGTAGACACTCGCTGTCCCTTTCATAGCGGCGGATAGTCGACTATGATGTGTGGTGTTTGCTTCCACAAGAGATCCATTGCCGATAATAACCTCGACCGACTCAATCGAGTCGCATGCCCAGCCATACTGTCCCGACGAGATAGAGATTCCTCCGCCTAGCAGAAAGCCACCCACACCAACTGAACCCGCTCGTGCACCGTTCACCGATATACTTAAATCCTCCCTCTCGAGAAACTCGTAGACATCCAACCATCGCATTCCAGTGCCAACATGCAGATTACACCCATCCGGCGACAGTGCAATGCCATCCAGCAACGAGAGATCAAGGGTGACGCCATCATTGATATTCGAGGCGCCCATGATAGATGAATGGCCACCACTCTCGACAGCGAATCGCATTTTCTCATCGTTCAAGGCCCGGACCGCGGCTGCGGCTTCCGTGCTCGTTCTCGGCATGATCCGACAGTATGGCTTTAAGTCGATCTGGTTAGAAGCCCAGTATTCCTGGAGGCGGGTTCTGTAGAGAGCGTCATCGGGTAGCTGGACGATTCCTCCTAATGTGGCCTTGAGATTGAGACATTGCGTTGTCGGGCTAAGCACTGCTTGTGCCTCAGAATTGGTGCTATCAGTGAACATATGCTGGCCAATAGGTCCTGGATGTGTATCTGCCTTTGCTGAAGTAAGGCTGTTGAGGCCAAAGCTACATATCTCGAGGGCGATAGCAAACTTCATTACGCTTTTGCATGTGGTTTTGTCATTGTTGGGAGAGAAGATGTTGATGGTCGACTGGCTTATCTGTGAGTGAGTGTGTGGAGGTACTGCCGATCACAACTCAATTCTGACACCGTCATAATAAGCGATCTTTGACCAAGCTATTCTCTCACCAATTGAATCATATCTAGGTATGAGGTGTTCAGTATCCTACTGCCACAAGCCGATGTGTACACGTCCATGGTGGCTGAACTTTGCAGATCTCGACCAGCGCTGTGCAAGACCCAGACTCTTAGAAGACCACCTCCTGAATTTGGATAAATGTAACTCACCAGACTCCAGGCCGAAAGAGAATGTACCTTCACAGAAAGCTGTCTCTGCTAAGCGATATTCTAGAGGGAGCCAGAGGTAATTGCGGCCATTGCGTTGGATCCAGCCTTTCCTGATGAGGGTCGATTTCCGAACAAATGGAGTTAATGTTGCACGTATTCTAGTCTCGGCACGAACACCAGGAGCCCCAATGTTCGTGACCATAGTTTTCGAGTCAACTGTGAATCTGATAGATCTGATTTCTGAGCATTCGAACCTGTCCGGAGCTTTGATTGTTTCCATTTGACCCGTGGTCAAATCCCATAACCCAATTGTGGCGCCTTCTGATCCGTACGCTATCATAGATCCGTCAGGCGAAAATGCGGCCGCGCTAATGGAGTCTTGACCAGGGACCGTCAAACAGCGTATCCTTTGGCTCGTCTTCAGGTCCCATAATGTAATTGTACCATTGATCGATCCAACTGCTACTCGCGATTCGTCAAAGGATAATGCCACCGTTCGCGCCGATTTAGCCAGCAGATATTGACTTTGTGCATTGAGACCTGTGGCATTGTTTCGAAGCGTAACAACCCCAAGGTCCTCTAAACACAGCAATAATGATCCGTTCTGCGAAAACACCAATGTTTCGGGGTGGCTTGCCTGTAACTGCAGTAGGTCTCTGGCCTCAATAGAATTCCACAATTCAATCGCACGTTTCGCGACCTTCGATTTTACCGAGGAGCCAGTGCACAGCGCAATCGTCTCAATATTCACAGAAAATGCTAAATTTGAACCGTTAGGAGAGAAGGCTAGCGGTAGTATGGAACCTAGATGGTCACCATGGGTCTCAGTTTTGAGAACTTCTGCCCCTTCTTTGGGATCCCAAAGACGAATTATGCGATCGCTTGACACGGACGCGACGACAGAGCCGTCCTCGGAAGCAACTAGTCTTGACACCTATGTTGACTCCCCATCTGTTGCTTGTGCTGAATAACCTGCAGTCAAGTCCCATACAGTGATCGTCTGACCCTTTTTGTTGTATGCGAGGGATACGTCGTCAGGGGATTTTGCAATGCAATCCACATTGCCAGTGTATCCCGAAAGTGCCTGGACTTTCTCGCCAGTAGTCGCATCCCGCATTCCAGTAGTCTCTCCATCAACGCCAGATGCGAGTCGTGATCCCTGTCGGTAAAATCTCAATACGCCGACGAAGTACTTGCAAACGCTGAATTCGCGAATCATTTGACCTCTACCAAGATTTCAAATTTCGATGGCGCCGTTTACTGTGCCCAATGCGAGTCGTAAAGCGTCGTGGGAAACTGCCAAAGATCTGAAGCTCGGAGAGGCAGGGTGGTCTCCAGCCGGTTCCAGGTGATGTTTTGGCGGTGCTCCCTGCGAGTGGGGAAATCTCAGCCTTTTGAATGCGGTATAAGGGATCACATCAACTACCCATGATACGATACACGCGATTTCTATCTACTGTGCAAAGGAGTCAGCTGCTATTGATTCTGATTCCGACTCAGTAAATGACAAACTTTATATCAGCTCCAGTTGAAAGTAGTGTCATTGGTTTGCTGAACAGAACGCATAATATCAAGAAGACGAGCAAAAATATGAGTAGACAAATTTCACTTGGTTTACTATAGTTGCTAGGTAAAAGGTCCACAACATCAAAGAGCATACGTGGTCAGCGACTTGGCTCAAGGGTGAGATTGCAGTCGTTTAAAAGACCACATAGCTAGTTATCAATTGATACACGACAGATTGAATGCGTTCCTAGTCATCACTCCAGCTCCGATAGGTCCTGGTTCCGGGAGATAAATAGAAGTTGATGCTGAACTAAACCAGTCAGACATCGATCAAAGTATCTCTAAGAAACGACTGTGAGTGTGAGTGGGAGGAGATGCCGCCCTGGAATTCCATGGCAGAAGGCGCTGGGGTAGGCTCCCAGTTCCAGTCCGCCCATGAGAAAGCCGAGGGCCCTCCCAGCCACTGTTCGGACGGGAGTTGCACGAGATTTTGCAGCTCTGGTGGACAAGGGCCGTAAAAGGAGGAGTTGTTGTGGAAGGCCAGTGATGGTGAATTGGAAGCCACCGGAGAAGTTGTGGTGTCGTATACTGAAGTAGTCTCGGTCACGGAAGGCAACGCAACAAAGCCGTTGTTCGAGACAGTCAAACCGGTTTGTTGCGGATGAGGCCTTGCTTGTTGAAAACTGCTGTCAGATGATGAACACGTCAAGTTTGAGAGTAGTCGATGGAGTATTGAAGCTGCTCTGGCGCAGATTTCGCTTCTCGCCGCCATGCTTTCGAAACGCACAAGACAATCCTGCAGGGCAGTGAGGCTGATCGAGTAGTCTGAGGGGTGATCCTCGTTGAAGGAGGTTACCAAGAGCACCACGAGCGTCGAGGCTGCGAGAAATGTATGGAAGCTGCCAATTCCGTAAATATACCAGCGATAAGGTCGGAAGAGGTCGATTTCGAAGAGCTGCTTGTGATTATCCAAGATCATCATAGCGGCGATCCGGCAAATGCGCCTGCTATTCACGACTGTGTTGCTGGACATCGGGGCACTGTTGGAGGCGCTTGGTTGGTGTTGAAGATAGGGGCGATGAAGAACAAGCCGCAAGTGGTTTGTGTAGTTTTTAAGAATGATGTAGTGTGCTAGATGGTAAACTGGAAGGTCTTGATGGCGCGCAAACCTGACCGAATGCTCCTCCTCCTCCATGTCAATTCTGTGGTTAAAAGTGGTGACCTTGTTGAGATCAGCATCTCCCTGTGCATACACACAAACCTCGGCAGCAATTTGGTAGAGCTTGAATTTGTATAGTAGGTAAGACATTTTTGTCGGCGCATTATCCGCCTTCCCTTCCTGGATGATAATGTTACTACCCTGTTCAATGAGCTGCTCATCATCTATGTCCGCTGGCAAATTGACTGTGGCAATAATCTTCTGTGGCGCAATATTGCCAAGACACGTGTTTTGTATTGTGTACAGCAACATGAGCGCGGCCCAGCATCGTCGTCGCTCCTCGCTCAGTACCGGAGCGAGGTCGAGATGCGATGGCTCAACATGAAGGCCAATAGAAAACCCAATATTGAGTGTGGCTCCTAATAGTGCCCACGACGACCCGTGAGCATGATTGATGGCGTAGATGAGTAGAACCAAGGCCTGCATGGTATGCAGGTTATGTTGCCAAAGAAATTGATCTGCTGATAAGCATCTCATGGCAGCAGATCTATATCTCCCGGCTAGACTTCTGATGTTTGCGGCGGCACTTGATTCCCGCCCTAAATCTGCCAGGAGCGGATGGCCTTCATCAAACGCGGTGACGGCGATAGAGAGAATGACAAAAATCAGGGCGAGAAACGACAACGATACATCTGATGGGTTCTGGCGGAACTTGGCGTAATGTGCATGGAACGTCGGGTCGTGCAAGACGTGAAAAAGCTGTGGGAATTCCGTCAGCAAACATGCATCTCACTGAGAAAGGGGTTGTAATCACCGGGGAGAAGACTTGGAAGAAAACCGACTTGAGCTCCTCACACTGGCGAGTTGGGGGCAGAGTATCTAGTAGAGATTGTCGCGAGCATGAGCTACCTGCAAAGAAAGGAAAGTCGGAGCCCATGGCAAAGCTCGAGTCAGATTGGAGCAGTTCATTTACAGCAGCAGCATCAGAGCAAGCAACCCCTGGCACGAAGCGCTGGTAGCCTCTCGGCGATGTGATAATTGTGCCTCTGATTTTCGGAGGAGGAAATGCTGCTGGCTGTAGATTTGGCTCTGTGAAAGGAGAAGAGCTGGACATGGATAGCCGATCATGGGAGGCCGAAGTGGTCGATTCCCGAGGAGTGACCCGTTGGCTGGAGGTATCCTCAATGTGCTGCTCGAGTAGGGACTCAACTCGCATCAATCTCTGGAGTAGCGCTTCGGCATTTAAGCCACGTGGGCTGCTAGTGGCGAGCGGAATGGCCTGGCGAATGTAGAGGCAAGTGTGTCCATAGCCACGGCGAACGCAAGTATCACATGGGTTCTTCTTGCCATCGCACTTGATTTTCCTCTTGCGACAATTTTCGCAACTTAGTGGCTGCCGTTTAGATGTCTGCGTTGGCATCCTGTGAGAGTGGTGAAAATGTGTTGATTCGGTGCGTTGTGGGCAGCGACAAGCAAAAGATAGTCACCAAGTGGCTTGGACCAACTCGACCAAGCTGAAGCTGAAGCTGAAGCTGAAGCTGAAGCTGAAGCTGAAGCTGAATCTTGGAGTGATTCTGTTAAGTAGCATATGCTCTGATGTTCAAGACTTTTTAGAAGGAAGGAAACCATTTAGACGGTGATTGTTCAGTAGTTGGTGTCGGTGGAGGGGAAGTGAAGTGGCATCACGAGTCAATGACGAACGTCGTTCGTGTGAGGCACCTTAGACACCAACTTGAACAAGCGCTGGTGGTCCTTGGGGATAGGTCGCTGGGTACCTAGGAAGGGCGGGAAGGGTGTCTGCTTAAGCGCGTATTTACTTTAGATAGGCTAGGTACCTTGGTACCGATAGATGCCTACTGCCCTAGGTACCTACTTAGGTACCTACTTACGTAGGTACTCGTGGTGCTGCTCCTCCCCACGATAGCCCCTCGGGCCAAGGTCACCCCAAACTGACGCTGCGGGGTACCAGGAGAATCGAGATACTCACGCGAATTCGTCCCCGCACCCGCACCCACCCCGCACCCCCGACTTTTTCAACTGTCAGTGGGCTACATAAGTACCTACCTACTCATCCAGCCTATGCAAGCACAAACTTGGCTATTTCTGAACAGACCCTCTCAGTGTCCTCAAATAAATGCCAATGACCAACGTCCTGCAGAACAACGACATCCTCACACGTTTTGATCTTGCTTTGCATACTCTTGCAAAGGTCAGGCGGTGAGACCTTGTCTTCCGAGCCCGTGATGATGAGTGTGCGGCATGTTAGCGATGAAATGTCCAAGGTGGTGGCGCTGGAGTTGGCAAGAGCCATACATGCTTTTGCATATCCTTCGGCGTCTTGACTCAATAGTGACACTCGAGTTGCAGCAATTGCCAGTGGATTGGCTTTCTTACTGTGTTCAGACGTCCCAGCCGCCACCACTGCATCCACAACCCCAAGCATGCCCTTTTGTCGGACGGCAGCTGCTCGTGCAACAGAGGCGTCGGCTCCTGCTTGAGGCAATGGTGATGGTGGAGGGCCCATGAGCACCAGATTCTTCACAAGCTCGGGATGATCGAGAGCAAATTTGATGGCCACCAAACAACCCATCGAATGAGCAATTAGAATCAATCCTGAGGCAGGGTTGATTCCTGCTTGCTGGCAGAGTGAGTGGGCATCCGCGGCCAAGGATGATATACTGAGTATGCTTGTAGCCTTGCTCGGTGATAAGCCATGGCCTTCAAAGTCCGACATGTGCAACTCCCGTGACTCCCCGAGCGTGCTGAAAAGAGGGCTGAAGTAGTCAGACGTGCCTCCGAGCCCATGGATGAAGTACAGAGGTTGTGAGTCGGACTCGGCCCCTTTCTTCTGGTAGAATAATTGTTTATCTGCCACCGAGGTAAGCCCGGCGCCGTTCACAGCCTTTTCATTGGCCACAGGTATCGCAGATGCTGCCAGGATTTGCTGGAAGGTAGTATTCTTCGACTCCATACTTGCGATCCTGTTGGTCAATGTTCCGAGACCGGTCACAGAGACCTTGACCTCGTCTCCTGGGTGAAGCCAGACTTTAGGGGTAAACCCAAAGCCGACCCCAGCTGGTGTTCCTGTCGCCAAGGTATCCCCGGCCTGTAATGTCGCCCCAGCAGAAAGTGTTGCGACAAGAGTTGGAAGGCTAAAGATGAGATCTTCGGTATTCGCGTCTTGTCGCTTTTCCCCATTGACGTACGTCATAACTCGCAGCGTGCGTGGGAGGTGCTCTTTTGGAACCGCAATGGGTCCCATGGGGCAGAAAGTATCCGGCGATTTTCCGATGTAGAACTGCTTGTGATCCCTCTGCCTTTCTCTCGCAGTCATGTCATTGATGATGGTGAATCCCCAAATGTAATCCCAGGCATTTCCTTCAGGTACTTGAAATCCAGGCTTTTTGATGATGACACCGATCTCCCCTTCATAGTCAACAGTCTCGGTAAACCTTGGGTGTGGGAAGATGTCATCGCCATCAGCAATGATTGAAGTCGAGCGTTTGGTGAAGATAACGGGATGCGTAGGCATGTCCATTTTATCCGAGCTATCATACCTATTCAACCAAATTAGTGGCCGCTGGTGGGTGACGCATTCACCTGTTCTTACCCTGACGCATTGAATTCTTTTGCGTGAGCCTACATGATATTAGCTTGCCGCGAAGAGCACGGAAAACATATCGAGCGCGACTTACTGCATAGTTCTTGCCAACTGCTAAAATGTCCCTCCCCGAAATGGGTGCCAAAAGCTTGACGTCAGATCGAGGAAAAGGCTGGCCCGAGGGAACGATTGCGTCTTCACCAATCTCAATCACTTCGTAGAGGTTCTTGAGAGGTGTTCCAGAAGCGTACGATAGAGGAGTGATCTGGTTGGTGTTCAGATCTAGATGTCCGATCCGGGACTGCTGCGTTCCTGGTAGAAAGTACGCCGCATAGTTTGTCAGTCCGGTCGGTGACGATGTGCCATTCTCAACAGTGTGGCTCCCCATTCTCCAGGAGCGAAGCCTTCAATCCTGCTTGTAGGTGATGCAAGGAAATGAATATCAAGTTCTAATGTCAGCTAGCTATTGAGGAGTCGAACAATTAAAATCGAACATGACAGAGAGAGAATGATGGGGCTAGCAATTAGAGAAGCCGTCTTAAGAGAGACGCGACGTGATAAGGGCTGATAGTAAGAACGATGCCATGCCGAAGAAAACGCGAAGCATTGCACGATGATTGTTGATAACTGAAGGGGATTTCTACTTTCTGGATTGATCGACGCCATGCAGTGATGTTTGCAATCACATCACCCGAATGGATGTGAGAAATCGGCAAGAGGGCCGAGTGCCCCGGACTCGGCTTCACCGTCTTCCTCCGCTCTTTGCCGCTCTCCACCGCTCTTCCGCGCCCATGTCCGTCCTGTTGCTTGATGTGTACGACTAGCATCATTTGCGTTCTAGTCTTCCTCACTAGCTACGCCCTCGATACTCCCCCTGGTGCAGCTGGCCTCGAACTCAAGCTTGAGCTAATGTACCCCGTACTGGGGACCTGGGGTGGAGTTGTTTGAACTTGTATCTGCCATACCGACTGTCATGGATACTCTCCTGACCGGTGGATTGCAGGGGCTGGCTGCTCTCTCTATTTTATCTTGTTGTCTCCCGCGTGCTTTCGGCTTCAGGGGAATCTTTTCTGTCCATTGCCTTACAGATTCCAAATCTCTTGCCTCCGTGCTCAGTATTTCCACCCATCAGGTCATTCACCATGTCCGATCAATTTGACCGAGCAGATCGATTGGAGAAACACGCGGCGTCCAACAGTGAAAACAACGGACAGGCTCATCTAGAGCGGTTGCGGACTAAGGGAGGTCACGATGACGACCGAACCCAGCCTTCGCTACCTGTTGTGCATCGCAGCTTTGCCAATCCTGCACCTCTGGGTCTACTCTCCTTTGCGACTGGTGAGTTCTTGGACGAGTCTCTGGGTTCAAGCACACCAGACTGATCAAACCCACAGGTATATTCTTGATATCCATGTATGGTGTCCAAGCTCGCGGAATCGCGACACCAAACGTCCTGGTCGGGGTCCTGATGTTTTTTGGCGGAGTCTGTCAATTCATCTCGGGCATAATGGAATTTGTAGCAGGCAACACGGTATGTCATGCACCAGCCTGGAAGCTGGGTACACCGCATCTGACATTTAAATTTAGTTTGGTGCCACGGTCTTTCCTTCCTACGCCGCCTTCAATCTATCTTACGCCATGATCTATATCCCAGGCACCGGTATACTTTCATCCTACACAGACGAGTCTGGCCAGCTTAATGCCCAATTTCCACAGGCCTTGGCTATGTATGTTTGGGCATGGTTTATTCTTACTGCCATCTTCACCGTCGCTGCCATGCGATCCTCCTGGGTTCTCTTTCTTGATCTTTTCTTCCTGGATATTGAGCTTCTCCTCCTCGCCTGCGGGTATATGACCGGCATGGAGTCATTGCTCAAGGCAGGTAACTCGATTGGTTTCATTGTGGCCTTCCTATCCTGTGAGTGATCATAGTATTTTGGTGTTATACGTCGCTAACTCGTGTGACATAGATTGGGCCGGTTGTGCTGGATTGTGGGCTGGAGGTTTGACTCCATTAGATATACCCACGTTTGCGATGTATAAAGCGAAGGAATGAAGCAGACATGCCAGAATGTCCAAAAGTCTTGATGTCGAGGCTGATAGAAGAGTGCGGAGGAGCAAGGGGAGAAAGGAAATGTCCTTGCTTGCGAGCACAAGACCATAGTAACCACGTGTGTCACAAGACATAGTGAGGCCTTGGAGTTTGACTACCAGCAAATGAGCATTCCCATTCCACGAGACTCCTTTGTCAGTCTGCATGTAATAGTTTAAACATCTTCGCATCTTTGAACCCCATTTCTAAGAACGAAAGGTATAAAACTCTTTTCAAAAGTCTCTAGATCTATCACCAGTCATCGTCTCCTAGTCGAGAGAGCCCAACATAACGTACCGGCTCGGCAAATCTATTCTTGACGCCACTAGTGCGTCCAACTCGGAGTGGACGTCCATACTGTTCCATGTCGCCTTTCCCGTGAAATCGCCAAAATTGCCACGAGCAATCTTCCGCAGCGAAGCTCAATATGACTTGCTCGCCTCCTGGATGTTCATGGATGAAATCTGTGCAGTCATAGACTAAATCGTCCACTACTATCCAGATCTCACGGCTTGATTGCTTGAGCCCGTCTTCTATGCCCGTCGATGCAGAAAGGGATGAGTCGCCAGAAGCTGTTGTTCTCCTGCCCAAAACCTGGGCTGCAGGAATGAATGGCAAATCTTTGTCAGGCACTGTTTCGGGAACACGGGGATAAGGCTTTGTGATTGCCTTCAGCGGGCGTCTAGATACTTCTGGAGATTGTGCGTGTTGAGAACAAACCCATCTGACGTTCTCTGCGTGCTCAAAAGTCCCTTTATTGGGAACTTCTTGACCGGAGGGATTTTCCTGCGTGTATGTTTGTCGAGCTAGCTTCAGCCACCCCATGCCTTATTTCTCTGAAGTTTGAGACGATATGAATTCTCTTGACAGGAAGGATCTTTGCTTGATGCTGCTGGGGAGGATATGGTAGTCTCCAGAGGCGCTTCAGAAGCGTTGTTGGCACAAACGAGAACAGGGCTGAGGACCTAACTGCCGCGCAGTTAATACCTTGGGCACGTGCAAGAGCTATAGTCTTAATTTGAAGTCTGTTCAGCTGATCGAATGGATGATGTGCCAGTATGCCACCGCATTTCATCTCATCCGAGTCACGTCAGGGTTGCCATGAAAACAAGTAATGACGGACTTTTGCGGAGAAAGACGGCTCTGAGGCCACCAACTGTCCTCCGCAAACATGCTTTAAATTTCCGCCACTCCATCCCGAACTTCAAGGCGGGGAGATCTAAGCTGGATCGAGAATCATGCATTGTTCTCCACCTGGAACCATGCAATGATCTAGACTAGCTGTGGAATCAATGCTCGTGCAGCATCATCGTAACGTGTACATCTTCCTTCATGTACCCTTCAGCATGCGATACGAGCATATATCTGGAGGTTCCAGAGAAAGAGGAGTCGTGCTTTTAAGAGCTGCCATCTCCATCACCCACGACATACTAAGTGCTTATCCATCATTCTGCTTCCTTTCTCTCAGTCTTTGGGCGTACAGTTATTGACCTAGTCAATTTACCACCGCGACCCCGTAAATACTATCCTAAGCCTGGAGATGGCGCCCGCTCGAATCATGGAGTCCTCGGAGTCCTGGACCTCTCCAGCAGCATCATTCGAATCCTATGATGGTCCGCCACGGAACATCGCAAGCATTGATGCTGTCAACTTTCCATCAGATCTTCAACCGAAGCAGTACGACATCCTCGGCACTCACATGGACTCCAAGATTCTGTTTCTGGACGTAAACATCCTCGAGGCAACCGGAAAACTGCCATATCGTGGTGACGTCTACATTGAAGGTGAGTGGGACAATCCCAACTTAGTCGTTATTTCAACTACAGCACGCGCCCACGGAAGATGATCACAAGTTCTAATTTTTCCGCCAAGGAAAACGCATCAAGTTCGTTGGCGAAGTCCCCATCAAGGACGAGCTGGTGAAGAACCCAAAGGTCCGGATTTTTCACGGGCGAGGGAGGACCCTCATGCCAGGTCTCGGCGATGCACATACACACTTTACGTGGAATGGAGGTGACTTAAACCGACTGGGCGATCTCGAAGTTGAGGAGCATGTACTTCTAACTGCGCGGAGCGCCCAGTGCTATATTGACTCTGGCTATACAATGTAAGTCGAGCTAAACCGACTATGACGGGACTCCTTTTAGTCTTGTGATCTGTACCGAGGTAGGCTTGGCTAATATATCTTCCAAAATAGGTGTTTCGGTGCGGCATCAGCTAAAGAACGGCTGGACGTCGTGATCCGCAACGCAATCAACGCAGGCGACATCCCTGGACCGCGCTACCTGGCCAATGGCAAAGAAATGGCCCGCCGTAACGGTGACCTGGTCGCCGGAATCACGGCGTTTGCTGACGGACCTGATGAGATGAGAGAGGTGATCCGGCATCATGTCAAACTCGATGTCGATAATATTAAGCTGTCCATGTCTGGAGAAGAGGTTTGTCTGCAACAACAGTTCCTTTGGCTTCATCCTTTCTGCAAGATGGGCAGAGCGCAATCCTCCTCTAACCATTAGATTTCTCATAGATTACCGAGATTCGCTCGGCCCAAGACTGCTACTTTACGGATGAAGAAACGGCGGCATGCGTTGACGAGGGTCATAAGCTCGGAAAGAGACTATGTGCGCATGCACGCGCTCGAGACTCGGTGAAGATGTGTATCAAGGTCAGTCGATCCTCTCGACACTGTGACCCTGCCTACTTGTAATAGACCACGAAGTCTTTCCTTGCACAGTAGTATCTTGCCCCTTCCACCACGACCAATACCCTGGCAAACTAGACGTAAGACTTACTTCTATCACTACAGCACGGAGTTGACGTAATTTACCATGCCTCGTATATCGATGAAGAGGGAATGGACATGCTCGAAGCCGCGAAGACGCGGCACATTGTCGCGCCAGGCATCAACTGGCTGGTTGCCACTTTAAACGAAGCTGCCGCATTCGGCTACACACATGAGAAAGCTGAGCAGGTAGGGTACAAAAAGGAGCTTGAGGCCGCTATCCGCGGACTCCGAGAAATGCACAGACGTGGCATTGTTGTGCTGCCTGGCGGGTGAGTCTCCAGCCTCTGTTCCGGCCTGGTATGGTCGACGACCTATCATGCAAAACCAAGTTACCCCTCCAAGGCATATGGACTAATTCCTCTCTCACAGAGACTACGGCTTTGCATGGACACCTCACGGCACATACGCGCGCGATCTCGTGCACTTCCAAAAGCTGCTAGGCTTTACAGCACACGAAGCCATCATCTCGGCGACCTATGGTGTGGCCAAACTGTTTATGCAATCCCACGAGATGGGCCAGCTGAAACCGGGGAACCTCGCCGACTGTATCCTTGTCGATGGGCGGCCCCTGGACGACTTGGCTGTGTTGCAAGACCACGACAAGTTGAACGTCATCATCATCAACGGCCGTGTCCACAAGGCGGGTCGCAAGGAGTATATCGCACCACCCATTGCTGGGCAGGACGCAAACCAGCATCCCATTGTACCTGACTTCCCAGAGGTGAAGAAGGAGATGCAGAAACAGTATTGATCGAGCTGTGGAATGGTTGAGCGAAGATGTCTGTGGTAAATCTAAAAGTGTGTCTGTTTTGCGGCCTGACTGTTATCGGTCGTTGCTTGTCTTCATGTACGAGGTAGGCAGTATTGATACATCCTAGCAGGGGTGGCACCTTGTATGACTGATAATTCTTTCTCAGACTCAGAGACATTAGGTGGGTGGAACTGGGGGAACTATGCCTTTGACCTTTCGCCGACGGTTCTTTGTGCGCAGCATAGTCTTTGTTCGATTCTTCGTGAAGGTTAAAGCGAGTCTCTCATTCCGTGTCAATTCCAGTGACAGGCTTATGCAATCCTTATCGGTTGGTTGAGCTCCTTTAGGTTGCCCAGCAACATCAGCTCTATTAAGAATGTAGATTCAGAACCAGAGATCAAGGTCATTTCTCGATCTCATGAAACGGGAAGTCAAGGCCTCGTGAACAATGCAAGAAGCTATTGTACAAGTAAGTATGCCTCTTTGCCTGCACTCGCTATACGACTGGACTTTCCTCTTTCCATAGTGTGTTTCAGTGCCCCTCACCAGGATTACGATATCTCAGATCTTAGTAGCATTATGAGCAGATGTAGATTAGAATTGCTATCTACAGGGCTTCGACTAACCGCACGACATCCACAACCATTGAAACACTGGGCAGCTGTCCGGAAAGTAAGGTATGCAAGTACCAGCTCTGGAAGTTCTATTTGTTTAATGCGAGAAATCTCAGCCTTTGCGAGGGAGAAATTTAGAGGTTACTGGGAATATTTCTAACAAAGCTGCTACAGAAAGGCTGCATTCTGATGAGTTTGCAATTCATTTGATTCATGCTCTTTCTGCTCTATTGTGGAGAAGAAAGACGTTTGACTGACTCTGTAGACTGACTGTGTAGACTGACTCTGTACATAATGAAGCATTGATTCGTTTCAATGACACATGACTTTGATGAGCACCCATAGTCCTACAGTTGATTCATCATTCAAACACTGGTGCTTTGATATCATATCATGCCACAATTTCCAACTTACCAGACCCAGAATTGGAGTTTCCAAGACTTCAACTGCCTACAATCTCCATGAAGAGTAGAGTACATCAGAAGCCGGGAGGACACATCCATTCAGAATAACCCGCGCCTTGACGAGGAGCATAGTGCCCACGATGGCTGACTCTAGGGACAAACACATCTCTCCACCATATATCAAACTCGATACCCAACGTAGCACACTCAAACTCTTGTCTCAATAGTCTCTGTGTCTCGGCAGGCGAGTCCGAAGCCTGAAACAAGTCGAAAACAGTGTAGCAATGCTGATGGCCGTCCGCAAACGGAATATCAATGCTTTCAACCTCCTAAGTTGTCTTACACTTCTTGCCTGGCGCATAATAGATATCTTCGACGAGATCCAGTCTCTTCAAATTCATGAATGCCATCTCCTGTCTGCGAGGACCAAGGATGCACTCAACGAGTTCTGATCGGTAGGCGGGCAGCGCCACTCGCTGCACTTGCTCTCGGTTGATGATCAATGCCAATACCTCCAGTTGGGTCGGTAGTACACCTGCAAAGGCTCCAGTTCCGCGGAAAAGGCCCGTGAGAGGAAGAGGGAATCGGGGACAGACGTGGATGCCAATAAACAGAGCTGGGTCGATTGACAGGCGCTTCAAGTTTGAGAAGTCGTGGAGATGGCGAATCAAACCGGGAAATGAGTTTGGAATCAGAACATTTGGATGATCTTCAGGTACGTGTGTCAGATACAACTCGACCAGTGTGTCTTTGAGTGGCAGTAAGACGTCTGGAAATCTGGCGAAGTCGAAGCGGTCGTTTGGGTCGGGGTTCACTATGCCGGGGAATTTCAGATCATGATCGAACCACAACTTCTTTGCATTCCTCCAGACGTTGAATAAGGCCCAGAGCACAGACATTCTGCCACTCACGTTGTGCAATGCCAATGTTTCAAGCGCCGGAAAGTTCAGTGCGTTTCCAATGGAGACGACACGGAGATCAAGGTCATGCGTGGTCCACTGGCGTAGATTGATGTTTGTGAGGCTCAAATGGCGAAGTTTTGCATGGCGGATGTGGCTCAATGTCTGACAGACCTTCTTCCGAGTGAGACTGTACCTATCCTCATACAATCGTAGGGTCAAGAGCCCCACGGGGAGTATCAAGGCGTCGAAGTGTCCCTTGAAGAGATCCATATTGATGGTCAGATCTTTGAGGCCAATCAGCTGTCGGAAAAGTCTGTAGCTGAGACCGCAGGCTGCAGTATGGTCGCAGTTGGCCTGGCAAAACGCTCCCATATAGAGCTTCATCACATGCTCGGCGTGAGGCCCTGGTACTGGGAAACCGCTATAGCTCGCTGGCTTCGGTGCAAGTGTAATGTTCGCAAGAAACCCACCATTTACCACTTTGATCAAATCGTCCGGCGAGAATACAGTAGGATACTCTTTGCCAGGCGCCCAGTGGACTCGTTCAACAGTAGCGCCTTTGATAGCCTCGTAAATGTACTTGCAGGTTTTTATCAGACTTAGGATGTCTTGGAAGGCCAGGTGTCTGGTGAGGTGGAGAAGGTGTTTAGACCGGAGCTTGAGGATGGGCGATGTACTGTTCGAGGAAGAGCCTGCGCTCGTAGTGATCACAATTTGTGGAGGTGTGCTGTTTTGAGCCAACATTGCGAGGGCTTTTCTTGCCGTCTCCTCTGGCCTCTCTGAGCTTGGAAGGGCATCATCCAGAATCTCGGGATCAACCGGAATCGACGTCAAGGTCTGTGGGCTTGGAAAGATCTCACTCAGGAGCTCTGGATCGATGGTAATTGGCATGAGGCCCCCTGGGCTCGGAAAGGCGTTATTCAGAATCTCGTAATCAATGGGGATCGACATGATGCAGACAATGCCCCAGTAGCGAGGCGCTTGAGAGGATGTTCGAGCTTGAAAATAAAGGGATAGAGAGGAATCCAATGAAAGATGAGATTGAGAACATGCCACTGGATGAGAGAGACGGATTGAAGGAAAGACCAAGAGCTAGATTGACTGCAGGACAAAGATCTTCATCACTTCTGTGGGTGGGCTCGGCGACTCGTGTAGTCTCGGCGACTGCTGCGGCAGCGGCGACATCATCAGTCGACGCGGGTGGTCGACGAGGCTAGATCTAACACAACGGAGTGACAACTGCCTGGAGTTTCGCGTTGAGAAAAGAACACGGTCAAGCTGGTGAGCACGATTACAAAGAGTTCGTGGGCATATGCTTTATAGAAACGGTAAAAGGAAGAACCATGTTTATGAGTGCGTAACTCAATGTATTCATTTTCTACCTGCTGGTGTTGACAAAGCGGAGAGTGTTTGATGAACTCTGTACACGATAATGAAGTAGCAAGGCTTTTATTTCTCGTTCTCTCATGGAGTGGTGATTTGTACTCCCACAGTCCGTTGGTGAGTCAATGCATTCTGTGATTTGGGAGTGCTTGTGAATCACGTCCAACCTTAGTCTTGATACTGCATCTTGAAAGATGTCCTCACACGGCCTCTTCCAAACTCTATCCAAAATCCTAGAGTCTGGTACTGTCTGAACCAAACGCTGGCACAAGAGGAGAGCTGTCATCGGTAGTATACCTCTGCAGTATTTAGATGCAGATTTCAGCTCTGTGTCAATTCTGGTCCTTTTAGAAACGTTCGACAGGGTAGATCCAGGAAGAATCTCCCTGAAAAGGGGCAGCATGGGTATGAAGCCACTTCGAATACTGTATGATGTTCTGCGTAGCTCTGGGCGACCGCAAGCGCCACAGAAGGATGCCTGTATTTATGCAAAGACTCATCAGTTTGTCGAGCTGCGCTGATTCCTCAGGATCTTGTGTACTAGGAAGAAGAGTAGAGTGATCTACATAGCAGTGGACATGGCTCTGCGGCTGAACTTGTGCTGCCAGCCCAGGATTGCCAGGGGTATCGCATCTTTTATTTGGCACATAGAAAATGTCTTCCAGGATGCGTATGTCAGTCAGATGTGGAAACTTATCGTTGGTCAATCTGTCAACCAATATCCCCTCGATCAGATCCGATCTGTAATGCACCAGAGGATTTCGATTGGTCTGCTCCAGGTTGAGAACGATGACTAATTCTTCTAGGCTGTCAGGGAGATACTGTGCAAATGTTGCGGCACCAGTATATGTCAGGGCAGGATCAGCAGCCATGCTGCAAGTCTCTACACCCACGAAAACAGCGGGGTCAATGCTCAGCAGTCTGAGCTTCGAGAAGTCGCTGAGACTAGGTAAGATACCAGGCACTGGGATTGGCTCATCAGCATGTCTCAACGGCAAATGGAAGATCATGTAGAGTTCTTCCAGAGATGTCTTCATTGATTCCAGAATTGTTCCAAACACGGTGAGATCCAATGAATCATTATCGGGAACTCTAGGTGTAGGCTTGGCTCGATCGCTGTCTGGTATGTGTTTGAACCAGACTTTCTTAACATTCCTCCATTGCCAGAAGAGGATCTTCAAAACGGATGCTCTTATTTGAACGTGTAGAAATGCCAGTGAGTGGAGACGTGGCAGGTGAAGCTTGTCTTCATCCGCGGAGGTGGGGTCACTCATACGCAGTCTTTCCGATGACCAGCCGATATTCAGCGTGGAAACACTTAACTTCCTCAAGTTATCATGTTTGAGGTTACAAAGACTTCGACAGAATTTGAGGCGCTGCTGAGTTTTGAGGGCGTACAGTCGTAATGCCTGTAGTCTCTCGGGTAATCTCAGATCTTTTAACGTTCCTTTGAATAGATCAACATCAATGATGAGATCTTTGAGGCCTGAGAATTGACTGAATAGGCGATAGCTTAAGCCGCAGGGAGAATGATCGCACTCAACCTTGCAGACCTTGCAGTCGGGATCGTGCTTGCATTTATCCGGGCAGACACTTCCCATTTCGAGCTTGACAACATATTTGGCGAGCGATCCTGCCACTGGAATGCTCCCTGGACCTGCAGAGTGACTTGGATCAAGGAGATCTCCAAGAATTTTGCCGTCATGAACTCGAACAAGCTCAAGTGATCTCTGGGGGAAGCGCGTGGGACGATGTCTTCTGCTTTGATTCTCGGTGTTCACCCAGTTGATATGGGCCACAGTCAAGCCCTGGGTGGAATTTTTCAGTTTCTTGCAAGTTTTCATGAGACTCTCGCGATCTTCGAAGGATAGGTATCCGGCCACCTTGCGAAGGAGTTCATCGGGCAGTCGAATGAGATGGTCACGGCGTTGCAAACCCACATGGAGAGGCAATGGAGGGAAGTAAATCGGATGGTTCTGATCTTGCGGTAGAGGTTGAAAGAGGGGAAGATTGCGGGCTGGATAGAATGGTTGTGCGTGGAATGAAGGCTGAGGATGCTGCCAAACAGGCTGAGCAGGTTGAGGAGGGTTGAAGAGTCGGGGGTCCAATGCACCGTGAGGGTATGGACGAAGAGAATGGAGTGGAAGTGGGTATAGATGAAGAAGATTGACTGGAGGATTCGGCACAAAAAAGTAAGGAGGCTGATGACCATACTGGGCGTTCATATACCCGTGTATAAAATCATTTGATTCAGCACGAATTTGATCCACCTCAGCCAAAAAAGCATCGAAATCGTTCGGCAGAATCCAGAGATCTGGGTGGATGGGATTGCCTAGCCCAGCATCTGGCTCATCTGCTCCATTGGAGAACGACATGCTCAAGGATTTGCAGATGGCCTCGAGTAAAGGACCATCTATTCTCGTGAAGATAGGAGAGACAAAGCCTGGAGGAGCAGGAGCGACGGAGTCGTGAACAAGATACGAAATGAAATCAGCACAAATCGCCAGATGGATCTACGAGAGTTGAGATTTTCTCAATCACTTCACAGCGGCAGGAAGGGTGGACGGCGAGGCTAGACCTAAAGCAACGGCGTGACAACTGTCTTGAGTCATGCATCGACAGGAGTACGCGAGAGGGGGGAGGATAGTGTACGAGAACATGAGCTCAGCATAAAGGCAAATGGCCGCGGTGGGAGGACGGTTGAGCGACATCATGATCGTGGCTGGAGGTGAACAGCATCCAACACCGCCCTCAACTTGTGAACTGGGTGTGGGAAGGATAAAAACAGCGGAGTGGAGGTACCACAGTCTCCAAACAGGACACTGAATGCAGATGTAGCTGTAGCATCACAGGGGGGGATCAGTGTGCTGGAGATTGATAAGAAAGCCACTCAGGGGCACACGAGGCTGAAGACAAAAGCACAGAAAGGTATGGACTCACATCATCTAGGAAACTAGAAAAACCATTGGCATTGACACCTTTACAGTTTCTATCATTGGAGAACAATAAACCTTTGTACCGTGGATATCGCTACATGAAAAGGAGTACTCAAGGATCTAGAGGATCGACATTCTGTGGCACCAGTTCGACAATATATCCATCCTAGTCAGAAGTCAGCCTTGTCACACGATACGGCTTGGAGAAACACTAGAAGAAGCAGCTCACAAATTCGACAATGCATGGATTGGCAAAAGCACGGGGAACAAAGAGGGCATCAGCAGGAGAGTACAATGCATCAAGACATGAAAAGCACACAGCACGACAAACAAGATATATGCAAATGCACACACGGTCAAAAAGAAAAAAAAGAACAACCCCAACATTTCACTTACCGGATCTCTGACAAAAGCGATCTTCGAAAACACCTTTTTATACTCCTTATGGATCTCAGTGGCCGTGCCAACCTCCTCCTGACCAACACCCCTCTCATTCTCCCACTCGGAAATGGGAATACTCCTCAGGCCGACCTCCCCTAAATCCTTAACAACCTCCACCCCCTCAGCCTTCAAGCGGTCCAAAGCGCCCTTGACATCGGGGACCGTGAACCCCAAATGGCCAAAGCCCAGATTCGGCGGGCTATTGCCCGTCTGATAATAGCCGTCGGGCTGCTTCTCGGAGCCATGCACGTGATACAGCTCCAGCAGCCCCAGCGTGCTCTGCAGGTTCATGGCGGTGTCGAGGCCGAATTTGGGCACGTCGGCGCGATGCACCTCGGTCTGCGGATAGCCCAGGTAGTAGATGGTGAAGGGCCCCACGTTGAGTGTGAAGACGGTGCGCATCCCCATCAGGTCGATGTAGAAGTGCATCGTGCGCTTCGGCTCGCGGATCCGCAGCATGAAGTGGTTGAGCTTGTAGCCTATTGTTGGGTCATTCGCGGGCAGTGGCGGGTCGCTGTTGGCCCCGTTGGGGAGGAACACGCCGTGGGCGAATGGTGAGGGATTCGTGCTGCTGCCGGTACCGCTGCCGCTGCTGGGTGGTGTGGATGCGGAACTACTGTTGGCGCCAGTGGTGGGCGCCGACTGAGAATCTGACGAGGCCATGGTTGTGGTGGTGATGTCGATGAAATGCCCGGTCCAGAGATGTGGTTGAGAAGCATTTTAGCTCGGTCCATTACTTCAGCACGACTTTATAAATGCCTTTCTGGAACGATCCCGTGGCCTCGGACCCTTTAGGGACGGCTTGTTCGGGGATGGCGTCGAAGGAGTGGATGCGCTATGGAACCAGTTGGCCAGCCTTTCTGGGTATATTCCTGAAAGTCTAAATGAGATTGTGGGGGAGGGCAACTATATGATATGGAGGAGGGGGTTTCTAGTGGGCCTGTGGTGGATGTTCTCCGGTCGTAATGAACAGAGGGGCTTTTGATTTCGGATGAAGCTTACGTGAAGAGGACTTGGGTTCATAAGGTCGTAGCAATGAAGAGGGGAATGATTATATATTTATTGTTCTTCGGCTCCTATGCATAGCCTACGTTACGCGAGAAGACTCATGTCCCTCGATAGCTAATTCATCAGTTTGAACAAGAGGGCCCTACAGAAACGAACACGGATATGTACCGGGGCATACTTGGTAGCCTGGAACCCCTCCTTCCCCACAGTGGGTGGTATTCTTTGCGAAAATCAAAGCTATTATTGCATCTTGGTAGCACTATCAAGTGCCGAGGCGAGGTGGGTTCCCTGCTTGGGAGAAGGGAATCCATGCCTCTTTATTACCTACGCATAGGTAGCATCATATCTTATTTATTATCTGGGAGGATTCTCAGTACCAAGTTCATAGAGCATAAGAATACTTCTGATACATATGACTTAGGCGGCTAAGAGATACATTGGAGAGGCCCGGGATAGGGAATGTCTGTCTGGAGGGAGAGTCTACGCCTCTTGACTGTGCAGTATGATGCCTTATTATCTGAGAGACATATTCATTACGCATGTATGACGGGTTTAGCGTATGTCGATTTTCCAATCTAATCTATTCTTTATATTCAGTAGTAATGGCTATTTTATCCACGGCGCACTACCTAATGATAACTGTCACCTCTCTCCGCAATCGACCTTGAGAGCGTTGCAGCAAACGACTCAACCCTATCGTTATTCAACTTGGCAATCTCAAGTGCTTGTAAGACGTGTTTGATGCCGACGCCCACCTCATTGTTACCGGTCGTCGACTTGATCTCTGCAGTTGCTCGACCAATGTCACCCTGTCCAAAGACCTTGGAGTCTTTCATAATGACCTCCAGTTCTTGATAGGTCCGAACATTGGCAACATGAATGTTGTTGTTGAAGTGGCGCCAGAAATCAAGTTGCTGAAGGACCCCTCGATCGGTTGCTGTGGCTATGATTAGGAGACTGCGGCCGGGTGGAGGTGACTTTCTCAGAAGTGCCGCCAAAGTTTTGAGAATGGGGTTACTGAAACGCGGTCCGACCGGTGTCCATTCACAAAACTCCTCAATGTCGTCGATGACCACCACACTTGTGGTACTTTTATGTGCATCCATGAATATGCGGTTCAAATAGGATATCTTTTGGAGTTCGCTCATTTCTAGAGTGTCTTTATTGCTGACCAGTTTAATAAAGGGAAAACCAGAGTCAATGGCGATCTGAGCTGCCAATGCAGTCTTGCCGGATCCTGGAGGGCCGTGAAGACAGACAGACACAAGTGGAGCTGATTCTCGAACCAATTTGACGAGCTGTTGGCCCTCGTCAAGCATCCAGTTGACTTGGGGCGAATATTGGATGATGCCACCTCGAATGCAATTCGTCAATTCTTCTTCTGACACACCAAAAGCAGGTTTCACTTCGTCAAGTGCCTTGATGAAATCTCCTCGGTTCACCTTCATGTCCGCGACGTCGTCAGTAATCCCTGCGTATGTGCCGACTTTGACATGTCGACTAAATGCAAATGAGGTGGCCGCCTTGACCAAACCTCCAATCTCGGCACCGGAAAAATTTTTAGTCCGTGCTGCAAGTTCCGCAATATCGACATCAGTGTCCAATACACCGTTATCCAACATGCGCTTGGTGTGGATTTTGAGAATTTGGGATCGGCCGAATTCGTCAGGAAGAGAGATTTCCATATGAAGTTCCAGACGGCCAGGACGTAGGAGAGCATCGTCAATCATATCTTTTCGGTTGGTCATACCGATAAGAAGGACATTGTTGAGTTGATCGACACCATCCAACTTGGAAAGCAATTGATTGACCACACTATCACCCACGCCTGTACCACCACCGGCACCACTGCCTCTTTGTTTGCAAACTGCATCCAATTCATCAAAAATGATAATGTGCAGACCCGATTCATCTCCTTTCTCCTTGTATTCTTTCTCGGCGTCGGCGAATAGTTTTCGAATATTCTCTTCGGATTGACCGACAAATTTGTTCAAGACTTCTGGACCATTAATGACTTTCGGTTCTCGAGCGTTGAGCATCTTTCCAATTTGTCGAGCGATGAGCGTCTTTCCAGTACCCGGAGGGCCGTAAAGTAGAATACCTTTGACATGCTGAATGCCCAATTTTTCCACCAATCCAGGTGGGAAAACACGACTCGCAAAGGCTCTCCGGAATATTGTAGCAAATTCGGCATCAAGTCCACCAATCCCCATATCCTCAAATTTGAAGTCAGCTGCGATGATGGAGTTGGCTGCCGGTCGTCGACTGGAAGCTTTCAGATTGATGGCTGTCTTTGTATCTTTGAAGAAGTTGATTTGTGTTTGTGGAGTGAGAATACCTCTGGCCATTGGATCAGAAGTGACGGCGGCAGCCTTTTCACTGAAATCCGCCAGTTGCACAGTCTTGATGGTGAGATTCAGTGGAATACTCTTCAAATCCATCAAGAACCTTTGACCAGGTGCAAACATCTGATTGCCAAATAACCTGGTCACTTCCTTAGCCAGTTCATCTTGGTCGTAGGGTGTTTCTGTGATTTTCCGCGTGCTAGCAAATCCGATCTCAATATCGGCAGAACCGATGTATGCTTGATCTCCACTCTTGAATGCATCGTAAACTTCGGCCTGAATTTGATCGGTCAAGGCAACACCCATCCAGGACCTCTGAGGTTCAGAAAGACCGATGGTGCCGGGGGGGAAGTTATCTAGTGGACGGGCTGACACAACATAGGCCTGATTGATGATGAGAAGAATATCATTTCCATCCCTTGAAGGAGGGAGATCTCTCGTGGACACGGCGACCAAGTTGCGGAAGGTGTAGGTGTTGTCTGGACTTTTTGCAGGCTGTAAGGTCAGCACTTGGCCATAGCCACCACCTCCACCACCACCACCTCCGGATCGGCTTGGCTGGTGCTGCTGCTGACCTCCGGGAGGTCGCGCGCCGCGGGACGGTAGTCCAGGGCCTCCTCCATAACTAGGCTGCTGTTGCCTTGGTTGATCATAGCCATAGCCACCGCTCATGGGTGTATCATATGGTCCACCACCACCGCCGCCGCCGCCTCCTGGTGGGCGTCTGTTGGGAGATTGTGAAGGAGGTTGGCCGTATGGGTCACGTTGTGGCGCTTGACCTCCGCTGAAGAGGTTGTTTCTGTTGAGGAAAGACATGGCGAAGGTGTAGGGGTGAGATGGAGGACTTCGTATTGAGAGGAGGCGAAGGGGGATTATCAGCGATCAGAAGAATGGCGGCCGCCTGCGACCTAACGGAAGGGATGGTGAGGACAGATGTGCAGGTACGGAAGGTGTGAGGAGGGCGGCTGCCTTGAATAGATCGTCAATTTGTGGTGGATGCGGCGTGGAAATAAGAACAAGAAGCCACCTCAGGAGTTTATAGGAACGAACTCAATGAAACCTGTTCTGTCCCTGCCATGGGGCTGAGAGTGAGGCTCGAGTACTGAAACCCAGACTGTCCCGCCCCGAGTCGTCGAAGGTTACTGCCCAGCGAGATGACGAAGGCGGTGTGTCACGTGTATCCATCAGACATACGCTAGCTGTATCCGGAAGAATAACCGGTCGACACTGACGAGGCTGGCGTGGATCTTGGCAAGGCTCTCAGAGAGGGCTCCGGCAGGTTGCAGCCTCGAGCGTTCGCTGCACCCTTTCCCCACACTCCACCTCTTCCTCTCGATCCTAGCGAAGCAACACCGGGAGTGATCGTGGCCATTGTGACGTCGATGAATTTCCTCTCTTGACAGGAGGACGATCACCTCCTACAATTCCTTACTCTTCCTCGCCATGCCCCTCCACCTCCTCGGCAAGAAATCATGGAACGTTTACAACCCTGCAAGCATCGCAAAGGTTCGGCAGGACGAAGCCGAGGCTCATAAGCGAGAACAAGAAGAAGAGCGTCGTCAAAGACAAGATGAGGCCTCGGATCGGCTAGCTATTCTGCGCGGTGAGCGGGACCCGACACTCCATGAATCAAGACCGGAGGATTTCTCAAGACCACACGTTCCGAAGAAGAGAAAACTTCCAGGTGAAGATGACACCGATTTGGAGATTCGACTGGCGCAGGCTCAGACAGAGAAAGGGCTCACGTCCAATTCCAGAGGCAATAAATTTCCAACACCGGCGAAATCTCAAGACCACTCAATCACTGACGCAAACGGCCACATCTCTCTCATTCCCAACCACGCAGAGCAAGATCAGAAACAAAAACCGTCAAACGAGAAACCGGACTCAAACCCCTCACACTTTTATCTGACTTCCGCCGCCGCCCACGGCTCTAGCGCGAGCGACGTACCATGGTACAGCACCAGCAACAAAACCCACCCATCCTCCCATATTCCCAGTAAAGAACCATGGGGCGAAACATCCCCGCGCAGGAAAGAGCGCCAAGCAGCGCGCATGTCTTCCAGCGACCCGCTTGCAGCGATGAAGCGTGGTGTCAAGCAGCTCCGTGAGTCGGAGCGACAGCGCAAGGAGTGGCGAGACCAGCGGGAGAGGGATCTCAGGGAGGTGGAGGACTTGGCCAGGCGGAGGGACCGAGAGCGGAAAAAGCGAAAGCGAGATGGCGCTGAAGCCGATCTTGGTCACGGATCCAAGTCGTCTTCTCACAGGCATCAAAGCCGAGATGAGGGACGGAAACGGAAAAGGGCCGATCCAGGTAGGGATGATCCTGAAGGAGATAGTGACGTGAATAGTCTCGATGGATTCGATCTCGACGAAGGCTATGCGAACCATCCCGAGAACGAGAAGGAGAGCCATCGCCATAGCCGTCATCATCATTACCGACATAGACACCGTCATGATCATGGGCATTCTCACAGGTCTCACAAGCATCGTCGACATCGCTCACGATCGAGGTCACCGAGAAAAGATTAACAGATTACTATAAATACCCAACTACCTATCAGCACGACTATGATACCCAATCACATTTACATGTATTTCTACACAAGAAATGCTTCAGAGCTCTTGAGTAGCAAAGATACAAGAATTTAGACCACCACAGATGATAACCATTAGTAATGCCTCACCTGGCATATACACTGCTGCGGCCAATTTGATGAAGTCTAATAATGAAGGATGTGATTTAATATCTATCCCAACCCAACCAAACAATTAGCAAGAAAACAACCACATATACCTAGGTATTATGGATTCCAAACAAACCCAACCAAAACCCCCCAACTCCAGATTCCCGGACCCAGGTTCCTCCCCATTATACCGTCCAGTCGGCCCCCCTTTTCTCTATCCCCCCATGAGCCTTCTCAATCACAGATAACCACGCCAATGCCTCGGCACCGACTCAGGACCAATGCCGCATCGCATCCCCATATCCATGTCGTCCTCATCTATGCCCAGGATAATACCACGTTCCTCATCGTCGGTGTAATAAAAGTCCCGCGGATCCACCAACTCATGCGGTTCCATGCCCGGGGAGAGATACAAGGGCCGGGCGGCGGGCCTAACGGGACTGTCGTTGTGATATCTCCCGCTGCCATAGCCGAACTCCGAGGACGCAGATGACGGACTCGACTCCATCATCAACTCATTGTCTGCGTCGCCATGGCTGTCGTAGGACATGCGCCTCCGCTTGCGTTGGTGGAAAGAATGCATGTCGCCGACGCGTGGACTATCAAGCCCGAAAGTGGACTCCCAGTAGCGCGGGCTGTTGCTGAAATTCACAAACAGCGAATTGCCCGGCGAGTAGAGCGGTCTTCTAGTCGGTGATAGTCGTAAGTGCTCCCATGTCGTTGCGAACGGGTCTGTGTCGTCCTCCATCTGCCCATCGCCCCAAAGTCCGGCTGGAGCTTGTGCTCCATGCGCATCGAGTGCAGATGATGCGACGGTGACGTTCGGACCGCTAGTGCCCTGGGAGATGTCGCGATGGCCTTGCACGTCACCTGCATCATGGGTCGGGTTTGTCGCGTTCTCAGTCAAGTAAGGGTTCACGATTGAGGGGGGGTCGGAAAAGGATGGTGATGGAGATATCGGTGTATGTGTTGGGCCAGGACTTCCTGGTGGTGAGGTCGGATGATAGGGTGTAAGAGGGCTGGAATCATCTCTATGGTCTGTGGTTGGGGTTTTGTTTCCGTTGTCTGTGGCTAGTGTTGTGGCACGATGTGTAGTTGGGGGATGAGGTCTTGTGGCCGGGGATGTATCACCAGCTAGAATACCTCCTGCCTTAGTCTGTCAGTAATTGGGATAATTTTCTAGTAGATCTTCCTCAAAAACCTTACCTCCTCTGCTCACTCTTCCCCTCGTCGTGGAACTATTCCCTCGGGTGCGTTTTGCTGGGAACTCGGCATTATCACCATCATTGTCATTCTCTAGAGACTGGTCAGAAGTCCTTTTCGAAGAACCGCTGGAACTGCCGGAAAAGTTCCATTTCTGTCTCGCGTCAAGGTGAACGTTGGATTTCGCGTCGAACAGTCCCAATCGGATCTTACTAAGTCGAAGGTTTGAGTTTGCATGACCTTTGAGCACAAAGGTTGGGAACTCAATGACGGTATTGTTGATCTCGGCTTTGACGGTCAGGTATGCCTCATCAGGTCCAGGAACGCTTGTCGCAGCGATCTCAAGAAGACTTTCTGGTTCGTTTGGTGTCTTCCGCGTCGGGCGTCCTTCAATTGAAGCAACCGGAGCTCCGAAATTGCCGAAATCACGGTTATGTTCTGCTCCATCGCCAGCATCGTGATTTGATTCTGCTTCGTCGACGACGTCGAACTCGTGGATGGGTATCTTCTCATACATGACAAGATAAGGGGTGAACCCCTTTCTTACCGTCTTCTTTTGATCGTCGATGATGGCGTCTAGGTTCGTTCTCTTCACCTCCTCGTTGTTGAATACCATCCATCCTTCTTCCGTCGAGTACGTCTGGGTAATATAATGACCCTCTTTCAGCGTCGGACCAAGATGGCTGACAAGCCCCACTATGCGGTACTTAGTTTCCTTTGGAGTTGGCATTCTGTGCTCAACCACTCCTCGGAGGTTTAGCGTTGGAGGGATGTTGACTACTACCTTACTCTTGTTCGAGTTAAAGTTTTGGAATCGTGTGAGTGTGAGGAAAAGAACTTCTGGCAGTTTTGCAACCTTCTCCCATCTATATCCATTGTATTTCTTCAATTTATCCAATTCCTGATCTCGTAGAGTCCTAGCTTTTTTCAGGCCAGAAGTTTTCTGGGTTTGGTTTAGAGTGTCATCATCGTTGATCTTATCCTTTTCCTGGGTGAATGTATCCTGGATGGATTGGTCTTTTCCCCTGCAGGCATCGCACGTGGTCTCATCAAACTCCGATTTCAGGGTTCGACGCAAACACTCCATCAACTCAACTTCTGGTTCGAATTTATTCCTTGGCCCAGGTTGAATAGGCAACAAAACAGGAACTGACCAGATGGGTTCCTCATCAGTCCCCGCAATTCGTCGCTTCGTGTTACCAGTCGATGTGCAATAAATACAATTCACACGTTTTGTTTTCGTGAAGCTAATGATGTTGGAAATATCCAGATCTTGAAGATGGTAGAGCTTTGCCTGTTCCTCTTCCATAAGATTCGGACACATTGTTCCGTTGAGAAGCCTCTCGCGCTGAAAGTTTGCCAGGTTTATAATGAAAGTAAGGAGTTCAGAGGAATCTTCTTGGTCCTCCCAAGATAGCCACTGTGGACAACCCAGCAGTCTGTATCTTTCACATTGTTGCCGTATGAAACGCCAAAAAGAAAGCATTTCCTCATCCATGACTACTTGATTATAGTCGCCCCAGTATCTTCGTGAAAGATAGAGCAATTCACAGAATACATCTGTGTATTGCACATCAGATACTCGCTTTGCAGTGCTATTCCAAGGCTCGGCACGTTGCCAGGAGCTCACTTTAGGTTGTCTCCAAGATTGATATTTCGTTAGATTCAAGCCAGTGGCCCTGAGTGCTTGCAGATAGCGATGTTCTAGCCACTGCAAAATCCTATCACTGTGGAACAGGGTGATCAGCAGCGCGTTTCGATAACACATATTTCCCGGGTTGGTGAAGCCCAGAGGTGTGTTGCGGGTCCGTCGTGAGGCGCTCAAGTCTATCGCTCGGACTGTCGAGAGCAATTGAAATTCGGGTCCTTCAGATGTTGTTGGGCTGGCATCTCTGTCATGCTCCGGTTCGACGTCCTCCTGTTCAGCTTCGCGATCTTCTTCTTCTCCTTCCCCTTCTCGGTTGTTATCACCATTCCTTCGGGATCTGCGGAGTGCACTCAATTCGCTGCTGGTGGGATTCGCCTGGGTGCTTGGCGGTCCATTCGCTGTACCTGATGCTGTATCAGTCTTGCTGTTATTTCCGCGTCCAAAGCGCAGCTTCAGCTTTATACCTGAATGGGCACCAGGAGGCGGCGCCTCATTAGTCCCTGTGACATCAACCTCCGTAGTGGCTTTCTGTGCAGCCTTCTTCGGAGCCGCCTTTTTTCTCCCTCGGGCCATGATAATGTATGAGACAATCCGTCGTGTTCCGCACGTATGGCACAGTCAGGGAGTCAGATAGAACTTAGATGCAAAGAAAGCAAAGTCCGAGACATGACGGCGAAAGGACACAACGAGAACTTGAATGAATAGGAATGATGAGCGGTACAGTAGGCACAAAGGGAGCATAGCAAAACAATAGATCTGCTACTTGGATAGTGTTGCTGATCACGTTTGCGGTTATCTTGAAAAGAAGAGCCTGGCGAAGCTGCTGAGACGAACAATGAAGGCATCTTGTGTGGCGGAAGACCTACCATGGCTGAGACCAGACATGGTATCTTTTCACAATGAATAGATTGATCTTAGATGGGCATATGAATTGATGCATGCGGAGAATCTGTATGTCGGCATGATGCTCTTGAATGGGTTGTTGTAGAGAACTGTTTGCGGATGAGTTGTAGACAAAGGAAATCGGCTACCAGACATTCTCTCATGGAATGTTGCAATCCACGTCTTCAGGAAAGAGCATGTCCACCATCATTCTGAGCATTCGGTCAAAGGGTAGCAAGAGACGAGCATTGTCCGTCATCAACGTTAGGTTCTGGCCTTCTAAGAGAGTGATTGTCAGCAAAACCATTTTGTCTTGAGACGCAGGACAATCCCAACACGTGACCATCACATTCCTCGTTGCACAGGGAAAGAAAAATATCTCTCGTATTATCGTAACTCCATCTCCCGCTCAATATATCATGACATAGTAGACAGCCGTACTCGTCGTCGTTCTCCATCTTCACCATGATTAGATAAAATATAAAAGTAGTTGTAGTTGTGTGATGTAAGCAAAAAGTAGGTAGTTGGGGTCATGAAGAAGCAGGCGGTTATCCCTTCACGGCGCCACTGCCGAAGAAGCGCCTCCAGTCCTCAGAATTCCTGTTGTTGGCCTGTGTTTTGAACGCTGGGGTTATGAGGGTTTCTGGGCCCGTGTCGTTGACATCACTGGGTCGAGCACCATCCACAGCCGCAGCGGCAGCAGCGGCGGCAGAAGCTTTTTCTCTTGGGCTAGCTGAAGCATTGCTGTTAAGTCGTTGCATCTGCCGCTTTGATCGTCGAAAGAAGAAGAATACACCCGCTAGAACCGCGAGCACGGCGAGGATGATTCCGATGGCGAGGCCGGCTTTAGCTCCAGGGCTTAAACTCCCGTCGGATGACGCTGAAGCAGCAGAAACGCCCGTCTGAGCGACATTTGACCCTGTCGAGCTCGATACACCTTGTCCTCCACTCAGTGACGTTGAACTCGTTCCTGTGCCATTACTCGAATCCGCATCCGTCGTAGAACTACTGCCGCTTCCGGTCCTTGTCGCTGAAGACGCAACAGCAGTCGCTTCAAGACCATATGTCGATGCTACGCCCTTCGTGCTAGCCATGGTAAACCTCGCTCCAGATACTGCATCGGCGGCATTTTTGGCATCTTCGATCATGAAATAGCAGCCGACTGGGAATTCGGGGATGTCCAGCTCAGCTTGGATGGGTGCAATGGCATACGTGCCTTCTGAACTAACTATAATTCTGTCAGCTATCCAAGATTAATTCATCGTTGTGTGTACTGCGTACGCATGTTCATATTTGCAACTGCCCAAGTTTCCGACGCCCCATCCGTTTCGCAGTATAATGTGAGATTTGCATGTTCCCATATTGTCTCATAGCTCACTCGCACTGTGTCAATATTGTTCACCGTCGGTACTCCCGTAGGGTAGAGGATGACTGCATGCGGACTGTCCGAGTCCACATTGGATGAAGAAGGAGCCGTCGTGGTCATTGAGGAATCCTCGTCGGTCGTGGTGGAAGGCGGCATATTCGGGTTTCCGTGCATACCTCGATTGGTATAGACCTCAAATGCATGCCTGGCATGGTGGCGAGAGGATCCAGGCCGCATTAAGGCCACGGCGACCTGATTACGAGAAGGAACAAACAAACGACACAAGATCAAGCGCTTCTGCGACCAGCAATCATGGCCCTAGGTTCGATGAAATTCCCAGGCCTTCGAGCGAGTTTCTGGTCCTGGTTGACGCTGTTGTTGATACAGATGGTGTGCCAGTGAGGAAATGATGCGCGTTTCATACCAAGGTCTGGAAAGCGAACAAATACCATGAGGTGATGCTCGACCTGGGATGGATTTAATTCCAATTACAGCATGGCGCTCTCGGTTCTTCTTGAGTGGATGCTCTACTAGGGTTTGAGACGGCGGCCGATGGCGCTTGGTTTGGCGAGATTGCATCTTGGTGACAGTGCAACTCTGACTGAGATCTCTTCTAGGGCGAATCGGCACCACGATGATACTGTCATGATCAGTATTCTCAGTCTGAGAACATTGAATGTCTTCTCTCCATCCATATAGTAGATGATCCAGTGGTGACAGATGAAGCACAATCCAGGAATTTGTCAATGTTAACGGTGACAGGCTTCTAGCTGAAGCCACAAACCAAATGCCGTCAGCCGATGTCTTAACCGGGGATGGAAGTGGGAACAAAAGACGCCCAATGGCATCTCGATCCAGGGGCCACTCAACTCCACTGGAGGAAAACAAGCATGACATCGAATCTCGGCCGTGCCCGGTTCCTGAGACGCTAAGACAGAGCCATCCATGCGTGTGCATGAACCGTTGCTCAAGATTCACGTACGAAGTCGTAAATTCCCGGATCACTAGATCAGTGTCAGCGCTACGTGTCTGAGACACGGCTGTATACGTACAGGCTTGGAGTAAGACAGGCCATGACCTGGAAATAATCATCTCCTCGCTCCCTTCATTTCTCGAGATACTGTCTGACTGGGAGTTGTTCACGCAGAAGTTCGGGGTCCAGCAAATGATAAATGATTTACTCTTTTCCGGAGGCTATTCGGTATCTACTGGTACACGCAGAACAAGAGAACGGGGCATCCCCTGATCTTTCCAGCATTCAGGTATAGGCTTATCGTAAGATCTCGTCAATGCTGCCACCCTTGTGCTGTTGTTCCTATAGTATTTACGCTTCCCTGTCGCCGTCTGGTACTCGTATCCTCGCCGTCCAAATTTAACTTGCTGAGGACTTCCGTTGGAACTGTGGGAATATATTTCCTTGCTTGCTCTCGATTCGTTCCTCCGATGCCTGCCCCATAAGAAATGAGCATGTCCGTTGAAGTTGGAAGAGAGAATGGAAGCATTAACGACTGGTCCAAGGTCAAAGCATTCCGAGTTGAAGGTGATTCGGGTTCCGCTTCGAGCGGCGAAGAGACCGGAGGTAGGGGAGGTCCCTTTGGAGTGGTAGGGTCTTTGGCTGCCAGAGCACCGTTTTCCTTTGTCGGTGTTGCGGTTCCAGACTCGGGTGGATCTACCATGGGTGTCAAGGGCCTTCTGATCAAGGATTGTTCGCCTCTTTGCAATTGAACCAGGAACTTCATATGTGGCTTGAGAAGACTCTTCTCTCCCACCTCTGCACGGTAATTCTTAACAGCACTTATCAATTGTGTAGGCGTTAGTCTTTGTAACTGAACCAACGTTCCCACCAAGGATTCATGATCCTCTCCAAGAGAGCTGAAACACTGTAGCCATTGAAGCAGTTGTATCACTGGTGAAAGGTGGCGTCTGGCAGCATCTACAGTGTTCTCCCCAGTTGAAGTCAATGATCCGTTCTCGTAATGTTCAGGCTGTCGGTTGTTCGCTCGCGCCCAGTCTTCAATGACTGAAATATTCATACGAATTTGCATGGCTTTCGTTCGCGAAAGGTATTTCCTTGTGGTCATAATACGATTGAAGAGTTCAGCCCCAATCCAATAGAGCAGTTGTGCTAATATTTGAGCAGTGATCACAGAGTGGACGTCGTACAGATCAAGCACAAACAAGGTAGACGACAGGAGAGACGTGATATTTCGGGGTGAAATTTGAGCTCGCCTTTTGGGTGATGGAGGTCGAAATCGCTTATCAGGAGCCTCTTCTTTCGTTTTCGGCTTCGACTTGAAAACTTTCCATTCACCTTGGAATGCAATATCGTCAAGACCCGGGATGGTCTCGTGATCTAACATGGCAACATCGAGGATTTTGTTCATCCTTCGTTCAGCGTCCCGGATGATGAGGATGAAGATTTCATTGATGAGTTCCGCAAGCTCGAGCTGATACTTGGAGGTAGCCAGAACGAGTCCCGAATCCTTCTTCAGGTAATGAAGGAGTAATGTTGAGTTGGAAATCCAAAATGCCAGCATGGTCATGTCCCACTGGTATCTTTCAATGACATCGTTGATTCGATCCATTGCTTTCTCCAGAACCTCCTCGAGAAGAGTCCTAGTCATGTGGTAATGTGCATATCGAGCCATGAGGAAGATCAAATTGGCCGGGACTGGTTTCTGGGAAGGAGATCGTTGAGGTGTCATTCCAGTTATTATAAGGTCAAAAATTGGGTCCAGCTGTTCGGTCTGGAAAACAAACATTTGATCACCCACACATCGGTCCCAGATGAATTCCTCTTCATCGGACTCTACATCAGTGGGAGACTAGACGGTCAGCAGGGGAATCTAAATCGCTTGGATGTGCTCACCTCTGGGCCTTCATCGAAACCGAGGGTAGACAGATCAACCTCAAGATTTGTGGCACTTTCCTGCATCAACATGCGCCGTTTCATCTCATTCTCGGCCATTTCTTCCTCAAATCGATCCTGTGAGAAGCCAGAATTGTAGAAATCATCTCCCAGGCTAGACATGCCGAAATGATAGCCATTTTCATGCAGATAATGGGAGAAGTCCGAACCCGGCTGGACAAAATCCAAAGCCGTCCCGCCTGATGAGGATTTGATGTCGGGATTGGCACCATGGTCTAACAGCAATTTTGATATCTGCTTATGCCGGTTCGTCATGGCCCACATCAAAGCACTCCATTGATTCTGGTCTTGCTTGTCCACGACGGCTCCCGCATCCACGAGAGCAGCCACAACCTCCAGATGACCGAAACAACTTGCATAAATTAGGGGAACGGTGCCTTCTTCGTCGGGTTTGTTGACATCCACAAATTCTTTTGCCCTTCCACCAACCAACTTTTGAATTCGTGCCACGTCTCCATTACTCGCAGCCATATTAAGGCTCTTCTGGAGGATGTCGCATTTCTCCTCACGCGACAGTTTTTCGTCGGTCGCTATCGCATCTTCGTCCTGTCCAGGGCTTCCATCTTCCCGATGAGCGGCTTGTGCAGCCACCATTTCCATCAAGCGTGTTTCACCATCCTGGAGTCGAGCAAAGGTCTCGTCATCGTCATAAGCTGGTGTATCTAGGTGTAGGTCGAAGGCAACAGGTCTGGCTGGAGTTGGGGCAGTAATATACTGGGAAGACCCTACGAAGACAAATATGTGAGCAGTGGCTCGTCACAGCAGAGAGAACGCGTCACAAGAAGGGGAATCCCAACCTTGCCAGCCATCATACATCTCCGTCTCCCCTCCATAACTGGAAAATGTACGACGGTCATCTAGTGATGTGGGGAGATCGTCTGGTAGTTTTCGAGGAGTCTCGGGTGATGATGGAGGAGATTCAGGATCTGAAGTGGGATCTACACGATCCATGGTGTCTTGTACACGGGGAATTTGAATGTTGTAGGATCATGTCGAATCGAGTACCGAAGGAGAGGAGCCGTTCACGATCATTTCGGGGAGTACATCGCAGCCTTCAGGGTGATCAAGCTACGGCACGGAAGGCGTGTTAGTGGGACAAGGTGAACTGTCAAAAGTCCTAAGGAAGCCGGAGGACGTTATTGTTATGCTTCCTGGCGCAGGATGGCTCGAGCTGGGCTGCTTGATAGTGGAGGCACTGAACCAGAATGAGTGGAGGGGGCTTTGCCAGTAGCAGTACGGAGTGGCAGTGGGTGATGCCGTCTCGCCGGTCAATTGAACGGGTGACGCAGTCTTGGCACGGATCCGGCCAAACATTTCTCCGAACACCGTTTCGACGTGACGCGTTTCAACCAACATTGTTGGAACTCATCATTTTCTACGTTGTTCTAGAAAAAGTAATGTTCGGAGCTAAATCGACGAGTACATCTCAGACAGCCTAAGATCTATCTATCTCGTCGATGTCATATTTTGGGAAATTCAATCGTGACGGGAGCTCCAGTCTCAAGCGATTTCTTCAGTGCTTCACAGACTATCAGAGCAGACAGCCCATCAGCACCACTACAGCTCGGCTCCTCTATGCCCTGGATGACTGCAACGAAGTGCTCCAGCTGTGATACGAATGGCGTTATCGCATCAACCTTGATCTGCTCTTTGCTCATTGGAGAGTGCCAGGATTTGGTGGCATCACTCCCATAGGACCACACGGTCATATCTGGGATGCTGAAGCTCGCGTTCGAACCAAAGATGCGGTAGAAGTCCTCTCCTACTTTTGGTATCAGAGGGTTCTCACCAGTGCCCGCCTCGAAGTTGTGGGGTGATGGTGTATTATCTGACAAGAGGAAAGATCCCACAGCACCTGACTCGAATCTCAATGTGATGGCCGCTCCTTCATCAGCATCGAATCCTCTCCGTGAAGGTATCGGTTCCGCATACACTCGAGTGATCCGACCGAACAGATAATGCATCAGATCGATCTCATGAATCATATTGATGAGTATGACACCACCTGTCTTTGCCCTCCGCCACTCTGTAGGTGGGTCAAAGTAGTCCAAAGGCTTGTACGTCGACCATATGCCATTTATGGCTATCAAGTCCCCCAATTCTCCACTCACGAGAGTCTTCTTCGCAGCTAGCATATATGAGTTGAATCGACGATGATGTCCAACCAACAGCCGAACCCCAGCTTCGTGCGCTGTGCGTACAAGTTCCTGACCACTTTCAATGTCGATGCTAATTGGCTTTTCGACCAGAATGTTGACACCAGCACGAGCTAACTCGAGGCCAACCGCGACATGTGTGTGATTGGGGGTGCAAATAATTGCACCGTCGGGCTTATCTGCCGACTCGAGCAGATCACTAACTGTCTGATAATATGGCACATTGAGTTTCGTAGCAAGTGCTTTTCCTGTTGGCATAAGATCAACGATGGCTGCCAATGATGCATTTGGACTTGCAGCCACTGTCTCCGCATGCCTGGGACCGATGAGACCAACTCCAATTACTGCGATCTTGATGGGTGGCATCATTTATTGTTACATGGGATTTTCCAGTAAGTGTTTGGGTACACTTAATGATTTTAATGCAGATTGTCGATTGTATTTCGGATGGGGGGGTGCATTATAATCTGGGGTAATAGGTTCAACATATATGATTGCATCGTCGGCCCACATCGGGTAAGGTCTTAGCCACCCATCCTCGATTAATCTTCGATTTGAGTCTTGGTGTATGTGCGGGTAAAGATCTGTCTTGCAGATTTAACGAAACCCTTTCGGGCCCTTTCAGAGTTTGCTCATCCGTTCTTCCAGCAAGAAAAAGCGCTTGAAATCCTCCAGACATCTTGGGTTGGAGACTGTGCTGCTAACCACTTTCGGCGATTTCCCGGTACAGATGACCTCCTTGACGAGCGTTTCGACCTTCTTCCCGTTGACCGTCATGGGGATCTCGTCGATTGGAAGAATGAATCTGGGAACGTGCCTTGAGCTGAGCCCTGCCCTTATGGCTTGTTTGAGTTTAGAACCAAGGCTGTGACTGAATGTTTCACCAGGACACATCACCACGAATAAGAAGACGGACTCATCGGAGTCAATGCCCTTTCGCCGTCGGCCAACACAAAGAGTGGTCGAAATCATACTAGCAAAAGGCTGTGCTTCCGTGATGGAATATATTTCGGCCGATCCAAACCGTATCCCCTGAGGATTGAGGACACCATCGCTGAAACATCAGCAATATTAGCAATAACGAAACATAACAGAGTCATGATAGCAGAAAACTTCAAACAACTCACCTTCGGCCATGCACAGTCCAGCCCTTGGTTTGCGGATTGTAGCTCGCCCAGTCATGTTGCGCCCAACACGTATACCCGAGGCGCTCGAAATAAGATGCCCGATATTTCTCGTTGCGAGCATCGCCCCACATATAAATCGGCATGGAAGGAAACGGCTGCCTGCAGACAAATTCCCCTGAGTCCCCTGATTCCTTGATAGATTCCCCAGTGAGAGGATCAGCAATGTCGACATCATGTCCAAGAATTGGAAGCTGGAGCTCTCCCGCGTAAAGCGGACCTGCTGGATCAGTGCCTATCCAGGACGTGACTAGATCCGTCCCACCAGTCACGCTGGTCAGATGGACTCGCGAAGGGAAGTTTCGATAGAACCAGTGGTACTGGTCGGCTGCAAGATGAGAGCCTCCAGATTGCACCATACGGAGCGACGAAAGATCATTCCGACGTTGAATGTTAACCTTGGTGGCCTCCAATGCCTGCAGATAGCGAGGAGAACATCCCCAATAATTGACTCTGTGTTTCTCCACAACGTCAAGCATCGCGTCGGCAGACGGCCAGGTCGGTGAGCCATCGTACAGAATCAGCGTGGCACCTACTGAAAGATGGCCGATCATGATGTTCCACAACACCCACGAGGTGCTCGAATATTGGAACACCACCTCACCCGGTGTGAGTGAGTTGTGCAGGATTCCAATCTTCTTATGCTGAATGATGGCACCGTGTCGATGCACCAAGCATTTCGGTGGTCCGGTGGTCCCGCTGGAGTATAGGATATACAACGGGTCGTTGAACGAGACACGTTCGTATTCTAGCTGATCTGACGCCCCGGAGCGAGAAAGAAAACTCGGGAGAAATGAAAAGTCACTGGCGTTGTCCTCAGTGAGAGGGATCAAGAACACCTCGACTTGTTTCGACAATTGCTTGACAATACTGGCCACCTTCCCTACATTAGAATGCTTTCGGCCTTTATAAGTGCGGTGACTATCGGCGAACAAGATCGATGGGGTCACTTGTCGAAGACGAGAAATGCAGCCCTCCTCGCCTAGATCTGGAGCAATCGATGTAAATATTGCACCGATACTTGCGGCGCCGAGAAACAGGGCGACGGACCACACCGAAGTTGATATGAGAGCAGCCACGCGGTCACCTTTCCTCACGCCACTATGCAGGAGAGCGCTCCTGACCTTTCTGACGTTTTCTCTCAAACTGGCCCAGGACCAGATCTCGCCTTCCAGTCCCTGACCTTCTCTCAGTCCGACGAGCGCCGCGGCATCTTCGTCCAAAGCCGTCTGGGTGAGAACGTTTTCCGCATAGTTGATTGAGACTCCCTCGAACCAATTCGGGATATCTACCATGGGGATAGCCGAGTCATATGCTCGTCTGATGCCAGCGGGTAGCTCTGGGATTAACCGGATGTAGGACCACAGATCGATCCAGAAGTCCTGCGGTTGCGTTACACTCCATTTGTGTAGTTCCTGTGAGTTGGCGAGATTCAGGTCGTATTTGCGGTTAATGTGCGATCGATATTTATTTATTGGAATCTGAGACGATTCTGAACGTGCTGTCCATACTGGAGCCAGCGGGCTTGTCGATTGTTGTGGTGAGATCAAATCCATTCTTTGCGATAGGTTTAACACAATTCTCGAAGAACGAAGGAATCCCACTCGCGAACCCGTAGACTGGGTTTAATAACACCTTCTCGCTTCACCAGCGGTATACTATACTCCGCAACATCTGATTCCATGGGTGTTTCTCGACGATCTCGCGATGTGCTTGACACCGGAACTTTCGCGGCGTTTCTCCACAATCGTGGAGACGGAGAATGAACGGAGGCATCCCCATGAATGAGGGGTGATGCATGCTAATACTTGCCATTATTGGTATTAAGTTATGCCGAGGAGGATCAAGGCGTCTTATCCTGTGTCTGTTTAGAGTGAATGTCGCATTGAGGTATGGAGATGGCCGAGGTGTCAATGATTTGTGCGAGATCTGAAGGAGAATAGGTAGGATCCATTCGCCTTCACGAACGATAAAGCCAGCCAGAATCTTGGATACTGAAGAACTCCAAGTGTCAGGATCGAACAGCATATTGTGAAAGCATTGACATCACTAAATCCCTCGATCACTATCCGTAATCATGCAACCATCAACGGCCGATTCTGGCTTCATTCTCACCCTACCTCCATTACAGAACCCATACACGTCGGATTCTTCTTACAAGCGCGTGTTGTCGGCATATCTCCCTTCTGAAGTCCTCAGAATCGTTGAGCCTCGCTTGAAAAAGTTCGCAGACGAAGCGATCTCGGATGAGGTATACGAGTGGATTTCCAACGCCGAGAGGGAACAGCCATACGTCAAGACTCGAAATGTCTGGGGCGCTCGTTATCCTTTTGATCGCTTGGTGACCTCCTATGGGTGGAAGCAGCTTGGGAAATGGGGTGCAAAGAACGGGTGAGTGGAATTCTCAGTCTAAGTTGGAAGCGAGGCTAATGGTCGATATCAGTGTCATTGCTCTGGGATATGAGGATGAGTTTGGGAAGCATAGGCGAGTTGTCCAGCATGCATTGTACGTCTGAACTCAACGGAATCTTTTGTTGAAGTTCGGCGGAATTGGCTTACCTTCCTTCAGCAACTATACATATTCCGCATCTTCCGCAGTCTATTCCTGTCCAGTATCGATGACAAGCGGAGCGGCACGATTAGTTGCAAAGCAGCTCGTCGATAAACCACCCAACCATCCATTCCATGAAATATACAGGCGTCTCATATCACGTGAGGACAATTGGATCTCAAGTCAGTGGATGACCGAGAGGCCAGGGGGAAGTGATGTGCAGAACTCCGAGACAGTTGCAGTGTACTCACCACTCCCGCAGAAGACGGGCGAGTTTGGAAGTGTCGAGGAAGGTGATTACCTAGTCTCAGGCTTCAAGTTCTTCTCATCAGCCACTGATTGTAACATGGCACTCATGTTGGGCAAGACTGAGTCTGGAGTGCTGAGTCTCTTTGTCGCGCCAACAAGGAGAACCGTCGTCGAGAATGGTCGAAGGAGCCTAGTGACCAATGGTATACGAATTCAAAGACTCAAGAACAAAATGGGCACCAAAGAGTTGCCGACTGCAGAATTAGAGCTCAAGAACGTCAGAGCATGGCTGATTGGGCCTCTCGATCGAGGTATCCCGACGATCGCATTACTGTTGAATGTCACCCGAACGCACAATTTCATCACCGCTCTATCCTGCTGGCGCCGAGGAATGTCGATAGCTAAGGGGTTCGCTCTAGCCAGAACCACTATCAATCAGCCGCTATGGAGCTTTCCAATGCACTTGAGACTGTTGGCGACAATGGAAGTTAAGCACCGAGGTCTTCTCCAGATCGCATTTTTCACCACGGCTCTGCTCAGCTTCGTCGACAATGGATTCCCGACCGCTGCCGCAGGACAAGGCATCCCATTCCCTGAACCAGGCGAGCAAGCAGATGTTGTGCTGCGTACTTTAACAGCTTCAGCGAAAGCAGTCATCTGTAAGGTCGCAACCATTGCGTTACAAGAATGCCAGGAAGCAATGGGAGGTGTTGGGTACATGGATGAGCCAGATGAGCCAGAGCATAACATTGCGCGACTGATGAGGGATACTGCCGCAAACATGACCTGGGAGGGTACGACCAATGTTCTAGGAAGTGAGGTGACACGTCATCTCTTGAATCGCGATGCAGGGAATCTCAAAATCATGGGCGCGTGGTTGACAAAAGCGATTGACAACATCAAAGACGCAGAGTTGAACCAGTCGCTGGGAAGATCATGGAAGGATCTTGAACAGATCATATCTAGGGGCAAGGTTGATCTCGCGTCCTCGCTTGCAGAAGGCCGTCAGATCATGTTCACCCTGGTCTGGATAATCAGTGGTATGCTACTGGCAGTCGACGCACAGCGGGATGACAATGAAATCGCCATCGAGATAGCTCGCAGATGGGTGGTTGATGGAGAGGGTGGTGTTGGAGAATTCACTTTTCCTCACATCATCCATGCAAGTCGCCCAAAGTTTACCATGGGCGGTCAGGAACGAACGAACTGGGACTGCAGACTGGTATGGGGTCGAGATCTGCCAGAGAATGCGTCTCTGGGATATCGTTCCTCCGTGACCAGGCCGAAATTATAGGCTTCATCCTTGCTGGCTTTTGAGGGTTACTTGACCGACTTTAATACGTTTTGCTGAATATAATTTCCGTGTCCTGGGATTGAGGTTATGGCCAGGTGAAGCTTCGTAGCCTCAGGAACCACACCCCGCTTTCGTCCCTGTACACGATACATGTCAAGTTCCAGTGAAATTATTTGTAGAGTAATATGAGTTTTATACTTGTAATCATACCAGTAATGTTGAAGGATTGCGGAGAGTATGGTTGACAAGATGTTCAAAGCACGTGATCAAGCGGCTGTCATGTGACCTGGACGACATCAACAAGATTTGAGCATCGGGAAGCTTCCGTGCTTTTCACATTTCCAACTGTATGCCATTACTATTGACACTCGGGCTTGCACAACCCTGCAAGGGCTGTTAGTCTGCACCAGGACGACAATGATCCAGCATCCGACCAGCCGCACAACCATCTCGTAGTGCTGACTGATGATCTTCGGGGATTAGTGGCTTGGATTAGCGAACAGTCATTATTTGGGAGAAGCGATCTGTGGACGACTGCCTTCAACAGGTCTCCTCTGTTGATTGTCAGAAATGACGTCTCGCCTGAAGTTGAGCCAGGCGTGCTCAATATGTCATCGGAAGAAGGTTGAATGATCTGACAAATATCCGAGCAACTACCACTAACCAGGCCATCCAGATAAAATGTGACCTAAGTACGAGTGAACCACCATGCTCGAATTGCCGCATTGGAGACTTGCCATGCAGGTGGGTACACAATATTACGTCTTAGGTTTCTATCATTTTGATATCTTCTAGACCCCATAAGAGGAAAAGAAAACGATACACTCTCAGCCCATCCCCACCAGGGGAATATAGTGCTTCTCAAAGCCCATATAAACCCGAGCTGTTTCAAGTCTCACAGGCCTCAAACAGACAACCAACACCTTCAAATGATCAATCAGAATACATCAAACCATCTTTCGATGAAAATGAGTTTTTACCAGCAGAGCAACACGCCAACCAAACAGTCCATGAAGAAAATGCTCCCGGAGGTGCCGAGAGCTATATCGGACGAGACGCCTACCTGGACGGCAGCATCCCGGCAACAGAAACCACCAACAACACGACACAGCAAGCACACAGCGGCCTCTCAGACATCGACATGCAGGTGCTCCACCTCTACAAAGCATTCGACATGCCACCGCGATCCGTGCGAAACAGCCTGATCGACAAATTCATGGAACACTGTCTTCCTTGGATGCCCATCGTAGATCGACGCTGGCTGGAAGAACAGCCAGACCACTTCCCTTCACCATTACTCCTCCAGTCGGTGTTTCTGGCGGGCAGTCGAGTGTCCGCTAAATCGCTCATCGGAGCCACGTCGGAAGACTACTATCAACGAGCGAAAGTCTTGTTCTTCTCCGGTCACGAGAGGAATCCACTGATCTCTGTCGTTTCGGCGTTGCTTCTGCATTGGTGGAATCCAACTGGTCCAGAGCAGATCTCTGCTAGTTCCAGTGGGTTCTGGGTACGCATTGCCGCTGGTCTGGCTTATCAGATCGGATTGCATAAGGAGCCGATAGCGGCTCGAGACAAGGCTCTTCACCGAAGGATCTGGTGGACGTTAGTAGTAAGAATACTCCAAGTTTGGGGACCAAGCCCAATCTACCACGACTAACAATACAAACCAGTGGCGAGACGACGTGATCTCGGTAGGAGTCGGGCGTCCACGAACCATAAGCCTAAAGGACAGCAATGTGTTACCACCAACCATCAAAGACTTCCCAGCAGGCAGTCCAGATGCAAAACTGTTCACCTCATTCTGCCACATCTGCCAGCTCCTAGGTGATATCACACAATACCGACGTCGCAAGAGCTTCACAGCGTCCAAACGCCAGAAATTCGAGAACGCACTATATCGGTGGATCAAAGAACTCCCATCCGAGCTCCGTCTCTTCAAACCCACAACTCCCACAACTTCCACCACCGCCCACATCAACTCACTAGCCCCCTACAGCTTCAAGAACCGGCAAGTAGCAATTGTCTACTTCGTGATCCTGATAATCTTACACCGACGCGACGAACCCTCGACCCCATCCTCGACCCCGTCACTGCTCGCCTCATCCTTCATATCCAGTATCTTCGAAGAATTCCTGTCGCGCGACGAGCTGCGGTATCTCGGCCCGGTCTTCGCCTTCTACGCGCTCGCCGCCGGCCTCGCACAGATGTCCGGATACCGGTATGCGGCGCTCGAAGCCGCCGCCGAGCACGAGTTCAACGTCATCTCCATGTGCCTGGCGAGCCTGTCGGACCGCTGGGGCAGTGCGGCCGAGGCGATGCGTTCGCTACAAGCGGCGAGGAAGGCGGCAATGAGACTGCCGAAGCTGCAGAGGGAGCCGGCCGGAGTGGAAGATGATGTATACCCGTACTTCAACGATTTCGGGCCGGATTTGTGTCGCCAGTGGCATTTGCTGGGCAAGACGGCCGTGAAAAGCGCCGAGAGCGATGGAGCTGCCTCGACGTCTCAAATGCAGCAGCAACAGCAGCAACAAGTGGGCAAAGGGCAGCAGCACGTGGTGCTTGAACCCGCATCACATGCACAGGTCGATGCTGGGTTAAATGTGACGGGCAATAGCGAGGAATTCGTCGATGGTGACTTTCTGGCGTTGTCACAACCACAGCAGTCGATGTCTCTCGACCAGCAGGATCCGATGTTGTATCCCGGTCTGGACAGCCTGTTCCCAGACCAACAATTTGACTATCCGTGGAGTGACCTGGATCCCGTGGGGTCCTGGTTACTGGGTGATTTGGGTTTGGATAGCTCGCTTGGCCCGAATACTTAGCTGAGTGAAAGAAGTAGAGATTGTATTACGGAGCAGTTGCTATCTTGTTGACTGTGCATCCTCAGCTTGGACCAGCCACCCGCCTGGCCAGAGGATGATATCTGAACAACGGGTGTGCCGATGTGCGCGCTCAATAGCTGTGATTCCAAGAAGTTGGTTGGCTCGCATGGAGCTCGATTTCAGAGCAGCAATAACTTCCTGGTTGGCGATCTGAACCCTGAAGTGCCCTCGCGCTTGTGGGTTTCCACTGAAACTTCGCACCACGAGAAAAAATACCTACTCATCCTCTGTACCCGTATCGTCAACTTAGCCCTTTTTCAAGATTCCCCACTGGGCTCTGATAGCATCTACCCATACCGCAACAGGTACGATCTCACCACCTTGCCGCGCTCCATCAATGAACGTTCCCCCCATGCGAACGTTCCCTTTGCCGACCTTGTGGTACTCCTCGTCGGAAAAGGGCGGTATATGCAGCCAATCATGGTTTGGGCTGCAAACCACTGCTTTCAATTTTCCCGCTCGCAGTTTGTTCAGACATCCAAGGTCGAACTGGACATCGCTGCAGATTTTGCAGACATAGAAATCGTCCGCATAAGTCCAAGAGGTGCCGCACCGTCCATCGCAGTTATTAGTGGCCTTGCCCAAGCGGACTTGTGGCGTTGGAGCAACAATGGTTGTTTCCGGGATTTCTATTCTCGGAACAGCATCATTCGCTGCAGGAGTATTTGGTCTGGACGAAGATGTGGATGGGGGCTCCCCTGATTTCTGCGAGACATCATCAATGGCTTCTTCATCAGCACCATCCTCGGGAGCGTCGTTATCAGTAACTTCACCCTCACCATGATCTTCATCGTTACAAGTCGCATCCCCTGACTTGTCGTTATCATCAGAAGGTTTGGTGTCATCCTGAGACGTAACCATACCAACCCTATCGACGTCTTCGGGGACATGGAGCGAAAACGCCGAGAGGGAATTCAATTCATCTCCAGCATGCAACAGAAGTTCGGCCATCCACAGATAACCTATATAGTCATTGTCTGGGTCGTCATCACTTAGTAGGTCCAATGCGGTCTTCATGTCGTCAAACAGGAGATCTCTGGCCTTGTCCGGAGAGCTTGAAGAAGCATGACAAGCCGCAAGTGTAAACCCCACTGTTTGAGCTACCCAGCGTGTCTGCTGAGCTTCCAAGTAGAACCCCTGCAATTCGGCGATATTTCTCTGTGCATCGGCGCCTCCTTTTTTGAACAATTCATGGTAGTAATAGCTGATCCGCTTGGTCGCATGGCCAACTGCAAAGCGCACTTCGTCTTGCTCAGAACCTTTCCGCATTCCGGACCCTAGTGAATAGCACCTTTTCCACGACAATATCGCTTCTTTCTGATCTGAACTTCCCAGATTGTATTGGAAGACCGCAATACCTTCAAAGAGCAGTAGTGCCACTACTGCGGCAGTATCGTTTAATTTGGAAGCCCTGTCGATACAAAGCGTCAAATTGTTCAATATGGATGTAGTCAGAGGATCATTTGCTGTTACCGAAACAAACAGGTAGATTGTGTCCAAGCTGACAGATTTTTCGGAGTCGGACCAGGAATAGAAAAGCATCTTTGCAAGTTGATCTAGATTGCCGAAATCCTCTGCTGGTTGGCCCCTTAAAGATCGGAGGAATTCGAGGGCATCACTTAACCAATTTGCTTCTGCAAGTACCTTGATGAGTTGCCACTGTATGAAATGTTTTCCAGGTTCGAGTTCCAATATCTCTCGGTAGAGGGCAACCGCCCTCTCAGTATTTGGAGGCTCACAGTGGGTATGCCACTCAGCTTGCAACCTCAGAGCGTCAAGTAGAAAGGTTCGATCGTCATCGTGAACCTCAATTTTGTTACCGGAGCGAGCTCGTATGTCGTCTATGACAGGATCAAGTTCTTTGATCGCCATTTCAAACTCTCCTTTCGCATTATAAACCTCCGCAAGCCCTCTAGAGACCATCCGATGCGCACCTGGCAGACTTTTAGCACGGAGAAATGCGGCCGCTGCATCATCTAGAAGATCTGTCTCGAGAAATGTCTGCCCGAGACGCTCGAACCACAGTGAGTCCAGATTTTTGAATCTTAGCTCTTGTTCAACCCAGGCTGCAGCACGGGAGATGGATTCCGAGTCCAAGTCCAAGTCTGCTGATACCACGGTGTCCATGACAGAGGTATTGATAGTGTCCACCAGACTGGCACTCTTATCCTTCTCATTGTCAGCCACTGCAGTAGAGCTAGCCATTTTCAACTAAACTCTGATTAGCCAACGACGAGCTTGACGGATAGACGGTGATTGTCTGGCTTACATTTTTGACATAGTGAAAGATCCATTTTGCAAAAGCTTCAGGATAGTCACAAACTCTACGGCGGAGCCACTGCTCCGCCACCATGAGCGCAATATCGTGAAGGCAGCTTATCTTTGGGTCTTTGGTAATGTCACGCTTTTCGAGCCATCGACGGTCTCTAGGTCGAAGGGATTCGACGACATTCGTCTTGTACAAGCACCAAGTAAAGATAGGTAGACCATAATGGAAAGTATTCGGCCCACGTGTCCAGTGCTTCTCAATGCACTCAGTGTCTGAGAGAAGGTTGACCAGTTTATCCACAACACTCTGCATCTCAGAGTCTTTCACCTCACGAGCATCCACATACGTCTTGAGATTTTCCAGATGTTCGGGAAGGTACCACAATGCGTAATCGACCATGGCAATCGAGTATTCGTCCGGCTCTGCCAAAAGGAGGTCAATGCAGCGTGAAATAATTGCTATGCAAGCCTCAACTTCATGAACATAAATCCGCTTCTGTACTTCCAGAGAAGTCTGGATATTTTCGAATGCAAACTTTTCGAAAACTGCTCTTTCCCCCAGATCCCAGAGAAACCGCTGCACTGTCTCGAAATCTGCGTTGGTGATTTTGAGGGTCATGGAGATTCTCGGGTTGTCCCCTTTCCCAGCATTCCCTTCAATTCGTTTTTTCCTCGAGTCGACCACCAATACAGGATCAATATTGTCCCTAGTATAGACAAATTCATCAACATTGAACAATGTTACGTATTTTCCTTTGCTGCCTAGTTGTGCAGCCAGTGGCTGAGCGGGCTGTGCCTTGAAGCGGAGGAATAGTGCCGCTCTGAGTTCGTCTAAAGTTAGCCATTTCTTACCATATACTACCCAGGTGATCATTTCGTTGAGCTGGTCGATTTCCTGATTGCTCAAGGACTTGTTGAGGCGAGCGATCACCTGCCTTGCAGCAATGCTAGAATCTTGTGAAAGATCGACACTTTTCAAATTTTGTATTATATCCGAAACACTCTGGCTTCTCTTGTAATCCTCGGCACATCGATCAAGGGCAGTTTGCAAAAGGAAAAAATTACCCTTGACAATTTCTGGGAGTTCGTCTCGCAACCAGGCTTTCAGCTTAGAAGTTTCGACATCTCGTCCAAACAATTCTCCGTTCTGTGACAAATAGTGATCGACAAAGGTTCTGATGTCTGGGCCATTGCTTATCTCCACATCAATTCGAGGGATCGCTGTCCTGGTTAGGCGATCTTGAAAGGACTCTAGAGAGGAATCAATAACCGCCTTGTTCGACGCAGCCAACAGACGAACTTTGGAACTCTGAATGTTGAGTAGTACTTCAAAAAGTTCACATGCATCGCCCTCAGCCAATACTTCCAGCCCATCGAAGATCAGATAATACATGCCATCTCCCTTAGGGGATGATAGTTGCAACGCATCCCAGAGTTCGCGGCATGACATGTTCCTGTGATCTGTTGCCTTCCTGGTGGCCCAGAATGTGGCCATCTCTTTAGCGTAGCTGATATTCTGCTCTGCAATTCGTACAGCTATGGACTTCAGAGCTGTGGAGGGAAGATGGGGATGTTGGATGAATTTTGAAGTCTCCAATTTCTTGTCCACCCTGGAAAAGCAGTAATACGCTACTGAGACACGGTTTTCAGACTTTCGACCCTCTCGGAATTGAAAGTCCAGTTCGTCCATGATACTGCCGATTAAAAAACTCTTTCCTGACTTCTCGCCACCTTCCAGAATAAGTAGTGACTTCGTGTCAACAGCAATACCATCAGACCACGACTGATACTCTGCCATTTCTTTGAGCCAGATGCCGGTATTAGGAATGGGAGATGTTCTCAGATCCTCTAGATATTTTGCTGAAAGTTTTGCTGTTTCTTGATTGATAGACAACTTTTTCATGATTTCTTGAACCTGAGTTAAATGTATCTGCTGAGTCTTGTGCTCAACCATGTCGGCTTTGAGCACATTGACTCCGGTACTGATATCTTCGAGATAGAGAAGCTGTTGCCCGCTTCTTCTAGATGCGTCTTCCAGGAGCTCAACAACTTCATGGTGGGAGATCATCACCTTCTCAAGCGTTACTGCATCCGAGATTCGACTGGACTGATCGATCAAACCCTTGAATTTCTCCAGCTCGGCTCGAATGCCAGAGTCATCGTCCATCAAAGCGACTTTGAGAACTGTCTTGAATTTCTTCCATTTGGAGCCATTGAGGAGTTTGATCGATAGGGCGCAGATGTCGACGAAGCTGATCATAAGTCTGCCAGTGGTTGCCTTTAACTCGGGGTCAACCTCGGCGAATTTCTCGATTCGTTTGTAGATTTTGAAAGTTTTGAGAAATGTTGATATTTCTTCGAAGAGCTGTGCAAGTCCTTCATAAAGTCGATCTATTCGCGCATGCATCTCGATCAGAAACGAGATGGCGGAGTAACATATGTCGGCTGCTCCACCAAATGCCTACTTGTAGTGAGTGATGATGATATGCTCCTGAATGCTGCCCACGCACCATTGATGCACCTTGTGCGACGATTCCTCCTAGAATGCTAATGCAATTCAGGACATTCCGTACAACGTCTTTCACGTTCGACTGGCTATCGTTGAGCGATTGAAAGATATTGTCTTCTGGATATTTTTTTTCGAGCTCTGAGAGCACATCTTCAAGAGAATGTCCAGTGGCTGATTTGAGGCTCTTTGAGGTTCTTTCCTGGAACCTCAACTGAGCCTGCTCCCACATTGCCTTGAAGGAATAGTCATCCCTATCGAGGATTGGGGACGCTACAGAGCCCATGGCGCCAAATCAAGAGCTAAGCAGAGCCGTGAATGGGATTTTGGAATTGAGGCAAGCAGGCCAGGGCTGAGAGGTGCAACAGAGAGAGAGGAATATGTGAACAGGCTGAGTGCTGACTAAGTCATGAGGAACTTGTCTGGTTGCAAGCGAAGATGGGCGAGCCCGGTAAAGTTCTTACCATAGTCGGTCCAGATGATGAAGACCTCTTCAGAATTGTTCAAACCAAAACAAGATCGACCGCTAGCAATCGCAGCTTTGATCTAGGAGTGATCTTCGGGTTTTATGAAGACTGAAAAGATAACTTACTAAGGCCAGGTACGAAGTAGCACTGCTCTAGTTAGGGGTGTGCATGATGTGGGGGCCTAAGCCCAACCGATATTGGTTTGGGCTTTTGGCGAGCTTGGTTGGCTGAATAAAGGTCTGACAAGATCTGATGATCAAATTGCCAGGATGCAAGCATTGTGGTACTTCTATCTTGAATCACACGAAGGACCTCGGGAGTCAAGAGCCCCACGGAGTCCAGAGTAACCCATTGTATGAACAACGAGTGCATGAAGAGGTCAAAAGCTGGCATGGGCTGGGATGTCTGGATCGGCGAATTGTACTTTGAACCCCAATCTTGTGAAGAGGGCTGTCTGGGGAGGTGTGTAGCCTAGCGCTTCGAACATTGGATCAATTATCCATTTTATTTATTCGGATTCATCAACTTTGTGATTCGCTGCACGGCACGAGGCTTAGTGATTGCAGTGTCTGTATTTCGTGGTGACAACTTTGAGAAGAGGTGGAATGTTTCTGCAACACGGCGGAAGGCTCGGCGCAACTTGACATCCTCGGGGACACTTTCTTCCGTGATGAGCTTCACGTGACCAACATGGCCCTTGTCACTACGGTCGATCATTGTATCACAAGACTAGCTCTACGGTCGAGCACAGTGAGACTCTCCATGGCTCATCGAACATCAGCCTGTGAGGCCCATGAGGCTGGACACAAGTCGGCGGTTGCAGAAATCAACATTGAAGCATCAAGTTATCACAAGACGGGACAGTTCACGGTCGCTCCCACTTCCACTGCTGCCTTGTCACCAAGCCTAGGAGCAGTCTCACTCTTTATTCCTTCCTTCTGCTTCTGGATGATTTTCAGGATCTGCCCCATATATCAAAGGGCATCTTTTTTATCTTCTTGTAATACCACTTCCAGGACCACTTCCACCACCACCGCCCAAAGACTGTACTCTGTTCCTTCATTCCGCGTCCATTCCCGCCCCCAGCCGGCAAAGACTGCTTCGATTCTTTCCAGCATCCGCAGACTGCCCCAGTCTCATTCCGCGATTTCAGCGCACTCGTCTTCAATCCTCCAATTTCCCACCTTCTACTCGAACCGCAGCCTCCATCACTCCTCGAGAATTCATCAACCACATAAATCCTCCTCGATTAGCATGTCGGCCAATGGAGAAGCTCGCCCCAAGCGAAGGTCGAGTCCTATTTCAGCCATAGAAAGACCCAAGAAACAGCTCAAGCAGGAAAATGGCGTTCCAACGCCGGGAGATGCAACACCACAGAATGGCTCTGTTTTTGATGTCGAGGGACAATCCAGCTCAGTACCCATTGTTAATACCATAGCGGCGGCAGGCGACTCTCCGGAATGGCAAGCGACAATTGAGAAGGTGATCAAGAGCGTGGTTTCCATTCATTTTTGCCAAACCTGTTCTTTTGATACCGACCTGTCCACGTCAAGTCAAGCCACGGGATTTGTTGTGGATGCAGAAAATGGTTACATCTTGACAAATCGACACGTTGTCTGTTCCGGGCCTTTTTGGGGTTACTGTGTTTTTGACAACCATGAAGAGGTGAGTGAATCCACTGCGCTTAGAGAGTGACAGTTGCTAATCTGCGGCAGTGTGACGTTCGGCCTGTCTATCGAGATCCTGTGCACGACTTCGGTATCCTCCAATTTGACCCCAAAGCCATTAAATATATGAAGGTGCAGGCTCTTGGCCTTCAACCTGAATCGGCTAAAGTGGGTGTTGAAGTACGAGTTGTGGGCAATGATGCTGGTGAGAAGCTCAGTATTCTATCCGGAGTGATCAGTCGACTGGATCGTAATGCTCCAGAATATGGAGAGGGATACAGCGACTTCAATACCAACTACATACAAGCTGCAGCTGCGGCCACAGGTGGAAGTTCAGGTAGTCCCGTGGTAAATCTCAGCGGCAACGCGGTCGCCCTGCAGGCAGGGGGTCGTGTTGATGGTGCCGCTACAGACTATTTCCTACCTTTGGATAGACCTTTACGAGCTCTACAATGTCTCCAAAATACGACACCCATCACCCGAGGGACAATTCAGACCCAATGGATGCTGAAACCGTTTGATGACTGCCGACGGCTCGGATTGACGCCGAATTGGGAATCCGAAGTACGAAAGCATTACCCGACCGAAAACAGTATGCTGGTGGCCGAGATTGTACTACCTGAGGGACCGGCAGATACCAAGATCCAGGAGGGTGACGTACTGATCAAAGTCAATGGAGATCTGTTGACTTCATTTGTCAAGCTGGATGCCATTTTGGACTCGAGTGTGGGTGGGACAGTACACCTTCTTTTCCAGAGAGGTGGAGAGGACCATGAGGTTACACTCAACGTCCATGACCTGCACGCCATCACTCCTGATCGATTTGTTACGGTGGCGGGAGGAAGCTTTCACAACTTGTCTTACCAACAAGCTAGGTTGTATGCCATTGCCTGCAAAGGGTTGTATGTGTGCGAGGCTGCCGGGTCGTTCAAGATGGACAACGCGCTGTCTGGATGGATTATCGACACGGTGGATCAGAAACCAACACCAGACATAGACACATTCATCGAAGTGATGTCCTCGATTGCCGATCGTGCGAGGGTGGTGATATCATATCGGCACATTAGAGACTTGCACACGCGAGCCACCAGCATTGTCCATATTGATCGACACTGGCATCCCAAGATGAGATTGTCGAGCAGGAATGATAGTACGGGACTCTGGGACTTTAAAGATCTCGGACCCGCGCCGCCCGCGGTGGCTCCAGAACCCAAGTCGGCTGACTTCATCCAACTTGATGGAGTCAATCTTCCAGCAGCTGCAGAGATTGTTCGATCATTTGTGAAGATATCGTGCTATATGCCCGTCAAGATTGATGGGTATCCCCAAGCGCGTCGAACGGGATTTGGTCTTGTGATTGATGCGGAAAAGGGACTGGTGGTGGTTTCCAGGGCGATTGTGCCTTATGATCTATGCGATATCACAGTAACAGTGGCTGATTCGATCCAGACCGAAGGTAAAGTGATATTTCATCATCCATTGACCAACTACACGGTGGTGCAGTATGATCCGCAGTTGGTACAAGCTCCAGTACAGACCGCGAAACTGTCGACGGAGATGATCAAGCAGGGAGCAGATACCATCTTTGTGGGATTCAACCAGAATCATCGAGTGGTAGTGGCCAAGACAACGGTGACGGATATCACAGCAGTTGGGATTCCCGCGAATGCAGCAGCACCCAGATATCGCGCAGTTAACCTGGATGCGATTACAGTCGACACCGGACTGTCTTCACAGTGCTCTTCAGGAGTCCTCATTGGGGCTGACGGGGTTGTGCAAGCACTTTGGCTCACATACATGGGGGAGAGAAGTCAAGGCAGCCATCGGGATACAGAGTATCACCTTGGACTTGCGACGACGATGATCAATCCGGTGATTGATCAAATCCGAGCAGGAGTTATTCCGAAGCTTCGAATACTTAACATGGAATCGTATGTGGTTCAAATGGCACAGTGTCGAATTATGGGAGTTTCTGAAGAATGGATCAAGAAGGTGGCCAAAGCTAATCCTTCACGGCATCAATTATTCATTGTTCGGAAAGTGGACTGTGTGCCAGCGAATGGACCGAACGATGGACAGTTACTGCAGGAAGGAGATATTATTCTGACGCTGGACGATCAGCTCATTACACGAGTCTCTGACTTTGACATTATGTACGACAAGGAATGGTTGGATGCGTTGGTGGTGCGTAAAGGAGAGGAAGTACGACTTCGAGTACCGACGGTATCTACGCAAGATCTGGAAACATCGAGGGCGGTCATGTTCTGCGGAGCAGTTCTTCAAAAGCCACACCATGCAGTGCGACAACAAATCAGCAAGCTTCACTCGGAAATCTATGTTAGCGCCAGGAGCCGAGGATCACCAGCATATCAGTATGGACTGGCACCGACCAACTTTGTGACTCATGTGAATGGGGTCAAGACACCGGACCTTGATGCATTTGTCAAGGAAGTGAGCAAGATTGACGACAACACATATTTCCGACTACGAGCGATGACCTTTGACAATGTACCGTGGGTGGTGACGATGAAGAAGAACGATCATTATGTGAGTATATGGCAGGAGGAATGAGATGCAAGCTAATCAAATGTTAGTTCCCCATGTCGGAATATGTCAAGGACTCGAGTCGACCGAACGGATGGAAGGTGATTTCTTATGGAGGCAAGGGTAAGAAACCCGGTAATAAGATTGATGGGGCGCCCGTGACTGCCGAGGGAATGGATGAAGGAGTTGAAGGTAGTGATGGGGGTGAAGAGGGACCGGATGAAGAATAGAGAGAGTGGAGGTGTCGAGGATGAGGTCGGGACTTTGTAGCAACATAAGACGAGACCAGACCAGGCCAGGACAACCACAAGGACGCACATCATAAAGACTGCCAACAGAGCGAGGCTTGGAAACGGAGCCAGCGTCCGGCGCAGTTTTTGAGGGAATAAATAATGCAGACAAATGTAGGATGGAGTACCTGGCTGACTAGCAGATAAAAAGAAAACACGGAATGAGGTCCTGTAGTGCAATTACTAGGTACCGAGTATTCATAATTGCAGTGTTTTGACGATGATGTAATTATGTCGCAACAGCGTAATGATCACCGTTGATTTTCAATGCACGTTATTTCAAAGTAGAATGAGAGTGCCATGGCAGTGATGCAATAATGGCCAGCGATGGAGGTGTTAAAAGTGTGGCTGATGCCAAGATTATCACATGTCAGAAACCTTGATTTATTCTGTTCGAGATTTGTGAATCAGGGGTGTCTTTTGTAGGTACCGGGTTATAACCAAGTACCTACGTACGAGGTACTGAGCAGGCAGCAGAATACACTATGTAGTAGAGGATACTTGGATCCCTGAAGATGAACAGCGTGTCCTGTCCAGCTGATGCAGTGCACGAGAGCAAGAGAGATGGCAAGTGGTGGTGGTGGTGATGTGTGACGAAATGGTGAAACGTTGGGTGACCTTGAATTACTTAGTATGAATGATCATTAGGTAGTGGGTGGGCGTCTCCGTAGTGGTGGTGCACGCGACCTGTTGTCTTATTCGCACGGGACAAAACAAATAAAAAAAGTGTGTAGCTGACTACCTAGGGTACGGATACTTCGTATGTACAGAGAGATTGCGTCACAGGCGAAGGACACAAGGGAAGGTTCGATCGTGGTAAATATTGTGCACAATAATATGTAAAGTCGCTCTTGCCTCGTTGTCAAGGTCACAACCTGGAAGTCCTAGGGAAGGTACGATGGATTGAAGCATCTGTCATGTTGGTTGTTAAGAGTAGTAGTCCAAGTCGGTACTTAATTTACTTCGTATTTGCACTTATCAAGTCTGGTCCCAACGGCCAAAAACAGTGTTGTTCAAGTTGGTTACCAAACGGGCCAACTTTCCAAACATCCACTTGTGGTCCCAGCAGCAGTGCCACCTGCACCTGCACCTGCACTCCTGGTCCTGGTTTTGGTTCTGGTGCAAGTTCCCCCATTTCATCACTCGCTTTCTTAACTTGGACACGTTCAACTTCCTTCCACCTCGTTCCATTCTTCTATCATTCCATTCTTCCATCCCATTTCATCATCCCTTCTCCCCAGAAGACCATTGTATCTCTCTTCCCATCCTCAACCTTCCTACTCTCTCCTAATCATCCCGTGTTCATCACCACTCCAGTACTGTATCCCCCTTCTTTTCCAAACACCTTCATTATACTGACCATCTCCTCCAGAAGTCGTCATCCCATCTCTACCTACAATCAACTCATTTCCAGTCAACATGTCGACCTTTGACGAGACTATTGACAGTCCTCCCACCACCAATGGTGCCAATGCCAATGGAACCCCATTGAAGGAGACTGTCATCAACAGTGAGGTATGTTTGTCTACAAGCTTTTTCTTTGATGATCCCATGCTAATACCTTGAACAGTCTTGAATTCTCAGCTTCTTCCCTGTCGCGCCCTATTGACCTGGTCCAGATGCCTCAGCTGCCGTGAACAACATTCAAAATCACCCCATCACACAAAACGTGGTCAATGGTAAGAAAAAGCTTGGAACAGTACAAAAGACCGTGACTAAACAAAATCCCAGGTCCTGTTGCAACCTCGATCAAGAATGAAGCTGGTGCCACAAAGGACGAATTCAGTGATCTCGCCAGTTCTCGTCAAACTCCTGCCCACACCGCAGCCAACGATACACCCCTCACCCACTATCATTCTTTCTTCTACACGCTTTTGACTGTAAGTCGAGAAACTGGCCTTCACAGAAACCTGACCCTAACGTATCACAGTGGAAGAACAAGAGAGCCACTGGAATCACCTTCCTGGCCGCAGTGGCTTTGATTTTTGCATTCCGTTATCTTCCAGTCCTCCGATATGGCCTCAAGATTACCTGGACCACCCTTGGAGGTGAGATGACTTCCTCAAGATCTGCATAGCTCCAAAAATACTGACTTTGGGATTTAGTCGTGACCGCCGCTGAACTTGCCAGCAAATTGGTGACTGGATCGAGCGTCACCAGTGCTGTCCGACCTCGAAAATACTACAAGATTCCAAAGGAGTTCCTTGAAACCTCTCTCGATGACGTGGAAAATCTCATCAACTTTTTTGTCATTGAAGCTCAGCGAATCGTGTTTGCCGAGAACGTCATTGTTACTGCAGGCGCTTTTTTCTCAGCCCTCGTCTCCTACTACCTGATCAAGTTGCTTCCTCTCTGGGGATTTGCCTTGTTCAGCACCATTGTCACCTTCCTGGCTCCTCTGATCTACATTGAGAACAAGGAGCTGATTGATTCTCAACTCGAACATCTTGCCAATGTCATTGGTCAACAAACCAACCAGATCAAAGATTTGACTGCAGAACATACCAGCAAGGGTTTTGATACCGTCAAGCAATACACTGGTGCATATACTGCCAAGGCACAGGACTTGGTTGGTAACATCGGGGCTTCGCGACAGAAGATTCCACCTCCAGCTGTCAAGGAGGATGCTTTTCCAACTGCACCCAAGACCGAATTCCCCACCTCCACTTTGGACACCAAGGTTGAGCAGGAACCATTGCTTGCTTAGGTGAACACTGCCCGACGACATACGAACTGAAGCCCGATGAGACGAGTGACAAGAGTGCTCCCCCCGAAAAGTTAGATCAACATCTTGTGGATTTGAATATGGTAATCCCTTTCTAGCAATCATGGGGGGTTGGGTGGCGTTCCTGGGTTATGGTTACGATTACAGGCTGCGCATTCGTCTCTTGATGACATTGGTTCCCTTTTGATTTTGGAACCTCCTACATATATGTACGATAGATGGACGAGTACGAGTATGATTTATTTCGTGGTGCGCCCTGCATTGGCACCGCATTGCAACGATCAACACTTCAGATGGGACGAATGCACTGTGCAATGAGACAACAGACAACAAGCTTGAAGGGGATGACAGAAAGGAGAATTGAGGGTTGATAGCAATTGATTGATATTGATATTCTTATCGTCTTGATACAAAATTTCTGACTCGTTGTTCTCCGCATTTCCGAAATCCGATCCAGTTTCTCCGCATCCGGATTGCAACCGAGGATATTGACCCCGTCGGTTGGTCGTCCCTAGAAGTCTTTCCTCCATTCTGTCACAGCCGAGGGGGAGAGGAGGTCAATTGAAAGTTCTGGTATCTGTACCTCGTACCTCATTCCTCTTCAATATGGGTTGACTGTTGTCTCTTTCAAGGAGCTCACGAGCTTCCTCAAATACCATCTTTCTTCTTCCCACCTTGAACTCTCCCCTCCATCATCTACTGACCCCTCCTACGCCAACATGCCTATCTTCAAGTCCAAACAACCCCCCATTGACAGTACGTCATCTTCTCCAGACACATAATCCACATAAATGCTAACACCCATAGTGCCATGGCATCTCCCTGTATGGACCTGGCTATTTGATTCCGAATATAGTCCCCTGCGAAACTTCGCACCCCAAGACATCAAAGGCTTCACCAATGCCGCCACCAAAGAACATCTCAGTTACGCCGACATAAAAGTGCACTCGACACACCTCTCCACCGCACTGGTCAAGAAATATGGCCTGCAACAAGGCCAGACGGTCGCTCTCTTCTCCCCCAACACCGTCTGGTACCCCTGTTCCATGTTCGGCGTCCTACGTGCCGGTGGTGTCATCTCGGGCGCCTCTCCAGCCTACAACGTCGAAGAGATGAGCTATGCGCTCAAGACGGCCGACGCCAAATTCCTCTTCACCGTCCCAAGCAGCATGCAAGTCGCCGCCGCGGCAGCTAAGAATGCTGGCATCCCACAAGACCACGTGTTCCTCCTCGAAGGGAAACTCGACGGCTTCACATCCATGGCTGAGCTCCTCGAAATCGGAAAGTCGTACGGCCCATCAGGGCAAATCGAACAATTCAAACTCCCACCAGGCAAGAAAAATAAAGACGTCTGCGGCTTCCTATCCTTCAGTAGCGGCACGACGGGTCTCCCCAAAGCCGTCATGATCGCACACTCCAACGTCATCGCGCAATGTCTACAGATACAACAGATCTCGCCAGACACGCTCCGTCGCATCCTGGCCGTGCTCCCCTTATTCCACATCACGGGCCTCGTCCACCAAATGCACCTGCCCGTACTCCTCAACGCCAACGTCTACATGCTCCCGAGCTTCAGCATGGATTCGATGCTCGCGACGGTGCAGGAGTACAAACTCGAGGAAATGCTACTGGTCCCACCCATTCTGATCCGCATGGTGCGCGACTCGGCCACACTGGCGAAATACGACCTGTCCTCGCTGAAGCGTTTTTCGTCCGGCGCGGCACCCCTGTCGGCGGAGATCCTCGAACTCCTCCAGAAACGCTTCCCCGGCACCGGCTTCAAGCAGGGCTACGGCATGACGGAGAGCTGCTCGTGCATCACCGCACACCCGCCCGACAAATACGACTTCAAATATGCCGTGCGCGTCGGCACGATCGTCGCGTCCACCGAAGTCAAGATCGTGGATCCAGACACGGGGAAAGAATGCGGCCTAAACGAGCCGGGCGAGATCTGGGCGCGCGGCCCCCAGATCGTCATGGGCTATCTCAACAACAAGAAAGCGACGGACGAGACGTTCGACAAAGACGGGTTCCTGCACACGGGCGACATTGGTGCCCTCGACGACGAGGGCCTCATCACCATCACTGACCGTCTGAAGGAGATGATCAAAGTCAAGGGCATCGGCGTCGCGCCCGCCGAGCTCGAAGACCTCCTCCTTGGCCATCCTGAGGTCGAGGACGTTGCTGTCCTAGGCATCCCCGACGACTATGCGGGCGAGAGACCCAAGGCGTATGTCGTGTTGCAGGCCGCGAAGCGTGGGGAGCCGGAAGATGCGGCCAATAGGTTACTCAAGTATGTCCAGGACAAGAAGGTCCGTCATAAGTGGGTTACGGAGATCGAGGTCGTAGAGGAGATCCCGAAGAGTCCGTCCGGTAAGATCCTAAGGAGGGTGCTTAGGGATATGAATAAGTCGGGCAAGAAGGGTGTCGTGGTCAAGGATTCGAGGGAGCGCGCGAGGTTGTGATTATTAATGGTGGACGAGGAACGAGAAGGGGAAGATACGTTGGAGATGTGGCCCGGCTGTCTGGTCTGGTCTGGTCTGGTCTGGGCTGTCATCAACAGGTCCGTCCGAGCGAGAGAAAGAAGTAAAGACTCGGAGGTGGGAGAAAAGCACGAAAGAAGGCCTTCAACTTGGCATCGATATGCGTCGTGGGCTTTTCGTGTGCAGTGGCTGGCTGGCTGTTGGTGTTTCAAGCGCGGAATCAAGTGTGCAGCCTGATTATGTCGGATATTATGGATTCAGATTTGAGTCTCTAGGTAAGTCGCTCCATACGTGTAGCCAGGCTATATCATTGATATATAGGTACAAGATGGAGAAACTCAAGGGAAACATGAAATATCTATCGCTCCCTTCTCGTCATGCCAGTGCGGTCTAGTCTTGGTGAACCATGAGAAGCAGTCTGCACTGACAGGTAGTCGAGACGTCGCGGTCTGATTCAAGCGGCCTCCAGCCGTTTGCCCTCGAGGCCATCTTTGATGTGTGGTGAACCGCCGCTTCTGGCCTCAGGTTCGCCATTGTTGGAACTTCTCTTTCCCCTCAAGCTGTACTCACTTTGTTATCGTGTTCGTGTGTTGTCGCTCATCCATCACATCACCCTAGACCCCAGTTCTCTCGGGTAGGTACCTATATCTTGAGGCTCAAACTGGGACCATCCATCACATACACACCCACTGCACCTTCCCAAGTGTGAGCTCATTTGCACCTTCCAAACTGTTGGCTCACTCACACCTTCCGCAAACTGCTTTGCTCTTGCACCGCTCTCCAGGCAGACATTTCGCCCTCAGTTCGTCACGTTTCGTCGTCCCACTTCTGCGTCTTCTCTCCCTCTCAGACTACGAGTCATTTCCTACTCAGGGTCTCATCATCGTTGCTTCTCCATCTTCACATCTTCACTTCATCAATCTTGTTTCAATCACCCTATACCTCAGTTCTCCGTCTACTCTCTCCGGAATGAGTCTTCACAAGCGTGGGGCGAGTGACGCTGGTCAGCCAACAGCCAAATCTGGTCGTATCAAAACTTCTGACTCTCAACCTGATCAGGTAGGGTCTCTACCTAATATCATCATCATCATGATTCTAATGTAATAGCAGGAGATTGCCATGTCTACCGACCTCCCAGAAGCCTGTGGCGACTTCAAGATTGAGGTCAAGCTTAGGTCCAAGTCCAAGGCTGCGAGAAATGACCCAGAACTCACAATACCCCAACGTGAGCTGTACCAAAAAGTCCTCTTGGAGAAGTCAAACGGAGGTCCACCTACTCTAGAACATCGATTTGCAGCTTCCCTGGCAGTCCATGGTCCTAGCCTGGATCCTGGTCAAGACCAATCCGATGACGAGCCACAACCCACCCCCGACATTGAACATGTTGATAGGAGTCAACGAGACGATCTTGTATTGAGCCAGCGCGGTGAGCAGAGCAAAAGTAATGCCGAAAATGAAAATGACGACGACCAAGATGACGACGATAAAGGTGAGATGGATTTCGAAGGTGACTACTATGAAGATAACAGTGAGGACGAATGCCGTTCCGAGTATGATGTGGATTTTGAGTTCAAGTGGCTCGAACCAATCGATGTCAAGGCAATTTCTACATCAAGACTTGACGAAGATGGCAAACCAATGAGGGCTGGATACTGCAATGCCAAGTTGATAAGAAGAGGCCAAATGCGCGATGACTTCTATGGGGAGATGGAACAGCCTTCAAGGGAGACTTCGATGCTCGCGTTTGATCTGTTCGACCGGTACGGCCGACTGAGATCTGAGTTCAAAACCCATCCGATCATCAAGGGAACTGGTATCTGGGGTCAGGAACTGGATGGTGGGGACATACTGCTCATTGAAAAGGTCTTTGTCAAGAATGAGCACCGCAGACAAGGACTTGGGCGAAAGATGATTGAGTCGTTGTTGACCCTGGCCCGGGAGAAGACATGGTCGTTCTTCGCTTTCGCTTGGCCAACCGTCCTGAGATTGCACGACTTCAGCCAAGAGTACGACAGTTTAGTGGAAGAGGCGGAAAGAGATCGACTGGAAGAACGCGAGCATGATCGAGCTGTTATGTTCCACAGATCTTTGGGTTTTCGAAGGGTGGGATCCACGATCTGGTTTGCCTTGACTCCCGACGTTGATCATCCTTCACGACAGCTCAGCTCAATGGAGGATTTCAACCCCTCAGAAGCGCCTCCAACCTCTCTTCATTGCCTCTTGAGCCCACTTCAGCAAATTAGTGACCCTCCCCCATCCGGTTTCGACCGAATACGAAACCCGCAGCCTCGGGAGTCCCCAGATTTTCTCAGCGTCCTCCAAAACTGTATGCAACAAAACGGACTAGCTGACGCCTGCTGGGAGACGAAAGATAAACATGGTAACACAGTCCTTCACCTTGCTGCGTCAATTCTCAGCGTTGCGTGCATTGAATGGATTCTGACCCAGGGCATCGGAGCTCGGCTTCTTGAAATGCGCAACAACCGAGGCGAAACCCCTCTCGAGTTATTGCAATTCAAACTCGAAAAGCTCCGCACCCAGAAGGTCTTCAATGACTTAACTGTTCCTGTCTCCGATGAATTCGAAGGATATAATGACAGTGCTGTTCGTTGTTTGATCTTGCTGAAAGGACTGGGCTCTGTGGAGTCTATCACGGAGCTTCAGGGTCCGGATGCCCTGCTGCAAATCGTTGGAGGATGCACTTGCGGACAATGTCTTAAGGGGTTTCTGAGTCCTCGGATGTCGTACGCTCTCCTTTGTCAGGCTGAAATCGGACACGACATGATGGATGAGGGCATCAGTCAGTTGCCGGGACCAGACTGGGTTGAAGGTCACATGCATAATCTCGGTGGCTTACCTTCAAAGGTGCTGAATAACCTCAAAACGAACAAGTCCATGCGTCAAGGCTTTGTCAACCTCTGGCTACACATTGCGACCTGTCTGAAGAGCAGGACTGTGCCTACCGCACCCAACGTGTTGGACATGGTTGAAGACGCTGGAGAGTGGCCACCTGCTACCAAACATTATCTCCAAAGAGGCGGTACTGTGGAACCAGTGTTTCTAGCGGTTTGCAGAAATGCCATAGAGCAGGATAAGTGGGCGGGAGATGGAAATCACGAGGAAATCTTCAGCAACGAGATCTCGAAGCTACCTGAGTGTCGGAATGACCATGAGTTTGCTTACGTTAGTGGAATGTGCGGTTACGAGCGCATTTCTCTCAGAGGGACGGTGGACATGATGGGCAATGGCTGGGACGAGGTCAGAAACATTTTCGATTTGCTAATATGATAGCTGTCTCGCGGGCAGCTGGTACGACTAGGGTTACAGTGGAAAACACGGAAGGGAAAGGGGCGCTGTTAGGCACTCGTTTTGATATTCGACACACCGCTGTGCTGCAAATTCGAACGCCTGTCTTCGTTCACTCGGTCCCCCACTGATGTACGAGTTGTATTCTAGATACATGTATGATACAGGGAGCAGTCAGCGATGGAACATTACGTAGAGCTACGAGAAATGCATTAATGATAATACCTTGAGAATCATCCATGACTTCACACTGTTATTCGCAAGGCACCACCGCGAGACCGGTGCAGGACGGCAGTTATATAGACCAACCAGACGTGATTCGCTAGAGGGATAAGATATTTTGTTTTTATCTGCAAGTATCGTATGTAGACGAGAACAACTCTGCGGCATAGAGCGCCTTGCAGGTATCACGTTCTTCGAAAGATTATTTGATGTTTGATGTTTGATGTTCCATGCTTCGCGCAATACATTCAGTCACGCACCACCAGTGTTCTTAGAGGTGGTCATTTCATTAATTATTTCGGACGTTGAAAGTCGCGTCACGATCTAGTTACTTAGTTGAGCCGACTCTTGTATCTAGGTATCTTCAAGAGTACGAGTCTAGTTATCCAGCCACACAGCCACCCAGGCTCGCTCGGCTCAGCGCTTTCTCCTCTCCATGCACATGCACATCCATTTTATTTACAACTCATCCCTCGGCGTCTTGCCACCCTTGGCCTCATCCCACTCCCTGACCCAGCTCCTGACCGTGCGGATCTCCCACTCATGCGCAGCACGAATGAAATCCGGCTCCGCAGTGACATCCAGAATACCCACGCTGTCCCAGTGATGGCCGGCGCCCGTGATGAGCATCTGGTCGGCGCCGTAGCGCGTGCTCGCGTTGTGGCCGTGGTAGCATACGTCGCGCCACACGTCGCTGGCGCCGTCGATGAAGACCAGGCGCGGCGCCGAGATGTTGAAGTCGCCGTATTGGTTGTACGTCGTCACATTGGGTCCGGTGGATGAGGGCACCGCTTGGGGTGAGGTCGGGCCTGTCGGGAAGGCCCAGCTGCACCATTGTTGTGTGTAGTCGAGGTCGATGAGGCGGGAGAGCAGGGATGGTGTTCCCTTCGGTTGTGGCAGTTGGTACACGCCTTGTTCCAGGCATGTGCTGTATAGGTACGACCGGGATTCGCTGTTGCTGGGGTCCGCGTAGAATGTTTCTAGTTGGGAATCGAGTGGTTAGTATGGTTGTGAGAATGGAATGGGTTGGGATATCGAATGGTACGGCGAAAGGGATGGCTTACGGTTCTGGGTCGAAAAGCATTCCGTTGTGTCGATCAGATCCTCGCTGTCACACGTTGACACGATCACGTTCTTGACGTAGTCGGCATACCCGCCTAAACCTGTCCATGCTGATCCGTTTGTGTAGTTCGACAGTTGAGTGTCGATCACGGTGATGTTCGCCGGCGCATTGGGATCTGTCACGTTATTGCAGAAATCGAAGAAGTCTCGAGAGTCGTACGCGGGCCACCAGTTCAATTCTTGCCAGGTGTTGGTCGGGTAGTTCATCGGTCCACCGATTGGAAATGCAATCTGCAACAATCGTTAGTTTATCGTCTTGAGCTGGGGGGAAATAGTGTCCTCGAAAACTCACAGTCATGGCGAAATCCCGCAAATCACTCAGGGGCCCCAGCCCAAAGATCTCCTTCAACTGCTGGATGGCCTCAGTATTGTTGGTCTCAATCAGATAGTCCACGTTATCGATGATATTGTTGATGCGAGAAATGCAATCCGGTGGGCCATTGATTTGAATGGGGTTGTACCACTCAGGATATCCATGAACAGCATGAACCACGCCTGAGGAAGCGATGCCTCCCCATAGTAGTCCCTCATATTCTACGAGCGAGAACGCTGTCTGTGCACCCGCTAGACTCCCACCATAGAGAATCCAAGGTGTCGTGTCGGCCGTCAGGTTATCACCTCCTGTGGTATTCGGGAACAGCGCGTTCTGCGCAAAGTACGCATTATCCGCGATGGTCTGCTCTGTTGTCAAGTACCTTAGGTTATCCGTCGTCGAGTTTTCGAACGGCCAACTTTCGCCATAGTATCTATTCTCGAGGATCACACCCAGACCGTTCGTGGCATTCATAAGTATTTGGATGATTCCTGTCTGGAGATTCGAGAACCGTGATGGTCCGGAGGTCTCCCCACCGATGTACAAGAACACTGGACCTCCAGGCTTGTAGTACGTGTTGTCGAAGTAGTATCTCTGAGTGAATGTTTCGTTGGTATTCGGTGCATATCGAGGACTGTCTTGGAAGTGGTCAATCAGTTGGTCGAAGGTGTATGCGGTGTAATTGGTGGGTCGTCCATTGTCACCGAGGGGTCCAACCTGTCCTGCTGCTATGCTCGCGAGGTTGAAGCTGAGAATAGCGACGTATGCCGTAGAGAGGTACTTCATCTTGGATGAGCCAGGACCCTTCTCTGCTGGATCCTTTCACCCGACGAGAAGCATGAGAGTCCGTGTTGCTTGCGCGGGGAGGACGATACCTATGAACCATTGGCGAGCTCCGTAAATGAGAGAATATCGAAGATGACGCCATGGCAAACTGAGGGTAGCACCGAGATAGCAATCGTAACATCCCATGAGCTAGTCTGGAGGTTAAAAGATATAGCCGGTGGCCAAGCATAGTCAAGCATGACAAGCTTGTGTGATCCTGTGGGATGGAAGCTTGCTTGAGCTTGTGTGGATTTCCACTTTTCGTGATCAGCGGGGTTCCGATTGGTTTGCTTGAGTTGGAGTATCGAATGCTAACGGTTAGTGACAAGGCTGCATTGCACAGATCATTACCGCTTTGATCTCGCCCGAGGTTGCATTTTTGGAGGGGTACCTCCACTAGGTGCAGCAAGGTGCCTAATTCCGAGGATCCCTCAGGGAAAATCCGCACGCAAGGATTGTTCCCTGGCGTATGGGTTGGAGATTGTCAGAAATGTGCAATGAACGCGAGTACGTCAAGTGCATGGCCCGACCGATCGTTATTAGCTTGCACTGTTCAAGGTGCATGATAGACTGATGGTTCTAGAGACCAAGTCAACGGGTATGATTCAGGCATTCAGTCTGAATCGTAACCAAATTTCTTGTCGAAGGATGAAAAAGCCATTGATGTTTTTTCGTTTAATGTACAGATACCACTCTCTGAAGTTCGAGATCATCAGATTTAGGTATGACAGATGACGTCGACTTTTCTTCCTCCTTCTTGGGTCCCTCTTGGTTTATCCCACGCCTACTGGCAGCTTCTTGTAGTTTCTGCGTATATTGCTGCGACTCAGCCGCAAATCTGCAACGCGATCTTATTGCCGAGCCATATTTGTAGAACAAAAATGGTATTGGTAGGCATAATACCGAGATAAAGGCGGGGATAGAGGACGCCCAATGAATTCCCAATGCTCGATACATTGGAGTTGTGAAAAGTGGGAAAATGGCTCCGAACATATATCGTATAATAGACATACCGGCCAGGACAGATGCTGCATAAACGGTATAGGCATCCAATAGGTAATTCACAACACCCAGATATATCAACATGATACCAAATCCGAATGGTACCATTGCTGCCACACTCACCATCCAATGTGTGGAAGGTGAGTTCGAAAAGGCAAACCAAAACATGCTAATCGGTAAAGTGGTTGAAGCTACCATGCAAAGAGGTAGACGGGCTTCTGGGGGCGCAAAACCATCATGTCGCTCCTGAACTCGAACATAACGTTTGTTGTCAAATACTGAGTAAATGGTTCCAATGAAGATTCCGACCATGACACCGAGAAAGGGAAGACCGCCTTGCCCAGGACTCCAGCCACGGCCTTCTTCGTAGACCACTGGAAATGCACCAAAAAGCATGTAAAGTGTTCCATATACGATGGCCGTGTAGAAAGTGAACAGTAGAACGATCGGCTCATGAACGAGTACTATCCATGGGCGAGACAGGGCAGTTTGAAGTCGTTTCGTGAGGGTGACTTTGCCTTTTTCGAGATCTGTTTTACTCCCATAACTTTGGCCGGTCATTTTGGTCAACTTCTCGGCGCGTTTCCGAAGGAGTACAGGTGCGTAGGTCTCAGGCACCAGGAAAGACACCAAAACCCAGACAAGTAAGGTGCATAAAGCTAAGAACCCTTCAATCCATCGCCAGCCAGCAGCAGTGCCGAGATAGCCACCGATTGAAGGTCCGAGAGCAGGGCCTGCGGTTGTTAGTACACGGTGCTCATGTGTGGGAATAATGCACATACCTAGATAAGGGGTTGCAGCAAATAAGCACAATCCAAGGCCACGTTGCTTCGCGTTGAACAAATCGGATATGACACCTCCTGCATTGGTCAATGGCGACGAGCCAAATGCACCTGCGAAGAAGCGGAGGATAATCAATGACTCGATGTTTTGAGCGCCAGCGCAGCTACCGGTGAATGCAGCCATGATTAGAAAGCTGAAGAAGAACGGTATTTGTCTTCCAATGGTCTCACTTAGAGGAGCCTGATATTTATGTTAGTATTGGGTGGATTTTGGGACTTGAGATAGTTGGTATTTAGAACAGACTCACCCATATTAAAGGTCCTATAGCAAAACCTAGGATAAACAAGGACAAACCAAGGGTGGCCACTTCATTACTCACACCAAAATGATGGATGACCATTGATAAGCTACCGACGTATGCTGATGAAGTGAAGGATACGATCAAGGTTGCGAAGGCTGTAGTACCCAGTATAATAATCTTCCTCTTTAGACTGAAGTTCAATGGGTTCCGAGGGTCATCTGGGATCCAGGTCACCATATAAGGATCATTTTCTGTGCCAGAACCCTCATAATCGTGATGTAAGATATCGTCGGTGACGGCCCCCTGATCGGTCATAAGAGCCCAATATGATAGGCGTTTTGGCGGCACAACAGGCTCATCAAAGTTCTCGACATTGTTGCTTGTCATTACTGTAGCTCAGAGTGTATTCTTGGTCCAACCGATGGCTTCAAGATTAGAAGTTGAGGCTTGTCCCTGACGTGGTTGGAAGAGAATAGATTCCAGGCCAGCCCGCTTAACGAAATTCAACCGCAAATCAATGTCTAACGTCTTGTGACATGATCATGAGACAATATCGTTCAATGCCTCGGCTATCTTGGGCACTGAGAACCAGTGCTGGTCAACGGCAAAAAGTTGTAGGGGCAACTGAGGTGCAAACGGATAAAGACCGAGACAAGTCTGAAACTTGGCGAAGACTCTGATAGATATAAAACAAAGTTTTGGATGTGCTGGCGGTCTGGCGGAATTTTAGGAACGAGGTTGTCATCTTCCGATGGCATTGGACTGGTTCGAGTAATAAGAAAGCACCGTGACAGTCAAACCATCTGCGGGGTGCCTAAATAGGGGACAGGAGATTCCGAGGCGATCATGTTCGAGTCAACCGAGTCAAGACTAAGAGTGAAAGACATGACAAAAGTCCCAAAGATTTAGCTCCAAGCAAAATAGCGGCCATAAAGTTGGTTCCATTCCACGGAGGAGGAGGGGCCGGCAAATCGGCAATGTAACGCTTAAGCCTTAGTCGGCTGAGAAAGCTCACCAAGTGAATAAGGCTGAAGGGGATTCTGATGTTTGATTGGAGGGTAACGGCCGTCGACCGCCCGTCGTGTCTCTTAGGGGGCAATCCTCAAGGTCCACGTAAGTTAGCTCCATGGAGTGAAAGATGGTGCTGACAAGTGAGAATGATTTTCGACACCAAGAATTCCCACGCCACAGTAATTAGGAGGGAAGCTCAGCTTAGAGGTCTTTGCCTGAGTGGATGAGACATCGCCACTCGGTATGTCCTTTTGACAGCTGGCATGTATCCGGTTTTTGAGCTGGATTGATTCTGTTCATGTTGCAAATACATGAATCTGGGCCTACCTAGGAAGGTGATTGAGAAGCTCGGTATTTCTGATGGCAGAGATGCAGATGCTAAGGCCTGGAAATGCCCAAACGGATTCGGGTTTCGTGGGTACTTTTGAGACCTTCCTAATTCTCCCCATCTTCTTTTTTCCCTCTCGTTGTACCTTCCCGAATAGCTCAGCGCTCACCGCCACATTCACGTGACCCAAGACGCCATCATATCATGTGACCTGGCCGCCACATTATGTAATTGCCTCTCCACTCCTGGAAATGCCAATACAAGCGATGGCGCGTCACATCTTGTCCCAAAACCTGATCGACGTCAGTCCTTCGCATTTCGACTGGGCAAATTCGTGTCTCCCCGTGTCTTCCCCTTGACCTCTGGTGCACCTGATCAATGCTGGGCCCAGGTAAACGCAACCACAAGCGCAAGGCTCATTTCGTATCCGTGTGAATGAACCAAGCATCCTGAAATCCAAAGTGTCTCTGGCCTTGCTCACGCACTCCTCTTCGTAGGTCATAAGATCGTTTTCTCACCTTGTCTTGCCCTCCACCCTCTTTCCCATCTCCAACCTGCATATCCATCCCAATACTACTAAAAGACAATCTCTCTCTCTCTCTCGATCGTGATTTTCGAGATGGGCCTGACCGACCTTTCCATCCTCGTCCTCCTTGCGACTGGCCTCGTCTTCTCCATCATCGAACTCGGCTTGTCCGCTTGGGCGGTTGACGTAACTCCTGATGGCAACGAAGCCAATGACCGCTTCGGTTTCCTGGTATTCTGCTCAGTGTGGACCATTTTTGTGACCGCCTTCCTGATCGCATTCCCAATATATGGAACAGCTTCGAGAGGAGATGTCGAACGATGGTACTCCCCATTGACCATCGCGCTCAATGCGGTGACCATGATCTTCTGGCTGGCTGGATTCGCAGCTGATGCTGATCTGTACAATGGTTATAATCCGAGAGGTACAGCAGGGGCGCTTTTAGCTTTCGCGGTCATGCTTTGGTAGGTCATCCACTTCTCGCACGCGCATTGCGATTTGCATCCTGACTAACTCGCTCGATAGGCTCATTTTCCTCGCACTCCTGATCCTGAACATCCTCACTGCGATTGGCGTTCTGAGAAGTGACAGGGCCGGGCATACAAGAATGACAAGAGGAAAGGCAGCAGCGACAGTATAAATAAGTGGTGGTGGCTTCAAACTTCACGGTGGCTTTTCTCTGCTGAGAATGGCCTTCAGTGGCATCATAACCACATTCACTGTTTTGCGGGCAGCGCGATGTTCTACGACCAGCAATTGCAAGATGACTGAAGTTATGGCATTGCACACTGTTTGTCAAGAACAGCTCCTGTGGCGCATAAGAAATGACTTTTAATTTCTGTAATTTGATGGTTGATGGATATGGATTTCATCTCGATCCTTTAAAATGATTGCTTCAGCGAATACCCCGGATGGTGTTTAGGTTGATGGACTTGTTAATTATGTATTAGATGTTTACGACTATCTTCAAATATGCATATGGAGACTTGTAATATTGCTCAAAGATGTGCAAAGCCACTTCAACTTTACCGTTGCTTGCATCCCACTCGGTAACTTACCATTGCCAACTACTGATTATCCCTACTTTGGTTTCAGCCAGCAAAGTCACCAAGACGCTCGTACTCGTTTTGCAGGGCTCCGCTTTGGAGGATATTTCCAATGGTCATGCAGACCGGGGGCGGTGCATCTGCAGTAGCGCCGTGTTCGAGCAACGACTTTTGTACAGCCAATCGAATGTGCTGAGCACAACGCCTCATTCAGGGATTGCTGTTCTTCATCAATTCAACCAATGAATGATGGAACACCGCTAACGACTTTTGTTCAGTCAATGGCGAAGCAACTCGGCGTTAGTCTCGACTGGCCATTTCACAAAAGTCGCTAGGCACTTCGTGCATATATTTGGCTCTCAGCCTGATCATTGATTCCCTTTGTCACTTTCCTCAACTCCACAAATTTCCAAATGAGACCTTTTCGCAATCTTATCAGCAAGGACGTGGAGCCTGGGAAGCGACATCATCCTCACACACGTGTGGAGTGGGAAAGCTTCCGAGATGATTTCACCAGACTCTATCAAATTGATAGAAGAACACTAGCGGATGTTGTCGAGCTTCTTAGTGAGAAAGGGTTCCGGGCCAGGTAACATCCTCCCTGCATGCAGTACAAGGGCATTGAGCCGACTGACATGGACCCATAGTGAGAAGCAATGCAAAACGTACATCAAGAAGTGGGGGCTCGAGAAAAATAATAGTGTATGTCAGACGATATCAATCGGAGCAAATAAACTAACTACGACCAAAGCAAGTCGATATGATTTTTGCTGCTCAGAACCAGCTCAGACGGAATGGCAAAAAGACAATCTATAAATATCGAGGTCGCCGGCGTACCGAGGCCGATGTTGCCCACTACTGGAGTCGGAAGAAGGCGAACTTCGAAGACTTTTCTCCCATTCCAACAACCCCAGCTGGTATGGAATACTTTACTCCTGCCTCATCTCCAAGCGATACAATGGAGGGCACAGGGTCAGGTCACATCGCTCTCACGCCAGATGACCCTGAAATAAACTCTTCTGATGATGCCATGCCTGTAACCGTGGAGTCGGATGTCTTCCGGGAATACGAGCGACTTCCACAGGTTCGGTCGCAGTCTCCATCAGCCGTTGCTGCGATATTTCTGGACGCTGCTTGCCGCCGCATTATATCGAACTACCAATCTAAGACCCTAGGATTGATCGAGCTCCCAGACACATTCCAACAACGGGCCCATGTTTTAAATCACAGTCAAGAATACTTCTCATGGTGGCTTCAAGAAGTAGACCTCAGCGAAGAAAAGTTCCAATCGGAGTCCAAAGTCGCCTGGGATTTTAGGGAGTCAGTTTACGCTCTACAATACGCAATTTGCTACGATCACTCCAAGGATAGTATCGAAATCATGTTTTTTGACGTAATTCAAATGCTTCCAACCCTATGGCAGCAAGAAAGCCCCAGTGGTGTACTATGTACCATGGACATGTTGTTCTCGGTCTCGGACAACTCGGCGGAAGAAAGATCATATACTCAACTGATCGCGTATTATGCATTTGATCATGCTTTGAAACTATGGGGAAATGAGCACCCCTGTACTAAGTTCCTGCGAACGATCATTGATCCTGGCACTAGCCCTTTTGACATGATATGTGCGTTATTACTGGGTAAGGAAGTTTTTCGCGGAGTATTTGATCGCAACCACTGGCTCCAACTCACTCTCTTACATCGACTCGATAGAGGTGCGACAAAAGTGAAACAATTCGACCAGCTGGAGATCGAAAATGAAATTTACCAACTGTACCTGGCCACATACCAAGCAGAGATCACCGACAGGGCTTTGTACAATCTTTTGATCAGTCAAGGCAACCTTGTATCTGCTTACGCTGAGCGTGGGAATTATCATGACGCTAGAATCTTGTTGGAAGACGGGCTTGAGAGGCTCCGAGGCATTGATGACCCGGAGAAACGAAGTCACGTCCGGGCTATCTTTCGACGACGTTGGGGTAACCTCAACTATGAGCAAGGGAGGATCAGGCAGTCACTAAATGCCTTTATTGAATCTTTGTCGATATTTCTTCAATTATACGGCCCGCGACACTCCGAGACAATGGAAAGTGCGGATTGGTGCCACTGGCTTCAGGACAAACTAGACACAGAAACTCAACAAAGGCTCCAAGCAGGGTTTACTGTACCGTGACATGTAAACCTACATTTGCGCCTCTCTATCTTTGCAAGGGTGGTTTGGAGAATCGGGGATGGAACGGCATTCTATGATGCAGCGCACCGCCATCAGCGGGCCTTGAAGTTCTTTCATCTAGTAGTTAGACAGCAATCACGCGAGGAACTGATTACTTTCGTAAATGTCTCTGAAATATCAGTACATTCTTCCTTGATCGTCTTCCGATGTCTCAGTGTGGCCCATCTTGGTGTGTCCTCGACCATTTCTATCACGAACCAACGCTTCGGAGGTCTCCACAAGGCTTGTCGAACAGCCTTGCCACCAGTTTGACGTCGATTTTGTAGGCTTCTCTCCTACACAACAACAGCACAAAGGCTCAGATAGGCAATCATCAACCGCCCCAGACAGGCAAATACTAAGTCACTCTGTGGCGAATCTTGAGGCATCCAAAGCAGCCTGTATTGACAAGAGAGCGGTTCAATTTTTCGTACTGTACGTTCGATGGTAAATGTGACTAGACATCAACTGTCTCCAATATACGTTCCGGCATACTGGGATGGTGTTGTTCCCAGGCCGACCATAAAGGATCCAAGGCTCCACATCAATACTCTGCCGCTTTGTAAAATCGATTACCTGTACAAAGCGTCCGAAAGCTTTTGTATCGGAGATATTATCTTCTGCTCTTTTCAACACCACGAAGCCGGCAGTTCCCTATCAAAATTCAGCCTTATAACATGCACCATGCAGAGGCCTCACTTTCTGCCTCTACTGTCCGCTTCGCAGTCCTCTTGCTTTCGTACTATCTCAATTGCCCGCTGTGCAGCCAGGACCATTTCACAGGTCGTAGGCCTGCTGCTTGCCCGGTTTTACTGCGGAAAACACTAATGTCATTGAGAATCGAGGCTCTTCAGTGCTACCCAAGTTTGGACTATGGATGCAGCAGTAGACACTAATGTTAACGCGAAGATAGCCAACGCGATCCAGAATGTCCAGAACTTCTGCGTATCTCGTCGGTCGCGCCACAGCTGTGTCCACCCTTCCGGATCGCCCAAGAAGATATCCTCATAAAGTTCTAGGATACGGTCTCTCCAATAAGGGTAATCTCTCAAATCTCGTGACCGATGTCGCGGCTGGATCATATGGAAGTCCTTGCCTCTAGTCTTTAAGAACTTTCTTGTTCGATTATCCGTCGATGGGAACAATAAATCCAATGTCCGATTGGTCTCCTCGAGGAAATCTTTAGGAAGTGGTAGGTTGGGCAAGGCGTCTTGCGATGATGTGATGCTTTGCTCTTTTAGATATATGTAGTGTCAAGGGATAGTGATTGGTTGCCTACCTTTCAACAGTTATTTTGGACGCAGCCAGGAGAAAATGCCGATTTGTGAACACCCACAGAATTTTTTTGGATCTGTCTAAGTGTAGGTGCTCCGCAAGGCAAGACGTCCAAGCAACTTCCAGCCCACAGATATCTTTCATAGTAATGATGCTGAACCGAGGGCTCAAGCGCCGTGGGCCTGGTCCAGGTTCCATTGCGCCCTTGTTGAAAAGAGCTGCTAGTTGGGACCTCAAGGTAACGCTGGCCTGCCACTCGACACAAGACCTTCCAGATTCATACACATTGTCCCCTGGACTGCGGAAGTTCATCATCAGCCAAAACCGCAGCCCCGCGTCGATGACACAATCAATGTCTATATCGCTGCAGGATCGCAGGCAAGGTATTTCCCTGAGCCGCTGTCGTAGTTGAGATTTCGTCAGGGCCTTCCCAGTCTCGCGAAGGGTGCAAACGATATCGAGCATTTGTTTATGCGATTCCAAGGGAAATTCCCAAGTGCCCAGTCGTCCATACTGAAACTTTAAAGAGTCTTGCTGCTGGCAATAGTACGAGAAGTACTCTTTTTCCAGCTCTGAACCGTTTCGGCAAAGGGAGAGGTCGCCAAAGTACGTTTTGATGATGGCAGCTCGATCAATCTTTGTTGGAGAAAGGCGAAGATGTGTATCAGTCCCCATCGCGACTTTGGTGATTACAGCTCATCGCTGTGGTCGGCGGTTTCCTGGTCTGGTAGCCTCTAAAGAGGTCAGGTACGACGAAATTTCCTTCCTAGAGAGCTAACACTGCCCCATCATTGCCTCAAGGCTGTGCAGCTTTGCCTTGTTTAAGCTGCATATGTTGGAGTGCTTAGTATGGATTGTGCGTAAGCCACGAACACTTGGTCTGCACTGATTGGAGCCGTTCCCCAATGACCCGACAGACACGGCACGCGCTTTCTTTTGTGGTTCAACAGCCATTCATTGCTTTCTCGCAGATTGCGGTGGCCAGAGTTCTTAGACTATCACACGTGAGCTTCTCTCGACTTGTTTTGACGGTCAAAATTTCGATATTTCGAACTTATACGTGTCTGATGGACATCACAACGTATCCCACTTGAATCGTCCAACCCTTTCGCGCTTGATTCAAACCCACATGTGCTACCTTTCAGCCTGATCCTTGTCTTGAAGAGTCTCTACAGATTTCGTGCTGCGCAGTCTGGAGCAAACTTACCTCCGTAGCAACCCCACGTTCAACTTAACAAATGAAGAATCTAATACATCGATCATAACGACAATGGCGGATCATCCAGGAAATGTAGTTACCAATTCATCGGGTGAAAATCTTGGTCAAACCGCTGTTGACCGAAACTTGAGAAGGATCCCCCGGCTCTTTTCGCGAGTGAGGGATACTTTCAAAGCAGATAATCTAACGACACAGCCTGATCAAACACATCTACCCGCACAGCCATCAACCTTGATACGGACTGGAGATGATGTTAACACTGAGGCGTGTGCCACTTCCCAAAACAGCGTTCCCAACCCCTCATCGGGGACTTCGGGGTTAGCTGCGACTGGATCCAATGTGAATGGAAAGTTCTTGTCCTCCACAGGCATCACTGGGCAAGGGACAACTGCACCGGCAGCTCACCCAGAAAGCGAGACATTCTTGTCCTCCACAGGTATTACTGGGCAGGGGGCAACTGCACCGGCAGCTCACCCAGAAACCGAGACATCTCCAGGGCCAGCACCCGTCGTACCCACAAGCGCTCCTGGTCCGTCAAGCAATTCTTCAGGAAGGTTGAGCGTCAATGACAATATTGTTTGCTGGGACGGAGTATATGTTCGACGCGAGCGCAGCGACGCTTCCCTTCCATGGACTTGGGCGCAGTCGAATCTGAGCCAATACATCGACAGAGAGATAGCAGACTACATTCAAGGCAGATGCAGCAACCAGACTGTTGAACTTGAGTATTGCCTCGAATTACTCTTCGCCGGCAAGCAGCCACATGTCCTGCATCCAGCAATCGTAATATCCACGCGATCAAGAAAGACGAAGAAACAAATTTCCCATTGTCTGGCTCGCTCAGAACTCAAGCACGCTCTTAGGGTAAACAAGTTAAATCTCTACGTCTTGAAGACCCCGATTGAGCCAGCAGCTGGACCGTTCGTCGAGACTTCAGCCAGTATGCAACACCATGCACTGACAGAACCACCGAAACACATTCCTCTGCTCAGTGGCACTGAGATCGGATATCAACCCTGGCGTTCTGGGCAGATACTCCTCAACGACTGTGCCACGTCTCTTTGTGGTGCCCTCATCTTGATTAAGGACCCCTCATCGGAGTTAATTTCCCACTGTGTCCTTGGAGGGTCGATTCTAGTCGGAAATTCCGCATATGCCTATACTGCCCTTCACCCTTTTGCGCGCATCAGGATTTGGGAGTCTAACCAGGAGGGCGAGGATGATGCCTGCGAAAGCAATGCCGACTCCGAAGACACCGATGACGATGAACCCTTCTGCATTTTATATGACGATGGAAGCGAACAGGATAACGCTGTTGTCATACCTTCCGCATTTCCGGCTTCCTTCAGTATAAGTTCAACCATCCAGCAATCTTCACAGTGGCAATCGGCATGTGTTTCCTCTAAGAAAGCAAAGAATGGCTCGCTCAACATCTTCGAAATGGGTTTCCAGCAGAGGCTCTCCGGTGAGCTCTCGTTATGGCGCCAGGGACCGGACGCAGATTGGGCACTCTTCGACGCAACAGAGATTGAGAGAAGTAGCGGCAGTCTGGACGTGGTGTCTCCTAACACGATCGGTGGTCATGTGATTACGGAGTGCTTCGATGAGCAGGAAGCCAGCGTGCCTGTCATTCTGGCACTTCCTACAGGAGAGGTTCCTGGCAGCCTTCACCCAGGATCTGCACTTTACAGACTTGGTTCGAGATTGTACGATTTACGCCTTGTGACACTCGAGGAGCCATTGAAGCCTGGATGTTCAGGAGCTTGGGTAGCTTGCGGAAATGAGCTCTGTGGCTCCATTACAGTGGTGAGGCCTGATTGCCCTTGGATCTACATCATGCCATTTTCAACAATCAAGAAGAACATGGAGGAAATCTGTGGTTTCACAGTCCGCTTTCCACTCATGCCTTCGCTACCACCACGATCAGGTGGAGACGCACCATCAAGCCCAGTACTCTCCGTTGCGTCGATTGGTATACCCGAAGTAATGCCTTCATTGTCAAGAGCCAACTCTGACGATGGGAGTTCTTCTGCTGACACTGATCTCGCCAATAGTATACTTGGTGATGGTCATGTTCTCGAGTCTCAAGATGGCATCTTGACGGTGCCGTTTCGATATCAGGAGGACGCCAATTTATTATGTCCTTTCCAGATTTTGGATTGCGATCGAGTTTTCACGAACATTATTCAATTCAAAACGCACGTCTTCTCTCATTTCCGAGGACACGAGTTACCTACCGCAGCGGCGTGCTTTTTGTGTGATGCCAAGTTCACCCAGCACCCTGAAGATGATCGCGCTTTGGCCTGGAATACTATGCTATCACACATGGTGCATGAGCATTATCGTCAAGGTCAACAGCTCGCGACGGTGAGGACCGACTTCAGCTTGATGAGGTGGATGTTTAGCAAAAGGCTCATAACTAAAGAGCAATTCTCGAGGACCCAAATGGTTCCGATGCCGATTATACTTCCGGGAGGGTCAAATGCGAGGGCAGAACGGGGAAAATTTGCTGAGATACCACAAATGCCTTCTGCTCCTGCTCCTCCCACACTGTCAGCCCAGCCGGCGAACCTGGAGGCGGGGAGCAGGGATCCAGCCTTGGGGAGCGGTCCCGTGGGAGAACGGGTCAGCTATACGAATACAACATAGAAGATACGCTCTGTTCCGCAGGGAGGGCATAGGTTCGCCCCTGAATACCTAAGTACCAAAAACAAACCCCTCCAGGCACCCTTCCTTACATTACAGCCCCCATCTTTCCAGATCGACTTTCCAGATTCCTTTTTTTCCTTCCACGAATATTTCTTTACTTGATTTCTTATAGTAGCGATTTCAGACAGAACATATGCCTTCTTAGGGATCATAGCGCCCAGAGCATTCGCTCTAGTGGTCCGAAATGAGATAACAATGCCTGCATCTTTTATTTGGCGAGCCTGTGCTTGAAAAAGTTTTGGAAGATCGAGAATGTGTTCAGAAAGGTCTTGTTCCACACCTCTTCGTCGGTTCGAGGCACTTAACCATATCTGCGGAGTCGAGTATCTAAATAAATTCTTGGAAGAAGTCTCATGAATTCTTACTGGAGTCCTGCATCGCGCATAGGCCGCAAGGCAGGTAAATCATCCTGTGGTCTGTCCACACCAGGAGGCCCAGCCTCGGACTGGATTGCAGGGACCTCCAGAGTGGATTCTCGAGAGCACAGTTGGGAGCATGATCTATGCAAATGACGAGGACTGCTCCCAAAGCCAACCCTGACCAAGCTCGTTGATATCTTCCAGGATGTCGCTGTCGAGGAAATGGAATTGCGAATTTGCATTAAAAATCGCCATATCATCGTGGTCAATGTCATGTCTCTCCACCACCGTGTCCATGCCATCAGACTCTCCTGCATCCACTCTAGTATCTTGTGCCTGCCATGGGTCGACGATCGAGCTATCATGACACTGGGCCCTTGCTGTTTGAACACGAATCCGGTCAGTAGACTTGTCATTTTCAGCAGGCGTAAATTGACTCGAAGCAAGACCAGGTTCACGGTCGGTGTCCCACGGAATTCCGGACACTTGAGAAGAAGAAGCAGCGACCACCTTGGGGGATGTCTCGAAATAATTCTGGTAAGTTACTAGCTCATCGTCAAGTGAAGTCAGCGTCTTCATCTCTTGATCCAAGATCTTGCGAAGTAATTTGCCAAGGATACGTCCGGTCTGATCAGATATGACAGTGCTGAAGCCCAGTTGCTGTGGCATCTTGATGAGTTGACCAATGTAGCGTTTTGCATCGGTGCCCTGACTAGAGACAGGGTTGGACAACGCAAAAATGCCCAACATGACCCCAGCGGTGAAAGTGTGGATTCCCACATAACCCGCGACTGGCAGATTACTTGCGCGTTTGAGAATGTGTGGAAATTGGCCAATCGAGGCAGTGCGTGAGGCAGCCTTCCAGCAACACTCTCTGCTCATGGTCCAAATGCTCGCGTTTTCACCGTGAAAAGCAGGAAGTGAGGCGCGCGAGGTAGTGTCCATCAGAGTCAGAGCTCCGGGAATCAGTGACAAGGGTCGATGAAGAAGAATTTGTATATTGTCGTAGCATAGCTGAAGTGCAAGAGCCTGAAGTTGAAAGATCTTCGTGACAGAGTCCACACTGGTGTATTTTTGACGGTTCTCGAATGTCTCCACAGTCAGTTCGGCTGGCAAGTCTCTCTCCCATTCTACCAGTTTTGCATTCGTCTCTTGAACCGTCTTGATCAGCTCGGGAAGGGAACAACGATGGTCGTCACCCGGAGAGATTTTTGTTACGATGGGCTCGGCAATCCGATACAGTCTGAAACGATACCTTTGGTAGGACAACGTGGTCACGGGCTGAGTTGTCCCATTCTCGAACCGTTCGTGCGATCTAAAACCTGGACATTGGTCCATAGTGTCATCCATGTTTTGTGGCAATTCAACTTGGAATCTGAGACCGCCTAACATGGAGGGCGTCCCGTAAGTCAGGGCGCCGTAACTGTGATTCTGGTTAACTTCTTGCCTGGTTGTAGACAACACAAAAGTGCATTCACCTGTCCAGAATATAAATAGCCCACCAGACCCGTCGATGCACTTCTCGTTCAATATGATTCGTGACCTTCCATGCGGCTTCTCGATGCAAATTGAGCCGTTGCGCGAGTCGTATGGCGGAACTGTTGAGAGAAAGGCACCGTTGCGGTTGGCCGTGGTAAAAATAGTACGAGCTCAGCACTAGGTAGACTTGAATGGCCCCGAGGTTGTTCTGGTCCAGGATATATACGAACTTTTCCTCCATTCGGCGAAGTAGCTTCTCTCCTATGCTTGCTGCATCCATACTCGAAACTGTAGTGGATTGCGCTTGGGTGGTAACATGTTTCGACCCGGTCACAAGAATCACTGCGAGGAGCATGGCGGTAGACAATCGGTTCTTTGGAATATGCCGAGTTGCTAGTAGTCTCTTGAGATCATCTCTCAGAGATGGTTCATGGAAGACGAGCGTGAACCAGTGGGCGGACTTGATGTAGCTATCGAAAAGCATCAACGCGGTAGCAGGAGAGAGGATATCATAACCAATGAGATCACCGACATATATAGATTCTTTGACGCTGCCGATCGCAGAATCTTGGTGCGATGCTGCATCAGGTATGGCACTTGAATCTTTGAATGGTAAATGCTCAGTAGCAGAGTCTTGGAGCAGCTGATTGCATCACTCATAAGTCGCCTTCTTGATTCAAAGACTATTGCTGCCTTACCTGGTCCGCAAGGCCGTAAGTGGACGATCTGTCATGATCCAAGTTCAGAATATCATGCCAATCACGACCACTGGACACTCCTTGGTTGTACGGCCTCTCTTTCGCTAATGCATGACGCGCTTCGTTTTCAGACAAGTGTCCCTGCACCGAGTTCGATGTTTGTACTGCTGACCCAGTCGGCGTCGATGTTAGTGGTGTCGCTGCGGCGTCATTCAGATAGGATGGCTCTGCGCCAGAGATAGTTTCCTGTCTTGAACGACGATCATTCTTCCTGTTGTTTTTTAGTACCTTATGATTGTGCGAAGCAAGCAGCATGCACTCAGGAATGCTCATACTTAATAGACCTCTCGCCATCCTCACATGCGACACATGAGCGTACACACAGTGCACACGGCCGATGACTGTCACACTGTAGATTTCAATCATGAGAATCAGTCCTGGCTCTGGAAATGAACAGGCCTTGACAGCTATCACTCACTCGGAGCTTTTGACGACGGCATCTCAGACACGCGTACAGAGCTCTTCTACCTGCTCTCTTCTGCCGAGCTGGTTGCTCCATGCGCCTTTCGACTGAGCAATAAAACAACTCTTACTAATAATATCTTTTGCAAGAATCGCTCGGTCTGAAAACGGCAAGACGCTGGACAAATTATCCAGAGTGTTGACTGGCTCTAGGGTCCTAAGGTTGGTTCTTGACGGGCCGTGATCCTGATGACAAGAAGGATAGTAGATTACGCAATCGATATCCCAACTCTCCGGAGGTTCTCGAACTCAAGCCTCACGGGATGTCACCTGTGTCTGATTTGAAATCAGTGAGAAGAGCCTCGTCAACCGTCAGCTGAGGTTGGATGGCAGAAATTGGGAAGTCCAACTTCCCGGTGGGATTTCGAGACAACGCGATATAAATGGTATTGATTGCGGGGAAAGGCAAAAGTTGCCGCCGGCATCTCCAACCTGGCGAGCAACGACCTTGTGAGCTTCTTCGTGTCTCAAGCCTAGGAACACGAGAAGGTGGTGGGATTATTCACAAGGATTCTGCCATGGGACGTTATCGGGAAGTTGCATTCACTAAACCCGTTTCCTTGAAGCTGCGTTTGATAGATCTACCTAACTCAAGAATGGTATGATTGCTCGCCCAGGCCCATCTCCACCCCCCGGGTTGAGTGCAACCGCTTGTACATCTCGGCCTGGAATCGGAAGTATAGCTCAACCGACTTCGCATCTCCGGGAGGATGAAGTTGACTGGCGTATAGTCCGCAAAGACCTGCATTTCTATCCACCCACCATTTGAGATTCGGATAACCTCCCCAGCTGACGCTACCTCCTCTCCTTCCAGTGTCCAGAGAGTTGACGTTGATGATCCCGGCCAGAGAGTGATCCACCTCGATGCCTGGGGGAATTCCAAACCCCGTGGCCCGGTCTAGATCCTGCACGATTTTGTTCAAAGCCTGTCTGGACATCGAACTCAGTTGTGGCTTGAGTAAGTCAATAGTCGCAGGGCCGGAGAGCAACCTCTCGTCGCCTACCAACACAGCTTCCAAGACCGCAAAATAGTCAAGGGCCGTGGAATAGATCCCAACACCGCCCAAAGATTCTTTGATGGGATCAGGCAAGATCTCCTCAGTTGTCCAATCAAGTTCGCCACCAGCATGCCGATAGCTCGTGTGGCACAGATTCTGTCGGATATCAGGACGTTCTTCGAGATGGAATGTCATGTTTCTAAGGCCAAGGGGTTCACCAATATTTTCCTGTATATACTGTTGAAGGTTTGTCCCCGTTAGTCGTTCGATTAGAATCCCTGCCCATTCAATACCCGGGCCGTACTCCCAGCCCTGGCCAGGCTCGAAAAGAAGCGGCAGGAAATATGCCCTAGTGAAGTCCGAGGCTGGAATACCAACGTTCTCGTGGTGATATGCACGCCACTGCTGCAACAAAGGCACGAAAAGGTCATAGCCCAAGCCAGAGCTGTGTGTTAGAAGTTGACTGGTGCCAACGTGTGGTGGCTTGTCAGCATTTGAGGAACAAACTCACCGAGGGTGATTGGAAACATGTCACCTACCGAAGCGTAATGTTGGCGTCGGAACGCCGCAAGACCGGATCACCACTGACTGAATTAAACCCTTCCAAGATCTGAATACCCTTCAGCTCGTGAAGGATCGGGCTCACGTCCTCATCCAATTTAACCAAACCCTGCTCCACACATTGCATCACAGCGATCGAGGTAATCAATTTGGAGCAAGACGCAATCCTGAACGTCGAGTCAAGGGTGAGAAGCTTGTCTGGGCTTGACCTTCCGAAAGCTTTCTGGAAACGGAAACTCTCTGCAAGCTGTCAATGGGAGGTGGCGGGGATGGTGAGAAAGTGATTAGTAGTATAGAAGATTGCCATACCATCTGTTGACGATGCAAGTATCACTGCACCTCGGATGTCGCCATTTTTGCACGCCTCCTCGTACAACTGTTCCATTGTTGTTCCGGATACCTACAAAGGTGGAGAATTGGCATTGAAAAACATCCAGAAGTTTTTTCATTGACTCGTATCAGGACTCGGTACATCTATATCAAACATGTTAGTTGGTGCGGATAGATCGCGACCGGGAATGGAGACGGCTTGAGGTACCTCGTTGCCTGTCACCGCACAACTTCTCTTCCGAGCCGAACTAGATTCCACGCGCGAGTCTTCAAATCCGGACAGACTTGAGCAGAATGGTCCCTCGACAGTACGAGTCTCGTACACAGGCAGTGCCGGGATATTGCTCGTTCCCACCGGAAACTTATGTAGTCAAATTCGACTCCACAAATACCTCAAGATTCCGAATCCCCAGGTTTTCCCCCAGTCCTGTATGAGGTACTCACGGGGTAAGGCAACTTCCCCCTAGCTATTTTAGACTATACCAGTTGCTGAAGCGCGACACGGCTCGGAAGTGCAGAAGACCTGAGTACTTTGTAATGAGGAAGGAGAAACTATATATGCCTCCAAGTATCTGAAACCTTGACTGTGCGTTTGCTCATCACAAGTTCCCAATAGTAATTCCTTCGGCTCAGAAATAGCATACTTCACAATGACCGACGAAAGACTGGCTCATGCCGGTTTTGCCAACGAGCACCAGTTCAACTGGCGCAACCTGCGACTGTGTATCCTTGTGTCATCTGCAGCATGTGCTTGTGGCTACATGCTGTCTATCATTGGGTCGGTCTTGGGAATTCCAGGATTTCAAGTCCATATGGGTATTCTTGACCCAGTAACCGGCACCCCGACTCCCAATGCAGCTGGATTGACAGGTGCTATCACGGGGACTTTCTATGTATGTTCTGACCCTTGGCCCATTATCTACACTGTCCAGACTGACCTCTCTCCTCTAGGCTGGATCATGCTGCGGTTTGATCTGGGGGAGCTTCGTGATGGACAAATGGGGACGCAAAGCAGGGCTGATCAACGCGGCTATTCTCGCGTCTATTGGCACAATAGGAGTTACAGCTGCTAACGGAGCGCCCATGTTTATTGTGTTCCGCTTCTTCTGCGGTGCAGGTTCGAACGCGTTTCTCGGTGTCACCGGGGTCTTTACGACCGAGATCTCGCCACCTGCAATGCGTGGGCTCTTCGTGGGTATGGTCGGTGGGGGCATACTCACGGGCTACTCGATCGCATCCTTGATGGGCGTCGCCTTCTTCCACGTCAAGGACAATGTTGACGCACAGTGGCGAGCCCCACTTGGACTGGCTATGGTATTCATCGCTTTCGTCCTGCTGATTCTGCCTTTGCTGCCCGAGTCGCCGCGGTGGCTGTTAATGCAAGGGCGAAATGCAGAGGCCAAGGACATTGTTTTGAACATCCACAAGGACACCAAGTCGAACAGTCAGACATTTGCCGAGCACGAGTTTTACCAGATGCAACAACAGATCGAACTCGACAAGCAGCTCAGCACTTCTTGGGCCGAGATGTTCCGCCGCCCGTCACTTCGCAAGCGTGCCATGATCGCTATGACGTTTGGGTTTTTCAACCAAAGCACCGGCATTCTCGTCATAGGCAGCTACGGAACTCTGATATACCGCAGTCTGGGCTTCGACACGAACGCTGTTCTATGTTTCCAAGCCGGTTGGATCATGACTGGAGTGCCCTTCAACTTTCTGGGTGAGTCCTGGCCCCTAATGCCTTGTTCTTGACATTGGTTGCGTGCACCGCGCGCAATGCTTGAATAAAACAGAAACGTTCTGACTCGTGAAACAGGAGCGTGGCTATCCGATCGATGGGGACGGAAACCCATGTTCATCCTTGGTCTTTTAGGCTGCGCTTTCAGCTTGGCTCTTGAAGCTGGGCTGGTGGCCACTTGGGTCACGCCAGAGGAGCTCCAACATCCCAACAAGGTCGCCTTGGGATGGGCGGTCGCCGCGCTGTAAGCCTCATACTGTCATCTCTCCTGATCACCGTCATCTTCGAACGAATTGAATTGATGAGCTTACGACTACTCAAGGTATCTAATTATGGTTTTCTTTGCCACAACGCTCGACGTTGCTGGAACTCCCTTTATCAATGAGCTATTTCCCAACCATTTGCGCTCGAAAGGGTATAGTATGACTCTTGCTGTTATCTCGTGCACCACCTTGGTAAGATATCTATCCTACACTCTTTCTTGCTCGGACAGATAAGCACAGGATACTCAGGACTAACTTTTCTAGATCTATACCGAGGTCGGCCCCACAGCATTAAACCACGTAGGTTGGAAATACTACCTGCTATTCATCTCCTGTTGCTTGGTCGGGGCTGTTTGGATTCTGTTCATGTTTCCGGAAACCAAAGGTCTTCCTCTGGAGGAGATTGCGGTCTTGTTCGGTGACAGCGAGCACGTCGTCGTGTTCTCCGCGAACATTGAGAATGGGGAGAAAGCGGCAACAGTCCACGTCGAGGAGAATGCTGCTTCGTCAAAAGCCGAGACATGAATGTCAACCCTCAGGCTCTTCGATGGGAAAAGACACAGGTGCTGGGTTTATGTTATATAAGATATGATGTCCAGCTCACAGTACTCAGTACACACCAACATTACACTTTATTCAGCAAATGACATTGGAGCAGACGAAGAAAAGGAGAACGAGAACTCAAGGTGGAAGACTGAGATAGTATCAATTCGTAGAGTCGCCGAGGCTCTCCCAAAGTGTCTTACCTACTTCTCTTGACTACCTTGTTCAGTCTATACTCTTACTGTGGAAAACTCTTGGACTGTCACAGCACCAACTCTCCATCACACTAACTGGGTAAGCAGCTTTCCCGTGTTTCCACCATCAAACAGCCTCAGCCAGACTTTCGGGATATCTTCAAAAGGGGCCTTGACAATATCCTCATTAGTGTCGATTCGGATTTTGCCCGCTTTGACCGCCGCAAGCAGTATTTCCGTCACCCCTTGCAGTTTGTGATAATAATCCATCACCATGAAGCCTCGAAGGGACAGTCTCATGTGGATGATATCCATATAATCTAGATCGACGGATGAGAAGTCAATTAGTTGAAGACTTGACTCAAGCACGCATAGATGGAATACAGTCGGCTAACCAGGTCGCGTAGCATTCAAGATCTCACTTACTGGTCAGATGCGGAGCCTCTTTCGAGTTGTAGCCTGCCACGCCACCGCAAGCGACGACGACGCCGTGCCGTTTCAGCCGGGTGAGCATGAAGTCCATAATCTCGCCCTTTGGAATCGTTAGAAGATCGGAGCGAGCCTTGCGTTTCTCAGCCCTCCTTGGCTCATGAACAGACTTACGGCGACATTATCGAAAAACACGTCCACGTACCCATCCGTGGCTTTGATAAGCTCTTCATAGAAGCCAGCTTGCTTGTAATTCAGACATTGGTCAGCTCCAAGTCCCTCGACCCAGCGACACTTTTCGTCAGACCCGGCAATACCAATAACTTGGCCGGCTCCGAGGATCTGCGGTTTTTATTTTTTAGTCTGGGACTCAGCGTGAACTTCCTTCTCTGGGGCCAAGTGTTCAGATCAGGGAGAGTTGGTGTGCCTACATGTTTCGCGATCTGCACCGCCATGCTCCCCGTCGCACCGGCCGCTCCACTGACGACGACTCTCTGGCCCGGCTTGACCTCACCGACGATCTTTAGGCCGTAGTAAGCTGTCAGGCCATTGCCGCCCAGCGCCCCGAGGAAGCTCGTCGGGGATGTCCCTGAGGTCGCGTTTCTAGGTATGCAGTCCTTGGCGTCCAACACTACATATTCACGCCATCCGAGATATGCCTGAACCATTGTGCCGACGGGGAGTGACTCAGCTGTCGATTCGATCACCTCGCCCAGACCGTTCGATTGCATGGGCGCCAACACTGCCAGCGGCGTGATGTAGAATCGGTCCGGATTCTTGTGCTCATCGATCCAACCGCGCTGGGCGGGATCGTTGGAGAGGTACAATGTCTTGACAAGCACTTGGCCTTCCGTGAGCTGAGGTAATGATGTAGTCTCCATCGCGAACGTGGCATCTTCTCCAGTCATTGTCGGCACACCCTTCGGCCTGGTCTTGAGTGACCACTGCCGGGAAGTCGAGGGTGCCATGGCGGAACTATCAATTGGTGGAGGCTGGCCAGTTGGTGCTCGGAACAGGCGCGCAGGGAGTGCAAACGATACATCTTCCTAACAACTATGTAAAATCCACAGGCCAGCATATAAATACGTCAAGAATATTTGAACGGGTCGTCGGGGTATCTAATCTGCCGGAAAGGTGCCGTCACTTCAGTCTTTGTATCAGATCCCACCGGGATCTCGTTGAGTCGGATCAATCATCGGGAATATTGCGGCCCAGTTCGTGCATTACAAAACCATCGAATCGTAAGGCTAGGCTTCTGGGACATTAAAATGCAGTGCGTACGACTGAGCCACGACACGAGAGCGCATACTCAGCAAGGCCGTATCGACCTGATGAATCTCAGGCAGGGTAAGGTCTCTGAGGCACTAAAAAAGCAGTGCTGTCGCCTGACGAAAGTACGTACAGTGCGTTGCATTTACAGTGCGTTGCATTTAGTTTGTCCACACCCCCTTGTCGCTTGGTACTAAGCGATCCAATGGGAAGCGCTTGCGATGTATTTCAGCCAATCAACTGAGCCCGCTGCTTTAAGGGTGTGGACAAACTAAAGGCAACGCACTGTGCCAGACTGAGGAACGAAGTGCCATCCTCGGAAAGGCCGCATCAATCTCAGCCTGATCATTGATGAAATGCACGCAAGGCAAGCTGTCTGAGGCATTAAAAATGCAGTGCAGAAGCGTCGCGTCGACGGTCGAAAAGAGAATAGGCTGCTTGATTAAGTGTGCAGGCGTGGTGATCTAAAATCTAAGCATGCCCTTCAATTGGTGAGATAATCTCCGCCAGCGTGGAAGCCGTTAGCGGCCAAATTAGTGCGCTGAATAGGGGAAGGTCGATACAATTACTGCAACTTCGTCCATGCTGAGGCACCTACCTAAATCGAATGCTGATGTTCCTTTATATCGAATCAACGCATGCTGCATGTAATGTGCGCGCATCACGGGCTCACGTAGATTTTCCATACATCATTATCGGCATTCAGCATGTGAGGCAATGCAAGGTAGAACACATAGGTCATTCGGACCAGTACAGAAGGCTTCCAACTGTAATCTCGAACCACTCGGTTGTTCCTTTGATGTCCAATTCCATTCCTATGATGGCTATGCAGGTAATGTTTTGCTATGGTTGCGGTGGTATCTCTGATAAACAAATCGATGCGCAAAGCAATCCATAGTGATGGCCTCACCAACTCTTTCGACGCCAGTTTCCAACCCTGCCTCCGTCCGTCCCTTTGCCTTGGCCCTTTATCCTCATTGCCGAAACCCATCAAGAACCCAGAGATGTAGTGGTATTTATCTATTCCCATGCCTACCCAAGAAAGGATCTCCCGTGCCAAAAAGGTCGCAATGTACCAGAAAAACACCCGTCTCTAAATATCGTCCAAAATTGTGGGATACTGTTTCCAATTCCCATGCTCTGTCTCTCATTTCCTCTCCTCTAGCCCGCCAAACGGAATGTCTCAACACCCATAGTCGGCGTCTCAATGAGATTATCCCTCGGTACGCCCTCTAGTCTCCTTCGATGATAAAAGTGACCACACTCGACAAGAACTTGTCGCCACTCAGCCAGTGCGCGGCCACTGTACCGTGCAATACTGACCTCTTGCGGCATGGGCTTCAGAGGACGAATCTCACCAGTGCGTGTGCGCATCTTCGCATCTTCGGAAGTGCCACTTCCCGTCCCATTGCTACTGTGCGCACTAGTAGCACTGATGGAAGTAGTGGATCCGCTCCCACCACTACTTGAGCTTTGACGATTCTGGGACTTTTGTAGAATGTTTTGCGCATTGGTGGGAAGTGAAGGTGGTGTAATCTTACGAGGATTGCGCTGCTCGGCCGAGCGTTGGTTGTTCCATTCGAGAGAAAACTTGAAAGAAAAAGTCTGATGTGGCGGTGTTGCTGGACGAGATGGTGCTCGGGCCGTTGTAATCGCGCTGTTTGGACCTGGAAGATGTTCTGATGATGAATTTGGTGTGGTTTTTTCGTCAGGAGTCCCAGGTGGTGTTACCTCACCTGGACGATGATTGCCTGGTACAGGACCAAACACGTTGTTAAGACCCTTGAAAAGACTCCAACGCTTCTTTGATGATTGGTTAGGTGAGTCAGCGGCCGGTATGGAACTGAGAGCAGAAGAATGATTCTGATATGGTGAGTTTTGGCTGATTAGAGTAGAAGGCAGGTATTTTTCGAAGTTGTTCATTGATGGCGTAAGAATTGGTTGGCTGTCCGTCCGTACGATAACTAAATATCGATTCGGTGCGGGCGAGCAGGGTGTACAAGACGGTGGTGGTGTCTCTCGCATTTCTGCTTCAGCTTTGAGGTATTGGTAATGGCCCCAAACTTTATTCAACCGAGTTGCCAATGTCTGAAGGATTTCTCTGGGTAGATGTTAGAACAAGGTCCAGCAGATGTTCTTCGACAGATAAAACTCACACATCCAACGGAGTAAACTCGCCATCATATCTGGCCACTCTCCAACACAACAACCGATAGAAATAATGGCGTACCATAGAAGACCAATGACAAAACATAGGTTCAAAAATGCTCGGATCCAACAACCACTCCAAAACAAATTCACGCTTTCGTTCTTCATTAAGAGTCCAGGTGGACCACGTGCTGTACAAAAAGGCGATCAAGCGGATCTGTGTTAGGGTGGTTTGACTCTTGAACATACGCTGGCACACCTGTAGCCAAAAAGGCCAGTCCAGCGCAATTGGGGTATCTTGGAAACTTTGGTTGTATCGAAACATAACAGGAAGGACTTCCTCCATAAAATCACAAATGACAAAACATGCGTCGTTATTGTACAATGATATCTTTCGAGCCGCCGCCTTGGTCACGGCGTCGAAAGATTCGATGATGAGGTTACGCTGGAATGCGTTTTCGCGGGTCGTGTCGTTACAAATATCCTTGAGAAGCATGATGAGACGATTTTCCGAGATGGATCGAGTGGCATTGGCAATCGTCATAGGTAGAGGTGCAAGGGCATCAGGATTGTCCATATAGCTTGCCGTGCCCGTGGCATAATTTTCCACCGAAGTCTGTCCCGCTTGTCGATAGACGGTGGTTTCGAGGACAACCAACATTTGAGCGCAAATTGGAATCAAACCTGGAATACCTGCTCGATCTTTCAGGCTGACATCGTCGGTAATGAACTCGGCCACCAATGTGTGATAGTATTTGATAAAGACAAAAAACAAATCACTGTCTCGTCCACACCATCGACCAATCCACGGACCATGCCAACGAATGTTCTCGGAACCTTGAGGAATTTGATTACTCCGTTGAAGGTGTCGAGACAATGCTGCTTGGGATGAGACGATGAGAGTACGCACGGGCGCAGGTAAATTGGCAGCTAGTGCTTGTGACACAAGATCCAATTTATCCCCACGTTCGCTTCCAAATTCTGAAAAGACCCGGCGCAAAGTTCCCGGCGGTAGACACCACAACCTGGTGAGTAGGTCTGCAACTCCCGGGCAGAACATAAAGGCATATGCACAAGCTTTGCCTGCAAAGGTTACTAGACTTGCTGGAGTGCTCCGCATTGACAATTTGTCCACCACGAAGGCCATCTGAGAAAGAAGATTTTGTACGAAAGTGTTGCGAACATTCTGATAAACGGTGTCCACCAAAAAATCCACCTCATCAGATTCCAGAGAACCCGTTGATTTAGACTTCAGATTCGAGCTTCTTGGAGTTTCCGCCGTAGTCGACACAAAACCTGGTGCTCTCCATTCGGGTCGCATCATGATTGTCGAGGCTGCTTCGAGGAATGCGGGGCGATCGGTACCTGAGATGGGCTGATGATTGTTGCCATGAAGCATTTCCAATAGACCAGTCCACCATTTATTCAAGACGGCGATTCGACGATCGAGATCTTCAGCTCTCAGATTTTGATTTGAAGGATGTTGATTGTACTTCGCAAGAAATGGCAGCAGGCTTCCTCGAAGAACCTTGGCCCTTTGTAAACTGGTTTTTGACTGAAAGTTGACATATTCGCTTTCTATCGATCGAAAGGCGGACCATAAAGGATCCTTCTTCCGAGGGGCTTCAGCGTTGAGGGCAGCCAAGCGATCCGAGGACAAAGAAGGAGGTAGTGGAGGAGGACGACCAAGTGATAGTCTGGAGCGTGATCGTTCGGTCGAAGCGAAACTCTTCAAAGAAGTTGAAGAAGAATTCCTAGAGAGGCGTTTGAGGCTGATTTCACTTTTGTTTCTGGTCTGTAAGGCACTGAGCGGCTTCTGGAGTAATTGTGGTTGGGTTTCTGTATCAGGTTCTGGAGCCGAAGTCGTTGAAGATATTCTCGCAGCAACGGGTTCTGGAAGGGCAATAGAGTTCGCAGCTGGGGCGGCCTTGTCTTTTCCAGGGGACCAACTTCTCTCCTTCTTTTCCTTCCGAGTTGGCGATTGCGAGGATGGGCGAGATGTACTCCCAGCCCAGGATTTACGAGCCAAGGATCGGAAAGTACCAGCAACAGAACGACTCAAGCTTTTGGATTGATCCGCATTATCAGAGGATTTTCTTGTTTCCCACTTATTTTCCTCCTCATCATCCGGCGATAAGGAAAACTTAGCAGCACTGGACATTTTGCGTTTCATCTTGCGCGAAGTACGACGCAGAAGTTCCAGATTGGTTGAATGAGCATCTTCATTCACCTTGCCTGGCTTTCGATCGGGGGAGAGGGAGATGATATTCTCGGAGAAGGTTCGCTTGATGGGAGGGACATCGATATCGGTTTCGGTGGCCGTGAGGCGGGTGTAAGTTGCAGAGCGAGTCAACTCTGCATCTGCCGACTTTCGATTTCGTCGTTTGGGTTGATCGAGAGGTGGCATGGTGGAATGAATGGGACTCAACGCGTGAACAGGAGGTGACGGTAAAGCCTCCTGGTCGATTAAAGTAGCCATAATCATGATCTTGTGATATTAGGTGGTCGAACTCGCAGTTAGGTCGAGCCTAGACGACAGAGAGGTTTCTCTAAGCGTTGCCATTAGGCTTGAGGGCAGACAAACCAAGCATCAACACGTTTTGATGGAATGTTTGATGTTTAGCGAGAGGGTCAAAAGTACGAGTGAGTGGAGGACCGAGTATTACTGCAATTCCGATGATCCCGGGGCGTGAGGTAATGAGAAATGGAGAGGATAGAGGTGGAATATAGATATCAATAAGAACAACGTACGAATGTTTAAAGGGTTGGAGTAACGAGAGACAGTGAGAAGAGTGACAAAATTGACGAACGGATACAAACAACAAGCTGCGGAAAGATGGTGTGTTTGATGAGGTGTGGTGAGAGCCTGAGGAGGGGAATGGGAAAGATAGGAATAGGAGGAACTTTGGAGGTGCGGATGCGGGTGCAGGTGCAGGTTCAGCCTCAGGTACAATTAACGAGTAGTCTAGTTAGTACAAGCTGATGTGATGATGGCCGGAAATGAAATGAGAGAGATTCCAGTCCTTGGGAGTAGTCAGTGACCCTCCGCTGGCAGCCTCAGGTCATTATTATTAAACTTGAACATCAAGGTTGGCGCCGCGGCACGCGTTACAGAATGGCCTCAAAAGTCTACTTTCAAGGGACCTGGTAGTGAGGGTTCGAGGGGTGGCATCACGCATGCCCGTGGGATGATGGGGGCAAGATAGGGACCACTGCAGACTCGTAGGTGCCCCATGCCCGTGCCCGTGCCCGTGCCCATGCCCATGCCCAGGCCAGGTTAGTCGCCCGTTGGTTGAAGCAGGGACTCGGGGGCTCCACGCATCGGTGTTTGACCATGAACCTCCGACGCTGTTGTCCAAGGAAATGCAGGAAATGCAGGAAATGGAAACCGCAGGCGCATGTTTTTAGGCAGGTGCAGGCTGACCAAGGGCCCGAAAGTGGACATTTGGGCAGGAGCGAATCTAGATCCCCCCAAAAGCCAAGGATGATTCAATAGATCACCCGGCAATCCCCGGGACCGCCCGCCCTAAACTGCTTGGGGGATTAGTCTTGACTTAGGCGCTCTCTTCGGTTGTTATGATCTTCTAGCTGGTCGCCTAGAAACATGATTAAACAAACACTGGTATCCTAATAAACTTTCATGTTCAACTGTCTTTCATGTTTGTAGTGTCACAGAGTCCTCCTCCTGCTGGATATCATCTCCACCTCTAGACAATCTGTACTCAACTCGAGAGTCCATAGACCCCTCAACATCCACAACCACGTGCATGCTGTACACCGTGCTCCATCTCCGTATCACACTGGCAATGTCCGTAGCCGCATCCACCCTCATGCACGCCTGACTGGAACCACAGAGCAATCATCCCATTTCTGACAGCTCAGCTCGTCTGTGATGGCTGGTCGAGAACGAACTAATCATCTGCATGTCGGATCGGACTTGGTTTGACCTCGCATCTTCCTATCTCTGTGACGCGTCAACACGAATCACATATCAACCATCACGACTTTGTCCTATCTCGATGACGCGAGAGAGCGGAACATGTGTTCACCGTAGATTCGCTTTGATAATCTCATGTGATTGAGTCAATATAAAAATGAATTAGTAAATTCATGAATCGATACACATCCTCGTCTGTTCCTTGCATGTCACAAGTACGCAGCCTTGCAGACCTGCTCGGTCCAAGCTTCAACCCTGTGCACCGGAAACTCCCCAAAGCGAACCGCTCACATACGTCGCCGCTCTTTCCGCCAGTCCGACAAACGCCGGTGCCAATTCGACCGGCTGTTCGATCCTCCCATACGGCGTAGCCCCAACGATCTGTCGCATGGCCTCAGTCGTCATGCCCTGCGTCGACAAAAACGGCGTCAAAACCAAAGCCGGTGCAATGGCATTCACTCGGATTCCGAACGGCGCCAGCTGCAAGGACAACGATCGCGAGAAGGTAGTAACAAAAGCTTTGGTCGGCCCGTAGTCGATGAGTCCTCCACTGGGAGCTTGGGAAATTCCAGATGATGTGAAGATAATGCTGGACCCGGGTTCAAGGAATGGTCGGATGGCCTTGCTGAGCCAGAAGTTCGCGTAAATGTTGGTGTAGATGGTTCGATCAAACTGCTCGTTCGTCAAGTCTCGGATGTCAAAGGTGATGTTGGAGTAGGCGGCGTTGCTGACAAGGATATCCAAGCCACCGAGATGCTCGGCTGCTCGGTTCACTAAGTCGATGCAGAAGGACTCGTTACGCAGATCCCCCGGGATGGTGAAGATCTGGGAAGAGGTGGTTGCTTCAATCACTTCCACGACTTCTTGAGCGTCCGACTCCTCTTCCGGAAGATAATTGATGACCACGTCGGCACCTTCACGTGCAAATGCAATCGCAACAGCCCGTCCGATTCCAGAGTCACCTCCCGTAATCAAAGCTCGACGTCCAACCAGTCGGCCGGTGCCAACATATCTCTCTTCACCACAGTCTGGTCGGATTTCGAAATTGCTCATCAACCCTGGGAACGGCTGGACGGGAATGGTGTAATTCGCAGTGTATAGGCTTAGCGGATTGAGAAGCCCTTCCCCAACAGTTCCATTTTCATTATCCTGGCTGGTTACTGCGAGATGAAGTTAGGTGACGTACAACTTAGTGTGGCTGACAGAGGAATAACTCACCTGGAAGAGCGAGCCCAAGCAGTAGACACGCGCCAACGGCGACATATCGTGAATAGCAGGTCATCCCGGCAAACTGATCGATCAAAGGTATTCAGGCGCTTATATCCTTAAAGAGAGAGAAGGTCGATGAACCGATGATACAATAATTCGACATCTTCCACACCTCCAAAAGGCATTATATACTCCAAAATGCTGAACTGACATCATCAGAGCAGTATATGTTGTTTGTCAAAGAGACGGATGTAGTCGAGTCCGCGGAGCAGTCCGCGTCACCGACTGAACCGGTGATTAGGACTTGCCGAATCCATGGTACTAAGCTCCGATCTGGAATTGAAGGTACATCTCACCTTTGAGGCTGTGGTCCATACGACCCAGGAACATCATCGAGATCATCGAGTCCCTGCCTTCCAAGGCTCCTTTGAATTCATGAGCTTTTGCCCGGAGATTTGTGATGTTTGAGATCATACCGATCACCGTCATTGCTAAGCGTGGCTGATGCAGTATATCCTCGACGAAAAGGCTCTGAGGTCTATGCGATCTGTCTTGGTGAAAAACTTCCGGATTGAATGTTTTCTATATGGCAGCAAACGCTGGTCAGTGGCAAACTATGGACTCACGTCGACCAGGGGCACCTCACAGGTTGCCAGTGGTCTCCTGAATGTCCCCATCCGCTGCGCGATACGGCTTATGAAGATGCGGCCTTTTTTCAATTTCACCTTTTGGATGTGGTCAAAATTCAGTCGGCCACAACCTGGAAAAGGTTCTAGTGAATCCATCAGCCCCCCCCCCTGACGAAAAAATGCTACTGAATAAAGAAACTCACGACACTCGCCCACATCGAAAACGATAATCACTAAGCGGTCATAATCCTGGAGTGTATTATAAGTCAGGAAGTACTGTTAGCCTACTATCTTCCAATGGAAACAAAATTACTCTTCCACTTCAACGAGTGGCTACGAGGTTGTGCAGAGCAACAGAACTGCAAGAGGTGCAAATAGCAATGCCACCTGGGGTTCTCCTCGGCCGAAGTGTTTTCATCCGACGCGGTTAGAGGAATTGTCTTGGGTTTTGTCTCCCACACGTGCACCGCACGTAAGATTTGGGGATACTTCCCTCAATACCACACTTTCTAGCGGCACTCAAAGATGGCCGAACTGGCTTAGTGCCACTACGAAGCGCCCGATGACAATGCAACCTCCTCTTGCCGCCCAGCCTATTTATAACGCAAGAACACCTCCTTATCTCCTCAAGGATTTGGTGACTGCGCGCCATACGATGCTACATAGTATATAGTCAGTGATTACATCCCGCTTGGGGTGTACACTTCGCTCTCACGACATTGTCTTGCAAGTTTCACGATGGGAGACCCTATCAGCCTCGCATCCGGCGTTCTCGCCCTGACCAGCTTTGCCCTCCAGTCTACCAAGGTGCTCTATGAAGTTATAGAGAGTTTTAGGCACCATAGTAGGACGGTACGAGAGCTCAAAGAGGAACTGGAGAGTCTGGAAGGTGTCCTAAGCTCTCTTCAAAATCTCCCAAATGATGAACAGATCGATATCTCGGCTCTCAAGTTGCCTCTTTTAAGGTGTGGCGAGGCATGTCGAGGCCTGGCTGTCGTCATTGAACAATGCACCGGTCGTTCAAGCAACGGTCAAGCGAGCTTTCGCGACTGGTTCATGTTGACGTATCGAGGAAAAGATATTACTGGCTTTAGGAATGTTATTGGTGCATACAAATCGACGATTGCTATTGCAATTGCAGATGCGAACCTGTCAGTTGTAACAATGCATCAAGTGCCGGATAGGAAGCTAACTCTGCAGGCGACATACCAATGTGACCGCGCAACTCCTTCGCGAGTACAAGGAGATGATTGACAATACCACCATGGATCTTCAGGAAATTCTAGAGCAAGCGGAGACTAAGTTGGGCAAGTATACGGTACAAGATGGATCACCGTCTGCCGAAGTCCCAAATGATCTCAATCGACTGTCCATCGAAGAAGAAAGAGCCTCTATTGAGCACTGCCTCAACGTCTGTAAAGACGTAGAAAGTCATCTGGAGGCAGTCAGGGCGGGAATCTCTATCAGCCGCGACGATGGTGAAACTTCAAATCTTTTGCGGACGCGGCAAAGTCAAGCCCACTTACTCACGAGCGAAAAGCTGAATGACTGTAAGACCGGCATTAGATTCACTATTTCTGAACTGCAGCTGCGCATGCAAGACGCTGATCATCGACTTCGTCGGCTGCTGGACCCAAGTCGTCCCCGGGTTTCCCCTTCTCACTCAGATGCAGAAGAGCTCGAGAGTATTCGCAAGTGCCTTAGTATTTGCGAAGATGCCACAGAGGAACTCGCGAAGGAGCGAGTAAACGTTTTTGAGGATGTGCATATGACAGACGACGCCCACCAAGTCATCGTGGCGACCATGGGAGATCTAATATCGGCAAGAAACATCTCTACTGGTGCGAGATCGAAGCAGTGGTTAGGTCAAATGTCCGACGCGTCCCTTCAACAGCTTTCCAAAGACAACAGATGGCCGGTAAATGATGCCGCGTCTGAGCATTCCCCGGAAAACACGCCTACGGAAAGGGAGCCATCGAATACAACCACCGACAGCTCACGAGTTAGGCTCCATCCGCGGTTTGAGGGTCGCCACGGTTCGGGTCGGAAACTTGGGTAGTCCTCGATGATGTACGACTGCCTTGCGTTGTTGGCAATTATCGGTAGAGAGGTCAGCAAGAGAGAGGGCCATAGCATGACGTCACGTTGTTTGTTGAAGGTGATTATAGGCTGTACTCCTAAGTGATTCATCACGTGACCGCAATCTAGCGATATATATTATTGTACTGCATAGATTGCAGCTATTCTGAGTTTAGCCAGGTCAGTACAGCACTAGGAGATCTGCCTCTCGAGTACGGCGAAGTAGTTATTCACTACCGTTCAATATGGCGGAGCATTGGGCACTGTCAGCAACAGCTTTCGTCCAATACAGTGGGAGGTATGATCGCCCTTTCAGCAGGGTGTAACTTAACCGCGCAGGGATTTCAAGGCGCGTAACGCGTGGAGGGGCTGTTGAATGAACGGGTAAAGCGCCTAGTCAGAGAAGTTCGCCACTTGCATCGAGGGAAGTCTTCAGAGCTGCGTCAGAAAGAGAATCAAGCGTCATTCTTATTTGCTCGCATGTTCATCGCGTCCAAACCACCATATGAGCACTTACATTGTAGAACGTCGTGGCTGGCGTCCACACTAGCGGATCAATGGAAAGTCAGTGGGAGATACGAACAGGGATGTTTATCAGACATTTCATCATCATTCACTGGCATATTCATCAACAAACAAGCATTATGCTGTATCAGGCCCTCCTCCTGCTTTCCAGCTGTGATTACAACAGAACGGTGTTTCTACAAATATCATATCCAACATCTCGAAGAACCCGACCCGGAGCGCACGGCATGAGAAGGCGAGGCTGACATTCGCAAAACGGACATCAAATTCTTAAAGCAGTCATTGATGAGTGGCCATTGTAAGTTCAGACGCGCCCGCTTCTCCTTCGACTCCATGGTGATGTCATGCTCGAAGTCTTGCTGTTAATGGCGATTGTATTCGTTATTGACATCAGTGAATGGGTTCTGTTGCGGCTTCTGTTGCTCGGCCATACGGGCGCGATGTAGGCTCATGGAAAACGTGACAAGGGTGACAATGAATAGAACACTATATGTTCGAACGAGTCAGCAAACCCGTTGATATAAATACAGCAGAGACACAAAGGAAGTTACTAAGACTCACAACTCAGCGGCGCCAAGCACAGCACCCACTGCCGTCAAGGCATGGACAGTGCGAATACTGCTCAGGCCTCCGTAGGAATTGTCAATCGAGTCGATGAGTCCCAACACTGCAGCCCACTGCGCCAACACACTCCATAGCGCCAGCCACCAGACCACGGAGATGCAATCGAGGACGAGGATGGCCCAACGGTTGTAGTGCTGTGGGCTACGATAGGTGGCGAAGTACCAGTATCCAACGATGACACATGTCGCGATTGGAGTGAAGATGCCATATCCAAGAGTCCCATAGCCACCGAGCACGGCGGTGGAAATGATGTTGAGGATCAGCACGAGGACCGCGATGATAATCTGAGCCAGGCGGAGGCGGAAGGTGTATGGAGGGAGCGCGAGGATCGATTTGCTCGACATGGTGGGCACGTTGTCTAGGTGGGGTTTGTTCAGGAACTGAGAAAGATGTTGGCGAGTTGACCCCTCTGGACGAGATCCTCGCCGAGGTGAGCGTTATATATCATATATCAAGCACGCTGAGTCGTCACTATTCACGTCCTCCCATTTCACCCTCGTCCAACCCAGGAGAAAGCCAATTCCCAGATTACGAAATGCGCCCTGGAGTGCGCCCGACCTTGATGTGCATACACGAGCTAGGGGCCGCGCGGTAGGGGCCTCTAATCTAAGGTCTGCATATCTTTATGCCTCATCGCCTATCAAATGTCGATCTCGTATTCGTTGATCCATATGTGGAAATTTGCGATAATGCAGGGTCGAGGCTAGCCTCTTAAGGGTAGACTCAGCCTTGTTACACGACGTTCAGCGCAATTTCCTCACACCTTGTGGGTATTTTCTTTCTTTCCTTGTGGGAACATGGATCATACTACGGTGCTTGATTCCGTCATGGTGGTAATAATGACCAATCTAAGAACAGGTGCGCTTTCAAAGTTGAAGGCGGTGATTGATGACTCGGATTCAGGCGACGCTGCCTCCTTATGAAGCTGTGCACCTTTCACTAGAAAAGGATTCAACAACTTACAACAGAGGCACTGATGCGCTGACTTCAGTGCACTTCCTGCGCCATTGAAACCCCCGTTTGACCCTTCAGGCTGAGTAACGCACGCGCCCAGACGTTGATACCAGAAAAAAAATGATTTCCGCCCCCAGGATTCGCTGTTTCAGCCTTGGGCGCCACCCTTAGCTGTGGACGCCAACCCCTTTCCAGGAAATACGAAAGTTCGGACACGAGGCACAGCGTGCAAACTTATCCTCGGATTCATTTTGCGATACGAACATCATTCGACGACACCTCGACTGGCGCCTCGGAACTCGGCACCGGGCTCACCATTGGGCACGTGCAACGGTCATGAAAAGGGTCAATTTTCCGCTCCACCGAATCATGCGGAAGACACCCTGGAGTAGCTGGAAAGTCACCCAAATTTGAAAACTTTCGAACTCATCAGTGGCCCGAATGCTTCGTATTGCTTCCATGTCCTCAATAACGTGCCCCACATGGGCAACATTCACAAACCCACGTCAGGGATTTTGTTATGGCAAGGCTTGAACCCGCAGTAACCAGAATCCCTCAACGGGTTGCAGAAAGATATGTACGACGGATACCCTGCGGCTTCAAGATGACTCGTCTTCAAAACAAATACCTTGACTAACCCGTCCTTCACCAGAACAAAAACACCGTACAACACCGATATGAACAGACTGAGTACTAAATCCTAGATATACAAGAACCGTGTCAAACACCTCTGCGACGCATCGATGTAGATCTTCACTCGCCTACAGTTTACACGGCAGCGGGAGTAACTAGAAAGCGTAAAACATGGTTAGCCAGCACGTCCAGTCATCTCGGGATCTCAGAAGAAGCACTCGACTCACCTTCGACGATTGCAGGTCCGAAGAGAACCGACCCGGCATTCAGCACCTTCTCGTTGTCGGCGTTGGTGATGAAGGTATAAGTCTGGCCGGAAGCCACCGCGGGGATGGTGACCGTGATGCTCGAGCCGCTGATCACACCTTGAACACTGACGATGTCAAGACCAGACAAGAAAGTCACGTATGATCCGGCGGGGATGGCGCTGGCAGCGGTAAGAACGATTGTTTTGCCAGCAGTCGGGGGCGAGCAGTAGAGATTTGGGGTCTGTGTGGGCTTGCCTGCGTTTCCAGACTTTGTGGGAGTGACGGTTGGTTGATAACCTCCCTTTCCTCCCTCCTCGGTCTTCGTGATGACTTCTGTCGCGGTGATCACTTTGCCGAACTCGGTCTTGGTCACCACCACTGCGGGCTCGGTCTTGGTCACAACCTTGCCGGAGATAGTCTCAGTCTTGGTGACAGTGATGGTCTTGATGCCTGAGCCTCCGCCAGAGTATGATCCGGCACCTGAGCCTGATCCTGATCCTGAACCAGCGCCTTGACCAGAGCCAGACCCTGCGCCTGAGGCAGATCCGGAGCCAGATCCTGAACCGTATCCTGAGCCAGATCCTGAGCCTGATCCTGAGCCAGATCCTGAGCCAGATCCTGAGCCAGATCCTGAGCCAGATCCTGAGCCAGATCCTGAACTAGAGCCACCAGCACTAGAGCTTGATAAGCAAGCGCTTGAGCCTTCAGAATCATGATGGTCCTCAAAAGAGTCTGCTGGAGCGGTCCAGGAACCCCAAGAATCCGATCGACGCTTGATGGCAGCACTTGGGGAGCAGTCTGGACCCTCGCAGGTGCAGCTCGCACTGGTGTTGTAGGTCAGAGCCGGATATGGTACGAAAGGCAATGGCGCATTCTGAGGTGGGCACGATGTGATGAAGCCTGCTGCCAAAGTGAAGACAGAGGTTGGGTCGAGTGGCTGGGGAGGATATATCAGCATTATTGTTCCCACGTCATGAAGCCCGCATGCAAAGAGAAAGAGCCACTTACTGTCCCGTAGGGGTTGGCCATGGGAACCTCACCGACGGCAGCCCGCTGGTAGGATGTGTGCAGAGCTTCTGCTACGAGGATCGACCCCGCAACGGTGAGGTAGCCCTTGTCAGTGATGAGCGGAGCACCCGCAAGGTAAGCGGAGGTTCCAACACCCTCGATGACTGACGAGAGAGTGATAAAGGAGCGCCTGAAATATAGAAATTAGTCAACAACGTCCTCATGTTAAACAGGACTGTGGAGGACACGCGGCAAGGACTTACACATCCGTGTACGGAAAGCTGTAGGTGCACGGGACGACAGGAGTCACCCCAGCAGCAGTGAGCGCACCAGAAAGGAGCTGAACATGGGATGCTTCATCAAAGGCGATGTACTTCAAGTTATTGTAGTAGGTCGCCGAATACCCTGCTTTTTGGAAGTCCGCCAGGCTGAACTTGGCCAGCGCACCTTTGTAGAACGCGTTCTCGAGGTGTTCAAGCTGTAAAAGCATGCTGTCAGTGGTTCCGCAGTGGTTCCGTCTTGATGCACATGAGGATTCATAGTCAAGAATTCAAGATCGTTGGCTACTAAATACATATCATGCCAGATAGTAGACCCGCAAAGTGTCCGGATATTTTGTCTGGCCATCTGTGCACGGTCCACTCAGCGTGAATGTTTGGCATGAGGCATTGCTATAGACGGGAGATTATCAACTCATGAAGCATGCAAGGAAGAATCTCAATCTGTAAAGGAGTGTCACCACACTGGGATATGGGCTACCTGATTTGAGATGTGTGTCTGGTGATCATGATCGAAAGCAGAAGTTGCCTAACCATTCTGTATTAGATAGACGATGTGATTTGGGATTAATGACTTAAGCATCCTCATTTGGCTGTCATGCCATGGTGCTGTGATTGCGGGGACAGAATTGGCCGTACAATGGCAGTAGCATGCCATGCATCTTCAGGGGATTTTCCAATAGTGAAATTGATAATGACTCAGAGCAGAAACTCAAGGCAGTTAATTCATCACTGCCTTGCTTTTCGTGGCTGCTTCTGAAACAGGCACATACGTTGACCATAACTAGACCTAATTTTTGAATAGATCTTCCGCAATCTGAATGGCTTGATGCCGAACCTCTTCTCTTAGACTAGCAATTCGTTCGGGATTGGGCTTGAAGTTACAACAGTGGTAGTCTGGTCACGTCAGTCGTTATCCACAGCATACAAAGTAATACTTACCTCCATTTATTCCATTGCTATCCTCTTGATGGAACAGAATCCGGCTTGAGTGAGACCAAGCGTTGACGACAATTCGATAGACCTGGATGATCTTAGGAACCACTGAACAATTTTCTACAAATGGCCATAAGACGAACCTTGAAATAAGGATTGGTCAAATCGGGGTATCTCAGCGCCCCAATGTCAAGTACGTTCTTGAAATGACTTTCATCCTTGCCAAACACAGCGCCGACTCCATCAACCGATGCACCTGACTGTGCCGCTACCCTGGCCAGATCCTGAATGTTGACATTCATGGTGTTGATGATGTCGGAATCACCGATCAAGTTTTTGAACCATGTTTCGATCTGGTGTGAAATCATGTCAATACTAAGTGATCGTCGCCGTTCCTCATGCTGGTCAGGTCTTACCTCGGAGACGAAGCCCATGTCTGGGGATCCATCAAATTTGAAGTCGCCGCTCCCACTCTTGGTGATCTGATCTGATCGATGTATACCGTCTCCACCTTCAAGTTGAAGCAAGGAATTACTCTTCATTGCTGAAACAACATTGTCCCATGTACGGTCATGGTCATTAAAGTTTTGAAGCATTGAAACAGCCGTTCCGATCATGACTTTAGTGTTATCATCCATTTTCTTCATCGCTTCGTTGTTGAGCGAGCCATAGCTTGGGGCTAGAGTCATCTTAATTGTGCTTTGGTTCGAATTCTAGCAATCAAATCTTGAGCTTTTGTGAAACAAATCTCCAAGATTCGAGTAAACTTACATCGACAAAACAAACGTTCTTCGTCCCGCCCATACCTGCAACAGTCTGAAGGGCATCCTGAGCTCCGCCAAATATGGGAGCAGCAGTTGATCCGAACAAGAAATCCATCTCGACGATGGTCCCTTATGGCAATAATTTAAGACTTGGATACTATCTTCTGAATGTCAGGACAGATGGGTGAGATCTCTACTACAGCACGCTGGTCGAGCACCGATGAAGCGAGGGCAGTAGAGACTGTCTTAGAGAAACGTAAATATAGCCAGCCACCACTACAGAAAGTCATCGTAAAGCCATAGGATGCTAGAATGTGACGTTGAGCAATGTGATACAGGAGACAATCAGCCATACTGAGGTGGTGCGTAGCACAGCAACGTACACTGTTGGTTCGCTTTCCTTACCCACAAAGCTGCCCCGATGATCGGCACAAAGTATCACCACTGAAAGTGCGAGCATTCAGCTTGAGGATGAAAAACGCCAGGTCATGGGTGCATGGTCTAGATCAAGCCCTTCAGCTGTGCAGCGATAGAGCTCTCGTAGTCAGCAGAACCCTACAAATGACAGATATGTGAAGCTGAAACCCTTAGAAGAAGGTACTGCAGCTCACAGAGGATAATTTCTCTTGACCGGGGCTGCAAGTAGTCCAAATGATGAATTGAAGTTGTTACCTGCTTTTTGAGAGGCTAATTCCAATACAGAGATTCCATGACCGTAATTAACAAGGTATGTCCAAGGTGTGAGGCCTATGCTGTAATGAGGAACTGAGCATAAGAGAAACTGCGAGAACTCTATCTCGTGGAGCTGAAGTGTAGGAAACGTGGAACTGTCCTGTGATTCCCCTTCAATATTTTCTGTAGATCAGTGAGGGGACAGCCTGACTTCTAACCTGTCATCAGTGACTCAATGGTCACAGAGTTCCATGGGTGGAAGCCAGGGACGGTACTACCGAGCCGCACATGCATGAACTCTGAGTTGTTCGAGACCATATTCGCGAACAAATGACTGTGACGTGCCCCTGCCAATCCATATTTGGCTGCACCATTAGTTTGCAAAACCAGCTAATGAACCTATTTGGGTCTGCCTTCTCCACTCGCTCCATGCGAGTAAATGGTGGCTGGCGTGGATGAGTCTGCAGTAAAGCATGGATACTTTCTATGCAAGATAATTCTTTGACCAACTGTACGCTGTCCTTTCAGCTCACGCCTCCGCCACAATGGGACATATCTGGGCGGTGCGCAGTCGACACTGTAGCTTATTCGAAAGACAGAACTGACACGATCAGATCACAGGAATGCACCTTCCCCGAAGACCAGAAACTCAGGTTCTCCCTTCAGTAGCATCAACGAGGGCTTGAGCTGAAAGCTGCAGATGCAAAGCTATAGTCTGGGTGCTTCTTTTTCAGCCTCATCCTTTGCTGATGCGTGAGAGGAGAAATTATGGTGGTGCAACTGTACCGAATGCTTCATGTAAATATCTGTTTAGTGCGGTTGCTGTTACAAGCTCTAACGTAGAGTTTGATGGGTTTGATTTATACGTACATTGCTGATGGCCCATATAAACGATCATATCCTAGTTCTATTTCGTTCTACCTGTTCTACTGTACAGTGTACTCTCGACTTTCAACTCAGTTTGCCTTTGTCTTCAAAACACCAATCTTCACAAGATGGCTGCTCAAGTATCACAACAGATGATAAACATCTTTGGGCAGGGTGAGATCGGCGACAAAGTAAAGAACTTTGACTTCTCAAAAGCAAGTCGATCATGTTCGTACGAGAGCTGAAGAGTCACTAACCAAGGCACAGATAAGCGTCCAAGATAAGACAAGAGATGACTATTTACATCTTGATCTGGCACCATCATATGGTACATTGAACAGTGAAGCGATGAAGAAGATGGATGATGAGTTGAAGATCATGATCGCTGGTACGATGAAAGATCTTGGAAGAGTCCCGCCAAATCAACGCAGTTGGGATAAAGTCATATCTATATTCATGCAAAACCCATTGCTCGAGCCTCATTCAGATCCTGAACTCGTTAGAGCGGACAAATTCATCAAAAACTCCTCTGGAGACTTTAAATTTGACGGTTCTCCTAATGCTGCTATAGTACAAGAGGTGAGTATACATACACTTTCAGTCAAATACTGTGCTAAGCTCGAACGCAGGTCAAGACTTGGTTCACGAAACTCATAGCTGACGACGATGTTATAAAGTCAACTAAGATCGACGTTGAGGTCTTAGCGAAAATTGTTGCTCAAACAGGAGCAACCGTCGACAGTTTCGAAACCTTTTTCGCCAAACATGAATACCATGAAAAGACGCTGGTTGACATTGGAGTCCTGCGCTTCCCTGATGCCTTCAATCCATACTTTAAGGTGAGAACTATCATCTGGACGAACTTGTTGGGCTAGACTTATGAGAATAGGTGTACCGCATTCAGCTCGTAGCGTGGTCAGACTCCAGCCGTATTCTGTTCCATCAAGAAGACAAGAATGGAATCACAGGGGGTAAGCTTCAATGCCGTCATGTCAACTATCGATTCTCTTCAATTAACTGTTATGACAATAGAATACCACTGCAGGAAATTCAAACCACGCGATGCTGTAATTTCGGAACTGAAAGAACAAACAAAGAAACTGGCGATCAAACAAGCCGAAGATCTATTTGCTTGATCCAGGGCAAGGGGAAAAGTTGTGTCCGAAATGGTGTGCAGTTTCTTCATAAGGAGACGAGTAGTTGCTGTATCGGAACTTGGTTAATGGCGACGAATGGTCATAATCCTTTATTAAGATGAAATCAAGAGCACGTCTAATGCTGTTATTGCATGTAAAAAGAATCTACGTTCCATCATAAGCTAAAAGGCGCCTGGATGGCAATTCAGTGCTGTTTCCATGGCTGCCTGCTTTGAGGCGGTATACTCGAACTTGCAGAGTGAGAGACTATCATCGATTAATGCTTAGGCGAGTTTTCAAAGGAATCTGATAATTATGAAGGCTTGAGAGCTCACCTGTAATAACAATGACTTTATATTATACATTCTACATTTCGAGTGGCTTAGATACGGACTTATAGAGACCTATATCCGAACCCTAGGTAAAGGAATTAAACATCATTCTTAACTGGGTTCTCTCTATAGTCTCAAATTATATTCATTATGTTCACATGCGATAAAATTTTCATTTCGTATCACCTATGGGAAGTCGCGACCGATAAATATCTACGACATGAAGAAGTTTTGAACTTCCCAAGCGAAATCAGTCAAACAGCCCGTTTGCAATTGCAATAGCCTTGTTGCGAGCTAGTTCAGACAAGCCTTGAAGTACATCAGAGCGGTAGGTGAAGGCTCTTGCGGTGTATGCTGGTGTTCCAAGGTTAGAAAATGATCGTCAGAGACTCATGGCTACTGTACCTCCAGTCACACCATTCTGATCCTTCTGAAGAAAGCCTGTACGATCGGAGCTAGACCAAACTTCTAGTGCAAGCCTGTGGATCTATCAAAATGAGAAAGTGGAGCTTTACAATCGAAGAACGGGGAGATTACATCAAATAATGGACGGTCTGGGTCAGGGAAGTCGAGAAATGTCACTTGGAACAGCTTTTGGTGAAATTCCTCTTTGTGAATGGCTGATTCAACGCCATCCACCTTCGCACCGGACTGGGCAACGACTTTGGCTAGAGCGTCTACACCCAGCCCGACTTTTTGCAGGACTTCTTGATCTTGCACGAGTCCATCGAACCAATGATGAATCTAGATTCAGCCAAAAGTCAGTATTCCTAAATCCTTTGAGGAAATCATGACTGGCTACCTCTTGAACAATCTTTGGGTCCGGAGAGCCGTCCAATTTTAAGAGGTTGGTATGATCTGTGTGATATGCATCACTCCGCTGTATCGATTTTTGGTCATCCAGTTGAAGCAGTGGACTTTGCATAAAGGCAGTTGTGATGGTATCGTAGTTTCGGTCTTGAGGCTCGATCTTCTGCATAGTTTTTGTCACAACCGCGATCAGTATTTTCACCTCGTCGCTCATCGCCTCAAAGCTTTGTTTGGTGAAGTTTCCGTACAACGGGGCATACGAGATGATCATTCCTCGTTCATTTTTGTCAAAATCGAACTTTTCCACTTGGTTGGCCAGCTCATCTGATCCGAAAATGTCCTTCAGAGTAGGGGCCATATTGAACAAAGGTCTATGTGTTGATCTGAAGAAGGATGAAACTGGAAGAATGTATCTGAGAAAAGTTGGGTAAGATTTTGAAGTATGGAAAGATAGTCGAAGGTCAGAGAAGATTCGTAGAGAAATACGTTGGCAGTCCGATGCTCACCACCCAGGTCCGTCGTTCAGCTCAGCCCATTTGATGTGCAACTTTGGTTTACCGTTTTCATGTTGGCATCTGGAGCAGCTTGGTCTCGACCCTAGTGCAGCTCCTTTTTTGTACGCCACCTGAAAGACCCATATTCTCCCTTTCGTTCCATAGCCAATGTTTGGCTTTGACATATGTAGTCAAGACTCTCAGCTCAGCCTCATTAAGAATAAATCTGTTGGCTTCCACATGGGAGCTTTGCGAACGGAGAGGTCTGTAAGCATACGGTGGCTTTACTGCCCGGAGCTGAAGACCAAATGCAATCAACAATAGTGAGGGTTTTGGGTTTGGCAAAGGAGATAGCAAGGTTGCCTCTTTCGCGATTGCACGACCACGCAGGTTTAACATCGGGGATGTATTCCAACCAGTGGGCTCCATCCCTGAAGTTGGCCCATGCATTGTGCAGAAAGCTATTCATACTTTGAGAGAAACATGGCAAGCTACTGTATGTTAGCCTTTCGCTAATGTATCTAAATATATGCCAGGTGTGTCTTAACGAATTTATTTCACGTTCGTCTTCGGAGATGGCGAGCGCTGTGACTTAGCTTTTACCGAAGCCAAACCCCGCAATTTCCAATTTTAATGTGGCAACGTTTCGTGTTCAGCTGCATGTCCATTCCGTAGCCTTTTCACTAACCATTGCCAGGTGGTCTATCGATCGATTGGAGAATCGCTTGCGCCACATTGACTGTATCCGGAAGGTAGAGGGTTATTTTGTCGCACATTTTGGTTTCGCTTCCAAGACCTAGATCCGCTGTGCATATGGTGGTGAACACTAGGTTCTGCAGACTTCTTCCAGTGGACCATGAGCCAGATCGAGGCTGCCGACCACGTGGCATCAGGGAGTCTCTGGCTAGCTACTTCGCGAACTGTAGGCACGCCCCGGCAGTCGCACATATCTTGACTTTCCCCAGTGGCCTACCTAGGTACCCAGTCACGTAACCCGCGTCGGCGTAATACGAATAACGCTGGACAACCTTGAGACTTGGGAATGACTGTCCGAATGTCTTGTAAGGGCAGATCTCCTGGAGCATGACAACTTATACCTTCCTTGAATCTAATGGCTGCGGATGACATATTTTGGTTCTCGACAGGACGTAATACCTCCAAGCTCGTTGGAAAGGCTCCTCAGGTCACATCCAATGAACAAAATCGTCTCAAACCCACAAGACGAGGTGGTCACAAATATCTAGGGAACTACTGCTCGTTCCTCTGCTTCAAGGAATTTCGTGACTTGGTCACTTCGCAAGCGAATCAAGGTAGGGACCCGCCTCAGGCGAGAATGACCGAGTCTTGCCTCGGTGTGTAAAGGTACTGATAGGCATGGGCTTGGGTTTGAGTCAGATCCTCAGGCAGGTCTTACCTTTGTGGTATACTTGGAGGAAATTCAGCTGTAAGTTCAAGGGTAGTTGCAAGTGAGGCAACTTTCCCTGATTGTACAAATAATAAACGCAAAGGTATTACACGGAATGACGGGAAGCACTTTTAGGAATGAAAATAATGTTCTCCATCACAACACTCATATTCACGAGTAGATGATGGGGATGGACTGGCCAATTAATCATCATCGTGGAGCATAGATCGAAAATGGACAAGTTGGACAGGGCTGGCTTGGAAAGCCAATGCATTACATTGAAAGCGGCGAGATATCCTTGATTAAAGTGACGGGGCAAGGCTGACACAGCCTTGTTCCGCCCGTGTTAAGAAATATCAGAACCTGAGCCCAACGCGTGCCGGTGGACTTTGCCTCCGGTGAAATGTGTAACCCCCGAAGACCGAGAAGTGCAGTAAGAATCAATTATATCGAGGGCGAAGGGTTGACTCACTCAGTTCCGCAAACTTGAGCTGTGAAGTGGTTAGCAGCGGTCGGTTCCATACTCTATATTGCTGTGACCAAGATTGACGGAGTGCAGATTGAATGTCAGCAAGAATATGATCTTGATCGTCGACTTGCTGACTCGCCAAACCTTCAGAACTGACATGTGGTTGACCTGTCTTTGTTATCTGTATCGGCCTGCTAGCCTGTCAGAGCACGTGGTATCGGAAAATGACAAAAGGTGTTGGGGCCGGCATCACGCCAGAACAAGATGTCCATGAAAAGATACAACCACCAGAATGAGCTCCCGTATGTAAGAGCCATGAGATTTTGAGTCCACAGGAGTCATATTCCAGTGAATAAAGTTCTAGCTCAAGTACCCATGCGAAAGGTCAATTGCCCTATATCTCAAAAGGTCGTTTTGGATGTAAGCCGCCGTGCTGCTCGAGCGACATCTCGCCCACGCGACCCATTTGTTTATTCTCTTTTCTTTGGCTGATTGTACAAGCAATGTGATCAGGAACTCATCATCGCCTAATGATGGGGAACATCATCGGGTTCGGGCTCCTCAAATAGATCGTCCACCACGTCCTGTGTTTCTCCTGATGAGCTCTGTCCCTCCACCTCAACAACCTGGTCGTCGTAAGCCTTCAAATCGCTGGCCAAGTTCGTCTCTTCGGGGGATTTTGGAGCTGCAGGAGGACTGAATTTCTGGACATGTCCTTCGGAATCGGATGCTTTTTGTTGCGGTGGCTTGTATGCCTTTAATTCTTTCAAATAAAGGTCTTGAATCAGATCGGCTAGGAATCCAGTAAGTACATATCACCTCTGGAATTGAGTCCAGCTCAAACAGAAGGCAACTCACGCATTCGGGCTACCGATGAGACTGCAAAACTTCGACGGGGAGCTTGGAAAGACCTTGAGCTCATACGAGCTAGGAGGCGGGACTAAAATTGGGATTAGCACATGAGCAAGACTGTGAAGCTCCAAAGACATACACTCGCTCTCAGTGACTGAGCCATGTTGATTTGATTGAAGCGGTGCCAATGGAAAGCTGGCTGAAAGAACAGTCTTGAATCGCAATGCCTGTGTTCTGCAAGTCCTATTGATCGTGATTTCCTGAAAGCTCAAGAGCGAGACTAGCCTGTTTGGGAAGCTTCATCTCACGTGTTTGTTCAGAGAAACACGTGATATTCAACCTTGGCATTTTTGCTCGATTTGCCCACTCATCACGTGCTCGTTGCCGCCTGCTTTCCTGCGCCTTCTTCTCAGCCTCTTTCTTATTCCACTTCTTTCTCCCCCTTCATCCCACTCTCACTCTCACCTCGCCACTCTCATCAATCTCTCGAGATCGCAGAAGTCGTCAAGAACCAGCGCATCTGCCCTGTCTTCGCAACACTCCACATTGCAGTTCCTGCCTTCTCGACGCACGACGCTTTCACCGTCGACGACGCGCTGACAATCGACCCTTTCGTGTTCAGAAGCCTCACCTCTTCCTTGACTCACGAGACCTTCACTGGTTGAACGGTCACAGTCCGCCTTCATCGTCATCTTTATTGCGCCAGTTCCAGTTCCCACCTGCGATTCTGTGTTGCATCTTCTTACTCGCGCTCTCTTCATCCACCCGAACTTGATTTTTCTTGCTCTCAAAAGGTAACTAGATAGTCCCGCCGAGCACTCGTTGAACCCTCAGACTCCTGTTTGGCTTGTCTCGTTCATCTGGCGATGGCCTTACTGACAAGTGGTGTCTACAGTGTACGACGACTCTCCTTCAGAAGTCTCCGTCATACACTACCAAATCGTTGTCTAATTCACATCTGCAAAAAATAAAATAAAAAGACCTGATCTCGTCCTTATAATCTGTGCACGCGCTACAAGACTTCCTCCTTGGCCATCGGAGGCTCTCAAGGCCTCTGCGTGGATTGAATTCAGACCTCAGGTCCTACATCAACCACCGTCAAACTGTATTCCCCGTTGTTAATCAAGACCTTCGCTACTAATCATAACCTTCGAACTTCTTATCGTGCCATCAAAAAGCGCCAGACACTGCGAAGACAAAGCAAGCTCGCAGGGCGTGTGGTTAAGAATCACACCGCCTTTAAATCAGCTCTAAAGTCCAAGATGGCGAACATTCCTGGCATCGAAAACCAGCCTCCAGATGGCCCAGCCTGGCATGACAATCTCAATATGCACCTCATCTGTCCTGATTGCAAACAAGTTCCTCCAGATCTTATTGAAGAGAATGCTGACACCATCTGTGGCAATTGCGGAATGGTCCTGGCCGAGAGGTTAATCAGTTACGAGTCCGAGTGGCGTACCTTCAATTCAGATGAGGGGAAAGGCGACGACCCGAACCGTGTTGGTGAGGCTGACAATGAACTATTGTTGACGAACAATGCGGGAACCATGATCGGTGGTGGTGGCCCAAATGTTTCCAAAGAGACCCGGAAGCTCAAGAAAGCTCAAGCTCTACAACAGGAGAATAAAGCTGATAAAGCTTTGCAAACTGCCTATGCTCAGATTGAAACCTGGGGTGAGAAAGCCAAGTTCACGTCATCCATCAAGACTGCAGCCAAGATGTATTTCAAGCGTGTCTACGAAGCAAATGCCCTGCGAGGTAAACAGACTGATGTCATTCTTGCTGGTTGTCTCTTCATTGCCTGCCGTCAGATGAAGCTACCTCGAAGCTTCAACGAGATTTTTGGATTGACCGCCGTTCCCAAAAAGGAGATTGGTCGAGCCTACAAGACACTGGAGAAATTCTTGACCCAATCTTCTCAAGACAACATCCAAGCTGTTGAAGGCAGTGGTGGTATCGCCAATCGCGATCTTTTGGAGTACCGTGGAACCCAATCCACAAAACCAGAGGATCTGTGCGGCAGATATTGCAACATGGTCGGTCTCAATTTCCGAGTCCAAACTATAGCAGAGGGTCTGGCGAAGAAGATTCCAACAATCGAGGGCCTCGCTGGTCGAAGTCCATTATCGAATGCCGCTGCTTGTACCTTTTTTGCCAGTCATCTCATTGGGTTCGGGAAATCGAGCAAACAAATCAGCGATGTTGCCGGTGTTAGCGATGCGACTATTAAGCATGCGTATAAGTTCTTGTTGCAGGAGAAGGAACGATTGGTTGATCCCACTTGGCTTGGTGAACAACCTCCACCTCACGGCGGATTCGGAGATCTGAATAATCTTCCTGGAGCCTGAGTCGACATCGTTCTCTTGGTTGAACAGATCATTTGGACCATTCAACCTCGACTGCTCTTACAGAGCTTCGCTCTCATCTATATCGATTGATGTCTCACACCCACAGGAAAAAGTTGGCTGGTCGTTCAATTGCGTTGGCGCTATGCAACACTTGTCTACAGAGTTACCAACGGTTACGGGGGATCTGGGATGGTTCGCTGAATAATGACTAAGTTTTAATTTCTTTCAGGCACGACGTTGTGCATAGCGAATGATATCCACCGGTGGGCCACAAAAAGTGATGCATGTAATGATAAAAGAAAGGATTTGGGGAAAAAATACTAAATTGAACAAAAGTCTCTCAAACATAGGTTGTTCTCTCCCTGACGATTCTGACCTGTAAGGTGACAATCTGAATCTCCCATGAACGCTGGATACGGACGATGGTCCAGTTCGTGTATTTATTCGTTCTCATTGGAGGATGATTATCTTATTTTGGCCCTCCGCGGACCTCCATGGAGTTAGTGCTCAAACACTCTTGCCTTGGAGATCATCCTTCTGAAGCTTGCTCTCATGGGAAAGCATACCGCTACGAAGCCTGAGAGGAGGATATGCAGGATGATCGATGGAGAAAGGCCAGACCTGGGGTTTAAGTAGCCTTTCCCTCTATGCTGACAAATCGTTCTTTAGTTGACCACATCGGACGTCCACGGCAGTTTACTTTCTTGCCATCACGAGTGTTCTCCTCAGGTCTTCACCTCAGGTCTTCATGCCGTCAAGCTTGCAGAAGAATCGTGCCCGACCAGATCCAGTTTCATGTCAGTCATGCCGGTCGAAGAAGTTGAAATGCAATCGTGTTCAGCCCTGTACAAATTGCACTGCACGAGGTATTCCATGCAAGTTCCTGGTTCCGCCTCAGAAACAATCGTTGGCAAATATCACCTCAAGAGGCAATGCCGATCTCCTAGAGAGAATTGAACGGCTAGAGGCTGTGGCTCTGATACCTTCATCTGCGCAGACTCTTTCGAACCATGTGACAGACGACACCTACACAGGCCCGACTCTGGTAGCTAAGCCAGATTCGGGAAATATGCTGGTATCCGACGAACATAAGATTCGAGACGAAGATTCGCAGGTACTTGAGAATGTTGGCACTCGAGAGGACACGGTGGTAAGATGAAGCCTTTGACTCTATCTAGGATCCTATATTTCGATGGGCGATCTGACTCATTTCCAGCTCTTCAGCCTCTCAGATGCCCTCGTCATAAGGATAGCGAGCACGAAAGATGAACTTAGCGAAGGAACATCTTCACACCACACAATGCAAACAGCGAGCTATCCTCAAGCGAATGGGAACGTGATCATATTTCCACCTTTCAATATGGCGATGCAACTTTTTCAATGTTACGAGACTTATGTCGATCATATATCGCGCATACTACACATCCCAACAGTTCGAGCTCTTATCAAGACTGTTTATTTGCGACTAAATCAAGGCAAGCCTAGTCCACCTGGTCAAACCGCACTGCTGTTGTCTATATTTGCCCTCAGCGCGGTGTTCTACCAAGCCTTTGAGCAGTCTGAAGTAGCCGCTAGTGAGGAAGAAGCTGTTAATCTCGCGAGAGCAATGGCAAAGGGGGCCTTCGATGTCCTAGATTATGCGCGTCGAAGCACTTCAGGCACATTGGAAGACATTCAAGCTTACATTCTGATGTCTCATGTGACCTTTCACTTCGACGGATTTTCAGCGAGAGGTCGCCTGCTTTTCGCGACTGCCGCTGCAATTGCAAAAGACTTGTGTTTGCACAAATTGGATGCGAATCAGTCCGTCAATCTGGATACTAGTATTCGCTGCATGATTGATAGAGAGGTCAAACGGAGATTATTCTGGTACCTCGCAGCCTCAGATTGGTATGATTTATTCCCTGACTAGCGTCTTGATTGACACTAATCACCATGCGGCAGGTTATCGGCAGCAATATCTGGTCCTCAGGAGGGTACGTACTCGATTCACCCGGGTCATATCAATGTCCAAATCCCAAGAAACTGCAACGATGATGATTTTGGGATGGAAGAGGAGAAGGAGCCGGATTCCGGACCACAACCCACAAGTATGACATACTTCATCGAGAAGATTCGACTCGCCCATATCTGTCGTGAAATCGTCGATACTGTGCCAATGGATGCCGTCAAACTCCAGCAAATGCCATATGAGAACATCATCGTATTGGACCAAAAATTGACAAACTTCATTGACAACCTGCCTTATTTCTTCAGACTCGACATCGATAGTCGCCAGCAAAGTCAACCGCTGGAAATGATCTACCCAAACATCCAGCTCCAGCGCTACTGCATCATAGGAGCCGTGCATAGCAGAAGATGCAAATTGCACCAGCGATTTCTCCTACGCCAGTCATCGGACCCTCGCTATTCTTATTCAAGGCAAGCATGTCTTGAATCAGCACGAACTGTTCTGCACTTCTACGACGGGATCTCAGACCATCATCCGCCGCGAACAATGCTACACGGCGTGGGAATAGCAATGCATTATATGCATCTGGCAATGGTAGTACTTGTCATGGACCTGTGCTTCAACAAGATTCAGGCAGATGAGGTTACGATTAAAGAAGAGGTGAAAGCTGGCTTACAATTGTTCGAGAGCACACGGCATCAATCACCGCTGCTCAAACAATTTGGGAGCTCTCTGTGCCATGTGATGAGCAAGCATAATGTGGACCTATCAGATTCGATGGGCTCCTCGCCTCACCGGGGTGTCGACCATGACCGAAATAGTAACAGTGCACCGTTTGATGTTGCGGCGGGAGAGAATTCCCAGTTTCCTAATTTTCAGAATGACATAGCTCATCCTGTCGAGTTTCTAGACCCCTCCTTTGATGAGATCTGGCAGAGGACGATAGAAACGGAGCCATGTGCTGATTTATCTGCTTGGGATAGTATGTTCTCAGCAATTGACGATAGACCGCTCTAAGATAGAGGTAGATGGAAGACTTCAGTAAAGGGAATATTGATTTTTTACTCCAAGCTAATGCTCTACAAGCCACGGCGACTATGCGTCGTGTGTCATGATGCGTGTGGCCGGCCATTGAAGTTTTGACCTTCTTCACTGAGGGCCCGCAGAACTATCTGGGAAAAAGGCCAGTGTCATGTACTTACCCAACAGCCAAATATTGGGGTGAACACATGCCTCAATAGAAGGCTGCAAGAGGGGAATACAGCCTATTTAATTCTTGATAGAAACATGATCCATTTGTGTAAGGTCACACCTCTGAGGCACAACCCCAAAAGTCGGGGTACACAAGCGGACGAATGCACCTTTGAAGACATCGGATGCTCCCCGAAATCAAGGACACTCGGTCAAAAACAGGGGTGAATATATACTTTCAATTTTCCTCGTTGTGACGTCGTAAAGTATCCTCCTCTTCGCCTTCGAATTGAATACTGACCTCACAACTTTTACCAACCACTATGCTTTCTCCACGTCTCCGCCCGATATCCATGTCGTTTCTCCGCATCCGATGATATCTTGATCCATCTCCTTCTGTAACGGGCTAGCGAGTAGTCGGCACTTGCGATGGTCATGGAGGTACTTGGACTATTGCTAGCATTCAAGCTCGCCGAACTGCCGGTGCATGGCATAAAGGTAAGCGTAGGGGACTGCATTCATTGCCTCTTCAATCCCATCGCTCGTGTATCACAAGTCTGAAGCGATTACGCGAAAAACGCATCAGATCCAGAAAGAGAGAATGCTTACCAGCAGTGCTCTGCTAGCTCTTGTAGCCCTTTGGACAGTATGCTTCGCGAGGCCTGGTCGTGAGCACAATCGATCTCCTTTCGCAAAGGCTCTCGAAGCTCGTCAGTCGGACGGTTCCGGAGGCTCGCCACTGCAGATTGATCTGGGATATGGAATCTTTGAAGGCTATCTCAACAGCACTAGTAATCTGAACACCTGGAGAGGGTAAGGCAGACTGGATGAGCTGTCGCTGCTGTCGCTGCGGAAGTTTGATACTAATGTTGTCTCTAGCATACGGTTCGCAGCACCCCCTATAGGCTCTAATCGCTGGCAAACACCGCAAGCTCCCGAACAAAACAGGTCTTCTATCGTCAACGCGAGCTCATATGCGCCAACGTGCCCCCAAGCACCAAACGCCAAGTTGACTATCCAGGCCGCCAACCAATCACTAGCAGATGAAGATTGTCTTTTTCTGAACGTGCAAGTGCCAGCGAATGCTACTGGTCCCTTGCCTGTCCTGGTTTGGATTCATGGCGGCGGCTATGGTGCGGGTAACGGCCGTCAAGATTTTGCAGCGATCATCAACGCCAACAACAACAGCTTCATTGGTGTTTCGATCCAATACCGACTCGGCGCATTTGGGTTCCTCGCTTCGGACGAAGTTTACCGCAATGGTGTGGTCAATGCCGGGCTGCTCGATCAGCATTTTGCGCTTCAATGGGTGCAGTCCTATATTTCACTCTTCGGTGGAAACGCATCGCAAGTGACGATAAGCGGTGAGAGCGCTGGAGGCGGGTCTGTTATGCTTCTAGACATGGCATATGGAGGAACTCTCGGTGACTCGCTGTTCGTCAACAGCATTGCGGCATCCCCATACCTTCCTATGCAGTACGGCTACAAGGATTGGATTCCGTCGCAATCCTATTATGCCTTCGCGACAGAGGCTGGGTGTCCTCCTGGTCTGCCCTATGGCGCCCATCCGCAGACTATCTTCGAGTGTCTCGTTGAAAAAGATACTGACACTTTGATCAGCGCAAGTGATACTATTTCGCAATCAGGCACGTTCGGCACCTGGGCATTTCTGCCAGTGTGAGTGCAACTTCCCAAGACTAACTGGGATAAACTGAGCTAATTGAAAATTACAGGACTGATGGCACCTACGTACAAGACTTACCAAGTCGACAGTTTCTTCAAAAACAAGTCAACGGTCGGAACCTTCTGGTGGGGAACAATGCAAATGAAGGCCCAGGATTTACGCCTCAGAATATTACCACTGAAGATGATCTCGTTGCGTGGCTTGGAGTGACTTTCCCACTATTCACTAACGATGACATCGCAAAAGTGTTGCTTTACTACCCCAGCTCGAACGACTCGACAGATCAAAATGCAACGCTATTTGCCACGGAAGGTGATGTTGGTGTTACTGCACTGAACCAGAGCAGTGTGGGATCTGGACAACAGCAGAGAGCGAATGTAAGACTATCTCAAGCAAGCGTATCTCATATTTCTTCTTCCGCTTACCACCACATGAAACAGAACATTTATGCAGAAACGACATTCGTTTGCCCATCATACTGGATGGCCGGTGCATATAACGATTATGGACGAGCAGCATACAAGTATCAGTACTCCGTGGCTCCTGCGACCCACGCATTGGATGTTGCGGCTTGTACGTGAAAGTCGACAACTAACGTTTACGAGCCTCACTAATTCTGCCTTGCCACAGACTTCGGTCCATCCCCTCCGAATGTTGGTCCAGATATGGCATTAGCCTTCAAACAGATCTGGGGTAACTTCATTACGACGAACAATCCTAGTATTTTCAATGGAGTCGCTAACGGCGCATCATCCAACTCTACATCCACCAACGACGCAACGGACTGGACTCCATTCTCGGCTTATGAGCCATTACAGCTGAATCTGAACCAGGTAAGATGAAGACCACTCCAAAACATAACTAGGTGCTGCTGCGAAATCTATCATGTCTAGGAAGCCTCTCTATCTGGAGAATACTGACATTTCAAAATCGCTACAGACTGGAGGGTCGCCCATTCAATTTCCAATATCCATAGGCCGCAACCTAACAATAAATGGCAATCCGGGACTTCAGAACGATATCTCGCTCGTGAATGCTTGGACATGGGAAGGCGGAAGAGGCTATCGCTGCGAGTTCTGGCGTAGTGTTGGGGCTATCGTGCCTGAGTAGAGCCAATCTGTGCGTCGATTGAGTCGTGAATAACACGGCAGTGCCACGATCTGACATCTCTTTCGGTCTAATTATCCAGCTACCGGGCATAGCACACATGGTGGATGCATATACTTAGCAAAAATTAGGGTACATATCATGCATGCGTCACAAATGCCATACGATTTGGCGATGAAACTTGAAGCACCCTTGTCATTTTCCATAACCACGATAATGGACACGAGTACGAGACATTTCGCTGTAAGCGATAGCCCCTCAAGAGCATTTCTTATACGCACTGCTCCAATCAATATCCTCCAAGCCGCGCCCTTTCAAGTCATTTCCCGCAAAACGCCAATGATGGGCATACCCCGCTTCGCCATATCGATCGCTGATACTGTGTGGGGTGATTTTCGTAGATAAAGGAGACATAATAATCTGGATTCTTTTGAGGTTGATATTATTCGATGTGTGTGTTGAGAGGCTCCTGAGTATTTTTCAACCTCCATACATTGTCTTTGACTGCGTGAAGAATAGCTGCAAACTCTCCATGAAGGGACATCTTGCAGTCTTCGAATAACAGTGCCTCAGGGTCGAGAGTGCTTCAGCCACTCTTTGCCGCATAATCGTGTGTGCACACGGAACGTTAGCCTAGTTCAGCATCAGGACCAGTCCACCAACTTCGACTCGAAAAATCCAACTAGGACAATGGCACTGAAAGCAACACACCTGCAATGCCACTGCGGTGCCATCCATGAACCAGCAACACTTCTCCGATCCGACACACTGCCCATCACCAATGATTTCTGCCACTGCTCCATGTGCCGTTTCTCCACGGGCAGCCTAGGAGCATGGTTCGCCGGTCTCAAGGGACGGCCGAGCGAAAAGTCCCTGAGCAATGCGAAGGCCTATTCTGCGACTGATGTCGCGGCAAGGTACTTCTGCAAGACATGTGGATGCAGTGTTTTTGTCCATATGCAGCAGGAAGACCGGTGGATTGCATGTGCTGGGATTGTGGAGGTGGAGGGTGACGGGGAGGGGAATGGGAAGCCTGGAGACAGGTATGGCAAAGAGGATCGAAACATCTCGCACCCAAGGTACCACGAGTTCGTTGGATCAGCGGTGGACGGCGGGCTTGCGCCGTATTTGAGCAACCTAGCTGGGCGGGACGTTCCATGCTACGACGGCGACCCAGCCGATGGCGAAAAGCCACTCGACCCAGCCCGGGTGCAATCCCTCCGCGACAACGCCGACATCTCGACCTCAGCCCGCGACAGCAACATCAAAGTCGCATGTTTGTGCGGTGGTGTCGAGTTCAACATCGCGCCGCCGCCGTACGACGATTCCAGCACAGGATGGTACGTGACTTCCGACAAATCGAAATACTACGCCCGCCTATGCAACTGTCGATCTTGTCGCTTGACGCTGGGCTTTACATTCCAGCCCTGGACATATATCCCGCCTAGCCAGCTGTTCGCAGCCCCAGGTGAGAGACTGATCGTCGGACCTGATGCAAAGTCCGCGAAGCAGATCGAGAAGATGCAGTATTACCAGAGCTCGGAGTCGGTGCTCCGAGGGTTCTGCGAGACGTGTGGTGCGACGATGCTGTATCAGAGCTTCGACAGGCCGTACATCATTAATGTCTGTGCGGGTGTGGTGAGGAGTAAAGTTGGGAATGTCTTGGTTCGAGAGTGGTTGGAGTGGGATCATAATGTGGTGAGCAAGAGGGAGGAGGCAGTGGATGAGATGATGATTGAGGCTTGGTTGAGGAACAAGTAGATGATTCGTTGAGAAGCCTGTCACACGGGAAAATTGAAGTCACAATTACGAATAGTGGATTCGAAGCCAGAAGGAAGAGAAGTAAATGCAAAAATGGTATGATATGTGTTATATAGATTAACTTTGCGTGCCTCAGGAAACCTCCCTACGGAGGGAAAAACCTGAACGTGCAATTTGCTTTGTGTCAACTCCAACCCCGATCACCTGGTAATCTCCAGATCAATCAACAATTGCCGAAATGGAACTAAACAATCGAGCTACCATCTGTAGGCGTCGACTTGCCACTCTCGTTAGCAGCACGTTGAGATTTCCTCAGTCTGTATCTCTTGATAGCCTTCCACGTTTCGATAACCATGACATAGACAACCAGGCACCCGACAACAATTCCCCACTCATAAGTGATGCCCGAATGCTTGAAAACCAAACTGTTGATTTTAGGGATATAAATCAGGGGGAAGACAAGACAGAATCCGGAGACAACAGCCCAGAACAGAAACTTGTTCTGGTAAACGGCTGGGAAGATGGAGAAGATCTTCGAACGATGAGAGTCAGTATCGCGCTCTACGCCGACCAGACCCATATTGAACAGAGAGGCATTGAAGTCTTTGACTTCCCAGGCTGTGACGAGGAGGGTGAATGATAAGACGGCGAAGACGGTGGCACGGGCTTGGAAGACGCGGTCGCACGTGCCATTGTAGTCCTGGTTGCAATCTTCACCTAGTGCAGTCTGTCCATGGCCAATGCCGTAGATGACGCTGACGAACGCGACTAAACAGAGAGAGCCCATGGTAATACCGTAGACCATCTTGTCGATGATGAGCGATTTGGTGAAAACACCGACTTTCATGTCTCGTGGTGGACGGTCCATGATATCCAAGACCGCTGGTTCGAGGCCGAGACCAAGAGCCAGTGGCGACGAGGTGACGAGGTTGGCCCACAAGATCTCCAAGGGTGATAGTGGGAATACTGACTGGTTGGATCTGTCTCGGAATGCCAATGCAGTAATCAGCAGAACCACTTGGGCAATATTGGAGGTGAGTAGGTGGAGTAAAAACTGCGGACAGCATTAGTATAAGAAGATGAAAACCGATTTTTGCGTGGCTTACCTTCTGAATGTTGTCAAACAAGCGACGTCCTTCTTGAATGGCGCGGACGATCGATGCAAAGTCATCATCAGCCAATACCATGTCTGCGGCCTGCTTGGCGACATCACTACCGTTGAGACCCATAGCGATACCAATATCAGCCAGCTTCAAAGCAGGAGAATCGTTGATGCCGTCACCAGTCATAATGCAAAAAGCCTGTCTGCGATGTAGGGCCTGAACCATACGGACTTTAGTGGTGGGTGAGCATCGAGCAACGACTAGGGGGAGCTTCTCGAGTCGATCCAGATCGTCGTCGGAGAGCTTGTCGAAATCAGATGCCAACATGACTTCTCCAGTTGCAGCAGGACCTGTGGTATTTAGACCACGACCGACGATACCAACTTCTTCGGCAATGGCGGTGGCAGTGCGGATGTGATCACCAGTAAGCATGTGAACAGTGATGCCCGCACGTTGACAGGTGCGGACAGCTTGTGCTGTTTCGGCACGAGGTGGATCATAGAGACCGATTAAACCGACAAAATGCAGTTGTGATTCGGCCACGTTACGATCGGTGACAATTGTTTGGTCGTCGGCAGAAACCGTTTTGTGTGCAAGGCAAAGGACGCGAAGTCCCTGTCCAGCCATAGCTTCGGCATCCGCGTTGATTCGAACCTTCTCTTCTTCTGAGCAAGTAGAAATCGGCAGAATTGCTTCCGTAGCACCCTTAGTAAAAAGGTCGATTTGGTTATTGTCAGGACGAGTGTAAGCCATGGTCATGCGCTTAATGGACGAATCAAATGGAAATTCAGCAACCATGGTTCGATTTTTCTTTGCCATCGCTTCGGCCTTGCCATGTTCAAATCTCATCGCGAAGACCTGCAGGGCAATTTCGGTGGGCTCACCGATAGCTGTCCAACCACCTTGTCCAGTGGAACCTGCTGGTGCAGAAGAGCCAGTCGCTGTCTTGGAAAGATTCTGCACGGTGGAAAGATTGCAAAGGGAGACAATGTCGAGGAACAAATCGAGAGGTGCGCCGCTCTGAACTTCAGACGTCGTCTCTCCATCGTCTCGTTCCACAGTGCCACTAGTGGGGTCGAAAGGATTGATAGAATTGTGAACGGACAAAGTCTCTGCGCCAGCGATCAATGCTCTCCTGACGATCATTTTACCCTGGGTAAGTGTGCCGGTCTTGTCGGAACATATATTTGAGACACCACCAACGGCTTCGAGGGACGAAAGTTTTCGAATGATGATATTACTCTTGGCCATAGCCTTGGTACCGACAGCAATTGTGAGAGTGAGCACGGCGATAAGAGACTCTGGGATAACGGCAACAGCCACACAGATACCGTAAATGAGTACCTCGTCCGAAACATCCCATTTGGCGGTAGAGAAGACGATGATGGCGAGCAGAATCGCCAGGCCAAAGAGTAACAATGCGAACTTGCTCAACTTGACTTGCAGAGGACTGCCAACAAGACCAAGAGCGTGTTTCATGACAGCAATTGTCTTTCGAAAGGATCGAACGAAGACGTTGCCCTCCGATCCAGAGGCCTTCTTATCCTGAAGAAGGCCCGCAATTTTACCGACTTCCGTAAGCATAGCAGTGGAGACGACGATTCCAGAACCTCTTCCGCGAGTGACCATGGAAGCTGAGTAGACCATATTAGCTCGATCACCGATAGGCATGTCCGGACGGGTCAAAACTTGATGAGCGAATTTAGATGTAGGCATGGATTCGCCAGTGAGGAGTGCCTCGTCAGTGGATAAGTTTACCGAATCGAACAATCGGAGATCGGCTGGAACCATCCCACCAGCAGCCAGTATGACCACATCACCGACGACGAGAGTCTCCGCTCTGACAACCTGGATCTGGCCGCTTCGGAGGACTTTGCATTCTGGTGACGAGAGTGCCTGGAGCGAAAGAATTGTTTGCTCGGCGCGCCAGTCCTGGACGAATCTGGTCGTGGATGTTAGTCTAGGGGTAGATTAAAGGAGTTAGTTCGACAATGAGCTTACCCGACAACGATATTCAACAGGATGACGGCCAAGATGACCGAGCCTTCAATGTAGTCGTCCAGACTGAACGACAGGATCATAGTGATCAAGAGAACAAGCGTAAGGGAATTGGAGACCTGTCTCAAGAGAATCTGGAACACGGAAATCCGTTCAGTATCCTCGATCTTGTTGGGTCCATCCTTCGCAAGGCGATCTGCTGCTTCATTGTTGCTAAGGCCATGCCTATATTGCTGGTGTTAGATTTGATTTCTCGAAATGTTTCAAACAAGTACGGTTGGTGGTCCTCCACGTAGGATTGAACGATTCCAAGTTGCGCAAATGGTAAGATTGGTGGGATGTCACTTACTCAACGTCAACCCCTAGCTGGGTGGCGAGATACGCGACCTCACAAGTGTGGGCGTTCTTACAAAGCTCGTCGCGGGATGGGGCTGGAACACTGGCGGCGATGCCAGTCTCGATGCTCTTCTCTTTTACTTGACTGTGGTGTTGCCCACCTATAGGGGGTTCGTCATTCACGGGCTCAACTTGCTCAAGCGTTGTTGTGGAACTGCCATTGGGGGTTGAAGTAATAACCATTCAAGGAAGGACAAGGACACTTTGTGTGTGGCCTTGGAGATCGAGAAGGAATGATTTCGCTTAGGTGAATTGACGGCTTCACTGAAGTCGAGAATTGATACCAAGTACAGATCTGACAATCACAGATTGAGATGTGTAACGAAAGAGAAAGGGATACTGATCCCCGGATTTGCTCTTGGAGTTATGTACAGAGCACGGGTAGACACCAATGAGTGGCGGTGGGGGGCAATCAAGGTACGCCCTCTATTCTGTGACAATCCAAGGCACTTCGGACAGTCCACATCATCAAGAAGCACTGCCACATCGAAATGGCAAAGGACCATTGGGTCAAGTGATTGCATGAGTGGGCATAGAGCATGGACAAGAAGTGACCATTCCTCGTTGAGCAATACCAAGAGGGAGGCGGCATGGAGAGGAGTCTGGTTAAGTCTGGGCAAGGGTTTCAAAAGCCCGTCATTCGTGGAGAAGCAGCCAAGACTGCGGTGGAATGCGAATGGACATGTTGATTATTTGCAGTAATGACATATGCAATTGTTGAGGCTAATGATGCGACCAAGCATCTTAAAACCTGTTCTCCTTCTTGGCTGCTTATACGTTCGGTCCCGTAAAGATTGGCTAGTGAGATAGTCCTCGCAGTAGCCACTGGTTAGAAAGGTCCGTACGGACTGCGAACTTCGCACTGCTCGCGATGCTCTTTGGCGATGTGAATCTGATGGGGATTGACGCCAAGGACTTGATGACTTCATACCTAAGTATTTCTGGGCAGGCGTGCTTTGCGAGATACAAGGTAGCTTGGAAATCTTGATAAGCCACAATAGGATGATAAGGAGGTACCAATGTATCTGCCTAGGGCCATCCTAGATGAGACATTGAGCATCTGGAGACTCGCGAATATTCTTGTAGACGCGTGAATGATCAAGGTGTGGAAGGGAAAAGTGCGCTAGACCCTTTTCGCTTAGTCCCACCCAATTACGGCGGCGACTGAACACTCCCTATCTGAAACACTATCATGGCTGCTTTATAGTCTTGGCATCGCGGAAGCAGAAGTGAACTTGAATCTTTAGATTCTGGCGCCTGCGGATGCGATACAACTAGATCCAGAAATACAATCTTTGGCCTACCTAAGTAGTCATCTTCACCACGAGTTCCAATTGCTCCACCCGTGATTCACGTAGCAGTCTTCCGTGGACCACTATCTCGATCAACTATACCGACCGTGTCTCTGGTGAGGTGGACTAGACTTGAAGGTTTTCCAGGTAAAACTCCTCCAACATGGCCGCCGCTGCGAAGCCGACAAAGAATCAGCTCAGACGCGCAAAGAAAAAGGCTCAAAAGGCGCAGGTTAGTACCCTGCCTAGCAGTACCTCTTCCAGGACTGACTGTCTTCAGGCAACCACAGAATCAACACAACAGAATCCTTCCCAGGATGGCGCGCCGGAACCTCTAGAACCTGCAACAAATGGAGACAAGGTCAAGTTAGAAAGCAGTCGAAATGTCTCCGCTCTCACAGATCCCCTTGTCCTCGACGAGGATAATCCTCTATTCGAGATCTTCAAAGACGTCATGGGACGGTTCGAGGAACCCGACAAAGCAGATCCGTCTTTAAAGCAGCCCGATAAACCTGAAGTGTATTTCGATGACGACGATGACATCCCGGACGAGGAGGAAGAACTCGCCGCGCCCAAGATGTCCAAGAAGAAGCGCAAGGAAATGACCCAGCTCTCCGTCGCCGAGTTGAAAGCACTTGTCAAGAGGCCGGAATTGGTGGAGTGGACAGACACATCTGCGCCAGACCCCAAGCTCTTGGTACATCTCAGGGCATACAGAAATGTTGTCCCTGTTCCAAACCATTGGTCTTTGAAACGCGAATACTTGTCATCCAAGCGTGGAATTGAGAAGCCTCCCTTCGCCCTACCCAAGTTCATCCAAGAGACTGGTATTGCAGAAATGCGGGATGCAGTCCTCGAGAAGCAAGATCAGCAGAGTCTAAGACAAAAGCAAAGAGAGCGCGTTCAGGGAAAGATGGGAAAACTTGATATCGACTATCAAAAACTTTACGAAGCTTTCTTCCGATTCCAGACCAAACCAGAGTTGACAAGATATGGCGAAGTCTATTATGAAGGCAAAGAGTTTGAAACCAATCTTCGACATTTGCGACCGGGTGACCTCTCGGATGAACTCAAGGAGGCGCTGAACATGCCCCCAGGTGCACCACCACCATGGCTCATTAACCAACAAAGATACGGACCTCCACCGTCTTATCCATCTCTCAAAGTTCCAGGGGTAAATGCACCACCGCCTCCAGGTGCAAGTTGGGGATTTGCTCCTGGTCAATGGGGTAAACCTCCAGTTGACGAAGCAACCAACCGGCCGCTTTACGGTGGTGATATCTTTGGCGTTCTGCAGCAACAACAAAACACCCAACAAGGAGAGCCGATCGAAAAGGACCTGTGGGGTGAACTCCAACCACAGGAAGAATCTGAAGCAGAGTCTGAAGATGAGGAGGAGGAAGAGGAGGAAGCCGACTCCGATGACGAGGGTGCCGGCGCAGACCATGGTGGCCTCGAAACCCCAAGTGGCCTCACTTCTTCAGTTCCTACTGAGATTGGTGGAACCGAGACTGTGTCCGAGTTCGACCTTCGGAAACGTCGTGGAAATGATACTGAAGAAACTGGTCATCCGCGGTCTGCTTACCAAGTGATCCCCGAAAGGCAAACCCGTGTGGAAGGGTTTTTTGGTGGTGACCGTGCATATGATCTGAAGGGTGCTCAACAAAATGCCAACAATCTCCCAGTCCTGGGTCAGGATGACACACGGAAACGGAAAAAGCCAGGTGATGTCGATGTTTCGATGGACCCAGACGCTTTGGCCGCAAGGGATGGCATGGACAAGGCTGATCTCCAGAAAGCATACGATGCACAGCGTAAAGCTGAACAAAACCCTGGTTGGGATTTCCAGGAAGACTTGTCCGAGATGATTGCCTCGGAAAGTCGGAAGAGACAGAAGCGAGATGAGGAAAAGAGATCTAAACGATGATAATCTGTTGTTTTAACCACCGATAAGGTTACAGTTCTATGCAGCCACTAGAAGATCAGGCGGTCTCCAGTGATGGCCACCAGAGATCTCTTACACTCTGACGCAGCTGAGCGATTGTGTGCGACTAGATGCCATCAACGGATGTGTGTTTGTTCAACACTGAGCTTGTCATGGTCAGGATACCTGTGCCTTTGTTCCAATGAGACATAGCTAATATCACCGCAGAGTTACGTATACAAAGGTACTGCGACTCCTTCCCCAAGCCAGCTATCATCTGCCTCGAGCCTATGCTTGAACTCGGCTGCGACCATGGGGTTGATAGACACCCTAGTATGTACTCTGGCTGCTCACTGCATCAAATTGAGGCCGACATTGGCCATTTCATCCACCGAACGTCTTCTTTTCATTTCGCTAGGCCATTTCGCTAGCACTTAGCTGTTTGACAGTGCTGCTCTACAAACGATAACGGAAACCGAAGGTCTTCCAGTCTGTGACATCGTCGTAATCCGACTCCGACAGATGTATGGCGCGCACCATTTCACCAATATCTCTATCTCCAACCTCGACAACTTTGCCATCTGCCAGTACTCCACCTGTGCCCGCACTTCCCTTGACACCCTCTGTCTTTTCACGTCTTCTGTTCTCAAATTGCAAATAGAACCTCAATGTTAAGCTGAGACCAACCACCAGAGCATAGCAAATCATAATCGCCCGAAACGCTGTCTGGTAGTGTGGCGCCTCACTAGTTCTGAAGAATTGAGGGCCTGCGATATTACCACTCGCATACGCGATGAACATAATTGCTGTGACGGTCATCTTTTTCGTGACGCCTTTGTAGTTGGCTTGAACCAAGGACATTGTGAGAGGAATTCCAGCAGGACCAGTGGATTGCAAGAAATAGCCAAAAAGTTGCACTCCCTTCGATGTTGCTGGTCTTGCATATATGAGTGCGTTGCCAATGGTGGCACAGAGCACGACGCATGCAATCAAGATGCAGTTGAGTTGGCGAAAACGACCTGCAAGCCATCCCGTACCGGCAATTGTTCCTGCAGCAATGACTGACGAGGGAATGTTGATCAGAGTTGATTCCAAAGAGGTAAAACCAAAGGACTTGATGACCAGATTCCCGAAGTTTTGAATACCCCCGTTAGGTATTTGGGTCAACAATGCAATGGAAAAGGTTAGCCATGTCTTTGGATCGATGAGGCATTCCAGCATCTGCTCCCATTTCCACGGTACCTTTTCAGTAGACCCAGTCCCAGCTACCACGACACGGTCGGTCGCGAATTGGCGCTCCTCGGGAGTCAAGAACTTGGCCGATGATATTCGATCTGGCAGGAAGATCCAAATGGCAAATGACCAGAGAAATGTCCCAACACCCAGGATAATGTACATCCATTGCCACGGGGCCAACGGGCGCTCAATGTGACCCACCCCATATGCCATAAGACTCGCGACAAGGCCACCAATGCTGTTACCCGCAAACCAGATCCCTGTTCTTGTGGGAACTTCATCTCGAGTCCACCAGCTGGTGGTGATGAACATGAAGGCTGGCGTGATACTTGCTTCTGCGACTCCAAGGAGATAACGAAGGGTTATGAGTCCTCCGTAGTTGGTGCACGCCGCGGTAAGAGCGACGACAATGCCCCAAAAGAAAGTATTGACGACCAGATACTTAGCAACTGGCAGGCGTGCTACAAGCAGTGTCGCGGGGTATTCCCAGAAGAAATAGCCAAAATAGAAGACCGAGCTGACCCATGAGTATTGCTGACCGTGAAGATTCTATTCATCACTGTCAGCATTTCTGGCTCCTTTTCCTTGATATGCGGCACTTACGGTGTCTTCCCTCAGTCCAAATACACTTGCGCTCGACAAGATAGTCTTGTCCATGAAATTGAAATTGTATGTGATGAACATCAGTGGCAGTAACCTCCAATCGATCTTGCGCAGCACACGCTTTGCCATGGCCTGGTCATCGTTGGCAACAGGGGCTGGGAGTGCCGTTGAGGTCGCGTGCGCATCGCCCTGCGGTTTCGAATCTGACGCTGAAGCCATCCCGAGCTTGGTCTAGAATTATAATCTTCACCACGTATAGAACGAGACTTTTGCTGGCTTCGATACTGAGCAACAAGAGGGTTGAATAAAGGCGTGTTTAATCATTTCCTGAACCATCCAGCGATATCGCACACGACCGCAACTCCCCGCTTGTTGATTCGACTATCTGCCACATAGATAGCGACGTCACATTGAAGATGGCTCAGTGAACACCGACCGGTCTAGCTATCGAATAGGATATGGACATTTCCGCAGTGGCAATTGGTCGAAAACTTACACTGTCGATCGCTGCATGATAGGGACTTCTGCTTACTCGACTTGCCATTCCCTTTCAAGGCATTCGATGGAATTTCGTGCCCGACGATTGAATCTCCAGGGACAAACGTGTTGAGATAGCCATTGTTCGAAGCGGAGTCGTCCGTGTGAAGTGTCCCGAAAAGCGGTCCGTTACAGTCATCAGACGATGCCACCGGTGATTTTAATGTTCAGTATCCACATAAGCCGGCGACCACTACACCTACTATCCCCCATGTTCCCATATGGACGGTCTTGTCCGCGAAGGGGGGGTTGAGTGTACTTTACTCCAATCTAAATATCATTGCTAAGACTTGCGCCACCTCAGGAAGGCATTAGCTTATATGATGCTTGGTAGATACTTCGGGAAAGGGACACCGGTCACATTGGAATAAAACCATTAATGCCTACAGTCAAATCGCAATGAATGGGCTCGAAATCTCACCATTCATCCAATCTTTACCCAAGGTCGAACTCCACATACATATTGAGGGCACTCTGACACCAAGGTTGCGATGGAAACTCTCCAAGCGAAATAACATAAAGCTGCCCTATGATACATACGAGGATCTTGTTGCCTCCTACGCCGTGACATACAACCATCGCAAAGAGGTGAATGGCGACAATGGCGCGCCGACATTTCTCGAAGCATTCTACGCAGGATGTCAAGTGTTGCAGACCGAAGAGGACTTTTACGAACTCGCCATGGAGTATTTCCAGAAGGCGGCGAAGATGAACGTACGCTATGTCGAGCCTATGTTCTCGACGCAAGATCACATCCAACGTGGAATTCCGGCGCAAACGGTGTTGGATGGCTATCTCAGAGCTCAACATGACGGGCCTGGCAGGTATGGTATTCACAGTAACTGGATCTTCTGCTTCCTCCGCGACCACCCTGTCCTGGAAGCAAAAGATGCCTATGAGGAGGCACTACCATGGGGAAGCGTGGAGGGTGGAAAAGGTCTCTTTCACGCCGTCGGACTCGCGAGCAATGAATTTGGCCGGCCACCATTGATCTTTGAGCAACATTTTCGTTGCCCGAAAAGTGATGGACTCCATGTTACCATGCATTGCGACGTGGACCAGAAAGACGCTGTGGCCCATGTCCATGAGACCATATTTGATATCCTCAACGGTCAAGGCACCGAGAGGATCGACCACGGATTGAACGCTGTCGACGATCCGAGATTGATAGCAGGACTCAGAGCCAGGAACATTCCTTTGACACTCTGTCCGCATGCATACCATCGACGACAGAAAACGGAGGTATTGTTTCCCAAGATCACCAAATTATGGAAAGAAGGGGTCAAGATTTGCATCAACTCAGACGATCCAACTTACATGCATAATGTATGGATTGACGGTAATATGCAGAAAGTCTATACTTACTGTTCGTTCACCAAAGTAGACATGATAAACCTCGTTCGCAACGCTGTTGAGGCCAGTTGGGCTGAGCAAGGCATCAAGGAAGCTATTCTCGATGAGTTAGCTGCTGTAGATGTGACAGAAGACAATTGAATCAAACCTGCTCCACACTTAGGTCCTTGGCAACATCCGAAAGCAAAGGTGATCTGTTCAGAGGAGACACAAATTGAAATGAAATTTTCAGCGGAGGCAAACAAACAGCGCCGCGCTCTTGCCGCTGTCTCTGGTCCGGACGGCTCATCTACCCAAGATGGACCACCCGGGGTGCGGCATGATGTCATCCGGGTACATTTCCCAAAAGAACATCAATGACAAGGCGGAGAGTCAACAGAGCTATTTCCTCGACGAGGCTGATCCCTACCGAAAGTCCGTATATTTCAGCGACAATCTTGGCTTGCAGATATCAGGGACAAGGTCTTGAGCATATATGGATGCTTTATTACCAGTTCCTGCCAGAGTCTATGTCTTCGTAAACGGCCAACAGCATCAACCTCACCTTCATCACCATGTCTAGAGCAACACAGGTCGATTCCCTCCAACTAGAGGATGTCTCGAATTATCTAGACACACAAACACCATCCAACCATTCTGCAATCTCAAGCACCGAAACCGTACCGCCAGAAGGAGCAGTCTCGGCACTTGAAAGATGGAACCAGTCCAAGACCAATATCTTCAAGATCATCTCGACCTTCTTCGGATTTGTGGTCATGGGGGCCAATGACGCCGCATATGGAGCTTTGATCCCATATCTGGGCACTTATTACAAAGTCTCATATACAGTGGTATCACTGGTATTTCTCTCACCTTTTGCTGGATACGTGGCAGCAGCTGCGCTCAACAATACTCTGCATAAGACCGTGGGTCAGAGAGGTGTCGCAATCCTGGGACCTGGATCTCACCTTGTGGCCTACATTGTCATTTCGCTACATCCCCCATATCCAGTGCTTGTCATTGTCTTCATCCTGGCGGGATTCGGAAATGGTATACTGGATGCAGCCTGGAACGCTTGGATCGGCAACCTCGCAAACCCCAATGAAATCCTTGGCTTTCTTCACGGGTTCTACGGTGTTGGTGCGACCATCGCTCCGCTCATTGCAACGACCATGATTACAAGGCGAGGACTTCAGTGGTATTCATTCTACTACGTCATGATCGGAGCTGCAGCACTGGAACTCTTGACTTCGACCGCAGCCTTCTGGAAGGAATCTGGCATTAGGTTCCGCATGTCTCTGTCTGATGAGACCATTCGCGGAGCTACACGAGCAGCGCTGAAGACTCGAGTTGCCTGGGTCAGTGCTTTCTTCTTGCTCGTATATGTTGGCATTGAAGTTGCGCTGGGTGGTTGGGTCGTCACATTCATGATTGAAGTAAGACATGGTGCGGAGTTTGAGTCCGGCTTGATAGCAACTGGGTAAGCTTTCTTTCCGTTTGCTCTTGATGCATAGCTAAGTTCCCTGTTAGGTTCTGGTTAGGAATCACAGTCGGTCGTGTTGTATTGGGATTTGTTACTCCCAGGTTGGGCGAAAACCTATCCATTTTATTGTACCTCGCATCCGCCATGGGCATGCAGTTACTGTTCTGGCTGGTACCATCGTTCACGGTTTCGTCAATTGCCGTCGGCTTCGTTGGCTTCTGTCTTGGTCCCTTGTTCCCTGCTGTTGTGGTTGCGACGACGAAATTACTTCCACCACATCTGCATGTCGCTACCATTGGTTTCGCCGCAGCTTTCGGTGGTGGTGGGGCTTGTATCCTTCCATTCGCGGTTGGTGCGATTGCTCAAGCAGCTGGTGTCAGGGTGCTTCAACCCATCATACTATCCATGCTTGCCGTTGCGCTTTTCCTTTGGGCATTCGGGATGCCTAGGATCTCTGGTGAAGAGGGCAAGAAAGATGGGAAGATCGCGAAGACGAAACAAGTCGTTTCCAATTATTTCCATGGGTGCTTCACAGCTCGCTTGTAGGGCTGCCGCATCATCGTCACTTGGCATTGAGGGTGATGTAGTCGGGCCGTTGAGTTACGTACTTGATCATCAGTATCGATGGTGATTTGAACGAAGCATGTTCAATTAATCTCCATTGATATCCTTGTACATATTGACCATTGAAGGATAATCAGTGTTCTCATAGAAATTTATCTCGGATCCTCCCCGAGTCAGGTGGACAGAACTCGATCTCGATTGCCAATAGCAAAGAAGGGGAAGTCAACATTGAGTTTGGCCATCTGAAAGCTAGGCCCGTACAATCAGTAGCGCATGTCTCTCTGCTCTTGGTCTCGTGGATATTTATATGAGACTGGGGATACCGGTACTCCGCGACGGGCGGAATGACTCAAAGCATGGCCTAGCGAAAGGACAAGAAAGACCAGTGCGTCTCGAACCACAACGAAATCAGTGCGGAGTCAAGGAGCTATAGTTCCACCGAGGATCAGCCTTACCAATCAGTCTAGGAAGTCATAGGTATGCGATATGGTATTAGAATTTGCGGCCGCAAAACAAGGCACAGGGTGAAAGGTAAGTCCGCTGAATCCGGCTTCTGATCCGAATGTGCATATCAATGCGGCGTTTGAGACGGACTTTTCGTATCTCAGACGAGTTTCCTCAGTAGCCTGAAGAGAGATGGTACTTTTCGAGTCCAGTCAGCGATTGTTCTAGGCCATTATTCTGCATGCCAAGGAGTCGACAATTCTCCTCGATGAGTCACAAATCGGGGAAGAGGATACGAATACGGCTATCGAACCGTGGAAGAAGGGAATGGCGCAGTGTCTGGTTGTTTATCAGGAGTTCTAACCTAGCAAATGTACAAGGTAATTTGGTACATGACCATCACATGCGAAACTCAATCAGATGTACCCGCTCTTGGCCTTGAATTGCGGCAGGAATTATTGATAAGCACAAGTTGGCTGTCTGTCCCGTTAAGCCGCTTCAGCAGCAACTTTAAGCATTGCCCCGGGCCAATTGTATGTAGCATTGTACCGTAAATGGAGATATGGGCCGCCAGTTCTTGCCGAATCGGTATGCTTCCAAAACCTTGCAATGAATGTCAACAGGGGAAAATTATGTGAATGGCGTGGCTCATTGACGTTGCTGGCAAAGTTCTCTGGAGCGATATTAAACAATGTTTAACCCCGATGCCATACTCAGTATTCGCGGTTGAAGTATATAAAGTATGCGGTATCGCCCAAGTCGAGAAGGGCACCTGCCGACGTATTGATTTCACCACTCAAGTTCAAAAAGAAAGACTCTCGAAGTCATTGCGACAGACTAACTTTCATACTCTCGTCAAGTACTGGAGCAAACACGATGGACAAGACTATCCCACTCAAGAGACTGGAAGTCAGGTAGTCGACCCCGAGCGTGAAGATAATTGGTTTCCGATCTAACAGCAAAGCAGGCTAGACAACCCTACTATTCGCGTCGACACCTATGAGGATGTCCAATCGTCCAAATTCGTGACTGGAAGAATAGTCTTGATGAATCAAGAACCATTGCCCATTCGAAATGTGAAAGTCTGGCTTCGTGTGGAGAGAAAAGTTTCGTAAGTTCTCATTCATCAGTCGAATGCTCCTCAGTCAGAAATGGAGGCTAATAGTATGTTTCTAGGTGGTTCATCAAATCGTTCTCGTATCAGCTCGTCAAAAACATCGACAACATACTGCTGAAGGAAGTCACACTGTATCCTCCCTCACCACACGTCAAACCTGCGAATCGATTAGAGCCTGGAAACCACGTCTGGCAGTTTTGCTTCGAACTTGAGACACCTATCGCAGAGAGCATTCATGGATTACACCATGCGCATCTAAGATATATTATAGAAGCCGAAGTGCTTATGAGAGGCCTCCTGTCCCCAACTCTCCGCGCTTCTCAGACTCTCCACGTCATCAATCCGAGCAGCACACAGGTCAGAAATAGCAGCTCAGAGCATCAGAAGAAGTCTAGTGTCGGAACCAAGGGTGTCGAGTACATCATTTATGCTCCCTCTGTACGACATCGATGGGGTGAGCCTGTCGACTTCGAATTTCGTGTGCCCAGGTCACCCAACGTGGGACGAATATCGGCAATCTTTAAGTTGAGAGAAGAGATAAAGCTTCAAGCACTTTTCAATAAGAGACTTATATCGGATACGAGGGAGTCGTTTATTGCGGAAGGGGAGAAAGACCTAACGAGTGAATCTACCGCGACACAGGTCCGCTTCCCGCTACCCCGTTCACTCACTGTATGTCGGCAGTCGGTCAAGGAGGAGAGAATCCAGATAAACCATAGTATCAGGATTACACTTGAGATTGAGGATGATTACGGAAAGGTTGAACGGGTGAGTCGATGAAAGTGTAACCTGGCATTGAGGTCCCTCTGACGAAAAACAGGTCGAGTTCGACTTTCCGTTTCATCTAGAATTCCCAGTAGGTATAAAATTTGACGAAAAAGGGAGCGCATGTTTTGATGGCGTAAGAAAGATACCAACAGGAGAGGAAGAAGGTCTCCTTGATGCACCTCCACCATTCGGAAAGCATGATCAAGATCAACTTTATGCACAAGACTCCATGCCGACCTACCTCACATCCACAGACGTCGATCATCAAGCAATCCAAAACCCAGAGCGTTCGTCTGGAGAGTTGAGAATCAATAGTCCATCAGAAATAACGCCCTCTTATGAATTGGCGGTGCAGGGCCCAGAGTTGTATTTCATGTCCGGCAATTCACTGCCAACTTACGACAACATCAGCGGTGGACTTGAACAACGTGGTCACATAGAATACCCGTCACCGGCTGTCTGTCATAGAGTTCGATCGCACTGATGTTGGTATTTTGTGGCGATATGTTTGCTGGGGTGATAGAGATCTCGACCCAGGGTACTGTACCAGTAGTACGTTACTATTGTATGGCCCTCAGATATCAGTATGTCAACAACTACCCCACTTCGCTTCAGCGAGTTTAGTTCTACAGTCCTAATTTGCATTCTTCCTCAATTGTAGTAAGAATGAAACCGACTTCAAGCCTCGTGCTGTAACGGATATCATTGCCGAAAAACACAACCGAGGGCTAAGGAATCCCTGGGAAGTGGAGTTAATAAACACCAGTCCTTCTGAGCCTCCGCAACTCAAAATTGGAGATTGTGGGGAAGATCTGAGGACATATGGAGAAACGAGCGATGAGGCTTCTATTCTCATCAATGTTATGTTCAACTGCCGATGTGGCAAACACTAGACGATTGAAGCCCCATCTCGAGGGCGATCGCAGGTAAGGTTGCAAATTGAGGCCTTTTGCTGAGATCCTCATACATTCTAACACTACCTACGGCCTGTTCTTTCAAGGCTGCGATCTAACTGAACCTTCTCCGATCGCGAACCTCAGGGACAATGGGTGACAGTGGCGAGGCGCAAATGACGTCAGCGATAGAGTCTTCACACCGCCCAGTCATAGTCGTGGGTGCTGGGCCAGTGGGATTGACTGTTGCGATCAATCTCGCGAAATTAGGCGTGAGAGTATTGATACTCGAAAGGTCACATGAAATCGATCAATCACCACGCGCAGCAAGCTATCAACCATGCGCACAGGCCGAGTTACTGGAGACCGGGACACTAGACGATGTGAAGAAGGAATCGATCATCAACGATGTACTGAGTTTCTGGGTGGATGGCAAGAGAATTGCATATGTTGAGAAACGGGAAGGAGGAAGCATCTTTCCTGCGGGTATTGACTGCCCGCAGCCACAACTTGCAGCTATCCTACTCAAACATCTCACCACAAAGTATGATAGCGAAGCCCGTTTCAACCAGAAAGTGATTGCCATCGAGCAGGCTGCTGACAGTGACCATGTTATACTGACTGCAGTGGACCCAAGGACTGACAAGGAGACGACATATACCTGTGACTGGCTTGTGGGAGCTGATGGAGCTGGGTCAAGTGTCAGGAAGCTATGCGACATTCCATTTGAGGGTTTTTCATGGCCGAAGGAGGATTTTGTTGCCACAAACGTAAGGTATGACTTTTTCCAACACGGTTTCACTACAGCGAACTTTATTGTCGATCCCGTCCACTGGGCTGTTGTGACAATACTCGACAAAACGGGTTTATGGCGCTGTGCATTCGGTGTCCGAGCCGGCTTAACGAATGAAGAAATCCGCGAAGAGCTAGACGAACATTACAAGAATATTTTCCCGGTGTGGCCCATCGACTATGAGTTGGTCCAATTGAACAAATACAAACCTCATCAGCGATGTGCGAAAACATTTCGACTGGGAAGAGTACTTTTGGCAGGAGATGCTGCACATGTAAGATTTGAGAACAACACTGATTCAGGAAAGCCATGCTGATTTTATACAGAGCAACAACCCAATTGGAGGTCTCGGTCTAACGACGGGGTTACTAGATGCTGGTCCCCTTGGTCGAGCACTAGGAGCAGTCATTAGAGGCAAGGCGCCAGAGACACTTCTCGACACCTGGGCCAAGGCACGTCGTGAAAAATGGCTGACTTTCACAAATGGGTTCTCTATAGAAAACAAGCGATTGATTCAACGTGGAGGGTACAGCGATGACGAAGACCCACAAAAGATCTGGGTTATTGACGGTGTCGCGAAGGAGAATAACATGGAACACTGGCTGGCCATGGCAACCGAGGAGAAAAGGGAGGCAGACGTTCAGTTTTATAAGAGCTTGGTAGATCCCCAATCGCAGCTGATGAGTCGTATGAAGCAATGGGACATCACAATGGATCCAATGTGGATGGCCGAATATGAAGATCCGGAACTGATCAAATTCAGGATGTCACTCAGACCGCCGATTTTGGCGGCCCCAATTATGTGACGCTTCGCCAGATTATTTTGATATTGTGCGACGAGGGGTGCAGGGAAAATGACTGCCTATGATCTGGGACTCATAGGCAACAAGGTTCTTTGGAGCAAAGGCGGAACCAAAGTATGCCTTTCTAGCTTCTTCTTTGAGTATCTAACGCAATGCGTTTTGGACTCTTTTAACACACACACTCACCGAGAATTCCTCCCTCTAAATAACGAGGTCTAAGAAATGTCACTTCATATCTGAGGCAGTATAAGACCCTCTACGCAGCTTGGCTTCAATCACATCTGTCCATATGCAGCCGGATGATTAGGCTCTGTCAATCTGTCACATGGGCGAAACAGAAAGACCATTGAACAACTTTTGTTGTGCTCGCTTTGTTCGAGGGGCAATTCGTTCTCTCATTATTCGTCAAGCGGTCATTGAACTGGAAACAAAGCCCGAGGCAGTGGACACTCAACAAACCAGCGGCTTCCTCGTTCACTTAAGAATTCTTCATGGTTCAAGTCGAATCTCTACATTCTACCACTTGAACACTCCGAACCCACAGTGCATACAGCCTGCGGCATCACTCTCGAAAAGCATTTGAACGGGCTTCAGGTGGTCCAAATATGCTACAAAGAATTGAAGTCTAGCTATCACTTTCAGTTCGCTCCAAGGAAACAATTTGAACCATGGCAAGGATTAGACGGATGGCAGGTGTCAGGACTGGAGGGATGTGTATTCCCCCAGTTGCTTCCCGACACCATAGACCCCGAACTTTCGAACGACCTCCCTTCACAAGATCGAATTTTACCAGCGACAGATCGTTCAGAACTGCTGTTAAATTGTTCTTTGACAATAAGATGGTGGACAGGCTTCACACCAAATACATAAGAAACATCATTCGAAAGGACGAAGAAACTACCGATGCCATAAAAGCTTGGCGGCTGGCACCAGTCGATAACAAACCAGTCATTCTAAACAAGGATATGAGACTTCCCCAACGATCAGTCGATATGATCAACATTTTAGTTTCCCGCGTACGTACTGGAAGGTCTGAGGCGGACGGTATCGAGTATCTAGGTCGTATGCACTCATGTTGCGATGGTTTACATTCCTCGGATTGGAGATACATGCAATCCGAGCTTGACACGACCCTGCGGAAGATTGCGAACATACAAACAAACATTAAGATCCTCAAAACGATCAAGAAAACATCGGAGGGCTCAAAACACAGCAAAGCATCGCAAGAACAATGAAGGCACTGTCCCATGCGGTCTGAGACGCTTCTGCGAATCAAGGGATTGTTGATTTCAGAAAGCCATGTTGGTGGTGGAAGGGACTGTCTGATTTGAGAGCAGCGAGCTGATCAGACCGATTGACACGTGAAGAATATTATATTCGCTGTTATATCAAACAGGGATATGAATTCCGAGACATACTATGACTAGTGCTCGTATCTGCTGGAGAAACGAAGGCGGCTGGTCATCCAGAAATAAGGAAAGTGTAATAATGTTTGCAACTGCGCTGTCCTTTGGTTCCGGAATATGTTGGGCATTAGCTTTCCTGCTTTGGCCTAAGCTCACTGAAAACTGTGAGCAAACGCGATGAACAAACCTACACGAATTCGTTCAAGTCATAGAGACACAATTGAGCTTTCACAATTAATTTTCCGTAGTGATTGAAACGACCCTACCTTCTCCAACCGGGTAGATAATGATAAGTGAACCAGCCAGTTGAGGATTAGCTACCCTATTCTGGATCTATGAAATAACACTTCAAGTGCTTTTGATTTGATTATGCTTGGATATACTCTGAAACCTGTCACCGAAAATAGTTTAGTGGTAAAGATTGTTCCAGCTGCGTCTCTTTCACTTCAGTGATCCCGGCTTGGTCAGCTCGGGCCATTCGAAACACCGAGAGCGAATACTCCGTCTGGGGTAAATGTGGAGAACTATTCTGAAAGGCGGGTCGGAATGCATCAGGTACTACTGTATGTTGATGTTCGTTCAGGGCGATTCCGATTTGTGGTGGAAATCATAGCGAATATCCATAAATCGAGATGTTGTTTGACAGTCGGGCTTCCTATGAGAGTCACCACCAAATCGAAGTCCCTCAGACATTATGAACACTTTCAAATTATACCATAACATCTGGTCGCTATGCTCGATTCAAGTGCGATATACCATTGCACTTGCAAGAAAACAGAGAGACGGATCAAAAAAATTGCAGGTGGATGAAATCGGGATCGACTTGTTCAATGATGGCCAATTGGACGAGTTCTTCTTGACCAAAGTCAATCGAAAAGGACAGGCACGTCTATGAACAACCCCTTGCTAGCTGGAATTATGAGCGGACTCCATTAGATACCTACAAGGCTGACTATCGCTTTTCATCGGGGCAGGTTCCTGCGCTTACATCGCCATCCCTTGAAAAGCCAATTGCAGATAGCTTAGAGATAACCTACTACCTGATCGATCGATACTCTCTACTAACGCTAGAGTCGCATGAGGAAGAGATTCGAGAGTTACTGCATGCCGTACATGACTTGAATTATTTCGCTTTATCCTATCCCGACCGTCCACAGGTAGCTGCAGGTCTCATCAGGTCCATTGAGGGCCGTCTTGCTAGAAGCGATATCAGCGATGAGTACAGAGATGCGTTAAACTACAAAATTTCAGTGTGAGGCTCCATTCCGAAGTCTATTTGTGTCTTATACTGACTCAAGCGCCTCCGTATCCAGCACTACTCGCGAAAAGGTGAAAGGCATCGAGGCAAATGCCGTACGCGCCAACGAAGAAAAGGCACGTATTCTCATGAAGAGATGTGACTCTCTTCTTAAGGATAATGCGCCATGGCTACTTGGTTCTGACCGTGCAACTGCACTGGATGCGCATTTGATCATATTGATAGGCCGGTTACAGGACGTGGGACGAACAGGTTTTATCTCTGATCGCTTACTGAAATATGCCGATGCGGCTTTCAGTACGCCCGAGCTCCAGTCTGTCATGCAGGGGAGGAGGACTATGGCCCCGCCAAATTGAAGCTGTAATATGTTGTTTCGGTCATAGTATGACGAGGAGTTTGTACGGTGATTCGGATACGAACGATGGCGTTCATGAAATGACGATTTTCTAGATGGTGCAAGTGAGGAGATCCTTGCTTAGCTTCAATGCGTACTTAGATGTTTAAAGGATTGAAACTACCATAATGTCTAGCTTGCGTGCTAACCTTTTGGTTTTTAAACGTGCCCAGATCAGCAAATGTCCTTTTGTGCTTTCATATCGAACGATTGTAGAGGAAGTTCAGATAGAACCTAATGATCGATTATAGGGTATTTCTAGTCCAGCATTCAACCAAAATACATGACATAGGGTGGTGGTTCAATGAATTTTAAACATATGTGATTTCTTTGCAAGTTCTTAGTCTATCTACTTCTCGCGAGGCCATGATGTGGAAAAGTTCTTTCACCATCTGTTTCATCAAGTTGGTCTATTCGTAAGCTTGACATTGAGAGCGCCTTTGTGCCAGAAGACATAGATATCTTGTTCATTCCATGATAGACTGTCATGATGCAGTTGTAGGTCAAAGTTGTAAAGTATTCGTGTTAATGCTAGCCTCATCTCAGCATAGGCGAGACTGTTTCATGTTAGAACTTAGAAAAGACCGCGGTTTGTACAAACAAGGAAAACTTACTTTATGCCCAAGCAGTTTCTTGGTCCATACGAGAAAGGTTGCAGTGCATCCGGACGATCGTTGGCAAAACGAGGGTCATCTAACCATCTCTCAGGAATAAATAAGTCTGGAAGAGTGAAGTTCGATGATGATCGATAAGTTGCCCAATGACTGACAGATACTGAAGTCTGTGACAATGTTAGCTGGTAAAAGACATGGAAATTTCAGCCCAGCCAGATTACCTTTTCAGCCAGAAAATTCCCATCGATAAAAGCTCCCCCATCAGGTACAAGGCGTGGAAGACCAGAAGGAATCGGAGGATACATCCGTAGGCCTTCCTTGAGGGCAGCAAGCAGGTATGGAAGTTGGGCCACACTCTGCAAGGTTATGTCTCCTTCATTTTGAAATGACTCGCGAACCTCCTTGACCAATTTCTGATAAACCGCCGGATTCTTAAGAAGCCAGAAAGTGACTCCACTCAACAGGGTGGCAGTGGTCTCGCTACCAGCGACGATAAGAATGTTAGCATTCTCTCCAATCTCGTCCGGTGTCATTTGATGTTCATCAGTATGTCTTAAGATATAGGACATGAAATCGGGATGGTCGCCTGGGCCCCTTTCTGCCCGAATTTTGGCCTTTTCGAAACTCATCTTCTGGTGATCAGTTGCCCTTCGAATGAGTTCATGGGGGAGGAAGAATCCCAAAACACCTAGTGTGTAAGGGTGTCGCCTGATTGCTTGGATGTAGGAAGACAACTTGAATCCTGAAAAGATAATTTGAACCCACGGATGATATTCTCCACCGTCGAGACATCCGAAAGACTCTCCAAACGCTAGATCACCCAGCACGTCAAAAGTCAGGAAATTGTACCACTTGCTGATATCAACAACAGCACCGTCCACATTTTTACCGCTTCGATCCCTCAGCGCAAAGATCAATTTGCTGACGTACATCTCCATGATCCCTTCTTGACTTCGCAGTGCCTTCTCAGAAAATGCGTGTGCCAGGAGCCGTCGCATTCGACTGTGGTCTGCATCATTCGCAATCAGGATGTTGGTGGATTTTGTGAGCGTTCCTCTATACAGGCGCAGATCCTTTGGGAACAGTTTTTTGGTCGCAGTTCTGAAGCCATAGATGTCCTTCCAGGCTTCCGGAGAGATAAATGATACATCATTCGGTCCAAATCGAACGACCGGTCCATATTGCTCATGGAATTTCTGTAGAATGAATGGCCATCTGCCACTGGCTAAATCACGAATATGAGGTAGGTCAGACAGTGCGTAAAATTTAGGACCGGGGATTGCTGCAAGAGGATGAATGCCCAGGTTGTAAATGCTGATGCCCCCGATAAGGACTAATATCTATGATCGGAGTCACAACGTCAGAAATGGAAGTATGAAGACCAATTACAGAAGCAAAACATAAATGAACATCGTTAGGCACTTGGGGATTCGGTCTCTTACCGCTAGTACAAAGCCGGCTGTAAGCTGTGCTGAAAACTCAAAAAGAGTACTCTGCCATGGGAACAACATTTTAACAATCAAAAGAGTTTGATAATCGGCTGTTTTTGTTTTTATGCGATCGCAAGAGCTAGTATAAACCCTTATATCCTCGAGCTCGTGGTATACGTTAGAACTGCGCCAAGAAGAAACTCGGAAGACCGTCGACTCCAAACGGAAGCCCCTCGCCCTTCAAGCACCAGGATTCCGGGGTGGAGGGGCTACATTGGCCCAACCCAAGTCCAAGTGGTAAGTTATTAGCGTTCGTGTTCTGTAACGGACAGCGGGGTGAGCTTGTGTGGCATGAAACAGCACCGGTGTGAAATTCGGCTGCTGACTGCATATACTGCTTGGTGACACTGAAACCCTGGTCAATTGACAAAATTGCCGGGGACCCTTTGGACAAATCGCCAGCCCATGTATGAGGTCCGGGTCATTTCTGATCATGAACAGTGCCACAATAGCTGAATGCCACAATAGCTGTGAGTTGAATTGCACTATGACTGTGATGGGAAATTTTGGCTTGGGTGCTCGCCACAACATGCGTATGTTCTCGAAAAGGAGGGTCCGTACAGATGACCTATCACATGCGAATTTGTAAACTTGGAGATCCTGCACTGATGCGTTGCATTGACTAGTTAGCTAATCTCCTAACATCGTATGCATTACTACAGCATCACTGTTGCCGCGTTGATCTTGGAGACAAAGGTAAGGAATTACAGATGCTTGCCTTTTAAGTCGGATAGATTGGCATACGGATCAATCAGTTCTTTTCTCTTATTGGTAAAGTAGACCAGACTTCTGTGCATATTCAAAAAGGCTTAAAAGCCTTAAATCTCCTCTCATCTCAGGTGTGCAGAGAAACTCCGCGGGCCGTAGAAAATTCACGGGCCGACGCCCGCGATAATGTCCATAAATTTTGGCACTCCTGAAGCTGCCGACAGTTGTGTTCATGATAATGCGTTTGAATCAATACGTCGACCTGATGAGATTTTTTATTCTCCAGGCTTCTTGTTTCTTGTTTCAGAGTGTCCATCATGGGGTCATCCGGATTGTTCCAAGTCGACGGTGGAAAGACAGTGAGCGTTAGCATTATTGACACCACATCTCGTATAGGGAACGTGCCATTGGAACTTCTTGTTACACCGCCCATCCCCGACTTCTCGCGTTTGGGTGCAGTTCCATCGTGGTCATTCCTGATAGAACATGAATCCTCAGGGAAGAAGGCGCTTTTCGACCTGGGTATACCACCAGATTGGCAGAATATGTCTCCAGCCATCTCCACCTTTCCCGGCTGGGATATCAGTGCTCAGAAAAACACGATAGATATCCTTGAGGCAAATGGAATTTCAGGATCCCAAATCAATAGCATTATCTGGAGGTAAGTGCTGATCTCTCTATGAGCTTTCGCACTTGTGAATTGATCATACTCACAATGCACAAAGTCATTGGCATTGGGATCATCTCGGTGACCCTTCAACCTTTCCACCTACAACAGATCTAGTGGTTGGTCCTGGCTTTAAGCAAGCTTTCTTGCCTGGGTTCCCCGTCAACAAGAAATCTCCCGTAAGAGAGAGCGATTTTGCGTAAGGTTGGATGTTCTCTTGTTGACCACCTATCACATCATTAATGTTGTTATCTAGAGGTCGAAACTTGAGAGAAATTGATTTTAGTATAACTAAACTCTTGGCGGGGAAATTCCATGCCTTTGACTTCTTCGGAGACGGCTCATTCTATCTGTTGGACACTCCGGGACACGCAATCGGTCATCTATGTGGCCTCGCTCGAACGACGAATTCGCCAGACACTTTTATCATGATGGGAGGAGATCTCTGCCATCATAGTGGGGAAATGAGACCGTCGCCACATCTACCACTCCCCAGTGATAACCAACTTCATGAGATCTGGCAGAGGTTTTCGGCAACGGCTATACACCCGTGTCCCGGTGCAGTTCTAGCTCAGCTACAACATTCTCGTGGAAGAGACGTTGATATACCATTTTATGATCCAGCAATGGGCCATGATATCGATATTGCCATTGACACGATTAAAAAGGCTCAAGAAGCGGATTCTGATGATAACATCTGGTTTGTCTTCGCCCATGACGATAGCTTGTTTGATACAGTGGATCTGTTCCCAGCAAAAGCTAATGCGTGGAAAGAGAAAGGGTGGGGTTCGACCACGAAGTGGGCCTTTTTGAAAGATTTCAAGACGGGACTTCTACAGGGTGCAAATTGAGGTCTAGCTAGCTGTCTTCTAATATACAAGATTAGCTGCAAGCTACATATCTATTCTTCCTAGATCTGATCCAGTGACAACACGCGGTGGATATATTTCAAGCATAACATTTAGCAACAAACTTGAGCGCGTTATTTCGTTGCAGGAAAAGGCCCAATGAGGCAATCCCACAATCATTGGCCTCTGTACTTACAAAAACAAATGGGTTGTTCGTTGCCGCACTCTGACTCTACGACAAGACCTCGGGCTATGACGTACGGAATCACAGATTAACAAGGCCCGCGGCCCTCGGTGATATAGGGCGCAATGGCTTCCCCATAATTCTTCCCCTAGCGCTAGCAGCAGTTTAATCTTTCTAGGCCGGAGCAGTGAACCTAGAACAATAAAAGTTGTCGGTCTTACGAAATGATGCTGGAAAACACAGAAATAAATTGAAAGCTACAAGAAGTCAAGACTCCAAGAGAAATTTGGAATGCTAAAGATTTTGGTTCTTTGAAGTCTCAATAGTCGGAGTGGAGCACAATGGCAAGAATTGTAACAGTATTCGGTGCGACAGGAGCACAGGGTAAGTTTCCGCTGACCGAATCCTTAGTTCAACAACAAGTTTTGATGCTCTCATACAGGTGGATCTGTCGCCTATGAATTGCTTCGAAACAAAGAATGGAAGGTCCGAGCCATCACACGTAGTGTTACTGGAGAGAAGGCCCGAGTACTAGAACTGAATGGTGCTGAGCTTGTCTATGCTGATTTTGAAAGGCCAGAAACGCTGGCGTCTGCTGTTTCTGTAAGATGAGTGAACCTTTCTCATCCTGATCTAGCTTTTCTAATCCACTTTCAGGGAGCAGAAGTAGTTTTTGGCGTTACTGATTATTGGCAATACATTGAAAACCATGGCAATGTGGAGGCTGGCAACATTGAAACAAGGCAAGGCATTTGTCTTGTAGATGTACTCGCGTTGTCGCCCACCCTCAAGCACTTTATATGGAGCACACTACCCCGCGCAACTCCGGAGTCACCAGGCGCAGTGGAGGTCCCGCATTTCAATGCCAAGAATCGGGTAGACATGTATATCAAAGAATACCACCCGAAGCTGGCAGCAAAGACCACCTACCTTGGCGTAGGGTGGTACGCTGAGAATATGGCATGGTACCCCTTCTTCAGTCCTCAGAAATATGTAAGTTATTACCCGAAGGACTCGGAAACTTCCAACTGACGACCCTGGAAGGGTGCCTGGGGTCACTACGTGTTCATCCAGCCTTGCTCGCCTATGACAAAGATCCCAATGGCTGGAAGCGTCAGAAAGAACGTAGGAGTGCTGGTAAAAGCAATCCTTGATCGCCCAGAAGTTTCGTTGCCTGGAAAGGTGGTGCAGGTAGCCATAGGGTTGATGACGTATCCGGAGTTGCTTGCAACATGGAGTAAGGCCACTGGCAAGAATGCCACTTACGTTCAATGTACAAGAGAAGTTTTTGAGAGCCTTTACCCAGCTACTGGATTGGAATTAGCGTTGCAATATGTGTTTTTGAATAACGTGGCTTCTTCGGCAGAGGTCGATACAAATATTGTAGAAGCATCAGCGTTAGGTGTGTCCCAGCACATGCTTGTGGGGGTGGAAGAGACGTTACGCGAATTGAGCTCCAGTTGGAACTGAGCTGTGCAGTAGGAATTCTATTTTTGAAAACATCATTGAGAGCTAAAGTGATTTCGACCGGGCCGCAATGGATTGGTTAGATGATGCTTCATAGTATGGCGTATGCTACGCTACGAGGTTCACTCAAGCTGTGGATGTCACTGCCGTCCTGGCATATCATTGCTTGTGATTTTCTATATCTCGTCTACCGAGGCGCGGGATGGATAAATTAACTCATATAGCACACGCAGTTGAGAGATCTAGATTGCAGTCTATCTTCTAGTAGCGTAGCACCCTCTCTTTACCGCCGGAACGAAATAGTGAGCATTTTCTTTTGTCCTAATCGGTTGCTACAGAACGCGGGAAGACTTGAGACTGTGGAACCGAGTAGTAGATGACATGGAAGGTTGTAAAAACTTTTAAAGCTTTACTCAGACGAACTGCCGAAAACCATGCTTTCCCCAGCGATATGTTGAGTAAATTTCAGAAGGCGAGCTGTGTTTGGGATCCGCCATTCCACCGGAATGAACCAAAGGGGAAAGTTGAAATACTATGTTCAGCCAAGTGAAAATTGTTTAATCTAGATCTTTAGGAATTGTTGTATGCGCAAATCAATACGGTCCGAGCTATGTCTGTTTCCACTGTTCTCGGCCCTCGGTGTAGTCTACCTGAAGACCCATAGGCCAGGCAGTCTAAGCTTAGTAGACCCAAAAGTCACTCCAATGGTAGGCAGGCCTGAAGAGCCCCATGGGGTATATTATCAAGTGGGTCTCTCAACATGCACATTTGCGTATATAAGTATACCATGACTTGGTTGCAGGACTGAAACAAATACTCAATCAAGACATCTCACATTCTCCTCAAAACGCCCGACAAAATCTGCTGGCTGTGAATTTTCACCTATGTACGGCATATAAAATGTCAAATCCCGCTGAAACCCCCTCTCAGGGGCTCGAACATACTCTTGGGCGCCAATTTCGCTGGTATAACATCGTCATGATATTTGCAATGAGTATGGGTTCGATCCTCATTGGTTATGCGAATTCTGTGATTGGAACCGCACTCGCGCAGCCATCTTTCATCCTATCGATGGGTTTGGATCATAAAAGCAACGCAAAGGAACTCATTGGCATGACAAATTCTTTATTTCAGACCGGAGGAGTCATCGGATGTCTTTTGACACCCACAATTTGCGACCACTGGGGTCGACGTTTAGGTATTGCAGCTCCAACTCTTCTTGCGATCATCGCCTCTGCATGTCTCGCTGGGAGTACGAATATCGAAATGTTTATCGCTTTCCGCTTCATCTGCGGTGTAGCTGTCTTTTCTATCAATTCAGCGATCCCAGTATGGATGACGGAGGTTGCTCCTCCAAGCAAGAGGGGAACATTCGTCGATATCCACAACTTTTCGATCATGATCGGTTACGCAGCAGCAACTTGGACGGGAATCGGATTCTATCACGTCAATACTTCCAACAACACTCAGTGGAGAGCACAATTTGCTTTTAATTGTCTCCCTGGTCTCCTTCTCTTGATATTCCTGATTTGGATTCCTGAATCACCAAGATGGCTTACAATTCGGGGTCATGTAGACGAGGCGCAGAAGGTCCTGCAAAGACTACACACACCTGCTGAAGCAAGTGTAGAGCTTATTCAAATTCAACAGCAAATGGAGGTTGAACGAGAACTACGCAACTCATACTGGGCGATCGTTACCACGCCATCATATCGCAAACGAGCTCTCATGGCAGCGGGAACAACGCTTTCTGTACAGATGGCAGCTCCACTCGTGATGAACAATTATGGCCCGACTTTATACGCAACCCTTGGGTTTGACACGAATCAACAACTGCTCTACGCCGGTGGTTGGATCTTGACCGCTATGGGAGGAGCATTAGGACTATTCCTCTATGCAGATAAAGTCCCCCGTCCAGTACTATTGTCTGGAGGACTCTTAATTTGCGAGGTCTGCTTTTCCATCGAAGCGGCTCTTATTGCCAAATACGCCACCACGGCGGAATCGCTAGCAAATCCCAATGCTTCAGCATTAAAGGCTGCTGTTGCTGTGATTTATGTCTATATTCTGCTATTCGAGCTATCGCTTGGTGGAACACAGTTCGTATACTGCTCAGAAATTTTTCCAACCCACCTTCGAACCAAGGGAATGGCTATCTCTATTGCTGCACAGAGCGCAATCAACATACTATGGTTGCAAGTGGCACCCGTCGCATTTTCCACCATTGGTTGGAAATTCTTCCTTTGCTTCATCTGCCCAGGAACGCTTGCATCTATCCTCATATACTTGGTCTTTCCAGACACCTTAGGTGTACCTCTCGAGGCAATCAATGAACTCTTTGGCGACACCACCGTGGCAGCATCCTCATGCGATAGCCTCCGAGCAGAGGACGGTGCACCTACGGACCAGGAAAGACATAGCAAAGATACCGGCTATACTCATGTTGAAGTTCATTGAGCCTAGTCCCATGACAGAGGCTCGTTTGGAAGGAACCCCAAAACACATGATTCTTATTATGATCCATAAACTAGTGCCATACGGATCGGTCATCCAGAATACGTAGTATGGCAGGGTTAACAGAGACAAATAATGTAAATACTCTTTTAGGATTCTTTCTAACGTCGAATGATGATCAGTGGTTCTATGATCACGGAGCATGTACGAGAGGAAGACTCAATGATTATGGCCTAGTCTAAGATCTAAGCCTCGATAGATAACGGTATTTCTTGAACTCCCATCTGGCACTCTGTTGTAAAGTGAAACCTGTTGAAGCAGGAACATATCATTTTCGCCTAGTCCACTGAAGATCCAGGGTCTTCAGTCATTGAAGTACTGCAATTTGGTACCTTAAACCTGTGCGTAGCATATACACACTCAGCAACCCCTCCAAGGCTCTTACGCTATCAATATGTATGTTTATCCAATACAAAGAACTGCTCACAGCTGTCGCGAACTTGTTCTTGTCCGTTATATTCTGGGCTGATGTTCCATCTAGGCTCTTCTTCTGACTTTCTTACATTCGTGCCAAGAGTTATCTTGCCGTTTCTACGGTGTCAAACTCCCTTCCCTTTGCTGCGTATTCTTCGTCAGTCACAGGGTCGTACCAATCCACCTTTCCGAATGAAGATGCTTCATGAATCATGTAACATCCATCATCAGCTCCGTGCCAATGGATTGTTCCTGGCGCTGAGTCAAGAGCTGTCAGGGCTGACCTTGTGATATCTACATTGAACGGCTAAGACGCGGGAGTGATACTTACGACACCAAATGACATCTCCAACCGCAATTCTTTTGGGTTTCTCACCCTGGTCACAATACCATCCTGAACCTCCAGTGACTCGCAGCAGTTGACCGTTGTCGTGTCTGTGCCAATTTGTCCTTGCGCATGGTGTGAAGTTTACAAGGCTGATGAATGCCTCAGGGGATTCGAGAATCTTGTCCAACCAGACCTCCCCAGTGAATTGACCCATCGTTTTGCCACTGGCGCCATCGTCCGGTGTCCTCGCATTGTGAGTTATAGTCGACTTTGGGGTCACCGCTGCTTTATTCCTACTTTTCATTGACTGGTCTAAATAAAGATGAGACATTTTGGGAGCGTAAAATAACCAAAAATATCCCTTCGAGATGATGTAAATAGTGATGTTGAAATCCGAGCCCACAATCGACTTTTGAGCTCCTATTTGTGCATTTCCGGTGTGGCGAACTGCCAAAGTGGTATTTTATATCGTGTGGGTCATCAGCAATGCATGAGGTCTAAATCTGAGGTCGTAGACGACTCGAAGTCTGTGTTCACCAAAGTAGCTGCTATGGAGCTCATCCCGCGATCGGAGCATTTGCACGGCCCGCGGCAACTTCTTCGGTCCATTTCTCGGAACAGAAAGAGTCCTGTCAGTTTTCCACATGCGCTCACGACCGCCGTACTAGAATCGCGGGAACCTGGTAGGCTCCCAGTTTACATTGAGTGCAGGCCGGACAATTTGCAGTTTAGATTTGATTTGACAATCTTACTAACGAGCTCTCATTGCCATGGTTTCTCTGAGTCACACGTGAACAGGGCTTTGGAAAAGCAATGAATGCAACGAAACTGAAGTTCACAAGCTACGATGTAGTACTTAGTATCAACCCAATGCAGCTAAAGCTCGAGCGCTGTTAACAGAGCACTTGACGATTTTAAACATTTCCGTCGAAGATTTCATTACCTCCCACCACATTGTTGAAAGAGTCGAAGGGATCGCCGATGCCGCCGAACCAAACATCGGGGAAGTTTGGATAGCTTGTGAGCTCATCAGGTAGTACCAGGTCAGGATTAGATGAAAACCGGTAGTTGTCTTCGATTGACGTGTCATCCATACCATGCTGCCAGTCGTGCGCTGTGGGACCTTGCTCCAATGCCACTGTATCCAAATCAGTAGCATCGCCAACCCCGATCACAATACCCGTATGGACCTCAGGTACTTCACTGCGCATTGCTGGATGACTTGAGGGTTCTTCATGTGATAGTTCCATCGGATCTGCAATCTGGCTCATTGAAGTGTTCCTGCGCCGGACGCTACTAATCCGAGTGACGTAGGCTGCTGCGGATGTCAAAAATTTGATAGCCCATTCTGCGGCAGAATGAGCATCTGTCAATTCTCGGAGCGCCTGCTTGCACTCCTCGAGCTTTCGTGTCCCATCGCGTCGAACTTGAGCTTCTTGAGACTGCAGATCAAAGACATGACTGAAACTGATAGCAAGAATACAACTTATTCCAGTTGCAGGCAAGCATCGCATCAGATCTACCTGATATAGCTCCATGACGATCTTGTTTCCACAGGCCGCGGCGTAGCGCATCATCTGATGTGGTGTACACGATGCTTGATCTCCGATGCTTCTCGATGCCTTTAGTCCGGTGGTAGCGCGAATATATGGACGATGTAGACTAAATACCGTCACATGGTATAACATCGACAAAAGCGCACGGTGGACGTATGGTGCTTGCTCATGTGAAGAATAAAGAATCGGAGGAGGGCTCTCGTGTAGAACGTTTCCTGGAACATTTTCCCTCCAGAAACGGAGATCGTCCTCACAAGCCTGCAATTTCTCAATAGCCATGGAGGACGCCGACCGAGGTTGCGTGCAAGCTTCACCAATAGCGTCCGAGTCTTGCCTAGGATACAATATGCCAGTGTGGCCAGTTGGGTTCTCATCGTATGCAAGTTCAAGTACTCGGCTTATGATCCGACAGAGTTTCATCTGCCAGATACACATAGTAGCCAGCTGTCTCTGCGATGCAATATCTGTAGAAGGCGCCCAGGGCGTTTGAGCAGAGCTTGGCTCACGGAGATCGAAATCTTCCAGGGTGAGCTCCGGTAATGTGTAATCGGAATCTTTGACTCGGGGGCCGCGATTGCCTCCCAAGGAAGTAATCGTATCACGCATCAGACAGGACCACCACACTCGCCTTCGAAGGCTTCTGAGGCTAGGTGAAAGAGTCTGGTTGTGCACGTCTCGATGTAGTCCGATCGATCTGGCCATACCGAGTGCAAGGCTACAGTAGTAGTAGCCATCCTTCTGTTCGCTCGGACCATCCCACCAGATAGTCATAATAGTCAGTGCTTGAACGAGCACTAATCGATCTTGCTCATAGCTCAGATCGTACAGCACCTGCATCCAGAGTTAGATCATCGTGCAGGATAATTATTTGGCACATACTTTTGCCTTTGTGTAGAAGGCCCTGCGGATTGCGACTCGTGTCCAATAACCCAAGCGCCGCACCATTTTAATATCCGCCCAAGCAGCACCGGCAAACATGACTGCTTGAAAGAGAAGTAAACTGGTTGTCCCGTGACGGTGGGGTTCTCGTATACTCGCTTGGAATGCACCAAGGTCAAGCAACGGTAGTCCTGGATGGACAAACTGAATGTAATTCTTGAGTAACTCGTCCCTCAATTCTTGTTCCGGAACCAGTAGAGCGCCCTTGCGACGAAGGTAGTCTACATCCTCTGCAGAGATATGAGAAGGCACCGGTCTCAACCATGAAGGGAGGGATTTGCTGTTAGCCGACTTGTCCACCTCCGAAAGGCTCAGTCCAGAAGCCGATAGCCCGATGGAAGCCTCGGGAGAGAGTGGTAAAGGGACGCTTTGAGTTGCAGCTGCATACCAATTGAACCCTTTGTTCTCCTTGTTCCGGGCATGTGTTGCAGTAATCGTCTGGTCGTCAGTGATGCTTCCTGACTGGTCGTCGATATGAGCATTCCGCTTTGGCAGGTACGGTGATGTGCCATCCAAATGACCCTGGCCTTCCACTGCATCTCTTTCGGCGTATTCTGGATCGGTTTCGACTACTATTGGCGATGTTTCGGAAACAACGTTAGTTGCCGCCACCAACAAGCCGGGATATGGTTTTCGAGCATGCGTTTTCCTGCGCTCCTGTTTCGGTGGGACTACACAGTCCACACTTTCGAAGACGCAATTGGAACAAGGTCGTCCATTTTCGCTATCACAGCGGACTTTTCTCCAGCGACACAGAGCGCAGGCTGCCCGGGCTCTCCTTGAAGACAGTCTAGAGATTCGGTCATCCAGACTAACTCGTGATGAGAGCTGATCTCCAGATTGCTGTGCCATAATTCCCACGCACGGTTGCAGTCACTCCTCATCGCAGATGGAGGAGTCTTCGCTTACTTTACTTCTCACCGCCGCTATTGCGCGGGAATATTTGAAGAACTTTTGCAGTGATGAGCGAAGACAAAGCAGAAGCTCCGAGGCATTGACGGGCGGCTGCGAGAGGGGAGATTTAAGCGGACGGGGCCTACCCCGCAGGTCTGGGTAGGCTCCCTTCGTCTACCTACCTAACTATTGATTATGGGGTTTCCGATCGCCACTAGGAGCGCGAACAAAAACTCGCGTTGAGTTGACCAGCGCCGAGACCTTGGAAGAGGTTGCTTGACTACCAAAGTAGATCCTTGACACCAGACCCTGGTTTGAGTGGCCTAAGCCGTAGTCAATGTAAGGCATACTGATACAGCTGTGCCAGACGCTGCCAAAAGCAAGAACCACTCGTGTTGCAAGAAAATTGCATATGCTACAAAGAATAACCACAGCTAATGCTCTATGTACCAACCCAGATCATTGGAGGCGTCTAATTCGTACTTCGTGAATCCATTGCCCATAAAACTCCATCTGTTTTCACCCCTGTATTCAATTTCGAAATCTTCAGGTCGCAGATCACTAATTAATTGGCGGAATAAAAGAGCGCTTCCGGCGAAAGCTGCGGTCACTCGGCCGTGGACTGTATTTCGCTTGAACCAACTTGAGCATCCATCAGACCATATGAGTTTCTTGTGAACGTTGTCGCCATATCTAATGAGTTCATCAACTGCACTTGACTTTGGAACAACGAACTTTATATTTTCTGTTGCGATCTTTCGGATCCATTTCAGGATGTATTCGCCCGTCCAGTTCACAGCCTCGAGCAACGAGCCATGGGCAACAACAGCGTTAGGCCCTAGGAACATAAAGAAATTAGGCATGTCCCGTGCTGCTATGGACAGCTATCCGAAGCACGCACAATCAGCGAAATCCCACACAAAGGTTGGAGTTGATGAGTATGGCTAGACCAACAAAAGCTGGAAAATAGTAGCTCGGCCACTTAGATACTCACATATGATTCAGGATCAATTTCCCACTCCTTACGCAGATCCACATTCTTTCTGCCGAACATGTTCCACTGTGGTCGGAGAGACACATCGAACCCTGTTGCGCACACGATTACATCGACTTTGAAAGTCTGTCCATCTGCAGTGGTGATCGAGTCTGCAGATGCCCTCACAACGGAACTATTGACCAGGTGGACGTTGTATCTTGTGAATGACTCCAAGTAACCTAAGCGATAATATTAGCACATCTCTTTCACTAGCCGGCTTGTGGCACCGCAAGACCGCTCTGTGCATTTCACATACCTTCTCCAGGAGTGATACGACGACAGCCAAGGCCCCAGTCTGGAATCATTTTTGAGCAAAGCACAGCGTCATTGTTTAACCTCGTAGTCATCTGCCTGCGTGCTGCTTCAGTTATTGCCGCATTGGCTGACGATCCTTTGAGAAACTGTCGCTCCATTAGCTATTCATTGGCTAGGTTCCGAGCAACTATAAATCTTACCATCTTGAATGCGCCGTTAATCTGATGGACAATCTTCCGACGGTAGTCCCTGTGAAATTCTGGTTCTTCCACAAAGCGTTTCCGATCCGCATCAGTGAATTTAGGGTTATTGCTTGTATCCTCTGCGCGTCCCATCAGATGCCCGGGAGGGAGAGGAGTGAAAACATAGTTAGGTGTCCTTTGAAAGGCGATGACTTTGGTTTGATGGAGTTCTGCGAGTTTGGGGATAATTTGTACCCCAGATGAACCATTACCAATGACTGCAATCGTCTTATTTGCATAATCAAATGTGTGGTCCCATGCTGCTGAGTGACATTTATGACCTTTGAAGGAGTCTAGGCCTTCAATATTTGGCCATCGCCATCTGTTCAATACTCCTTGGCCAGATACCAGTATATCTGCAAATTCCACGAAAGACTTTTTGCTGTTCTTGATAGTTACCCTCCATTGACCTAGATCTTCTTGCCATAGTGTCTCCGTCACTTTGTGATTGAGTTTAATATCACGATCTAAATTCCATTTTTTGACCGTATTCTGAATATAGGCTTGAATATCTGCGCCAGTTGCGTAGAAGTGGCTCCAGTCTGGTTTTGGGTCGAATGGAAAAGCCTAATCACTGTAAGTATCTCGTTGCACGACATTTTCATGGCCCAACTATACATATATATGTGCAGGGACATCGCATTGAACGCCAGGGTAATTATTGACGAGCCAAGTCCCGCCGACATTCTCTCTCGCTTCATAGATTGTATGGTCGACCAAATCCTGGAACTCCTCATGCTGGTGTTGTAATTTATGCGCAAATATGAGGCCGGAGAATCCTGCTCCTATGGTTATAACCTTGAGTTTTCTTGGTGGTGTCCAAGAAGGAAGATCGTGGATCGCAGTGTCATTGAGACTAGAATAAGACTTGAGATCAGGATGCCTTTTCGCCGAACCAATGTTTTTGACTCTGGCTGGGTTCTCTGAGTCGTTTTCGATGTCCTTCATGACGGGCTCATGGGTCTCTGGTGATTCATTTTCAGCCAACATGGTTCCTCGATAATGTTGATAGGCCTGCTCTCCTGCTTCTGTGCGTGTGCTCGAAGAGAGCTTTGCCCCGAACGAAGACCTCTTTATCACATTTGCTCATGTTCCGCAGTTATCGAAAGTATACTTGTGACGAGAACACTTTCTACGGCTGTGTGATGGTCCAGCACACACTACCAGTGACCCTTCCGAGCCCCAAGCCGCGGACATGACCCAAAAATCCTCAGGTAGCCCGTCGGAGCATGGTTCGGTAACTTGGCGTCGGCATGTCCAAAATTGTTTTTTGATAGGCAATTGAGATCCGATAGAAATCTGGATGAGACTTCTTGCACAGAGAAAGAAGCGATCAAAGCTACTGTTCGGGCCGCGGCACTATTTTGCCCAGCCATATTTTCGACCCCTCGTTGTATCACTCCCTTCATATCTACGACCCTCACTACGTTGCCCGGATTTCTGACATCAGTAGGACGGTTGAACTATGTCTCTGAGATACCAAGATTTGGGCAAGGTTGATTGTTCCACGGCTATAGACTTCGACAGTCTCCGTGGAAAGACGGTTCTAGTGACGGGTGGTACGTACAGCCCATCATCGAGTCCTCGAAGCTAATTGACTTCAGGAAGTAGTGGACTGGGCCTTGCCTATGTTACAGCGTTCGATGCGGCCGGGTAAGGATACCTGCATGCTTTCGCAATTTATGGTGGTCTGGTTCCGACTAACGCAATTCAGTGCTATCGTGATCAATGCGGATCTCAACCCTACCCCTGAGAGTTCTGCATCACCCAAGTTTGTCTTTCGAATCATGACACAAGTGCTCATTTTGACTTACTTAGTGTTCATTTCACCAAGTGTGATATTCGTTCGTGGTCGGACCAGAAGATTGCGTTCGAGGTAGCACTCGTGGCATCAGCCAACAACTTTATTGATATCGTCATCGCCAATGCAGGTATATCTGGAGACGATCCATTCTTGATGAATCGTCAGTTGCTCTAATCGAGACATCTCTGTGTACCTATGCTGATGACTCTCTGCAGTTGATGCATCTGATATCGCAGAGCCAGACATGCAGATAGTTCAGACTAATCTCATCGGCACAATGTACACGATTAGACTGGCCCTGAACCACTACTTGCTACATCCAGAGATCCCTCCCCAAAATAAATGTCTCATTCTGAAGTCTAGTCTAGCTGGTTACCTGGATTCGCGTCCCTCTTACGGTTCCGCCAAGTTCGGATTGAGAGCCTTGATGAGGGCGTTACGACATAAAGGCATTTGCCGAGTGAATATCGTTGCCCCATGGTATTAGTCTGCGATCATCGTACAATAAAGCTAGCAACTGACAAAGCTAGGTTTATACAAACTCCCATACTCAGTGAAGAGTCTGCGAGACTCCTGACTTCGCAGCTCGAAGAGATTGGCTCTGATTTCGGTCTAGCCGATGATTGTGCTCACTGCATAATGCGAATTTCGGCAGATAATTCTATCCACGGTAGCGCTATAGATGTTTGGCAACCCTTCGAGTAATCGCTGATACTTATTAGGCCGCGGTTTTGGTATAGTTCCTCGAAAAATGGTAAAGGAAGGGTACTGCGATCTTGACGAGGACGATTATAAGCCAGGAACTCTTTGCCATCAACTTCAGAAGGATATATTAAGAGTGTCGCACCGGAAGTAGATATACTCAAGCACTTATAACCAGGCTATATCGATCAAGTCTCTCATAATGGTGTTCAAAGCCGAGAGTCAGCAAGTTCATATGCATGACTTCCATAGCTTCGCAGAAGGTTCTTGTAAACCAACACCAGCCCATAGATTGTGTGTTTATAGCCCTCTAGCCATCAAGTCCGAAGCAAGCATCGAAGTGAACATTGCGATACTTATTGTTGAGGTACAATTCTTCGTGACCATTGTGGGTCAGTAAAAGCCGCTGAGTGGCATGGCTCTGGCCAAAATGGTCTCGGTAACGCTCGATAAAGTCAGGGACAAGCTATCGTAACTTTGAATCCAATCATCGCACTTGCTGATCTACAATGTATATACCAATTTCTCTCCACTGACTTTGCCTCGTCGCATCAATTCTAGTCCTTTGAACACATTCTCCAGTCCGTGATCTACTGTGACTTTGTGGACCTTTAACTTGTTGTTCGTCAACAACTCCTCAACTGCTTGAACCCATTTCCCCATGAACTCAAGATGTTTCGGTTGAGCCGGGAGAGAAACGTTGGGTTTTTCAACGGGCTCGCCCATCGCAGTATAACCTAGAGATCTAGTGAACTTGAGATCTGGTCGAGGCGCCTCTATTTTCAGAATGGCGCCATACGAACCGCCAGGGATAAGGACGTCGGCACAGAGCTTTGCCGTTCTGTCAGTCGATATGGTATCCCAAGCATATCTCAATTTGTTGTTGGTATGCTTTTTGATCTTTTCGACGCATTCTGGATCGTTGTAGTCAAAGGTGACAGCCCCCAGAGACTGCAGTAGGTCGAAATTATGTGGTGAACAAGTAGTGATGGGCCTGTAACCGGCTCTGCTCCATACACTTAGATCTAGGGACTCAGGCGCCTCTCACTATCGGGGATAACTCACAACGTGGCAAATTGAATACCTAAAAACCCCGTTGCGGAACTGCCTCCATATATCAGCACATGCTCTTCCTGTCTGTGCCTCTCCTCATTCGGCCAGTCTAAGCCCATTTCCTGAACCATCCCCTGACCACATGTGAAAACGCCAATCGGTAATGATGCAGCATCCTGGAACGACAGATGATCTGGTATCTTGAGGGCAATCTGAGCTTTCACGGCGACTGTCTCTGCCCACGCTCCATCCTCATGCTGTAACTGATTGCCACCATGGGCAAATCCGCAAACACGATCACCAACCTTCCATCTTTTCGTATATCCTTGACCAGTCTTAGCGACCACACCCGCAAAATCACAACCGCAAAGCGTATCCTTCTTGACGTTCGCAAAATCTATGTGCTTCCAATCTGTTGGGTTCAGGGCCACAGCTTTGACATCGACAAGCATATAACCTGGGCGAAGTTGAGGAAAAGGTCGATCATACACGACGGATGCCTTACCAGGCTCACCCTCCAGTACGATAGCCTTCATCGTGGAGGATTAGCACTGCGTCAGCCGTTTGACTAGTTGTTCACTGCGATTTCTGTTCCAAGTAGCAGCTCTTCGGCTAGCTGGCTTGGTCAGAATCCAGCCAAGTAACAGCCAGGATTTACAATCTTTGCCGCCGTTGGCGAACCATGTTCATATATTATCCATGACTGCATGGAAACAAAGAGTCCATGTTGCCCCAGAGCCAGTGTCATTTGATCGCCCTGATCATCCTGAACAACCATTGAGCTTGGCAGAACTGATGAAGATTCGGCCTGTGCTTCGGGACGGAACTCATCCCGGGACTTCGGGTTATCATTCGGTCCGAAGCTAGGTGCATGCTATGAAATCTGGTTCATCGCAACAAAAGTCACCCATGGCTCGGCTCTTGGTGCTGCTCTGAGAGAATCTGGACCCCATAGTGCGAGACTTTCTTTTACTCATGGTTAGAGACATCAAGTGTCAGTATCGACTCTTTCAATCGTCTTAGAAGATGGTCTATTGAGTGTAATTATGAGCTTGCAGCAGGTTGCTATCAGCAGGGCAGCTGAACTTATGGTTTCAGACGTCTCCCTTGGGTCAAGTTTTATTGAGCATGGTATTAGAAAACAGTGAGGGACAATGGATCCCTCCAGACTGTTGTTCGGTGCGACTGACCCTGGAACTCTACCGAGTAAGTTCGATCGTCGAATATGGGCTAGGATCTTGCTGAGCCATCGCCTTTGCAGCTTGGATCCATCTCACCACTTCTTGATATAAATTCTATTAGTGTGAGGATGGAAATGAAGTTTAGGCATCTTGGATTGATATTACAAGGGCGAGCTGGGCTGTTGATAGCAGCGTCAGCATGAGACCAATCTAGACTAGCGTATCAAACTCCTCATCTAGGCTGATAGCGCGAGTCAGCACTCAGCCCCGCCAACCTTCAGCAAACAAACAGGAACAGTCGCTGCCTTTCATATTGAGAAGTCTTTGTCTCTTTCAACCCTTCATAGCTTGTTGCAGTAGATTACTGTAGCTTTGCATCTGATTCTGAATGACAGCAAGGTACCAAGTGCGTGACTAGGACCGAAGTAACGATTCTGGCAAGACAGCCCAGAGCCTTTTGACAACCTAGGCACCTCTTCACATCTCCGGTGACATGAACTTCTTTGGGTGTCAAGCTTCCGGCCTAAGTCAGTCTGGCGCAAGGGGAAGACTTCGGCCTGGCACCAGTTGTTGGTGACTCCCTCACTCGAAATCAGCAGCAGCAGTCAACCGCCCTCTTGCCAGTAAGCAAGCGGCAAAGAGAGATTCATCTTCGAAGTCGATGCAGTTATAGGATCTTATCAAGTTTATCAAAATCTACTGTGGAAGAGCATCGCGAAGATGGGTGACGTGTCACAGGGGCAATTGATCAAAAACCTGCATAGTGATTGACGGGGGAAGTACCACAGACACGGAACTGCAGTCGAGCGATACTGGCGCAGTTTTGATGAAAATGAACGGAAACAGTGTATCAAAGCAGGCGCAGCTGATGGTGTCGTTCTCAAGCATTCTTTGGATCGATCTCTGGGCAATGTGTACAAGATAATCCCGGAAATCAATCTGCGCGATCTCACGACCCGTGAATCTAACAGCTTCTTGGCCCTCTTCGCCCATCGTGCCACAAATACCCTCCTTGACCAATACAGCACTGGCCTGAACGGGAGGCCTGGAGATCACGACTTCATCAAGCACATGATGGATACCAGAACTCTCGGCCTTCCCAATCCCGATAGGAATGGTTTGACGCTTTTCTACGATGAAGATCGTTATGGTGAATCTATGACAATCATGCGTAATGCATCCGAGGTCTTCGCTGGGCTTTCGAGTGCCATCCAGGCTAATCTTTGCGTTCCTCAAGAGCGTGGTGAACTCATACTGCAAAGACAACTCTACATGCTCCAGAGTCTTAACATTATAATCGAAGACATCTTATATATCGGCTCAAGAACGCGGGACCGAAAGAAGCTACCTCAGAAGTCTGGCAAGTCTACGGTATCAGCACTTTCAAAGCTCAGCATTCAAGAGCCGGCAAAACCCCCCTCTCTCCCTGAAATTATCAATAACGCAGCGGATCAAAGAGCAAGGCTGCAGGAGTACTTGACCTTGCTCTCAACTGAACCCGTCGTCCTCACTCATGATGTCAACATTTGCTTTTTCAGCCGTCCTGAGCTCCTTCCTGACGAGAGAGGCCGTATCTTGCCCGTTCATACCGACAAGTACATTAGCGGCGCGGTTCTCGAAGTAGTTTACAACTCGGTCAAAGCGGTCGCCATCTGGGACTACATAGGTCGCCTTCTCGCCCTCCTGGAATCACAGCCGTCCACAAACAAGATCTGCAGAGCTGTGATCCTTCAAGAGCTGTCCAGTGTCTGCCATCTAGAATACGGTCGGGTCCAAGCTCTCTTCAGACGAAACGTCCAAACAGCCAGCAGTATCAAGTAGTTCAAGAGGATGTCTAATGTGTTCGACAGAGCTGGCAACCCACGCGTCAAGATGAACGGCGATCTGGAGAAAGGGGAGCTATCACGGACCGACCCGCAGCTTTACTACATACTCCGTCTTTGTCAGCTTGAGACGGACGCAGTCAAAGGAACGGATCTCATGAAGAAATTGAGCAACCTCCATGACACTGATTTCTCGACGTGGGAAAGGCTCCAAGAGCGGGAAGTGGCGTCGCTAGGCGAGCTGGCCATCATCACATATTTCATCCAGGGCCTATCAGCCACCATAGGAATGCCGTCACTATCCGTAAGAAAAGTCAAATATTTGTCCACCAATCACAAGGACTTGATGAGGAGATGAACGAGCTCAAGATGAAGATTGATCTACAAGACTTTGTTGTTCCCATAGACGACCTTCTTGAGCCTGAGATGGCATCGAAGGCACTCACTCGTCTCGATCAGTTCATCATCGAGAATGCCGGTACAAAAATGGGATTTCCTTCTCAAGACCAAACCGAAGAATGCTTTGTCACTATCGAGAAGCAGTATATGTGAATGAAAGAGCAGGTGGAGCGCAGAGAGCAGATACAAGCGGCCGAGGTCGCACCCACACAGCTACTCGCCACAGAGCCCGAGCCACGAGAGAAGCTCGTTGCCGAACGCAAACAAAAGGAGAAGACACGACCTTCTCATTCCTCCATCTTTGAAATTGTCGCGCCTGCAGAAGAGGGCTTGCCTTTTGAAGAAGAGAGACCTGCGGTAATCAAGGTCCGAGCATCTACAGCAGGTGTTTTTTCTGCTTTGTTTGCTAAAGCAGAGGCTCGTGGCAGCGTAAGCTGGACGGCATTCCTCTCAGCCATGACCGATATGGGATTCTCTGTGCGGCCCAGGACTGGCTCCGTGTATACTTTCTTCCCTCCAGAGAGCATGGGCGCGAGTAGGTGGTTCACGGTTCACAGGCCTCATAAATCAGATATTGAAGGTTATTATGCCATTCTGTACGCAAAGCGCTTGCAAAGAGTCTACGGATGGAATGAGAACACATTCGAGGTAGCCGATTGATGATGTTGATTACAGCCAAAATTGTGGCATGACCATTACTTGAATGTGTGCCGAATAAATGTCTTCTCAATGAAACTGCCCATTGTCGTCAGGTACGGTACTGCGCTCATGTGGAACTGAGTAACAACAGCAAATGATGACTGTTCAGTAAATGCTTGCTTCAGATATGATGGGTTTAGAAAATTTGATCCTCAGACATCATCAATATTGAATTCTGATGATCATTCCATCAAACCTGAAGGGCTCTGCGCACCCCCAAGTGCCTAGTTCGGGTGATGGTCGGGTTAGCAATCTAGGCCCCTCGGGGCTTTTGGTATCTCCAAAAGCCAACAATAGTAGATTCCTGCCCTCCAGAATGTTCTGGCATGGAAGCTGATCATTGCCTTCGTACTTCTTCTTAGGATATCAACAAGCACAGCCTTGAGAAATATGTTGCAGCCCAGACACCGAGTGGGCAGAAAGTGAGTACTATCATAAGTCCGTGATAGCGACGGGTCAAGACAAGGCTTTCCGAAGGGGGGGATTGCTTGGGCGGAGGCCTAAATCATAGGGGTCCGAACCCTAGTTAAATACTCAACCCACACTTGCAGAGACCGAGACCGAGACCGAGAACGCCATGTGGATTCTCGTAACATCAAAGGCTGGCAACATTTTACCACAATGGTTTATAAGAAGACTCCAAATCGCTGGGTTACCTCTCCATCGCTGGGACTACTTTATGAGGATCAGTTCTGCATTGTTGTCGAGAAAGTCCCTGGAAGAGATTCAGCTTGTCAGTGGGCCTTCACCGAATAGATAGTCCGTATCTAACTAGGTAGTCAAATGAGTGCTTGGGATAGGCACAGTCCCGAGACTTTATTTGATTAGGGCTACTCTAATATCCACCTCGTTAGGCCACCCATTCAAGCCACACGGTCAGCAATCGCAAGCTGCATCATCGTGCATAGATACCAGCGCATTCCCCGTGTTTACTTGATACATGATCTTTTCTGATCAAATCAACCATATCCCAATCGACCATACAGTTTGCACGCTGACAATGCGCGAAACCGCAGTCGCCCTCGCCCTCAGAGGGTTCGCCATCGTCGCCATCGGTTCCATAGCTAGATTTTTCTACCTCTTATACCAACGGCGCATGCGCTTTCGGTCACTAGTCAGCAAATATGGCTTGGTATGGATCTCCATTTTGACCGTCAACATCAATGGCTGACCGTCACTAGCCACTTCTCCCACATTCATTTGTGTTCGGGCACCTGCTCATTGCGGCGAAAGTGGTGATGAAAGGACCCAAAGACATTGCTGCAGCGCTTGTGCCATATCTTATTAGTCTCGAACACCCTGAAACTAACAAATATGGCTACTTCTACTTGGATATGTGGCCCGTTTCTGAGCAGATGATCGTAGTGCATCACCCTGACATGATGGTGCAATTCTGCCAAGACACCTCCTTTGCAAAACATACGCAAATGCCATTCGAATTCGGTCCGTTGTCGCATGGCGTTGATCTTGTCACGTCCAACGGCCATCATTGGAAGACCTGGCGGAGTATTTTCAATCCGGGGTTTTCTTCTAAGAATATCCAAAGCTATGTGCCGGCAATGTTGGAGGAGTATAACATCTTCAAAACAAAGCTTGAATCGTTCGCTACGAGTGGGGAGACGGTAAAAATGGACTCATATGCCATGGCATTGACGGTCGACATCATTGGTCATGCCGTTCTGTGAGTTTAGCAGATCTGAGGTTTCCAACCCTGCTGACTGGACACAGAGGTGCTCGGCTACACGCTCAAACAACTGGGTGCGAGATCTTTGACGCTCTGAAAAGACAAATCGCACTCCTACTCGTCGACTACTCACCAGAAGGTCTAGCGAAATTGCTTAACCCCGTTCGACCATTTCGGATCTGGAAGAACAATCGCACCATGAGAAAGGGTGTTCTACCGTATATTCTCGAAGGTATCCGAAACCATGACCGTAAGGAGGGGAGCAAAACCATGCACAGCCTTGCGGTCAAATCGTACAAGGATGAACATTCCGCCGCCGAGGGAGAGATCGATGTGCGCTGGATCGATGTGGCGGTCGACCAGTTCAAAATGATGCTGTTCGCCGGTCACGACACCGTAAGTAGTACATTCTGTTTCGTGACGGCATTACTACATTTCCACCCGGGGAAATTGGCCATTGTCCGTGCCGAAATCGACGAAGTCCTTGGTTCAGACTCTACCAGTGCGCAAGCAGCCATCGCAAGAACACCCGAACTCCTCAATCGATTGACGTACTTGACCGCCGTCATCAAGGAGACACTCAGACTTTTCGGCCCCGTCAGCGGCAGCGTCCGGCAAGCCGCCGAAGGGCAACGGCTGTACCACCACGAGACCGGCGAAGAGCTCCCCCTGTGGGATCTGATGCTCTTCTCACACCAAGCGCAGCTGCATCGCGACGAGAAATTCTGGCCTCAACCCCATGAATTTATCCCGGAGCGGTTCACCGCCAAGGAAGGCGACCCCCTGTACCCGCACAAGAACACGTTTCGGCCGTTTGAAATGGGCAGTCGGAATTGCATTGGCCAGGAATTCGCCATGACTGAGCTGCGGCTCGTGCTGTCGCTGGCACTTCTGGATCTCGACTTCGAACCCGTTTATCCGGAGGACGGGCCCAAATACTTTGGTTCGGTGCTTTATCAGACTTCGCCGCCGGAAGAAATCACCATGCATCCTAGGGATGGAATGCCGATGAACGTGTCTTTGAGGAAGCGGGCTTGATGACCGAAGACCTCTTGGCTTCTCTGGTGACGCAAGTCCCGACAGGAGGTTTGTCATGGTAGGATGAATTCTCTTTACATCGCTGCCCAGACGGCCGACGCGCAAGTGACTCTGTGAAAAGGATATCCGACCTCCATAACCACGCTGGCCGCGATGAAGAAAAATCAACGCAGGCGTGGATGTTGAGCCGTTTCCTGGTATAAGGATGGGACCCACCAAATTACGAAAAAAAAGGGTGCCAGCTACTATACGCGCAGAGCTCAGAGACTGACTCATCTATCATAGAAGAAATGACAAATCCACGATTCTTTCCCTCCTAATGCCATCCACAAGGTACTAGTGCCCCCCGGCTTTGCAATCTAGACCCTCAGTCAGCCGGCCTAGACTGGATATCAAAGTAACTCAGGAGTAATGCAACTCCGGCACCGACGATACACCCATGGCCACGTGGCTTCCACTTAGGATATTTGCAGATCCGGGGTGCAGGCTCTGGGAAGCTGGGATGAATGCTATAAACCAGATGCAAGGCGTCCAGATCCCAATTTTGGGGTCAAATCCGTGAATTTCACTTTCGTTCAACTTTGACAAGCAAGGTATCTCAATAAGATCTACAGCGAACAGCTATCATGGGTCTCACCGGAATCCCACTGCAACTGCTCATAAATGTTACAGGAGGCTTTGGCTTCCTCCTATTCGGCTAGTATGTACGCAATCACTCCAGTGAACACCGACGCCCAAGCTGACAGTACTTTGTCGTAGTGACAACGGTGTCATGGGCGGACTCCTGACTCTGCCACCATTCCTCGAGCGATTCAACCACCCCACTCCTACGATGCTCGGCTTCATCGTCGGTGCCTATGATGTATGTTTTATCCTCCACTCTCAACCTCGAAGCGTATATGCTAACGGTGTACCACACAGGTGGGCGCGCTCCTTGGCGTTATCTTGTGTTTCCTGTATGCACAGATTCCGGGACGACGCTGGACTATCGTTTTCGGCTGCATCGTCACCATGGTAGGCGCGGCTTTGCAGACGGCTGCTTTCTCGGTGGCTCAGATGATTGGTATGCGATTGCAGTTCGTCATGATTGACGTTAGTCGCTGACACGAATGGTAGTTGGTAAGATCATAGCTGGTATGGGCGTGGGTGCTATCTCGGCCACAGTAGGTTTCCACAAGTCTCTCCATATTGATACAAGCTGATGATTTTCAGGTACCCATGTGGATTGCTGAATGCTCGCATATTCACTGGCGCGGCATCATGATCGTCATTCAATGTACAATCGTGATACTTGTGAGTTTATACTTCTTCAGTCCACGAAATTCCGTTCAGCAACTTCTGACTAAGGCAGGGAATCGTAATCTCCAATTTCACAAATTATGGCCTTGTCTTCGCCTGTCCCAGCTTAGACGGCACAGACGGGCAATGGAGAGTGGCATTAGGGCGTAAGTAGTCTCCGAGGAAAGTCCACATATGCTGACAGATCCACAGTCCAGATGATCTTCCCTTTGTTCGTGTTTGCTCTCCTTCCCTTCTGTCCCGAAAGTCCAAGGTGGCTCGCTGCCAAAGGTGCTCCAGTTGGAGAGATTGCTGGAATCCTGGCACTACTTGAAGGGAATAATGCCACTGCAACAACGCCGGCCATTGCTAGCAAAGCGCAAGAGATCATGGCAATCGCGCAGCATGAGGCAGAGCTTGATATCTCGTGGCGGGAGGTAAGTCTGCGTGGGAAAATTGGCATATCACCACACTGACAAGGACTAGGCCTTTGGAGGCGGTGAGCTGCAAAATGGTCGTCGGCTATGGTTAAGTGGTTTTGTCGTGGGGCTTCTCCAGCAGGTCAGTGTCAACTGCCAGGGCGACAAGCCAACCATTCCCAGCTGACGTGCTCAAATAGGTTACTGGCGTCAATGCCATCGTGTATTATGCCCCTGTCGTTTTCCAGGATGCGGGATTGAGTCCGAGGAATTCGTTTCTGATGGGTGGAGTCGGCAGTATTGCGATGCTCATTGGAACTCTGCTGCCTGTCATGGTATATACTTGAAATCCGCGACGCAGCAGCTGACCAGTACTAACACAAGACCAGTATATTGAAAAAGCCGGCCGTCGCAAGACATTGTTGATTAGTGCCTCAATCGAGGCCATCACGATGGGCGGCATTGCCGCGAGCATTGGCTGGGGCGTCAAACACCCATCATCTCGCGAGAATGCCGGATGGGCCGCGACGGCCTTCATCATCGCATTCGAATTCGGCTTCGGGCTCGGATGCTGCTCAATGCCTTACCTCTGCGCACCAGAACTCAACTCACTGCGAGCCCGCCACAAAGGCCATGCCGTGCAGACGATGGGACTTTGGGGAGGTGGCTTCCTCACGGTCATGGTATCTCCAGTCGGAGTGGCGAATCTGTCATGGAAATTCTACTTGATCTGGATGGTTCTGACCCTCTGCTGGATCCCAATGGTGTGGGCATTCCTTCCCGAAACGGCGGGCCGGAGTCTTGAGGAGATGGACTATTTCTTCAAGAAATATCAGGATAAGTGGTTTGTGCGCGACGTTGCGTTTGAACGCTTCGAGCGCGAGGATGTTCTATCCCTTCATGAGGATACAAAGAATGAGATCGAGCAGATCGAGGTTACTGCCGTCAGAACTCAATCTCGTACTTAGTCAAGGTGTCTGAAGTCTGGCTTTGGACAATAGCACGATGCGATAATGTAGTGCCCATCAGTTTATAGATACGTAATTACGCTGCCAGGCCACTAAATACCTAGGCACTTAGATGGCTTGATTGTCATGTATTGCAAAGCTATCGGACGGTCGAAGAAACGTGGATCAATGGAAATTGCAAGTTACGTCATAGGAAAGATGCAAGTGGCGGACCATCAGATCCGATCAGTTTCGGCTTGTATGACGATGACGGCATGGCCTACAAAAGCCTTATCACACACGCAACATACACCTTTCGATCCATAGCCTTGTGGTCAATCAAATTCAGGAATACTATAATACTTGTCTTGCATCTCATCTAAATGCAAAATGGCCTCATTTCTGAAAAAGATCGCTGGTGGAGGATCTGCTCAGCCGGAGCAGCACTCAGATCAAGGACAGTCTCTGACAACCATCTTATCCACACATGAGGATAAATCAGAATTACTATTGCTTATTGCCAATTGCATGGGTCTGATGCGAAGACAGGTAGCCGACATCTTTGATCCGGATAAAGGACATGAAAATTGGAACCGTGTTCTGGCGCCTGGGGCAGGTGACAAGAAAGTTATCAAGTCCAGCGACCATACACCAAACACCGAGGCTACAGAGCGGGCATCGGAGCCTAGTGCTGAGCAGTTAGAAGCTAAGAAACAGAAAGGCTACGAAAGAAGGGCGGCAGAATTGTCTAGCGCGAAGATGACAGAATTGAAGGAGGCAACGTTAAATCATTTCGACACCTGGCGAGATAAGGTCATCCAGCGTTTGGGAGAGGCCATCAACCAGCATCAGGAAGGTGATTCTGGTCCTTTAGAGAGCAAACCTCAAGCTCCCGGAAATCAGCAGAATCGCAATGACCAGCTTAGCCAGAAGCTCGAAGATACTGAATCGGATAATGCGTTGCAGCAGCTCTATCCGCCTCAGGAAACACTGCTGAGAAAGTTACCTCAGGCTCAACGCGTACTTATCTTGCACTCCTTATTGCTGCTACTTCTTAGTCTAGAGACGTATACAGCAGAGTCTCGGGTCCTCCTCCTTCGAATTACCAGTTCCTTGGGCCTTCCTATGAAATTATTGGCTGAGGATGAAACTCAGGTGGCGAAGGGCCTTTTGGAGTCGGCGAAACAGCATATGAACGCTGATGCCGATACAAAGAAAAAGGCAGAGGAGAATGCCTCTTCTCGAAAGTGGAAGGTCGGACTTGGTGCTGCAGCTGGTGCTGTGCTTATTGGTGTTACCGGAGGTCTGGCTGCTCCTCTTCTGGCTGCTGGGGTTGGATCTTTGATGGGAGGAATTGGTCTTGGTGCGACGGCTACAGCAGGGTACCTTGGTGCTCTTGCAGGAAGTGCCCCTCTAGTGGGAGCATTGTTTGGCGCATATGGTGGACGAATGACTGGGCGAGTCATCGATGAGTATGCAAGAGAGGTTGACGACTTTGCGTTCATTCCGCTCCACAAACCCCATCGATTTCCTGGAAAGAACAGCGAAGGTGATTCAAGACATCTTCGTGTGGCCATCGGCATATCCGGGTACTTGAATGATGACTCCGAGGTTGTCAAACCCTGGAAGGTAATTGGCAATAGTGTGGAAGGATTTGCACTTCGATGGGAAGTAAAGTCCTTACTGAAGCTTGGGAATGCATTGACAGCATACGTGCGAAGTTATGCCTGGGGATGGGCAAAGAAAGAAATCATCAGTCGAACAGTTTTTGCTGCACTTGCATCGGCATTGACATTACCTTATGGACTAGCCAAAGCCACAAAGTTGGTGGATAACCCATGGAGTGTTGCGGCAGCACGGAGTGACAAAGCAGGAAAAGTACTCGCACAGGCTCTCATCTCAAAAGTCCAAGGAGAAAGACCGGTGACTTTGCTTGGGTACTCACTTGGAGCACGGCTCATCTACTCTTGTCTGGATGAACTTGCAAATCGTCGAGTTTTTGGTTTAGTCGAGTCAGTCGTATTAGTAGGAGCGGCTGCTCCATCAGATTCGGTGGCATGGCGCAAGTTGCGAGCGGTGGTGAGTGGTCGGCTCATCAATGTCTACTCGACCAATGATTACCTTCTTGGAATCTTGTATCGAACAAGCAGTCTACAATACGGCATCGCCGGTCTGCAAGCCATTGAGGACGTCCCTGGAATTGAGAATGTGGATGCTTCTGAATTTGTTGATGGACACACCCAGTATCGATTCCTGATCGGACGCATTTTGGGTCAGGTTGGGCTGGAAGACATTGATGCCAGTGAAGAAGAGCAGCAAATGATTGCGTTGCAGCACAACCAGAAGAAAGATGAGGAGGAGAGGGTGAAGAGTGAGCAGGAAGAGAAGACAACTGAGAACATTCCAAGTGACAAATAGAGAGACAATAGGCATCTGGTTATCGCTATTAAGATGGTAACCTCCATTTGGATCGACAGCATCAAACTTTTGGGACGAACGCGAGGCGCATACGCGACCAAGGACGCGCTGTCACGTGCTTTAAACTGGGTGAACTTTCTCTAAAGCGGCGCTGCTAGCTACAAGGCGGCGTGCACTTTGTCTCAATGCGGCGCGAGCCGCGATTCTCTTTTTGGCGACTTTCCTGCAAGTTGAAGATGCAGTTCAACATCTTTGCCGGCCCATAACATAAGTGAACAAGACACCCTCCACCATCTGCACCCATGCATCGTGGTGCTTCAGATACTTCTTTCTACCCTCCTCACTCTGGGAACTCTACCAGTCCATAAATTCCCCACTTGCAGGCTGCAAGTCCTGCCTGTCATCAATCATCCACCTGTGATGCTATGGACCGTTACCGGGGGTATGTCAATACCCAAGAGGAACGAAAAACGCCTCCGCACTCCCGCTGACAACTTCACAGACCTCGACGCTCTCCTCCTCCGCGCGACAGAGATCGAGATCGGGTGTACCGTGACAGGGAAAGAGATGACCACCCTGATGTCGAATATTTCGGCGAAGGTGAAAGTTATCGACCTGGTGGCTCTGCTGGTGATGGTCCTTACCGCCCACCCAACCGCGAACGACATCCCACGGATTCATGGGGTGGAGATCGACGAGACCCGAGAGACATAAGGGATCCAAGAGAACCTCGAAGAGATGAAAGGAGAGAAGACATCGACTCCTACATCCCTGCGACTAGTACTCGCGCTGCACGACCACGCAGTCGTTCTCCTCCACCATTCCGACGGAGATCGAGAACGCCCCCCAACCGTGGAAGAGAGGATCTATTTCCTAGTAGAAGATCTCCGCCACGCCGTTTCTCTCCACGACGATCGCCTCCTCGACGAAGATCAAGATCTCTTGGTCCAAGACCTCGCAGTCCTCCAGACTCCAAACGATTCCGAGATTTCAGTCCCGACCCATCCAGGCGTTCACCTAAGAGAGAACGAAGATTATCACCCGATCGAAACAGATTTGATAGACCTCGATCACCACCAAGGAGACCTTTTAGTCCAGACAGGGATTCATCAAGAGGAGGTGGCCCATACAGACCCAGATCTAAAAGTCCCCCTCGCAGATTCGATCGCAAGCTACAGGATGATAATTGGAGGAGACGGTCACCCTCTCCCCGGATTTCCGCTCCTGTCTCCAACACCACATCCCGCAGATCATCTCCTCCGGTTCATCCTGACCGAGCCAGCCTTGCAGGATCCGGGCCACGCTCACCACCTCGTCAACCGGCTACTCAATACGAACATGCGGAGTCGACGAACTACCGCGGTAGGTCACCACCAACTGAACCTTTCCGAAACCGTGAAACCAGCACGACTGTCGACAAGCAAAATGTGAATGGAGAGATTCAACCACCTTCAGGGCCTAGTAGCTACCGAAATGGAACATACGATCGACCACCCCCAACTGGGCCTTCACGCAATTTCAGTCAACCTCAAAGATCCCCTCCTACTGGCCCTGCTTCTTTGTCACCATCAATACCCCACGCCCGAGGAGGCGCAGCTGGGATTAATGCTCCCACGCGACCTCGAGGTGTACCTAGTGGTCCGGCAAGAGACTTCACCAGCCCACCCATGAGGGGTCGAGGCAGTCTTTCATATCGAGGTTCTGCTCCTTATGGTCCAAGAGGGGGAAGTTATGGGCGTGGAGATTACGGTAGTACTCGTGGCGATTATGCGGGTGGACGTGGTGACTTTCCAGGAGGATCTCGTGGTGACTTGTCCAGTGGTAACTACCGGAGCGCACCACCAGAGCGTGCCAGTTCTGGTAGCGCGGCAACTGGACAGCCCGACACAACCTTTGCTTTCCGAGGCAACAGCAGCAGTAGCAGCACCTTTCCACGTACTCAACGATTCAACACAGTCCAACAACACCTTGCCACCACCGAGAAAATCATTCCAGGTGGTAAGCTTCTCCCATCTGGCCTACCGCCCGACCAGGACAAGCGCATCAAGATGCTAGAGGCCGAAGCAGAACGAATGCGCCGTGAAATTACAGAGAAGCAACGCATCAAGCGAGAAGTATTGGCCGAGTGGGAGACACGAGAGCGAGAGAGCGAAAGAGAGAGACTACGCAGTGAGTATGCGGACTCTCACCTGCAACAGCTTGTGGAGAGTGATGATGGGATTGGCAGAGCGGCATTCTAGTGAAATTGTCGATGACTACGTGTGTTGTCTAGTATCGAAAAGACGAAGATCATTGCTGTGATGTTAACTGAACAGATGAGTGTCAGGATAGAGGTTCCCAAAATTGCATAGCAGAGGGATTGGCACCAAAATCATGGACGCGTTGGATACGCATGTTGTTACAAGACCGGAGAGTCCTTGGAAAGGGGCACGAAAAGGTTGAACCAAAACTCCCCCCTTCACATTTTCTCAATGAGCGTGTACGTGTACGATTTTCAAAACGAGCGAGTTGGCATGGCGTGGGCATCCATTGGGCAATGCGAATTGAATAATGGGAGAGATTGGGATAAAAATCTCAAAAAGTAATGGAATAGAATCCGAGACACATTCGAACGTTGATCCATTCTCCTGACATGTTCTTTCCATGCATGGCCGCGTTCAGACCTCGACACTAGCCACACTCCGGTAAAGATGACCTCTAGAGTGGCCGTACTCGGGCGAAGGCTGGAAATCACCTCTAGTGATTTAATCCCCAGGCTGACTTGTGCTGCTGTTCAACTCTGTTTTGCACTTAGGTGGGTATGCTCGTCAGGGCTGTAGAAACCGTGGTCGGTATGAATGGCGATCTGGATAATAAGGGAAAACTGGGCATGGGAACGGCTTTCATCGGGTCCATATGAGGCACTGAAGTGGAAACATGGCTGCATGTTGTTGCCATGCATTGTTTTGACACATACCGAGTAGGCTGACCTACCACTCTGATGGTTCACCCACCACCACCCCTTTTCCTACCACATCCATATCCTACCTGGACTACGCACCAACCGCTCTCCCACCATCGACCTCCAGATTAACACCCGTGACGAAGCGTCCCTCATCGCTCGCGAGAAAAGCCGTGACATTGGCAATATCATCTGGGTCCGTCAGCCGACCCAGCGGGACGTTGAACAAGAACTTCTGCATATTCTCCTCGGTGTATGGCACGCCGACAAACTGTTCGAACAACCCTGTTCCACTTAGTAGTGGGCACAGCGCGTTCACCCGGATCTGGTCTTTGCCGAATTCAGCGGCGAGTCCTTTGCTTGCCTAAGGGGTGGATGTTAGATTATTCGTTGATGTGAAGTGGACCCGCGTCTTGGATAATGACACTTACATTCGCAACGGCGCCTTTCGTGGCATTGTACCACACTAGACCTGGCCGGGGCCTCATCGCGCCGATACTGGCGATGTTGATGATACTTCCGCCCCCGCGCTGTTTCAGCGCCGGTACAGCAGCAGGAATGCTGAGGTAAATACTCTTGACGTTGACGGCGAAGACTTTATCGAATTCCTCCTCTGTGACGTCCAGTGTTGGCTTATTCTTATAACTTGTGCCTGCGTTGTTGACGAGGCAGTCGAGACCGCCGAATTTCGAGACGGCTGTCTCAACCATCTTGGCCCAGTCGTCCGCTAAGGTCACGTTGGCAGTGACGGCAGCGATATGTGCCGCTGAGGCGGAGTTGACATCGTAGACTTTCGCTAGTGCGTCACCATTCATGTCTGCTGCAACGACTTTGGCGCCCTCGGCCACGAATTTGCGGGTTATGGCGAGGCCGAAGCCAGAGGCGGCGCCTAGAAGACGGGAAAGTTGTTAGTTGACCTAAGCACCGGAGGCATGCAAAAAGTCACACGGGGGTGAAGGCGACGAAATGGATCCGGGCTAACCTGTGACCAAGGCAACTTTCCCAGCCAACCGACCAGAGCCAGTCTGGACTTCATGGAGACCCGACATGATGAGTCTTGTAGATAGATGAGGCGATATGTTAGAGTCAAGTGGGACGAAATCGTTCAGAACTCGTCAAGAAGAAAGTACTTGGAAGAAGTGTTGCACATGTGAGGAGAAGAAGGTTTGCGAGTATATATGTTTCCTTTATATACGACGTGATAAATCGTCAGTAAGTACGAAAGAGAGGCATCGTTGCCCCGCATCACATCCATCATTCTCCGAGAGGCCAGCTCCTCCAGTTGACTGACACGGTGAAATGATGAGAATGCAGGCTCGAGAAGACCATGGACGGGCTAAAGGTCGAACGCGAGCTTTGGAGGGGTTGTTGACAACTTGCGGGGAAGCGAAGAAAGAGTTCATGCAAGACTTGCGGGTGTTGTGAAAACCGGAACAGGGGATCGCCCGTGCGGAGATGCAACAAAATCTCCAGCAATACTATGATGTGGTACCTGTATCTCGATGAGTGAACACGAGCATAAGTCAATTCGTCTCGAAAGCTTTTTCGAGAACTCGCTGGACATATCGCAGGGTGGCTCTTGTTCCGCGCCCGGCGCGATGGCCGGTGTTGATCATCCCCAGCTCAAGCGTGATGGGCAATCAACCGCTCACCTGGTTTGCATGACTTAATTGTGTCCTTCTACCTTCTTCCATGGGTCGGTACGCCAGCCATTAGAATCCAAATGGAACCTTGGAAGCTCAAGCAGGGTATTTGAGGTTTGATTTCGCGACACTGAAAGTCTGGTCACGTGATCTTAAGTTCGAAAAGCTTCGTCGCAAAAACCGGTGTGAACGGTATGGTCGGGGACAGGATAGTTGGCCACCAGTATCGATGGATAACAGAAGTTCTTTGATAGTTCTGATTGTACAATCATCAAGTTCGCCGGGCATATGTCGGGTATCATAATATACATAAATATCCAGAGACAACATAGGGACGATCATCTTCGGTATCATCACTTCTTGCCGGCCGCTTTCTTGGCCGCTCTGCCTTCTGTTGTTCTGATTAGAGACTGTGTGCAGATATCCGTGGGTCAAATGGGGATATTTACCTGCTGCCGTCCTCTTCTTCTTGGGCGCACCCTTGCCTCTCATCTTAGCCGTGTTAACACTGTCGACCCGCTGCAATTCTTCTTCATCATAGCCTGCAAGGCCAAATTTCTCAAACTCCTTCAAGATATCGCCCATAGCGACAGACTTCCGAGGGTAGTATGCGGCCATCGTTGGGCCTTTTAACCGTTGTCGCAGGATTTTATTGCCTAGTCGCTGTCGATTGGGATTGAATGTGTGCGAGAATATCGAGCATTGTAACTGTCAACAGTATCGTTAGACCATGTGTTGAAAGGATACTGGGAGGAATCGGGTAATGGTGAGGTGATTGAAGCGTTCAAGGCCAGAGAATGCAGCCAGGCAAGTGGGTGGGTTGGGGATGAGTCGAGTACAAACCTTTGATAGCTCCAAAAGACGACCTCGAGATGGCAGGGCCATGGTGAACTGGAGATATGTCGTGCACCTTTGAGCGATAAGGACGTGGTGAATGCCTGCGAGTAGTGGTTCTACGAGCACAATTGAAATCGAATTTCGATGAACAGAAACGCAGCCCGGCTACACCTGCCGTTCTTTGTGGAGCTCCTTCCTCTCGCCTAACCTTGCCAATCGAGCTTGCTTACCTAAGACATCAAAAATCCTACGAGCAGGCTTACAACATTCCTCTTCATTGCCCCTTCACATACCTAGGTACTCAAACTATTCCAATACTCATCCATCTCACAATATCTCCGAGACTCGTCATGGGAGATCGCCCTCCGAAGAGGCCGGCCTATGATCACTACGGCCGAGATCGAGACTACCCTCGAAAGAAGCCTCGCCATCAAAATCAAGGTTCCTCGCCATTTGCACAGCCAGCACCATCAGTTCCTCAAGTCATTCTTGGCGACAACTTCCCACCAGCACCCGAGATTGATTCGAAGTACTCTGAAATCGTGTTCATTCATCCCAGCGCTGCTGCAAAGGATTCCAATGCTGCAAATTCAGGCAGCTACGATCGTTTGGAGTTTCTAGGCGATGCTTACCTCGAGGTCATTGCTTCAGAACTCATTTTCGACCGCTTCGCAAATTTACCCGCTGGACGTATGTCCCAGGTCCGCGAGTCCTTGGTCAAGAATGAAAGCCTTGCTAAATTGACCGAGGCCTATGGTTGGGACAAAAGGATCAAGAACGCCGTTAATCTGTCACGCGAGTCACCACAGGCGTGGGTCAAGATCAAAGGAGATGTGTGTGAGGCATACGTTGCTGCTGTCGTTCTATCCAGCAAAGGTGGTCTCCAAGTCGCCAAAGCTTGGTTGCAAACTATATGGGCATCTGCCTTGGACTCAGTCGCCGCACGTGCTCCAGCTTCAGATCAGAGTAAAGTCGAACTTTCCAAGCGAATTGCTGGAAAGGGTGCCAAGATCAGCTACGTTGACGACAAACCACCGATCGTTCACAAAGGCCAGGGCGTTGAAACTTACTTCGTGGGTGTCTATTTGACTGGTTGGGGATGGGACAACCAGTTTTTGGGCAATGGGAAAGGATTAAGTAGAAATGCTGCGGGCCAGGAAGCTGCAGCTGCCGCGATCAACAACAAACCTCTCATTGACGATATCATGGCCAAGAGAAGGGCTATCCTTGATGAGAAGAAAAAGGGGGGAATAAATGAGTGAATGAGGCTCTGGCCCTGGTGAGCTTGACAGCCGATCATCCACTAGCGTACCTCACATCATGGCTATTCATGCTAGGTTATGAATTTGGCACATCAAAAACTAATAGTAGCCAGCCAGATGTAAGTCCCCACACAGTCCATGACTCCCAAACATTTATTGACCATCAATTCAGTGCTGATTCAGTGCTCCATCCAACTTCAGCAAACTTATCCAACTTCCGGGTTCCGCTCTGGCCAACCCTCATGATACGAACAATGGTTGTGTCAACATTTGCAACAAGAGAGGACATGTCTGGCGTGAAATCGACGCCGATCCATGTCTGCGGTAGAGCGTCATGCGAGTCCGATCAGTCAAAGACTTCCGAGTTCAAAGAGGCAGTCGATCGTTTGCCTGACTCCTTCTGACCAGCTGGTGGAGTGAAGAATGTCTTGTTGAGGCGTTCTTGTTGCTCATCATTTTCTTGTTCTCGGAGAAGTTGGTCTTTGACAGGACTGTCGGACTCCATGCCCCTAGTTCTTTCAATGGTTCGACCCTGAGGAGTGCTGGGGTTGTGCAGATGTCCTTGAAATCCAACTCCGTCGACCACGTTCTGTGAGCCACAAACGCTTTCCAATCGCTCTTTGTCCACTGTTGATCTGTTTCCGTGAAATGCTTTGTTGAACAGGCGGCCTATCTCTCCTGCAGTACTGGTCCCCATTTTTTTGTGCACGATTTTCTTTACCATTCTTCTGATGTCTTTCATACGACCGAATGTCTTCTTCTTGGTTGGAGACTTCATTTTGATTCCACCAAGAAGAGATTCATTTTGACTTTCAGTGGCAGCCATTTGGGTATTTTGAGCGTCGATTGCTGGGCCTGTTTCAGGATCTAGACATTGACTGGCTGCTGCTTGACCCGATAACCGACTTGGTGTATCAGGGATCACATCCGGGGAATTAAAAATGACATACGTCGCTTCTTCGGCTGAAAGTCCCGAGTAAACGCTTTCCACATAGGCATGGTAGCGATCACGACGTGGAGTTCGATGGTGTGCAGTGGGCTGGGGAAGACCGGTACCGACAGTGTCAGATCGTGATTCGTGTTTGCTTTCACGAGCGACTACCAGTGGACTGATCTTCGGTGTTGAATCATGGTCACCCTGACTGTGAACACTTCTAGCATTGAAATCATCGAATCCATCAGTGGAAGGAGTGTAATCCCAAGAAAACCGACCTCCCGGTTGGTGACGGCGTTGGTCGGGCGAGACATATTGATATGTGAGCTGATTCCCATGTCGGAGAAGTTCGAAGGTGCCACCGGATCGACCCGCTGCTACTCGCCTTCGTCGGCGTCGCTGTTTCAGAGCTCGCTGTCGTTGCTCGTCCATACTGTCATCTGACGTTGCTGACGTTGGTAGATTATTCATTTTGGCGGAGGACAAGAGATTGCTCCGGGTTGATCAGTAGGATTTGCTGATGGACAAATCATCCACGATTCCCAAGATTGAAGCTGTAAAAAGAATTTGGAGATAGCTGATATTTTCAGGAGGAAGGATGGTCACCAAGCAACAAGAAACTTATCTGATCAACTGATCGTGCGCTGCCTGAGCAAACAGTGTTTGCACGTGAAGCTTGCACTGCGCAAACACTGAGGCAGTCATGAGGCAGCGGGCCCATCAAATGCACCACACTCCGGTATTGACCAAGCGTGAATCACGTCCATAATCGCCATATCGCCATGGGGGTCACCATTACCAACCGTTCAACTGCCTCGTAGAAAGCAAAACCCTGGAACCAGATGCTGAAATCAGTCTGGCTTCGAAGGAATGCTCCACTTAATTTTCATCAATTACTCTTCAACATATAATTGAATTCCAACCGCGGTTTGTGTGTAGATTGATCCCGTACAACGCTCCAGAGGTAGGGATTCAATATGCTCGGATGTCAAGTCTAGCTCATCGTCAACGATAGCAATCCAAAGCGCTTGCATTGCGACATCAGTACTTACCCCAGGTCTTCCAGACAAGCACCATGGGATGAGTTTGCTACATTCAGGAAATCTGACATAGCGTTTATCGAATGTTCATTCTTGCCGAGGCTTGACATACCAGGACCCTGAATCCAAGTTCTGAGAGATCTCAACACCAAGGACGATTCGCCAAAGCAGATCATGCTCTGCCGCTCTGTGACATCATCTTGCAGAGATGCAATTGTACAAAGCCATCTTGCTCAAGATGCAGAATATCCGTCATCAGAGTCAATCCCGCTGCAGTTCAAACCTTCTTCTGCACGACCTCAACGGCGCTGTATCAGCCCACATTTGACGTCCGGCGACCGTTGAAACTCTATTCTCAACCACCACATACAAATTATATTAAGAAAACCTGTTTCAAAATGGGCATCCCCTTTTCCAAAGAAATTCGGGAAGCCCTCGACCAAGTCGAGCCCTTGCGTAAAGCGGGGTTCGAAGTTCTACGCACTACGAAAAACATCTCACTCATCCTCGCATGCATCCAAGTCCTGACCGTCATAATCCTGGCATTGATCCTGGCGGCACTATTCGGATTGCTGTTGACCATGAACCCGGATCTTGAGGATGAGAAGCAGATGCTGGTCACACCGGCATTGAAGTGGATTTCGGGCTGGCTGCTGTCTTGTGGTGGGCTGGTGAAATGGTTCGCGAGACTGGTTTTCTTCGTTGTGGGTGGTGGGTTCGTGCTGTTTCTCTGGCATGGGAGTACGGTTGGGGCGAAGGTGCCTGACACAGATACGGAGGGGAAAGACGATGAGGAAGGAAAGGAGGGGGGTGATGCAAAAGGGAAAGGCAAGGACAAAGGGAAGGATAAAGAGAAGGACAATGGTAAATAAAAGTTTGGTGTGGATTACGAATGCAAAACTATGGATTCTTGAGAAGCTTCTTCGGTTGGTTATCTCTCTACTAATTCTTCGCGACCCATCTGTGGCAGAGCCTATCCCCGCACGATTTAAGTTCACCTGGTTTGGTGGCTAACCACAACTTCGCATGTGCAAGTGTATCAAGGTCATACTGGCGTGCCGCAGAATGGACATCCTTCACGGCATAGTCCTATCGTGAAATTGCCAGCCTGCTGGCCGACCACAGGTCATTCCTTCATGATTTGAATCTCGCAGGATCCGATGGACCCTGATCTCTTGGTTATTCTCGGTAGTAGCTTGCCGGTTCCCAGAGCCTCTAGATCTCTTTTTTTTGTGTTGTACTCAATGAGAATAAGTGGCTTAGCAGTCTGCATCCATCGCCCTTCATCCCGTGTCAAGCGCAAGGACCAGACTGCGAAATGCCTAGCAGAATAGACGCCGAGTTTTGTGCCGCGGTGCGCTGCAGCCCTGAGCTAACCCAAGAGGAGGCTGCAGATGATTTCGAGCAATTGCCATGTGATTCTCGGTATGGCATGAGTGGATCCCAGAATCGGAGGACTAACTCACAGGGGCCTCATTGAACTTGCTCGTCGGGTAGGGGACTAAAACGCACCAAAGAGCACCGTGCGGCCGGTGTGATGTTACGTATATATGCATAGAAATTGGGTTCCAGGTTATCGATAGGAGATGTCGATGCTAGTTAACTTCTTGAGGTCAGGCGTCTCATGGATTGAGTCTTTGATTCTGTGCTGGAATTTCCATTGTCCTTGTGGGATTTGATCCAGGTGGCAATCGTGGTTGAAGAACAAAGTACAGGTATCAGAAAGATTTCATGGCGCAGGAAGTCAATATAGGCTAGAAATACAAGTCTTCATCAATCGTACGAGAAGTCACCAGCGAAGAAGACACAGTAAAAGATGACGTTATAACAAACCTATTGGAATCAGCAGAAGGTTTGCTTAGGGAGAATTTATCTGACTCGGGAGGGAACTGGACTACTTTGGGAAGCAGATGTAGACGAAATTTTGTGATATAGTCTTTTCCCCATCGACGGAGGTGTTGCCTCAGCTTTTATCACATTTGCGGTTTTGACGTCCATAACCCACAGAACGGGAGTATTACACCTGGGTTGGTCGTATGAGGCTGAACCTAGATTGGACTGTGAGCTTGAATGCAGTTACAGCTGCCTCCTCAATCGCTAAGTGTTGATATGTAGCCGGGACGAATACTGGTACGGGCCCGCCTGCGCTTGTCCTTGGAATGGTCAACACATACGGGCGAGGTTGTTTGCTCGTATGTTATGAGACGAGCTGATCGGTAGGCACACATTAGGCACGTCTCTAGATCTCTTAATGGCTGTTATGCCTTGGATCGCCACCAAAATCAGTACATCGTTACTGCAACTGATATTTTCAATCCGGAGGGGGTTATATCACAACTGTGGAGGACCATTTACTGGATTTGGCTATTACATAGTTAAGCAAAGCTGCTCACCTACGAGTCTTCTCAGCGCCGAGAAATACACACTGTAGAGTCGATGGATGACTGGACCTCATTTCGGGAAGCAACATGTTCACTACAGTACCACGGTTGCAGTCGGTGTCATGGGATCTCAGAATCTCTGATCTCGGCTGCGGGTCAGAGCAACCTGGCGTTCGGGTGCTGTGCAAGAGCAAACTTCCTTCGGCCCCACGTTTGCTCAGTCCAAACACAGCGAATCCTCAAATTAATGACTTGGAAATCGAGCCAAAACGTGCATGTTTAGCAGGCGAGGTCCATAAGTCGATATCAAAGAGATAACTGCCAAGAGTGAACTCGGCCCCTAATCATCGGCTGTCTCGGTCAAACAGCAAATATTCGGTCCTTGACCGAGGGTGACCGAGAGTGACCGAACCTGGTGCTGATGAGCCACAGTAGTGTGAATTCCTCCCAGGATACTGTACAGTCCCTTGGTTTTCTCTGGAAGTGTTTTTTTCCCAACGTGAATGTCGGTCCTAACTAACTATCTCCATGGCTTGCATACTAAATTGACTTTGTACGGAGTTATTGGTCTGTTTTCATTCCGAGGTTAGACATTCAGCTTTCTTTAAGGATAATCAAATTAGTCTCCTCGTATCAGGGTTACCTACTACCTCTGGTCTTCACAGCCTTGCCCGTAGCAGAATCAGACCAAGCTAAACAAAATGAGTGTCAAGCACTCAGACGACCAAACAACATCCAAATCGTTCGGTTCAAGTGATGGCTCCGCCAGTGATGCAAAAGATACAGCAGACACTCCACCGCTCTACAAGGTTGCTACCAATGACACAATATTCTTCAATGCCTTGCATCTGTTTAGAATAAGCAGAAAGCATGCCGTCCTAGCCACATTATACCTCACAATTTTCCTTTCGGCTCTTGATGTCACCATTGTGGGAACTGCCCTTCCCAGGATCACAAGCCATTTCAAAGCTTCCGCTGCGCAATATACTTGGGTTGGAAGCTCATACACCCTAGCAAGCACTTCAACTACGCCATTATGGTCAGGGGCTTCAGATGTCTTCGGACGGAAACCCGTCCTGATGTCCGCAAATCTTGCTTTCCTTATCGGTAGCACTATTGCCGGTTCAAGTACATCTATAGGGATGCTCATCGCAGGAAGGACCATTCAAGGCTGGGGTGCTGGTGGGTTAATGATATTGAGTACCATCGTCATCGCAGACATGTTTGCGTTTGAAGATAGAGCAAAGTACTATGGCTTCACGGGAGTGATCTTTGCGGTGGCTTCTGCTGTTGGTCCATTGCTTGGAGGAGTGTTCACTCAGTCTGCAGGCTGGCGATGGTGTTGTAAGTACCCTATGCTCTTTGTCATGTCTTGTTCTAATTTCGGTCTTTAGTCTACATCAATCTTCCGCTCGAAGGCATTTCACTTGTCGTGCTCTTGGTCTTCTTCAATTTGAAGAAGTCCGCTGAAAAGCCATTACAATCTCTTCTGCACTTCGACTGGGTAGGGGGTGCTGGCATCCTCGGAGGTACCATCGCGTTTCTTCTTGGCCTTGAGTCTGGTGCAAGCGTCCAGTATTCTTGGAAATCTGCCTATACACTAGGGCTACTGATTGGAGGACTGGTCATACTTGGCTTGAGCTTTCTATGGGAGTCGGGATGGGCTAAGCAACCGCTGATACCGGTCAAATTACTCATTGGTCGGTCCAATTTGGCAGCATTGTCAGCAGCATTCGGCCATAGCATGGTCTTCATTGCTTACGATTTCTATCTTCCACTATACTTCCAAGTGGTCCTTCATGCCACTCCTATAATGTCTGGAGTATATCTCCTGGCCTTGATAGTACCCCTATCTATGATGTCATACGCGACCGGCCTTTACATCAGGAAGACGAACAAGTATACTTGGACAGCACGACTCGGATCCGCTCTGATGACACTCGGAACTGGCTTGTACATAAGTTTGGGTCCATCTGCCAATTTTCCTAAGATCATCCTATACCAGTTGGTCGCTGGAATCGGTGGTGGGATGCTCTTCTTATCACCTATGATGGCTATTCAAGCCCACCTCCCTCCAGAGAGCATGGCATCTGGTCTTTCAGGGTTTTCATTTCTTCGAAATCTGGGCACTGCGATCTCAATTGTAATTGGAGGCGTGATCCTTCAGAAGGGCTTGGGAACAAACATGCTCACAGCTGGACATGGGAACGATGCTGCAACGTCCATCACCCCTGAGAAATATACCTCTTCCTTGCAGGTTATGTGGATATTCTACACTGCAATCTGTGGCGTAATGCTTCTAGCCTCTCTGCTAATAGTGCAAAAGGCGCGACCGGCAGCCAAGGAACCAGGAGATGATGATGAAAAGCAGACACAATCGCAAAGTTCGGAGGCTGTTTCCGGAGAAAAAGTTTAAATAACACCTAGAGACTTCAGAATACATAGAAAGACCTAAAGATACTTAGAGCTAATAGATAACAGTATTCATCTCCATGAGAATGAGCACCATCATTCCTAATATCAGTTGAAATCGCCCCTAAGTAGCTCAAACCCCCTTCAATCGATACCATAAGTCACGCCATTGTTCGAAATGAAAAATCCGCTAAGTACTTCCCTGTTCCTTGATGGCCATTTTCATCATGATACCCTGAAAATCCTCCGGACCATCCGATTTCTCACTATGTTGTACAAAACTGCTCGTTCGATATGGTGGTAATGAACTTGTGATCTCCCTCTAACCCTTATGCTTGTTCTTGCCGAACTGACACACCGTGTGCTGCGGCAGAGAAAGTTTGACTCGGATGATAGCCTGATTGTGGCCAATTTCTGTCTGCGTCCACATTGGCCACGCTGCGGGTGACGCGAACGATGGACTAATATAAATGGAAGATCGGTCCTGCCACAAAAGACTCTCTATTGCGCTACAGCATCAGTATGTCGAAACAGTTTGAGATGAAGTTGCATGATTTACCTATGAGTTCTGAATGGCGATTTGTTGCGTTGTAACGACTGCCTTTGGCGATATGGAAAGTAGAACGGTAGTACAGTCGTTAATGTTAATGTGGAGACTGTGGCCATTTTTGCTGTCGTTGAAGGGCCTCTTTGCCAGTGCATGTATTGTGCCATTATAAAGAGTTCTCAGGTTTGAAATGGTTTCTCGCGACAATGCTGTACGTGGAATCCTCTGATGACCATGTTATGAATCTGTGTTTTGCTATATTATCAGAAAAATTTTGAGCTACCTGCATTTCTCGATCACCACTCGAAGGGATTTGTCTTTGCCAGAGCAATGATGCAGGTTGCCTTGGCCTCGCTTCTGCTCGGCTGAAAATCATATTAGACACCGAGTAAGAATATTCAGTATTGTCACATGTCCCTTCTTCGGCCAACTAAGACCCTCAGTGAAACCTACTTCAAACAGCTTCGGCCCCACTACTGACCAAATTCGGTGCTCCCGCTTGATGAATAGAGATCCCGATCAAAATTATTTGGTCGGAGCCTATGATTCGCTGCTTTTCGATACAGGAAAAATTTACTAGCATGTGCCCATAGCGGAATTTCAGACGACTAAATCGCGAGTCAGCCCGCGTGGTAGATCCTATAGGAAACACCATCTGTGTGAACAGGTTCACACGCTGCCACATCGCTTCATTTTCCGTGAATAATGAGCAGAGTCATCTAGCAAATGGAAATAATCAAGACAATATATGCGATCCCCATCTCTGATACGATATTAGTTAGTTTCCGCGCTGTTGTGGCTGGTCTATGGAGGTGTTTCCGGAAGACAGAGATGTGTACATGGTAGCGAGATGATATTCGCTAGTGAGCTTGAATATTAACCTATTTCTTTATTCACAAATAAGGCGATTTACATCATTATACCTAGGTAACCTTTAGAGCGAACGCTAATCAAGCAATTCAGCCAAATCCAGCCTGTAACTCACACTTCAGCCCTATGAGCTTGCCTCACTTCCTTTCTCGGCCACTGGAAGCGCAAAACCCATCCACGTCATTATATGACTACAAATAATTCTTTTCGCCTAATCGTGCTCAAATAAAGGGCAAGATCAAGTGACTGGGGTACTCTGGTCCAGTGTGAATGGTATGTGTCCCTTTGTTCAACTCGTGATCCGGTCTTGGTCCAGAGAAACTCGTGAACTCTGCAAGTGAGGGATATTGGCCTCCCAACTATAAAGTGTCAGTTGTGCTATATCTCATGTAATAGTGCAGATGAAAACTTACCCTCAAGCTTATGGTCTCACCAGCATCAAAATCCACACCCATAGCCCAGATGCCAATCTCCAGCTTCACGATGGTGCCAGGCTTGATCTTATCCTGCTTTCGGTGCGGATGGAAAGGAAATTGCGGATGAATACTTCTTGACTCATCAATCGCTCGCTGTGAAGCGCGCAAGATACCGACAGATCCTAAATGCAGGTTCAAAGTGGCTTGCTCTTTTTCGGGAATTTCTTCAATAGTCTTCACGGGTGTTGCGTGGAATGGAAAATTGAGGTGCATCAGTTCCTTTCCATCTTTATCCTTCTTTCTTAGAATTGCAAAAACGGTGAAATCATCTAATGCCTCACAAGACAGATACACAACTGCTTTCGGAAGTCCGATCAGGCGACTCGCATTTTCGAAGGTGTAGCTGAATTCTGCAAAACTCTTGAAGTCTTCGGAGTTGTAGGATTTCGATGATTCTGTCGAGGGTTTGGTCGTAGCCAGCTTTCCACTAGTACCATCAAGGAACAATTTCCGATATTCAGTGGATGGAGCTGGGAAATCCTCGAGTACAATATCGTCAATTGCCTCTCTGTTGCCGAATTGGAGAGCCGACCATCGGACCTTCGGCGTACTCGTCTCCCAGTCATTCTTTTCTTCTCGTAGGTAGCGATCGAAGAATTTTCCTAACTCCACCATGGACTCTTTCTCGGAATATAGTTCATACCATTCCTGTTTGCTCCCCCACCATATCCACTTGTTATTATGAGGAATTTCGAGCCAGCCGCGTATTGAGCCCATCGTATGGATTCCACTGACATCGGAGCCTCGAATGAAAACTGGACATTGGATCTTTGTCATATCCACCCGCTTGTCTTCCCAGTAGATGTTTTGAGTGGGTGAACGGCGGTACATGGCGTCGAAATCTTCAAGACCAGCGTTTGGCTGACCTCGAACAATTGCCTTTGCGATAAGATCGAAATTGCTCATGAAGAACCAGCCACCTCGACAGAACTGTTCTCGATACATATCTCCCATTCCCTCCCAAGGAGCAATCGCTTTCAAGCTCGGTGGTCTTTGGGCTGCGATAAACCACTGTGCGATGGCCAGTGCTGAGTTACCAGCCATACCAACGTTACCATTACACCAGTCCATCTTTGCAACGGCCTCGACAACATCATAGCCGTCCTCTGCGTCCTGGGAGCCCATGACGCAGATTTGACCATCACTGTTGCCTGCTCCTCTGGTGTCAACACTGATTATCGCATAACCCTTGGGACACCAATCTGCAGGATCTAAGCCTTCGAATTTCTCTAGTCCGCTTAGGTCGCTCTTGGGTACACAGCAGTTCCAAACGCACATCGGCAGCATGTCCATGGCGCTATACTTTTTTCCATAGAAGGACCAACTAAGGACAGCGGGCACTTTTTCTGTTGAGTTTGCTGGCCGATATACGTCGATGTACAAACGTGCGCCATCGCGCACTCGAATCTCTACATCATGGTCGATCTGGATGTCGCTGGTGAGTGCTTTGCCGTCAAAAGGCCGAGTTCCAGCTTTGATGACTTCGCTTTTTCCTGGTTGAAAGCCTGCATAACCGTTTTCGCCAATCTTTGGCTCGGCAATGCGCTTGGTCGCGACCTGGACTGGATTGGGCATCTTGAAGCCTCTGTCCTAGCTAGTAATAGTTCTGACTGAAGTTGTACCGAAGGGCGGTATAATGTTCTAAAGTCTTCCGTGGCGTGACCTCCAAAACTCCAATAGTGTATCTGCCTAGGTAGCAACTCTTGAGTATCTTATGTATCGGAATGAGGTATGATCATTTACAGCACTAAACCACGTTAGTGCTTGTACCTTACAAGACCGGAACGACGTGGGCCGCGAGTATACATGAGTTTGATTCTGCTACTGACTGCCGAATGTTTATCATTGCGATGACTGAGCCCTACGGATCTCGCCCACGACCACTAGTATTGTCCAACCCATGAGATGTGAATCCTTCGGCACAATATTAGAGTTTACGGAGATTTGACCCCACGGGGAAAGGCCGAGTTTTGTTCGGCGACTTAGCGTCCGAGATTGATGGCTCGGTGTGCCTCGGATGCACCGAGAAGAAGCAGATGTGCTCCAGACCTGCCTTCGTCGTTGATCTCGGCCAACTAGCTCGGAGCTATGCAGGTCAACCCTTGATCTTGGTCGGACTTAGGCAGCCACCAGAACTCAAGTCCTGAGTACTAACTATTATAAGCCGCCTAATAGACCCCAGATTGTACAGTATTGGAGATCAATCAGAATCATTTGTTCAAAGTGACCAACAATACAGCACAAACCACTATTCCACACCCAAAATCTATCAACATGAGCACCACCACTCAAACAGAAGAGTCACAGACCCTCCGGTTCCAAGCTAAAGACCTTGTGGAATTCGATCCCAATCGTGTATATGGAGACTGGCGTGATGACTTCCACAAGGACGGTTGCGTACTGATCAAGAACGTCATTTCGAAAGAGCGCGCAGCCTACTATGCCCAGAAACAGATCGATTGGCTGAAGAAATTTGAGCTGGGTTTCGACGAGAATGATGAGAGCACGTGGACAGCTGACCATCTCCCAGTCAGCTTCAAAGGCGGGTAAGTAATCCATGTTCAAATCCTCTAAAGCCATCTTCACTAACATGGCAATAGCATGTACTTTGGCTACGGCTCTAACCATGAAAAGATGGCATGGGAAGCCCGTATGGAACCGAAAGTCGTTGAAATATTCGAAAAGCTCTGGGAAACCAACGAACTCATCAGCTCTTTTGATGGTATGAACATCAGCATGCCTCGCCGAAAAGATATCGGATGGTCACCTTGGCCTCATTGCGATCAGAACCCGGAACGCAAAGGAATGCAAGCTGTTCAAGGCCTGCTCAACTACGCCCCGAATGGGCCCAAAGACGGAGGCTTGATGCTCATGAGGGGTAGCGCAAAGCTATTCAATGAGTTCTTCGCGCAGAAGCGAGAAGGCTTCGACCATGAAGATGCACCACCTCCAGAGTTGAAATACATGGATTTGTTCCTATTCAGCCAGAAAGACGTCAAATGGTTTGAGGAACGGGGATGTGAGTTATTCAAAGTGAACATGGAGCCCGGTGACTTTGTGCTATGGGATTCACGAACCATGCATTACGCCGAGCATCCTCAGGGAGATCAGATCCGACACGTCCAGTACATCTGCATGACCCCAAGACGGTTCGCGGGTGAAGAGGATCTCAAGCTTAAGAAAGAATGCTTCGACAACTGGGTCGGAACTACACACTGGCCTCACTGGTAAGTTCCTAGCCCTGGGAATCCTATACATCAATTTACTGACTTAATCAAATAGCAACATCCGTCCTGCATCTGAACCTCCTATGAGAAATGGCAAAGTCTGCCCCAAGAATCGGAACGAACCATTCGAGAAGCCGGAAATTACAGATAAACTCCTACAACTTGCAGGTGTAAAGGCATACTAGTTCGTCGACTAGTGATGATATTGTTTTGATTATCTCTGGGCAATTTGCACAGCATCTTGGAGGCTTAGAAAAGGACACATTTGAGCGATATTTCAAATATGTATATGAATATATATTCCCAAGAGAATTCACATTGCTTGATATCAACGTTCCATACTAGATATTCTGCTCGGAAGACTTTCGTCTATTTTTTTGGCTAGATTTTCGCCATTCCATATCAGGTGACCATTAAAGCAAGGGTATTGATTGCTCTTGCCTAGTTCGTGCAGTTCCGTTGCCATGATTTGCGGTGGCGCATAAGGCGCAGGATAGTCTTGCGTTGTAAAGTTTTGATACGACTTTGGTTTAAATTCCGTGAGTTGAGTTAGGTAAGATGCCCCAGTACAACGAATTGAAGATGCCGGTAGGGTTAGTGAAACAAATTTTCAGGAGTTGCCTCGATGAAAGATCGGAAAACAATGTCTCGGAGTGTATATCAGTTTAAGTTGCACATCTTCTATATGGAAGTAACAGTAAATAGAGATCATAGAGATTTCTAATGTTGGGGAGACACATATCATGAATTTCGGGCAGTCTTGCTCCTGTATGGCTCTATCTCACTCCAATCATCATGACACACAATTCTAAACACGTACTGCAAGAACAAATAGCCTCTGTGACGCCAATTACTCAGGAGTTCACTCTCAATCTCTTCTTCAGCAATTTTTAAAAGATCTCATGGGTTTTACTCGCGACCCTTGTCCTTGGCATACTTACCAGTGTAGCTTCTGAGCTTCTTTCCAAAGATATAGATAAAGATACCGATGGCACCAAGACCTGCAGTCAGACCTCCAAAGGTGTTGAAAGCACCATCGTATCCGGATTTCTCAATGAATGGTGCGATTCCGTAGCTCACTCCAAATGACATGATACCACGGAAAGCACAGATGATGACGAGAAGAGGACCGGCCCGTGCTGGGTAGCTGTCAAGGAGATAGGTGATGGCCACAATGTTGGCTCCGATGAAACAGAAGAAGTATGCGGCAACCGCCCAGACATAGACAAACCAGTGATACTTGGTTGGGTTTTGCGCACCTTGACCGTAGAGGATGGCAGTGAAGACACCAACCACGATAGGGAGGACAAGAGGAATCAACCGAACTTCAGGCTCATGAATACCTTCATTTCTGCGTGCTCTCCATTGAATCAACTTGTCGGAGAATTGTCCGAGTAGAGGCAGGCCGATGAAGGCAACGATGATCTGACCGCAGTTGGCATAGGAAACCGAATCTTGTGGCCAGTTGTACGGAGGTGCATGGAGAATATTGCCGTAGGTGGTACCGATAGCGATGTTGACACCAAGGGTGAGACCGTTGAGCAATAGTGCCCAGAAGACAGCAGGGAAGAAGAGGAGTTGGAACATGTGGCGTAAGCATTGTGCTGCAGCGCTCCATTCTGGTGTGTCAACCCAAAGTCTCAGATCAGAACGGAAGGTACGTGGTGCAAAGTTCTCAAAGTCCAATTCGGGTCGGTGGGTGCATAAGGTAACTGATGGGGCTGGTGCTATTCCAGACTCGATATTGCTGTTTGGCACGGTAGACTCCTGGAAAGATGTGAGAGGTCGGTTGTACTTGGTCTCCGGAAGGAACAAAATGGCTGCAACCAACTGAACGCCGGCAAGAATGGCACCAAGTCCATACCACCAGCCAGGGGTGATCCTCCCGGCGATTGGACCAGCGAACAATACCCAGACGGCAGTCATGCTGGTTTGGACGAGCTGCTGTGCCATAAGGAAAGTACTTCTCTCGTGGACGAAGAAGATCTCCGAGGTAATCAACGGAACTAGGGCCTCACTTTGGCCAGCGGCAAGACCGAGGACCATGCGAGCCGCCAGATGCCATTCATAGTTTGTAGCACAAGCACAAAGCACTGCACTGACCACCAGAATGACTGTAGACCCAAGAAGTACGATGCGACGGCCAACGGCGAGGGCAATGGGCATTCCAATAATATTTCCGATTCCCATGAAGAGTGTTGGGTATGTCATCAAGTGAGTGATATTTGCGTAGCCATAGCCGAGGGCTGCATAGGTTGGGATGTAGAAGCCCAAGAGACCGCCGAAACCCGAAACAAGGGAGAGACCGAGACAAGAGACTGGGAGAATGTTATCAGTATCACAACTGGGAATTTGTTTTGTTGCTCAATGCGACTTACAGATTGAGATAATCACCAAGACTATCCACTTCTGCCAGATAGGCATGTTCAGAGGATCTTGAGGGTCGGCCGTAGGCGTGGGAATGTACACCACAACGCCATCAGTGAGCTTCACTGTGCCCATAGTATCAACTTTGGCCAGGCCATCGCGGCTCAGGGTGTGCTCCAGCTCAACATGGCTGGCCTTTGCCTTGTCTGGAATTATTTCAGTCATTTCGTTTAGATTCCTATCGCTCTTAGAGCTCTTGCTGGTATAGGTGTTTGAAGAGTGTGTTTTGTGATGTGGTCCATCGTTCCAGACGATGCTGGACAAGCGAACTTATAGATAATTTCTTTCGTATCACATCTTTCAAGGATCGAGACAGTATCGCGCTTCTTTCGGTCAAAGGTCCTAGCCCCGAATGCGGGGTTTGAGCTGCTCCTTGGGAAGCTTCGCCACGACGAAAAAGTTGGAATTACGAATCTAATGATTGGAGGGGGCATCGTGGCCCCGAGAGCTGGGGTCTCGCTCGCCGACGAATACAATCGGAGGATGTTTCCGGTGTGGAGGAGAAGACCCACGGCGACCCACGGCGACCCACGGCGACCCTCCTCCACAGGAGGAATCCGGGGGCCGATATGTATAGATGTCGGTGTTGGAGTTTCGGCTCTACCCGAAGAATGCCTCACCGAATTACGAGATCTCGGGCGTCCATGTATAGCTTCACGAGATGGTTACAGACCACGGTTGTTCTTGGTAGGCATGCCCACTGGAGTCTAGATCTTCTCTTTCATTGAGCAAGCTTTCAACTTTCCGGGTTCGCGCTCAGAAGGATCTATGTGGCCAATGGTTTCCAAATCTGCCTGGTCCTGCGCCTTGTATTCTGGCCGAAGACTGCCATAGCCTTCTCTGAGAGACGTTGGTCGCTTCGGGAAATCGTGGGGAGATAGTCTGATATGAATAAGGGTGCCCGAAGGCCCGAGATAAATGCAGCGTTGGATTGTAATTGGAGAGAGAAAATAGTTTGGAATTTTTTGCAATGCAATCGCTATGTATACAAAATTTTGATGCCATCATTCTCCGATATGATCAACCCATTTTGATCTCTGTTCAAGCTGAGGCCTGAATGTATGGAATACCAGTCAATCTGAACGCTCTCTCAGTGAGTACGGGATCCTCCACAGGTCTTGAGCGAGCCGCTGAGCATAGAACCCCACCCCTCATTGCAGTGTTTGATCCAACATGACGAGCATTGGGCCAGTGCGTTGTTCCGAGACGGTCTAAAAGCGGTCAGTTTAAATTAGAGCAAGTTTCCGGATGTACTCACTCTCGAAAGCATCCTTCTTTCTAATCAAATCTTCTTGCGTAGCGCTCTTCACGGGCATAAAGCAAGTATACACGGCAAATCTGTCCTGTGTAGTTTTCGTCGGGACGTTGTAGTGAGGAATTCTACTGTCCCAAACGATAAGATCACCAGGGTCGGCGCAGACCTTGACCCATTCAAGGCCTTTGTCGTTGAGCCACTTCATGCCGTTTTCAGTGAAACCGTACCACTCAGGAGTCCAAGCAGGAATTCTTTCTTCGTCTTTCATGGCCTCGTGGAATTCTTCCGAAAGGCGATGGCCACCCCGACATACAATAAGACCACCATCATCTGGACCACAGGGGTTCAAATTGACGAGTCCCTGTAGGCATCTGAAACCAGGCTTTGCCGGGTCCTGATCTTGGTGAGGCCATGGCTTATTCTCTGGGAGGTCTTCTCGGTTCGCAAATCCAACATTTACAACATCGAATGATACGATCAGATCGGTATCATCATACACCCTCTCGAATGCTTCCACAACACCGGGCTCACTTCGGATATCCCAAACCCATTTTTCGTGAGTGACACCGTAATGAAGAATCATGCCCTTCTCGTTGACAACCGGTAACTTCGCTTGTTTAACGGTCGAAGGATCCTTGCGGGAATATCCAAGGCCACTGTCATACTCAGTTGAGTGCCTGATAAATATTAAGTGACACTTACAAGTCTTCGATGTAACTGTAGAACTTATCCGAATAGCCATCAGCTCGTACTCTGGGAATGGCACCCTTGATAACTGCATAGCCATCTCGATTGAGGTCATCTCGCCAGTCGCCGTAGTTGGTTGCTACTCCATCCAGCTTCATAGGACCAGATGATTTGGCCAATGCGGCTGTGGACTCGGCGTGAGATGTTGTCGTTGTAGTGGTCATATTTGCAATGGTAATCGGTGGTTTTGGTGTAAAGATTCCTCGACTTCTGATCAAAGGCTGGGAGAGAAGTGCCGAACTTTTCGCCAGTTGCGTTTATGTTCGAGGGAAAGTTTGTTCTTGGATCAAATGGTGACTCCTCTACATAAAAGTATCTTGTCAAAAAAATAACAACGGAAATAGCGGAACACGATCAGTCCGAGTGACGGTCGTGTCGAAAATTAACCTCCGAGCATATGATGGTCGTTGATGGTGACTTCCCCAGATTACTTACGAGTCACATAGAGAGTCTGGCCAATGACGGGACCGAAGAATGAGCTCGGTCAGGTTCGGTTTGCCCCGAAGCTCTCGAGTAAACCTCGGCATTGATCCGACCGACAAGCCGGCTTCACAAGTATCCCGAAAACCTGGAGAGTCCACATGGCTAGCGTGAATCTTTGTATGTGGCAGGGGCCCATGGAGCTGCTGATGGCTAAACACCTCAGATCATGTGGTCGTTTTATGGAGGAAAACATGGAGCATTGCAACCTATCTATTTGCATCCAAGGAGGCTGAAGAGCAGGATAGCCAGAACAAGATGTCAACAGCGTTCAAGATAATCGTAGTTGGTGGTGGTATTGCAGGGTTGTCGGCGGTAAGATCTCAAATTCCCAGATTCGTACAACCTGACTTACTGCGTTTAGGCAATCGCACTACGTCAAGATCACCGCGAAATCACTGTGCTGGAGCAGTCTTCCTTGAATCGCGAGATCGGGGCAACTATTTCGTTGCAACCCAATGCTTCAAAAATTGTTGAGAAACAATGGGGACTGAAAGGTCTTCTGGAGGCCAAAGGATCCATGGTCGATCGTGGATTCCAAATCTACAATCTTGATGGGCAACTCCAAATGCGGCAGCCATTGAATACGACAGCCAAATATGGCTATGAACGCATCTGCTACCACAGGATTGATTTGCATGATGCGCTCAAAGCTCGCTGTCGAGATACACAATTCCCTGGTCGACCAGTTGACGTTCGGGTTTCCAGCAAAGTTGTGGCATGCAACACTGAGACCGGGACAGTAACACTTGAGAGTGGTGATAAGCTGTCGGCTGATTTGATTGTCGTTGCGGATGGTATCAAGAGCGTGGCGAGGGAAGCTATTCTAGGCAACTCAGTTGATCCCTTACCCACTGGACATTCTGCTTACCGAATTGTACTTCCGATGGAGGAATTATCGAGTTCTAAGGCTTTCACCGACGTTCTGGATCCAAGGGAAGCATTCACAACGATGGTAATAGGCCACAACAAACGACTAATAATGGGTCCTGCAAGAAATTCCAGCATATACAGCATCGTGGCCATGGTTCCAGATGAAAGAATGCACGAATCATCAGTAAACTCATCATGGAACACAAAGGCAGACCTCCCCAAAATGCTTGCGACTTTCAAAGACTTCCCAGCATGGGCGAAAGTCCCTCTAGAGCTTGCGAAAGAAGCAGGGCTGTGGCAACTGCGAGACATTGATCCACTTCCAACGTGGTACAAGGGTCGTGCAATACTCATTGGGGATGCTGCGCACGCGATGTTGCCTACCCAAGGTCAAGGTGCGAGCCAAAGCGTTGAGGATGCAGAGGCACTTGGGGCATATTTTGCCGATGTTCATGGTCAACAATCAGTCGAACAAATTGAAACAATCAACAAGCGTGTCTTTGACTGCAGGTACGAGAGAGCCACGCTCGTGCAGAGATTCAGCAGACAGACGGCCAAGCCTGCGACCGAGCTGGGCAGCAATACGATCAAAATGAACCCCAATGAATTCATGCACTACAACTTCGACTATGACGGTGCGTTGGATTGGGTGAAAAGACGGAACTCACAGAGTCAAGGGGGTTCGGAAGTCAGGGAGGCTCGTCCCAGCAATACTGTCAAGCAGTCTTTACATACTCCAACGGTCGGACCTCAGCCCTTGACGGTATCGTGACAATGGTATAGAAAATGGAGAAGACGATGATGTAAATCACCCCAATTCAGATTTTTAGGCTGACAACAATTCCTTTCTTTCTTACGTATGCTTGAAATGGAGCTTCTTGACCCTGAATGCTGTCATTGTGAAATTGAGGTCTCTACAAATACTAGGTAGCACTGTTGCTTCAGCACGAAAACAAATAACAGTAAATATATACCTTTTCACGAGCAGGAATAGCTTGAAAGCGGCAGATACCATGTGACCATAGATTTGATGGTATTGCTAGAGCTCGGGAGAATCTTCGAAATCATTTGTGGAAATCTTCTTGGTGAGGCTAAATGTTACACTTTTACTGCACGGATCTCATGATTCTCCAGACAAGCTAATACCCTACCAGCTAATATAAACAACTCCGCAGTAACATCCTCTCACTGTCTACACAGTAGATTGCTCAGACTGAGCGACTTCATCAACAGGCTCCTCATGGTCCTCGTTAGATCGGTTAATCAGGCAAAGTTGTGCCAATGCAAGCACAGCGACTAGAGCACTGGTCCACCATGCCCCTGCCGAACCAAGCCAGCTATAAACAATACCGATCAGCGGGGGTGCTATCATTCTTGTTGTTGAACTCGCTGAGACCGCCAGTCCATTAATCCTACCCAGCTTCCGTCGAGGTGTTGCATTTTTCAACATGATGAGCAGGCTTGGATAAATGATGATGTTGCAGAACGCCTGTAATGCGAACACAAAGTAGACCGCCAGTTCTGGTCGTGGCCAGACAGTGATGAGCGACATGAGAATGTCCACAAATGGACAGACAAATGTCAAGCACAGAATTGTTCGCCATAGACCCATCTTTTGCATGAAAACTGGTAGAATCAGGAGTTGAACGACCAAGGACCAAAGACTATTTGTCGTCATGTATCGGCCGGTATCATGAACAGTAAGTCCCAGACCACCTTTCAGGTCCACACCGTATAATTTCTGAGGAATGTCGAGGATGAATATTGGGAACACAGACATGAACGCCATTTGATGAAAACTCATGAGAGCAATAGCAATAACCCATAACATTGGAGCACCAGTCACTACGTCGGAGATCGTCGAGGCATCAGATTGGGTTGCTTGGTCGTCCTCGATACAATCCTCGATTATGATGATCTCGGCTTTGTTAGTGAAAGACACGATGGAACCAGCGAAGGAGGGTCGTCGGACATCAAAATTCGGCTCAGTCAATGTTGGTAGGCTTGCTGAGGCATACGACGGTCGCCTGCCACGCTCTTTTGTCTTGGGTGTGAACAGTGGGGTTCGTTCGTCGGCAATCGACTGTTCAGTCTCGCGCTCTGCCCCTAGACCTTGGATCTTTCCTGGATTGGTCTCTTCCAGGAAGAGTGCTGCTTGCAAGATCGCAACAAAGATACATGCAGCCGCGATCAAATTGGGCAGTAGATAAGGAAATTTGCCAAAAATCCCAGTAGCAGCGAAATATTCGGGATAAAAGCGAGCTGGCTGTGCAGCATATCCTCCCAAGGCAGATCCAACTATTGAGCCAAGGCTCCAGGCAAAAGGTTGAATTGAGTATGCGCGGGCTATTCATGAGGTTAGCTGGAGTGCGTTGGAATGTCGGTCTCGAAAGATACTCACGCTCGTGTCGAGGGTCCTTTACTATCTCCGCAACCATGGTTTGGAGAACAGCGACATTACCGTTCAAAAAGCCACCAAGAAATCGCGCGAGTAGAGCAACCCAGTAATTTGTAGCAAACCCAAATATCAAGCTGGAGATTATAGTACCAGTTAATCCCATAATGATGACGGGTTTTCTTCCAATCCGATCAGACAAGGCACCCCACATCACTGCTGTTGTGGCCTCGGCCATGGCGAAAGCACTAACTAGCAGACCAGCATAAAATGATGCGTTGTTCGAGCCTCTGATGTCCTTCACCATTGCAAAGTTGTAAGAAACGATCGAGATAAATGCTATGGGTTCCGACAGACGGCACAGGCCTGCAATGATTAGCTGTCATGTTGTACCAAATGAATATCTCCAACTTTATCTCACCAAGTATGAGTAGTTGCTTAGCTGGAAATGGATGGTTCTTCCCTGCATCTTGTCGAACTTGGCTGGCTGCCATTTTGTATTTCTTGAGGGGGTTTTGGAGATGTACAAGGGAGCAGGATGGCACCAATTGGTCCTGAAGAGTGAGGTGCTCTCAGCTCTGATAACTTGAAGATGGCTCAATACTTGAGAAGACTGCTTCGTCTCGTGTCAGTGTCAGTGACTTGACCGTTGTTGAAGCACTCCATCTTCATCGCCTCTGCGTTGCTTCAATGGTTTATATACTCGGTGGCTTTGTATTTTGGAGTCCAGACCAGCCTCGGGCACGGTAAAGTCTTTTCAAAGCCATGGGCTCTGATTCGCAGGAGAGCTGGGCTTTTACCTCAACCTAAATCTTACCCCAGAGCGGCCGACGGCGATGGGTCGGATGTCATGCATTTTGCCACTGGACGCTCCTTATGCGTCCGAATCATGACACCCGACAAGTGATGAATTATTACTGTTGGTCTCGGTGGATGTAGCCCTTATTACAGAAATATTTCCAATATACCTTTCGGCGGTCGGCAAGCTGAATTGGCTGTCCGAATGTTGGTCAAGTCTTCGTATATGTAAATGTCAATGCAGAGTGCTCTGCACCGCTTAGTTGTTTAATAGTTAACTAGTTAGTTCGGTATTTAAGTAGTTAGCAAAGACTCATCCCCTCCCCACTTAAAATAAGAAGGCACCGACGGGGCTCTTTCCAGCCCCCGAGCGACGACTTGAGCAGCATCAGACCGAGATCTATGTCACCTCACACCACCCCACCCAGCTCATCAGACCAATTTAATCACCCTGTAATACCTTCAGTTTTCTTACAATAAGAGGTCGATTAATCTGCGGCAACTTCGACTTCAACAGCAAATCCTTCGAACCATGTTATTCTCGGACTCCTGTATGTCTTGAATGTACGTCTCACCCACTGAATGCTCGATTGAGACAGTGATGCCTTTCCAGTACTCAAAGGAGAAAGACCCACCCAACATTCATAATATGTTGATTTCGCCATCAATATACTCCATGAAGCCCGTTCATTCCTTTGGAAGCGTCTAGTGAAGTTTTCTGTCATGATTTTCCTCGAGGCCAAGCATGCTTTGAATTTGGGACACCCCGAGTGGTCCCGACTCAAGTTGCCGGGGGGAGCTGCCATCTGGAAATGTGGGAGAAATGAGGGGCGAGGAGGGCGTCCCCCGCCTAAAGAGTTCAACGTGGTTAGCCGTTCAGCCACCATACAGGCTTCGATGCACACCTGGGCATCAGCCACCGAAATTGCCGACAGACCTCAAGCTTGAACTTCTTCCACGGCAGCGACCACGGGTAAGCTTGACCCTCAATATCTTTCCCAGTCAAAAGTCGCTCGCGCAAGTTTCACCGAAACTGCTCAGAAGTTTAGCTTCTATACAGTAACCCATTCACGTGTGTACGGTGAACGAACGATATCAGAGCCAAAAGGGAAAGGAAAAAGGTTCTGTCGGTCGACTCAAACCCCATATACGATCATGGAGGCCCCTCCAGCGAAGCGACCGCGGTTGTCGATGGCGTGCAACCAGTGTCGTCGCAGAAAGGTCAAATGCGATGCAGAGTATCCCAAATGTCGGCATTGCCGGCAACGTAAGGATGAGTGCATCACAACTGATCCACGACGGCCTGGCATATCGATGATGAGGGAATGGCTAGATCTCCAGTCTCACACGCGCAACAACACTGCTTCTACCATTTTACCTCGGGAGGATGAACAGTCTTCCGACTTGCTGAGTCCCCATGATACAACCACGCAATCTATCAATGAAAGCTTGGGCAAGCAAAGTGAAGTGCCCGTGATATCTCCAGTACATCAGCCTCATGAGATGTCGTTCAATATCGACACCGCTACAAATAGGATCAAGATGCTGGGCGCCAGTAGCTCGCAGTGTCTTTCCAAGTCCTTGGATATGTACTTCAAATCCGCAAACTCTAAGCCACTCTCGAGTATCTTCAGCCATGGCATGCGACACGTTGAGGAGTTACAACTTGGTGCTGTTCTTGGCTGGCCGTCGCTACCGGACCCCGCTACCTGTACAGCACGCATGGATGTCTTTTTCGCCCGTATCCACGTGCTTTATCCCATTTTCGACATTGACTTTTTCAAAGCGAATGTTATCAAATTTGCATCAATCTCCAGTCTTGAAAGTTTACCACGAGAACAGATTCCGCTGTTGGTGTCTGCGTATCTCGTGATGAGCTTGGCGGCTGATGAGATTGCCCAACGGCGTACTCCAGAAGGAGACAAATACTTGGAGGCGGCAGCAGGTTTGGTTGGTCACGTGATTTTTATGCCATACCTTGCATCCGTGCAGTGTTTGCTCTTGTTTACCTTGGTTTGCAGAGGACGAAATCAAGACGGTGTCGGGTGGCAGACCCTCGGAATGGCCGTGAGAATTGCTCAGACATTGGGGCTTCACAGGCACTCGGCAGTACAACCTTCAACCCAGCATGGTGTGCAAAAGAAGGTCGAACAGCTTTTCCACGCTCGGATCTGGGCTATTGGCTGTTGCTTGGAGAAAACCATGCAATTGGAATCTGGAAGGCCGTCAATGATTGCTGCTGTGGATCGAGATCAGATGATGGGACGTGATCAGCGACCACCAGGCCCTGATTTCCTTCAATGGCTAATGGGACTGGCGCAATATCAAGAGCGTATCATAAAACACATCTATGGACACAAACCTGGTCAAAGAACGGCTCGCACGGTATTACTTGACACGGCCGAGCTAGATGGTCTATTGTTGGCCTGGGCTAATGAGATACCGGCGCAATATCGCCCAGGCGCTCAGCTATTCTGTTCGACACATGAATATCATTTTGCAGCATTCATGTCGGTCCAATACTATCAGGCCATGATAGCACTTCATCGAGCAGGACTTATTGCACCAAATGCGGTTTATGAAGCGGAGATTGCAACGCACTGCTCGGGAGATCCTTCAGAGTTTAGGTTACGGAAAGGAGAATATATCTGTATCCACAGTGCTCGAGAGATTGCTACGTTGACACTCGAGCTTGCCGACCGTAAGACCGGTTCTCGCATTCTCAACGCAGGGCCCCCTTTATTAGCTTGCATCGTCATCGCAATATATCTCATGAAAAATCCGAACAACAGGTTACGAACAGCAGATCTCGAAGTAAGTACTCCACCATAGCTCTCATGGTCACGGCAAACAGCTCATCTCCTGCAGCTTCTTAAGGAATGTGCAAACTATACATCAGATCATTTTTTGGACTCTGGCCATGACCCAAGATTTGCGAGCGGTACGTTATCCAAGTCTCAATTCTGTCAACGAACTCTCACAACTCACACGTGGTTAGGGGTTATCACGATCTACGAACAAGTGAAAACACATTTTGACACCATTGGTACTAAGAATCGCAGATTTAATGGCAAGCCAACACGTGCAGTTGTCGATAAGATCAATGGATTTGCTTCACAGCGAGAGGCGCAATCAGAAATCAATGTCGTCCCCACTTTGACATCTCAGGACTCAACAGATCAAGTTGACGGTCAACCTGCCTTTGCCAATACCAACGGAGGTCTTCACTCAAACGACCAAGAGGCTCTCGCTTTCGACTATGGTCTAGATGGTAACAATTCAAGCAATAACGGGGATCTCTCTAATGGAGCTGCACTGTTTCCGTTCGATGGGCTCAATGTCGAAGATTTATGGAACTGGATGCTTGTCACTGATGCAATGGAGCCGACAGATGAAGGAGATTGGATGGGAACCGGAGTGATCCAAGAAGGTTCCGATCCACTGCAGTACACTTGAGGTAGCACGATCAAGTTCCCACTATACTTCACGCCCCAACCAAAAAGACTAAATCAACTCAAATAGCGAAGGTCAGCTGAACAGTGTCCAGTATCGCAGCGATAAAATGCTAGCTCATACCCAAAGGCTATTGACCAGCATCAAACCCAAAGCAATCGACGTGCTTGCACATGGAGGACTTGATATAATGCTCTTTCGGCTCCAATTCGTCTTCCAAGAAGCCTCTCGAAGAGCACCTTAAACCCATGATTGGAAATCACCAGTCATAGACTCCGTCTTTGTGGACAAATTTTCCAACGTCCCCATCTCTCTCACCCTGGATAATGCTCAAGATTGACTCTCCAGAAACCCGTGGATCTCCCGCAAGTCCACCAGGATTCATCATCTCTTCATTCTCGCCACGAAGCTTTGAGACAACGAAGCCAGGACAAAACGGGAATACTTTCAATCCCTTGTCTTTGTAGGTTTTGTATTCATACACTGCCAACATGTTCAAGGATGCTTTGCTGGATCTGTAGGCATCTGCATTGGGAGGCTCTGGATAGTTTGTCGGTTTCGCCGTCTTCGAAATGGATCCGGCCCCGCTACTGACATATATCGAGTATGGGTTTTGAGATTTCAGCAACAGTGGTCGGAAAGCTTCAGTGACCAAGACTGGACCAAGGATATTGGTCTGGAAGACTGCCTCAAATCGAGTTCTCGGATTGTTGTCAATGTTTCCAACAGCTGCATTGTTGATCAATACATCCAGCTGGCCGAACTCCGTCTCAACTTGTCGCAAAGCTTTCTCAATCGATGCCTCCCGGGTGACATCCAGTTCCAGTGTTGTCAATTGACCTTTCAAGCCACCAGCAGCCTCGATGTCCGCTTTGGCTGTCTTGAGCTTCTCCAATGACCGGCCAGCCATAAGAACATGGAAATCCTTCGATGCTTGTGCTAAGACTTGGGAAGTAGCATATCCAACCCCGGAGTTCGCACCTTTGATCACCTCATCAGTAGACGACCATCAAGCTTGATATATTATGTAGACCGACCTGTGATCAAGACAATCCGGGAAGACATAGTGGACATCAAATGCAATGAAAAGTCACTCACAATACTCTACCAAGATAATGGGTTTCTGAGATTGATAGCGAAGTCACAGCCGGTCTGGGGGAACCTCCCTTCTTAAATACAGCATTTCCTCTTCATCACCCAACATGCTCGTCACTGTATCTCCGTCGCAATTCCCATTGTTCAAAGATGTTGTAGTTTCGACTTGAGTGTTCTGAGAAGAACTCGACGAGACAAGCACGTGTTCTTGCAAAATAGAACGTCTATGCCAAACCGCATCGGGAGTAATTGGGCGAAAAGTGACGTCGAATGTTGGTGACGGAGATAACTGACACTTTCTCCGTTGAACCCTTCAAACCATGATCAGGCGGGCGGCTTGTTTAGTCACCGACAGTCTCTTTTCACACTTCGAATCTAGAAATTCATTTGTCGCAAGAGGGTCCTAGCAACCGGTACTCACAGTCCATCGCCCAACATGACTATTGTGGGTATCATAGGGTGCCAAACATGCAAGCTCAGAAGAGTCAAGGTGAGCAGGGCGTCAATCATCTAGGGCCAACTCCCCCTGTACTGACCTCCAATTCCTAGTGTGACGGAACTCAGCCAACATGTGGACAATGCCGAAAGTCTAAGCGAGTATGTCTGCAAGGTGGCTCTCGACAGCCGTCATTTTCGATTCATAACGAAAATCGATATGCCAGTGGCCAGACTAAGAGACCTAGGGGTCCACGCTCCGCCCTAAGCCTCGTCACTCCAGGAATCAACAATAGTCCTATGCTTCTACATCCGCGTTATGACCTAGAAACACGGGCCCTGGCCTATTATCTTCACTTTCAACTACAGACGCTTACGAACGTCTCCAGCGTTTGCAATGGTCTAGCTGATTGCGTGGCTGTTTGGGCCTCTGGATCCAATTGCCATATGGTTGAGCTTGGTATCACTACACTAGCGCTTAGCACCTTCGCCAACGTACACCAAGACTCTCCAGCCTCGAAAATAGCTTCTAGGAAGTACGAAAAGCTACTTGGTATTGTGCGACAAAAGGTGCAGACGCTAGATGAGACAAATGTCGACTCCTGTCTTTTGGCAATTTTCACCATGGCCCGATATGAAGCTACAACGTACTTTGATGTACATGGTGCTGTATCAAGTTGCAAAAGCCTTTTACATCATGATGGCTCAAAGGCGGTTTTGAAGCTTTGGAAAGAAGGCCTGAGTCACAAAATGGCAGCCACAGAAGTGATTAAGCATAGTAGGCGGGGAGTGATCAGGTCTGCACTTATCAGAGGGACTTTTATACCCGAGTGGCTTCAGAATGGGCATGATTTTGGTGAGCGTGGCCGAGAGCTTGCGTTTGACTACATCATGGTCCAGCTACTCAATCTTCGATACGAGGTTCGAGCCTTGAGTGTCAAGGCAGGAAAAGCGAATGGCCAAAGTTCGGGCAAGGTCGCAGAGAGGGCATTGGAGCTGTTCGATAAGCTACACGACATTGATAGCTCATTGCAGGACTGGAAAGCCCATTTCCCGCGTGGCTGGGCCTACCGGTCTGCTCATTCCAATCTTCAGCTTGTCGGTTCCGGTTCAGAAAACACCCCATGGACCATTTACAGCTACTCGAGCCCGTTGCATGCCTGGACCTGGAATCAATATATCACTACGTGTATGCTAATCGATAATACACGTATCAAAATTCTGGAAATCTGTAAAGACTCCACGTCGGACGGGTACTCTTGGAAGGAGCAACTGACACAATGCGTTTCTCGTATTCACACTATGAGTGATCAGCTGGCTGCCAACATTCCCTACTGTTTGCAAAGATTCAAGCCAACTCACGGACAATCCGAGGAAGCAGAGGGCCCGGATCATATCTGGTACAGCCCAGACAGAAAGATCAAGCCATACGCTGCAAATCAATTAATATGGCCAATAGGAATAGCTGCAGGCATCAGCAACATGGATCCTAAGCAGCGACAATGGTTCAGATCCATGCTTTCGGCGCTTGGCAAGATAACAGGGCATGGCGTTATTGCCTCCGCTGACACAAATAATTGGCTTCAGCTCTAAATAATAACTCATTCTTCAACGGTAGCTGGTGATGGTTGGTCCTCAGCCGTACCATGAACACAAGGTGCTGGAACCACCCGTCTACAACAAAAAGGTCAGGCCCTCGTCTCCTGGGACCTTCCCATGGGCCAGACGATCCCAACTACCCTCAATACCTTCCTTTCCACGCAGACCCTCCCGCACACCGAGCCGCACACCAAGTACAACACCTTTTCCATCGACCAACTCGCCTTCCAGAAACCGGTCAAATGCAGCATCTTGCTCGACGAAGAACTTGGCTTCTCCAATTGCAGCCATGGCCTCCTCCCTGATCCCAGATGCATTGCACTGAATAGCACCTAATCGTGATGTCGTTGCCCGCCGCTCGAGTAGCTGCTCCGGAGTGTACACCTTGGACTCTCCTCCCACAACCAATACCTCCACATTTACCCCTGCTGTATTCGCTCGGAGCTTAGTGGTCAAAGGCTCACAAACGCCAGCGCGGCCCGAAAAGTCGATGACGACAATTCTGTCGATTGGCAGACCAAACATCCATTCTGATAATGCTTCGTCCTGCAGGTCTGCATATTGGGCGGCTTTGATTGGGAAGACACTTTGCAGGCGGACGAACGGGCTGGACTCGGGGGTGGTAGACGAAATCTCAAGGACGGCAATGGGTCCGCTTGAAGGTGCTCGATTCGTCGCGAGCTGGTGGATGAAGCTGCGACCGGTCTTCGTCCCGGCACCAAGACAAATCATTAATGTCTTGCTTAGGTCGCCATCCTGTACTGTCCAGGGATGACCGATCCCGGGATGTAGCACAGGATCGCCAGGAAGAGACGCAAAACCAAAGCGATTGAATGTATAGGCGGATTTCCACGGTGGCAGCAACATCGATTTCCACGCCGCTGAAGAGTTCTCGGCCTTGACACTCTCGAGCGTATCTGGCACCGCGATGTATCGCTGATACAGCGGCATGACCTTGTTTCTATGTTCACTGACTTCGATGAAATGCTCGGCGATCTGCGAAGACTGTCTGAGTAGCAAGTCGACAGGGAATGTGGAGATCGGGAAGAACCCCCATAGCATGGACCCCTTCTTCAATGCTGGGACAGTACTTTCGAGAATCGTCGCATAGCCCCAGCCTGGTGAAATGCCGTATTGACTACGGTCGTTATATGGTGCTTCGACGTATTTCGGAACAGGGAACGTGTCCCACCAGTGCAGGGCGGTGCCCGCGGCACAGTAAGCAAGGTTATTGGACGATAATCCGATCAGGGTCGATTGGATTCTGACACTTGAATCACTGAGTGGACCAAGTTGGTCGACAGGAGGTGTTGTGAAGAATTGTCGATCGTAGTGCGTCTTGTCGACGACTCGCAGTGTTGGTGGCTGGGTCGACATTGTGAGTGGAATATATATTGATTTCTGGAGCTTAGTCTCGTAATGCCACAATGGTTCGCATTCGTGGTTGCTGTTGTATTAAGGGTCATATATAACTGCGTTCAAAGCGTATAAAGCCTGTGGGTGGCCTTGGTATTGGTTACGTCCGTAGGTGTCTAGGTATCTATGTTCTCTGGGGATCGCTATGGGGTTTTCATAAGCCAGCATAAGCCAGTGAATGATCGACGTTCACTAGAACCAGGGTCCTCGGCTATCGCGACATATAGAGCCGATTCACCGAGTCTCAACCACCTGGCTTAGTAAGGCCTGACCACAGTTCTTTGCAGTAACTACGGTGCTGGTTCCGCTATACGAGATGCATACTTGATAAAGCTTCTGGCAAAGTGATTGAAGACACGATCCTAGAAATCCCAGTCTTGAATACCTTCACTGGTGTATTGTCCCACTAGTACAGTTCACGAAACCTGCGCTTAGCGATCTGAGAGCTTCTCCTATACTAAGGCTCGATTCTAGGTCCAAACATCAGTGTTTGAGAAGATCCTTGGGCTCGATATCTAGGCAACTTTGGTTTCGATCACTTGTGTCTCTGAAACAACCACATCAACCTCCGCCTCCTTATCCTCGAGAAGTTTTTGAGTACGTTTGTCAAGCTGTCTCATGTTAATACTCTGAAATGCTCAAGTCAAGGTAAGGCTTACCCAATTGACCCAGTACAATATGGTCCAAAATCCAAGCACTGCAACCATGAGGGTAATGGCACCTTTCTTCCAATATGGTGCGTCGGATGCGGGATAAAGTACGATACCCCAAAACGTGTAAAGAAGAAGACCACCGGTGCTCATGGTGTAGAGGGTGACAGCGCGTGCTGCCTCGTCGCCATTTCTTCGAGTGATGACACCACCCCAGCCGTACAGAAGTGGGTTGACGACAAAAGACGTTCCGCTGAGATACATGGCGAAGAAGGTTCCGGCATCCGGGAGCGAGGGGACGACCAACATCGCTCCAGACAACATTTGTAAGAGGCCAGAGACGATCCCGACCACGACGTAATTCTTCGTTCTGTCCACGTATGCCCCCGCAACAATCATGGACACGATTGCAACAGCCTGAATGCCAAGAGGGTATGTGTTTACCGCTGCCTTTGAATATTTGTCTTGATAATGTCTCATCCAGAGCAGAAAACAACCCTGCGATTGTTAGTGATTCTCCGAAGCATAAAGGGGGCGCTCCCTTGGATGACTTGCCTGGAAAGCGAACACCTCGGTCATGGCGGAAAATATCGAAAATGCGGTCAAGATATATCTGAGTAATTGTAAGCAGCTGCATCAGCTCCTCGAATGGAACCGTGTACGTACATGTTTGGAGTCTTTAAGACTCGTTTAGCTAACGACCTGGGGTTGATCTTTTTACTGTCTCGAGCGACAGGTGGCATACGGCTGATTGCAAGTTCGATCTCTTCTTTCGAAAGGTAAGGCATTTTGGTTGATTTAGGCGTGTTTGGCAGGAAGAGCTGTTGAGACAAGATGTGAGTTTAAGATCGACTTTCCCAGATCAAAACTTGGAACATACCAAGCCAAAGATACCCACAGGGACTCCCATGAGACCATCTGCATTTGAGTTAGGGAAAACTGCAAGATAGGAAGCACTGCAATGCTAGCTTGCTCCTTACCCACGATAAAAACCCAACGCCAGCCTTCCATGCCTCTATGTCCGTCCATTGAGGTTCGCATAGCCGTCATCATGATACCAGCGAACATTGAACCCACTTGTCCAACCGAAGTGAATATGGACGTTCGGACGGAGATCTCGTCGGCTTTACTGCAACAAGAAACGATCAGCATCCAGTACCTTCTCATTCGAGCAAGCATGGAACATACTACCAGGATCCAACGATAAAAATGGCGCCGCAATAGAGACTCCCTTCGAACCACCCCTGCAGGAAGCGAACCGTGGCGATCTGGGCAAAGTTGTGACAGCCAGCACAGGCCATGGTAAGACCAGACCAGACAAGAACAGTTGTTGGAATCCAGATTCGCGGCTGTACTTTCTGGAGTATCAGAGCATGGGGAATATTTCCAGTGAGCAGTCTGAATTTCGAGGTAAGTGGCAGGCATATTTCGAGCATACAATGGGCCTTACCCTGCTGTGAAGATGGAAAGCAGGGAGCTGTAGTCATTCTGCTTCAGATTGAGACTTTCCTTCATCCCAGCCACCTTTGGACAGTTGTTAGTAAAGTTGTAGGTGAATTGACAGTAATGGACGCACGTAGGCATTGGCAAGAGCATTTCTATCAAGGTAGTTGAGGAAATAGCAGAGGCAGCAATATGCCTAAGAGATCTCCTGTCAGTCTAGCGTATTCTTATGACGGTGAGGCTACCCACAACAATGAAGAAGTCTAAATCAGTCAGCAAAAGGCATTGAATCATATGTGCATTGACGTGTATGCTTACCCAACTTTCGTATCAACCTCTTCTCGAGGGCCGAGTCATTCTGACCCATGATGGCTTTCGGTGGAGCGCGAAATCGAGATCGTTTTCTCCAAAAGCCCGAGTGATCACCACCAAAGAGTAGAAACAGTGAGAGAGCACTGGCTGGTGAGGTAAGTTGATGATCGTCACTGCACAGGCATAGGGGACGAGCGGGTGAATTTAATCAGATTGAGATTATCATATCTGATTAAGGGAAAAAAATAAAAAATTGCGCAAACTCAATCTTATCCTATCTTCCGCGGAGGTTAAGGTTCATTTGCCCATGGGCGGATGTGAGGGCATCTTGGAGGCATTGCGGATAACAGCCAAGGCGTTTGAATTGTCCAAAAAGTCAACGCATGGTTTGGCCGAAGCCTCGCTAACAGGACCTATATGCTCAGGTAGGCAACCGTAGGTGATGATAGCTTGGTCAAGGATTTCACCTTGCCAGTATGGGTAGTGAAAATCTGGGTGAACAAGACAAAAGTGGACCAGAGGTTGCCAACATACGTCGGCTATAATGGTCTCCATACTATCTTCGAGGATTCTTTTGTCCGAAAATTGAAGAGAGAGGGTCTGACTGGAGACTCGTGGAAGGTTAATACGACCGACATGCAGGTTTGCCGACATCGCTGGGAAGGTATACGGCCTGGAACAGTTCGCCAAGGCTATGATCGGACGAAGTAGCCCTTGGCATATCCTACCTTGACCGGCCCGGTGTGTGTTTGTCAGATGATTTTGATATCAGGTACCCAGGTATAGGTATATGTGCATTGGGCTGCCATCATGGCCTTCTCCGCGACAGTACGTCTCGCAAATCAGAAGACGGTGCGATGATCAATGCTGGGAATGAGAGGAGGTCATCACTCTGGCATGTCATGGAATCATGGTATTGAGGTCAGTGACAAGATAGGTGCTTTAGCCAAAGACTTGACCGACGATTTGAGGTCAGTCTCTGTAGGATAGTGTCTAGGAAGTTGAGATGAGTGGTTCAACAGAGCGGTATGCTCAACCTTCGAGTAAGTTTCCAGAGGTGGTGGTGGTCTTTCTCATTTTGTATGCCAAGACTTTAGTCTAGCCCCTGAATCCCGAACAGTCAACGCCGTGGAAAGACGAAACAGCTGTATTTTCATAGGGCTTCTCAGTTCAAGGTCAGCTGATATGATTAGATATGTTTAGATACCCATCATTTCCACCCGCATCTTCCTCGTTTCCCCCCTCCCCTCACGCGTCTCAGACTCGACGCGTTCTCGCCGTGCAGTTGTAAGAGGCAACCTTGAACCATCGACGACGAGCATCAGAAATCGACCACTTTGATGGCCTGAAATCAGGTCTGTTCGCCATATTATGATTGATATCCTGGTCAAGGAATCTTCTATCATGAACCGAAATTGGTTGGATCTCCCAATGATCAACATTGGATGGCGACTTGCAAGCCTCTAGAGCCAAATCGGGAACAAGGGAAGCCCCTGGCCCACCACTACCAAACACTTTGGTACAAGCAGCAATGAGCAATCAATCTGCACGACACAACGGCACACAGGACTGACACTCCACAATCTGCGACTAGGTTGTCCTGTTGGCTTCTGTGCTGCCCGCGAACGTCCCTCCTTCCTTCTTCACCGACACCCTCCGAACACGAGTACCTTCCTTTTGCTTGTCGTCGTCCTTGTCGTTGTCGCTGTGATTGAGATTGTTTGAGCTCCCTCCCTCGCACGGTCGCCGGCGAACCCTGCGAGCAGTCTCTCCTTTGATCATTACTCAGTCGCAGTTCACCCCAAGGGCTCACTCATTTGCTCTTGTGCCTACTGTGCCTGTTTCAACTGCACTCATTTGTATCCACTCATTCACCAATCCGCCAGGCAGCCCATCATGGCCGAGGTTGCTACCACCAGCGACTTCGACATCTCCCCCGAGAACGTCCCTCTCCCTCGAAGCTCCATGATCACTGTTCGACTATCTGAGGTCGATTTACAACCAGTCACCGAGACTATCCCAGAAGATGATGCTCCCCGAGATCCATCAGCTCCCCACAGCAGCCCTTCCTCTACCCGATCCAGCCGATCCTCCTCTTCAACATCAGACAGTTCTACATCGATAGATACTGTAGATTGGGAGGAACTCGATAAGACTGAAGAGCAGGAACCCAGGGATGATGCCACTGACGAAGTAGGTAGCAAATTAACACCCTGAAACTAACCCATCCATATGCTAATTCATCCAGTCAACCACCCTCCTGTTGGCCCGTCTGGAAAAAGAAAATGCAGCCTTGGCCATAGACCCCAAGGCCAACATCGTGGCACCAACAACCCGACCGCGAAAGAATACTCGACCGATGTCAGTCATGCAATTAAAGAAGATGATAGATGGACCTCAGCGGCAGTCGATGGATGACCCACTACTCCCTGCCCTGCTGATGAAGGAAGGCGAGTTTTGGGCCGTCCTCGTCCAAGATTATGCACAAACTGCCCAACGTCTACCTACTCTGACCACCAACAAGATTCGTGGAGGTGTTCCTGTCTTCCTGCGCGGCGTGGTGTGGCCCAGTATAGCCAGAGCCTGTGATCCTCTCCTTCATGCCGAGTATCACAAGCTTGCCGACCAGCCAAGTCCATACGACGCCTTGATCGGTAAAGATGTTGGGAGGAGCTTCCCCAAGGTCGATATGTTCCGAGAAAAAGATGGTGAAGGTCAGAAAATGCTAGGCCGGGTCCTGAAGGCCTTCAGTCTATACGATGAGAAGATTGGCTACTGTCAAGGTCTCGGCTTTGTTGTCGGCCCTCTTCTCATGTATATGAGTGAACCAGAGGCTTTCTCCATTCTTGTCAAGTATGACTCCTCCCACAGGCCTCGCTACCGGAACATCCAGGCTAACCATTGATCAGACTTATGGAAGACTACGACCTTCGATCCTGCTATCTACCAGACCTATCTGGACTTCATCTACGAATCTACCAGTTCCAACAGCTCCTGCAACGGCACCTACCTGAATTGGCACAGCATCTAGAGACCCTGAAGATTGAGCCCCTCTATGTCTCTCAGTGGTTCCTCTCCTTCTTCGCCGTCACTTGTCCATTACCTATGTTACTCCGGATTTACGATGTAATATTATCTGAAGGTGCAACTGAGACTTTGATGAGAGTGGCTCTATCGTTAATGCAACGAAACCAAAAGAAACTTATTGCCTACACCGAGTTCGAGGATGCCATGCAATTTCTACTATCCAGGAGTCTATGGGACACATACGCTCAGCGGGCGGATGACCTAGTATCCGACTTTGTCTCCCTAACAGGCCTCGTGAGTCAGGAATCTCTACAGTCGTTGGAAACCAGTTTCCGAAGCTCGCAAAATCTAGCGACTACTGCACCGTCTTTGAAAAGTGCAGCATCCTCCTTTTTGGGCAGATTCTGGGCAGGCTCTTCTCATAGCTCATCGCGTTCAGCAAATCTCAGCCTATTGATACCGGGCAATACCAAGGGAATGAGGAAGTCCTCCTCGGGAAATAGCCTCACCTCGACAGTGAACTCAACCGAAACATCTGCTTCAGATGCCAGCACCATTGCCACGGATATATCAGATGATGCGCCTAGGAAGTCTACATCAACCGGGGGGTTCACTGCCGATAATACCGGCCTTCCCGCACCTGCTTCGAGGGATCGAGATCTTCACCATCAAATTGAGGAACTACTCACGGAGCTTTCCAAAGTACAACGACAGCATGTCGAACTCGCTCGCGATCTTCAACGAGAACGTGAGGAGAGGGAGGAAGATCGGCGCATGGGAGAAGCTTTACTTTCCCGACTACAACAGCAGACGACCGAGATCAAAGCTCTCGTTGGCGAAGAAGACACGACCGAGGCCGATGCAGAGCTTGACGCGTTTATTGAACAAGCTGGTGCACAACTGCTACGGCAAAGGTCCAAGCGGCTGTCAATCGTTCAATCAAAACATCAACTACGCGATGCAGTTGCTGAATGGAAAGATCGACATGAAGCTGAGGTCATAAAATGCCAGGAGTTGATGAAACAGCTTGACGACCGTGAGAGTGAACACACTTCGCTCAAGGAACAACTCCGTGAAGCTCGAAGTCGTATACAAGATGCACATCGGGATAAACAACGTCTGGAGAGAACCGTCTCAGACCTGAAATCGAGGAGTTCATCTATGCCGGACTCGCCTGCCGATCTGTATACTCCTGTCAGTGAATTTCCTGATCTTCGACTCCCCGCTGCCAAGGCAGGACTTCGGGAGTTGAGATTGGGGCGACCTGAGCAGAGCAGATCATCGAGTGTTGGCCCCTTTTCGAAGCGATCGAGTAGTCTCAATGCGCAAGCACTTCTTGCCACGGAGAATCATGAGCCAGTCGCCAATGACGCACTCTTATTGGAGCTTGTGAACTCGAAGACTTCTGAGGCGGTTGCTCGTCAAGAACTCGAGGAAACCAAAGCCAAACTCGATGCGCTACGCAAGATTCTTAGTGGTTCGTCATCCTCACCTGCTCCCAGAGCTAGTCCCTTGGAATCGCCAAGTCCTGTGGCCTCGAATACGGCCAGTTCTGGGTCCAAGGAACCAACGAAGCCAGCTCATACTGCATCGGCCAGTACAGGAGGGTTTTTCAGTGGTTGGGGTAAACGTGGGACTTGATGTCCACCCATGCAGAGCAGACCACGATGTATTTGGGTAGCCTTTTAATTAATGATCTCGCACGCTGTGTATGGCAGTCCAGCCTCACGGTATGTACATGAATGTTTTATTTTAGTGTATACACGAATTGTTGCTACAAGAAGAGAGCAGTGCTGATGCGACTATCGTTGACCCAGGACCCTGTTCACTCATGCTGGCCACTTTTCAGGTATTAGATAGGGACTTTCTGGGAAAGCCCTACATAACAGCATCGAACTATTCTTCTCTCGCCATACGAACACGGATGTCCGTAAGTCCTCCCACGATACGAGAACCTAAATACGGAGTACATAATCGAGAGTAGCACAGCATAGATCTTATCTCGTCGTGAGATGGATTCATCCAATTGAGGTGAGATTCTTCGGGAGTTTCGAAGCTTGACTTGAAGAGGTGTGGAAGGGTCTTGGTCCATTTGCCGAATTCCAATCATCCTTCCGTAAGCCCATCGGAAATGTACCTGGTCGCCTGTGTAATTTTCTGACAGGTGAATGGCTCTGTCGTCTCGCGGGGATATTTCCGTCAAGGGGAGGGGGTTGATGTGATTTCTTGGAAAAGCTTGATTCCCCGGTTTCCCTCAACCTCGGGTTTGGTGTCTCCCTATTGTTGAATGTTGATGTGCCAGTGTTTGAACCATGGGAATATTATTCAGCCCGCCGTCGACACTGTCTCGATCCATATGTCTCTACCCAGTAAGTACCGAGGGAAAGTTAATCATCGACTGAGCGGAACAAGACCCGCATTGAGCAACCAACAGTCCAGAGTCAATCCTGTACCGAAAGGCACACTCGCTCGGTACATGCGTTGTTCCAAACTGACCTACTCATACTGGGCTATTAGCGGCTGAAGCATCATCCGGCTCTGACTATCATTTCCCAGGCTGTTGCAAAGGCCGACGTCAGCACAGCATCAAAGCCTCAACGCCCTGCTATGCTTGCACGAGTCTTGACGCAGATACACAACACAATGCAGACCCATGCTTAGAGACGAAAAGCACCTGGGGTCTGTGTGGGCTGTGGAGTTAGCTCCCCCCCGGGGGCAAAGCCCCGAATGAGGGCTGGCGGGCTTACGAGAAGTCTGATCACTGGGGCGGAATCATCCCACTGCCAATGACCGTCTAGCCGCGCCCAGCTGCCGCGATCCTGCTCGACCAGGGTCTAGAACAGTTGCATCAAGACACATGGCACTGCTGTTTGCCTTTGTCATTGGGCCATCCGACACCTGGACTTCAATTTGATGCGGCATGTGAGCAGGGAAAGCTTCAAGGGGCTACGTACGACAGACTATCAAACACCGTTTGTGTCCCAGACTCCCAGTCGTCCTCTATCCGGGGGTGGATACTCGGTATTTTCATGATTCGAAAGAAAACGTGTCTGAACCACTGACAGACTAGCAGTAGCCTCGCTCCGCGCTGCTCGCGCGTGGCCCACCTGTGATTACTCGTACATTTTGCTTTGGCGGAGGAGGAGGAGGCGGGCCTCCGCCTGTTCCCAGATGCAGAAAACAAGCCTATCTGCTATTAGAATGATGGAGACCGAAGATATCTCGTCTCGTCTCGTCACATCTGAGTCGTGTCATGTCCTTATAGTTTCAATTTTCCAAGTGTACATATATATATTGATCGATTGCCACCAACCTACCCAACCCCCTGTCCTTTGAATCAGCATTCGCGCATGCATGCCAGTCCTGTCGCTTCTTCCCTTTTGAAGACGTCGTCGCGTATCGAGATATATCCCAGGCCTTCTGAGGCTGCTTGCACAACCTCTCTCAACTGGTGCAAATCTCGCCGTTGCCCAATATGGAGATGAACTATGATGAAAACGTAAGTAGTTGATATCGATGTGACAACATTGTGCTGGACTATGCTGACCGGATTTCACAACAGACGCTCCATCAGGTAAATAATAAACCCTTCAAAACATCAGTCCTACCCGACACCACGATCCTAACCACTGGTGTTTCTACAGCTGGAGGAGGAGCTCCACACGCAAATCTACCCGGGCACGGAAATCATGAGCGACGTCGGCACACACCATTTCGTCAAGTCATCAGATAAATCCGACCAGGTCTTGGTTCCGCAGCCGAGCGCTGACCCGAATGATCCATTGGTAGGTCGCATTGCATCAACGATGACCATGAATCACGTTCCTAATCTCACTTGCAACGAATAGAACTGGAGTCCCTTCTGGAAAGCCTCGGCCATGACAATGGTCACGCTCGTCAGCTTCGCGCAGGGCTTTGGTCCGCTCGCGCTGCCTCCCATGTTTCCGCAGCTGATCGAGGCGTTCGAAACCGATCTCGCTGGCGTCGTACAGTTCGTCGGTGTCTGTATCCTGGTGCTCGGGTTTAGTAATTTCCTTTGGTAAGTGCCAAATCGTTAACTGTGCTATCTGGGGAACGGGTTCCATTTTGCAAGAGTGTTGGTCAATATGCTCATATTTTTATCTCGTATTTAGGGTTCCCATCCAAACATCATTCGGTCGGCGGCCGGTGCTCATCTTCTCCACACTCATCTGCCTGGTCTCCAATATCTGGCGCGCCGTTGCCAAAGATTATAGGAGTTTCATGGGTGCTTGTATCCTCAATGGTATTGGTGCAGGGCCGGCTGAGGTAGGTCAAGGATAAACCTGGATGGTTGTTGAATATTCGCTTATTGTCCTGAATTAGACCGCTCAACCCACCGTGATCGCGGATGTCATGTTCCTTCACGAGCGTGGCGGATATAACACTCTTTACTTTACAGTGTACTTTGGAAGTTTGATGGTATGTGACACCATACACTGAGTCTGAATGACCTCGGCGCATTTGAGCAACGACTAACACCGGGAATCTCAGGTCGGTCCCATCATCGCAGGACCCATGACTGAGCATTCAAACTGGCGCAACTTCTGGTGGTTGAACGTTGCTCTGCACGCCGTCATCCTTATCGGGCTTTTTTTCCTGTTCCCGGAGACGAAATGGCACCGGGCACATCCCAAAGAATTGGTTCTCCAGAATGCAACCCAAACATCGAGCGACGAGAAAGTTCATTCCGAAAGCCTGGAAGATCCGGAGAAAGCCAAGGGAGAACCTCTCACTAAGCCAATAACCGCCACAGCCGCTGATGCACAATTGTCCCAACTCACCGAAAGCGCAACCGCCGAACGAGACCCATACCTCCACAAGGGCACCCCAGCGAAATGGCAGTTCAAGCTCTGGCAGAACAATGCACACCCAATCAAGAGCATTTTGCTCGATCTCTGGATCCCATGGAAGCTGTTCGCGTTCCCCATCGTAGAATGGAGCTCGTTCGTCGTTTCCTGGTCCGCCAGTTCCTTCCTGACCATCAACTTGACACAAACCCAGAACTTCGCTGCACCGCCATACAACTTCAGCTCGCAGAGTATTGGCTTCACGAATTTCGCCATTCTCGTCGGTGCTATCATCGGTCTCGCGACGAACGGTCGGCTTAGCGATTGGATTGCGGCGCGCGCCACAAGGAAGAATAAAGGTGTCAGAGAACCGGAGATGAGATTGCCGACCCTCATTCCGTACGTGATCATCATGTTGATTGGAAATTTCGTCGTGGCTTTCGGATATGAGCATAAATGGGACTGGAAGGTAAGAACTCCACACCCCTCGCTAGCCCTCCTTTTCCTTCCAGTTCCGTCCAGTCCAATTTGAGACTAACATGTTCCTCAGGTAATCGTCATCGTCGGCTATGCATGCGCAGGCATCCAGGTAGCAGCTATTCCCGCCATCGCATCGACATACGCCGTAGATAGCTACAAGCCCGTGGCTGGTAGTATCTTCGTGGCCATCACCGTCAACAAGAACCTGTGGGGCTATGGTTTCAGCAAGTTCATCACCCCCTGGATCATCTCAGCCGGATACATCCCTCCCATCATGCTCAACATGTCTCTCATCTTCCTCTGGTGCGCTTTCGGCATCTTGTTCTACTTCATGGGCAAGACTTTCCGCAAATGGACGAGAAATGATTCCGTCCATAATTTGTGAGGGATGATTCTTCAAGTCGAGTGGGATGAGAGTAATGTGCTAGTCATTCGGGTGGTGGACCTGTTGTGGCAATATACGTCACCTGTGCACCAAAGCTCATTCCACACTTGTAGGCTCTGGTGGACAAACTTGTGTCAGAGACGTTGGCAGTTGATAGGTTGAATAGTATTATAGGGTGCTCTGAGCCAACTATCACACTCTTGTATTCTCCAGATGCCTATAGTATTTGTTGTTGTTTCCAGTTGGGTCACTTCTAGAGCCAGCATCCGGTTGATTGTAAATGTCTCAGAGTTCCGCCGAATTTTAATCATCTTCCTCGTCACTGCTAGGGAAGTCCAAATCGAGTTTTCTCCTCGGTTGTGCCTGTTGACTAGGCTTGGATTGCGATAGTCTTCCCGCCGCTTGTCCCGTCTGATGTTGGGCAGCTGGAGCATCTCTTGTTATCGTTTGCCTTGATACCTCCGGACTCAGACTAATATCAGTATTTGGGTCATCTGGTTCATCCTTCTCGACCAAGCGCTCAGCCACATCTTCTGTCTCCCTGACCAGTCTTTCGATTTCCGCATCCAGCGTCCGATCTAGAGCGCCACTATCTCCACGCGCGGACTGTATCTGCTGTTCCCGGAAGAGCTGCAATCTCCCCAATTCTCCCACCCTTAGACTACTGGCATCGGGGAATGCCATACCCATCTGCGCTCTCGTGATTGCAATGGTATTGTTGATCCGTTCGATCTCAGCGTGGGTTTCGTCGGTCGCATTCTCCACGGTGTCCACAGCAGATGTGTTTTGTCCACCATTGATGTTGACTGCTTGGCTCCGAGTCGAGTTCTTATAGCGACGTGATTCTGCCTCAGCCTCCCTCGCTGCCGCAGCGTTGTGCTTCCCTATCCTTGCCGCAAATGTGAGAAGGGTCTGGTAGTCAACTTCGGCCACTTTCTCATCCTCATCCTCCGAATCGTCATCTGAGTCTACAGAGAGGATTGAGGGATGGATCTGGCCAACTTCATCTCTTAGTGCAACGCACTGTCGGATTGTCGACTGGAGTTGTTCTTGAAGGGAGGCCACCTCGGCTCGGAGGTTTAGGATGCGCGCATAGTTTTGCTGGTGCCGATGAAGGAGGTTTAGCGAGGTCGTCAAATCATCGTCGGTGTTCAATAAGTTCTGGGTAATTTGAGGGGCATTCGCATAAGTGTTGGTCTGGGTGAGAGAAGTGACCAGGGATGTAATTTGAGTCTCGAATGTATTGAGAGGGGCGAGGATTTGGGTTTCCATTATTGTGAGGCTAAAAGGCTAGAGAGAATGACTTGAAAGACACAAGGTCCACAAGTGAGCCGCCATGTAAGAGTTCAACTCTCATCTCTCTGTCTCGACTTTGTTGCGACGAGGAGAGAGCGACCTGTGAAGTCAGGCATTGGGGAAGTCACGGCAATTGAATGATTCCACGTGATTCCACGTGATGCACTGTGAATGTCACGTGGTTGGGATGAGGAACCCCCCGAAAGAACACCCAACTTAGTTATTCGTAGGGAGCTGTCAGTTCCAGGCAAGCAGCTTCAAGATCACAAGTTGCCTTCATGCAGAGTTGCATTTTCTGCATTAAATACTTTCCAACCAATCTTCTATGAGACAAATGACATTCTTGCATGCCCCACAGATTGTTAATGATAACGCAAATGGCATGTTGTCGGTTTGATTGTTGTTGTCCTACGTTCTTATCTACCTAGGTAGGTACTATCGATAACGGGTGAACCAATCAAGACGAGAAGCCTTGAGAAGCCTTCTGTACCAAATTTGTCAAACTGCGATCAATACGACTGAAATGACGATTGTTCCTGAGCATCTCACAGAAAAGTCCATCAGTTGGGACTGCCTTCCTCTCGCTGTAAATTCCTAAAGTCAAGCGTGCTATGACAGGGGTCTGGGTATGCCACGTCGCACAAACTAACAATTAGCCGAAGTGCATTAGCCAATGTCAAGTCTCGACTTTGAACGAACATGTCAACTTAATGCTGTTCATGGCCTCTGACAGCTTCTGGAGATGGAGCTGCTCATCAATCTGTACCGGCTTGGTGGCCATTGGCGCACATGTATCTAAATGTAAGTCAGACAGCCGATCGGTTCAAGGGACTCGATAGAGGAGGTGACATGAGTTGAAGATTAGTGTTTGCGATGCGTGAATACCTCTGGAACATCATGTCACTTTGCTTCGTTCGAGGTTTGTTCGTTCCACTGGTTCTTTCGGTCTCTCCCACTCCTTCCGTCCCCTTGTCAATCGCTAATCATCCATAATGTTGTTGTCTCGTATTGTCTCACAAGATGGCCTCGTCTATTGCTTTCAAGTATCGCTTGCCAGCTTCACTGCCTACGTCGTTGGTCTGGTATTCTACAATCGCTTCTTTCATCCCCTCAAAGACATTCCAGGCCCATGGTTCGCCTCCATTTCCACTCTTTGGTATTTCCGTGCTGTACGCTATGCTCGCTGAAAGGATCATCAACTGCCACTACACAAGAAATATGGTACTTTTGTCAGAATCTCTCCCAACCAGGTCCAAATTTCAGATCCTGCAGCCATAGAAACCATCTATGGTCCCAAGTATGAGTTCATCAAAGGTGAATTTTACGAAGGGTTCAACCCTAAGATTACCAAGCGACAGGACAATTTCACCGAACGCAACGAGGCAGCGCACACCCGACGCCGCAGGACCGTCGCACATCTTTACACTCAAGGTGCAGTCTTGGAGTATGAACCTTGTGTTGACCGTTGTATTGCATTATTCTACACGCGGATGGAAGAGTTTGCTGAGTCAGGCGCAGTGGTAGACATGGCCACCTGGTTGAAGAAGTACACATTCGATATTGTTGGTTCGTCAACACGTTGAGTTGTATACCAACCATCCATCGTTGTCTAACCACCTTCATAGGGGAAATATTCTATGGTCGTGAAGGTGGCTTTGGTTTCGTCCGCGACAACATTGACTACAATAACTGGTGTCACTTGATGGATGTGATGCCCAACCCTGTTGCTGCTCTCACGTATATTCCATATGGGCTTCGATCACTCTACTTTCTCACCCAAATGATCTACCCGGAGACTCGAGCGGGTGCTAAAGGGTTTTTTTACAGTGATTGACCAATCACACGCAGCAGTAAAGCAACGCATGGATGACATTGCGGCGGGAAAGCCAGTCAATCGGAGCGACGTGCTGAGTAAGCTTCTTGATATCATCAATGAAAAGGGTCAGGACCACGAATTTGGTATTCTCGATGTGACAACTGAGATCTGGACTATGATTTGGGCAGGCAGTGACACTACAGCCATCGCACTGACCTCAATCTTCTACCATTTGCACAAACACCCAAAGACCTTGGCCAAGCTCCGCAATGAAATCGAGGATGCCTTCGCCAGCGGTAATCTCAAATACCCCGTCCGCTACAACGACGCAGTCAAGCTTCCATACCTGCACGCCGTTGTCTGGGAGGCCATGAGAATTCATCCATCGCTTGGCACTGGACTTCCTCGCATCGTGCCAGCTCCAGGTGTTGAGATTTGTGGCAAGTTCTTCCCCGGAGGTACTGAGGTGATCATGAATCAGAATGCGGTGCAATTCGACAAGGGCATCTTTGGAGAAGATAGCGAGCAGTTCATTCCGGAACGCTGGATCCGTGACGGCGATCGTGCTGCGGCTAACATGGAAAGACACATGCTACAATTCGGCTATGAAAAGCGCATCTGCATTGGACGGCACATCACCAACACCGAAATGTACAAACTGCTTCCCACAATTCTAAGGGACTTTGACTTTGAGTTGGCGAGTGATAAGGAATGGGAAACCTGGCAAGGCTGGTTTCATCAACAGAAAAATGTCAATGTTAGGGTCAGACGCCGAGCTAGGAGCTCTGCCTGAAAATTCTTAGGCAATCTACAGGTAGTGAGGCTCAAACCGAGCGACGGCACAGACAGCCAGTCTTCCTCACCAGACTTGGACATGCAAGTCAAATTCGAGATCGAGAGTACATACCTTAGGTATCTGAGTACCAATCCTGGAGGTATTCGGAAGTTACAACATGAGTACCTAGGTAAAGAATGATGTACAGAATAAGACTAAGTGAGACTTGCACAAACATTGACCATTCCCTGCTCCTGGTTGGACGCCGATTGCCTCGGGTTTTGATGACATCATATTCATCTAGCCTTGACGCGAAATCTTGGCAATGTCTACACGTGATCAGGCCAACATCGCGCCGCGATCCTCCCCGCGACTCGGTCCAAACTTTGGGAGTCTCAATCATACCCGTTCCATCTGAGGCTTCTGTATGTGTGCATACGACCACCGAACCTCGTATAGGAAGAAGAGAGCGATATGTATCTTCCACGCAATTTAATATCGCTTCTCTATACCAACCTTGTCCGATCACATCACCCTCTCTCACCTCCCGTCCTACTTCTCGTCTCCCTCGACCCCGATTCACTATGCGCGTGTCGAATACTGACCTCGTTGCTGAAGCGAGACTACATACCTCACAAAATCCACCCTGTTTCCGGCTATGCTGATCTGTCCAAAGCCGGGACAGAACTTGTGCAGCCCATGAAAACATCCGAGGGTGGATCTGGAGGAGTCGTAATATGCCTTGGAGTGGGTGGATTGGTCGACCTAGCCTCTCTACTTGGTCTGGAGACAGAACATTCCGCAGAGTCAATGTGTGGTGTTGAAGTCTGGGTTTTGGATGCAAGAAGGCCGTGTAATTTGTCCAACGTCTTCGGAGGGCTTCCAATCGAAGCGCCAACAGAAGGCGTTGTCCTGAGGATTCCTGGTGTGGACAAGGGATGCATTCAACGATCATACAAACCAGGAAAAGGTGGAATTATTGTATTTGATGACGGCGACATAGCGTCCGACCTAGAAGTCGAACGAGACGCCTACTGCGCCCTGTCGGACATGCCTGAAGTCGAAGCAGACTCAGATAGTGATGAAGATGACGATAGTGCAGACGAGGACGATGAGGAGGAAGGAGAAAGAGAAGCGGGCATATCAGGAGGCTCTGCCTCAAAAAAAAGGAAATCTTGGTCTGATAGAGACAGCGATGCTTCAGACACCGATGGCGACGAAGAGAGGCCACGGCAAAGGCGAAGGGCCAATTCAGGATCCTCAATCAATTCTGATCCTCGAAGCCGAACACCCACATCTTCACAACCGGCCTCTCCTACTTCCAAACCTGATGTACCGAACCAAGCCACAGCCAGACAGCTTCGCAGACGATTAAGAAAGCTTCGGAGAAGTCATGAAAGCGTGTTAGAGAAATACAACAGCGTGGGCACTTCATACTCAGAACCCATATCCACATTGGCATACTCTTTGGCATCAGATCTAGGTCGAGAGGACAACGATCTTCTGTGGCTAGCTATTGTTGGTGTCACCTCTCTTGAACTCTCTGGTCACACCTCCACCAGCTTTGGCAAAACTGTACAGCCAGAACCATCGGAACATCCCCATAACTCCTGGCGATCGAATCGATCTCGACAGACCTATGCGATTTTGCGCGACGAAACCAGACGATTGAATCCCCCGCCCCTCGATCAATCTCCTTCCGTCTCGCCAGGCTCTGGAATCACCTCTCCGAGCGATACCTCCATTCGTCTAACACCTGATCCGAGATTTCTATTACTCAGACACTGGTCCTTATATGACAGCATGCTTCACTCGCCCTACCTTGCTTCACGATTGAGAATCTGGAACGAGTCCGGAGTGAAACGACTGCATAAACTTCTTGCCAAAATGGGCGTCAGCCTGAGCCAATGCAAGCAGACATACACTCACATGGACATGGACCTCAAAAAGATATTGCGAGAACGACTGCTGAAATATGCGCCCGTGTATGGGCTCGACGATCTCGTCCCGACAGGAGCTGGGTATTTCACCTACGATCAGGAAGGCTGGGGTTTTATTCGATCATGGGGTTGGAAAGCTCAACTTTCCGCCGTTGATGTTGGCCTACTTCTTGGTGCGATTCTTGACGTTGGCACTCAGATATCATCCGGACCCAACAGCATATCATCCTCATTTTCTTCGACACCGTCACAATCACAATCCACGACCGATTCACCTCCATCTGATCGCTCACTAGCTCTCGTGCCACGCTTCTTCGCAGCATACGATGCCCTTGCCCCGAGCCACCCGACACAGCTCCTGGCTTCAATACCTCAAGCCCAACACCTTCTCCGCTCCATATTCCGTACGGGCTCATCATTGCTCGTCAAACATCAAATCCGACATCTGCGTGCGTTCCGCATGGGTGTTGTCAAAGATGGGCCCGATCTGAGACTATTTGCCAATTCTCCTGGTGCACTAGCGAAACTTGCATTATGGGTTGGCGAAGCAGTTTCTATCAACGAACGGGACCGAGAGAGCAACGACGACTCGTCAAACCCCACTTTCGTGCCTCTTGTTCTCGCGGCTTTGGATGAGGAAAGGGGTACGTATGTGGTGGTAGGAACAGGCGGAGGTGGTAAGAACAATCGCTTCGGCCTGGCGTTTCAAGAGGTCGTGGACGAGACGGATGCTCGGGTCAAGATTGATAGTTTCGACCACAGCATTGTCGAGGTCAAAAAGGAGGATCTCGGCGCCTTCCTGGAAGCACTAAGTCTGAAGGCTGTGGTGGGTGCATGAGAGTGCTTAGAAGCAGCACCTCCGGGTCGGCAGCATTTGTTGGCGTACGCCATGTTTGTGAGCGATATTCTTTGCCCGAATGATTATGTAGCGGGTCTGCGGATTAAATTGGTTCGATCGAAAAACGCATCGCGAGCACTGTCCTTTTAATGATTGCGTCGTGTCGCTAGCACATCACATTACATCGCATGAATCGAAATATGATTTTACGCTCCACACATTAATGCTCAGGGCAGCCTTTACGAGTTTGAATCACTCCCGTCCGCCCAGTGCAACGCCTCCGTAAGTGACCCGACCCTGAGCCCCCGCCGCCTCAGCTCCGGGAGCACGCGGCGCAACATCTGTGGCGTCCAAGGCCGATCATGGCAGATAATGATCCCGCCCGCACGTGCACCATGCAGGACATGCCATGCGTTGAGCGACGGCAGCGAGATCTGTGCGTCGTGCGGATACATAGATCCAAGAATGAGACGGTAGGAGAGGCTGTGTAGAAGTGACAGCATACGAGACGTGAAGAAGCCGGACCCCGGGCGGAAATATCGTGGTGAGGTCTTGGAGACGTCGCTGGCAACACTGCGATAAATGCCTTCGATCTTATCTTGCGTCTGCAATATCTGCTCTCTCAACTCGGAGATCTCCAGCTTCCACGACGGTGCATCGTGCATAGCGTGGTTGGCGAGCTCACTGCCATGCCGGACTACTTCTCGCAGGATTTCTTCATGGCCGTCAATGTAGGAGCCAATGACGAAGAAGGTCGCGTGCACGTCATTTGCGCGCAGGACTTCGAGGATTGCCGATGTACTTTGGCTGGGCGAGTCGTCGATGGTGAGTGCGAGAATTGGTTTTCTGGTTGGGATGTGGAATTGAATGCTTGGATTGCTGGTCGAAATGGTTTGGACAAGCCATATTGGGGGGAGATAGCTCAGATAAATACATGTTAAGGGGATGACGAAGATGAGCAGGAGGAGGAGAAATGCGAGGGAGGACATGGTGATGTTAACATTTGCATTGCTTCGTAGATGACTGTGTGATGAACGAGACATGTGAGGAACCGTGGATGTGCTCTATGCCCAGTCTCCAATTTCGTTATAAATATTCATTTTCCAGATGTCACCGCTATCAAACATTGAGCACGGCTACATTATCTCGGTTGTGCTACTGTTGTTCAGCAGAGACAAGTCATGGCCTTGAATGAACAACGCCTACAAATATGAATAAATGCATCTTGTATAAATGTGTGAGAACAAAGGATGCTGCTGCACTGATGTCGATTGGAGTTCGGTTCAGGCCAACCGGAGAAATTATAGTTTACAATCCTTTTGCGTTGTGAAGGACCACTTAACAATTACGGGAGACGGTGTTAGACTCAAAACGTCATCTCAAAGAGGTATACATTGGACACATCTTGATTGAACGCCCGAGTCTGATAGTTCTTGCAATGTGGTTGGAAAACGAGTAGAATACGTAACTAAGCCTGACATCGAGTTCAGTACAAGGTGCCTTCCCACTGAAATTCGACTGATCCTTTGGTTGACTTGCACTCCTTCTGAAGCGAGATGCGGGGGTGTAATCAAAAATGGGCAATTGCGATAACTCAAGGAACGGTCAGCAAGTCGAGGCTTCATTGTGAAGTGTCCGGGATCACTTTTTAGGGAAGGAGAATGGATTGCCATCTCACGACTAGTTCATGAAAGGTTGATCCCGGCTTAGACACCTTTGTGCTCTTACGCGGTATTGGTTCCATACCTTGCAGTCTACACATGTAGGAGACTAGAAGTTGAGACAGATGTGCATAGCGTGGCGTACGGGGAATAGAAGCTCCAACGAGACGATGTCCGAGTCGGAGCAGGCTGAGACAGGAAATACTGTTCGATCGACAGGTCTAGGGGACCGTACTATTGCTCCAAGTCCCTGACGAATGCTGCTAATCATGATATTGACGTTGGGGCCAAAGGATTTACATGAGGAGGCATCGGAGCAGTTACCTGCTTGAAGAACACCCGGCGTTCTACGGTATTGAGATAGGTGCAGAAGAGTGAACGCATCCGGCCTGGACAGGTACATAACCGTGTTGATCTGGTTCACGTAGCAGACTCTGTGGCCACCGAAGAGTTAGCATGAAGGCGGAATGAGAGAACTGCAGGAAAAGACGAGACCGGTTCAATGGGCTCCAGAGTCAATGCCAGCCCAAACCAATGTTGCCGGATCTGTACCCAGAGCTATCCACCTTGTCGTTGTTATAGCAATTGTCTCCATGGACTACCTATGTAGCTACCAAAGTACGAGGTCCCTTACGAGATACACTCTGGGTGGCACTATGACCTCGGAAGCCTGGAGTATAGACAGCTGGCCGCCTAAGGACCACACCATATTGCGAGCATTTGGATGCTTTCAAGCATACTCCGTACTTGACCTTGGGTACTCGGTATCTGGGTCCCTCATCGGTAGTTAGCTCTGGATCACTTACGAGTACGGATATGGTACGAAGTACCAACTCCACCTACCGCGTTCTTGTTCTTACCAAGTCCTTGGGGGCGCATTTTGGCACTCTATCGAGTCTAACGGCGAACCGAGATTGAAGTATCAGACCAAATTCTACTTCGCACACAGAAATGCTGCGAAACTTAGCAAGTGGTAAGATCTTCATCATCATACTCTATTTTGGTTCTTGGAGCCTTCGGCCATTGTTGACTGTGCTCCTTTTTCCAAGGGCTGTTCCTTGGGTGCTCGTGTCCATCCACACCCACAGAGAGGATCACCAATAAACATGTCGTCTTGACCCAACAAACTTCACGCCACCAACATGACCGGCGCTCGACGCAGGCACCTGAACAAGGATAGGCTCAACAATCCGGCTAGCTGCTGTACCTGCATTGGAGGCCTGTTCCGCCCGATCCTGAAACACTTCCCTGAGCTTCTCTCACCAACGGCCCTGAAAAGTCGAAACTGCTGTGAGCCGCCTCCAGGGATTAATTCCATCATGTCTTTTACCACAACAAACGCTTGTGGGCCGTGGCTTGAACGGCTCGTGTTTGTTAGATCATCTGGAAGTTAGGCTATGCTCTTTCCTCCTTGGCTCCCTGCATAATGATCCTCCAAAGAGTTCAAGAGTCAGTCTTGAATTTTAATCCCTGTTCTTGACCCCAAAATTTCCATTGCCGGAGCCACGTTTCCGTCCTGGGTAGGGAGTGCTGCGCGTCCACCTCACCAACGCTGACGGGAACTTGGAAGCGAGGAGCAAGCCCATGTTCGTCAACCGTCCGTATTTGCAAGCGTGCTCAAACAAGCTGCCTCCTGAAGTTCGCGTCTTGTGCATGGGCATGTTAATCGCCTTTTTTGACTAGGCGGTGATGGTCGATCAACATCCACCCTCAAAGATGCCCCAGCTCATAAGCAAGGTCTCCATCCTCATTCGAGCCCACTTCTATATACTTGCCTTTCTTCCAGACTTCTTTTGGCCATGATTCTGGATCTACACAAGCTTCTGTGCTGTTCATCAGCATTATGTTGCTTTTCCAGCCCTTGTTAGCGATCACAATATCTGTGATCGGCTGCCTTGCCGCTGATCAAGATATTCTTACCATTTTGAGGCAGCAAAATGGCATCTCGACATTTACTGGATTCCTGGAGCAATTGCCAGATGTAGTGGAAATCTTGAACGGAGGTATATTTAGTGGTATGGACACCTAGACTCAGAAAGCGGACCATGGAGACTGACAATATCAAGTCCTGATTCCGAACGACGATGCTTTCAGCGCTCTTGACAAGGATTTCCCGGAGGATGACGAAGAACTCCTGGCTCTGATACAATACCATATCGCAAACGGGACACATCCCTCGGCAACATTCGGCCTTGAACCACTATTTGTGCCCACCCTCCTGTCGAATTCGAACTACACCAATGTAACTGGTGGGCAAGTGGTTGAGATGGCCAAGTTCAATGATACCCCTACCATACTTACCGGAATCAAGGCTGAATCGCGGGTCGTCGAGGCTGTGAGTACTCAGAAATACCCAAGGTTTGAGTCGACATATGCTGATGATGGCAGGATATCTTTTTCATTGGCGGGCTTATCCATATCGTGGATTCCGTCTTTACGATTCCGATATCCCTCCCCGCGACAATCACGAAAGCAGGACTGAACAACCTGGTAGCACTGCTCAACAAGGGTGGCTTTCTAAACCCCAGTTCTCCAGCCGCGTCGATCGTCAACAGCCTCTCAGATCTGACAGTGTCAGTTTGACCCTCCAATTGATAAACCATGGAAATAGAAATTGACCGTTCGCAGATTCGGCCCCGACGATCCTCGATTTGGACCAACATTTGAAGGATGGGATGGATTGTCAGAAGCCGACCTCCTCTCAATCTTCCAGTACAGTATTGCGCAGGGAGAAGTCTACTACTCGTCAAAATTCAAGAACGATACCAAGATCATGACCTTGAATCAGACGCCCCTAACGATGACGGAATCAGCCAACGACGTTTTTGTTGATGCTGCACAAATTACCACGAGGGATTATATTGTCTCGAACGGAGTGCTCCAAATCATCAACAGGTAATGATATATCTTTCAAGCATTGTGGGAGGGACATGTGCTAATCATAGTCTTGAACATAGCCCTCTCGATCCAAATAATACCAACGCTAGACCTGTTATTACGCCCGAGAATTCTTCTGGATCAGGCTCGAAAGGTCTCAGTGCGGCCGCAGGAGCCGGGATTGGGATTGCAATTGGTGCAATACTTCTTGGGGGCGCCTTGACCATCGCACTCTACATACGGAACAAACGTCGAAGACGAACACGAGGCCCACAAGGGATTCGGGGAGTTCACGACAGACTCGATGGCGAGTCACAGGAAGTAATTGACCCTCCTCCAACCTATGAACTCGACACAAAATCGATAAGAGGAGGAAGGACCGTGGCAGCTACGACCCATCATGTGATTGAAGTGCACCATCCTCCTAAACCGCCGTCTCCATTGGAGATCGATGGTACGGAGCGAAGCCGCATTAGCATCACTATCACGGGAAGTCCCCCTCGACATCTTGGTTTCCAGGCCCGATACGACTAGATGCCCAACCTTTTGTCTCTTTGACACAAAAGGCATTGGCCACGACCCGTTATGATCGAGGGGCAGTGCAGCCCCCAAAAATGTGGTGTATAGTAGACTTGCAAACCGTGCAAGAGTTCTGATCCATGATCAGATCCGGTCTGATGAAAATGAAGACGAGTTTGCGGTTGAGAGACTGCAAAGGTAAAAAGCCAAGGTATCAGGACTACTGTAGAAGATAGCTGTTCATCATTTAATGACATGATTTGAATCAAAGCATGCACTTGCTGGGGATGAAGGGATGAATGCCCAAATGGACCTGAAAGTCATTGACAAAATGCAGTTGAGACGCGTGAGGCTCGACGTGCCAGCCCCGCGACGCGTCGATGACGTAAGGCTATCGGCACGGAACAATCCCAGCCCCGGGTTATTTATCAGGCTGCGAAAAACACAACACCATCATTCGTCATTTGATATAATTTTCGAAACCCCACCATCTCCAATGTCCACCATGATCTCCATCTCAAACCCGAGTCATCCTCTCCAGTCCTTCAATCACCGGCAAAGAGTACAGTAGGGCAGCATGAGCAAGAAATTCAAGTCTCATGCCTCCAGTGCTCGTGCTGCTTCCGCATCTGCCGCTGCCGCTGCCTTTGGCTCATCCTCATCCTCATTTGGCTTTGGCGGCTCCTTCCAAACTGCGCCTTCGTCTCTCTCCTACATAACCGAATTTCCTGATTTAAGCAGTATCAGTGACCCCAATGTGATCGTCTCCCTGAGAAACTTGGGCAAAAAGGACAGCACCACCAAATCAAAAGCCCTGGAAGAGTTGCAAGAATACATCACTTCAGCGCAGGTAGTCGAGTCCGGTCTACTCGATGCATGGGTCAGCCTATATCCCCGAACTTCGATCGACAATTCTCGGAGAGTGCGCCAACTTTCCCATACTGTACAAGGTGCTCTGACTGTTTCGTCTGGCAAACGAATTGCTCCGCTCCTGCCCCGGGTCATTGGTTCTTGGCTTTCAGGTGCCTACGACAGCGACAAGGCGGTGGCTCGTGCCGCTCAGGAATCCATTGCTACCTCCTTCTCGACGGACGAAAAGAGGAGGGCTCTGTGGAAAGTGTACAAGGATGCTCTTGTCAAGTACGCCCAGGACGCGATCTTGGATCAGACTCCCCAAACTCTAAGCGACGAACGTTCCACCAGTCCAGACGATGCTGAAGCCAAATTTATTCGAGTGGTCGGGAATGGCATGCATATGCTGACTCAGACCATCAAGCTCAATTTCGAGGGTGCTTCTTCTGCACCTGAAGACGTTCGCGAATTGGTGACAAACAAAAGACTCTGGGAATATGCCTACCATTCGGATCCGTCACTAAGGAGAGGAACATACAGTTTGATTGTTCTATGCATACGCTCATTTCCTTCGGACCTGGATTATAAAATCGTCAGTACGACCTTCGTTGGCAAAGCGCTGCACATTTCCCAATTGGGCTCAAGCACTCAACTCTCAGAGGCACTATTATCGTTGACCAACGTGCGCCCTGAGTTGTGGACCAGCGATTACACACTCAAGACTTCCTCCTCGAAACGTTTGCAACAGTACCTTCGCAATGGCTCCCAACATGGCTTGGTGGCCTGGTGGAAGAATACGGCCCTTCTGTTGAGGAAGCTTCCTTCGTCAATCTTGTCACCCAACTCAGACGATAGAGTTGTGAATCAACAAGATGTCTCTCTTATTCTTGACTCGCTGAGAACCGGTATCAGTCACCGTGACGAACCTCGTAATAATCTGGACACTGCATGGAACGTCTATGTTGAAACAGCTTTCTGGCTGATAGACCAGTTGCCGAGTGCGGAGTCAAATGAGCTACTCTTTAACGAGAACCTCCTACCCGTGATTCTCCACTATATCTCTCCTAATCCTCAGATTTCGGCATGGGTTGTTCCCACTCTTTCGGCTCCAAAGATTTGTTCTCTTGCTCTTTTGGCTACACTTCAGCGCGGCCTTGTTGCGCTGTTTCGAACGACATGGGAGAACATCGCTCAATCAATCGCTGATGGAATGAGACTTTCGCTGCCAGAGTCCTCTGCGGATTTCAAAAAGTCACAAGATGCTGTCATTGCATGCACGCTACGGTTCTTACGGTTGAGAACTTTAGTACTTCAGGGAGACTGTCCCGCAGATGATACTCGGCCGCAACTCCTTGAAATTTTGAGAGCCTCGGACGACTTCCTCACAGCCACAGCGATCCACATCCTTAAAGCGCGAAATGGGAAACCATATGGCGCTGCGGCTTTCCTGGAGACGATGATAACCCAACCAGAACACTCAGAAAGTAGTTCACTGACCAATTTCCTAGCTGCAGATGTCCCGACTTTGATTGACAGCCCTTCTGCTGAATATTTCATTGGAATCCAACTTCAAGCCAAGAATAACCTCTCTCAAACTATCTCCACCCTGATCCATCCAGAGTTGAATCAGTACAAAGTCAATGCGCTAGTGAGACTTCTGAGTCAAGCCTCAAGCCAGGATATATCGCAATCTGATGATCTTACTCAATTCATCTCCCAACGAATTGTCGAACACTTGGATGAAGAAGTTACTCAAGCGCTCACAAAAGCTGCACTGCAAAATCCCAAACTCAAGGACTCGGAGAGTTCAAGTCTATGGTATGGCAGATTACTGAATCGCTTGCATCAGGAGACAGACCCAATGACGCAGCATTCCACACTTGAGTTCATGTCGAGCCTGCTACCAACATCTAATTCAACTCTTCCAACTCTCTCTGAAACCTCCGGAACGGCCTTACTCTCCAGCCTGCTAATATTATCGGACTCCCAACATACTGCGGTAGCCGAACTCTCAGCTTCACTGGCGTCTAAGCTTAGATCATTACCTTCTGTGGGCGAGTCGGTAAATGCTGTTTCTTCGAAAGAATTGATCGCGGAACAATTGTCAGGTGAAGGAGCTCCTCTGCCCATCTTCACCGTTATTGATCTGGCCAATGAAGAATTTGGAAAGGCCAAGCAAGAAACTACAGCTTCATATCCCTCAATCTTGCCATCTAAAGATCAATGGTCTACTGCTCTAGAGCCCTACCTCTCTACGGCTCGAAATACATCCTTGGCCATCACGAGCCCTCTTCAAGGTCTGCTCTTCCTGATTGCACCAGACATTTCTATCACGATCGCGACGCCAACGACTGATGCGGAAGGTTTTTCCTTGTTGTTCCGACTTACTCTGTACACAACGAAAGTACTGTCCAACGCCACGATCCTCGAGCACGTATCCGAGGAGCAGAAGATCTCCACCTTCCGCCACTACCCACTCGCTTTCCAGCTACTCAACGAAAAGTTTACTCTGGATTCCGCGAACAAGTTATGGCTAAATAATAGCCTGGAGATTATCGATGAAGCAGCCGATGTTCTTGCTCAAGGCTCGACACTACTTCAAGATTGGTCACAAACGGAAGCTATGGTTACATTATGGTCCGATTTGATTCATTCCACGAGTAGCTTGAGCCCTCCTGCATATCTGGACGGCCTGGCCTTCACGGATATCATGTCCAGACACATCGATGTGCAAGGTCCAGCGCCTATATTGACTGCTTTCGAGAAAGATATCGCAAATGTACACCGATCTACCAACCTGGTCCGATCTGTAAGCCTTCTTTCAGCGACACACGACTATCTCATTGGCGCCCAGAATGGTAGAAGAATCCTCAACGAATTGATTGCCCTTTGCACGGAGCTCAAGACTTCCCAGGAGCCATCGGTAACAGTCGGGCGTCTCGTACTGTTGAACACACTACTCGGTGGCAATGCTGATGCATTGGAGACAATACCCAATCAAAGAGTTGTATTCTTGATGCAGGCATTGCTTCGGTTACTCGGTGACACTTCGGACGATACTGCTGTACAGTGTGAAGTGATGAAGCTCCTGGACCCTGTCATATCGGCGACGGCTGACATCTACGGCGACCACTGGGAGCAAATCTTAGATCATCTGAGCAAAGTCTGGGTAAATGACAATCAGCAGGATAATCTTCCTCTCTTGCATGCAAGTTTGAGGCTCTACGGGCGGCTGAAGACCCTCTCTAACGTCGAGGATATCAATGAGGATTTGTCTGAAGCCTGGGCATCGAAGAAACCAGAACTGGAAGACGGTCTCAAGCAATGTCTAGAGAGTTTTTCGGAATCGGCACCAGGCATCAATCAACCCCGTCGAATAACTGCCGACCTTCTAAGGAGGCATATTGTGCAAATCTCTCCTTCTCATGATCCAAAGTTATATCTCCTGTTATCGTCAGCAGAAGATTCTGTGCGTGGTGCAGCGTATGATCTCCTTCACCGGTCAATACCAAAAGAACAAGAAGGGATTTCCTTGGATCTGGCTTTGGAGAAAGTTGCCGTGCATCTGCCAACAGACCTAACAAATCTGTTGATTGACACGCCCAGTCCATCAGAACACACTCCAGCTACAGCCCGTCAGAGTTATCTTCTGGCTTGGCATTTGGTCTTTGACCATTTCACCACCGCATCGTACCAACTCCGAGAAGCTTATAGCGTGGATATCAAGTCACAGAATATTCTCCCTGGTCTACTCAACCTGATCTGTGATGTATGTCGCATCACTAGTGGACGACCTTTGGACGTATCTAAAGTTGATGTCAAGTCCTTCGAGCCCAGCTCTGCCGAGACGGAACAAGCAGAAGAACAACACCTGGTGGTACACCTCTACTACTGCTCCCTTCTCTTCCTTCCTAGTCTGACGCGCAGCTGGTTCATCGAGCAGAAAAACCGCGTTAAAACACCGCTGGAAACCTGGACACAGAAGTACTTCACCTCAACCCTGACCTCGACCGCCATCGCGACCGTAACCGAGTGGGTGGCAGCTCAACCCCAAGACGACACCGAAGCAGCCATCACCGTCAAATCCTCCACCAACGGCTCCGAAGCCGTCGCATCCATCGCCGTTGACCCGGAGTCCCCACCCATCTCTCTCGCCATTACTCTGCCCAGCAGCTACCCTCTTGAGTCTCCCACCGTTTCATCGCGGACACGAGTGGGTGTCTCGGAGAAGAATTGGCAATCGTGGCTGCGCACATTCCAGATCATCATCTTCAGCACCGGCAGCATCATTGAGGGACTCATCGCATTTAGACGCAATGTCCAGGGCGCGTTGAAGGGCCAGAGCGAATGCGCCATCTGCTACAGTATTATCGGCACGGACATGCAAACGCCAAATAAGCGCTGTGGGACGTGTCGGAACACATTCCACAGTGTCTGCTTGTTCCGGTGGTTCAAGAGCTCCAATTCATCGAGTTGTCCGCTTTGTCGGAATAATTTCAACTATGCTTGAAATGGGCCGCGGACTGATGGGGCAGGTGGGAAGACAGTACGGCTTAATGATGCAGGACCGACACGTTCGTGATCGGATGAGACACATGTGACTATGAATATGAACAATACAAGAGTATGCTCATTGAAACCGTGCCATGAATAGCAGGCATATAGATAGTTGAGTCTCAGTTTCAGTTTAGACGAATCTGGGCGGAGACAAGACGTTTTGCCAGAGCGTGCAAGACAAGAAAAATAATTCTACGGTTTCTTCGTGCCTGTTCTGACATCTCATTCCTGTACTGAATGCTGTATTTCTACAGTGACCTCATTTTCCGACGTGTTGAAACGGCTTCCATTCGGACGTTTGTAATCTAGTCCAAATCCCCCGCTGAGACACGTTTATACCGTTAACGGTCAACCCCTATCTCAATAGCATCTCGGCCGAACAGTGACTTCGCTTGCCGAGTGATTGCAAGATGGGCTTGGCTGTGTACATTTATCGGCAACTCCATGAGGAATTCTGTATTTGCCGATGCGAAGTCTCAAGGGAGCAGAACGAACCTAAGGTCTCGTTTTCCTCAAATAGCTTCCACGGCCATCGCACTGTGGCTGCAGGAGACATGGCGCTGCGAAATCCCTCCGCCTTTCCTGTATCCCCTGTATGGCTGGTCACGACATCAGACCAAGCCAGACAGCAGATCATTGGTTTGACCTCGGTAGGGTACCCCAAGCCGATCGGTTTGTAGGTCCAGATTGACGGTTCCTCGTCTTGGCGCTGACGGTATTTCAGGCTTCCTTCAGGGACATGGCTATCAGTACTGTAGAGCGGCTTAGGTATTCTAGCCTTCCACCATGACTGCAGGTAGGCTTGTGGAACTAGCTGGCTGACAAAGGCTTCCCCAAGTCATCCATCGAGTGAGGCCAAACCTGGCATGTAGCGATATTGTCAACAGTAGTAGACTTGGCTTTCGATGTCAACAGCGGAACACTCAGCTCGAGATAGCCTTGGGCGCAAAGTACCAAAGAGCGGCAAGCCCGGAGAGAACGGAAACACCGGCAGCCTGTCGAGTCCATTGAGTCGTTGTATCATCTGCAAGCTTGACCTTCTGGACTGTGTTTGGTCGTTGAGTCATTTTCGACGTCCGAGTCGACTGCGCGTCTTTGCTCCTCCGGGCCAAAATGTCAGCCATCTGAGTTTGATTTCCTTCCTGAGCCTGGGCGAATGATTCGTACTCCTGGACTAGTCGCTTCAAACCCTCAATGTCGTCTTTCAGAAGTTCAGGTCCAGTTTTGTTGTTCCCGTTCTGCTGGACTTCGACACTCTGGACATTGCCGAAGAAATCAACAACTCGTCGACTTCTGCCTGCCCCCTCTCCACCTGGGAATAGATCCCAGCGGACGCCTGGCCTCGAGTGTATTTTGCCCACATCATAGCTGTCGAAGAGATCGCCGAGCGTCTTGTCTGATGTTGGACCCGTGACTTGCGTTTCGAGGAATTCGAGTACGTAATATGTCCATCGGTCAATGACAGCGACCCCAACATCGTTGTCCGCGTGATGCGAATAAGAACTCTCATCTTCTTCGGAAGAGCCCGTTGCAATGACACCTTCAGCGTAGAACTGTCGATACAGAGTGTTGGCCTGACAGGTATCAATCATGAACAGCATTTCATTGTAACGCTTCTTCTCGCGCATCTGGGAGAAGGCGTCGGCCAGGTCCCAACTGGAGATCTCCTCGCTGTCTTGAAATTTGAGAAACTCACTCCCACCATGACCGGTCATGTAGATCAGGATGTTGCTTCCTTCGTCTGTCTGCAACCTCTTGCTGGCGGGGACGCTCTCTTCCCAACGGTCGGTCAATAAGCGGATGAAGTTCTCCACTGTGACTTCATAGCCGCGGTAGTCCACTTCGACATTTTCACCATAGAGGTCCATACGGCGGTCCGCATTGGAGTAAACGGTGCCGGAGAAGGCATTTCGAGGATTGCAGGCCATATCGTCGGGCAGGAGCAGTAGGATCTGAGAATCGGGGATGCCGAGACGTTTGACGGTTCGGTATAGGGAGAGGGTGTTGGCAAGATGGCGGTAGTTGAACCAGAAGCGAGAGGTCGATACTAGGACCGCCCAGTTGGATGTATGGGCGGCATGGGTGATCGCACTCAAGGCCAGGAATGCCCATAGAGAAGAGAGGACTTTCATGATGATGGTGAAATCAAAGATAACGGGTTCCTCGCCGCAAACTCCCAAGTTCAGTAGAATTCCCGTTGCGAGTGAAGCAGAAACATAAAGGAGTACGATGGCTTCACTCAGAGGAGAGTGTCCATCATTGTCATCAAGATCTTGATGATGGATCAATTGCTCAGCAAAGGAGACGCGAGGCTTCCAATACGCGGCGGAGCATAATTATTCCGTCCGCAGTCTTGGCATTAGATTGTCCGACTCTCTGAACTGACAACCACCCCCTACCAGTCATAGAACCCAGCCCTTTTGAGAAGGGTGCGAAGCATTTACTGATAAGCCTCAGCTTCGAAACAAAAAGCCTGTGACCAGCGAGAATTTGAAAATTGGCATTAGTCGATGAATGGGTCGATCAGAGGATGTTCGGAAACGAAACCACTCCAGATCCAGTTACAACATCAATTACTCGTGAGAATCCAGCGATTGCCACATTCGCAATCGATCAGACAAAGTTCCGCCGGATCCTAACGAGAAGATTATGGTAGATTTATGAGGCTGTTCGCTGGCTCGACAGAGCTTCAACGCTCGAGTAGAAAGTGCAATGTTAACATATACCCAAGAGCTATAGCCATCTAAAGATATCAACTGTTCTGACCGACTTGGCCTTCTTTGGCTCCATGGTCTCTGAGCAATTTCTTAATCATAGTTACGATTCGAAGGCGATGATGCTTTCTGTCAACTCTGACCACAGTACCGTTGTTGGTCTCTGTCATGAGGCGATCAAGGTACTCATCGATTCCTCGCGATAACTCCTCCATTGCGTCTCTTAATGCGAAGGCCTTGTGCTCATTGGACAGGAACTCCCAGATCTCACCGTCCACTATCATCCACTTGTTGGGATGCTCATGCACATCGCCACCATTCGAAGTTGTGGTATAGTTCTTTGCACCTTTGGAGTTTCGGAGCTTTTCGAGAATTTTTTCGCGCAAATAATCGTTATAGTAGTCCTCTAGAATAACCGATTTATTTGATTCCGATTTGCCCACGTTCTCTTGTGATTCCAGGAATTGCTTCTCCCCTTCCAACAGCTTCTTCAGACATGAGCCGAGGGCTTTGCCCATACTGTCGACTGTAGTGAAAGTCCACGAACAGCCCCAAGCTTTGCACGGCACTTCTTGGGAGATCTGTGGCTTTACATCATCCTCGCAGCGTCCTAGTTGCAGATTCGGAACCTGACATCCCAAAATGATGAGTCAATGTAGCATCTCTGGCACCAAGACGCTCATCGATATCCCTGTCGTAAAGCTCAATGGTGGGAGCTCTTTGAGGCTGATTCGTAGACCCAGAGGGTGGTGTTTGGCGTGCAGTCCCGGTTGATCTTGTATTCATCTTCAATGGATGGTATCGCTCGTCTCTCATGGATAATTCCCAATAGTCGGTGTCGGAGTCGGAGTCTTCTTGCTCTTCGTCTTCACCCTCTCGATTTATAGGAAGTGCTATATAGCCTTGTTCTACTCATTCGGAGTCAGTAAGATGTATGAGCTATCCAAGCTAGGCGTCTTTTTACCTTGGATTCTTGACGCCTTCTGGTGTTCCACTCTGCTCTTTACGATAGGTTGTTTCCGTCGACGAGTTGTTCCCCTGTGGGAAGCGCCCCTCCGTAGGTTATCCAGATAACAACGACGTTGAGCCTTGATGAGTGTAGCTACTGATTCCAAGATTTCACTAGGACTTTTCAAGGTGTTCGCCGCGACGTTCGCTATATCGCTATGCCCGATGAATGCTTGTGCTATTGGTGAAATGTCAATATGGCTGATCTTTCGAGTTGGATCGAGTGGGAGGCGTGATTTCCAGAAGGCTGAAATTTCTTTCCCAAAACGCTGTTGATCAACAGAGCTCGTTATGCCCAATGCTTTCCAGCTTCTTCCGACACGTGGACGATTCTTACTGACCATTGAGGCATACAAGGTTGGAAGTTGTATTCTCCACGTCAGGCTGAAGGTCGTTTGGTCTTGAATTGTGAAAAGCACCGAGGAATATTGGCACAGGCTCAGAACTAAAAAGGGGGTTGGAACTCTTATGCCCCTAGCGGTATCACGTACCAGGGATCTGGATATGCTCTCATTTCAAAAAGCCACTACTGTAGGCGATCAACAATATCACAGGTAAAAGCGCTAAAATTAGCTTTGATTGATGACGGTACACCCTGGCACGTATCCGAGTTCAGGCTTTTGAGGTCTACTTGGTACCGTACCAAGACAATTGCAACTATTGCAGTCGCCGGCCTATATGATCGGGTTAGCGGCGTGCGCCGTTTTCCCCAGGATGCGCCCTGCAGGGCGCTTCTAGCCTGTTTTAGACGCTGCACGAAGTACTTCTCGCTGAGACCAGCGGTCAATGATGGTTTAAATGTCGACATGTGCCTAATTACTTCTACTATTCCTCATTCTGGCACCTCTCTCTCAGACACCAAGGGACCTAATACACACACTTCTATCAATGCATAATCTGTCTATTCATTCAAGTTCAGTGACGGACACACACCGGTTTGAAGCAGTGGAACCGATGGGCCTGTGTGAAGTGGGGACTGACAATGTTTGCCAAGGCGCCAGGAGCTAGAAGGGCACCTCCGCGCAAAAGACATGATACCTCGCAGCCTTCTTGTTCACGGCCAGGTCTGGCTCAGGCCTGTCAAAATATTCTCAGACACTTATGTGTACAGATTTTATTCGCCTCTAGGGCGTTTCCTTGCGGCTGAGAATAGCGCAGAGTATTGGAGGCTGAAGCACACAACGGGGCCGATTGGAAAATAAACGGATATGGGCTGTCTATGTTTGATGTATATATGCTAAGTGTCCACAACCCCATTTGCCATACTGCTTGGTACCATCGAAACTAAGAAACGTGGTATGAGAGAATTTTGATAGTAGGCAAGGCTAGGTTCTCCGCTCTCCGCTTCCTGACAGCAAAGTATATGGATCTGTACGTCGCCGATTGGCTTTTAAGTCAGACAATCGAGGCAGAAAGCAATTTCAGTCTAGCTTATATCAACAGTCAACATGCTCCGAGAACTTTGGACCAGAATTGCGTTATGATTGTGATGCAGGGGACCCTCTTCGATGCGATATATCCAGCAATGTTGCTTCTTGATCCGAAGAAACCGGGACGAGCAGTAATTTTAGGATAACAAGTATTCCCTACTCATACGCATCTCGTAACGAATTGTGCTTTTGGTTCCACCCTACTATAAGATCCTCAATATTACTCTGAAACCAAACTGGAGTATTTTTGGGTATCGTCTAGGTTCCACTACCTAAGGCTAGGTAGTGTGTCTCTACCTGTGTACGGACCAGGGTTGTGAACTGATCTCGCTACCAATTGCCCTAAAGCGTGGTTGTGACCATATCTCACCGAACTCTCTCTCCGTAGAGGGGTGTATTTATGACGCAAGGTACGATTCCCAAACTTAAAGGGTTGAGGGCCCAGCATAAATACCGAGCTATGGGGAGCAGAGCGCTCTGGAAAGGATACTGAGTGGCTGGGCACCCCGCTCAAACAAACGATGATGTGACGGCCACTTCCGTAACTCTGACAAGTGCTCTATTCTTGCCGATTGTAACATGTCGTCAGCCAGGGTCGTTTATACTTCACGTCAATTGCTATCTGAGAGACCACTGGGGAACTAGCTAAGCTGAACGTGTCCTCATAAATCTGTAGCTTATTGAATCTACGCCCCCAAAAGTCATTGTTGGAAAAGTCATTTTTGGCTGGAAGTGAGAAGCCAATACTAGTTATGCTGCCACCGTTCTCGTTAAGGCTAGAATTGCAGGTTGGGTCTGTACCTGCGCTGCTGTAATTAGCCAGCTAGATATGAAAGTTCGCGCCGTTTTCTGACGAGGTCATGTATGTGTGCGAGATCAGAACATCAAGAAACCTTTGTATACAATTCTTTATTCTCGTGCCACGGATCCAGACTCGATAGTCATCCAGTGTGCTCTCGTTCTGAGGCAAGAACGAATTCTCTACTAGTTGAGCATACTGTGTTTCAAGCTGCTAGTCAGTAGATTCCTCATGCCAACCTAATGTTTTGTTGACCCGTACGAAAAATAACGACGTGAATTTCTATAAGTAGATAATTCACAGATAGAAGTAATAACTACGCACCACCACGCCAATTGGGCTTCCCTCACTTTAGAGAACACTATTGACTATTTATGTTCCATCATCCAAAGAACATTATGCACCATTTCTTGTTCACAATAAACGACCAGGATATCTCTGATATTCATGAAAGAGAGCTAAAATCCGGCAGCTGGCACATTCGACTAGCCATTGACTTGGAAGAATGGAAATGGTGGGCTGACTACGAGTTTCCCTCTCATATCTCCACCTCTTTCGTCCGATGGCACTTGCAAGTCGAGAAGCAAAACCTGACCGGTTTTTGACAAGTCAAGATCCGCAAGATTAATCCACAGAAACATTGGGTAGATACTACTTTCCCAGAAGTATTTGAGGGCTCTGGTGTCAGCATATGTACGCCACAAAGTGGAAGCTACATCAGGTGATCCCGTCCCGATAGGGGGTGATGGTGTGAACGGGACACTGACGGCTCGGATCATAGATGCCGCCACGGCAACAGATTCCTCGGCATTGCTCGAGGGAACGGTGACGTTATTATAGTAGCTTAGTCGAGCAAAGCGATCGGCGGGGCGACGTGTACCTGGGAGACTCTGATTACCGATGGGTAGCCAGTATTCCATAATAGCGAGCTGTTGTTGGTATGACGGGTTATTGGTCATAACTGAGTATTGTTTGCCGTGGTGAACAGTCAACACTCCGTCAAGGAATTCGAGAATAAGGTTATCCCCTGAGGGGTCGGTAAGCATGAGATGGCCGAGAGATGGTTCGCCCGGTATTAATTCTGCTGTGACGACTTGCAGCTTCTCCTTTCCATCAGCGGTATAGAGATCCTTGGCAGCTTCGTCCACTGTGGCGTAGTTGTCGAAGAAATACTGTAGCCATGCACCAACAGATATTGCAGGGATAGAGAGGTCTCGTTTCCCGTAGTCACTGTTAGACAGATACAGAAAATTTCCAACCAAGCCTTCAGAATTGATCCCGTCCACTGTGGCAGCTTCATACATGGCAGTGATCACTGAGCCGTACTTTGAGGTCCAATTGACAGAATTTTCCCCTGCAGAGCCGTTACGAGACATCCCCGCAGGAAAAGCCCAGATAGAGGCATTGGTGGTCATGAACCAATCCATCGAGCGGCCAGTGGTGATACGGTTGTCATCTGTGCCAGTGCTATTGTAAGTCACTCTGGAACATGCCCATGATGGTGATGCAAAGAGTGACAAGCCAGCTAGAACAGCAAACAGTTCCCACATCATTTCCGGACGGTACTGTCGATTCAAAGTTTTGTAAGAAGAATTGTGGAAAGAAAGTTTGGCAAGGCGAGTGGTGCTGTTCTATGGTTGAACACAAGCAGTTCACCAGAAGAACCAGCCTTTTATAACATAAAAACATCAGTTGGAAATCCGAGAACTCTTGTTCTTTATTGTCAACGGCCCTATCTAAAATGAAATACAAATAGCATGGCAGCACATGCCTTTTGATCGGAGTCTAATTACATTAGAGGCTTAATACTAATGGTCCTCTTCTTAGAGAGTAGTATGAGTGAACTTAATTACCTTGCACTTATTCTTTGCTGAGGCCAAGAAGTCTATGGGAACCTGAGCTCTAGCGAGAGCTAGAGCACGCTAATGATAAAAAGAATAGGAGAGAAGTATTACGTATGTAACGCTAAGCAGGAGAGCTTGAAGGCTAGTAAAAAGATCTAATTCTAGGCAGAGGTAACTGACTCGAGAACTATTCAACGACTGAGGAACGTTGCTCCGTCGCCACTGAGTGTTACGGATTACTATTCGACTAAGAAGTTCATATAGAGTAAATAAATTAGACGCGTTTCTGAGTGATGGAGGACTCAATAAATCTAACTGGTACTAACAGAGTTTATGCAGAGTTTGGAACTCCGTACCTCACATAGAGAAATTAGAGTGTCCCTAAACTCTCCAATTGAGAATTATTCATGGCTGATGAGAATATCTGTAATAGTCGACTTTACCATCAGAACCATCATTATTATATCGATAGTTATAGATTAACCTTCTTTGGCTTACGAAGGAGGTGAAGGGGCTACGAGCCACTCCCTTACGGCAAAGACCACTTCCAATAGAGTGGCTTAAAAATTGGTTGTGCACAGGTTCATTACTAGGAAGTCAAAGCTTGAAAGGTAACCCCTTTAGGTCTTGACACATGCAAACGCAAAACATAGCGCACGGATGGTGTTTAATTGAAGCTTGGACACTCATGAGTGATAATCGAGATTCTTGGCTACACGCACAGATAACTAGGTAATGTACTGGGATTTAGCGACAGGTGAATTTACCGTCTTTATCATCACTCTATATACCTTGTCAGAAAACACGTCTCCTCTTGGTCAATAGTATGTTTAAGTCGGGCTTTTCAGTCCATAATATGTAATTTTTCTGATCGTCCCAGTTTTTGGACTCCACACACAGTTCGAGGTCAAAATTCCATAGTATTCTGGCAAGAATCAGGCGCATCTCGTTGTAAGCCAGGTTTTTTCCAATGCAATTACGCGGTCCTACATGAAATGGCTGTAAAACGTCACGATTATCGTTGTAGAATGGAGACTTTGGTTGTAAAGCCTCTGGTAGCCATCGCTCAGGGTGAAATCCCAATGGGTCATAAAAATTGGTCGGAGACCAGTACGTTGCAGAGTGATGGACACCAACCATTGTCTATCGTACACAAGTCATTTGTTCAGCACGTTGGTGATGTAAATGAGGAACCATTTCCACCGGAATGGGGTAGACTCACATATGCAGGCACATCAATCCCAGATATCGTTGTCGGATCTCCTGCAAGTGTTGTCCTCGTCATAGTACCAGGAAAAGGTGGATAACGACGCAAAGCTTCATTGAGACAAGCAAGCATATACGGGAGCTTTGCCGTGGCTGTAGTAAAAGTGATTTCTTCTTCATGCTCAAATTGCGCACGAACCTCATCTGTGGCTCGCTTGAGAATTCTATAGTTCTTCGAAAGATAGTATGTGACACCGCAGAGTAGTGTTGCAGTTGTCTCAGACCCGGCAAGGACGAGGATATTGGAATTCGATATTAGCTCAGACTCATTAAGCTCGAGCTCGTGACCCTTGTAGCGCAGCATAGACTCCATGAAATCCTTTCGGCCTTGGAGATTTTTGTTGTTAATACGGTTGAGCACAGTCTCCTTAGTCCACGCGAATTGTGCCTTCCGAATTTCGCGAGATTTACTGGACATGAAGAGTTGGATAATCCTCAGAAGATTTGGATATTCATACCCAACGCGAAGAAGTGCCCCAGTCCGAACGAACCTCAAGATGTTCTCAACCCAAAAATGTGTTTGGCTGTTCACTAAGCACTCGAAGGATTGTCCGAAGGCGAGGTCACCGATCAGGTCAAAGGTGGTGTAGTTGTACCATTTTACCATGTCCGTTTTGAGACCAGTGACAGCTATGTCACCCAGCTTTTCGATTAGGAGGTCAATATACCTCGTCATCAAAATCTCTTGATCGCGCAGCGCTTTCTCAGAGAATGCGTGTGACATGGCTTTTCGGAAGCGTGCGTGGTTTGCATCATCGGCACTGATGATGTTGTGAACTTCGTTTAGGGGGCTTCGTCGTGTCTTAGGAAGCTGGGGATGGCCAAAACCGTAAATATCTGCCCACGCCTGAGCAGTGGTGAATGAAAGCTCACGAGGGCCCAGGCGAATAATGGGTCCGTGATCAAGGTGCATCTGTCTGATCTCGGAGTCTAGCTTGCCCCGGAGAGATGCGATTTGTTTTGATATTGGAAAGATCACCCATGTCTTCCGGCAGGGGATGTGAGCGAGAGAGTTCCAGTAAAGATGGTAGATGGCGATCAAGATTGTGTACAATACATAACAACCCGCTGCGATAGTAAGTATGGGCAACATTCTTGTCTGTGAAAAAGCGGTTATTTCTGAAGTGGACTACAGTAAGCGGTGCTATGTTGGCACAATGAGGATATCAATCACCAACGGTTCGTTTACAGACTTCTTACTTATTTCCGTGATCATTGGGAAACGTCTATCTAACCATTGGTACATTAGAATCTTATTGTCGCGGCGTGTCACTGAGTGACGCGGCCACTGCTGCTCAGTTCTTCTTGGTAGGTTGTCTCCGATCTTGAGCACCCCACAAAGGAGCGCAATCTACCCGCATACACCGAGCGCCATATGCGGTAGCCATTTGACTGCCTACTTAGCGTTGAACGTTTCCCTCTGTCAACGTCTCGAATTTGGATCAAGGGAAATGAAACACTGCTCTCTAAGTAGTTTTCACCAGATATCGGGAATGATCGGACTGCCTCCCCAACACCGTAGCCGTGCCGATTGATTTGAATGGCCGTGACTACCCTAATCTCGACTGGTGTTCACACGGAAATGAGCGCGAGACCAGGGGCTGAATACCCGATCGAGTAGGGTTTAATAATAGATCAAGTAGACAAGCGAGCGACTTTCCAGCCCAGAAATACCTTTTGCTTGATCAAATCTTTTTCGGAGCAGCAGGAACCATGGGAAATGGTCTATTACAGGCAAGTTGCCGAGGCTGTGGACCGGACTGCGTGGTCGTTTAAGAGAACATTGCGGGAAAGCCAAACGAATCAAATCTTGGCCTACATGATAGATACCCACCTGAGGTACATTATGTTTTGTCTTGCTGCTATTAGAACGGGGTACAAGGCTTTGTCTTTCTCAAGCAATGGGCTAATGTTTTTCTGTCCAATCTAACGCCACGAAAGTTATTGACCTCGCCACTTCACTCAGTGCAGGGCCATTCTAATCTTCTTAATGCTCTGAATTGTAAGGAGGTTTTTATGGAGTGAAGAACGCTTCTCTCGAATCCGTCCCATCAAAGATGCGGTGCCAGGGCTCCAGCTGTGGGAGATTCTTGCACCAAGGGAAATGCTTGCAGCAAGGTCGAAGCCATTTCCAAGTACATTTACGTATATTAGGAACTTTAACAATGTTGCCATGGTATTTCAAAGTTGTTGGTCAATAGATACAGGGGAACTTCCTACTGGTCGTAAGAATGCGAAATTCCTTGACATCGAGACGGGGCTTCCAAAACCGGTTCGCATGGCTCATGGATATCTTGCGGCTCCTTTATTCCCATAACGTACTCCCATTATTTTCTGGCGGCCGTAGAGCAATCATGAGCACAATGAATTTGGACGACCGAAGACTTTGCCTTCATCCATTCTTCCACCTCTCGGGGGAGTTTTCCTCGCGTTTTTGGAGGCAATCTTCCGCCGATTGGAGTTCCAATATGCCCTGGCAAGCAAAGGTCAACTCAGCAGGTAGAATATATCCTTCTGGGGGTATGTATAATCAGGGTCGTATTCCAAACATATATTCTGGAAGATCTGATCCGTTTCGCAACGCGGGATTTGACCGGTCAGACAAATAAGTATCCTATTTCGTTTTTGGAGGGGCACCTCTATCGACCAGCATTGGTGTCCGAATTAGAAATCTGACTCAGCTGACTACAAGCTACGCAGCTATTGAGTCAGGAAATGTAGTCAGGATTTTTCGGACTGTAAGGATTGGGGCTGCAGTGAGTGGAACCCCCATATGGGCGCGGATATGCGCGAGGCTGAGGTAGTAACAGTAATATTGTGATAAAATGTTTTTTGATGCGGCCTACAGACTCGAGCAAGCTGCCTCACTTGAAGGCAGGCGTGATCATAAACTTACTCAAACTGGTAGTTTGCCGGGACTCAACGTCACTTCACTCGCATAACTGCTGTACGTTGGAGAGAGACGCGGCGGACAGATTCACAGGGCAACGCAAGATCCATCTTCATGTCTCGAAGCTTTAGGACGGCGAAGTGCTTCCAATTTTTCTAAATCCTTTTCCCTTTGCGAGTGATGGCTCTGGACTCCACCATCTAGGTTTCAGCAAGAAGAATCGACTGGAAATTTGCCTCTCCGGGATCAGGAGTTGCTAATCGAAGTATTCAGAAAGATCGAAAGACACTCATTTTCTGTCGCCGATATCAATAAGAAACTTGAGACGTGGTGAAGATCAACTTCTCCTATAAATTTCGTTGAACTGGACTTGATGCCGTGGTTTATCTAATGGTCACAATATGAAAATCCATGAACTTGCAGATCGTTCAAAATTCACACTTCACTAGCTCGGACATATAAACAGCGATGGAAAGCTGAGTTGATCCAGTCTATCTGTAGTTCCAAGGTCCTCACGAGCCGACGCCAGTGCCTGGAGACTGCCTTCAGCGATGTTCAGGGTTGATATTAGCAGTAGATATTCCACGACCCATGGGGCGTCATTGTTTTGAGTACTGGGATTAGATACCCATAGTCAGCCACAGATTACCAAGAGCGCCACTTTACAGGCTCAACCTAGCGAATCAACCGTCCTGCTTCTAGTAAAAACGAATCAGTCCTGATTTGTGGGGTGCAACAAAATCACCCTCCTTTGAGATATGTGTATACGCCATCCGTACCTAGGAGTAAACAAGTTGAGATTCCAGTTCAGGTTCTTAGAAAGGGAGGCATCATATAGATAGGATAGAAGAAGAGATTGATGCCCAGCACCCAACAGAGCCTTGAAGCTCCGTCAACATTCACTTTCTTTGATCCACCAACAATGTCCTAGATTCGGGAAGTCGTAGCCAAGTAATATTTCCGTCTGCAGGACCTCGGTTGCTACACTATTTACCCCGCAAAGGCAGCACTGCTTCATTGTTGACCTATTATTAGAAGGACGTCCCACTCACAATCTGTATTCTGCACCAGTCTCTCAACCATGGCAAACTACGATACTATTCCAGACATGGGCTCTGGCCTTGTCAGTACCATAACTGGCCTCCCTCCAGTGCAGCGTCACATCGTCGGCCATGACACGCATGGTAGGAGTGTCTATCTGGATTCACCAGCTATAAAATACTACCCAGTGCCTAATGCTGGAGGAACAGCTCGATCTTACGCTATCGCCTCGGTACCAGCTGTTCTCCACGAAGATGCTGACTTGAAAGCATATCTATCAGCAGACGGTCCGACGAGTTATACGATGAAAAATATTGTTCCTACTACGCCCGGGGCCAATCTCCTTGTCGTGGATCTTATCCCAGGTGCTAAAAGTCAACATCATCAGACAGTTTCCATTGATTTCTCGATATGTGTCTCAGGCGAGATTGTACACGAATTAGACAGTGGCGAAGAAGTCCGGTTGTTCCCAGGGGTTAGTCAAATCCCCCACTGCCCCAAAAAGGGGACCAGAGTCATAAAGCATTGAAATTTGAGGGGCTAACTGAATTAATAACTTTTGTGAGTATTAGGACCATATAATCCAACGAGGAACGATGCATCGTTGGAAGAATGGCTCCGACACTAAGCCAGCACGGTTTATTGCCGTCACACTCCCCTGTGAGACGTTTAATATTGGAGGGAACCAGCTGCAAGAGAAGCATCTCAAATGAGCCGAGCTTGTGAATGGTGAAACGGGATAGAAATCGAAAGCTAGGCCGGGGATATTCCAAGTGTTGTCGAGATAACACATTGAACACAAACGAGAAATTGTAATCATTCATTTAGCTATCAGTTAATGATGTCTTCCTCGTTATTTATTGCTTGCCACGACGAGGGCTCGAGCAAGGAGCTAGTTTGAAGAGACGTTCATATCACAGATGTAAGACAAGTCTCGTTCTTGTTTAAGCCATAGAATGTGCCTCCTGGTATCAACTTTGATAACACAATTACCGCAGCAAACGGAGACTACCAAAAATGGGTTGATTAATTCCAATCTTGAGAAACGGAAAGTAAAAGTTGCGATTTCTCGCAGAGTGTCACTATTGATACCGTTTTTCGTACCTAGTCATCACAACGTACTAGTAGATAAGTCACCTAGAGTGCCTTCCATGCTGGTAGCAGTCATGTATGTGAGGTGCAGCCCAAAGTCTACAGGATATATCTGAAGGATGGGTGGGCATCGTTGAGCTGCTCGAGGCTTGCTTCCACACCAGGAAGCGGCTCTCCTTTGCTTTCATATTCTTGCTTCAAAGCATCCTTCTTTCGGTTGTCTGACCTCATTATGCACCATTTCCCCAATAAACATACTGCAGCCAAAGTTTGTAAACCCAAGACAACTCCATGGCCTTTCAAAAATCGTGGTGGCTTGTCGTAGATCTTCGTTCCCAGGATACTGTACGCCTGAAGGCAGAGATGACAAAATGCCCAAGCTGTTGACCGCTTTGTGTAACCTCCGTATGTTGATAGAACCCATGTCGCGGCGAGAATAACTCCAGCGTATGACCCGGCCGACACTAGCGATGTACCAATTATCCTTGAGGCTTTGTCGGTTGTGACAAGGAGTAATATCAAACCCACTGCACAAAGGCAATAACAAAACAGAATAGGGATTGCTCGCATTATGAAGCGATCAGCAAACCAACTGATAGCGGGCAAGGCTACTGCAGCAGTAGCATAAGGAACAATAGTGAATAATTGCGTAGTCACTATTTCGGTCAGCAGGTCATCAGCAGATAAATTAATGTGAACTTACAAGGTGAAAAACCAAATTCTTTGATGAATGTTGGGAGAAATAGCCCAAAAGCGGTAACACCAAGACCGAAAGGTGCAACTATCAATGCGTCTAGATATACTTTGATATCTTTGAAGGCACTCGAAACCTGGCGAGGTTGGAATTTGGCCTCGGCATCATTATTTGCTGATAGAGTGTTAGAGTTGGAATTGAATCATGAAAAGATAGCAGTACCTGCGACCGTCCTCTCAAGTATGAGCTCTCTCTCAACCTTACTTGAAAAGAGCCAAGTCCCCTTGTCCGCGACTGTCTTTGGCCTTCCAGGCAGAGCAAAGAAGGCTAACATACCCCAAGCAATGGTAGGAATACCTGAAGGTCGTGTCAGTAAGCACAGTGCTCGTTTTACAAAGGCTTGACCATACCTTCCACAATAAACAGCCATTTCCACGATGCGATGCCATTTGTTCCATCAAGGTCTTTGGCAACACCATAGGCAATTAAACCACTTACAGCTCCAGCCAGTGGACCCGAAACGTAGAACAAAGCACACCTAAGTGCGATCTCCTTACGAGTATACCATAATGAAAGGTATACAAATCCAACCTGGACAAAAGCCTCGCTAAGACCAAGTAAGAGTCGCACTGCGATGAGTGACCCGTAGCTCTTGACTGCCGCAATACTTGTGGCAAGTATGCCAAACACCATTGTTGCCAACCCAAATTGATGACCTGGCTTGAAGTACATTAAGCCAAGACAGCAGAATAGTTCGATAAAGGCATAGCCAATGACTGCGTGGAATTATAGTTAGTAAAACATGATTCCGTTGGCGGATATGCTCAGAGGCGTACAGAACACAAGTAGACAGTTGTAATACTGGCCGTTGCTGATGCTTAAGTCTTTCTGCAAACCCATGATGCGGGCATTCCCGATTTGGCCTCGATCCTGGCATTTATTAGCAGAGCATATGAAACAATAACATCATGTTATGACTCACCACGTAAGAGAAAAAGAAGCATAAGCCCAGCAATGGAAGCATAGTGAGGTCTTGTTTCAAGACCAGCCTCCTCTCAATCTTTTTCTTGGCGGCAACTACCTGAGCATTCTCTAAACTAGCGGCACCTAGTCCAGAGTGCTGCTCCAGATGCTGATGTGGAACAAGCTTCTCATCAACGGTGAGATGTGGTTCGTTCATGTTTGGAGATTCCATGAGCAACAATAGGACAAAGCGATTTACAAACTCTGGAGTAGTTATGGTACGCAAGTCATGGGATATGATTTCTTTTATACCATTCCCCACCTTGATGGACTTGACTGAGATGAGAATCGTTTATAAGACCTCCCGCATGTCTGACGGACAAGAGAAGTTCAACTCTGGGTTTGTGTACAATCCTATGAAGTCCGAACTCATGAGCCGATCCGAGACCTCTAGTCAATTCTAGGAGGAGTGCACGAAGTTGAGACTTGAAGATACGGTCTAAAGATCTCATCGCGGCATCGGCCAAATCGGCCAAATCGGCCAACCGGCTGATCTAAGACTAGGCTTTTTACGCTTGCCCATTGGTAGGTGACAGACTGACGGCTTACAATGTCCCAAGACTTCAATATCATTGGACTGGCCCAGTGGCTATTTCGATCGCTGTGCACAGCCGCCTCCGTTGTAGGTCGACCTTCTTCAGAGAACAGGTTCGACAAAACGACGACATCATGTTGTGGATGAAGATAGAACCATTTGAATGAACGATTTGCAGTGACCCTAGACTTTAGTTTCAACTTTTTCGCTGGCATTCCCCCAGCTTTCATCCGTTGTAATCATCCTAGGCCAAAGAACTCAAGTGTGAGGGAAATGACCCCCAACTTCAAATTCTGGGTACATGCCGAAATAGTGCTGATCCATCGCCATGAGATCTGAGAAGATATTTTCACCACCAGAGTTCTCTGCCAGTGTGCTATCGTGTATCAGTACGTTGCATGACTGTTGAGACAAAAAAGGATTGGGCTTCCCGCGAAATTCCTGGCGCCACCACCACATGCAATCGAAGAAGCAACTCATTGACTGCCAAGTGTGTTAGACCATGATTTACTACGTCAGAACATCCTCGTGTTTCTTACCAGCCTGGTACGGACCCTGACTTTGAGAGAATCGATGTGTCCAGTTTCGTCACGAAAAATTGCAGGACTGGACCACAGCTCTGTCAAGATTGTAGCCAGTTTCGCATCCAGATCAGGAGTATCGCTGGCTCTGCGCCTGAGTAGCCTCACTGCCGCGAAATAAGCTCTTTCTCCCCTCTCTTTTGAAGGGCCCGTGAGTAACGACGATCGATATAGTTTTAATATCACAACCGCAGCCAAGCCCAGTGATCGTGCGATGAAGAAAGTAGCATATAGTCCAAGTTCGATGGACGCATCTAGCGGCGCAAATCTCTCGATAATCTGGAGAGCAATCTCATAGAGCTCTACAAGGCCAACAGCATCCATCTTCTCCGTCGGCTTCATGAAACGAGCAACACAGATATGTAGTCGCACGCAACAAGCCGATAGCCTGTCTGTGTATTGTTCAGTCCCATTGACAAGATTGAGATCATAAACATACCAGTCTCGTCAGATAGCTCTGACATAAGGTTTATTACTCGTTCATCGAAAATTTTTATGAAACTTTCAATGCTATCGCTGGCCTCGTTGTCCATGTAACAAGCTACAGTCGTTGAGATGGCAGATATATGGATGTGATGGAGTTCCACTCGAGCTCTATGATGGCTTGTGTTTGGATCGTTCCCTCGTGAGCGAGGGCTGAAAGCATGGATGAAAGTGGAAGGTGGAAGACCGTCACCAATGCTTGCACTACCCACGTCGCATGAGTCTTATGATGTAAAGTCTCAATTTCCTTAAGGCAGAGCGAAGGTTCAAGAATACTGACCTTTGACATACAATGCAACAGAACTGCCACAAAACTGCTCGGTTTGCTTGCTCCGTCGCATGGGCCTCGACACGTACCCGTGCGAAATCTTGGCCCACACCAGACACATGAAGTCCAATCTGGAGAGCCAATTGCATCGCTGCACCTGCCAGAGTATGAATTCTATCTTGAAACATGTGCCGAACAGGCAATGGCCAAGAACAAAGAAGCAGCAAACCTCGAACTATCTGAAGTGGGGTCTTGCATTGTTTGAGACTTTCCAGTGCCAGATCGATGAGGCGTTGGGAAAGGACGTTGAATATGGTTGGGTCATTACTATACTTACGTGAACCCAGGGCGACAATGGTCCAGAACAGGAAAGAGCACGACTCGAAAATAATGTTCGGACATGAAGACGTGTCAACGATCGGGACTTGAGGAGAATAATGGATGAAGAATCTGGAGATTTTAGTTGGTGGTACCTGTGTTCGAAAACTCACTTTCTGTTCACAATCACACTTACAGATTGAAGCAGTCATCGATTTTGTGTGCAGCAACTTGAAAAATCCCAATACTCCTGCCTAAGGTTGCTGTGCTCGAGGATGCCGCGACTGCCAATGTTGGACAATATGGGACCTCAACGTTGTGGAAGGGCGAGTCTCGGGTGGAAATGCTACTGCCCTCTTCCCTTTCGTGCGAAGTCCCTAGAAGAAGACTCGGACTCCGGTCAAGCGTGACTGCATCTGGCTGATGCAGAGATTCATGATCCTCAGTCGCATCGCGGATCCGTTGTATCTCTTGCAGGAGCTCAGACTTTCTTCGGGAGGTCAGCGATGTCTCATCTCGTGTTTGCATCCTTCCGACTTACGTCGGCTTCTTGACTCTTTGGTAATCACCGACGATTTTGCACTCGATTCCCAGGCGCTGGCAGCGAATACACGCCTTTGAGTAGTCTTCATGTGCATTACATTTCAGCTATCGGCACTATGAGTATCACCTTGTTCGCATTCTGGACCTTCGACTGACCTTCTGTTGCCGACACTCTTTGCAAGCTATGGGTCTGCGTCGGCTCGGCCTCGCTGGTGATGAAGTTGACTTGTTCATTATGAGCACGTGAAGCTGAAACAAGAACGACCGAGACCATTTTCTGGCCGAAATATACGTGATTGAACCCCGCGGATGTGTTCGAAAGCGGGGAAAATTCATTACGCGAGGGTCAGAGCTCGGCCGATCTATCGGTCAACTGCGCAAACCGGGCCGAGTAAAATCCAACACTCCGAAGGGTCTCCAAAAGGCATACTTTCTGTGGCAGTCTATTGCCAACCTTCAATGCGATTTCTCGGAGGCCTAGAACATGAGAAACGTTAGGCATATAATTCGGCCTTGACCACCTCCTTGATCTAGAGCTATCATTCAAGTTAGCTCTTACCCAGCAAGCAGCGCATTAAGGCAAAACACTACCGACACTATGTCTTTGACAGCAACAGCAACAACGAGTAAAGCAATCACGGTTTCACCACCCATGCAGAGCTCTGCGAATGGCGTTCAAACTGATAAGCCAATCGATATCCCCGCAGATGCAAAACGAGTTTTTGATGTTCTAATCAGTGGCGGCCTTGCTATTGTCCCAGCCAGCATAGGCTATGGGCTGGTAGCCATAGTTCCCGAGGCACTGGAACGTGCGTTCGTTACTAAAAAGCGTATGCCCCACAAACGTCACGCCATGATTGGGAGTTATAGCCTTCATAAAGAACTACACGTCCTGCCTCCACGCGAAGCAGGCATGGTAGAATTGTTGTGTCAGGACTTCAACCTCCCTCTCGGAGTTATTGCGCCTTTCAGGGCTGATCACCCTCTTGTCCAAAAGTTGGGTGCGGAGACTCTGGCCAGAAGCTCCGTGGATGGCACATTGGCAATGCTGGTCAACGGTGGTGCGTTTCAAGACGAGCTTTCGCGGTTGGCAACAGAGGCGGGATTACCATTGATGGGCTCATCCGCAAATTTGACAGGGAAAGGCACGAAATCACTGGTGGAGGATATCGAACCCGAGATTCTGAGAGTCGCTGACATTGTGATCAACTACGGCAAACGGACCTATTCTACACCTCGTCCATCTTCAACAATGATCAACTTCAAGGAACTAGAGCTTATGCGGTTTGGAGCATGCTACGATGTGATACAGGATGTCTTTAAAAGATTCTATGGGGTCGAGTTTCCCAACGATCCAGGCCAAGAGGTCATTTTCTCGGGACATCTTCGAGAAGCAGCGAAGAAACTGTAGAGATTGAATAACCCTAGTGAGAGATTACTTGCTGAAGCCTCACAGAAGCCGCAATCTGAGCTTAACACCTCAGACAAGTCTGGTGGAAAGTTCATAAACCTATATACTTCACACACGATTCACTACCCTGCGGTCTACTAATGGCAATCTGGCATTTGTTGAACACACTAAGTGTTGTGATCCGTTATCGAGCACTGTATCGAGAGATGATTTAGTTCTCAGGACGGTGTGTCTCAAGCACCAAGTGAAAATGCTAGTGGTCGATGACCCTGTTCCGTCAACTAAACCCTGGCGGTGATTCCACGCACACTTGTTTCGATAGAATGCGCGACCAAGCAAACACTCTGGGTAACCATGGCTGACAAGTACTCTCTACCTACCTTGAATATTTCCAAAGCTGTATGGCCAGGTGGTGCTGGTAAACGCTAGAATGATGACAAGGATTCGCGCCCATGTCTCGGTATCTCTGTCCGCTCATTTGCCCCTCCAAACCCGCCACTTCAACCGGTCGAAGTGTTCGGCATGAATCACCTCGGGGAGCCCGTTATGCTGTGGTTGCTGTAATTGAATATGGTATTAAGTATGTCATTATCTCGAATCATGCACAGCTGCTCACCTAGGTAAACCAATATCTCAATTTTCAACATTCGATCATGGATGCGTGGGCCATTGTTGAATATGGGAAGCCTATTCAGAAAGTGCGAATTGCACTGCCGGAGCCAAAAGACTCGGAGGTACTGATCAAGGTCACGCATTCTGGTATTTGCCACTCTGATCTCCATATATGGGAAGGATTTTATAATCTGGGAGGTGGCAAAAAGATGCAGATGTCAGACCGAGGGGTAACACTACCTCATGCAATGGGTCATGAGGTGATTGGCACTGTTGCACGACTAGGACCTGATGTGAATGACTTAGGGATAGGTGATCGCCGAATTATATTCCCATGGATCGGTTGTGGCCTTTGCTCGACATGCCTCAAAGGTCATGAGAACCTATGTGACAAACCCCAGAGCATAGGTATCTTTCAAAATGGTGGTATGGCGACCCACGTTCTGGTCAAAAACCCAAAGTATTTGGTGGACCCTGGGAATGTTGCCCCAGAGATGGCCTGTACATTCGCTTGCTCTGGGACAACGGTGATGAGTGCTATACAGAAGTTGTTCCCATGGTCGTTGGAGCGACCGGTTCTGGTGATTGGTGCAGGTGGCCTCGGTCTCACAGCCGTTTCTATACTCAAAGCCATTGGGCATCGGGTCATCCTTAGCACGGATCTCAACTCTTCCAACCGTCAGGCAGCACTCAAAGCAGGGGCTACTGGGACAGTTGACGCAAAAGCGGTTGATGCTCGTGAGCAAATACTTACTATATCTGGAGAACCAATACTCGCAGTGCTCGACTGTGTCGGCAATTCCGAGACTGCGGAATTGGGCCTTGCCGTATTGGCAAAAGGTGGTAAGATGGTAGTTATTGGATTAATTGGAGGAGAGCTCAAACTATCACTGGTAGCTTTTGTTGCAAGAGCTGCAACCTTGCTGGGCAATACTACAGGGACTATCCAACACCTCCAGGAAGTCACGCGTCTTGCTAACGAGGGTCTTTTTGTGCCAATACCCGTGACAACCATACCACGGAGTAAAGCTCCAGAGGCCTTGGAGTTGCTGAAAACGGGACAAGTGACTGGTCGGTTAGTGTTGGTCTAACTAGACATTTGAATTAGGTTATGAAGACCATGCATGTCTAGTTGTGCGAGTTTCTTCATGAAAACTGCCGGGGCATATGCTAGTTTACCGAGCATATCTACTTCATGTATCACTTGGCTGCCATTACCGAGGGTTGGAAGAATGGGAGAGAGCCTCGGATAGATCTGGAAGGCAGTACAATACCTCGATTCACTATGCCCGCAGAACACGCATTCCCAAGTATGGTTTCAGTCTCCATATTCCCATCAATCAAGGAGAGTATCTACATAAAAGCCACATTGTGAGACTTGCAGACCATCATGGTTGGAGACCAACGTCAAGGTATCCCCCGCACTTTGGAATTGGTCCAAACTCTGCCGTTACTACCGTACTATCATTTTTAGGCAGCAGCGCATGCTTATCGGAGTTAGTCGAGCGTAAGCTCTATTCCTGTAGGAAAAAGATTGTTCCTCGGTCGGGATTCCAACTAAGTTGATTTCGCGGATGTTAGAACGTTTGCAATCTCCTGTCACCGAACCCCGATCATTTTAGTCTTATCGGTCGAATCGTACGAAATCATAAGCGTCGTACTCAGAGCATCGGCCGTCTTTGTGTCCTCCGATGCTTCCAGCATGATTTTCTTTCGCTGCATCTCCACGATAAAGGCGGTTCCTTATATTTATATCTTCTGTTCACTACAAAATATGAAGCGCGATTGACAGTATCACGAACGCTAGTACTGTCGACAAAGGCCCAAAGTTTCAGGTGCACACAGGAGTTCATCACCGCCAATCTTTTTCATTTAATCTCACTGGCCTGCCACAAGCGGTTTTAGTGATTCAATCCGAGTGACAACAACTCTTATGGCGCCCACTAAATACACCGACCGACCTATCCCGGCTATTTCCCTTGCCGACTTCGACTCACGTGTCGAGGAAATTACACAGCAGCTCTGTTCCGCGGCAGAAGACGTCGGGTTCTTCTGTGTCACTGATCACGGTATCCCGCTGTCATCAATTAACGAGATATTTGAACTGTCGTCCCGTTTCTTCTCACTACCCGATGAAGTCAAAGCAGAGGTTGCTTTCTCATCCGCGCGGAACACGGGTTGGGAGAAAAACGCCCAAATCAGACCCTCTACCGGGGCAGTCGATCGGAAGGAATCCTACCAGATGCAATTTGGCGCAAACATGGAGGGGAAGTGGCTTCCAGATGCAACTTTGCCACATTTTCAAACCTCTGCACTCGAATTTATGCACCAGGTACAGGCTGTCTCGGAGAAATTGATGAAATGCTTCGCATACGGCTTAGGCTTCGAAGGTGACCATTTCATTCGTGCTCATGATATCAGCCGCCCCGAGTCTCAGACTGTATGTCGTTTGTTACACTACTTCGAGGTTCCCGATAACAATGAGCGAGGAAGCGAGGTATGGCATCGTGCGGGAGCTCACACTGATTGGGACCTTCTCACACTCCTTTTTCAGAAAGAAGGCCAATCTGGGCTGGAGATCTGCCCTGGTCGCGAGGTCAGCACATCCTTTGGCTACGGTGATACATGGACCAAAGTTGAGCCATCCACTACGGGCGCTATCATTTGCAATATTGGAGATTTACTAATGAGCTGGTCCGATGATCGATTCAAGTCAACCTTCCATCGCGTGAAGGCTCCTACTGAGGTTGGCGACTATTATGGCGAAAGATATAGCATTGCTTTCTTCAATCAGCCGTGTCACGACGCACTCATTCAAGGCCCAGAGAAGAAGTACCCTCTTGTGACAGGTGCTGAGTTTACAACAAATGCAATGAATATGTACTATTCCAAGACAAGAAAGGATGAAAAGGTGAAGATTGAGGACGCCGCAATCGCTGTGCTGGTGAATTAAGGCTGAGGGGAGTTGGAGCACCTGCAAGATTGTGAAAAAGCGTAACTACCTGAAAATCGTGAAGGGAGCAGCCACCTCCGGGTCCTCACGACAGGTACCAAAGTTGATAGTTCTTCATGTCTTTACGAATAGCAAATTACTTTCCACCGAATGCCCGCCATCTCTCATGCCTTGCTTCACGTAGGAAAATGAGGAATGAACATGATTTGCTGCTTATACCCCGAATTTGGGCGTTTCTATGGGCACTGATAGTGACAACAACTGGTAGATCGAGTATATTCATACAACAAGTGACTTGATTTACTAGCTTGAGCTGACCATCGGCCATGGCACACGTGATCTTCTCACTGGTATCTTCCTCGATACCCGAATAGTTAGATAGTGAGAGAAATGTCATGATATTGAGCCGAGTCCGCACAACACAAAGGCCGCCGAGATAATGCTTGAGTTACCCGGGTCGGAAAAACCCACAGCTTTCACTCAGTATGTACTCGGCGAGGGGGTAGTTGTCTCTGAGTACTACACAAAATCAAATAAGATGAGAAAGAGCCAGCTCAAGGTACATAATTGATTTAGCCACTGAAGCTACAAGTGTTTCTATCGAACAGAGTACACGTTTAGTTGCGACTAGGAGTCTCCACATGAGGCAAAGATGTCGGAACACCCCCTGAGTGCGCTCCGAACAACATTTCATCCATCTCACTTCTATCGTTCGGGAAGACCAGATTGAGGAAGACTCCTACCACTGCGGCCAAGATAAAAGGTGTCTCTACAATCAAGTTAAGACCCTGTTCGAAGCCTTTGAGGTGTACATTCGGCCCACTGTAGTCGAGTATCTGGTTGAACCACGTCGGGGAGACAATATCCATCAAACCAAAACCCAATGCGATGGTTAAGATAAAACGATTTCGCCGAGTGAATTGGATCATGCCAAGAATCCGGATTCCCGCAACAACAATTGTGCTGTAGAGGAAAACTTGCATCCCACCAAGGACTGAGGGCGGCATTGCGGAAAATACGGCACCAAATTTGGCGAAGAATCCCATGAGGATCAAAAAGACTGATGCAGCCCACCCAGCGCGACGAGACTTCAGGATTAAAGTCAGTAAGAAGCAAAAGAAGGATGGTCACGCAAAGGAGTGAAGGGATTTTCTTCTTACCGCACAACCTGTCAAGACAATAACACCGTTGTTACCAGCCTGCGATACCATAGGTCCAGCAGTACCTAAGGCACTGAAGAGACTGCCCAAACCATCGCAAAGAATTCCACCTTGGATTCGACTGTTAAATTCGGTTCCCTCAACCTCAACCCCGGAGATCTCAGCGGTTGCAAGAATGTCTGGCATACAGCTGACTCCTTGGCAGATGAACATAATAAGTAATGGGAGAACTAGGGCTCCATCTACGGACAATTTGAATGTCTGTACCCAGAGAAAGGTGACAACGGGAGCCGAGTCGATGTTTTCTCGTGACCAATAGCCCGTGGCTCCAGATATGGCACATCCCACGGCGAGTCCGATCAAGACGGACGCAGATTTCATTATGGGAGATCCAAATTGTTCTACCACCACAATGCTGAAAAAAACACTGAAGCCAAGTCCGATCAATTTCGGATCTCCCCAAGGAAGCGGTTTCGCGGCAGCAACGTCAGGACACAAAGCATAGAACCCCTCGCCGCCGTTGCAATTGAAAGAGCCACCCCAATTTTGCATCCCGCTGCTCACCAAGAATACCCCGACGAGTACCAAGAGAGTACCGGTAATCATCTTGGGAAAGATCTTGTTGAGAAGCCGAGGAGGCACCAGGGACATGGCAATCTGGATAAACACAGTACACAACATGGTCCCTAGAAACGCCCCCCAAGCTTCGGGGCATGGGAGTTGTGTTCCGTCTTCGGCAGTTGGACATGTTCCGTCGTTGTAGCGCATTCTGGTGTATGAAAATGCGATTGGAATAATATCGAAGGTGGGACCGACTACCGACAAGAGACCCGTGCCAACGTAGAATGGCGTGCCGCTAATATGAAGTCTTGTCACTTGAACGGCCGTAGCAATGCCAGTGGTAATGAAGGCTGCTGACACAAGATATGAGATCTGTGCAGGAGCAAGATGGAAGGCGCCAGATGCGATAGCGAGAGGGGGTGATACAATTGACCCGATCATTATCAACGCGTGCTGCAGGCCCAAAATAATGGTCAAAAGTATTGGAACCCGATCGTGTAGGCCATAGAACGGAGCTGCTTTCTCTTTATACTTCCTATTGAAAGGTGTCACATTCGGTGTAACCAGGTACCAGTAATCATAGTCTCCTAACCAGGCGTCTTTTGAGGTGAGATATGCCGAGATTTGGTTGGCTTTTTCGTAGACGTTGAGTTTGCTAGTGATGCCGAGAACTGCTGGTTCGTGACTGGGAATAATGGAGCTTTCCATAGCTAATTTGTCGTCCATTTTGTAGTCTTTGAAACTCTTCATGAAGTAGTGACTGAAAAGGAGAAGTCACGATCCGAGTTGCCAGAGTTGGTGTACTGGGAAGAGTGAGCCTAGAGATACGACCAGCTTGGTCGTTACTATGCTGCTAATTTATACTCTACAGACCGTAGCACGGTGAGCTTGCTATAATTAAGGAATTGAGCCATCAAAGACTTCAGCTGGTTACCCTGACTGATAGCGACGACGAAAATGAGGTACGGTATTCTTCGCAATGATCGGGTTCACAAATATCCTTATCTTTGATTAGTCATGTGAAGCCCCAGTGTTATCAGGCGCGATAAAGTTCGTACGAGCCCACTGATATGATTTGACCGGAGGCCCGAACAACAGGGACTTAGGTACCGAGATAACGGCTCTGGAACTAGAACGTCACCACCCCATATGTCTAGGAATGATATCGTGTATTATAGATCTGAGATAAAATGCAAATTGCCGAATGTTCAGCGAAGATTTGTAATTTCGCTATAGCAATTCCCACCCCATTCCAGGAGACCAAGAGTACAAGGACAGTATCAGGACCTCAGATAGAAGGTAAGAAAGTCGACCATGACCACTCAGCAAAAACTGTTCACGAATGCTACGGTGGTTACTGTAGATTCCGAGCAAACAATCTGGCTGGACGGAGCCATCTTGGTCGATGGGAACAGGATTACGACTATTGGTAAAACAGCCTCACTGCTAAAAGACTCTTTGCTGCAGCCCGACTTGGAAGTTGTGAACTGCCAGGGCAAAATTATTATACCTGGCCTTGTCAATACGCACGCACATCTCGGCCAATCCATTTTACGTGGCTTAGCAGAGGATGTTCCGCTGCACACATGGTTGTGCGACTCCATCTGGCCCCTTGAGGCAAGCTACCAAGGCACTGATGGATATGTTGCTAGCCGAGTGACCATTGCTGAAATGCTGAAAAGTGGTACTACGTGTTTTCTGGAGGCGTTGCTTACCCATCAAAGTGGGTTTGAAAATGCTGTTCGAGCGGTCGATGAGATGGGGATTCGAGCGGTTCTTGTAGGGGCTCGTGTGATAGCGTTTTCACGATGACGGATTGCTAATCCTCCGTGTCCAGGGAAAGCTTGTCAAGGTTGAAGAAACAGGAACGTTCAGTCTTGCTGACGCCCGAGATCGAGATGTTTCAAGTATGTCAATAGATGCAGCACTTGCGGCACACGACCAGTATGACGGCTCTTGTGGCGGACGACTTCATGTCTGGATGGCGGCCGGAACTCCTAGAGGCACAGCAGAGTCAGCTCACAAAGCTATCGGGGATGCGTGCGCTGAACATAATATTGGCCTTACCATGCACTGCGCCGAGGCGCCGAAGGATCTTGTCATCTATCGGGAATGTTATGACTGCAGTCCAGTAGAATTCTGTCAAAGGACGAATCTCATCTCCAAGGGTAGGAAGACCGTGCTTGCCCACATGGTGAACCTTGATCTCAACAAAGACCTGCCAATATTGGGCGAATTGGGAGCTTCAGTTGCTCACAACCCAAGCAGTAACTGCAAGCTAGGGTCAGGGATCGCTGCAGTGCCTGAAATGCTAGCCCAAAAAATTAATGTCAGCCTTGGAACCGATGGTGCACCGTGTGCAAATACATATGATATGATTCAAGAGATGCGAATGGCTGCTCTCGTTCAAAAGGGTTCCCGGCAAGACGCATCAGCTATTACTGCAGAATGGGTTCTGAAGATGGCCACGATCAATGGCGCCAAAGCACTGGGGCTAGAGAACGAGATTGGAAGTCTTGAAAAGGGCAAAAAGGCAGATTTTGTTGTCATTGATCCATCATCTCTTCATTGTGTGCCTTTTGACCCAGCACAGATTCTAGAAGGCGGGATTGATCCCGTCACCGTTATAGTGTTCTCATGTTCAGGCTCGGATGTGGACAAAGTTGTGGTTGATGGGCAAATATTAGTAGATAGCCGCCAGCTGGTTAGATGCGACGAGAAACAGGTGAGAGAGGAGGCCAAGCAGACAATCTATAGGATAAGAAAGCAAAGTGGGATTTGTAGCCAACTGAGAAGAAAGTATTGCTGAGTTCAAAAAGAAATATCGCCACGCGTGCCATGAGTTGTCAAGCTGATGCCTTACCAAGATAAGTTTCCATTTTTAAGGCCAAACCCCGTCTGGTCGGGCTTGTTCTCATCTTCTGGAAGAATCTTCGACCCTGAGAATGGATTAAACTACCTGTTGATCGTAGTCCATTGTGCCTGCCTGTGAATGGAGAGCCAAGTCCCAACAGCCAGCCTGGTACGGAACTAATGCGGGATCGCAGTGCACTCTAGGCTAGAACATTTACCACATCAATGATGTTGTCAAACTAACGATCGTACACACGACATCATTTGCATTATTCTGTAGGTATGGGACTGGGCTACTAATTGCTCGAGCATGTAGTCTTCTCTTCAGACAGAGTAGATCCAAGTATCCCAAAGGTTAGCGAGGCTCCGGCCACGTGATGGATCGGCTTTACGAAAGATAAGACTCGCACGAAGCGATAAGCTATATTACGCTGTGTCCTCTACACTAATTCTCGATTCCCCCACCAAACCTCCGCTTTTTCTCGCTTCTTCTTCGCTCCACAACAAAATGCCGAGGACACGCGAGAGGAAAACGTGCACAGAATGCAGCTTACGTCGGCAGCGATGTGATAGGCAGCTGCCGTGCGGAAGGTGCGTCAAGCGAGGGGTTGCCGATAAGTGCCAACTAGAATGGCAAGCAGAATCGTACGAGCCGGTCATGCATCGAGCATATCCCTCCAAAAGGCATCAGCTGAGACCAGCGTTACCGAGTGTCACAGTAGGCGACTCACCGACTGTAAATCCGGGCCAAGATCCACAGACACACGATATGTCTCCCGAAGAACTGGAGGCGTGGCAACCCTCCCAATCGAGTACACAACGTCCACGATATGTCTTCACGCCCTATGAGCCTGCACGGCTACGGAAGAGCACGGTTGAAATCATTGGAGGTGTGAATCCAACTGGGTTTCTATTCACAGGTCCAGATCTGGGTTCAAGCTCAATCCATCAGAGCTCTGTCAATCCTCACCAATCATTTCTCCAAAGCTTAATACCCAGCTTGGAGCACATCTGGATGCTGGTCGATTACCACGAGGTTTATCTTCTCTGGTATCACTGTTGTTATCATGGACCAACCTTCAGGTCGGAGCTTGAAAGTGTGATCGCTGAGCAAGAAGACAAGAGCAAGCTGAACATCACTGGAGTTCGTCTGCAATGGCTAGCCCTCCTCTTTTCAATCATGGCAGCTAGCCTAACATGTACATCAGAACAACGTCTAGAAAGCTGGGGATTTTCAAAGTCTGAGGCCGGCCATTTATCGATTCAATGGTACAAGGCAACGATAACATGTTTGTATCAGGGTGAATGGACATCAGATCATGATATGTACTCAGTACAGGCTGTTACTACCTTAACGATGTCAGCTCATTCACTTGGGCGGTCTACTGAGCTTTCCGTTCTCCTCGCCGCGGCGTTAAAAATTGCTCAGGTTCTTGGACTTGACAGACTTGATCATAATCAAGCTTTGGAGGACATTGACACAACATCTTCTCAAGACAAGCGCCACTCTTTGCTTATTCGTGAGGTCGGGAGGAAGTTATGGTCCCAGCTTTGCATGCAAGACTGGATGTCACTTCCTTTTACAGGAAACTACAATATCAATCCAGCTCATTTTAGAACCACGAAACCATCGAGTCGGGATCATCTCACAATGGAGCCTCTGCCAACCACGTTTCCAACATACATTAGTTACGGAAATTATCTCTTCGATATTGCTAAACTCGGCGTCCGGCACCATGAGGCAAACCTGAAATCTACCACGCCATTCACAAAATACCAGCATGTCCTCGATTATGATTCTCAAATGAGAGATCTGGCGACCAAAGGCATGCCTCGCTATTTCCACGTCATGGAACCTGTTGATACCCTTTGGCCACAATGGGTGCACTGGGCGCGGTCCAGTCTCACAGTATGTTTTGCACATAAGATTATTATGATACATCGCGCCTACATTCGACAAAGTTTTACTGAATCTGCATACTCGAGGACAAGAACTACGTGTATAGCTGCAGCAAAGACAATCCTCAATGAGACAAAAAAAGCAGACGCGATTGACGGTCCTATCATATGGATTGACAAGGCTTTTTGCATAGCTGCGGGAATTATTCTTTGTCTAGACATATCACATCGAAGTGAGTCGGATCCCGAGTACATCAATCACAAAGGTCTTGTTGTAGGTTGTATCGCACATCTTCGAAAGTTCGAAAACAGTGTCATTGCTACTCGAGGAGCAAGTTTGCTTACTGAGATTCTTGATGAGCCGCATCGTCCAGGATTTGTTCCGGAGAAGACATGGCCAAACCTCAACGTGTCAGACATGGTCGGATCAAATTCAAATATGGACAAGTCTCCAGCATTCACGGGGCCGGAATATCAGGCTTCGGGAGACTTATTTCCAGCTCAGGCAGGTTTCAGCAACCAATTTCTCTTTGAAAACCTTCTTTGCCGTGATCCAACAATGACATGAGACTTGGCCGTCCTTCTGTCCGTTTATGTGTGACGGAAAAATGATGGCAATATGTGGGTTTGATCCATCACTGTGGGATTCTGCATGAAACTCCAATTCACACTCATGAGGCCCAACGCCAATGCAGTCAAGGTGCGCCAAGTCTAGACAACAACCGTGAAATATTAAATTGATGAGCGAGAACCCACAGTTTAATGACGACTAGCGACTTATTAGAGCTCTCGATAAAATTAGGTATATATATATGCGCTTAACGACGTATGGGGTTCGTGAACCTCATTTTATCAGTTTGACAGCCTTTCAAGCTTCGAGCCTAATCTGTGCTGCTAGCCGTGCCGCTGAATTCACACTTGGGTACAAACTGACACATGGAAGACTTTGGTGAGGTTTGATAGACATACCGCATGTCACTGGACACCCTCTACCATTGACGTCTTCATTGACATCTTCACCCTGCATTGCTGATCGCCCGCGGCGGTCTGTCTCAGGGCTAATAGATGGGGGAGATATATTTCATGTCAAAAAGAGCCAGAAATTGCTTGCCAACGCTAGGATTTGTGATTTGACAAAATGACTTGACAAGAGACTCGACAACAGACTCAGCCGTAAGATGCCTTGTACCTTAACACTAGATGTTCCTCTACTGTGAACTCTTTCCCGTTAGATCCATCTAGTGGTCTGATCACACAGTCAGGGTGGCCATCGTAGAAGAAAGGGACTGAATATCTATCTGTCCCACTTTTGTTGACCACCCGATGTAGATTTGATTTGTACTTTCCACCAGTCCAAGCTTCCAGCATATCACCAACATTGACCACATATGCATCGCTCTGTGGTGGAATGTCGACCCAATCATTCGTATGGTGGTTGAAGACTTGAAGTCCTGATTGTTTGTCTTGTAGAAGCAATGTTATGGCCCCAAAATCAGTGTGAGCACCAGCACCTACTAAACTACTATCATCTGAATTCGGATGTGGAGGGTAATGCAGTAGCCTAACATTTGCAATTGGGTCCTCGCAGAACTCTTTGAAGACACTCGTTTCGAATTCCTTGAGGCCTCGAGCTAAGATATGCATTATCTGGCTGGACAAATCTGATAAAGCTTTGTGATATGCAAGGAGCGGCTCCTTGAACTGCTGCTCTGGGATTTGATGAGAGTTCGGCCATATGTTCGCTTCTTGAAAACGTCGAAAGGGCGGTTGATCTGGAACATCAGGACCAATCATGAAACCCTAAGTTAGATTCGGTAAGATATTGTCTCCAACAGCTTTCCAGGGATGACATACCTCCTTCAAATCGGGTTTCTTCCCAGCCTCCAAAATTTGAGAACCCATCACCTCGTAGCCACGACCGTGGATACCAGTCAATTTAGTCTTCTCATCCTGAGGTAGAGCGAAGAATAACTTTGCTGCTTGAACTATCTGGTCTTGAAGCCCCTTCGGGATACCGTGACCGGTGACTTGGAAAAATCCACTTGTTGAGCACGCTTTTCGAATTTCTTCGACTACACCCTCGGCTTCTGTGGATTGGGGATCGCGCAGATAGTTGGTTAAGTCTACCACTGGAACCGTGAAATTTTGCTTTCGCTCATACGTGATTGCCATCTTGTTACCGGTTTGTGGGGTTGAAAGGATAAAACCTCAGACAACTAAGTTTGAATAATCGTCGAATTCATGCACGCAGTTTATAGCATTCTCTGTAATACGTTTGGTCTCGGCGCCGTCCGACCTCGAGGGCCGCAATTCCTGCCTGCTTCCTTATCACTGTATCTGCAGAGCCCCCAGCCGTCATCCATCGCTGATTCAAAAGCGCCCGACAGTGGCTTATCGCGATAGCCTGATTGGCTGTCCTGCACGGATTGATTCGCCGATAAAGTGTATTTTCCTTCTAGCCCGACACTTATCTAATCACTCAAGGGGAGTAATTGAGACTTGTTGTAATATCCTTTGGCAGCAAAAATTAAGATAATGATAGCACAATATTTCTTGACAACGGTAGGCAGTGTAAATGAAGATCTGGGCCAGTTTACCCTGAATGATACACCGTATCATATTTCACAGAGCCATTTCACCAATGCAACTGGGCACGGGAGTGTAGGCAGATATATCTTCAGGGCCAACACCCTGCAAAAGCCGGGAAAATGGCAACTATACCATACTGCACCCTCCTTACGTATTGTAGAATACCAATGGAAGCCTTCCCGAATCCCAAATCGGTTCTTCGGATTTGGTTTCGGTAGACCTAAGTCTTGAATTACCGAGGCAAAGGGCAGCTATGACCCTCGGCGTACTTTAAAGCCGGCGCCAAGGGAGAGGAAAAGGCAGAATGTTATTGGGCCGAATAACATATTGAGTAGTCTGGGCATATATCGCGATCACATCTCTTCTCTAAGAGGACTACCAGGGAGTTCGAGAGGTGCTATCGGTTGGAGACCATGTCGGCAAGTATGTTCACTATCTATCTAGTTGGGAGAAATTGGCTAACGACATGCAGTCGCTGCTACAGCAGTCACTACAGCATTCGCAGTTGGGGCATACTCGGACGCAAGATTCCACATAAGCAAGGATCTCAAAAAGTTATGGCAACAGTGGCGGGCTAATAAGGCGTATTTGGCTGCAGGTAGGATACGGCGGTGCATCGCCTTTATGTTATGGCTGACGGACTGACTGCAACCCAGTCAAAGAAAACAAATTGTCCTTGTGGTATTTGTTCGAGGAACAAGTCGAGAAAAGCCCTCATTCTGAGTGTATTTGGTCACAAACAGAGTCTTATACACGGAAAGAAGTTTATGAGCAATGCTGTCGTTATGCAAACTGGCTCCTGTTACAAGGGGTCGAGCCTGGCCAATGGGTAGCAATATATCTGCAAAATTGTGCTGAGTTCATGTTCATCTGGATTGCGCTTTGGTCAATAGGTTGTGCACCTGCACTGATCAACCATAACCTTCGAGGCGAAGCACTACTACATGTTCTGAAGAACTCCGGGTCAGCTCTAGTCCTCGTCGACGCACAGTTGGCCGATAAGCTCTCAGAACTACACGAAACCATCGAGAAGACCCTCGGGATAAAAGTTTTCGTAGTTGGCGATTTTCTGAAGATGGAGATCTCCCAGGTAAAGTCTGAAAGACCTGATGATTCTTTCCGTGCCAATGTAAAAGGTGACGACAATCAAGCCCTCATTTTCACCAGGTAAGGGCCCTTCTGCCTCTTCTGCCACATAGACTTATCATCCTTGATAGTGGAACGTCAGGGAAGCCGAAAGGCGTGCCACATACAGTATACCACGGCTATTTATATGGCATCCATGGAACCAAAGGGCTGGAAGTAGGATCGAATCATCGATGGTATCAATGTATGCCTTTGTATCATGGAACAGGAGGGATGGTGAGCATCATATGTCTGCTTTCCGGAACGACGCTTTGCATAGGGAGGAAGTTTAGCGCTTCACAATTCTGGGAGGATATCCGAATCTCGAGATCGACCTGCTTTACGTATGTCGGAGAGACAGTTCGTTACTTGCTAGCTGTCCCTCCAAGTACTAAAGACAAAAGTCATAGCATTCGCGCAATGTTCGGAAATGGTCTCAGACCTGATGTATGGAAACGCTTCCGAGACCGATTTGGGATACAAACTGTTGTGGAATTCTTCGGGAGCTCGGAAGGAGTTTTCTCACTCCGAAATTGCTGCAAAGGTATGTTCAAATCACAGCATCTCACACTGTATCTATTGGATCACCTCGTGCTACACTGACACGCTGAGGTGACCAAGGTGATTACTTGATCGGAGCTGTTGGTCATCACGGACTTCTCCTAAGACAGATGATGCGTGAGAAGTACGTTCCAGTGCTGGTAGACACAGATGGGGATGAGCTTGTTCGGTCTTCGGTCACAGGCTACGTTCAGAGAGTTTCTTATGAGACCGGCGGCGAAATTCTCGTACAAATACCGTCCGAGAATGTATTCCCAGGCTATTTCTTAGATCCAATTGGGACTTCGAGAAAGTTTGCGCGCGATGTTTTCTCACAGGGAGACCTTTGGTACCGGACTGGAGATGCTCTTCGCCGGACTTCTGATGGACGATGGTTCTTCTTAGACAGGCTTGGAGATACTTATCGATGGAAGAGTGAGAATGTCAGCACTGCAGAAGTCAGCGCTATTCTTGGCCATTACCCAGGCGTAATGGAGGCGATCGTCTACGGCGTGTCACTACCTCAACATGAAGGGAGAGCTGGATGTGCAGCATTGGTCCTTGATGAGACATTTGCAACTCCTTTTGATTTTTTGAACTTTCATGAATACGTTTGCAGAAAGTTACCGCAATATGCTGTGCCTGTGTTTCTGAGACTGGGCAACATCTCAACGCATACCCACAACAACAAGCAAAACAAAGTACCGCTACGAGACCAAGGCGTTGATCCTAGGAGGCTGAGTTCGGGTGACAGAATTCTTTGGACAAAGCCTGGCAATCCAGGCTACGTTGCCTTCACCCAGGAGGACTGGGATCGGGTTGGATTATTACAGGTCAAGCTTTGAGAACGTTGGAGCTGAGGAGCTGACTCGATATAATCGCACGCCATTAAGTATCACTCAAGCTTGGGAATAGTATAACTTAGACAATCAACAGCTTGGAGAAGCCGTGACTACTTCGCCCATTGTCTCATTGTTTTTAACAATTCTGCACTAAGCAAATATGGTGAATATTGAAGACAGGTGGATGCACACCTAATGGGGCTGGTGTCATTCAAAATAACCCGGAACTAGTTGCATGGCACGTATGTGTGTCATCCACTCTCCTAGTCGATCGCCGTTCTTGCACTAGACTAATACATTCCGTCGATTTCACCATGGAAGGACTCCGCCTTCATAGGTATTTGAGCTTGGCCCTACTTTCCAGCCAGGAACGTGAATATCAAAGAACTTGCCAGTATCTTCTCTCGAAATCTGGTCTGCTATATCAAGTATACCTTTAGCACCAACTTCAGGTGCGAGATCAGCTTGATCGCTACCCAGCTCAGTTCGCAGCCACTAGATCATTAATGTTGTTAGTTTCATAGGCACTGTCCGACTCCGAGAAAAAGAATCTTACCCCTGGATGCGCTGAAATCACCGTGAAGCCTTCCTTTTCGAGCTCCAAGGACCACTGTACCGTCAAAGCATTGACGGCAGCCTTTGACACTTTGTACGTCGAGACTGGGAATCCCGCAAACTTGGGAGCATGCGCGATAGAACCTAGAATACTTCCTCTTCACATGTATGTCAGCTATCTGACGATTGGGAGCCATTAGCCACTGACATGTTGAATACGAGCTTTTTCTGACCACGTCGTAAAAGTGGGAGGAAGCCTGCGGTGACCAATTGTATACTATTGACATTGACTTCAAGGTTTTGCATAAGATCAGTGCTGTTCAGGTGTTAGCGGACGCCTGTCAACTATCGTCTAGGGCTGGGTATCCTAACGCTTTGGTGATTCCCTGTGGGTTGAAGGGCATAATTCCCGCGTTGTTGATCAACACATCCAGTCCAAGTGACGGCCCTAAGACTTTTTCCACTTCTTCAACAGCCGCCTTCACGCTTTCGGGACTGGTCACTTCGAGGGCGATAAAATGGGCTCTAGTTGAATTATTTTCCAGCAGCTTTTGCAGCGCAGGAGTCTTGCTTCGAGCAGCAAGCCCGACCCATCGAACCTCATTGGGCGGTCTGGTCAGCAGTGCTGAAGCCAGTTCCAGTCCAAGACCTCGAGAAGTTCCAGTGATAAGATAGTTTGCCATGTCGCGCGATCAATGTTCTGATTGTTGCTAGAAATTCTTGCTTCAGGCAGTTACTACATCTTATATTCGTTGAGATGTTGGCTTTTCACTGTTGGCTCAGGCAAAGAAGGTGTGAAGATTACAAATGTCTCCATTTACTGTTCACTCGGATATCTGTCACCTACAGTAAGATTCCACTTGGCATCTTGTCATACTCAATACGTACGTAGCATGAGATATCTTGAAACCGTCAATGACTGTAGATTCGATTGTAATGAGGCTCTTGGGGACCAATTTCTAAGCATTTCTTATAAATCGAAATGTCCACTTGTGTTTGGCAAAGCACCGTGTTGAGAATCGAATCCGAACATAGCAGGAGGTACGGCCGAGAAGGCTCGATATGAAAGCCTTTAGGCCGAATAGCTGCTCAGGGCTGATAGTTATCCCCACCTTGAAATGCCGAGGGTATCGCAAACAGTCACAGGTCCAAAGGTAAGGGATCTGAGGATAACGAGTTGTAATACCAAATCGAACAACAGATCGGGAATCAACTTTAAGCAGTTGAATTCCAGTTCTATCTACGCCATTTGGCATTAAGTGGAGGAAGAAACGAACTATATACCGATGATTTATTCCCACAATCTATGTAAATGAAACCTGTCGTATTCGTATCCACTGGTTGAAGCAAGAGGGTGATAGATGATATCAACGTAAAGGTTGATAAGAAAGTCCTCTGACATTTGTTTGCTATAGAGCTAATTCCAATATTTCCAAAACATCCTGTTTCTCCATCAGTGGCACTGGGTTTGTCTTGGCCCACATGTCAGTAAGTGTATTCTCAGCCAGGGTTTCGAAGACGACTTTTCCAATTCCAACTTCGCTTAGTGTCCGAGGGAGGCCCAGAACTGCGATAAAAGAGTCAAGTATCGCTGCAAGATCAGAGGTCCTATCCTTCATGAGTTCACTAACTTCAACTATCCGCAACAACGCTTCAGCGAGTTGATCTTGCTGCTCAACGTTTGCCCCCTTCAATGCGTTGAATCTACACACAGCGGGCAGCATGATGCAACTAGTTTCGCCGTGAGGCACTCCAAGTGGGCCTAACTGATGTCCTATGGCGTGACTGGCACCCTTTGGTACACCATAATGCGAAGTCTTGATCGACTCGGCGGCTCCCAGTAATGCCCGCATAATGGCCGTATCATCCCTCGGCTCTCTTTTATAGGCGAGGAGTGACGGGATTAGTAGTTTCAGCCCTTCCATAGCTGCTATGTCCGCATTCTCGTTTGATTCAAGTGAACAGATTGTCTCTACACAGTGATCGACGGCCCTTATACCGGTGCCAAGAAACAACCGGCTCGGTGTTGTTGCTGCAATCTCAGGATCGAGGACGACAACGGTTGGATTCTGTGTTGGTGGACGGAATAGTGTCTTAATCTTGGTTTTGTCATCTGTAGCTCCTGCAAAGGATGTGTATTCGCCTCCAGATAGTGTTGTTGGCACGGCAATATGTCTCACCGAGGGTGGCTTCAATTCAATGCTCCTTTCTGAGTTGGTGTGCGCCAGAAGTCCGAGATCTTCTTCCGTTCGAACATCATTTGCTAAGCCCCACGCGATAACTTTGGCTGCATCAGTCAGACTGCCTGCTCCAATGGTAATGATGACATCAACGTTCAGAGGCCTCGCGTTGTTGATAATGTCCACAACCTCGGACCACAAGGTGTGAGGCTTCATCCCTATTCGGAGTCCAACTATTCTATCGCCCAACGCTCGCTGAAACTGATCAACCACGTTCGTGTTGGTTGCTAAAGATTTCGAACATAGAAGATAGATCTTGTTACCGTTCAAAGTTGCTTCAATGTGGTAGTGGCATGCTTGAGCCGCTGGTATTCCATAGGAGATCAATGGTCCGGACTCTCCCTCCACGAACTCTTGAGTGATAAGTTGACTCATGGTTGACCCTATCGTAGCCAAAATCTGATGATGTTGGAGATATTGGAGGGGTTTTTCAGAAAGAGAGGTTTTTATACTAGTTTTCAGTCGATTTTGCATCACTCGGTAGCCTTTCTGGCTCGGGCGATCAGCGCGGACTGATTTGTTATCATCACTTCGATATCTATTCGAGTTTACGCTGCTGAATCTCCCTCGGCAACCTTCGACTCTTAAACATGTACTCTTATGTAGTGTCTAACGACATGGAGAAGCTGCATAGTCCAGCACAGTACTGTGCGAGGGTTAAAAAGGTTATGGGTGCTCTCATCTAGTTTTGTAAAATGTTATTGTGGTGCGAGTAAGTCATATCAATGATATATCTGCGAAAACTGAACAAGCGATCCTTCTTTTTAGCCCACCACTCCCTTACTGCTGGTTGAGCATTTGATGGCTTTACCATTTACCGTTGGAGTGTTGAGGTATGAAGGCAGCTATGGCACCGAGTATCTAAACCGTCAAGGAGCCCTAGCACTTAATGTACTTCGTTGCTTTTTTCTCCATTCACAGCGTATACCTGAAACCTTCCAGCCCTTCAATCACTAGCTTTCCTTCATCTGCTTTCCTATTACATCTTGCAAAGTGCCAAGTCATAATCAGCACAATGACCACAATCAATGCACCACAAACCATGCATGTAATGATGCCTGGAAAGTAGCGAGGTGCATCCTGGCCGCGGAAGACTGTGCCACTCATGATACCCCCAAGACCAGCAAATGAAACATTCAATGCTGAGATGAAAGCTCGCTTCCATTGCCCGCGCACATTATTCGCCTGCCATGTAAGATTTGCCGGAACATTAGCATTGACAGCAATGGCAACTAGGAAGGCACCGAAATACCGCGCACCAATGGATCTGGTCCAACCAAGGAGGCCACAACCGATTAAGACCGTACATCCGTTGATGAGGAGGAATGGAGATCGAATCTTCCACTTGTCACTAAAATAAGCCATTGTCATGGTGACGATGACTGCTGCTATTTGTGGAGGAGCGGTCAAGCACAGTGCTTGTGCTGTATTAAAGCCCATGTCTTCCTTCAGAATTATCGGCAAAAACAAGGCGATTGCGTATGCTGGTCCAACGGAAATCATTGCCAAGAATGCGAATCCCCAGAGCTTGAGATCCAAGGCATGTGCTAGATATGACTTCAATCGAAAACTTCATAACTCATCAGTATCAAGGAAGTTCTGCTTTTCCCGGAGGTCAGACTTACCGCTCAAGTGTGACATCTTCACGGTCCTTTTCTACTCGGGCGATCATGAAATCCACTTGCCGCTGTTCGATGAAATGAACTGGATAGCGATGCTTCAAGGTCATTTCCGGGAAGTCCACGATGAAGATATAACCAAAGATCGCAATGACAATTGTGAGGATTCCTTGCCAGATAAAAATCCAACGCCAGCCTGCCAATCCTGGTCGCACGCCTGATGTAGCATTTGGATTTGCTGAGGTTGGCCCGTAGTGTAGTCCCATCCATTTGGGTCCGTATCCAAGACCTTCCATTTGGGCAAAACCATAGGACAGAATGCCTGAAAAGGCGGAAGCCAGGATGCCGAGGACATAAAACAGTGCGTTTCGTATCTGAAGCTCATGTCGTACATACCAACAAGACATGAGATACACACAGCTGGGCAGAAACCCGCCTTCTAGCAGGCCCAACACAATCCTAAGAGGAAGCAGCTGATACCAGTATTGCACAAATCCAAATCCCAATAAAAGTAACCCCCAAAGCAGAACTATAGTGGGTATGAAAATCCGTGGTCCGATCTTTCGAAGTAGGTATACTGCTACCGGTTGAACGGTGACATATGTGATGAAAAACAGGAGGACAATCAGGCTGTAACGGTTCCCAACCAGTTTTAGATCTCCACTCATCCCAGTAATCGCCGCATTGCCTAGATTGTTTCTGTCCATCAAAGAGACACAATACATCACACCAAGAGGAACCACCAGTCGTAGATCAATCTTACGCTTGAGCGCCCTGGCCTCTTTGTCCGAAAAAGAGCTGATGATCGCATCCCAAGTTTCGGCTGGGGGTGGCGCAGCATGCTCGAGCTCAGTGGCATTCGAGGCGGTGGTGGATGTGCTTTTCTCCATCGCGATATTTGTTGCTCTGCGAAGACAAAGATAGGGAAAGATAGATGAAGGGAATTTTCATGATAAGTTGGGCACAAACAACTAGATATACCTTGTCACTTACTCTGAATACTATCCCAGGAGTCATTCCGCCACGAACACTCGTGCTTCAACTTGACGACCTGGCGCATCACCAAGTCCACAGTCAGTAGGAGTATCGAGCCGAGCCTGTCCCTGTCTCGGGTAGGTAGTGGAGCCATTCGTCTGAGAGATATCCTAGCCCAGGTCAATAGGATGTGATTCCGAGTGCATCCCTAGCCGATCACCACTTCGGTTGTAGAGATTCACGCGTCAGAGAGAACGAGCTCTTAAGAATTCGGATAAACTTTGGTGCCAAGAGCGCGACAGTCACGTGTTGATTCGGCACAGCTTGAAGGTTCGGCACAGCCATTGCCTCGGCAAAGCCCACTTCGGTTCATTAGAATTCTCGACAATAAGCAGAGCCTTCCTTACTCCATTCTTCCTTGTGGTATCGACCTACCACCTTGAAAGATACGTCATAGTTCAGACCAATCCAACCAACTCTACTTTCGTCAAACTCTTTCGTCGAACTCCAATGAGGTACATCAACGCGACAGGTGAGATCAATCGACGCCGTTCATGTATTCGTGAGAGGATCAGCAATGAATCCAAACCCTGAGCGATCTTTGAAACGACCCCGCGACAGAGTAAAGGCCTCACGCTCGATCAAAGCATGTCTGTCATGCCGCAGTCGTAAGGTGCGATGCGACGCGGTCACACGATCGCCAAAATCATGCACCAACTGCTCACTAGATGGGTTGGAGTGCGAATTGGCACCTCGAGCGTGAGTTCGTCATATGCCGTCTCACACGATCACGCAAATAAATATCAAGTATGCTGATGGGTCAGGAAACCATCCACTCGTAGCGTCGGTAACTCTTCTAGCGAAATTGCGCTCCCTTCTGGGTCTACTCCTCGACCCAGTCCGTCCTTCATGCGCCACCAGCGATATATGGAAGACAGGATTGGGAGTCTGGTTAGTGCAACAACCCCAGATACGGCGGAAACAATGGAAATTCCATCTGTCCAGCTGGGTATTAACACACAGACACCACAACCCGTTGCGACCCCTCAAGCAGCCAATGATAATCATTCGATTGATATGTGGACAGACGAACGACCCTCTGATATGGACAACAATGCAGACTTCTCCGAACTAGACATGACTAATCAACTCACTAAAGACCAGGACCTGATCTTCTTAGACCTACAGACTACTTTCCCCGATGCTGATGTACTGGAAGAGTATTGGAATCAAGCAGATGTGCTCGACCCGTCGTTGGTTGATCTTCTTGAAACCGACTACGCCAACGATATGTCATTAGCGGCCACTGCATCCGGGAGCAAAACGATGTGCGCCTTCAAGTCACCCTTAACCTGGGTCGCAGACTGGTCTGTTGAGGGTCATCGGGGCAACCACAAATACACTGAAGCAATTGAGCAGCGAGCTTTCAGTCTACCACCAGTGCCAGACATCGATAAGCTGATCCAGCTCTATTTTAGCCATGCGCATCCTCAATTGCCGGTTTTAAGCCCTCGTTTCTTCTTTCGTCTTGTGAATGCCGATCACGACCAGATTTTAGCCGAGGCCATGGAACCGATCAGCCTCGCGCTTCTGTACGCTATCATGTTCTTTGCATGTGCGGTACGTTCAGGTTGTGATTGTGTAGTCCATGTCATTAGAAGCTGATAGCTGATTCAGTACCTAAGAACCGAAAGTACCGACCTGTCTGGTATCCGCGCCATTCGGTCTATGCGATGCGAGTACTTCTCAAGAGCAGCTGTATGGTCAACTTACTCGTTGTACTCACAAAGCTAACTTATCCAGTTGCTATTCAAACTTGGGTGTGAGATCAATCCTCTACGAAAAGTACAAATCTGTCTCTTACTTAGCACCTACCGAAGTTACCCCGGCCAGTTCTACGAGAATGAGCGTTGGATCATCGAAGCATACAGAACTCTACAGGCTAGTGGCGTACTGCCAGATAAAGGCCACAACCAGGGATTTGTCGACGGCATCGAATGGAGACGTGTGTGCGCGTGCTGGCTCCATCGATTCGCGGGTTCAGTGATAGGATTGAAATGGACGAGCAGTCCTGATGTGATGGAAGCATTTTCTTTGCCATGGCATCAGATCACCATTTCTGTGTTCGAAGAGGATTATAGTTTCTCTTGGTTTATCAGCGCGCGGACGAAGGAGCAATTGACTCGAATCTTTCTATCACGGCTGAAGTTGCTTATCACAATTGGACACTTGAATAAGATTCTCTGGAAACGTACTGCGTCTGAGATTACGGCAATCGGGGAGACACCCGAATTTACACCGCCACCACCATCGAACTGTCTTGCGATAGAGGAAATTGAAGTTCGCTTTCAGCGATGGAAACTTGACAACGGTCCACTTTTGTCAGCAGAAACCTCAAGCTCCACACCGCGAAAGGAGCAGCAAATCGTCCGTGCAGAGCAGATACACACGAAGCTATCATTTGAGTGAGTGATTCCCAGTATTTGACTGCGAACATCTCTAGGCGGGGACTGACAAATTTACAATGCTGACATTTCGCAGGTTCGCCATGTGTAGTCTCTACCAAAATACGCTGTATATCGAGAGAGTTTTAGTGACAGATTGGGCTGCTGCCCTTATTCGCTCGTCTCGTGCTGCTCTGTGGGGCTCAATTAGCTCTATACGTGACATCGTCGTCGAAACGATGGAGGATAAGCTCGTCACGCTGGTGCCTCTAAGCATGTACGTCAACTTCGCGAGTTCTATTTGCATTCTACATCAACCATCAGAGGATGGATGACTAACGAGAAAACCCTAGGGTAATTGTCGTTTTTGTTCCACTCACGATCTACTCGCTTCACATGCAGACGGTACAATATTACGACCCTTTCATGATCAAAAGTCTTGCGATTTGCTCAGAAGCAGCAAATATGATGAGCGACCTACATGACGGGGCCGACTTTTATGCTAGGGTTCTGGACAACGTTTTGACACTTGCACAGAAATACAGACATTTGTCAACGTCACCAGAACCAATGGCGAGCGGCGCCCAGAATGCAAATCCTAGGCATGGGCACGGTCAGACAGACGCTGAAGCAATACTTCCAGAGCCACGCCTTCATTCTCTAGTTCTGCGATTTAATGGTCTAGCGCTTGCCCTCGGTCGCATACCAGAGATCGAAAGCCTCATGCTGCCATCAACGCGGCCAATGACTTCTAGCCAAGTATCCTGAAGCGCGAAGCGGAAACAGTCGCCGGGACGAGGTTCACATTTGTCGGTTGCCGAGCATCATTGGAAATCCTGTCAATCGCTTCCTCATCATGGCAGAAGTAGAACGAGGAAAACTATGTTTGTCGGTGGAGTATGATTTTAAACCTGGAATGTAATGGAAAACATGACGATTAGAGTTTTGAAGAATGCCAGGAAGCGATTCAAACCCTGCCTGTGGACCTCGTCCCATGAGATGCCCTCATTTCCCAAAAGACGTCTGTTCTCAAAAAGAACACCCAAGAGAAACTTCCGTCAGTTACTAGATTGCAAAGCCGAGGTACTTAAATAGCCTAAGTGCTGGCAGAGGAAGAATTAGGCCCAACCCTGCAGTTGGTCAGCCGGTGTACCGACAACCGAGTTCAACGTCGGTCAAATTCCACTCAACAATACCTAGCCTCATTTTGTGCAACATATAGAGAGAGCATATCTAGCAACGTTAAAGAGCAGTAGCAGCAACGGTGACCATTGACTGAGGGTGAAATTCAGCTACAAACATCTTCGTCCGCGTGTTCTTAAATGGCCAATTTCGTAAGCGGCGCATGGAAAAGTGGAATCTTCGGTAAGTTCCATTTCCATTCATCGTGACGTCTTCGTGATAACCACCAAAATACAGACAACAAAGTCGTCTTTTGTACTGGTGGAACTGGAACAATCTGTTCCGGCCAAGTTCGTGCTTTGGTCTCGTTGGGCGCGAATGCTTGCATTATCGGTCGTAATGCAGAAAAGGCTCAAAGCGTGGCCACGGGCATAGCAAAGGAAAGATGCGGGAGCAAAGTGTTGGGCCTCGGTGGTGTTGATGTCAGAGATTTCGACAAGGTCAAAGCCGCAGTTGAGACTTGTGTACGAGAGTTGGGTGGCATTGACTTCGTCATGTAAGTTGATCATATTCTCAACCCGATGAAAACAAAGGGCAGCTGATCTCGGTTCAAACCTTCAGAGTTGGAGCAGCGGCGAACTTCCTTGCTCCCATCTCAGCCCTATCATTGAATGCATTCAGAACAATTATTGATATTGATCTCATGGGATCTTGGATCACGATGAAGGCGACCCTGCCGTATCTACTGCGATCGGCGGAGAGGCATAAAGGCAGCGGTCAGTCTAATTTAATGCAGTATATCACGGAGGTACTTCACAGTCGCTAACTACTGACTCAGTTTCTAATGGAACTGGTGGACGCATTGTCTTTATCAGCTCAACCAATTACCGCAGCGCGAGAGTTGCGCAAGTTCATGCTTGTGCAGCTAAGGCTGGAGTAAATGCCATCTCTGATGTTTTATCATTGGAACACGCTCCACAAGGACTGACATCCAACATCATAGCTCCAGGTCCCATCGGCGATACAGAAGGATTGCGCCGGCTGTCGGACCCCACCTTGCGTGAGGATGCTATCCGTAGTGTCCCTGTTCAAAGACTCGGACTCGTCAAAGACATTGCAGATGCGACTGTCTTCTTGTTTGGGGACACTGGAAATTTCATTAATGGAGCTTGCCTCGATGTAGACGGAGGCTCCTGGCGCGTCAGAGGAGGAGGACAGTTCGGGAATCGTAAGTATCCAGAGTCGATCAACTCAGCCGCGTCCATGGGCCGCGAGAAAACAAGTAGATTATGATGAGTTTGAGAATGTATTTCCACGAAACTGCGTCTTTCATCGGTCGGAAACGCGGCATGATCTTCAGCCGTGCTAGCCATCTGATGGGATTGATAGGCCCATACCTCGGTAGAGTTCCAAGTTTTCAGCCAAATAATACTTCTATCGTTCCACCATCATGCAATTCTCCATGAAGACTAGTTGACCCACTCCCGCTACCGAGGGATTATTCAGGTCGCCTTAGAGCCATGATTAAAAGGGCTTCGCGCCTCCAGAAGTACAGCTGGACAACAGAATCGTACGATAAGACTTCCGAGAGTTCGATCCAGCATGAAGCAGCCAGACATCGACCCAGAATGCTTTGATCGCACCGATCTGGTATATGTCGAGGACGACCTGAATACTTTGCCGCATGACATCATTTTCCACCGACTGCACTTTCTTGCATGCCACCAGAATACCGTTGCTATCAGAGATACAGATCGCAGCTTGGAAATCAGCTATGGGCAACTTCTCAGCGACATTGTCACAGCCAAAAACCTGGTGTTGAGCAAACTGCATATATCAACTCTCGAACAACTTCGCGCAGACAAGGAGGTTTCTTTCCTCATCCTTGCTCGTGGATATGAGTTTGTCGTATCGTTCTTTACCGTCTTGGCCATTGGCGGCATCGCTGCGCCAACAAGTAAGATGAGGGAAAATCCAAAAAATGGATTATGCTGACCATGAATCCGATCAATAGGTCCTCATGTCACACTGGCCGAAGCTCTTCATTTCATGAAGACGAGTAAAGGGCAGGCTGTTCTTCACTCCCGCGATTTCGAAGCTCTTGCTGCAGAGATATCCCATTCTTCTGAGGTGTACAGTGAATGCAGGCACGTTTGCATCGATTCTCATCCGGACGTTAGGCTGCTCAATCCCCGAAAGATTCGATTCTCTATGAAGAAAATCCCGGATGTGAACAACCCCGGTGCTATCATTTTCACCTCGGGAAGTACTGGCAAACCGAAAGGCGCGGCGATGCGGCGATATAACATCTTAGTACACGCCCTGTTGCTCATGTGGAAGAACAACATCAACAAAGCCTATACCATACTCCAAATGCTGCCCACACATCATGCTGCTGGGCTTGTTCAGAACACTTTGCCCACGCTTATGGGTGGAGGCACGGTAGAGTTCACCCTTCCAAGATTTGACGCAGCTGCGATATGGGAACGAATTCGGCGAGAAGGAATTCAATCCATTTCTGCAGTGCCAACGATCTATGTTCGATTGCTGTCACATTTTGAGAATGTGCTGTCGAAACTGGACTCTGCGGAAAAGGAAATCTATCGATCTGCCATGAGCAAAGTGGGACAATTTCAATGCGGGACGTCAAGTCTACCTACATCCGTGGCGGCAAGATGGGAAGAACTTTTTGAGCGACGTATCTTGGAACGCTACGGTGGGACTGAATTTGGCAATCCGTATGCCAATTATGCTGGCTCCAAATTTGTATTGGTATGTCGTTGTACGCTGCGAACGAGATCAGTATCATAACTCTTCTTAGGGCTCGGCAGGCATGCGGAACCCAGGAATCGAATCTTACCTAGAGAATGGTGACCACGGGGAGATATTTGCTCGAAGTCCGCTGATGTTCTCCAAGTAAGTATCGCACGAGATCAGCTTTTGGGTAACGCTAAATGCGAGTCAGATATATCAACAATGTAGAGGGCACGCGAGACTCCCTGACTGCTGAGGGCTACTTCAAAACTGGTGACATTGCAGAGAGAGTTGAAGATCACTACTTTATCAAGGGGCGCAAGTCGGTGGACAGTTAGTAGATTTATACCGTCGCACAACTTCTGCTAACGCCTTGCATAGTCTTGAAAACGGGGGGATACAAGGTTTCAGCCCTTGATATCGAACACGCGATGACGAATCACCCAAAGATTGCTGAAGCCATTGTAGTTGGGGTTGATGATGACGAATTTGGTCAGAGAGTTGCGGCTGCTGTCGTCCTGAAAGAGGTATGAATCCCAATACTCCAATCCATTCGGTCTATCATTGACTGATGACAAGGGATACCACGAATTGTCTTTGAGCGAATTGAGGAGAGACCTTCAGAAAAGCCTATCCAATTATAAGCTTCCCTCGATCTTGCGAGTAGTCCCGGAACTTCAGAAGACGGCGAATATGAAGATACCCAAACAGCTTCTGAAGAAAGAATTGTTTGACTCGAAACATCCTGATATTGAGACGTGGCAATTTAGCAAACCAAAAATTTAGGCCTGTGGTGGATGCGGCACAGAGCAAAGTGAATGTTCATTTGCAGGTTCCACCGACGACCATTAGCTTCCATCATCTGACTGACTATCTTTGGTTGGCGAGGTTTGCCTTGTCTGATGGTGTGGTTGGTTCTTGATGCTTTCAATAACGTGTTGGGACTCGGAGGCAACATGGATCCGGTGAAGAAAGAAGGAGGGGAGGCTGGACAGTAGCAGTCGTGGTTCTGTTGAGAATCTCAGAGGAGGACATGGTACATGAGAGAAGGTTGGCAAAGTGAACCTGCCCAAAAAGGAGAAAGGGTTTGGGACGAAGGTCAGTGATCAATCTCCAAGGATGAATGGCCAAGAGCTAGTCTCATGCCGCCACAGATACAGTTCAGCCTGACCCTGTGAATTCGTGAGTTGGGGACATGCCCGGTGGAGCCGTGCACGAAGAACTGTACATACCTATTGTTGACTGATTTCGACAGTTTGTTGGTGCTGGTGGTGGGGAGCGGGAGGGAGCATTGAGAATACCAGTGAGTAGACCAAGGAAGAAGGATAACATGGTTTCAATGAATTGATGAGTGGTAAGCAAGATTGGCAGCGGATGTCCAAGTCTGAGAGAGAGGGAAGAGACGAAAGTGTTCCGAGAGTAGAATGTATCCTTGCACCTTCTATACAAAGAATGTGTCTAGGCTTTGGACTCACGGGGGAGTGTGCACCCAGTCACGGGCGTTGGTTTGGGGCAAGCCCACTTGGAGATGTCACTCAATGTCCCTACCTTACCTGAGATGGGCAGTCAATTGCGCGCAACTTGAAGACATACCTACCTACTTAGGCACCAAGGTACCTAAGGAAGGCACAATCGATGACCGAAGAGGCCGTCGCAAGACACTCGTACACTCCTGCTATGTTCAAATCGCCACTCACAACTCGCTACAAGGCTCTGATGCGACTGGAAGACTCGAATCCAAATGTAGCATCAATTGCTCATAAAGAGTTTTTCCATTCTTACTTGCCTTCATAGAAATAATGGGGGGTCATCATGTTAGCGGTCCGACCAAATCATCCAGGCAAGACGCGTCAAAACGCGTAGAGACCCTTAACCATTTAAGCGTCACATTTTGAGAGCCCGGTCGCCGCTCACAACACGCGATCGACATACAAGTTTCTATGATGGAGATGCGGAAAAATAATTCAAAGGTACGCATTAAAAGTTGCAAATTCTTTAGGAAAAGACTTGTGCGTTGGTGATGTGATGTTGATGGGCTTCTCCGTGACCCGGGCCCCCAAAGAGACAACAAGACTTGAAATGCTGTGGACATGACTGGCGGCACAGTGTGGTCTTCAGCGCTGCCAATGGAGCCAAGACTGTAAAATGACTTCGTGTGAGAACTACTCGTAGATCCATCCAAATGAATATACCACAGTGCACGGCATGTTCACAAACAGCCATGTCTGTGCAGGCACTGTATCTGTATCCCCGTGGCAGCTTGTTGCTGACATGAGATATGGCCCAAGAGCCGGAATGACCAAGAATAATCATCACCTCACTGACCCAAGGTGATAATGCGATACTTCTAGGTTTGTTGGAATAGTCTTGGGAACGTACAACAGTCTATTGTCTCTGAAACTAAAGGCGGATTCAACGGCCCCCGAATCTATTGATCCATTGAAATCAGTCAATATTATGTCATGCTTGGTATGGGCGACACCCCCCAGAAGGGACAGCTGTCCACTAGCTATAACTCCAATCCCTCGACGCCAGGCTACTTGCTCCAGGCAATCCATCATGCTATCTGTCCTCTGACTGCGCCCGGTAGTGCAAGGCTCGAGTGTGTGTCTGCGAAGAATCCCGCCGGGTTTTTTTCGATTTGGCTGATGTGAAACCCTTCCCCAGTGTCCTTGCCTTCCATAACAAGTCCAGTGGCAAATGGCCCAGTCAAGCACCCGACGGATCTCAGGACGGCCGGGTCGTCATTGAACCGTACGGGATTTGGGAATGATATCCGGGGTGGACCAGAAGCACCCACTGCGGCCTCGTGGATATGGGTGGCTGAGCTTGCTGGTGAACTGAAATCGCCTTGGAAGTTGTGTAGTGTGATGTTGTAACATATCATGTTGGCGTGCGAGTTGATGCCGAAGTTGAACAAGCCCAACGCTCCTGCGAGGCCACCGGTAGGCGTCGTGCCGTTGACGACGAACTCGGGCGCCGCATGGATGAAATGGGTTGATGTGAAGTGAAACAGGTCATTATTTCCTCCAAAGCCGGCCTGATTCAAATCAATGTTGAGCTGAAGCGAAAGTTTGCCTCCGCTGATATCCAAAGGAGCAGCGCCGACGCTGATGGCAAGAGCCACAAGGGAAGTAATTATTGAAGTCTTCATGATGATACCAGATCAAGAGAGTGAAGATGACTGTTCAAGGAGAGTGATGAGAAGCGAAAGTGTTTGCAAAAGGAATGACGTGCGATCGACCGTTCAACAGTATGCGACTGCCATCGATCAATAAAAGCCATTCCATACCTTAACTTTATATCAAACCTACCTTGGAGTCCAGAGTCTAGACGTGAGAAGGCCAAGTCGCATACAGAAGATGCCGAAGGAAGGCGACAGCTCAGGCTCAGACTGATACAAGATGCATTCTTGGCCTAGTTTCACGGGACCTTGGCACTGGCGCATCCGGGCTTGAAGATACCGGCCGAGGCTGCCCTCGCTGCCCCGAAGGTCTCCTGCCAAGAGGACCAAGACCGCCTACTTCACAGCTTATCAACGCCTATGAAGGGGTAACTGTTAGAGACTCCCGGCCTCGAGTTGCCATCAAGTTGAAGCTGGCCAGACCAATACTGCTTGGGGCTTAAGGGGGTGAGGGGTGTCCATTTCGACCCCCCAGCCCAAAACATTTAATTCCCGGATTTCCAAATTCTCCCAGCTCCTGATTTATTACCACCGAGTTCTTGTTCATCATGGGCAAAGCAAGGGCATTTTCACTACTACCACTGAGCAGATTACGGGGTCAATCGCATCGGCTTGATCTAGATTAGACCAGTGACAAAACTGACACCACTGCCATTGTCCCTGCCCGCCGCGTCATGCTACCGGGTAGGCACTCACAACTTCTAACAGCCACACCGTCCCTGACTGTGTAACCCCACTCGACATCGAGTCGGCATTTCGAGCATCAACAAAAACATATGATCCGACTGCCAATATTGATGTGGGTTTTGTTGTCGTATTGATGACTTTCCGGAATTCGTTGTCTTCTCTTCTGGTTACTCTGCATTTCTTATGATTGATCACATCCCTCCCGAAATGCAAATGTGAGTACGAAATGGCAGCCATCATCTCTATGTGCTACGGTAGCATGAGTTGGTCAAGGATCACTCTAGCAACAAATTCCGACCCATCAAGCCGCCGTTGGGATCCTCCATCGCTCTTGCCCACCTATTGTCGGACGGCTCTCACTCAGGTACGACGTCGAGCTACACCGACAAGTACGTGGCAAAGCTGTGAGAGAGCTGATCAATCTGCTACCAAGTAACCTGTCCTACTTCTACCAATTCAACAAACTCTCGCCAGTTTCATCTCGATAGATATGCTGACCTCAAGACCGATGAGTCTACTACCCATGCAATCCACATCACCAGTCCGTCAATCTCACAATGTCACTACCATTCATCCTGCCCTCGTCGACCTCCACGTCAACGCCCAAAACCGTTATTGTGGTGGGGGGAGGATGTAGTGGTCTAGCCATGGCGGAAGCACTGCATGAGCGGGATCCGATGTCAAAAATCACAATCATCGATATGCAATTTGAGGTGGACACCGGCAGCACTTCGGTGGCAAATTACTCAGAACCCAAGATCTCAGCAAGTCGTGGCTGTGGTCGCATCATCCGTGACGACTACATCCATCCAACATATAGGACAATTGCCTGCGCAGCCATGGCTCACTGGAAGCATGTCGAACCATGGTGCCAGTTCTACCACGATACTGGACTTGCACTGGTGGGGAGTGGCGACAAGGATGGGCAGCTCAAAAGAACGTTCGACATCAGCCTTGCACATCGCAAGTCCGCAGGGGTCAGAACCGGCCTGAAAGTCTTCAACTCCGAAACTCACATTGAAGAGGTCTGTCATATCAAAGCTCTGCGAGGTGCTTGGGGATACTTCAACCCTGAAGCTGGCTGGGTCAATGCTGATCACGTAACTACGGCTCTCCTCCACAAGTTGGCGACTCTCGACAATCTCTCCATCGAACGTGGAAAGGTAGTTTCGCTGGTGAAGGACCCGACTGGTAAGAGAGTTCTCGGGGTTGCCCTTGAATCAAGCGAAACACTCTTTGCCGAATTCGTGGTACTGGCCACTGGTCCTTGGACCTCCACACTGGTGGATACATCTGGCATATCCATTGCATCAGCCGAACCGATGGCTTTGTTTAAGCTGCAACCAGAGCACGAAATAGGTCTTACAAACATGCCTGCTGTGGTTGACTTCGAGCAGAAGATCTGCATGACACCTCCAGTTGGACGACTTCTTCGCATTGCCCTACACCGCCAGGACTGGCTAAACCCGTCAGACTTCGAGCATCCCGAGACTGGCCACACGAAAGTTTCACTTCCTCTTTTTTCTGCAGATCATGCCAGCTCCGACACTAGAGCTGCACATCTGGCTCTCCTGCACCACGCCCTGAAACGGGTTTCCCCCCCGGTGGACGGGACCATTGTCGATTTTCGATATTGTTGGTATGACGATACACTAACTAGTGACTTCATCATCACCCACCATCCAAAACTCAGTGGTCTGTTCATGTTACACGGTCTGGGTGCCCATGGTTTCAAGTTTTTACCCGTCCTGGGTCGCTACGCTGTGGCTGCATTGCTTGGGGAACTCGCCTCTGAAGCTCAAGCCCTGTGGCAATGGCCACAGAAAGTGTCGGAGCGAGAACTTGAAGATCAACATGGCCAAGGTGGCTGGCGTTGACATGAATGTAGGTCACATTTGCTACACCCACTCTGACTGCACACCTTGTTTCTGTCTGAAATCGTGCATGGGTGGGCGACAGAGAGTATTCCAACTCCCTGGAAGCTGTCAAATGGCCAATAAACTTCAAAGCACCAAAAACCCACCGTATTGCCCATCCGGAGTCAATGCGTAACCAGTACGGGAGTTGTAATTCGGGAGATAGTATAGCAGAATTATATACGACTTCCACGGAGTCTCTTTCACATCTTGCATTGAAGGGGAGTCATTTGTTGAGCCATGGCAGATTCAAGAGTAGCACTCGACTTTACGCGTATCAGAAATGAGATACACAATGAAACCCAACTTGCTTTGTTGGAGGACTTTGTGCAGACGATCAACACGCAGGGTGCTGTGGTAATCAAAAATGTGGGACTTGATGATGATACAATTCAGCAGGCCTTCTCATGGGTAATTGAACGCATACATCATGCAATGATTCATGGAAGCCTACTAATTGTTTTCTTGTAGACCAGATTACTGTTCGATCTCGATGGTTCAACAAAGGAAGGCTGTCAGCACCCGGCAGAGCCTCTTCCCCATCGAGGTTATAGCGCAATTGGCCAGGAGAGAAGTGGTGGCAACGCTTTCAACTACAAGGTGGGAAACACACCATCTACCGTGGCGCTCATCTCTATGCTAACATCTTACTGCAGGAGAGCTTCGACTTTGGACCAGCGCATGATAATTTGTACCCCAATATCTGGCCCCAACAGACTCCTCACTCGAACTTTTGTCCCTCTGAATTCAGGGCCTTCATGGAACGCTTGTTTCTCAATCTCCACGACGTCCAGCTCACAATTCTCAAGGCACTAGAGGAATACCTCGTCGTCAAAGGAAGGCTTTGTGCAATGCATAACCTGATGCAGAACGAGATACGGCTGCTGCATTACCCCAGTGTGCCGAATGCGGTACTCAGCAACCCAAAGAAAGCCGTCCGATTCGGCGAACACACCGACTTCGGCACTATCACAATTCTGCTTCAAAATCAGCCTGGCGGACTTCAGTTCCAAAACTACGCTGGAGAGTGGCACGAGATCAATTCATCCCCAACGGACTTGGTCATATTATTTGGTGACACGTTACAAAGATGGACAAATGATCGGCTGTGGGCAGGGAAGCACCGCGTTGTGTCACCTATTGCCAGGCAAGATGAGCTGGAGACAGGAGAACGATACTCCATCGCTTATTTCTGCAAGCCCAACCGAGACCAGTCGGTAGGATCGCTACCAGAATTCATGGCGCATGGGGATTCAACGAGATATGAAGATCTCACTGCTGAAGAATACAATCAGAGGCAAATGAGGAATCTCTACGGCTAGCACAACCACATAAGGATCACAAAACAATAGAATAGTTGACGTGGCTGCTCTTTTCAGGAAAGCGGTAGCCCGCAAGTATGATTTCCTCATTCCCCTAGCTAGTCTCTCGAGACGTTCTTTGAATGACCATTTCAGTTCCATAAACGAGCTTGAGTTCTGGGACCTGTCGCGGGGATACTGCCATGTATGCCACTTGCGATCTCTTGTGTGACAGTACTAACCAGGCCATACGCGGCTTACTCGAAGATCACAATCAACGACGCGAAACTGCGGGTTCCACCACGTCATTTTGATCTATCGAGAGAGAGTTCAAGCCGTTGCAGAAGGAGAGTCCAGCTCTGAACCTGATTTGTTTTAGGCGTCACGAGTGGTGTGTAGGGAGTTCAATATCATCGTCAAGGCTGATGAAGCTGCTGATCGGCTATGGCGACCTGGAGAGTGTAGCAATCTTCTCCATTAGCCGGGTAATATATTAGGAGATAGGTACTCAAGGGGAAAGTGCTCACAGTACGGGGTAGTATGCTTCCAACAATTTGTGATTTCTAGATTTGTTGATTCCAGCAAACTCTCCAGGTCACCACGATTCCACTTGTAGCTGTGTGCAAGTTTCAGTGGCTGACCAGCGGTAAAGCGGTGCATTTTGCCTCTCAGACGCATTTCGACGTCCCTGCGAGCCACAAAGCTGGCGGTGAAGCATCGGGTACTGTCATCATACTCCCCTTGATATTCCCATTCATCAAGTCGGAAGACCTGTGTTCCAATCAGTGAATTGGCGTGTTTCAAAGCGTTCAATGCCCATAATTCGGTAGGTTTGGAAGTGTATGACTCAATGATCTCCTTGTGATCGTTACATGCGTCTAGACCCAAGATGAATTTCGTTGAACCCCTAATACGCGAGGGAAGTCCAATTATCAACTGCTGTAGAGTGGTCGCGACTTCACCAATGGAAAGATTTGCCATGCTATTTCCTAACCAGAGGTACGTGACAGGTTTCGTGAAAGTATGCCCATTGGAATAAAGCCAGGAAATGAGATCTTTGAATGTCCCCGCAAGTCCAACACTCTGGACACCGAGCTGCTGCATCTGCGGAGTGCAACTATCCAGGCTTTTCTGCAGGTATTCGGGCGAGATATCAAGGGCGTAGAACTGAACACGACCGTTTCTGGCCGCAAGATGTTTGACGACGAAGCTAGACTTGTGGAGCGAGCTGTGAGCACATATCAGTCAGGTCTCATGATACCAATTAAAATGGCTACTCACCCTGCTCCTAGGTCGATCAAGATACCACCATCATCGCAGATCTTGCTGATATCATCAACATGGGCAGACAATACCTCCATCTCTGCAGATGAGCCATAGCTGTTTGTCGACCCCTTCTCTGTCATTTTGGAAAAAAGCTCCATACCTTGCTCGTCCCAAAGCAGCAGAGGTGGTATGGATGGTTGCTGAGATAGAAGTGAATCCTCGAGGACTCGCCGTAAGTTTTGGCTTTGGCACTCATCGCGGATATCGATGATGTTTGTCATCTTGGAAGGGACAATTGGGCACCGTCCCGAAGACGTAGGAGGTCAATTCCGTGGTATTAAATTATTTCTAGCTTGAAAGTTTCGACCTTTGGGAGATATGTCCATACTTCAACACCAAGAGCCTCTAACTGAGTGGTTGTCAGTCTTGCACTACGAACTTGCTGGTTTATGGAGACATAGCTACACATGGCCAACGGAAAAGCCCACTTGCTAGACCCTCAAGTTTCGAATTCGGCGGGCGTCCCTTGTTCCAAAACCCGTCCCCCACCAAGGACCAGACAAAACTCTGCATTTTCCACCGCAGCTGCACGATGTGCAATGGTGATGATTGTGCTGCCTTTCAGTTCTTCTCTGAGGACCCTTTGAATTTCCGTGGAGGTCTCAAGATCAATGCTGGCGGTGGCCTCATCCATGACAACAATTGCACTGCGCCTCAGTATGGCACGGGCTAGGCCTACCAATTGTCTTTGCCCCTGACTCAAGTTTCGACCCCCATCATCGATTTGAGTGTCCAGAGTCCAGCCATACTTCCCGCAAACCCGAGCTATTACTTCAAGGCACTCGATGTCCGAGTGGTCTTCCATTGGATCAAGGTTGTGACGCAATGAGCCAGGGAAAAGTATTGGCTCTTGAGCAAGGAAGGTGATACGAGTTCGGAGGACCTGCTTGTCGATTTGATTAATGTCAAGTCCGTCAATGAGGATCCGCCCTGATTCAAGAGGGATCGTTGCCAGTATACACAGGGCTAAGGTGGATTTGCCGGAGCCTGTCCTGCCAGTGATGGCGTTGGTGGTGCCACCGGCAAACCGCACAGAAACATCTGAAAGAGCGCGGTCCATCTGGGGTTGATAGCGAACACTCACATCCTCAAAAACCACATCACTACCATAAGTTGGCCATGATGCGGGGGGAATGATGGTTCCAGGTGATTCCTGCTCGATGTGTAGAAGCTCAACTACTCGCTCAACGGAGACGAATTCAAGTTGTAGTTGACCGTATTGCTTGCAAATCGAATGGGTGTATTGAACGAATTTGTTGGCGGCCACAAGGACAAAGGCTGTGAGACCGGGTGTTAGGTTGGAGAAAATTGCCAGCAAGGTGAGGACGAATGTCGATATTCCGGAGAGTGTATCAAATCTATACATCAACCATGCTTGTAAACTCCAGTAAAAATGGTCCATCTTTTGGAAAGCGTCTGTAACTTTTATTGTTTTTTCCTGGAATTGATGCTGAGCACAAAAAGCTCTGACCGTCATCAAACCGTTCAGTAAGGCTCCAAAATTCGCCATAAGTGGACTTAGTGATACCATCTCCAATCGTCGGAGACTTTGCGATGTTGGTAGAAATTCGAGGAAGATCCAGACGAAAACAAGCGTCAAGGAAATGGCGAACACGAGAAAGATCGGGGTGATGCTGGCAATGACGATCATCGATGAGACCCAAGAAATGGAATACCATATGACCATTAAGAATTGTGTGGCTATAGGGCCGTCGATTGTGCCAACATCGGAGGTCAGGCGATTCATAAGTCGCCCGACCGGTGTGATATCATAGAACCGGAATGATGAGTTGCTGATGCGATTCATAATATCATGAAACATCCGGCGTGCCGCAGTATAAGTGACGACAAGCATGAATAGGTCGGAAAGAATGAGCCCGATAGTCTCGGCGACGATGATAATAAAAAATCCCAATAGCCATGGATTCACATTGGTTGCCGGATTTGGAAAATGCTCGAAAAACTTGGAGATGGGGCTGTTCAATGAACGAACTTCTGAAGCGAGTTGTTGTAAGAACAAAAGTTGTCCTTTAACGTGATTGTATGCCTCGCCCCACTCTTTCAAGAACCAACTTTCAGCCACGTACAGGCCTCGACAAAGCGATGCACTCAAGATAACCATGAACCACCATTTCAATTTTCCCGCTTTGATGTATTGCCAGTAGATTGCAACTTGTACACCTCCATGGACTCTGTGTTCCTCCTCGATGAATCCTTCAGGCGTGACAAGTGCGTCGTCAATTTTACCATCGGGCTCTTGCTCCACTTCTGCAACTGTGACAGCCGTGGATGAAGAATTAGAGATGTCTTCGTCAAGGAGGTGAACGGTTGCGGTGCCATGAGAAATCTCGATGAGTTGTGTGGCGAAAGTTCGACATATGTCAGTCCTATGAGTGGCAAGGATGACAATGCGATCGTCCATCAGCGGGCCAGCGAGGCATTTGGTGGTGATCCATTCGGCGGTTTGTTGATCTAGTGCACTTAGTGGATCGTCCAATAGCAGTACACGAGTGTCACTGTAAACAGCACGAGCGAGAGCAACCCTTGCTTTCTGACCTCCTGAAAGACCGATTCCGTTCTCACCAATGCTTGTCAAATCGCCATATTTGAAATTGGCTAGGTCTGGAAGAAGAGCACACGCTTCAAGTGTTCTTTTGTATCGAGTGTCGTCGTACGGAGAGATAAAAACAATGTTCTCTCGAATGCTCATATTTTGTAGCCAGGGGGTTTGCGCACAATAGCCAATAGCCATGGGGGATTTATGCAGATATCCCTCTCGAAGATCCAATTCCCCAAGCAACGCCTGGAGGAGTGCGGTCTTTCCAGAGGCGACGGGACCGTATATTACCGTCAAGCCGCGAGGAAATGTTAAATTGAGCTGCGCGAGAGTGATCTCATCTAGTCCAGGCCATGAGAACGAGGCATTCTGTAGCTCCAATTTTTCTTCTTCCCATTGTGGTCCTTCGGTTGAATCATTTGGCTTTTCGGGCTCGGCTATGAAATCGGATATCCGACCAACTGCGACCGAGGCGTTTAACATCACCGTGATCAGCGCAGGGATTTCACGGATATTGGTTTGCAACATTGCGAACAGTTGGATTGCAGGGAATGCGATGTCGACCCTGAGTTGTTGACCAGCAACAACGGTATAGGCGTAGAATGTGGCTACTGGGAGCATACCACTGGCAAGGGAATTGACAAATTTGATAAGGGTGTTCCATAAGTAAACAACAACTCGCAGGTTCAGCTCGTGTTGACGGGCAGTCATGATGCCTTCCAACCAATTACGATGCCAGCCATACCATCTAAGATGTCGTATGGCTTCGACGTATTGTGATATCTTTTGGAGTTTGACGTCCACAGCGCGCCGTCTCTTTTTCTCCCAGCCAACTAGTATTCGAGCCAGTAGGTAGTTGAAGATCTGGGCGATAATGACGACAGCAACGCCAACGAGGCATGACCAGCCCAACATCTGCCATATGAGATAAATCGAGAACAGCAACCCAAGAGGCTTATTGATGAGGGTCTGAAACTCCCAGAAGCGTTGGGCAACCTCATAGACATCATTTCGCATGAGATTCAAAATCTTCCCCATTGAAGCCGACAGTTTTTCTTCGTTGGACGGGATTTTTGAAGGCCGAAAACGTTGCCTAACACCTCTCATGAATTTCGTCACAACCTCCCTCATCCCAGGTTTTTGCGTGATATTCTCGTCAACTAGCGACTCGGTTACAGATGGGGTTGCCGGCATAGAAGGACTTCCACTGAGGATTGTAGCCTCCGAAGGCTGATCTTTTGGCTTGCTACCGATGATTTTTCTGTTCAAAGTTTTTTCGTAGAGCATTGTTATCATTTCTCCACGAGAACGTTCGTAACATCTTCGAGCGAACCAAAGGCTGAAGACGGAGCTCTGGGCAGCAACAAGTCTAGCGACGAGCATAAGGAGCGCGAAGGTCATTGCTGGTCGTTTTTCGGTGGAGATAAGGTCCATTGCTTGCAAAAGCTTCTGCATTATCATTGGAGCAGCATAATTTGCGGTCAATTCGACGATAGCCAGGAGAGTCAAAATCACCAAGTCGATCCAGTTTGCGGCCAACAGGCGTCGAACCACGGATCCTTTCAGTTCCCGGAATGCGTCGTGCAGGTAACGATGTTGAAACTCATAGCCCAGTAGCCAGACATCTTCATCGTTTAGTTGGCGAGTATTGCCAACTTTGATAAGTGGCGACATCCAGGATACTGTCATCCACTGGAACAACGTCATATTGTCTTCGGGCGATCTCAACTGGTTTGTTGGTATGGCAAACGGAGGACTGATGCCGTTACGACTCATCTCTGGAGCACGCAGCGGCATATTGATAATGAAGATGGCTGACAGGAATGCACAAATTCCGCTGAAGGTCGTCAATATCGGGTCCCGGTCAATGAATGGCCCATGGAATTGAGTGGCAACGATGGCCATCTCTCCAATGACAATCGATGTAAAGGCAATGAGAAGGAAAGTCGAGGCAGACCTGGGACGTCGTATGATGAGGTAGCTAAAGGCCATTGCCCACAAGCCACTGATTGCCCATGCAGAAGAGTAAATCGGCGCCACCAGAATTTGAGCAACCAGCCCCGCAATCGAGAGAAGAAGTAACACGATCATATGCCATGGAAAATGTGCATCCTTTTCTCTTGACTCGATTAAGTCCGAGTCAAGAGGCTCTTCAATGAACGGTTTGATTCGAAAGAAGTGAAGTCTTGCAAAGTGGTGGGCTATCGTTGAACCCATGATGTTTGACCGCCAGGCATCAGGAGTCAGTCGTTGATACTGTTTTCCCAACACTAACAACCCTTCTTCAGGTTACAAAAGCCCCTTTCCAGCATCGCCGTCAGACCGTCAACTATGCCAGCATGAATTCGACCCATAAAATGGTCCGAGAGTTTGCGACGTTCATTAAGGGTTAGAAATGAAGAGAGATGTCAATTACCAAGCTTTTTCAATGAGCCGAAGGCTTTTAAGGTTGCATTTGGTCAGCACGTAACCTGAAGATTTGATTCATTTCATTGGCCATCGGAGTAGGCCGCCGTTCTACAACCACAATAGAAAATACCTGGGCAGGGAACCATAACAGACTCCTGTCTTCTCCAACCATTAATCGAAGCGAACGTTGATATGAATAAGTACGTGTGCACAGAGGTGTATTTAGGCTCATGTCGGACCAAGTCATGTCACACAACGCTATCAGGCAGAATGTCACCACATGGTGCCTTCTCTTGATAATAGCACGCCTGCGCCGTTCACCTGGGGACAAAGAGAGGTAGTGAAATCCTGTCACTGCCCGATCTTAGAACCTATATTCCGGGCTGTATATTATGTCACGTCTAATCACCAAGAGGGCCTGAGCAGGCTGGTAGCCATTGTCTATGGGGGAGAGGTGTATTCTGCGGAGGACAGGGTGTAGCGGACGAAGAAAGGACGGACATAAGGACGGATTGGTGGTTTCCACTTGCGAGCACTAACAGGTGCACATAGCAAATGAGATGGCGATATCAACTGAGCAAAGTACTGCTGTTGCACAAATCAACATCCACAACTGCACTGGAAGCGAGAGCACTTGCAGCACTGCACAGTCAGGGGCAATCCTTGACCGTAGCCAGCTAGGTTGGTACACATGCGTTCGGAGTGCAATCACGTGTTTTTACTTGGCATTAATCACGAAAACCTGGGGAAGGAACAGTCTCGCTTCTCCAACAATTGGATTTCCGAGCCGGACTCGATTGCCTCTCCAATCAAATTTTCACCAGGATGACGTTCAAACAACTTTCTCCTCACTTGACCAGCTACACTTTCAACACACAATTGTTCTTCGATTCAATTCATCAATTCCTGGTTGTCACTCGTTCCTTCTGCCACTGCAAAGAGTCACTCTGCGAGGTCAAGCCACCGCCTCTTGACCAATTTCCTCTGCGGGGTGGCGCTCATCGGCATTACGAAGCTTTTTCTTTCCACCTACCATGACAGACACCCCCAATTCGAATCATGATGAATTTGCCGCGAGGGTAGTGTCAGATCATCTACCATCCGGCTATACAGCGGGCTTGGTAGATGGATCCAACGACGAGAGCGAAGCCTCTAATGGAGCAGGACAAGAACCAGAGTCTTCACTTACGCTATTGGGGGGAGATGTGCACCGTGATCTCTACAAAATCCACAGCAGGGCCAAGCTCCACCAACGTGCTGCTACTTTCTCACACCCGGTCAATTCATCAACTGATTTCCAGAACGACCTGACTGCCGCCGAACAACGGCTTCCGGGAGGCTTCCGTCGAGAATTCGTACAACAAAAATATGGTCGCTTCAACCCTGCCGTTATCCCTGTCACTCGCAACTTCGTGGAATTCCTATCCCTTTACGGCAGCTTTGCTGGTGAGGATCTTGAGGATTCCGACGATGATTCATCTGTTCAAGGTGAGGAGGACGAGGCCGAAGATGGTGCCGAAGAAACAACAGGCGAACGACGACCACTCCTCGGTCGACGGCGGTCTACCAGACAAACCAGACCAGGCGATGCTGGCAGGGTGAAAACCTTTTTTACTCTTCTCAAGGCTTTCATTGGAACCGGCATCATGTTCCTCCCAAAAGCTTTCAACAATGGTGGGATCCTATTTTCATCAATGACCTTACTCACGGTCTCGGTTGTTACTACCATATCTTTTCACCTACTCCTGAAGTGCAGAAAATTATATGGCAAGTCGGGCTACGGAGAACTCGGTGAGGCCATAAGCGGCTCCAAGATGAGGGCAGTGATTCTAGGATCCGTCACTATCTCCCAGCTTGGCTTTGTTTGTGCAGGAACGGTTTTTGTGGCTCAGAACCTTCATTCGTTCGCTTTGGCGGTTTCGCATGGCCATAGTCCGGTGTCTACCCCGATTCTGATCGCATTACAGCTTCTTGTCCTGATACCACTTTCGTTTATCCGAAATATTTCAAAGTTGGGACCCAGCGCTCTGATAGCCGATGTTTTCATTCTCCTCGGCCTCACGTATATCTATTATTATGATATTGCTACTATCGCCAACCAAGGTTTGCATCCGACTGTTAAGCTTTTCAATCCAGATCAATTCACATTGACGATTGGAGCCGCGATATTCACGTTCGAAGGGATCGGACTCATCTTGCCAATCCAGTCGTCAATGAAACAACCCGACAAGTTTGAGCCTCTGCTCTGGTTGATCATGCTCATCATCACCACCATTTTCACCTCTGTTGGAGCTTTATGTTATGCGACTTTCGGCTCCGCCACGCAAATAGAAGTCATCTCCAACTTCCCTCAAGACAGTAAGCTGGTGAATGCGGTTCAATTCCTCTATTCTCTTGCTGTTCTGGTGGGAACTCCGGTTCAGCTTTTCCCACCAGTCCGTATTCTGGAAGGCAAGATATTCGGTCGACGGTCTGGCAAGAAGGACGCCCTCACAAAATGGAAGAAGAATGGATTCAGGTCGCTTCTGGTGGTGCTCTGCATTCTAGTCTCGATCCTGGGAGCAAACAACCTGGATAGGTTTGTCGCATTGATTGGTTCATTTGCTTGTGTACCACTTGTATACATCTACCCCCCGTTATTGCATTATCAAGGTGTAGCAGAGACAAAGTGGGCAAAGATCGGAGATGTATTACTGATTATTTTGGGAGTTGTCTGTATGGTATACACTACCTGTGTTACCATCGCCAATTCTTTCATATAGTCATTGCCAATTGCCAATTGGTGACTGCTCCGCCTGGTCGGTGAGGTTCAAGCATGTATCAAGAATTTGTCATGCAGACATGATCCTGGATGACGAAACCAGGATGCTCTGTGCGACCATGCATCATATTTGATGGTGGCTGGATGACCTTCTACGTAGCAATGAAGGGCCATTCTGGCGCCGTAAAATCCTGCTGAGATGGGCAAATTGGTAGGCAAGATCACAATTCTGCCGACATTAATACGGACTACCACGACTCACACCTGCAGGACCCAATTGCCGAGTATTCCTGTTTTCAAACACCACAGCGGAAAGATGACTGATCTTCAGCCATTCATGGAAATCTTAGATTTGGATTTCACTTGGTGCAGACTGAAATTAAGAGGCAGGCCGTGACGCCACCGAGGCTTGAAAGTCTCACAGTCCGAAAGACAACACATCCATGATCTGGTCTGTTGAATGCCCCTCGATTGGCAGAGCGCGACCTATGCGAAGTGGACGATTCCCAATAACAAACCCAGACTTGTAGTTGGTAAAATTCCATGTTGTTCCGTCGCTGGGGCGAGAAGGATAACCCCAACACGACTCAGACGTCCTCCAGGTTGGATTTTGGCTTCATTAGCACTTTGTACCAAGCCCATGCCATGCCACAAAAGCTTCCTGTGCCCCGCTTCCTCTTTCGATTATCCATGAAAGTCGCCAGATGCGTCTGGAGATATTGGAATTTGAAACAGACATTGGCCAGAAGCAATGGAATACGAGGTTGCCATAAGATTTTGGTGCTGACGTTCAAGGGGGTTATATATCTATGATTTAAGGATCCGTGTGTGAGACATTGCCCTCGCTCCTTTGAAATCCTTTGCGATTTATCTAGTTTTCCACATTCTGAGCTTGATTCGATGGGCTCTATTGCGCATGTTTGTGTATACTCCTAGAAGATTGCTGACACAAGACCCAGCTTGCTCAGGAGCGGGAAACAGCCTGGTGGTGGCAAGGATTATCCTTCGTGGGAAGATGAGCATGTAAGGTTGCAGGATCCGGGCTCGCCAGGCTTAAGCTCTAGTTCTCTGAAGTCGGGTAACTACGAAGAAGTATTTAGGTGTGCCGATCACCGAACGTACGGTAGTGATTTAGGGGAACAATATGGGGAACTTGGTGCCTAAATTCCGATCCGTGGGCACGGATGGGGAAGCCCAAAGCCCAAGCTGATTTTTTGAACCCCTTTAATCTCCAGGTGCAGGTGACCTCGAATGCGCCTCAAAAGGCTGTTTCAGAACAATGTCGATGTGGCGGCCTCGGGATTTTCCTTCGCTCGCTAAAGACTTAAAGCCTTCGGTTGCTTCCGAATGGATGACACCATTTCGACCCCAATTGATGTTGGCCCTGCATGATCTCGGCCTACAGGATCAAATCTAGGGAGATTAATATTTTCAAGATGACTGCCCGTGGCTGGCAACGCGGCAAAGCCTCGCCATAACAGCACCACTTCCTTGCAGAAAATCATGAACTTGACCAATTTCATGGCTGAGAACTCTGAATCAGGGACTCCATGTCTGACCATTTCCGGACAACCTCCAGTTGTTGCAAGAGGATCCTTTGTCTACCAGACTATGTGGCGTAACCATTCCCTGTGGTGTGAGAAGTACAAATACCAAGGTATGGAAGTGCACCACAAGGAAGTTTACCTCTAACTCAAGACCTCACAATCTGATTTCGTTCGTTCATTCATTCATTCAATTCGACTCACTCCAGTCTCTCTTTCCAAATTTCCTCAACATGAAGTTCTTCAGCATCGCCGCACCTCTTGCCTTGGTCTCTTCTGTCCTGGCCGCTCCCGGAGGCTGGAACGACTGGAACACTGGCCTGACCCAGGGAGATGCCTTGGACATTGTCTCCAAATTCACCCAAGTTCTTTCCCACTCTGATGTCAAAGCCGCCAACGCAACTGCTCAAGCCTTGATTGGTGATGGCTTCTTCGAGAATTCGGACTCTATCAATATTCTGGCTGGCTTCCCAGTAAGTACCACCTCTGTGCAGCCTCACACAAGGAAACCCACTAACAAAAGAAAGCTGGGCTCTACCACCACCAATGGCAAGCAGGCTTACATTAACGGCGTTCTCAATGCTCCAGGCCTCAATGGCGCAGAGAACTTGAAGATCCTGGTGTCTGGCAACAATATCCTTTGGTACTGGCGCTTCAACGCAATCGGAAGCAAGCAACTGCCTGTCAAAGGCTTCAACTTGTTCGAAATCAACAACAAGAAGCAGATCACTGGTCTTTATGTTGAGTTCAACAGCATTGCTTGGGGCATTGACACTGGCTACACTACCACCGATCGTACCGGAAAGACGTTGCCATTGGCTTAGAAGATGGTGTGGGTGCAGTGCTGACGAGTAATGTATAAGTATAACTCGTGGTCTGCAAGACGATACAACTGCCCGGAGAATATTGTGGGGAATAATCTTCTTTTCTGTCAAATTGGCTGGTTAACCTTGGGAATGTGGAATGATGGTAAAGGCAAGTTTGCATAATTCTTGGAACAATGAAAATCGATACTGTGATGGCATTGCGCCAAGTCTATGCATGACCTTCACCTATGATGAACAGAACGATGTAGTCGTATTCAATGACGAAAAGAGTGTTGAAGTTCTGGGCGACCAAGAGTTTCCAAAATGAACATTAATAATGCACCTTGCCCGATGAGCTGCGGAGATCACCTCGCATCGGTAAACCAAGCCGATGAAACCATGGAGCGACTCGAACACGCCGCGAGATGGTCGCCTTGTTCGTGTTTCAAACGGAAGTCTTATTTGGCATTACTATACCACGAACTGCTACATTCTACTCACCCTAGTCATTGACTTACAACATTGGTGCTTTCAAAATGTTGGTTCTCAGAGAAAATGATATTTTAACCTTGCTGGGAGGCCTATCCCCAGCGGACACCCGCGATCTACTTGCCAAGTTCCATAATCTGTTAAGACAATACAGTAACAGTGTATATCAGAAGTCATCAGAAAGACTCATACACCAACCGGAGAGAATCTCAATCGTTACTAAGAATGGCAACACGGCCCTGTTCATGCCATCCTCGGTGACAACATCGACGGGGGTCAAAGTCGTGACTGTCCCGGTGAAGGGATTGATTAAAGGGTCGATAAATGTCTTCTCCCCGGACGGCGACCTCGTTGGGGTCTTGAATGCCGCAGAAATAACGGCGTTCCGCACATCATTGGCGGTCATGATACCGTTTGAATTGTACCAAGGAGACAAGAAAAACATTATTGTCTTTGGGGCTGGTAGGCAAGCGGAATGGCACATCAAGCTGGCACTTCTTCTAGCCGACGTCGACCATATCACTGTGATCAACAGATCGGGCCCAGGACGGATCGGAGAGCTGTTCGAGACACTTCGATCCAATTATCCGAAGACACAGTTCGATATCTTGCTCAAGCATGATCCAAAGTACAATGCTTCGCTGGAAGCGCGTCTCAAAGACGCTGCAGTGGTCTTCTGCTGCACACCATCCGTGGAACCCCATTTCCCCGCGTCGTACTTGGACTCAAAGCAGAGATTCATATCCTTGATTGGCTCTTATAAGCCTCACATGCAGGAGATTGATGCAAAAACACTACGATCGGGCGAAAGAATCTACGTAGACACGAAGGAGGGATGTCTTGTTGAAGCCGGGGAATTGATAATGGCAAATGTGAACGAAGCGCAGCTGCTTGAGATTGGAGAGATACCGAATGGCACGGTTCTCAAGGACAGTGGTAATGTGGTGTTCAAGTGCGTTGGTATGGGTGTCATGGATGTTTTTATGGCTTCAGAGTTGCTGGAAATGGCAAAGGTGAAGGATTTGGGCCTCACTGTTGATGACTTCTGATGTACATTCAGTTGATGAAGTATTAGTATTCTGGCTTCATCACGCTGGGACATTTTAACGACATTTCATGTCACGGGCATTTTCACGAAAGATCAGACGCCGTCGCCAAATTTGTAATCCTTTGACCAACGTTCATCCCATGGTCGCGAGCTGTCAACAAATCTCAAGTCTGTTCCGAGACGAATCCTTCCTTCAGGATCGTGGTTGATAGTGGAGGCATGAATCTGCAAGTTATTTGTGAGTGTTTCCACGTATAGTTCTCAGCAGTAAACAATACTCACCGCATAGGCGTTGTGAAAGACGACGTCGCCAGCTTGGTACTCAGTGAGCAGCCATCGGCGATTGTGTTCTTTTCCGAAAGCCAGCGGTCCATCGGCAAGGAGACCACCTGACATCATGTTCTGGTTGAAAGCATTCCTCGTCTCTTCCTCCGTTAGCCCACTAGCTTGGGCCTTAGCAGTGAAAGCTCGCTCAATTTCTTCTCCAAGGAGGTGTCCGGTCTCCAGGTAGATCAATCCACCGCCTTGTCGTGAAATATCTCCCATCGGAACCCATGCTGTCACCGAAGTGTCTTCTCCATGCCTCAAGAAGATCTGATCGTAATGCACTCCAATGGCTTTGTTGCCTGGAGTATTGTTCCTCAGTAGTGTGCGCCGAACCGCCATGGTGTCATCACCCCAACCGGTCAATCTGGAAACATACGCTCGAAGATCAGGATGCTTGCAAAATACCTCTTTATACCAGGGCTCCGTATGAGCCTTCAGAGCCAAGTCAACAAACTTGGAAGCAACGTCTGGATGTGGACCAGTTGGCCGGCCATTTGCATCCGCAGATCCAGCTCCGATTCCAGGAAAGTCGAGCTTGTCTTGAGTCTGATCGAAGATGCCGTCAACAGGACTCGTGTCAGGCTTCAAAACACCACTTGGAGCCAAGAATTTGAAGTATTCTTCCCGTGCCTTGAGCACATCTCGACGCGGGATCAATCCTTTGATGAAGAGGTAGCCTTCTTTCTTGAATTGCTGACGAGCCTGTTCAATCGGTGTGTCAAGGGTTGTTGGCTTTAGATAACCATATTGGCCTGCTGTCAGCAACCCGTCGTTAACGGCTAAAACCTCCATGAGGACGTCAGTGCGGAGAAGTTGAGGCTGTGCAGTGAATTCTGGTCTCTCAGCCGAAAAAATCTCAGCCAGGGACACTTTCCTAGACGTTTGATCCCGCAAGGTCCACACGGAATCCTTGGGAAGTCGATATGACCGTGATGATAGTATCGTTGGGCATCTGCTTGGCATGGCGAACCAGGCGGCGAATCGTCCACTAGTTGGCAGCCCATTTCGGACACCAACGAATTGGCCCGAAACGCGGGGAAGTGAATTTGAATTTTCAGTCTATGCCATTCTGGGAAGGAATGGCCGGCCCTCGGGCATCGCATCTGCTGGAGGTCTCGAAATCTCAAGATCTGTCATAGGGTATGGGTATAAGATCAGTGTGCTGCTGCGATTTCTCGCAGAGCTCACGGTCGGAGAAACATCCTCCAACACTCAGTCACGGCCATGTCATACATTCTCACCCGTTCGCTGGACGCGAGGCATGTCATTAGGGCCAGAATGGCCAGTCTTCCCGCCATGTATGCACCTCTGGTCAAGGCATTCTCTTCTTCCACCCCATCAAGAGCACAGCCAGTATCCATTCGAGCGACTCCCGAAGAACGTGCTTCCGGCAGATTGAGTGAACAGAATCTTGAGACCGCTGTGAGGCACGTGAGAAAAGACGGCCTCGTTGTTGTGCAGGATGTAGTCGAGCATGAGATTCTGGACAAGTTGAACGAGAAGATGGTGCAGGATGCACTAGAGCTCAGGTCTAGAGGAGCTAATTCGCCCTTCAATTATAACAAGGGCAATTTGCAGCAGGACCCCCCTCCCGTGGAAAGATTCTTCTTCCCCCAAATTTTTACGAGTATGCCTCCCTTATGAGCAGAAATCGATGTGATCCATCTAATGACTTGTTGAAAGATCCAATTGCGACTCAGATAACGTCGGCGGTCTTGGGCCCGCGTCCAAAGTTGACTTTCTGCTCAGGGAACTCCGCCATGCCTCCGGTGGCTGGGGCTGCACCTGAAAGACAGCCTGTACATTCGGATGCCGACTTTGCACATCCAGATCACGCTTTTGCCTTGGTCGTGAATGTACCTCTCATCGAAATGAATCCAAAGAATGGGTCAACCGAAGTATGGCTTGGTACTCACGATGGATTTGGCTTGGAGGCACAGGAAGGTCTTCATGGCGAAAGAGCTAGTGGCCGTATCACAGAATCGCTGTTGGAAACGCGCCGGAGAACTGACCCTCCAAGTCAGCCTGTTATACCAAAGGGAAGTATCATCATTCGGGACCTCAGGCTGTGGCATGCAGGGATGCCAAACCATACCGATGACGTTAGAGTTATGCTCGCGATGAGTAAGTCTTCTCTTAATTCTGGTACTACACTGGTCTGATCAAAACAGTACATTTTGCACCGTGGTATCGCAATCAAATGAAGCTGGAACTTGCCGAGGAGATAAAGCCGCTGGTGGAGCAGTCAAAGGAACTGGATATACGGGTTGATTGGGTAAGCGAGAGTGAGGCGCTAGAGCAATACTTGAACAGGGGCTTCGGAAATAGTTATGACTTTAACCAGATCGCATGATCCAAAGATCATCCTTCTGTCAATAGATGTGGAATGCATTACTGTTGAAGTAATGAGGTGGCCAAGTGAGCATTGTACCTGCCACGGCTTGCTGGCGCTCGTAGTGGCCGACAGGTGACATATACCAGACAGATAAGGCGTTGAGAATCATTTTTTCACCTTATTGTATATTCCGAGACGAGAGGAGCCTGTGCATCATGTCAGTATCGTATGGGGAACCAGATTTCAATCTGGTGGGAGGGACTCCATACCCAAATATACCTGGATTTTAGTCCCGTGAAGGATGGGTGGCTTGGCAGACTTTACGCATGTAACTAGTTAGTATGCCTCGTTGCAATCGAACTTCTCCGCATCTCATTTTCTCTTGATTAACATTTCGGTCAGCGACAAGATAAATCAAACTCCCTGATATGGCCAAGGAAGTTAGCAGGAAATGTAGGCATTGCTTCCACTGCGTTGTTTAATGCGTTGCTAACCATTTCTAGCATGGTAGGTAATCGTCCTGGAAAGGCTAAAAGTGATCGACTGAACATTCTGTAGCCAAACATGCAGACTTCGCAAGCTCAAATGTAAGTAGGCTCGTTCAGCACCCTGCAATATTAACCTACCTGAAACAGGCGATGAGGGCATGCCAGTATGTGCTCGATGTGTGCGCTCGGGACGGTGGTGCGACAGGACATGGCCATTGAAGATTCGTCACCAGAGAATTACCAGTGCACAGAAAGAGACCACGAATGCAGCAGAAGAAACGATTTCCAGTTTTGAACATGAAGAAGCTCTCTGCAGTCTGCGGAACGAGCAAGTAGCCCAGCTATTTGAGCACTACCTCCAGGTATTGGCTCTGTGGTATGATCTCAACGATCTTGATTGCACCTTTGCAAGGCTCGTCAGCCGCGAGGCCCAGAAGAGCCAGCTCCTGCTCAATGCAATTCTCGCCTTTGCTGCCATGCATAAATGTCGAACTGGTCAATCGTCATTGAAAGAATTGGGTCATGGGTACCATAACCGGTGCTTGCGACTTCTCATTGAGCTTCAGCAATCAGACGAGGCGGTATCAAATGGGACTGCACTCGTCACTACATGTCTCTTACGGTCCTATGAAATTCTTGCTGGTAAGCACATGTCCTTGTGAAAAAGAATTCCACTCACTAGTCAGAGGAAAAGGATCCCAATTGCCATCTGTTTGGCGCTTTTTCTCTGCTCCCAGATCTCACATCGACACTGCCCACAAAACCACTTTTGCTTGCAGGGCTCTGGAATTATCTTCGTGAAGATATCACATTCGCACTGATCAATGAGTATCCACTCAAAACAAACATTGGCAATGTACGACTCATTGCATCTCGGGATGACGATTATGCCAATCAGATCACACTGCTTCTCGCCAGGGTGATCAACACCGTGTTTCTTGATGGAGAAGATGATGGATTCCGTCTGGATAGCGAGGTCAAACAGTGGCACGCGAGTCTTCCGTTTCAGCCATATCACGAAATGTCTCAAGACCAAGGATTTTCAAGAATTCTATTTCTTCACAATTCCCATGGTTCGTTGAGATGCCCGGCATATGTGACCAGGCTAACCCTGCCAGTTGCCGCCCTGCAATACTATCACGTTGCCATGATGTTGCTCAATAAAGATTGTGCTTCGGATTTTGAGCTGGATCACCATGCACGGACAATCTGTAGTCTGGCCCTGAGCTCCAGAAGTGATGCTGTTATGGTGAACTCGTATGGTCCAATCTGTTATAGTGGGTTCAAGAAAAGCTTCGACAAAGTGGGAAACTGACCTCTCTAGGTTGCAAATGGCTGACGAGGGACGACAATCGCCGTGGTATTGTGGACTGCTTGATAGACAGTAAGAAGAGAACGGGCTGGCCTGTCGAACACATAACCGCAAAACTCAGGAGTCACTGGTCGACAGCTAAAAAAGTGCCTCGTTCTTATTGAGCATTCTCCGAGAAGCGTCACTTTTTCAATCTCTCAACCAATATCCATGCGTTCTGCGAGTAGCAGCTCCTCATCCGCAATGTCGTCATCAAATTCATCATTGGCAATTGCATGTCCATTAGCACCATTGGTTCCATGTGGTGAAGGTCCAGCATTGCTTTGCATATAGTCGTGCATTCTCGCATCTGATCGTCCCATGTCACCTTCTCCCCGACTGGCCTTTTGGTCACGCTGAAATCTCTCTAGTTCTCTCAAATCCCAGCTGTCTTTGCCTTTCGTGGAGCCATCTGAGGCCTTTTGATTTGTGTTCAAGGGTTGAGCAATGCCTCTCAAAAATTTCTTGGCCATACCGACTGCAGCATCTGTGCTCAGTCCAGTTTGACCATCGAGGATTTCCTCCGCAATCCAGCGAGGGAGCTGTGTTCGCTTCTTTTGGAAACGTCGATCAGCCAACACCATGATCCCGTAGTCGTCCTTGCCTCTCAACACTCGGCCCAAGCATTGGGCAGCGTGCCTCATGGCATCAAAGGAGAGGAAGTCTTGCTCTTTGATTCGATAGTTTTCTCTCAAGAACTCCAACCTGGCCTTGAGGATCCGAGACTCAGTGTATTGGAATGGTGCACCCATACAAAGTACAGTCCGTCCGAAATGATGGTCGAAATCGATGCCTTCAGATACCTTTCCACGGGCGACACAAAGAAGAATGGCACCTTTACCGTTCTCGCAAGCGGTGCGATAGGTCTCCAGAGCGAGACTGGTCTCTTGGGCATCGGGTGTTTCGACCAGGAGCAATTTGTAGGTCCAGATTTGGTCCAGGATGCCCATCCCCTGCCACATGCTGATAATCATTTCCATATAGAGATATGAGGGAAAGAACACAACGATGCCGTCTGGGGTTATTTTTGCGAACTCAAACAAAAGTGCACCATAGTTGCGAACCACACCAGGATCTGATCGAGATTGGAAGCCAGATGTTATTGTCTGCTGATCAGAGCCTCGTGTGACAATCATGGGGAGGAAAGACCGTCGGACCAAGGACATTGGATATGATTCTTGAGTGACGGTGGTGAAGTTGAGCATTTTTGGGTACATTTCGAGTGGAGAGATGGTTCCGGATGTGATGATAACGGAGGAGAATCGTTCAAAGACGGGTTTGATGGCAATTGAAGCGTCGAGACAGGCAAAATGGAGAATGGGGTTTGGCACTGTTGCCTGCTCGGTCTCAAAGGGTTCCAAGATCAATAAAAAGCCCGTCTCGTATGTAGCAACTAGTGTCGCAAAAGTAGCAACCTCTTGAAGCGGCTGATAGTCTTCAATATTTGTAAGTTCCAATGTTCGAACCAAGGAGGTCAGTCTTTCTGCACAAAAGCGCAAAGGTTTTCTTTCAATGAAAGTCAACTCTTTCAGGTGAGAGAGAAAGGAGGGAGGAGTTTCTTGGATGACGTATAAGACCTTCATACGAGTTTTGAGGTACTCGATAAAACGTTTCAAGAAGGCGACGAAATGCTCTGCACGGCGAATGTTGCCTGGAACGGCTTCTTTGAGCAGATCGTCTGGAAGCGTGGGATTGGCCATGAAGGCATCTTCAGCACGAGCTTCGTCGGCTTCTCGCAGACCCTCGACCAATTTCTGGTATTCACTTTGCAACTTTTCTTCATCTGATGCTTTCATGTCTTCGATCTTACGCTCTAGATTGTTGGCACCACGTGTGGCTTTTCGCAGGGAATCTTCGGTCAGATCAATGGAAAGGGACTCGATGCAGACATTGTCAATATTATGGGCTTCGTCAAAGACGACGATGCAGTCTTTGGACAGTTCTTTGGAGACTCGGTCGGCAATTTTGGGATCGAGCAGGTAGTGGTAGGAGTAGATTATGACATTGCAATAGGGCATCATTCTTCTGGCGGAAAAGTAAGGGCACTGCTTGTGGTCTTCGCCGTAACGGAGGAGGTCATCGAGGGTAAAAACACCAGGAGGGAGGAGGTTGTGTGGTTCAAGGAGATCGAGATTGTCATGGTAAATGCAGATGTCGACTTCCTCACCACGCTCTTTTTTCTCCTTTACAAAGCCTGCGGTCAGACTGCGGCATCGGGCATCAACCACAGCACCGCTCTTCTCGCGCTTGACCGAAGGATGAAGGCACAGGTTCTTGCGACTAGTCAGGCCGAGTCCACGGAAGTCCTCGACCACACCCAATTGATCGGATCGGTATTTCATCAGTGCTTGCAGCTCAGCCAGGGCTTTTTCGATCTCAGACATTGTTCTGGAACAGTAGATGAGTTTTCGGTGTTCGGGATAATGCTGTTGATAAGCCACAATGAGTGATAGGAGAGAAACAGTCTTTCCTGTGCCTGAGGGCATTTCCAAGACGCAATGGCCACCTGCGTCAAGGGTTCTTTTGAGGTCACACATGTAGGCATATTGCTCAGGATAGATACGAGGGTAAGGGAAAAGAACCGGGAGATCACTGGTGAGTGTTAGTCTGAGGGGATATGAGCAGTGGTAGAGGAGATGAATGTTACTCGATGAAGAACTTCATGGTGATGTGGCTCGGGGATCACGGTGAGTTGATGACTTGGGTTTTCAGTCATAAGGATGAGGGAGTGTCGGCGAGGGGAATCGGGACGGATTGCCCTTTCCTCAACGGCGACATGACATGGAAGGAAGAGGAGATCTGATGGACGAGATGTGGCGATTCTGGATGAGGATTGACTGATCAATGGTGGTACAGTGGGAATGCAGTAGCTGTGAATATTATTTCGCAGCACAATCTGATGCAGGCACGTCGCGTTCAAGTTGCCCGCACCTGCGTTGTCCCCTTCCCCATCGCGTATCTTGCCTATCCGGGTGTTTGCCTGGAACCAGACCAGACGATGATGTCATTGCGACCATTTTCTTTCGGGACATCGGGCTCAACATGTATCTGCTTGATAGCCTTGTCCCAAATTGCGTAGCAAGGCCCAGATGAAGACGGACCCGGAGAAGCGATTGATGAAATGCGACGGGGAACCAATCCATCACGGAATATTTACTAAGGAATCGAGCTTGGAGGGTGGAGAATATCCATCTTCTCATCACTGGCACGGCACAAGAAGCACTTCTGTCGGAACCCGCAATCTCCAGATGTCAGGCTATCCCGTAGCCATTTGGTCAGCGGCTGACCTCCACACCTAAAGCTGAAGCTTTTTGTTCGTCTTCCTAGCCCTACTAGCGACAGAGATGAGTGAAAGTCGACCGTGCAACAATCCAGAGCTCCAAATCGTCGGGCAGCGGTATCTGAACTCGCTAGAGGCAAGTCTGTCGGCTGTGAATACATTTCTGACACAAGCCCTATCGGTTATAGGTCCAAAGGTTGCGAGGCGGTGTAAATATTTTCGGTTCAGATAATCAATGTTGTACATTTGAGCTCTGCATCCATCGTGCGGCTCTCCACGGAGCCTTCTGCAGGGAGGCTGTGGTGCTTAGACTTACTCGATTTGCTAGTAAAAATACACACTGGTTTGCCTCATCGTCTTCTAGGCTCCTCTTATTCATCGTCGTCGTCATCGTCATTGTCCCGTGTCGTAATCTCGCCCAAAAATCTCCTGCTTTCAAGCTCATGCACCTGATCTATCGAAATATGGCTGCCCTAGGCATGTGCTTACACTTTCGATATCCACATCACGTTTGACATGGATTGCATTCAAAGGAACTATGCCAAGTTCATCCCTAGTGTTTGTCGTGGCCCCTGGAAGTTTGGGTAATGGTTTTAGGGCTGATCTCGGGCTATTTTCAGTAATAATGACGGTAAATCCATCGCTCTTCGATTTTCTTGACAAATCAGACAATAGTGTCGAGCTGCGACTTCTAGCCTTCGAACTTGCATGGTATGTAGAGCTGCCCTTGCTGGGACCGACGGTATGGATGAATGATGAAAACAACGGGCGCAAAGTTGGTAAATTGGCAGACAAAACTGCTGTCGCCATCTCCACATTTCCAAGCACTGCAGGACCACGTATGGTGTATGCCAGGTTTGTAGGATCAAGTGTTGATATAGTTGTCACACGGTAGATGCTGACGACACAAACAACACCGCCCAACATGAAAAGACCGACCAGCGCAATGCGCTGCGAGAGCGGTAATCGAAGCTTTGATACGGGATATATTGGAATGGCGACCATGAAAAGATCAATCACAATATTAGGAACTGCATTGCCGACGAAGAGCTCTTTTGAGTCCAGACACTTTCCTGGGATACTCGGGTTCCAGGCACGATGAACTGGCGTACACTGGAATATTGCGAGTCCAGTGAAAAGAATGATCCAGATAAGATTGGCAGCCGCAACAATTTTGACCACGATGCGTACATTCCGGGTGTCGAAGATACGATGGTACATGACCAGGATGGATAATTTGACCAAGCCGATACCAAAACTGGCATGAATTAGCCTTCCGCGTTGAAACTGGAAATCTGGACACACCAGTAGGCAATCATAGATCCAAAAAGTGCCTTTCCTATCATCTCGAAATTTGAAGGCTGCAGGTTCTCTGCTTGTAAACCCAGGCCATTCTTAATCACTGAAATTGTCAGGATTGGTAGAGACACTTGATTGCTAACTTACTGACGATCATGAACGAATCCTTCACGAACATGACGACCTAGGCCACTGAGTCAGAGAAACGTACGAGAAAAGATAATTATGAGACACACCAATGCCGCCATAATGCACCAGTCTTCAACTCCAAAGTTTTTTGCTCTTATGCGCACATAGACGCGCGCTGCAGAACTCAAACAGGCCAGCAATAGGAAGGAGATAAAGAGGCCATACAGATCTGACCTCACACTTCGAGCATGACTGGAGTTTAGTCCAAGCTCTGCAGTATCTCTAAGGTTCAACATCGTATTGGATATATCTGCCGTACGAAAGCTAAAAGTTCAAAGGTCGAGGCTGAAGATACTGCACACCATCGAGACTTTCATATTCTCCGTCTTCACTAGTAGCTAGTTACTAAGCTAAGTGAAGCGACTCATGTTCTGACATTTCGAGTTTGAGTTTGGTAGCCCAGACATTAAGCGAGACCATTGGCTGTTCAATGAAGACTAGCTTGACACCGCTTGCCCCCTCGCTTGTCGAGGTATTTGTTTCGCTAATTGCCAGGCGAAACGACAATTCGGCCCGACAATTCTTCATCAAGGAAAGTGGAAGCTCGCGAGGATGAGCCTTGCCGGGGTTGATTGCGGAGTTCCCTATCGAATAGAATTGTGATTGGTCTCCATCAATCCACCTCTTTATCGGGGATGTTGGGAGAGTTCATGGAGGACTGCTAGCGATCAAATGGGATCCACCGTACTTGTTTTAGATATGATAACTACGAAAGCACGTGAGTAATACAGACGCAGCGAAATATCATCTTGGGGTACGAAGTCATGAAGCTTCCTATGGCAAGAAATATCAACTTCTGACCGGGTACTCCATGGCTCTTTTCATAACTTGGTGAGAGGGAACCAGAAGATGTGAATGCATTTGTTTGACCCACTTCCCGGATCATTCTCTTATCTGGCTTTATACGAGTTATTGTGATTAGAATGAACTGAATGTGAATGTACTACCACTTTTACGCTAAGTTTCGTTCACATTTTTGAGTCATTCGTCCGACAGAGGAAGCACCACTATCTCAAGGGGTCTACTGCTCTCGATGAACGGTTGCAGGAAATTACTAAGGCTCTTGACTCGGAACAAAACATGATTTTCATGGCTGAAAGGCGCAGGCATTGTCTTTAAATGAACGGTACTTTTACGCAAATATCATGATGTTAACGTCTGTTGGGCATGAGCTTGTTCGGAGAGTTCCACGTGGTGGGCTTGTTTGATCTAGTATCGTGAAATATAAACATACTTTATGCTACTGCATCGCGACTTCAATTATTCCAACAGTGCAGTCGCTCTTCTTTGGTGCAGAGCACACCCCAACTTCACCAATCGACCGAGGAGGACTACGGGGAAAACAGCAGACCCCAGTATGATATTTTGCTGGCACAGAGCAACTGAGAGCTGGCACATCGATGTGCTTAACTAAAGATCCCGTGGGTCATCCTTGCTTCTAGTGCGCACATTTAGAAGCCTGAATTGCGCATGGACATGACTCTTCTTGAGATTGTCCTCGCCTCATCTGTGGTCCTTGTGCAAGTCATCAAGGCAAAGAAATGATGGTTGAGACACCTCGGAAACAGCAACAACAGCGCCAGTACCCGCTCACCAAGTGAGTGCTGTTGAGAACTGTGCTGTGCAAACATCGCTCATATTAGGAATTGATTTCCCACACCCTCAGGCTGGAGAAATGTGTTCGCAGTCATTTGAGAGCAAAAGAAATGCCATCACAAAGTATCACGTTATGGGACATGTCCACATCTTTCTCAACCTGGCTTTGGTGCACAAGGTTCGATCTCAGCAGCTCGATCAAGAATATCTAGGATACTGGGGCCCGCAGAGTTCGGCCAGGTTGTTTTTATCCATGTCGTGCTGATAAGCGAACCAATAAGACGTTGTATGCCACGGCTGGTCTGGGTCGACCAGGCCAACGGCGAAGTTATGTAGGAGTTGGGCGATGAACTTGTGGGTTCCGACCTGATAACGTAAAATCTCAGCACTGCATGTCTCCAAAGGACGTGACTTACTAGTGCATTATTACATTCCACGCACATTTCGGGATCATTACCACCCAATGTCATGCTGAGACTGTCCATAAACCTAGTCTTATTCTTGTCCTCGAACCTTCTTTCTGGTCTGAAATCGTCCGTGTCTGAGCCGAAGACTTCTTGATCACAATTCTGGGATATCGAGCGGATACCAACAGAAGAAAAAAAGGTACCGCGGCTTTTCCACACAAGCATCACACGCACGTTGGAAGGCGAGGAACAGGCCACAGAGGCTATCGTCCAATCATACAGGATCACCAAACACATTCCTGATGACGAAGCGGTCGTCCAGATTCTGCGGCTTGCGTCCGAGGTAGGCTTCAACATGCTGCTAGTGGTTGGCCCAGGGAATCCTACCTTTGCCAGTTCAACAAGCTCAACCTGTGAGAAGGCCTAGGCAGAGGCAAGCAACGCACATTGTCCGCACGTTTCACTGTGCCAGCGCTCCTCACCGAATCCGCGCCCCCGAGACACATACAGGACCACCTCTCGACGTGGCGTTCTTGTTCCAAAAGTATAATTAGTTTCTCGGGAGGGAGTAGAACGCCACCACGCAAGAGTTTGCGAAGCGTTTGCTCAAGTTGTGAATGAAAAAGTCCCCTTCCCGGTTTATTCGTCCGAAAATGGCGGCGACCAGGATTACGGTCGTGTTTCGACCCCCACTTCTTATCACAGGAAAGGAAGCTGCCTTCTGGGAGGAAAAAAATACTAAATTGAAGCTCGCGGAAGCAATAGGTGTACATAAAGTGTCCTTGGCGTGTGACACGTTTCCTGCAGGACAGAAGAAAGATCAGAGGTACATAAGGTATATCCTAGGGATATCTAGAGCTCTCTTTTGCTGTTGACCGTGCGTTTTCAATACTCAGTTACTCATGGACCCGGTCTTTGGCCCCAATACAGATAACTCAGCGGCTACGAAGCCCCCTCGGCTCCCCTGCCGAGATAATTCGGGAATCTCGGTCCATCAGTCCCGGCGAACCGTCAATAACCTCGCTCAATCCAATTGCGGCTTGATTAGCTAGCCAGATCAGTATCCATTTAGACCATTCAAGAGAAGCTCTCTACATGTTAGTTGACGTATGATATTCACGTTGATCAGTGTCAAGTTATTGTGTACGTGTCGTATACCAAACATGTCAGGAGTAGTCGCCCTTGACGAGTTCGACCCCGAAGGTTCCCAGTATATGCGCGAACTCTTCCCCGACCTCATTGAGCCTGGTCACCCTTCTCATGAATCATGGCCTGAATACGCGGTTGGGCTGTTTGTTGCAAAGAGCCTAGTAACGGACGATGTTATACGCCGGTCGAAGAAGTTGAAGTTCATCGTCAGGCATGGCACAGGATATGATAATATTGATACCGCAGCTTGTAAAGAGAAGGGAGTCGTGGTATGCAATGTTCCAGGTGTTAGCGTACGTCCTCTCTCTAACTTGTCTGGAGAAAGAGCTCACAATTTATAGGCCATGAGTGTTGCAGAGGTGGCTCTTGCGCTTACAAGTGCTTGTTCAAAGAACCTTGTAGAGGTATCCAGACAGATAAGATCAGGAGAGAAGTTGAATAAGAAATTCAAAAGTTTGTATTCAGCAGCACTACTTACGGGTAAAACATTCGGCATTGTTGGTGGTGGGAGGATTGGTCAACTGACAGCAAAGAAGTTGTATGTTATCCCTGAGATGTTGTGTATTTACTGAACATTGTGCAGTATCGGAGCTTTTGACGGCAAGATCATTATGTGTGTCCCAGTCTTCTTACTACAATTCCCGAACTAACCTTTCCAAGGTATGACCCATACATCTCAGCCAGTAGTCCAAGCCCCTGGGATTCAATTTCACACGTTCGAGCGGATTCTATCGCAGACATGGTCCCCCTTGTGGACGTTCTGTCTCTCCATGTACCACTACTCTCAACGACAAAAAACATGATTACTATTTCTGTTCTTCAAGCCATGAAGCCAACTGCGATCCTCATCAACGTGGCGAGAGGTGGAGTCGTTAATGAGGAGGATCTATGGACAGCCCTCCGGGAGGGTACCATTGCGTCTGCCGGAGTAGACGCCTGGGTCTGTGAGCCACCTACAAGGGACGTTTATGGAAATGTTTTGGATCTGGAAAATCTTGTAATAAGCCCGCATATTGGCGGGTCGCCTGCCGGAGTGCAGACCGCGACTTGTATTAGTATGGTTGAACACATGAGAGAGATGATCGATGGAAGGCCTCCTAGGGATAGAGTGGCATAGGAGTATTCAGGTCGTTCAACCGCCAGTAGATTCTTTATCAATCTTCAACTGCGCTGCCAGAGTCCACTCCTTCTTAGATGTCAGGTTAATCTTCCAATTATATACAATTTAGCCCAACTGCCCAGGAAGACTATTTGCATACAACTTCAGCGCATTTTCTCGACTCCAGCTTTCGTTTTTGGACGCCTGCCACTAATCGCCTCCGAATGAAAGTTTGTGTTTCCAAGATGACCTGGTCAAGTCCGACAGCCTAAATACAGATCCGGCGTTATGGACATACGATATGGCTGACAGCGTCAAATCGCCATCTTAGCATGGACCACATCTGAATAGAAGGTACGCAAGCAGCTTCTGATTCGGACAGACCGAGATGTGGTTGCCTGAGGAGAGCAGTGCTATACAATCAGTAGAGCTTTGAATTTCCACATTAGACACATAGTGGTACATCACCAGCGCATTGACATAGCTCGAGAGAGCCGCACGCTTGGTCAATCGTCCACAGACCGTTTGTAGAACAAAACAGCTGTATATCAAGACGTCAGCTTGAAGACAGGGTAACGAAGAACATACAAGGCAACTTACCGTGGAGATCGAGTCACTATTACAGGCCGCATCGCTTTCACCGAACATATTAAATGCACATGCTTCTCCCGGGCTGGCGATGATGCAGCTGATAGTCGCATTGGCAGCCCCAGATGCGGACGGTGCGGCGGATGCGACCGCTGAGGCAGCAGCAGGTATCGCTGAGGCGAGAGGTGTGATGGCGAGTGTGAGGAGAACACTGAGTACT